TTTTATAGACTTTTGCAACGCTAATAAGATTTTTTTAATAATATTTTTTTTTTATTTAATTTATAGCTTATAATTTCTAAATATAGTGCTTTTTTTATTTTTTTTAACTACTTATTTAACTAAGCTCGCGCACTACTTTTATTATAGCTAAAGTTTTATTTTTATAAATAAAAGCAATTTTTTTTTATTATTTTAAACTACTTATAATACTATATTTATTTTTATAAATATATAAAAAGTATTTAAAGCTATAAGCATTAAGCTACTTAATACTAATATTATACTATAATAATTTAAAACACAACTACAACAAAAAAATTAAAAATTAATAAATAAAAAAAATAATAATAAAAATACTTAAAACTAGCTCTGCAATTTATTTAAAATTGCTATAAAAAATAAAGTAAAAGTTAAAGCTAAATAATTAGGCTTTATACTATATTTTTTTTAAGTGCAAAATAAGCTTTTTTATTATAAAAATAAAAGTTTTTGCAACGCGCTTTTAATTAAAAAAAAGTATAAAAGTAAAAGTAAATTTTTAAATTTTTAATAGCGCAAAAAATTTTATAGTATTATAGTATTTTAAAATTTAAAAATTATTTAAAAAGCTTGCGCGCGTAATATAGTAAAATAATATAAAAATAAAACTAAATAATTTTAAAAAAAAAAAACAAGAAAGCTAAAAGCGGCAGCAATATTATATAAAAAAAAAATTATAAAAAAAATAAAAATAATATAATTGCTTGCTAAAAAGTATGCTGCAAAAAAATATATAATAATAGTTTAAAAATAAGCTACTACGCGCGCGCAAAAATAACAAAAAAAAAAAGCTATAATTTTATAAAAATTTTATAATAAAATAAATAAATATAAATAAATAACTTTATATTTTACAAATTTAAATACAGCAAAGTATTATTATATTATAAATACTAAAAGTAATAATTTAAATATATTGCAGCTACTACTGCTTTTGCTTAAAACTACTGCGCGCAGCTGCTAAATTAATTTTTTATAAAAATTTAAATAGTACAAATTAATTGCAAGCATTTATTTACTAATACTTTAAAAAATTTTATAATAATAATTTTTATTAGTAGCTTTATAGCCTTATTTTTGCAGATAGGTGACTTTTGTTGAAGTAGTTTATTAGCTGAAACAGTTCATCGGCTGATCCACCTCGGTACGCGCCGGCCTGTTGCGTTATTAGGCTCTTGACCTCTGCTACCCCACCACGCATCTACTCGCAACCTTCGACACACCATCGAGAGATACTACGAAAACAAGATGAACTCTCAAGACTGCCTGATTATGACGAAGCCGCACGACACTGCTCTAAACAATGACGGAGCGGCGCAGCCACACTACTCACGACCGTCGCCTTTCATGCGACTTCCAGCTGAGCTCCGAATCATGATCGCCGAATATGTCTTGACGTTCGACCAAGGTCTGGAGTGGTGCTGGAAGAAGGAAGAAGACGGCAAACGCGTTGGGACATTCAAGACGTACAACCCGAGAGTAAAAGGCGAGCCGCCGAAATACCCGACGAACATGCTAAGTCTGACCCGCCAGCTACATCGAGAGACCTCGCACACGTGGCTCAAACTCAATACCCTCCATTTCCATGGAGGGCTGTTCGAGGAAGGTCTCGAACTGGAATTAGAGGACGGAGTTGATGCCTTTGACCTGGCAGTCTATGATTACGAATTCTTCCTATCACGCATGGCACCCGCACATCTGGCTGCGGTCGATTCCATTCAAATCTACAGCCTAGGATGTTCTTATGATAAAAAGGTTCTCCGCAAACTAAATCAGGTAATCGCAAAGTACGGAGAGAGCCATTCAGTGAAGATTTATGACGATGAATGGGCTCTTGTTATGCTTGGAAATGATCCACCAGACATTATCGAGGTCGGAGGTTATTATGTGAAAGCTCTTCAAGAATTCGATAGAGATCACCCTGGTCGTACATGGCGTGTCTATCTCGACTGCGTCCACGATGAAGAAATCGAGGCATGGCGGAGGTACCTGTCGACTGCCAATTTCAAACTCGCGCTTGATCGTCTCCATAACGGCTTTTGATGACGCTCGCCGAAGGTCGTGTGCTGGACATAACGACATGTAGGACAGGGGTGATCAATTGGAATGCTTCAGATGACTGCAATATAAGGCGTGCTCTGCGGGAACTCATGGTAGCTTCGAGCAAGGAGTCTTGATAATGATGCACATCTTTGTGTTTTTATTTGCTCTGACGTTCATATGCAATTGTTTCTACCTATCGTACACGTCTCCCCCGGCTAAACCAACTAACCAACCAGTACTATAACGCTGCCAAGCGTGCCCTCGTTCTTTTTTCGACTGAGATGATATGCCCATAATAGTGATGAATTGAAACGGTCATGTAAACCGAAAGACGTCAATAATGGCACAGCCAGCCAGCCAGCCAGTCCCCCAATCCAAGCGTTCGGCTGTTGTTAAAAAAGGGGTGTAATCGTATTTCTCATGCAAGTCCAGTCCTGTCCAGTTCATCCACCAAGCAAGCTGAAATGCAAGGCAAGCAAAGTAAAGCAAAAGCAAAAAAAAGTACACCCAACGCCGCCCCCAAATGGACGGCTTCAAATCAAATCAAGTCCACTCCTCAGCGCCTCCCTTGATGCAGTGTATGCAGGTACAATGACGTAGTGTTCGCTCCTTGTTGCTCCGATCCAGTATGCTCCAGAAATGCAGGAATGGGGTATAGAGGGGGTATGATGGTGCTCTCGAAGTATGCGTGGGAAGGTCAAGGGTCATGTGATGTTCAGAGTCAAAACGGGAAGACTTTTGCCTGCCTGTTGATGACCTTGATCGGGGTGCCTGTCGTGGTAAGGATAATGGAACGTAATCGAGAGACGCACGCGCATGCTTGATCTGTGTCACTCAGTGACGTGCAGAAATTTTTCATCGCTCATCCTCACTGCTCCACGCCCCGTTGTCGTCTTCGTCGATGCTCTCCATGACCTCTTTGATTATCCCGTGACTCTTCGGATCCAAGTTCATCGCAATCGTCAAATGGCGAATCGCACTCGCGCGATCTTGCAACTTCTTATAGCATCGTCCCAGCAAGAAGTGAATATTCGGGTCATCTGGCGCAGCGTCTTTCAGGTACAGAAGTTCTTTGAGCGACTCTTCTGGCGCGCCGAGCTTGAGCAGGATCTGCGATTTGCGGAAGCGGGCCATGATGGAGCGGGGATCGATTTTGATCGCAGCTTCGAATTGCATGAGGGCGGGCTCAATCTTCTTCATGCGGTCGAGAACCTAGAGTCATATAAGCCATGAGTGTAACGGGTATCGTTCGAGAGGACTTACCAGTCCGATCCTCACGAGGATCATGGCATTGTTCGGATTGATCTGTGAAGCTGCCCGGTAATGCTTCTCGGCCACCTCATACTTGCCCATCCTCTCATACACATTCCCAAGACCATACCAACCATTGTAGTGCCTGTTATCGGCACTAATCGCGTTGCGGTACGCTGCCATGGCCTTGTCAAACTCCTCATTTGCCACATGCTCGTGGCCCTGGAGAGTGAAGGCATATGCAAACTTCGGGTCCAGCTGTGTAGCTCGGGCAAAACACTTCACAGCATCGTCATGCTGGCGATCTAGCGAGCTGGCGTTGCCGAGAGCGCACCAAGCTTGCGGTGAGAGGCGATCTTGGTCCATCAGCGTATGAGCAAGATGGCCCAAAGCCACTTCCTGCTTCAGTTGCCAGAGAGTATTTGAGTACACTTCCATGTGCTCGAGATACGAAGGGGTCTTTTCGCGAATCTGCCGGAAAATCTTCTCCGCTTCGGCATACATGGCGCATTCGTAGTAGGCCTTGCCAATCTGCGCCAGTACCCAGGGGGTGTCGCGCTGCCCCTTTGGGACCGCGGCAAACGCCTCCAAAGCCTTAGTCGACTCATAGCGACTCAAGTGTCTGTAGCCTGAGCCAATCCTGAGTAGTAGATCCAAGAGCCAGTTCAAGGCCTCTTGCTCTCGTGCTGTATCAACTTGCGGAGCCATCCGGGGTGGTTGTGCCGCTATAGCAGCTGCACTCGCAGGTCTCGACTCTGGCTTCGACATTTCAGAGGCCTCAAAGTGCGGCTTCCTGTTTCCACTGACAACTCTGCCGACAATCGAGGCAGTGCCCGTCCTCCCTTTAGTGCCCGTTGCCTTGACTTTCCGCAGCTCGCGTCGTTCTTTCGACTCTTGGTCTTTACTCGACAGTCCCCCGAGTCTGCTACTCGATGCCCTGATCTGGCTTATCGAATTCTGTAACCTGGTACTCCTCCGCGGTGGGGCTGCAGTGGGATCTAATGGTTGTGTGCTTGAAGTTGGGCCGTGTTGCATGGTTTGGCCTGACACGGTCCGCTTATGGCCGTTCTGATTAATCGGCCTAGGGATGTCTGTCTGGTCGCCTTCTGGATTCGTCTTCGTTCGAACCCTTGAAGTGATGGATCGCATGCGTGGCGGCTCTTCTACCCCGTTGAAACCCGGCAATCGTGGCTTTCGCGCTGGTGCATGTGCCATATCCATTCCTTGCTCGGTCAGGACTGGGCCTCCAGCTTCGCCCATCAAAACATCCTCATGGTGGAAGGGCTGGCCGTTCGCGGTGGGAGTTTCCACATCGTGATGCGTCGAGTTTGCACCGATGCCATTTGTGCCAGGATTACTGCCATTCAACCTTGAGAGCAGATTCGATCCACCGAGGTTGAGTCCGACGTCGCCTCCCTGCCGTATGGACGGATTAAAAGGATCAAGGTCGGGAGTTGAGACAAACGGGTTACGGGTATCTAGGCTCTCTTGCGACGAAGTAGTATAAGTTGCATTCCCGTTAGTTGCAACGTGCGATATCGAGGCCAGCATGTCCGGGGTAATCTTAAAGACGTTCTGGGGCCGGACTACAGCCCCAATATCGCAGAGGCCGGTAAAAGCGTCCCACATGAACGAGTTGATCTTCAAGGCCTCGACATAGTAGTCAATAGCCTTCTTAGTGTCGCCGTGGGCGGCGTACAGCTTTCCCAGCATGCAATAGCAGGCTGCGGCGTCGGGAATGTGGCGTCTCGACGTTTCGGAGTGCTTGCCTGTGAGTACAGTCAGTATCATTACGACGCGTATCCACCACGGCGCTTACTCCAGTGATTCCGTCCAGCCCAAAGACCGCGAACCTTCTCCAGCGCCTGAGCACCTGCATCATATCGCTCGAGGCCAAGACATGCTTGCGCAAACACATAGGCACATCCCAGATGCTGGGAATGCACTCCCTTGGACCTCGAGCAGTCGAAGGCAGCTTTGTATCTTCCGAGTCGGAGGTTGCAAAGCGCTAAAAGGTGCGCGGCGTCTGGGTTGCGGGGTTCGAGGGCGTGTAGACGACCGGCAAGGAAGAGGGCGTTTTCTAGGAAGCTGTTGTCGAGGTGGTAGTATATAAGCTGCCGCAGCTGGGCGTTAACGCCCGCGGGCGGCGACATGACGGGCGGACGTGGTGTGTTGGTAGAAGGATGGCGCCTAGGGTAGAGTCGCGAAAGATGTTTGTTCACCGCGGTATAGGCATGAGAGCGGCGAGGTAAAGGTGCGGCGGGTGGGGATGGCGAGTGGAAGGCGTGTCTCTGCAATCGGTGTCTTGTTGCTAGGTGACGCTTTCGGCGTGCTCGACAAAGCGAATTGGCAAACACGGTCGGCGCACAGGAGAAGTGAGGTTGAAGTAGACTATCTATGAGTCCATAATAGCAAGCAGCTATTGTCCGAGCAGCTGCAGTGAGTCCAGATGGCGCGCGAGGGCGTTGTTGTTCGTGACGGGCGCGGTGAGGTTGCTCGCGCTTGTTGTGAATGCAGGTGCGCACGGACGGTAAACCAACCACCAGTCGCTGAGGCGGGATGCATTGCTTGGCCAAAGACCCTCCAACACTCCCGACGTCGCCGCACACAACCCTGACGGCCAAAAGACTACGCTGCGATTACGCTCAACATGGCGCAGGTATGTTCCTTCAGACCACATCAGACCCAACATCAAACCCCACAATAGCCGGTGTCAATGCTAGAAATGGCTAAATGCCAATATCACTTTCATTCTACAATTCCACTAGGCAGCGTTAGAGCCCTCAATGCATTATCGCTGCTGTAGTGGGATGTACATGCACTTCGAAACCATGCCAAAAAAGATGCTGTTCATCACTAACACCACCCCAGAAAGCCACCAAAACCCTCGCGGCCAGCAACACGGCCCGCCTCAACCAAACCCTCTACCTAACCCTCGCAATCCACCTGCTATGGTGGTTCCTCCGCGCGCTCATCTACCGCTCGTCGCTCTCCCGGAAATCAATCACCCTCTACCTGCTCTTCTCCGCGCCCCAGCTGCTAATCCAGTTCTACTTTGAGCGCCTGAGCCGCCCGACGCTCAACGAGGATGGCGCCGTGAAGCGCGCGGGCGAGGACCTGGAGGCCAAGGGTCTGACTGAGTACATGTGGGATGTCGTTTACTGGAGCTACGGTTGCATTACGCTGGCAGCTCTTGTTGGCGACTACGCTTGGTGGCTGTGGGCGGTTATTCCGGCGTACTCGGGGTATGCGGCGTATACGACTTATACAGGTATGAGGGGAGGGTATCAGGATGCGGCCGGTGTGCCTCAGCCCGGCGCGGCGACGAGCAAGCGGCAGGCCAAACTTGAAAAGCGAGGAGGGGCGCAGAAGATGCAGTATCGATGAGGCACTGAGGATTCGCTATTAAGGGGTAGTATGATTTGCTGCGATGAAAGCATGGGGGCAAAGGCGCACACACTCCCATCTAGCGAGAAGAAACTCGTGAACTGGGCGGCCACAAGAGCGAGAGACGTGCCATGCTCCATCCACGACAAAGCGATCTACCAGCAGCGTTGGCAGCGAACACAGTCAAAGGCGTGATGATAGCAGCGCGACCAAACAAGTCGCAGGTCGCAAGTCGCAAGTCACACCAACGACCACCCTCACCTCACAGCAGCAGCAGCAGAAAGTACCAAGGACAAAAGTATGTATGTAGCACCACACCTCATGTACCAATAAACCTACAATGTACAACGCGAAAAAGTCCCTTTCCCAAAAAACAAACCCCACCAGTCCAGTCGGACGTTTCTCCGCGAGACCCATACAAATTCACCACCCACTCACTCACAGCGCACATCTTGGCACACAACGCCATGCAGTGGGACCAGGGGGCAAGGCAAGCAAGTAAGTAAGTTAGCGGGGTCTCGTCTCGAGAGCTACGCTACGCTCCAAATCGGTGAGTGGGTGCGAAGAGAAAGAGAGAGAGAAAGCGTACAAAAAGCGAGGGAGGGCGGTCCCGATTTGTGGGATTGCGGAATTTCCTGCACGACGGGGCGTGCATTGCATGGCATGGCATGGCATGGGCATGGTATGGGCGTCGGTCGTGTTGACCGATCAATGCGGCTCCCTTTACGCTTCTGTTTTGCGGCCAACTCCGAGAGAGGGAGAGACGCTACCGTGTGATTGATCCAACGAAAATGATAAAACTAGTGGTGCAACCGAGACTTTTCGATCAATACATGTTGATAATAGTTTCGTTACATTGCTACAAGGGGGTATATCTTCCCCTCATGCAGGACTCGCGCTGACATGGTATGCTACAAGAATCCAATACAGACAGATACATAGTGTACACAGTATAAGCCACAGCCTCAAGCCGCGCTCTAAGCCTCGACCTTGGTAGGGATCTTGGGGATGCCCCTCTTGCGGTCTTGATGCGGCACGCCATACCGCCACCCGGCTGCCTTTGCCCCCCGCCCATCGCGGCCTGCGTCCTCGACGCTGACGTCCTGGAAAACAAAGTCCCATCGTCGTTTGGGGACGACCTTGAGAGCCCGGAGTTCCTCTTCTTTTTTCCTCTCTGCGTCCCGCTTCCGCTTTGCCTCGGCTTCAAAGCGCTCCTCAGCCAGCTTTCTCCTTTCCTCGAAGCTCAGCCCGCTCGCTATTTCCTTTTCTGCTTGCACTAGCTCAGGATGTGGGATCCTTGCATCAGCTGGAAGTAGGTTGTTGTCAAACGCTTTTCCGGCATCAACACGCGTGAAGTGACGCGACTCGGCGACAGGAACAAAGAGCTGTTGCCGTGTTGCCGGGTGGACCTTGAGGTCGTTGATGGGCTCGTGGACTATGGGACGTTTGCCCTTCTGAGAGGTGTCGATGTTTGGTGTTGTTGGGAGCATGGAGAGGACAGCTTTGCTGTAAGGGATAGCTAGTGTTTGTCCCTGGGTGACTATTAGCCAACTACGCATATACAAAATTGTAATAGTGATAGTTTAGGGTTGATGACGATCAGCAAGAGCATGACTTAAGTTTTGTAACCATGTAGGTGTCTTAAAGACTAATCGAATTGTTTAAGTCTCATCATGTCATCACGGGGTAGAAGGAAAGCATATGAAAACGTACCTGTGCAATCCACTCCTTCTCCATCTGCTTTAGTCGCACAACGGCGCCAACACGCTCATTGCTGACGCCGAACTCAACACTAGCAAGTGATACTGTTGCGCCGTCCTTCTTGACGCGTTGGTATATGGCTTCTCGTAGCTCTTCGCTGAGTACTGGTTGAGATCGGAAGTATTTGTTTAGTGGAAAAGGACGGAGATCCTCTGCTGTTTCGGGTGGCAGTTTTCCATCGTCCTCTTCTGAAGTCTTCTTGGCTTCCTTCTCCTCAGCTTCGCCAGCACGAATTGCCGCCTCTAACTCGTCTAAGCTTTCTTGACCCTGCGGCGCCGGGTCCTCGGCCGACTTCTCTTCCTTGTCCTGTACTTCTGCCTGCCCCTGCCCTGGAGGTTGCGGGGCATCTCTCCGCCATCCCGGACCTGCTCGAACGAGATTACCGTACTTGTCGTATGCCCCCAGGTAGTTGGTGGAGCCCGGCAGAGGCTCCTTCAGTGACCTTCCAGGCCCATTGAGCCACTCATAGAATTTCCGCCGCCGTAATGTGATCTGCTGCACTGGTGTTGATGAAAAGTCGCGCGATCTCTGTGCTACCCTGATGAAGGGCGATAATCTTGTGCATGGGCAGGAGACGAAGGGTGATGAAGCAGCGGGTGAGGGGAGGTTGGAGGAGCGTAACCGCGGAGGCATTGTGATGCTGCTAATGCTATCGCATTGATTTAAGAGTATATAGGGAAGAGGAACAGGACGGGGGTATAATGAGTGTGGGCTGGTGTTGTGGTGAAGTTTACGCTGCAAAGCTCGAAAAGTTTGGACGCATGGGGCAGGGGCCTTTCCTTGGCACGGCTGGTAGCCAATCACACCGATATCCACTTTCGCACGGTATCACACTGCATTGATTGATTGCCAGCCCTCCTCTTCTAGAAGCGGTCGCATGTTCGAGGTGATGTTATGCTTCTAGAAGACCGATCGGCAGGTGCAATTACTCAGGTACAGCTTCAGTCCTGCAAGCTGGCGTCATCTCATGTAGGCACATTTGATAGAATGATGACGAATAGTAGCATGAAGCAATAAACTAAACTCCATTGTTAGTGGTGCAGACAAGATTACGTTTGCTCGAGTATGGGTGTGAAGCGATGATGACTTTTATTAAGTGCTGTAGGGGGTTCTTAACGCCAGATGTTGCGCCCAAAAAGGGTATTCGAAAACGAACAGAATGATCAATAAAAAGAATTAGGCCGAAGCCAAAGGAAGAAAGATATGAAGAGGACGCTAGGTCCAAGCAAATGCTGAATGAATCGCAGTAAAGACAGGATATCGCCTAGCTCCTAGTATGCTGCGGAGCCTGCAATGCGCATCTACCGTGTAAATGAACCCAAAATTGCAAACTGTCCAAGGAGAAGAGCCTGGGGATATTCCAATATGAGCAGGTACCAACTGAGCCTCTTCCCGACCAGTCCATGTGGTCCCGCTTTTCTTAGTTCCCGACCAGAAAGCAGGAAGAAACGATGGGTAAGTGCAGCCTCAAAGGCGGCGAATATCGAAGTAAAAAGTAAAGAGAAGAAAGAAAAAAGAAACCCAACCCCTCTGCAGACGCCAGCTCCACCCAAAGCCGTGTAGTAAACAAACAAACAAATCGCACAAGGGGGAATCATCGCTGTATGCTGGAAAGGAAGTCCACGCCCAACGGGCGTAATGGATCTAAAGGAGATTCCGCGCCAGTACCCATGCCCTTGCTCAAACAGAGAGAACTGAAGCCAATATTCAACCCAAACAACTCAACACCTGCGCAATGACTGAAGTGACGGGGTGTAACGCAACAAATGGATGAAGCAACAAGTTTTGCAAATTCTCGGTGATGGTATACGAGCCCAAACTCCTGGATCGTCACTCGTAACGGCATAGCAGATTGATATCGTCGTCGTCGTCATTGTCGTCAGCGTCCCATCATATATGCCGTGTAGCTGCCTCCCATGCCTCCGAAGCCGTTACCGGCAACGCTAGTAGCAAGTGGCTGGCGCATAGGGCTGGCCATGTCGTTTGGGCCCATACCGAAGCCGCCGTTGGAGTACATGCCGAAACCAGAGTTGCCATTGTTGTTGTTGTGGTGGTGGTGGTGGACAGGAGTCGAAAGTCCTGGAGGCGCTGACAGCCCAGGCGGTGGACCGGTGGCTGTAGAGAAGCCGGGCGGGGCCACGACATTGTTGCCAAACCCTGACAGAGGGGTAGATGGTGTTATGGCAGATGGCGGGCCCATGCTGGAGCCTTGTCCGCTCCGTACCCCCAAGGGGTTCTTGGAGAAGCTCAATCGAATGCCGCCCTTGACGCTATTGTGCAACATGTACCCGTACAGCTCATTCAGCGCCTTGGTAGCAAAAGACGTATCCTCAAACTCGACGAAACACATGGGCCCGTTCTGTTTGGTGCGGAAACAGAGTCGCTTGTATCCACGTTGCTTGGAGAAGACGGCCTTGAGCTCGTCCTCGGAAGTGTCCATGGGAAGGTTGCCCACGTACAGCGTGTTGCATGGCGGGTTTTGATCGGCCGGGTTTACAGGCGGGTACGTGGGTCTCGCAAAATGCTGCGAGTACTGTTGGAATCCAGTGTTGGATGCATTGCTCAATGCAGAGGGAATGGTATGTGGAGACATGGCAGACATGGTCGCTCCCGGCGATTGCATGTTGGATCCAGACCGGGGAGAGGCATAGTTTGGCAACGGTGGGGAGGTCATGCCATTCACGCCGTTTGTGTTCAGAGACAGCGATGCGAAGCGGGAAACAGGAATTGGCGGGTTCGGGTTCGTGGCCCTGCGTTGCATGTTGGACTGGACTGGTGGACCGCCCGTTCCGTAGCCAATCGACTCGTTGAGCAGGCCATCCACGTCGTCAGCCTCATCATTGATGACTGACTTGCCCAGGTTGCGGCTGGTGAAGGACGTGTTCACGGGGGATGTCGGCGAGAAGAGGTTTGTGGTGGGAAATTCTCCGTTGCCAAGACCCGGGGTCCCGTTGGGTGGGGACATCTTCTCCATGTTCTGGAAAGTGCCATTATATCGTGATGATTGTCGGCCGTTGTTAGTCGTGGCGATCCCGCTTGCGATGGATCCTTGTCGCGTAGATGCGCTGCTGTCCACGGTGTTGCGCCGTGATCCGATGGCGCCGGGAAGGCCGTCCTGGAGCAACTCTACGACCAGGGTCGCGTCGTTGGTAGCATTGCGCTTTCCATTGAGCAGGTCTCGGGCCTCTTTTGCGCCTTCGTAGGTCTGGAAATGCGCTACAGCCGAGGCGAAGCCCTTGTCCTCGGAGAGGCGGGAATGGGACACGAGCTCGCAGTCGACGAGGTCTTTGGCGAAGAGGAGAATGTTGCGCACAGCGTCGCGATCGCTGTTGCTGGGCAGTTTGCGCAGAAAGATGGTGTGGCGGCCAGGTTTGAGTTCGGGTAGCGTCTCGGCGTCGCTGAAGGAGAGGAGAGAAAGGCCGTTCTTCTCCATGGGCCTGCGCTCTCCAAAGGCGGCGGGCATGCCGTAGGCATGCGATGCAGCGAAGACGTCTGCCGTCATGGTGTTTTGCGACGAGAAGGGCTTGGGCGGCGAGGAGGAGGTCGAGCTACTAATGGAGCCGTGGAGAAACGGGCTGTTGGAAAGGTTCGAGGGACTCGTGCTGGTCGGACTAGGCCCACCGGCCATTCTTTCCTTTGTCGTGACGGTATTGCGGCGGCCGTCGGGAGACAAAGAAGTGGGTGCGGTCGAGAAGTCGAAAATTGGACGATCAGCGAATGCAAGCCAAAAGCGTTAGGATCCGGACCGAATGGTGTCAGACTGGCGAAGGCGAGGATGGAGGGGATGGGGTGCTGGGGGTAAAACAGCTTTGAAACGTCGTTATGCCCAAGGCCAAGGGTAGAGGGGCGCGATTCGCAAGTGGCAGAGCAGGCGCACAGGCGAAAGGACGGGCGATTGGGGCGCTGCACGGTCAGACAAAAGAGCTGGCGTCGAAGCCCGTGGTGGTGCCAGGCGTGCGCGCAGCCGCGGTGGAATGCGCGGAGCAGAAGTGCGGGTGGGCGATGAGTGGCGCGGCGTAGGGTTGCGAGATGCGATCCGCGACAGTGCGATGTCTGCGACGGGGGTGGGTGGGCCTAAGAGTGAATCGGCAGAGAGAGAGAAAGCGGCGGATTCGCGCTAGACAGGAGCCGGGAGGTGAAGGAATGCGCATGCAGCGAGGGCTGCAATGGTGATTGGGAATTTGGGAAAGAGAAAGAAAACGGTTGCTGAAGCCAATAACGCGAGGCGCAGGAGGGGGATTTTGGGACTTTTTTTGGGCGACGGGGACTCGAACGAACAGCGAGCTCGGGCGATCCGTTGCGTCGAGGCACTCGGGCCAATAGGGCGGCGGCAGGGGTGGCAAGCGTGTGTCGTCAGGCAGAGAGGGTGTATTAGATGGAGTAGACGGATGATACGCGGTGAGCAGCAGCAGTGAGCATCTATCTGACAGCGTTTGCGCCTTGGGGGGGCAGAAAGGCGACGAGGGGGGAGGGGAGGGCAGAGGGTGTGGTGGTGGAGGAGAGGAGTGCTGAGGTTTTGGGGGCGCGACTGCTAAAAGTGATATGATAATAAGCCCAGGGCAGGAAGAAGGGAAGGCGCGTTCGTTGGGACGGGACTCGAATTGAATTGTGGAGAGTGTGGTGGGCGCGGACTGGGACGCGGACTTGTGGACTGGGACTGGGACGCGACTAGGACTGGGACGCGGACTGGGACTGGGGACGAGGGACGGGGGGGAGGGAAACCAAACAGCCCTGAAGCTAGCTGGTTTGATTTGATTAGTAGGAGACTACTAGTATCTATGGTGGTGGTGGTGGTGGTGGTGCGAGTATCCAAGTAGCACAGGTACCGCACTCGACGGGTACCGTCAATCAACCAGTCGAGGCCTGCCTGATTGACCCCGATATGTAGTGAATGATGATGACGCTATACTACTCCGCGATAAGAAATGCTGGCTGGTTGTGGTTGTGCGTCTGCTCTGCGTCTGCGTCTGCGTCTGCGTCTGCTATGCGCACTTCCAAGCTTTCTTTTCCCCGTGGCCAGGTGTTCCTTGCTTGCTGCGTTGACTCTATCTGGTGGTTCTGATCTATTCTGTCTGTCTGTCTGCCTCAATCAAGACTCTCCCCACCTCAGCAGCTACACACACACACAGTAGGGCCTTTCCAGGCTGACCTCCCGCTGCCGCCCACCGCCTTTCCCCAGCCATCTAGGGCAGACTGAGCCGGCCGGGGCCTGCATTCCTACTGGCTGTCTGCTGTATCAGCCTCTAGCGACAGCTGAGGCGCCCGCAAAGCCTGCAGCAGCGTCGTCCCACGGAATGTCCCCTCTGCAGTCCGAGTGCCGCGCTCAAACTCCCGCTGCCATACACACCACCCACACACACCTTGACCTTCACCGGGCGGCTCTGCCCTCACTCACCACCATCACAAACAAACAAACCCCCCAGTCACAAGTCAGCGACGTGATGGAGGGGGCGTCCACCCCCTGGAATGGCGCTTGCATGCGTCCACTCGTCCACAACGCGAAAGAACCTTTAGCCTACACTCAAGCGGCATTTCGCGGGTGCAGTCGTAGTCCCATCGGCCCTGCTCCGAGCCAACAAGCCTGAGAGAACGCTGCTGGATGTGGCTCATGGCGCACTTTTCAGGAGCAGCGGCCGCTTTTGCGACCGCGCCCTCGAACAGTACCATCCCAGCCTTTGGCGCTTCAAGTACCGGCCGTGCAGCGAATCATGTTTCTGGCCCTCCTGTGGGAGATCACCCTCTAAGCCACAGAGTGGGCCCGCCTTGTCCCAGTCCTGTCGCTCCGTCCATGGAACCGCTGTTCATGGAGCTTCGCTGCGGGTGCGCGTCTCTTGTGCACCGCAGCCTGAACAACAAAGGTGCAGGCTAGAGCTGCCCCGTCTGCGCACGCCCAACACACCTGCATGTCCTTTACAATCCTCCGAGACCTCTGCCAGACTTGCAGGTCAGAATTTAGATCAGGCAGCAGGCGCACGGCCAGCCAATCACGCCCTCCCAATCTTCGGCATGCCGAACCCCTTCCCGTGTTGCAAAAGCAACGCCTAGTCGGTGCGTTTCCCTTCGTTCGGCTCAGACATGATACCTATCTTGATGGCACGTGGGGCCCTCCTAGCGCCTTCCTTCAAGCCATCATCCCGCGGAGACTGTCAAGACATCTCCAATGACTCCAACAAGGAAACGCCCAAATCTGTCACTGGAAGATAACCGTTTTCAGGCCTGCTAGACACCGCCACGTGGATCCATCCAAGGCTCCATCACTTCCCTCCTTCATGGCTGCCGAGTTTGTGTACCGGTCATGGCCATGCTGATTGGCACGGTATGCAGCCTGCTCGAGTCTTGTGCTCATGTGCAACCGTTGGCAAGACGCTGATTCGCCCGCATGGCCTGAAGGGTACTCGTACCGCGCCATTCATTCTCTGTCACGTTCTTCCCTCTGGACGTAATCCCCAAACCGGCAGTATCCAGACTTCTACTACACCAATGCACTATGATTCGAGTCACTGTGACTCGACTCATCACTAAGCCTTGTAACCTGGACTAGGAACAAGTACGCAGCTGACATGTCATTGTTTTCGCCTGTCCAGTCAGAATCAATGCTTCTCCCTTCCATTGCTGCTTTAGCCAATAGCCAACTGCCGGACTCAAGCCACGGAGAGACAAGCAACATAAATGTTCACCACCACAGTCCTATTCTAGTTCACAATCACGGCGCTCAAAGATAATCTGCTCCACTTTTCATATGCCAGTTTGTCGAATCAATCGTCGTCGGAGCACCCTCGCAGCTTGTGACTGTCTTTAGATCTTTTCCACGCGCCTGAACACCTCGCGTCAGCATGCTACTAGTGCTCTTGAACTAGCAAATGCCCATGGATGCACCACCAGATACGGCCCAATGCACATCCGAGTGGTACTCGAGAGTATCCCTGCAACTAGAGAAAAGTGTCGCTTGTACCCGCTGCAGCTATCCGACGCAAGACATCCTCAATTGTAACGACACTACCATGGTGGAATGATCAATGTTACCTCCACACCTACGTCTGATCTTACTACGGTAGTTCAAATAAGACAAGCGCGAAAGGAGTGTCGGATTGCGAGCATCAAAGCATCGGTAAACCCTAGCTCGTCCCTGGCCTGCATCCACACCTCTCAAGGCTCGGTTTTGGGACTTCTTTATTACCCCAACTAATGATTATCTTGTGGCTTAGATTATCACATTGGCTGTAATGCCCTGACAAAGACACAATATGCAAGAACCAGGTCTAATTCTACGTTGGAACAAGACAGTAGTCTAGGCGGGCTCTAACGCCAAAGTGCCGACATATACAACGAGCAGTAACGGGTTACGCTACCCCTGATCGCGAAAGAGTCAACTCCTATGTATTCTTCGGTCTTTATACTTTCAAACAGCTTTATTAGCTGGCTCAAACCCTCGGCACTATCTCTGCCCAGTCCTGTCAATGCCCTTCCATCTTGGAGGACGTCGTTGGATCTGCACCTTCACCCCTCACGCGACCAAGCGCGGCTTAGACACTAGCGCACATCACCCCAGTCTAGGAAACGTCTAATCGAGGCTCGGAGCACTTGTTCATGGGAGCTAGATCCGACCCTTGACATTGGCCAATCTCAACATCCATCTCACGTCTTGACCCGATTCCCCACATTTCAGTCCCACATTTTTGGATCAACACGCCAACCATACAGAACAGCGAAGACACGGCTCGTCTGTGTTTCTAAAGTCACCACGAACCCGCCATGATTCCAAGAAACGACCTAACGGAGAGAGCGCTTACGACAGCGAGAGCGCCACGACCCAAGCGACACGAACTGACCCAGCCAAACCAGTCGTAGCCAAAGGACTCCAGATTGGGTATCGATGTTGCGAGTGACGGCGGTGCCTAGTCCGACTTTCAGTGCGTGAACTGTCAATGCGTACGCCAGGATTGATCGGGCCGTTACAAGACCAGCTGCAGGCGCAAAATTGCGGGGAAGCGCGAAGCCACCAAGTAAACTTCAACTACACATCGCGACTTGGGTATACTGCCCAACCTGATAGGACTGGGCGTATGTTTGAGCCGACTCCGCGCCCCGGCGCTTCGAGACAAAGCGGGCCTTCCGAGTAGAGATCAAGTGATTGTTCGTGTCTGCGGACAAGACGTGCTGGCGTGAGCTAAGACAATAGCTTTGGAATGCTGACTGGCTGGTGTGATGGTGGACTAGTGAAGAGCAAGGGGTTCAGGCGTCCAATGCGTGTACCGTAAAGCTTCACGGGGTTTTTTCGTTGCTAACAAAGCGAACACAGCGATGGGCGTGGTACAAAGCCATACACAGCCTCAGCCTCTAAAGCCGAGCACGCTTATCTACGGACGTTTCTACTGTCGTGCCAATTCCTTGCCTGTCTGTCTCTCCAAGGAAAGGCGCATGCCATTGTGCGCCTTTTCGCGAACAAGGTAAAACCTTTTCCCACAAACCGGCATGACTAGTTCCTTACTGTGGAAACATGCCCCCATCGACGGCAATAACTTTGTTCGTCACGTAGCCCGTCTTGATCATCCACAGCATCGTCTCTGCAATCTCGTCTGGCGTGCCGAGGCGGCCAATGGGTATCTCTGTGACCATCACGTCAGTGTCAATTTCTTAGAAGCTTTAATACGACAAGAAGAGTATAGAGAAGTGGAGAATAAGGATGAAGTACTGAGATGTACGGTTAGCAGACAATACATACTCTTCGACAATTCCTCATTACTCCCCGGCAGCATCTTGGTCTGCTCGATAAGCGCAGGCGCAATTCCATTCACCGTGATGCCTTTCTTTGCATACGCATTAGCAAGCCAGTGTACCATACCATGCAGCGCAGATTTCGCAGACCTATACACAAAATCAGCACCCTCTCCAAACGAATCCATACAAGTAAGCAAACCATAAAGAAAAAGAAAGCCTTACGCATAATGCGGTCCAATAATCCCCCCCGTAATCCCCGCGACACTGCTCACGAAGATGACTCTACCTGCCACCAGAAATCAGCACAACATCACAGTCTACCCATACAGATTCCCACGCTACATACCCCACCCTTTCTCCTCCATGGCCGGCACACACAGCTGCGTGAGCAAATATGCAGACCCGCAATTAATCCGCCACGTCCGCTCAAAGGCCTCGATAGACACTTCGCCCACGGATTGCACGCCGCTGTGCCCACCGGTAGAACCCGCGTTGTTGATGAGTATCGTCGGCGCGCCTTGTGTCGAGGTGATGTCTTGGTGCATATGCCGGACCTACTTGCTCGTATATCAGCTCAGCTCTACTCACTCTATCTTCCCTTAATATAGGCTTTGACTCTCGCGAGGAGACAAGGGGACGCACATCATCGTAACGCGCCATGTCCGCCTGGTAAGCTTTGAACTCGCTGCCAAATTGCCGTGCGTACTTGCTTTGTAGGCTGGTTTGCAGCGCGGAGGCAGTTTGTTCGTCGCTGTTGTAGTGCAGTGCAAGGGAGCTGCCTAGGCTGGCGAGCAGATGGGAAATGCATGAGCCGATGCCGCCTGTTGCGCCTGTTATCAGGGCGAGGTGGCCTTGTAGAGGGGGGTTTGAGGAATCTTGTTGTTGTTCGGCCATGGTGACTTGACTGAGTGGTTGATGTACTTGTTGGATAAAAACTTGACTCGGGCGTTGACAGGTTCGCAGAGGATAGAAACTCATGTACTAGAGTCTTTTCGTGGTATGATGTAATGTTTGGGTTTGGTGTAGCAGGGAAAGTCTAGGCGGAACGTCATGACACTCCTTTCAGAAGACTGCAGACGCCAACTTGCTAAGATTTTCTCGACACATAATGACAATTGAGAATGTGTGGATAGTTGTATTCAATGACATTTGCTAGGCTTGACTAGATGTAAAGTAAAGAGCCTGTACACTCTATGCATATGTACGAGGGGTAATCAACGCCCAACGACCCATGGAATGGCCATTGTCTCGATCTCAACACAGCTCCCATGCTGACGCTCCTCACTCCCTTCATCTCCCCAATTAAAAGCAGAAGACCTGGTCCTCAAGCTTGCTGACCGGCTTCGCCTTGGCAAATCCTAAGCTCTCTGTAGCCTTCTTCATCGCAGCAACCATCGGTGGCGGTCCGCACACTAGAATCTTAACATCGCTCGCTGGTGCCGGGAGCTTCTCCTTGATATAGTCGGCCGTGACGAAACCAGTGCCACCAGTCCACTGCGCCGGCGGGTTATTGAGTACATAGTGCACCCTGAACTTGGAGTCCTTGGCCGCCAGCGCATCGAGCTCGTCCTTGAGCAGAATGTCCTCAGGATTCACGTTGGCGAAAATCAGGTCCACCTCGGTCTTGTCGCCAGCGGCGCGGCCGCGAATTACTGCCTTGGCGACCTGCAGCATGGGCGTGATGCCCGTGCCACCTGCAATCATACCAAAGTGCCTGACCATGTTCGGTGTGTATACCATGGCGCCCTTGGGTCCCCGGACCTTCATCTTCTGGCCGATTTGTAGGCTCGCGACATGCTTGGAGATGTTGCCTGTCGGGTAGGACTTGATGAGCAGGTCGAAGTGGCCCTTGTCTAGATCGGACGAAACCGGTGTATACGAGCGGACGAATTCTTTGGGTTGGCCGGCGATCGTAGCGGCGAGGGAGATGTGCTGGCCGATGGGGAGGCCAAGGGTGTCGGTTTGGCGGGGGAGCTTGAAGCGGTAGCTGGACGGGTTAGCTGTGCCGACGTTTCAGAGGCAGGGAACGTACATGGCGGTGTTGTGCGAGAGTACAGTCTTCTCCTCGAGCTCAAACTCTTGGAATTCGGTAGGCTTCAGTACTTTGCGGGATCCTCCTACAAGATGTTAGCTCGCATTTCCTCCTAGAAGCAAAAGACAGTCTCTTACCGCTGCTGTAGAACTTCCATCCTCCCACAATTGCTATGAAGAGCACGGCGAATGGCAGCCATGCCCTATTGATTATCGTGACTCCGGTCAGTAACAGTACCGAGGGTATGTAAATGCCATGTACGTACTGCGGCGCGAATGCGGAGCCCATGATTGAACAGCTCTCAGTGGTGATGGATGACTGGGAAGGTCTGTAATCCAGAGATGAATGTCAAGGGAGTCCCAGACACGTTTTAGAGCACGTCAATGAAGGGTGTGGGGTAGCTCGCTACGAGTCGTATATCGTGTGAAGACACCTTCGAACGGCCGAACAAGTTGCGATTTCGGTGCGATTGGTTTATCAGCCGAAGCTTGGCAGGGTCTGGCCAGATGAAGCCGAAGAACGGAGACGGCGTGGATTCTACGACGGAGCGATCCCAACAGCTAAGATGTGATTCAACTTACATGTGAGTTTCAAAAATGCAAGTAGAAACAACCCATAGGGTCATCTATAAACTCAATTCTTCATTCTTGAATTATCCGGCCGGTACGGACCGACTGCACAGTTGGGAAACTATATCCTAGTTAAGACTAGGCGGCGACTTTCCGCACTGCTGCACGTTCCATGCCGACCCAACTGCCTGAAAATTCACTCTTCAGCTCAACGGACGACTCCGGACACATTGACATCTCAACCATCCGAAATACCCTGACGAGTATCACACCATGTTGCTGTACCTTCGTAGTGCGCAAACCTTACGAACTTACTTCTTCTCGCCCAAGGCAGCCCAATTGGCCTCGAAAGTGCCGAATCGGTTCCCCTCTGGATCCTTGAAGTTTGCGAACCAACCATGATCCCTCTCCGGCCTCTTGTCTAGGACCTTGACGCCGCCGAGTCTCACAATATCGGTCTCGATCTGCGCAACCGTCGAGTCAGCCAGACATGTACCAACAAACGCGTCTTCCAGATGCTAATCCACCCCCGCAACTAAATATTGTCAAGACTCGCTCCTCCATGTCTCGGCAACATTGTACTTGCGGTAGATCATCGTCCATCCCCACACTTTGCACGCCCAAGCCCCGTTATTGCTCAACGCGTTGTGTGGGGCGGTACATTCATGTTTGCTATTTGTGGAGAAGAACGGGAACGTACCTTATCGATGGAATCGACGAAGTAGTACACCGTGGATCCGATACCCATGGGCTGCTCACCTGGCTTGGCACAGCCATCGGGAAGCTTGACGATGCCGCTAGAGAGACCTGTAATGTTAGACTCTAACTCCGTTCTCGTTCCTGGATGGATCCAGACATGGGAAGAGTTCGACACACCAGAAGGCTGTTGAAATGTGAATTGCACAATTCCCTCCATTCCAGCCTCCTCAGCGGCATGGAATTTCCAGGCGGGGAACAATGCAGCATAGAAATCCTGTCCGAGTGAGTTAGTGACCATGTGTGGAGTCAAAATGTATCTGTACCTTCAGCTTCTGCGGCTCCGCAGACATGATTTCAATCCAGCAAGGCCCGCCAGTGGGCGGCACGGGAGGAGCGTCCTGCTTGAGGTCGGTCGGCATGATGGATGCTGTGCTGAGCCTCGAATGATGAGTCTGCGGGAGCTATACTGGGTAAGAAGTGGGTATATAAACTTAGTGAGATATCTGTGAAGCTCGATCTTCTGCTATCTAAGGCAAGTCAACGACGTAGGGAAGGAAGTTGCATCGTAGTGCAAACCCCTCACTTCCCCACCAGCTAGGACAGAAGGTTGGTTTGAGGTCCCGTATTTCTCGCATTGTTCTCCATGTTCAGTCACATTATCGCGTGGCGTTTGACAAGCGACGCGGCAACGCGCCTCAGCTCCACGAACCCCGCGCGTAGTCGGGTGACTGCGTGTGCTCGCGTCAAGACGAGACACGCGATTCGAGGAGGTGTGCATGTTACGACCGGAAGGGTTTCCAAAGAGCACAGCTATTGGACATTAACGCACGTGTGGCGGTCGAGGTCGAGGTCAGCTCGCCCAGTGCGAACTCAATAAGAGTGACTCTGCGATGACGACAACTTCAGGAAGCTCGTGAAGCCGGTTGAGAGGTATGAGTAGCGCTCGCTTGAAGTTTAGGTCAGAAGCTCTTCCTTGAGAAAAGTCAAAAATGAGCAAAGAAGTACGTGGCCCTTGAATCTAGAAGTCTTACAACCAGAGTCTCAAAACAGCAATTCTAATAATAGACAACGATGCGAGAGTGTCCACAAGAAAAGCGTAGAAGTGTCTCTGTATTAGTATGCATTGCATGAACATGAGCTATTGAGGCCCGAAGGGGGAAGAGATAGTTGCCAGCAAAAAAATATCCATTGTTTCGAGATAGCAGTTGCCACCTTGGTCAGCACAGCAATGGTACCCAAAGATTCTGTTAGCGACAGAAAGATTGGTGTACCTCGTGATTGTTAGAGAATACGGATGCTGAATCATCATCCGACAATATCGGGTATATTGCTGATGCATAAGCTAAGCACCATTACGATCACACTCAGCCGGTCCCTTGACCACAAACACTAACTACCAACGCAATGAGTAGCAAAAGGTCAGCAAGTACTACTAGATGACAAACCTATTGTTCAAACTACTTACCACTAAGGTTAGGCGATCGGGCGATATGCGCCGGTACGAAGCTGCGCCCTCTGCAATGGATCAGCACCTTAAAATAATCGTGTTACTAGGACTATGGTAGGAAGGTAACAAAGATCTTCACGAAGAAGAGCTTCATGTGGTTATATCTAATGTCATGCAACACTAGCGGTGTATCCCAGCCTTGCCCATGTCACGGGTATGGGGCGTTTCGTGAACCTGATAGACGTCGAAATAATTCCTGCGAGCTATGTGAGAGGCGATTCAAGAGAATTATAAAGGCTGCAGTGACCTGGAAAACCAAAGAGTATCTCATGCTCATACCCTAACCACAAGCACCTCAGAATCCACTTACCTATTCAACGCTCTTCCCCACAAGATGAAGCTCTCCGCAACTATCGCAGCACTCTCCGCTACGGTCGCCCTCGCTGCCCCAGTGGCAGACAACGCCGATAAGCGCGCCACAACCGGGGTATACCTCTGTAATGATCGCGGGTTCACTGGCTACTGCGTTCACATCCCCTCGGCTCCGAGCCAGTGCGTTCCACTCGCCGCCGATCTCAACGACTTGGTCAGCGCGGCAGGCCCTGACAAAGGTAGCTTCTGCTACTTTTTCGTGTAAGTGAACCATATCGTGCAACGGGCCGGTGTTCTGAATGTCATGTGTGGCTCATGTTCAACATAGGAACCCCAATTGCGACACGAGTGCCGATTTCTTCCACGTCGGACATCCTGGTGTCGCTGATTTGTCCAAGACGCCCGTCAATGGGCCTACCGGTTCTACCAGAAACTTCGAGGATAAGCTGAGCAGCTACTTCTGCGTCAACGAGTAGTTGTTTGAAAGATAGGGAGATAAGTGACGATGATAGGGTAGTTGATTAGTTGAATAATGTAATCCGTATGCATTCAGCAACCTAAAGGCCAATTTTGGCTTGAACAAAGACTTGTGAGTTTTTTCGCATGTGTGGTACAGCTATGCAGACATGAAGAGTTGATACAACCTTGTTGAGGATCACAAAGGCGTGAGCAGTCATTCGATGCGTCAGGTAGATATCACCCTGTGAAAGTGTTAGGGTAATTAGCAGTTATTGAGAGCGAAAAATAAATATTTAATGCTTTTGTTAACCGTTAGCCCAAAATGTATTGCAGCAAATCTTGGAAGGATATAGTTGACTTACGGATATCTCCGCATTTAAAGTATACCTCTAATTCAGCAATAGCTTAGCAGGGCTTTGCTAAGTATAGGCACTTCTTCGACTTTCTTTCCCCATCCCATAGTAGATGACCGTGAGATCAAAGTCACGCGGCTTGTAGAAACCGGAAACTGAGTGTGTAAGCGAGTGTACCCCTCCGCTTTGCAGTTCCCGTCATAAGTTCTCTCTCACAACTATAGATATATAGCAATTATTTACAGGCTTCATACATTCTACGTAAAGTCCTGTTTGACTACATTTCCTGCATCATTGCACCAAAACTGCGAAGAAGCAATTCTAGTCGAAGTGAAGTCAAATGCAACAACCCCACCCCACCAGGCTCCAACTGCCTTCCTTGTCCAATGAGCAAAAGCCACGTACTGAAGCTTGACCGGTATACTCTGACCGTCCACAAAACGGACTGACTGTCGTGAGCAATGGGACGAATGTCAGTATCGCGAATGCCAGCCTGACTTCGAGGCATCATTATGTCTCCACTTGCAATGCCAAACTCCTCAGTCGCTTCATCGTGCGCACCACCGCCCTATCTCGTCGCATGGAACTCACTTGTTCGTCGGAGCATAGCCGCTTGGGACGATATCGCTACATACGACCAAGTCGTCCCCAAAGACTTTCCCGGGTCCATATTACAGGAATACCATTCCTTAGACCACTTCCTTGCTCAAGCTGGGAAACCTTTAATGTTCTGGTTTTTCCAACGACGCAGCGCTTTCATGGCGCAAAGACACATGAAAAAATGGTCCCGCGATGAACTAGACGACTATATTCTCCTACCTGCTGCGCGGGGCTTTGTTTTGCGAGTCGATTGCTTCTTCGTCAGCCATTTCTGGCGCACGCAGGAGCACCCTGACCCAGACGGACAGTATCTGCGTCTTCATCAAGCTGAACTTGAATCGCAAACATGGTCGTATATTTGGATAGACTGGACGTGCATGCCGCAAAGCCCGCGATCATTGTCAGAAGAAGCGTATTTCCATCGCTGCTTGCAGACAATGTCGGGCATCATCCGAAACTGTGGCTTCACGTATTTCTATCCTCCTTTCGAACCGCGCTTGTGGATATTGTATGAGATAACAGAGTATGTACTTACGTGCTCCACACCCCCAGGAAGGACAGCCGACATCGAACCTTTTCTCATGCATATCGATGAGATGCTTGAAACAAGCGTGCAAGCTACTTTATCGAAGCATAGCTATCGTTGTTCTTACGATCGCGACAGGCAATACCTGATATCTTGGCTAGAACTACTTGTCCTTCTCAGACGACTACACTTCAGTATTGACAGTATTCGCCACATAATGGATAACATGACCTGGTTGTCCTGTGAAATTCAAATCTATCCAGGAGTGGTACTAAGCAGATTTGAAGGCACTTTGGAAGTCAATGGGGAAATGCATACGTTCACTCCATTTCCGCGATGGGTCAGTGCAAAGAACTCATATACCGGTGCCTGCTAACATAATCATTAGGATAGCGGGAAGTACTCACAAGCATGATTCGCTTGAGTACAGTCGCTGCACGATCGAGTGTTCGCATATGCGATCGCAATAGTTACCAAGTACCTGGCTTCGGCATTCAGTTCTACATCTAACGCCATACCAGACGCTTCCGAGTCGCTCAGTTTGTGCGTTGGGGCGCCTTCGTTGGGGTACAAAATCGTCAAGCTCAATGCAAATCAGTCATTTCTACGGCATGCTGTAAACCCCGTTAGGATTTATGTATAGTTCATAGTAGATACAATTCATGAATTTATTACTCTAAGAAAGAAATACAAATACTAACTCACTTGAAAAGATTAGAACAGTAGATCCTGATCTATGGAGCGAAAGTAGATTTGAGCATAGTTAACGATTGTTCATAAATCGTGAAGCCTAAATCTGGAGATGTTTGTGATTACCTGAAGATTTCTAGAATGGGTAGATCTAATAGTCGTCAAACATGGATTCTGATTGAAATTTCTCATTTCTAATACCATGAGGGAGCGAAGACAATCAGGCAGCTCTTGAACCCCCCTGAGTCAATAGGTGTTTTGTCAACCAATTTCAATTTCATAGTCCAAAAATCCATTTCCAATGAAAGCTGTGCTTCAGTCTCTTAAGATCTACTTAAAAGTCTGTAATGTTAATTCTGTAGGATGAAATGCATGTTTGCCAAGACTAGGGTCTTGGGGAAAGTGCGGCTGAGCCCTTCTTTAGCCTTTGCCTTCCCCTCACTTCGACTCGCCCATTTGTACACTCTACTGCGACACATTGACATTCACTACTCTGGTTTTGACACTCTACGTTGAGAAGCAATTGGTAGAGTCTTTGCCGCGAACACTTGAGACCCACGAGGACCTGCCTAGATAGCTAGCGGACGGTAGTTCAGGCCTAGGATACTACGCACTGCAAAGATTCCTAGGACACTATAACTATGAGCAACTCAAACTACCATTACAAGCATCAGAAAGTCGATTCAGGCGTCGCTGGTTCTTTTGCTAAACTTACCTTATCTGGCGACTTGGGCGAGATCGCTCGTTATCAGCCAACACTAGGGAAGGATTCGAGATTGACGGCTCTTCCTAATGAGCTCTTATTGAAGATTGCTGGATACCTACGCGTCGACTTTCCTTGGATGGAAAAAGAAGAGCGCTTCGACGGCCGAGAAAGGACCATCTTCGTGACCGATGCCGCCGACCTAGTCACTCTGTCGAGGACCTGTAAGAAGTTGCGTCCCGTCGCGCAAGAGGCACTCCTCCACACCATAGTCCTTGGTGGCTTCGATAGCGCAGGCTCGATAGAGAGTCTCGTCCGACTCCTACTGCGTCGACCAGAGTTAGGAAAAGCGATACGGCGGCTACGCATGGGGCTTCCGCCACATGAAAAACTGTATTTCAAAAGCGAAAAAGCTGCAGAGGATCAGATCTGGTCTAGCAAGCCACTGGGACCCCCTCCGCCGCACCTTCTAGCAAAGGCTAAACACGTCATCGACGAAACTCCGTTCACTATCGCAGTGAAAAATCACTGGAGAGTAGAGCTCAAAGTTAGCTTTGCACGGCCTTTGTGTGGCGTGCTGCTTGCCATGGCTCCTAATCTAGAGCACCTTTCCGTTTCGCACTCTCTTGGGGGAGAGTCTCCAGATAGGGCCCTTAGGCAAATGTTCGGGATCCGCGAGGATGAGGTTGAAGCAGACTTTTCGGCTCTACCGGCGCTCACTGGGTTACGCTATGTCAACGATGCAACACCAGCCAATCGACGGCCACTCTCATCCCTGATAATGGAACCTCATGTCTAAACGAAACGGACAAAACACTGAGGAATGTTGACCCAAGAGTGAACTCCTTGCTTGGTGGCAAGATGTTAGTCTTGTGTGTTGGGGAACATGTTCATCAATCTTTATGGTTGTTATAATGAAGTCTTCAAACCAGATATCGATCGGCAGAGGCGTGACTAGCATTCCAGTACCCCGGCTGTCTGGGTACTGTTGGTGAGGGGCGAGACACCGAGTAAGATGTAGATATCGTGGTCGTGCGCGAGGGTTCTGGCGAGCTCATACTCGTGGGGTGTTGAGGCTGTATGGGAGGCATAGCGCGATTGATCGGATGCGGTGGAGAGCGGCGACAGAAAAGTGACTTTTAGTCATGATGGAGTGTCTTTACGATTGGCTGAAGCGAAGTACGAGAAAGGTTACAAGAATTGAGTTGTACAAATGACACCAAGATGCCGTTTACCGAGGGTCAAACCTCTAATTAGGATTATACTATTTCTCATATTCGTATGATCTAGGACACTGGGGAGAACAAAATGTTGTGCAAACCGTAGGTTCTGTAGTAGACCGGTGAATGTTAAAATCACAGGGTGGGAGTCATCGAGTCATCGAGTCATCGAGTAAGCTGAACTTAGCTCTCGTTCCGATATTCGTATTATCTATTGAAGACTCAGGAAAGACACTATCTATGATAGAGGCTATATTGTAGACGATATGGTTGCCAAGGCTAGAGATAAGTAAGGATATTATGGGTCGCCTGAATGCGGTAATCATTGTAGGGTGGCCTGGCGCAATAAAGGGGCACCTTCCTTCTTCGTGTTGGATTTGGCCCATTGAGACCAGAAGCTCGTGCAGTTCGATAGCCGCTTTTGTGGAGAAGAAGAAGTTCGTCTATGTAACAATCCTCTTGACCAAGCTGGCCATGACCAACTTGGCTTGCACATTTATTTTAGCAGTACTACTTGAAGATGCACGGCGTTGCTTTCATGCTTTGATGGCGCATGTGACAGGCGATCTGCGCGAGGATGCAGGGCAACGTACACCGCAAGGAGGGGGGGCGCACTGCATGTCTCAATAACGCGGGTCCGACGTCGATCTGTTGAATCGTGTTTCACCACTGCAGTCCGGTGTCGACATGGGCAAATCGACGTCGCACAGAAGGCGAATCGATGACTTGAAGATAATGGGAGATGTGGAAAAAGAAAATATGCAAAAAGAGAAGAAATGGACGCGCAAGGCAATTGCTACCATGGCCGAGATGGTGCCGTTTGCAAAAGGCGAGTGATTCGTGTTGCGGCCGTTTACGGTCGGGAGGACGGATGGCTGTGTCGCACAAGGCCAGGAATAGACAGCGAGGGACCAGACAGGCGGAACTGTGCCAACATGGACTGAGTGGTCGTGCATGGCAATCAGAGAGCAAGAGATGGAGAGAGGAACAGGTCGGCTTGATCCAAGTGTCGCAGCATGATACTTATCTAAGAGATTATACTACAACAGATTAATACTGGGCCTCACGATGCTTTTACCATTGAGGCAGGATTGCCAAGCCCTCGCGTGGCTGCCGTTTTCAGAAGGCGGGCGTAAGCGTGCACCGCCGCTGCCGCATTGGGTTGCGCAAGGCAGGAGCACCCAACCTGAGTGAATAAACAAATACTGAGCGCGAGGAAAGAGGAGATGCCAGTGGGTGAAAGGGCATCAAACAGGCTGGAGGCATGGCGCGAAACATGGATGGGCAACCTAGTCGTTATCTATCTTGGTTAAATGTGCGCGCTGCCTTGTTGAGAGGCTGGAGTCGGCCGGTTGGCGGGACGTCATTTGGTTGCTAGGGGGCGCTAGCGGCAACCCGGAGTGTGGGCCCCCCAGCAATCAGCCTCTGTCACACCAGCCGTCCTACCGGGCTATTCACTTGCACAACCTGCAAAACACCCTTCACCACCACCACCACCTCTCGGCCTCTGCATACGTTGCGAGCTGGTGTTGTCTTGTATAGTCCCTCGCTTCGTTGGGCACTGCCTTGGTACGAGCAACAAAGAAAACCACCCGCTCGCTATCCGCAAACACTATACCCGTCGAGCGAAAATCCGCCTCGAGAGACAACGAATCCACAGCGCGGCGCCCTGCCGTTGAACTCGACCTCCAGCGTCGCCCGCAATTAGTTCCCTGCCTGTCCTGGGCATTTCTCGCACATTTCATCGCAATGGCGTACCAACCACCACCACAAAACCACTGGGACCAAGCCAATTTCGCATCTTCGCCCATAGATGGATCCAACCGCGACGTCCCGCCGCCTCCGCCCGCACATCGCCATCCTGTAGGCCTGCACTCGGACAGCCAGAATCAGCAACAATACCCAGACCCGAACAACTACTCAGACTTGTCTACGCCTGGCGCGACACCCGGGTCAGACAACCTGAGCCAGCACTCGGGTGGTGGCATCAGTGGACGGCCCATGGGCGTGCCAGAACAGACTCCAAACGCGACGCCATTCCATGATCAGTATGCCTACGATACGCCTACTCGGTCAATGTACTCGCAACGCTCCTATGGCTCTAATACTCCATCTGCATCGGGTGCTGCACCTCCAATCCCTTATTTAGACACTCCCTACAACCGCTACTCCTCCTCCGCACAGAACCTCGCGCCGCAGATGGGTCACATCAACCCCAACGAAGTTGCCGACGATGACGACTGGGGCATGGATCCCAATGCTCCTCAGAACAAACGACGCTCTTTCGTACCCTTCAGACATGGAACTTCACGAGATGGCAGCCGCAAAAGCTCACCCGGGTCATCAATCAACGGTGGAGTAGTGGGAGCAGGTGCCGCCGGTGCCGCTGCCGGAACTGCGTACGCAGCAACTCGAGATGGAAACGGCAACTACAACCCCGTGGCTACTGCCAACGGCAGCGGAGAGCTTCTTCCTGAAAAGTCCCGCTGGCCTAAAGAGGATGACGATTTAGGCAAAAGAAAAAAGCACATGTGGATTGTCGTCGCTATCCTCGGCGTTGTCCTAATTGGTGCCATCCTTGGAGGCGTCCTCGGGACGATGTTGGGCAAGACCGGTGGCAACGAAAAGAAGACAAGCGGCACCTCTGCCGACGATGTCACTTCAGACAACAAGAACGACCTCGGCAAGGACTCCCCAGAGATCAAGGCACTCTTGAACAATGGTGACCTGCACAAAGTGTTCCCTGGCATGGACTACACCCCGCTGAACGCGCAGTACCCGGACTGCATGCACGTTGGGCCATCACAGAACAACATCACGCGAGACATGGCTGTCATGTCACAGCTTACCAACGCCGTCAGGTTGTACGGCACCGACTGTAACCAAACGCAGATGCTGATTCACGCCATTGACCGTTTAGAGATCAAAGACACAATGAAGATTTGGCTTGGCGTGTGGCTGGACAAGAATGACACGACGACCGAACGCCAGATTGCTCAAACATGGAAGGTCCTCGATGACTATGGCTGCGATTACTTCAAGGGCATCATCATAGGCAACGAAGTGCTCTACCGCAAAGACATGAATGCCACAGAATTGCTGGGGCACATCACCGACTTCCGCAAAAACATCACCGATCACAAGTGCAAACTTCCTGTCGCCATGGCAGATCTCGGCGACAACTGGACTGCAGAAATGGCTACCAAGGTCGACTATGTCATGTCCAACGTCCATCCCTTCTTTGCTGGCGTCGACGTCAAAACTGCGGCCAGCTGGACCTGGAACTTCTGGCAGGACCACGATGTTCTTCTTACCAAGGACAACTCTAAAATCAAGCAAGTTATTGCCGAGGTAGGATGGCCGACTGGAGGTGGTAAGAACTGCGGTCAATCACCGTCATGTACCAGTAGCACTCCAGGTTCAGTTGCTGGACTGGACGAGCTGAACCAGTTCATGGAAGACTGGATATGCCCGAGCTTGAAGAACCAGACGAATTACTTCTGGTAGGTTGAGCACTCTCTTAATGGCCTGATATTGTGGTACTAACTCGGCTGTAGGTTCTCAGCGTTTGACGAGCCGTGGAAAGTCCGGTACAACGAGAAGGACAAGGGCAAAGAATGGGAAGACAAGTGGGGCCTCATGGACATCGACCGCAAGCTGAAGCCTGGCTTGAAGATCCCAGATTGCGGCGGCCAAGCCCTACCTTCTTTCGACTGATTCAGCGAACAACACACATGGAGCACGAATTCTGCATGACAGCATGGCGTTAGCGGCATACCAATTTTTTTGACATGTTGGCGGTGATTTCTGGACCGCATATCGATCTCTTCGAATTTGTATATGGGAGCACTTGTACATGGGCAGGCCGGTTTTTTGTTTCTCAGGCGCTCGCGGCATTTTGGCCCATCAATCGGAAGTGGCCCACTTGTGATATATTTAGGTTGGTATATAGTTTATTTGGGCTTTGTATATGATATGGGAAAGGTTCGGCTGGCATGTTTTGCATCGTCCACCCTTTTGGAAGGCGGCATGTTACTCTTTCTGAGCCTATTTAGCATTGAAGATAGATTGTGCAGCATTATGATATGAGAATGCAGAGTATTTACTTCTTTCAGCCCCGGGTCGCCTTTATCGTCCTGGATATTAACTGACGCTCATCGATTCGATATGTGAATGAGAATCGTTTTTTTCTTCTCGCCATCCGGAATTCGCCAGGTCTCGCGATGCAGGCTCGCCTCATCTCACCATTGTCGGTAAGCTGCCCTATAGAACGCAAAGCAAGAAACGCTCATTAACGACAATCAGTCTTGTAGGTAAGTAAGACGGTTTCGCCGGCCCACTATCCCGTCTGGTAGCTGCTGGGCGGCTTTCCGATGATCGACTTTGGAAATTCACTAGATTCGGCAGGCTGATTGATATGGACTTCCTAAAGTGCCTTGTCCTCAATTGTCTAGTCAGTTCTATGGTTGCGCTTTCTTCTATGAGATTGCTAGCTCTTCCCTCGCCCTCTTACTCACCCGGGGCGACGCTTGATATCATAAATGGCTACACACCCTTTTCGCACTCTTCTATCCCATCGGTTATGGATGCGCGGACATGGTATCGTATTGTCATGCCCGCATCATCCTTGGGTCACGATGAAGCAAGGAACAGGCGACCATTGGTAATTCGTCACCTTCACCTCCGCCCGATAATTCATCTTGTCGCCCAACCAACTAGCCGCATGGTGATTTACTACGACAAATTCGGGGGCGGAAACAGTTCGCGGTATCCAGAAAGCAAAGGCAACGATTGTTTCTGGAGGCCATAATTATTCATGACGGAATACCCCCAGACACCTCGGCTTGAATCAGAATAGAAAAGGGGGTTGGTCTGGTATGTATGGCTACTCATGGGGCACTATATTTGGTGGAAAGTACGCTATCGAATGCCAGCCGGAATATCTCAACAAGCTTGTCCCAGTCATGTGGGCCGGCAGTTATGAAAATGGTCGATCGCCGCCCGATATCCCCTGAGTTGCTCTCGACCTAGGTGTCGGAAGTCGCGGTCACGGTGCCAGTGGCCAATGCAGCGCGGTATTACACAGTTGTGACGCATCAGGAGGTTATGGCAGTGTATCACAAAGGTGGAATAGTCAGAAGAAGAAGAAAAGCACGAAGAGAGGGAGGCAGCAAAGAAGAGCGAGCATTATTCATGAGAGATTAGGAATTAGGTAGTATAGTATATCTACATTGCGACACTGCGCAAATCGTTGCTAAAAGCTCATTTACATCCTACAGGCAACGTGTACGAACAGTTGCTAACAATCTAGGCAGAGATCTCAACGACAGCGGGGCCAGCAACGATGGTGTCGTCAGTAGCAGCAGTGTTGCAGCTCGTAAGCACAATGTAGCTCTGTCCCGCAACACCCTTGGGCACCTCAACCTCGTAACCGCCATCGACAACAGTGGCATTCACGAACATGGGGCCGGTAACGGTGATGAAGGCAGCGTACACGGTGCCATCAACCTTGTAGCCCTTGGTGGCCAGCATGACCTTGCTACCAGTCTTGATCATCTTGTCGGTCGAGCTACCGGTGAGGGTAGGGAACGCCTTGACGGGCAGAGGAGCATTGGACTCTGGGCACGACTTGATGAACTGCGCAGCAAGCGTGTAAACCGAGTTGTACGACAGGGGGTTGTCGAATGGCGCGGGGAAGGGCGCTTGGGCGATGGTCTTGCGCACGTATGCGGAGTGACGCGCCTCGACGGTCAAGATGCTTCCCGCTGCGGTGAGATACGTCTTCGACATGATGTCTGCGGCGGCACCGAGATAGGCTGAGACACCGACGCCCTCGAGCACGGATGCGGTGGCCAGGAAGCTAGCTACGTCCTTGTAGCCGAAATCGTATGTGCATGCCGCAACGGGTTTGGCGCCAGCAGCGGTCAAGGCGGTGGTGAGGAAGGACACATGCGTCTTCTCGTCTTCGGCGATGGTCTGGATCTTTGCGTATGTGTCGGCGTCGAAGCCGGCGGACTTGAAGTCGTCGGCGGAGAACTTCGCCAGAGCATCGCGGTAGAAGGTGTCCTCGAGATGCTCTAGGGTAAGGGCATAGTTGAGGATATCACCTGGCGATGTGTTAGTTTTCAATGTGCTGATAGAGGGTAGCATGGCAGGGCAGACGTACCATCAGAAGGGCCAGTGCTTTGGCGCTTGGTGGGAGCAGCAGAGCTGAGAGCCGCGAGGGCAGCGACGGAGAAGATGGTAGACTTCATTGTTGCGGGAGTGATAAGAGCAAGAATGAACTTGACAGAGGATGATTTGAGCAAATGGAAGACTTGTAGAGAAAGACTGGATATGTTTGTCTGCTGAATGCAGAATCCTAGTGCTGGCGCTTTCCCTTCTTATACAGCCTTTGATTTATCAAACCAGTACCCCCTCTTTACCACGCAGCCCATCATCTCACTAACCTTCTCCACGCAAACTCCTCCTTCCCGCAATTAGAACGCGATCATCACCCCCAAATGGCTCCAAGAACGGAGACCATCCCATCCGGCGCTGCTCAGGAAACCTCCGCCTAGTTCAACATAGTATGAATGACGGGAAGGCAAGTTGCCTGCCTGCTAAGGCTGCTCTTAGACGGGATAAAGCGTCCAACCTGTACGCAAATGGCCAAGACCCATCCCAATCGAGAAACGATGTAATTGTCACCACCGCCTTGTTAGGAAGTAGTGTGTGCTGCTCATCAGCCTTAGGACCTTAGCTCCGCCTTGTACCACGGAATCGTCACCATCCGAAGAATGCGCTAGCGGTTAAGCTTATAATGACGTCGGGGGGCTAGGTTACTTTGAGCAATAGTACTGTCTTTGGATCAGGGGAATAGTCCTATTCTCTTTGTCAGCCTTACCGTTATGGTGATGGAAGCTTTTGAGGCGCTGGGCGGCGTTTTTGAGGTCTTCGCGCTGGTGCGCATCTTGCTCTTTTGGGCAATACTAACGTTGCTGGCTGGTCGTCCATCCGGATGGCGAAGTTCGCGACTTGTGACCTAAGATCTGTGTAATATTTAGATTGGGACGGGTGATTGGCCCGATGTTTCGTTTTACCCGCATGCTGGTAATCTGATGGTTGCGGCTCCTTTGTTCGGCGCGGGGCTCAACACCTGGGACCCTCAGTATTGTTTGAATCTTCTACTTGTCAATCAGGTTGCATCACCATATACAATTATGCTGTTCACGTACAAAACCTAGTATCGAAGCAAGGCTGCATTGTTTGGTTAGGTACCCTATGGGAGGCTGAAAGGAAGTGTGAACAAGTCCAGGCCATTACCTACCATGCAGGGCGCCCATCGTCATCTGGAATATGCGACTGTGCGTGCTACTAATCACTAGTTTTTACGACAGATTCCAGGCTGAAGTGTGTGTACAATACACTAGACAGTGGCAGTTGCCGTCTCCACCTCCACACAGCGGGCTCACAGTCCGGAATCTGTCCAACCCGTTTTTATGTGCCGCCTTGGACCCTTGAAATCTGATAGAGTAAGACCGTCATGACGCCGTTCCCGGAGGTCTCCTACTCCTTTTGAAAACGGCCTTCTTAGACATGACTTGTGGATTCGGGAAGCCTTGCTGCCGAATGGAGGCAGCGCAGCGAAAGTGCAGCTAATCTTGCCACAGTCTATGGCACATTCAGGATTCCCTCCACCGGAAGAATGCCGCCCGCCATGAAAGGACGGTAATCACTAGTCGACGTTTTGGGCGTCGTGGCTGCATACATAGATGTCACATTAGTCGCTGTGTTTGTCCTGCAAAACCGAGTTTCGCTCACAGGCACGCTTTCCACTCGTTAACGCAATTTGTACCTTTGTCTAGTACCATACTGTTTCTTCTGAATACCCATCAATCGTCCTACATCCTTCCATCATGAGATTGTCGACCTTCTCCCTCAGTGCGGTGCTCCTCGCCATTGGCACTGCGTCAGCGTATGTCCTGTCACTCCGCTACCTCTTCATACACTGACTGTATACCAGCCAAAATGCCACGGTCACTGCAAACTCCACGGCCACCCCAACTACAACTATAACCGTGGCCCCTGGCTGCCCCTCTGCCACACCGGCAGATGTAATGGTCAACCGTTCTGCCGTCGCAGTCCCCTCATGCGACGCCGGTAACGCAACGAAGCCAGTCATTGTCAGCAGCGCAGGGTCTGGCTCGAATACGACGACTCCTACTGGAGCTGGAGCTGGAGGTGCAAGCGCGACCGGTACAGGCAGCCCATCGCAGTTCACTGGCGCAGCTGGCAAAGTCGCCAGCCAAGGAGCGATTGTGGTCATCGGAGGCGTCATCGCTGGGCTCATGTTGTAAGATACACCTGGAAGCATGTTTACAGGGATCAAGTGAGATGGAGAGGGGGTGGGGGGAAGATTTATATTAAACTGTACTAATGTAATTATTGGAAATTATATATACCTAACTGCCAAAGAAAACAGATTTTCCAACGTATTCTATTGCATGACCACTCTCACGACGAACTTACGTGTCATGTCTGATCGAATTAAAAGAGCAGTATTCTGCTTATCTTGTTTGTCTAGCACGTGCCTAGTGCTTAGGTGGTAAAAAGCCTCGAGACTCAGACCTGACCATTGTTGAAAACTAAAATAGTTGAATCGACGCAGGATGGTGAGAAATAGTAGAAAGTTGACTTAATAACGGTTCAGTGTCCTAGTAGATATGCAAGTATGTTATAAACATAGATGAGGACTCAACACTCAACAAGTAGCAGCTAACACTTCAGCATGTAATGAAAACGATAAGAACACTGATTCATGTAATTCATGGATAAGAATGCATCCACTTCTTCCACCAGCCCATCTGAGGTAACCTAGAATTATCCAACTCTAGATCGAACGCATCGAAGTATATATCACCATACATCATCCCAAAATACCCTTTCTGCCAGCAACATATAATGTGACAACAGAGCGTGAATCCAACAACACAAACCCAAAATATACAAGAGCAAGGACCTCAACGCATCGAGGCCGCTCACGAGTCAAACACCGCGCCATACGCCGCGCCTCCCTGCGCCTTGATCTCCCTCACAACCGAATTCGTAACTACCTTGTTGCTGACCACAAAGACCGCTTCGATACCGCACAGATGCTTCATGTACCTCGCCTCGAAAGCCAAGTCAGGTCTGCCCCGTCTACTGTCGAAGATCTTAGGCATGGCGTCTATTTCCTTGATAGACTCGCGCACAAATGCCCAGTGCAATGCATCGGGATCATACGCACACCACATGACCCTGACCTGTTTCCCCTCTGCCTTCATCTTCACGACAGCGGGCGATTGCAGGAGCGAGATCATGGGTCCGATGCCCGCGCCCGTCGCGACGAGGAGAACGGAATTGAACAGTGCAGTGCCAGCGAGGAAGTTGGCGGTGGGAGGGTGGCGGATCCATATCTCCCGCGGTGGGTTTTGGATGATGCTTTTTGTCCAGTCGCCTGCTTGGCTGATGATGATGTGGGCTGCGGCACCGTCGGCGCTGGGAATCGTGGCGAACGCGTGCCACTCCATCAATGGAGAAGTACTGAAGCGCATGGTCGAAATGTGGGGCATGTTTGCGTAGCGGAAGGTCAGTTTGACTGCGCGACTCGAGATGGCTTCGGCTTGTACTGGGACGCGGCGGATTCGCAACCAGGGCAGTATGATGAAGAATGTTGATACGGCGAGGAGCCATATCGAAGGGCTCTGGTAGAGTGATATGGTAGTCGCATGAGCCTTCGTGCAAATGCCAGCATTGACCCAGAGCACGAGAAGTGCGGCCCAGCCGCCGAAGCGGTGCGTGTGCTCGAATGTGTTGTGGAATTTCACACGGAGGCGCGGGTGCGCGGTGATGCAGATGAACAGAATGAAAGCTAAAAAGGCGTAGCAAGTAGTAATATCGGCCCACAGCCATGGGTTCATCTCGCCCCGGTTTACTTTTGCGACAGTATTCAACGTATTGATAGCGATGAAGAGGCAGTACCACATCAATGCCGAGAAAGCACTGCCAATGTGAAGTCCTCCATAGTGGTGGAAGTCTGCGATGAACTTCCGGGCCCAGAGAGGTAAACTTACTGGTGTCTTTGTTACAAAGAAGAAGCTTGCACTGATCAAGTCTTCCTGGCGGCCTACGATTGCGACCAAGATGTTGGCAGATGTGGCTTGTAGCACCCCAGCGAGTGGAAGTTCTGTCTGAAGCCACGCAATGAGAACAGCGAGGTTGACAACGAAGGTAAGGCAAATTAGGATACGGTATGCAGTGAGCCAGTGTAAACATGTGCGTTGAATCCAGCTTGGTCGAGATTGTTCGTCTGTGGTAGGTTCAGGGCGCGTGATATTCGGAAGTGCAGTCAATGACACGGCGACTTGCTTGTCTGCGTCGTTCAATGGGTCGAGTGTATCAACGCGCGGTCGTTGATAAGGCGCGGGTTCGTTCGCTTGTAAGCTAGAGCCTTCCGTGAACAAGCTCGACACCGGGATGCTGTCAGGGGACGTGTCGAGCGAGCTAGAGGAATTAGCGGTACTATTAGACGGTTGAAGCAAGTAGGGCATTTCGTGAGTGAGAGTGAGGCTGTCTGTTGCATCCCGTCGCGAATCAGGGTAGCTATGTGGAGGGTTTGAGTGAAAGTTGAGCACGGTGCTCTCCCGCATTTGATTGCACATACTACGCAAGGTTGCGGTGAAAGATACAATTGGAGCGCGTGAAGAACTAGTGGACAAGTTGGGAGACATATGGGGCGCGGCGGTGAAAGTGCATTGTGGGTTGAGAATGCCGCCCGACCTGAGTGTTTATACAATGTTGCAGCCCTCATTCTTAGAACCTCCACTTTAGAATGTTCGGTGTGTAATATGTCGAGGTGAAGGTTGCTATCACGTGGGGTGAATGTCGTAGAAATAGGTTATAGTCATCTTGGCCCAAGTCAGACGTTTGCGTGGAAATAGGTGCTCACATAATCCAGTGCAGTCAGGGTTCAAGGTACTTGGATATGCTGCTTCTAGTTCTTCTCTGGAGTATTATGGGAGATGGAAGATTATAGAATTACGCCTTCCTGTAGGATGCTGGCGACTACCGTTCGTTCTGATGAGGGAAGTGGTAGCCTGACTTGGGATATTTGAGAGAAACTATCGAAACCGAATCTTGCAGTCTCCTCACAGCCCCTTGAGAAACCCCAAGATCTCTTCTACAACCCTCTCTGGCTGCTCCTGCTGAGGCCAATGCCCCGCGCCATCGATGAACTTGATTCCACGAAAGTCAGAACAAGACTCTGGGAACGCTTCTATAGCCCCGGGTTGCTGATAATTGCCCCAGTCCTGAGCACCTGAAATAAAAGTACTCGGGCACTCGATCTTCTTGCCAGCGAACAGCTCTAGATCTTTCATCAGCGCTGGATCGGTGGTGGTGCGATAGTAGTTGAGTCCGCCTTGGAAGCCAGTCCTTGACCATTCTTGTACGTAGACTGCGAGGTCTTCGTCGGACATCCAGCGTTTGGTTGCAGAAGCGTCTTCCGTTGCCATCATATCAGCAATGGTGTCAGGCATTGTCTTGTTGAGGGGCAGAACATAGTAGTAGGGCATCTTTGCGACCTCGTCGGCCGTCCAGGCCTTGAGAGGGTATGGGGTATTTTCTTTCCAGGCCGCAGACTTGACGTGAAGATAGCCTCTTAAAAAGTCATGAAGGCCTTGTGAGGGGTTTGCCCAATGGTTCGCCGCGTCGCTGGTACTGTTTTACCATTTGTAATGTTTCCGTGGCTCGGATAGTCTCGCGAGTTCAGCTTGAATGTCGACTGGCGGAGTGGGCGCTTGGTGGTTACCGTGAGCTATGTTGAAGGGGAGGGTCGCAGGCGCTTTTTTGAAGGGATGGCTCATCATAACGACGCTTTTGAACAGGTCTGGACGCATCAAGGCGCTCCTGCTGGCCGTTACTGCCCCAAAGTCGTGGCCCACGATGCATTCGACTTCTCGATAGCCCAGCGCATTGACCAGCGTGACGACATCCCGGACAACATTCGTCAGAGCAAATTGAGCCATGTTGGTGTTGATGAATGACGAGTTGTCCCAGCCAGTGGTTCGTCCATATCCTCGCTGGTCAAATGCGACAACGTAGTAGCCCGCCTCGGCAAGAGGGAGCATCACCTTTCTCCAAGAGAAGGCAAGCTCTGGAAATCCATGGCAGAGGATGACAAGAGGCTTATTACGCTGTGATGTATATCCAGCCTCGAGTATGTGGAATGTGAGACCGTTTGAGTGGCAATGCACATAGTTTTCGTGTATGCCTGGTGGTAATGGCAGCGGTGGAAGGTTGCCTTGTGAAGCTGAGGATGGCATGTTGCTAATTACCAGACTGAGACAGTAGTCTTCGCGACGATCAGATGCAGACTCGAGAAGTGAGAGGAGTCTTAGATTTGACGAGCGGGTTCATCAATTTCTTATTCATGTGTGTGAGGTACAGCTGTTTGTTACTATATCACGTTCATACGTGCGGGGAAGTGCGGAAAACGTTTCCATGTGCCCGGAAATGCATTCATGATGGTAAACAGAAGCCATAGTTGTTGTCAGAGTCGTGCTGACAATGTCCCGTGGAGCACCGCCAATCATTCACTGGACTCATTCTTTAGCAAGGCTGCTGCTGAGACTACGTCATATGGCGTGAAGATAGCGTCGGATGTGGAGTGGTTAGTTGGATGTAATTCGTCTGCATTGTCCGCATGCAACCAACGTCTTTGTACGACGACTGCACGAGAGAGCGGTGCGACTACGCTATGCAAAAAGGTGGCAGCTCATGCACAGTATCAAGGAGGTTAGGCGCGTAATGAGAGTGAGAGTGAGCGCCAACGAGTGAAGAGTTAGGAGGGTGTGGAAGTGTTCTAGTCCCGAGTATCCATGACATGACAGGCCCTGGGCCACTCGTCAACGGGTAGACAGGCGCGTTCGAGATGAGACGTTGAGGTGTTTGAGTTTGTTTCTCCCATGGTAGACAAGTCGTTGGCGTGAGGCTTGCTGGTCTGGCCTTTGCATCCAGGGGCCCTAAGCTCCGCATCGATGCGACTAGCTGGCCAAAGCATGGATGACGATCGTCACTTGTTTTGCTGGCTAGCAGGCACCTCAACCCCAGGTGCACATCCGCCATCCGCATCCTCCCTCCTCGCGAGGCCCTGCTGAATTTCCCTTCTTGTACGTTGCATTGCTCTTCAGCGTGCTCCTGCACCCATTGTCTGTTTGCCCACTGTCGCTCAAGCCGCACGGTTCCGCTTGCACGGGTGACATCATCCCATCCCTGTATCAATCAATATCGAAGGCCACCACCACCACACCTTGGCCCTACATTCCCTCGAAATGCACACGCAGTCGCACCTGCGATAATATCTAATTCAACCATGTTCGGCAAACGACGACGGGCAGCGTCGAATCCGGTGGGTGCCATGTTCCTCTGCGCGCAAGCTTGCTCGCGTCCTTTTCGCGACGCTGCTTACTGCGACGACACCATGCTAACAATTTGTCCCGATGCAGGCCCAGCGAGCGCCCCCAAGCGCATCAGCTTCGCTCGCCGCGACCAAAGCCTTCGTCAGAGACCGCGAATCGAGTGAGATTCTCTCATCCGCTGCTGCCGCTGCCGCCCTGCGCACACACGTTACCACGCCGACACTGGTAGGCGACACGGTCACGAAGCGCATGGTGCGCCGCAATTCAGCCTCTTCAAATGGCAGCAACCCAAGGCCAGGTCTGTTGCGCCGACAGTCGAGTACAGCTTCTATGACAGAGCGCTCATTCCGCGCAGCATCCCCCGGTCGAGGGAGTCCCGCCGACCCCAATGCGCCACCCGTCCCTGCTGTCCCCAAGAACATGCAACAAGGCGGCGCTGTACATCGCCGCGCGTCCAGCTTAGAGCCTGCGTATCGCGGCGGCTCACCAACCCCCAGGGGCGGAGGTAGGGGCGTGAGCCTGGACAGAGGCGAGCAAAACACAGCTGCTGCAAGGGGGCAACGACCGACTGGCCACCTTGCTCAGGTCTCTGAAGAAGAAGATGCGGCCGGGCGATCCGTCAATTTCTCGCGCCCAATGTCGCCAGGCACGCCAACGTCGAACCAAAACCCCTCCCCACCGTCGGGTCGTGGCTGGTTTGGTGGGCCAGTTGTGAATCAAGAGGCCGTCCAGCGCATGGCATCAACGTCACGGCCCAAGACCTCGGGCGGCATCTCCGAATACGACCGCCATAGCACGCAGCATTCGGTCCAAAATGCAGCGAATCAGCCTGTCAAGACGCACCAGTATTCGCAAGGAGTGGAAGGCTTCCGATTGTCAAGTGGCAGCATGCGAGCGAAACCCTCTGGTTCAGCTGTACAGTCAAGGTCCTATTTGCCCCCAGCGACGCAGCAGGCGCCGCGTACTGTTGATCCAAACTCGCCAAATGCTATTTACGACCCTTCAACTCGAACCTTCATCCACAAGCAGGACGCCATGGCTCGTCATCGCGAGCTGCAACAGGAGCCAGAGCCGCAAAGTCAACACTACGTTGCACAGCGACGGGATGGCTATCAGCCACAACAGATTCCCCAGCAACCCAGTCGACGCTCCCCGAGCCCTGTTCGGCGCTATGTACAGTACGTGCGAGAGGAGCCGCCGGCTCCGCAGAAAAGAGAAGAAGTCGTGCTTCCCCAATTGGACACAACTACGCACAGAAGAGAGCCTGAGGCACGGCCCGCAGAATACTTTGCGCCAGAACCTCGCTCTGGTCCTACTATAGAAAGACGGAGTTCAGAAGATTTTGCTGACGCAGATTTTCAACCTCCAGAGCTGGCGAATACAGGTCGAAGGTTGGACGACGTCGATCAGGGCGTGGAACATGAAACTCCAACCAAAGTCGCCTCACACGTGTCTGCTGCAAGCCAAGACAACTCTTACCCGCGCCTCGCAACCCCTGTCATCGCAACAACAACAAACAGTGTAGCAGGACAGAGTCGCGGTAGCGTTCGAACAGGACACGATAGGCAATCGTCGTTAAGTCCACCGCGCAATGCTCACTTCGCCCCTATTGCTATTGAACTTGCCGGGGAGAAGCATCAACCGCCACCGCGGTCGATATCTCCTGCAAAATCTGCGCTAAAACCATCTCCTTCGGTTTCTAGGCGCGGCAGCTCTCCGATAACAGGGGATGGGCACCTGCAGATTAGAGGGGCCGCGAGCGAGGCTTCTGACACGACATCCGAGGATGGATCGAAAAAGAAAAGAAACTTCAGGGTCAGCTTCGAAGAGAAACCATTCGTCGCAGGCGCGACTGCAAACGCAGATGCCGATTCACCCACCTCTCCGGCAGGCTTAGGCGCGTCAAAATGGAGTCAAGCTGCTGCTGAACAGGAGGATGATTTTACAGATTTCATGAAGCCACGCTCAGCACTTCCATCCTTTAGCAGCATCCGGGATAGAGATCGACGATCTACAGAAGACAACGAAGCTGAAAAGGTCACTGAAACGGTATCGACGACGCCCATGTCAGCATCCGTAGGCTCCATTGGAGAGCCCTTACACTCTTCCAGTGACCACGTTGTGGGTAGCATTCTCGCTCAAGACTTTGCTCAGAAGGGAGTAACAAACGATCCACTTCCACCTGAGGTTACTTCAGTTGAAGGTAGCGGCTACGTCTCGGACTCCAGCGATGACTCTAGCTTACAAAAGCACGGCGAGGAAAAACAATCGACACAGCAACCACTCATACCCGAACCAAAGTCTTTGACAACCCAATTAGACGAAAAATCTTCTACTCCAGGCGCGGCTTTTGAACGTATCGTTGAAGTTCCACAGATTGCACTTCTTCCGGCTACTCCAAGCCCGCACGAGAGGCCTGAACCCAAATTCCAAAGTATGATGATACCTGGAGGCTGGGCGGATGAGACTCCTGATGATATTGAAAGAAGCATCGCCCCAACCGAGACCGTATCGAAAGCGGCGCCGTTTGCGCCAGCTGTAGACCCTGTTCATCAACAGCCAGAGCCTGTCTCACACGCCGAAGAAGATGACACAACCGATGATAACAGTAGTATATACAGTGATGCCTATGAGGACCTTACCGATACAGAAGGCGGCTTCGGTAGTATCGATGCCATGGTCGAAAGACCAGTCATTCCCCCATCCTCGGGATTAATGCATTCTCAGTATGCAAACAGGAGTGCGACGGAAACTACAACAGAAAGTTCAACATCGAAGCTCCAAAGGGACAGATTTGCGGATGACGACAGTGACTCGGATACTACTCCCACGCAAGAGTGGGACGCCACCAGGCGGCCTTGGAGTGGGGCCACGACGGCTCAGAAGCAGCCACAGCACAAAGAGTCGCCTGTTGAACAAAGATCACACGCTGAGGAGGTGGTCGCTCGAGTAATGCAAGCTCCTGTTGTGCAGGAGGAGCCAAGGACAGAACGCCAGGTTGTCGCTAAAACATCGCCTCAAATACTCACTTCACCACCAGCCTCGCAAACGCCTACGAAGCCACTCAAGTCAGCGCTAAAGAAGAATGCGGTAGCACAGCCAACTCAGGCTGCAGAACCTCAGACAAGGCAGACGATGCGAGGTGCACCTCGACAAGGTCCACCACCCAGACAAGGCCCTTCATCCGATACTCAAATGAAGAAGACTATGCGTACAGGGCCAAACACATCTACTTCGCGAGCAGAGCCACAAATGCGGTCAAGTATGCGTGCTTCCAACGAACCGACGTCACGGGTGGTACCACAGATGCGAAAGAGCATGCGTTCAGATGATTTTGCCCCTTCTACCAGCATGGGTCTAGCTGCATCGCGCCATAGTATGGTGCCCATGGACACGAAACCGCCTCGCGGTGCGCTTCAAAAGAGACACATTCCAGCTGCAGCTCCGGTTCCTAAGCCTAGGCCGCAGAGCCTGCCCGCCACCAAGCAAGCTGCTGCAGCGCCAACGTATGACAGCGATTCTGATGCTTCAGCGAGCAGTTTTCAACGAACACGCGCAAGAGGAAGAGGGAATCAGAGCGGCCGATACACAATGCGTGGTTCGATGAGACAAGAACCTGCGCCCACAATGCGGGCAAGTGCACCCGCACTCAAGCAAGTACGGTCAATATCACCCCCAGGTTCTCCAACCCCTGCGTTGCGCAAGTCGATGCGGCCTACTTCGGCAATTCCGGCTACTCCAGAGCCTATTAGAAACTCCAAATTCAGTATTAGATCGTTATCACCTATGGGGAGGTTCCGCTCTAGCAAGAGTCCGGATGCTGGGCCGCCCTCGCCTACCCAACCAAAGAAAATGCCTGCCTTCAACAAGCAGCCAAAGCAAAAAGCGGAGCGTGGTAGAGCTGTCAAAGCTCCCATCAAGAGCCGCTTCGCCGACTCGAGCGATGAAGATGGCGATGACAAGCCTCGACGCTTCCAAAGCCGATTTGCTGACTCTGACTCTGACGATGCGGACGACTACAAACTGCCGCCAGGTTTGGCTCCTGTACGAGGAATTCCTCGGAAAGCAGGCGAGGAGGACGGCGACTCAACAGATCTTGAGGAAGAAGCCGATAACGAGAGTCTTATGCCGCCGTCTACGCCTGTTACAAAATCAGGGCCAGCAACGAATGGGGTCACTAATGGCCAAACGAGTGGTAAGGCGAATAGCGAAGGTGCAATCCTAGCTACTGGCTCGTTACGAGACAGTAAGCATGCTCCAGCACTACCTTCATTCGAAGGCGGTAGCAAAGCGAAGGCCAAGCGTGGATTCTTTGGCTTAGGGAAGAAGAAGGTCGAGAAGGCAACTGAGAAGGCGACTGTAACCGAAGCTGATGCAGCAGCTCCGCCTGTGCCTGCACCATCTGACATTCCTATGCCACCCACAAAACCCAACCGCGAATTAGGACTTCCACTTACTCCCATCGACGAAGACAAAGACTTTGATGCAGTAGAAAATTCCCCACAAAGCAGACGATCTCCTAAGTTGCAGCGACGCTCAACACCCGAATGGCCCCTCGCTCCCCCGCCGGCTATTGGAAAAGAAGAGCGTCCAATGAGCTCCGATGGCATCGCCCCACGCCGACCGCGCTTCCAGGGCCGTCAAGCAAGTACGATGTCGAACACTACGGACCCAATTATTGATGCCCAAGGCCGGTCCGTCTCGTACGGCAGGAGTGGGAAGAAGAAGAAGTTCCAGGGACTGAGGCGGGTCTTTGGACTGAATGACTGAGCACGGTTTGGCTGATGGCTAACGTGCGCTGTAGAGTCCCGATGAGGAGTCATTCGGATCTGGTAGCTTTACGGAAGCGCGCAAGGTCGCAACGGCGGTCGCTTTCGTCTGCTGTGTCGAGCCGATCGCACACATCTGTTTATTCTTTTGTTCACGCTTCGGTCGCGTTGATGGCATGCCATCGGCCGAGCACGCCCCCTATCTCTCCTCACCTACTTGCCTAAGTCTGCAGCAAGCTCTTATCTCTCATCTGTCTGCTACATATGCACACGCATTCTCCTCTTCCCTTTTTTATTTTATTTTGGCGGCCTGGACTAGGGTCCAGAAGTGATACCACATTGAACTTTTCCTTGGATGGGTACATGTACAACATGCGCATGGACGCAGCACCTTTCGCTTCTGGTTTGTACATGGTTGGAGACGACGCTTTGACGCACGTTTGGATGTCAGCGGTGAACGAGCGAGCGAGTGAACGTAGTTAATTTCTAATGTACATGTATCAACTGTTTACACGCCTTTCTCCTTCCCTAGTGGTGCTGAGGCGTGGAAGTGCGCCATGCCTTTGCTTCGCTCTTCCTAGACGGTGTTGAAGATGAGACGTGTCCGCGGGTACCTGTCTATGTATCAAGATGGACCTACGCTCTTACCTTCCCTGAAGCTACTGCCTCGCCACGCCAAGTGTGCAACGAGGTACGTGACTCCGTCACTCATCACACGTAACGTTTCCTTGGTTAGTTATTTCTGGAACGTGTACGAAGAGGTTCCGACGCGCATGCTGGGGCCCGTGATCAATGGATGGTGTTTGAAAGACAAAGTGTGCGTAGGATGTGCTGGTAATAGAGTCTAGGACATGGGTGCAGTGTTGTTTAGTGCATGGGGATGGGACGACTGGGCGCTGCGGTAGGGTAGTAAGATGGGAGGTTGTTTGGAATAGTCTTGAAGGCACTTTGGGAGTAGTGACCCATCTGAGAAAAGTATTTCATATATGCATGTGCATGGTACGTTTAGTTGTCGATCATGATCTTGTTTGCAGAAACTCCTGACGATCTTCGTGGAGATTGAGAATTCGAGTAAGAAAAATGTATTATAGTTTAGAGTGACATGGCGTGTGCGGAATAAGACGCTTCATGCGTGTAGTGATGGGTTGCCAGCGGATCATTCTCCGCTGTAAGGCATACCTTGACAAGGCAGGACGTTGCTTGAACCTTTATCTCCTGGCAGGGAGGGCAGGTCTTGCACGAACGAGGTCGGTCGTCGCACAGAGGCGTCTGCCGAGACGATCTACCCATCTTGGCGTGCCACTCCCGCTGTCTTATTTGCGGCTACTTTGTGAGGAGGGTGGATGTGACACAGGCCTAATGTTGGCAGCCGCATCTTGATCCCGCCAAGCAAGGCTGTTTTGTCGGCAGAGGCGTCCTTGCTTCCTCGGGCCGTATCGAATTCTTCAAGATGCTACACCGCATTTCAGAGTGCGTGTGCATGGGGGTCTGAATATAGAAGGGATTGGAAGAAGTTGAAACGACAGGTCCAGATAGTTGACCAGTTTTATCTGACAGTGTCCACAAGTATTGTAGCCGTTTCGTAAGCCTGGTACGTGTGTCCGCTATGTGCTGTCCGCGCCAAGCGACTGGTGTTTCGTCCGCCGGTGCCCAGGGATCCAACGGTCGTCCATCGTAGACATGGCGTTGATTATCGTCTTTAAATCCCGCATCTGATCGTCGGTTCAGAGTAACAAGAGGCAAGTGATTGATTCGGGTGCCAAGTGCAGGACATTGCCATAGATGACGCCTAGATTTCCTCCAAGACGCCAAGGGCGGTGTTATAGGTAGGATAGTGCGTTAGAGTATTGCCAAGTCTGGGGAGCCGGCGGCTTGATTGCTGTGAGACGCGGCATAAGCCAGAGAAGGACGCAGTCTCTGGTGGTACCTGACGCTATTGTTTCTACACTTGTTTGATACGTCGGATCTGGAGCATGTGGGGACAGCCGCCCCGTGTAGATCAGTGATTCCCAGATGGGGTGTAACAGTTGGGACGATGCCAAGGCATGTGTCTCACGTCCAGAATGGCGATGAAGGGAGGAATGCAGCATCAATACGACGGGACATGCGTTGCATCAATGCGGAGCGGCAAGTTTCGAAAAGGCTCAAGCAACAAGGAAGAGGGCTTCCCATCAAGGGAGGGGGAGAAGGATTGTCGTGTATGGTCGGTGTGAATCATGAAATGAGGCTCTCGGTTCTCACAGTTGGGGCACAGCAGGCAGCGAACCTTCGTTCCGATATCGCCATCCTCACCGCACGCGATCAGCCAGACGTGTGAGACTGTGTACGGTCAGAAGAAGCTCTGGCTACTGCAGGTGCGCTGTACGTGAGGGTGGGGGAGGAGACAGGAAAGGCAACCAGTCGCTTGACTCCAAGTCTCGTGTGGAGGCATCAGACTCACCGCCTTCCAGCGCTGCAGTCTGCCGATATTAAGCCATACAACAACAAAAAGAAATGACAAAAATAGTTCCCGACGAGAAGAGATTTGGGCGAGACCACTCCTGCAGAGCATTGTCCTCTCTCCACTAACGAACAGACGTGCACATGCTTGAAACCGAGGGCTGCCGCAAGCATAGTTGGTCCAGTCGAGGGCGTGGACAGCTGCAGGTTGCATCTGGTGGTCACACAACCCCCGCAAAATGCTATGGGAGAGCGAGCCAGCGATTGATGGATCGCATGCACTCAATCAATCGCCGCTCGTGTTCTTGATTTGGAGCCATTTGAATGAGAGATGTATGCATGTATGCCATCATGGCAGAGCGATGGGTTGGCACGGTCATTTACTAGCAGGTATTATTAGGCCGGGAGCGAGCGACCCCCACGATTTGCCGTATCGCTTCCGGCGGCGGTTAACGTCTGGCGAAGCTTTGGATAAGAGGCTATCAACTGGGGTCAATGTGCAGCATTGGGCTCAGCTTTCGTCAGTCGACGTCTGGTAACCGTCAATCGAGGCGGCGTTCTGGCGAGAGGAGCGAATCGTCGATTTGGAGAAGCCAGACGTCTTCCTTCGAAGCAGGCTGCGATGGCTGCAGCAGCATAGACCATGTTAGAAGGCGGGTTGCGGTATTTTATACTTGCCAGCTAAGGCCAGGATACGACGACACGCTGCGCGTTCGCTGTCATCGTCAGGCAGCGGGACGAGAGACGACTTGGGTTTCTAGATATAGCTGTTGCCATCTACGGGATAGTACGCATAGTACGCTTGGTGACATGCTTCGTTAGCAATACATACCATGTAGTCGTGAGGCGGATGCGTGGGTACATTCCGGAGGTATGCCTCGTCTGGCGGGACATGGGATGGTACAACCGCATCCAGCCGAACGGGGCCTCCAAGCATTCGTAGAGTGCGATCGACGACGCATATCATACACGACGACGCAGTGCACCGTGTGAGAGAGGTTGCTGGGCACTCACAAGACGTGCATCCCGATCTGCAGGTGGATGCGCCCAGGCGCTGTGGGGGTTGCGCAAGGGGCTAGGCGGCGCTTTGCACCACTCAGTTACCATTCTTCCGGAGTCTACATATTCCTCGTGCGGTCCCTGGGAAAAGTGGAAAAAGACCCGCATTTGTGTGCGGCTTGCTTCGCACACTCTTGTTGAACCCAGCGGTCGCCCCCGGACAGAGTCTCTTGGTCCGGTCATCCCGCCGTTGTTCTTGAGTCGCAAGCGAAGCCACCCTGCCGCGACTTATACCCACTGAGACACCCCCTCGGTTGCTGTCACCTCTGGACCGCGTTTCGCAACTCCCACGCGTCAACGCACCCCAGCATTGCTTCGTCTCTATATATATGATTTACCTCTTCCCAGCGTTACCCATCTCCGATTGTGTGTGAATGGCTCTTTCACACTTGCAGCACTTTTACCACACCCCGCTCCTCCTACCCACGTTACACTGGCACTCGTGCAGGACCCTCGAGTCCTCATATCACCGGCCTAGTCCCCTTCAGCGCGCGTAGATGCATGCCATTCACCGCCTCTAGCACCCAAAGACACTCAATTCCTGCCCTCGAGCGCATAAACGACTGCTGACAACCATTCGACGTCGGCCATTCGCCCGTGCTATGCCCGCAGTAGCGACCCATGCGCCGCCTCTGGCCATTTCCTTCGATGAAGCCTCCCTCTCCCACCGTTTGCAGCGCCGAGATTCACGTCGAGTCGAGTACCAATTCCCAATTGAAGAGGAGGACGAGAGTACAGGGACCGCAAGCGAGCCCGCCGAGCCCCTCACACCAACAAGCCACACCAGTGAGGGCACCTCTTCCTTCTCTCATTCCTTCCCCCACGATGAACCTGTAGACGACGTCTTCACGACCCCAAGACCTACCACCAACGACATGCTGCCCAAGCCCCTACCCCAAGAGGCACCTTCGCCTGCAACCTTTTCCACGCAATCGGAGCCAAATACCCAGGCGTCTCACCAGGTTGAGCTCCAGTCTTCACCAGAGAGGGTTGGGTTAGGAAAGCGTGTCGGCTCCTTTGTCCGCAGCAGATTGCATAGAAGTCACTCGAATAAAGACGGCCCCAGTCAAGCAGAGGTGCCAAATGCCCCGAGTCCCAGCAGACTGTCGAATCCAAAGGTCGAAACGAACACATACATCGTCAAGACAGGCGTGGACGGGCCAGCTGAAGTGTCAACTCCTGCCGTACACATTCCTAAACAAAGTAGAAGGCTCAGCTCATTTTCCCTCACTCGACGTTCGGACCGTTCTTCACACGCTAATTCGCCGCCTTCTGGTTCACCTATGAGCACTCTTTCAAACGCAAAGAAGGGTTCGGAAAAAAGACCTGGACTTGGCAAGAAACCCTCCTCGCCCACATCTCACTCAAGTATGGAAAGACCACGACCTGGAATTACATGGGCTGGACCCGACACTACGAAAAGTCCGAGGAAGCATGGGTGGTCGCGGAGGCGGTCAGCAAGTATGGAGCAGATTCCTCGACTCGATGAAGGTGATGAGAAGCCGACAGCTGGCATGCTGGCTACTTTCTCAAAGCCGGCTGTCGAGGGCGCGGGTTTGAAAGTTCGTCGATTGAGCGTTAATTTGCCTGATGATTTTATAATAGACTGGTGCGATCTTGATAAGGAGTTCAAAAGCTCAAGTCTAATGCCTGGGAAGAGAGGAAGAATTTTGGGTAAAGGCGCAACTTCTGAAGTCCGCATCATGGCACGGAGAGGGGCGTTATCAAAAGATGAAGAGCTGGTAGCCGTCAAAGAATTCCGAGCGCGCGACAAGGACGAAACCGAGGAAGACTACGTCTTGAAAATTAAATCCGAATACAGCATCGCGAAGAGCCTACATCATCCCAACATTGTCGAGACGGTACGACTATGCACAAATCGGCAACGCTGGAACCATGTCATGGAGTTTTGCACGTACGGAGAAATATACTCGCTAGTAGAGCGCAAGCTGTTCGCTGGTGGTGTAGAAGGCTTTTACAGCCGAGACGATCGTTTGTGCTTCTTCAAGCAGCTCCTTCGAGGTGTCGACTTCCTGCACAGCCATGGTATCGCCCATCGAGACATAAAGCTGGAAAATCTACTTCTCAACAAGGATGGACATCTCAAAATCTCGGATTTTGGCGTGGCTGAAGTGTTCAGCGGCGAACACCCGGGTCTTCGTGCTTCTGGGGGCGAATGCGGCAAAAATATGGGCGCACTGCGCCTGTCAGCTCCTGGCATTTGCGGTAGTCTTCCCTACATCGCCCCAGAAGTTCTGGAGAAGAATCATAGCTATGACCCGCGTCCCCTCGATATCTGGTCTTGTGCGATTGTCTATCTAACAATGACCTTTGGTGGTTGTCCATGGCAGGCCGCTAAGACAGAGTTCGAGTACTATGCACGATTCAAAAAGGGTTGGAACCAATGGCTGGAAGAACATCCTGATGGCCAAATTTTCGAAGGCCCAGATGGGCACCCGAAATGTGGCAAGCTCTTCAGCCTTATCGAACCTCCTTCGATAAAACGGCTGATCTTGAAGATGCTCCATCCAATTCCCAGCAAGCGTATCATGATTCCCGATGTTATGAAGACGGCGTGCATCAAGAACATTGCTTGTTGTTGCCCCGAAACCTATGATGATCCGAAGGTCTGCTTTGACGCATCAAAGGCCAGTAGCGCAAAGGTTGCGGCGACGAAAAAGTTTCTACATCATCATATTCCACCGAAGCCTGAAAACAAGGTTGGAAAGGCATTTACTCACCGCTTTGACATGGGCGAACGGTAATCACGACCTGACACGTTTTCACGCATCTCTTTTTGTTCATGATTGCATTAGCTGGCGTTGGATAGCAAGCTTCGCAGGACCAAAAAGGTGGCTTATGTCCCATTCACAGAACAGGCGTTTTGCTGCCATTTTCTCAAGCGCTCCGTCTTCTACATGCCTCGATATATGATCAACGATTGCTTATACGTCTATTGTCACTGACCGCACATATAAGCGGGTTTCATTATTTTGTCAAACCAGCTGTCATCAATACACTCTTCATCTATCACATCTCAACGTCCTATTCTGTCCTTCTATCTCCTATCTCCCCCAGCGCGTCTAGTGAACCACAACAGGAACATATGCGTGGGTACAAGGCGCGCCCCAATTGGTGGCCCTACGACACGTCATCCGCTTGCTAGTATTGACGATCAGGACAAACCAGCAATTGCGTATTTTGGTACACTGGCTAGCTTCCCGCTGATCCTCCACCGTCGCCGACGGCTTTCCCATGGTTTACACTTCAAAACCATCAACATTGCGTAGTCTCGCTGATATGGGACATCAGGTCCCGAAGCAGACGCGCGCCATCATGTCTCCTTCCGTCCGACATGGCGCCGAGCTCACACGACTCTGACTTGAGTGAGTAGATAGCAACCCAAACTATGATTCGACAACATACAACGCCCCAAATCTTGGATCTTCGCTTGTCGACGTTGAAACCCTCTAAAACGAACCCAGATAAGGCAGGAGGTGACGTGCAGCTGCCCATCTGCGGCGAAGTGATGCGTGCCTAGCAGACAAGCCTTGTCGATACATGCAACGAGGTTAGTAAGCTTGGCACCACTGTCATGCATTCGCAACTCTCTCCATCTCCGTCTCGCGTTGATATCTCGCAAGCGAGACTGGAATTGTTGGGGCCAGGTTGGCATGACGCTGCCTGCATGTGATTGCGGGGGGACCTGGAGGATCTGAGCATGGAGCAGCACGGCTTACTTTTGGCATTGAGCAAAAGAGCGAAGCCGAGTTTCCGTTGCGACAACGTGTGCTGCGAGGTTGCGAACGTGGACAGATGACGAATGCTGGGTGGATCAGACCCGTTCTTAGGGCAGGATTTGACGTCGATGCATGTTTTAGTTAGGGCAATCGAAAGCGGGGCATCTTTTTTAAGATCAACCCACGTAGGATTGATTAATCATACTCCAGCTTGTTTTGCACAGGTCGTCCATCTCCAGAACCTAATAACGATAACCTCTCAAAAAACATGCAGTGCGACCGTGAGCAAGCTTACGCGTGCATGCTGCATTCGACATGTGCATTCACCCCACGCTGCCCGTGCCCATGCTCGCTTCTCGCTGCTCCTGCGTAGAGTAAGCGGGGTAAATCAAGCAAGCAAGCCCACATCACAAGACCACCCCTCTCTCTTCGCGAATGAGAGAAAGAGCGGTGAAGTCCCCCGCTGCTTGCTCCCCACAGAAGAAAACACATTCAGCCTCATTGTCGCCATCTTCCGTGCCGTGTGCGCGTGTCGGGCTTCAACATTGCCGTTGGCCGAGTATGCGGTGGGCTGACTGGCTGAGGGATATGACTTGGATGTCAGGGAGTGGGCGACGAAAAGGAAGGGGGGGTTGATGTTCTGTAGATGGAGGAGCTGCAAAGCCCGATTTACTCTCTAACTCGAGCCCCCAGGAAGTGGTACTGGGGACTGATTGACGAACACATCGATCCAAAGCCATGGCTCGACGAACATGTGCGATGAACAAACGCACTACATCATCTTGTCACTATCAACAATCGTAAATGCCTCGATATCACATGAATCGACTTGATCGAACGTGTCTTCTCCTTTCCCCGCATCCTCACCTTTCTTATTCCCACCAACCCTTTAAAATCATCTAGACCTTTGTTTTCCCAGTCACAATCCGTCCCCACTCTCACACAATCTTACACGACATACTGCCCCACCTCGCCCATGCTCGCAGTCTGACCGTCTGACATCCCCACGTGTCCTTCCTCTCCACCCTCATGAGAATTAAGGTTTAGCTCCAGAAGACTTATTTCGCTCAAGGCGAGACTTGCCGGAGCTTGTTTTCTGCCTATTTATGCCGTGTTCGCTGCTTATTGACTGGGGCATGGGGTATAGACGCAGAGGGCTGAAACGCTTGCATGCACTACTTTTGTGGGCTGGAGTGGGGGTCTAGGTTGACTTGACTAATATCGGTGGTATGCTGTGGAACTATGTGGGTGAGAAAAGAAGGGAGTAGGAGGGTTTTGGTGTGGAATATTTGGAATGTTGAAGAGGGTTTTCGGGTGCTGATTATTGGATCTTGTGAGCTTGGATTATTGAGTGCTGGGTAGACGCCGCGATCGGAGTCGAGGTTTGCTGAGACGACTACTTCATGCTACGATCTTGGGTATTCGCGATAGATGAGTAATACGCCTGGAGGGTTTCAATGATCCATGTGCTCTGTCAGTTACCTGCGAAAATATACTGAAGACCTTCAGAGTGTCATATGGAGTTACCTATCTTGAGGTGTCTTCTCTTTGAATGACATTACGCTCTTAACCCTAGAACTGCGCCTACACACATCAGTTACCCTCTTTCTTGATGCGCGTTTTGTTATAGAGATAACAAGAACAATATAGTGGGCGTACAACACTTCTCTATCAAATTCAGGCCTTGAAAATCATCCTCCTTCCGTGAGATGTCCTGGATCTCCTTGATAAAGAGGTTTCAAAGTTGAAAGCCAACATCTACAGCATTAGCATTAACACTCGAACCTAGATCCGAAAGCTGACTGAGCTGACCGTAGCTGCTAGCCACGGCCGTTCAAACTACCTTTGAATGACATAACTAGGATTTTGGAAAAGCATGTATTATTGCGACTTTCGTTAGTACAAAAGCAAGGAAATAGACATTTCCCGGGTATCTTTCTTTCCATCCCCACACAATCTCAACACTAGTATACTAAGATGGCAGTGTTTCCTAACTTGAGAATGACTGAATCGCGTAAACTAGACAGTAATCTACACTTGCTCTCTGCCTAGACTAGAGGCAACCTAGTCCACAACTAACTTTACGCGTGGCCATCTAAGTTAAGCTATACACCTTACTTGGTACATCCCGCTCTTTCCTCATTTGATTTTCATCTCTCCCTTACTCTTAAACCGACCTTGCTCGCAACTAAGAAATTCCGCTTTCTCCGTGAGACCACCAACTTCCACACTTCTCCAATCTCAGATATTACTACCCCTTCTCTCTCAACATGAAAACAATCAAACAAAAGCTCAGTCCACATGTTGCCTTACTCGCAGAATATCAAAATGCGGAATTCGTTCCGCCCCTCTGCATCTGGGTACCAAAACAGGCAAGCCGAACCAGATGACTGAACACTCACTGCCGAGGTCAACAACTTTCACTACCGTGCCACAAAAGGAACAACAATTGCCGCCCACAGAACCGAACTCGCTTACCCCAGATGCCCCGGATCCGTTTCCGCGAGATAAAGAAGCTCCCTGGGGTAAAAAGTCTTGACGTGCGTCAAAGGCTTGTCGTTGAGGCTTGTGAGTGGTCCGCTCAAGTGCGCTTTCCGGGCGTGCGTCAATGGCGGAAGAGGGTCAAAGGCCAACCAGCAGATGAACAGCAGACGTGTTGAGACGGCTGGAAGGAAGAAATTTGTTGACTGCACTGAGCATGTTGATGTGTGGAGTTGTGGGCAGGACTGGAAGTGTATTGCCGTGGGAGAAGACTCGGCCCATGGGGTTGGAGACGATTATATGTGCAGCCAATGTATATTCCGCGATGATTTAGTCCTTGCAGGCTCAACGACGATCCCCGGATTTTCTAAATATCCAAGGTGTTGCACGAACCCAGGTGCGCGGCGCTTCACACCGAACCATACACATAGAATCAGCGGTCTTCATATCGTCATCGTGGATTCCAACATCTTCAACACCACCACGCACGACCTTCCCTCCTCATCGCCATCTTCATCTCCACCTACGTCTCAACCCCCGCAGTTCCTATCGCCATGGAGGAAAAGCCCACCACAAAGCGCAACTCCCGCTTCAGCGACAGCAACGCAAACTCCCCCCGAAGCCCATCATTCACCAACATCCCCATCCACGACGAACCCTTGCGCAAACACTCAGTCGCCGGCAGCCATGTTGCCAGAAACAAAGCAGAGGAAATAGCGCGCATTGACGCCCTCGCAACCGCGCCAGGCGTATCCATGGCATCTTTTGCGCATCTCGACGAGAAGAAGATATTGCGCAAGATGGACTTGAGATTGATTCCTATGCTCGCGCTGCTATACCTCCTCTCCTTTCTCGACCGCGGCAACATTGGTAACGGTAGGAGTAATCTGAGTTTATATAGAAGCTCATTGAACTTACTGTTACAACAGCAAAGATCGAAGGGCTCACTGAAGACCTCAAGATGACACCTGCACAGTACAATTGGGTGCTAACTGCATTTTTCTTCACGTACGCGGCGTTCGAAGTACCCAGTAATTTGTTACTCAAGAAGTTAAGACCAAGTATATGGCTCCCGTCGATCATGGTAGCATGGGGCATTGTCATGACGCTCATGGGCATTGTACAATCCTACCACGGCTTGCTCGCTGCGCGCATTTTTCTCGGTGTCACCGAAGCTGGGTAAGTCGGTTTGGCGCAAAAAGCGCGGCGTAAGCGACATTCGGAAATATTGATAGTGAACAGACTGTTTCCCGGTGTTGCGTATTATATCACAATGTGTACGTAACTTCGATGTACGAAGTGCATGTTAAACATTGACTAACTCTGTGCCGACATTTAGGGTACGCTCGCCACGAAGCGCAGTTCCGACAAGCACTTTTCTTCAGCGCCGCCTCGGTAGCAGGAGCCTTCAGCGGCCTCCTCGCCTTCGGGATCGCGCACATGGATGGTGTTGGTAACCTCGCTGGCTGGCGGTGGATCTTTATCCTCGAAGGTATATTGACGGTGATTGTCGCAATTATCGCGTTCTTTACGCTGTTTGACTTCCCTGAAACAGCGAGTTTCTTGACTGAGGAAGAGCGAGCGTTTGTCGTGTATCGACTCAAGTACCAAGGACACAAAGAGGAGGCAGATGGCGGCATGAGAGTTGCGCAGGATGATACATTTCAGTGGAAGTTTGTCAAAGCTGCTTTCCTGGATTGGCAGATTTGGACGGATATCTTTGTATATTGGGGTCCGTTCCTGTGATCGCGCTCTTTTCCCGTACAAAACTGACGAGAATAGGGATTGTGTGCCCACTCTACGGCATTTCGCTCTTCCTACCCTCCATCATCAGAGGTCTTGGATACAAAAGCTCGACCGCGCAGCTCCTGACGGTGCCAATCTACGTCACAGCTTCCGTGCTCGCCATTGTAGTAGCTTGGTTTAGTGACCGCGCTGGAAAGCGGTATCCTTTCATCCTTGTGTGCCTGTGTATCATGGCAGTGGGATTCGTCATGTGTATCGCGGGCGGTTCGGTGCCAGGTCTCGTATATGCTGGCGTCTTCATTGCCGCTTGTGCTTTATATCCTGCATTTCCGGGCAACATCACTTGGTTATCGAATAGTAAGTTGGATCTTGAAGGCGATTTCCCGATACTAACGCGATGACAGATCTCGCTGGCTCGACGAAACGTGCGACTGGTCAAGCGATTCAAATCGCCGTCGGAAATCTTGCAGGAGGTGAGTGTCTCGCGTCCACCCAACGCTAGAGCAATTGTTGACGCTACCTAGCCATGGCCTCCAACTTCTACCGAGCGAAAGATTCTCCACACTATATCCTTGGGCATGCTCTTGAGCTTGCCTTTATTGGGGCAGGTATTCTCGCGTTGCTCGTAATGGTCTTCAATTACAAGAGGATCAATGCGAAGAGGGAGCGACAGTTGGCTGAGGGTGCGCATAACGGATATACGCCTGAAGAGCTGGGAGAGCTTGGAGATCGCGCAATCACGTTCAAGTACTTCTTGTAGACTAAAGAGCTATTAGTGCTGTAGCTCGAAACTTAATAGACACGTAAGTGACTACTTACTGTACGGTCACAGTAGTTTCGGCAACCCATTCAATAATCCTGTATGCCAGTCTCACCGGTCAAGACCTTCTCTTTGCCCTCCCCATCGGAGTCAAAGTCTGACTCCATGCTCTCAAAGTATGCTTCTTGTAGGTCCCTCTCCTGCTCAGGGTCGTCGTATATGTGATTGTTGTCTACTTTGCCATAGTCAAAGTCGTCGTCGCCTCCCCTCAGGAACCTCTGTGTCATCTCGTCCACCCACCACTTCCTCCCCTCGTCTTTGGTCATGGCCACGTCATCCTTTTCATCTTCCACAATCTCCCCCTGTGGACCTCTGTTGTAGGTGAAAAGCGAGTTGGGGTCTGGCTGAGCTAGGGCATCTTTCTTGGCTTCGGCGCGCCAGAGGTCGTTGGCCATTTGGCCTGAGAAGCCTTTGAGACGGCCTTCCGCTTCACGCTCTGAGTGTGTCTGGAAGCGGCGGATGAGTCGGTCATAGAGGAGGGGATCGGCGAGTTCGAGCGAGTCGTCGGACAGGTAGTCGGGATGTACCTCGAGGTAGCGTTTCCGGCGGTTCTTTGCGACTAGTTTGCGGGCGCGATCCTCTTCTTGTTCGCGCAGCTGCTCTCGGAGCAAAGTTTCGTCTATATCCGCGTCGTCCATGGATGCGTCCTCGCTGGCCTGGATCGTCTTGTTGCCGTCGTCGTCGCCATTGGTATCCGCGCGGTTCGGCGCGCCGCGTAGAGCAAGTGACACCATGACGGGTGATCCAGTCAGGTAGGGCATACTATTGAACGAATACAGACAGCTCGGCAAGCTCCAGGCTTCTGCTCAGCGACTTGCGGTGACGGCACGGAGAGTGAGGGAGCAATCTGGTACTTGTCGACTGTATTGATAATGACGCCACAAGCTCGAGCGACTCGGGCCACGCGCCATACCCAAAACGCGCCCGCCTAGAAGCACTCCACCTCAAATGATCGCCTGTTTCATCCGTGCATCAAACATCGGCTAGGAATAGCTGGCCTCTTGGTTTAATTTCGTCGTCGCTCCCTCTCTCTTTTCTACCTTGCTTGCTTTTGTGGTGTCTCTGTGCGTTATCACTATTCGCAGGCCGAATATAATTTACGGCAGTGCGGTCCGCAGAGCGTGAGAAAGAGCTTGGAAATCTTGGCCATTTGCGCATTACCTGGTCTTTTCGCATCATTTATACATCTTGTACAATTCTTGTTGGCTTATTTTTACTTCGACTGTTCAGTTCTTTTTAAGACCACAAGAGATAGACTTGGTAGACATCACCAACATGTCCTCAAGACAAAAAACACCAAAGAAGCCAAAGGCAGCGAAGGAAGCCGAGAAACAAACACGACACCTCCCGCCTTCAACGGTCCTCAAAAATGTCGGCCGCGCAGCAGCGCTACTCCTTATCGCGGGCATTGCATCTCCAGTCTCGCAACTAAACTTATCACCTGTGTATGGATCCATCCCCGCCTCACTACACCACCAGCGGACCATGACTCTCACCGCTGTCGCCGCCTTAATCGGCCGCCGAGGACTCAAGAGCTATGTCTCCGCAAGTGTTGCCGACTATATCGCTGTAATTGCGTACTGGACACCAGTTCTGCAGTTCTTGCTATTTCCGTATAGTGCAAAGCTCGGAATTGAGTATGGACCGCTAATCATTGAGGCTTTCACGTATTTCCCGTTGCTTTTTCTAGCCGTGTATGCGGCAGGCGATTTCCTGGATACAGTGGATTTGGAGCGGTTCAATCTTCCGGCTTCCCTGGGGGAAATTGCGATGCCGACAGCAACTTATTTCACGGTATCGACTGTAGCCAAGCTCAGCAGCGCCCTGGTTCCTAACTTTGTTGGAACATCTCTGTACTTTACACGCGTCGGTCTGCAGATGCTACTCGCATCCGCATCCGCCTTTGTCACACCATCACGCGTAATCTTCCTCGCCTTCCCAGCAATTCTGCACACGCTCTGGGCAAATCCGCACCATTTCTCAGAGCATGCTTTTCAATTGGCGAATTCTACCTTGGTATCAACGCAAAACTACACTCTCCTTGCCCGCCAGGAATCGATCACTGGATACATCTCAGTCGTGGAGAACTACGCTGATAACGCTTTCCGCCTCCTTCGTTGCGATCATTCATTGTTAGGAGGCGAATGGCTTGTTACGCCCGAAGCCTACAAAAAGGGCCAACGACAGCGAGAATCGATCTTCGCTGTCTTCGTTTTACTCGAAGCCGTGCGTCTTATTGAGCCACCTATCACGGCTGAATCCTCCACTCCCATCCTTCTCGACGACAGCCAGAAATCCGCCCTAGTCATTGGTCTCGGTATCGGCACAGCGCCTAACGCTATGATCGGGCATGGCATCAATACGACGATTGTAGAGCTAGATCCTGTAGTCCACCACTACGCGACGAAGTACTTCAACCTCAGCCCCAATCACACAGCTGTCATCGACGATGCAACCGCCTATGTCTCCTCCAAGTCCGTTACAAACCCTGGCTCTTTCAACTACATAATCCACGATGTGTTCACCGGCGGCGCGGAACCCGTGTATCTCTTCACTACAGAGTTCATGAAAGGCTTGTACAACTTATTGACCGACGATGGAGTGGTGGCAATCAATTATGCAGGAGACCTAACGCTGGGAAGTACAAAGCTCGTATTGAACACCATTCATGCCGTGTTCCCAGCTTGCAGGCTATTCCGCGACGCGCCCGCTCCGGAGACGCCAAAAGAGGGCGAACCAGATTTCATCAACATGGTCGTGTTCTGTGTGAAGAACGACCACGGAAAGGGCAAGTCGGCGGTAAACTTCAGGCAGACTACGAATGCAGACTACCTAGGGAGTATCGCACGTCAAAACTTCTTGCAGCCAAGAAAGGAACTGGAGGTCAAGTACAAATATGTGCGCCCGGAGAAAGGTGGTAGAGTCATGGGTAATGCAGATGTGGGCGAGTTGGTAAAGTATCACAAGGAGGGCGCTGTCAGTCATTGGAAGATCATGAGGAGTGTGCTTCCAGATGGGGTGTGGGAGACGTGGTGAATTATATCCAAATTTAGTACTATGTAAGAGAGAACGGGCCGCTACACTGGTTAGATATAAAATTGTAAATATATGCGTTTACACGCTTAGATTTCTTAGGGAAACGAGTCGTGTATCAGATCAACGATTAGGGATCTCGCAGTATTTGTGGCGTCTAAGAAATGGTGGTGTATGGAAGCTAACGTGTACATGAGTTATGTCCTTGATATGCCCATTATCCCTCGACACGCCCCTTTCGCAGGCGCGCTATTTTCGAATCCTCTTTCCCTTCAATAAGCCAATAGCTAGGCTACCAATATCAGCCTTTCCATCTACGTCGCCGACACCGAATAGCTTTCTAGCAGCCTCATAATGCGTTTGGTAGAGTCTATTTAGGTATGGATCTGACATTGCAAGACGCTATGGTGTTGAGCGTGGAAGAATCAATGTAATCACAAACATCCCCGCACTCAAAGTACTTTCACAGAACCAGCGATAGCTCAACTAGGGCGTAGGCGCTTTGGAAATCCTCTTCTCCTCCTTGGTTAACTTCTTGTTTGTCGGCTCACCATACTTGAACCCCCACCACTTAGATACTTCTGGGAGAGCGCTTATATCCTCTTGTGTGAATACATTGTCTGTGATCTGGAGGATGGGCCAAAGACCATTTTCGATGGGATTTGAGGCGAAAGCTGGAAAGGCGACCTGATAGTTTAGCGGTTGCCGGCCCGAAATTCTTTTCGCCGACAACCCATTGTTAGGTGTAGGATGGAGACAGTAATACCCGTTTCTCTGCGTCGGGAATCTGAAAGGATACAGAATGATCCGAAAGTCGAAATGGTCCAAAACAAGCAAAGCCTGTAGCTCGATGAGGGCTCGTGTACTGAAGCGTACATTGACAAAGAGATCTTGATACTCGACAAATTCGCTCTCGGCAATTTCGAGAGGGTACTTATTAAGAAGTCGAAAGGCCTCTGTGGCGACCTTGGAAGCCTCCATTATCGTAGGGCATATGTTGATGTCCAGAGGACCACCGGTGCGGAACCATTTGTCACCATCGGCTGGTTCTCGTGGGTTCCTATCAGGGTTCGATGCGTATTTCCTCATATTAGATTGCCAGCCCATGAATGCCTTTGTCTTCATGGGTTTGATCTCCGGGAATATTCGAAGGTGCTTCTGCTTGTCTGGCGCATGTGCAGTGTTCCAGACATAAACCTTCCAGGTTTTGATAATCTTGCGATATTTCGAGAGTGCGTCCCTTTGCTGTTTGGCGCTGAGTGAACTGATAGCCCTATCTTCGCCCTCTGAAGGGTCCCAAGTAACTTCAATATCGACAAGTTCGATACTGTACGCAAACTGTCGGCCTGGCATGTCGTCGGCCTGACCAAGAGGCGTGAGGTGAATGGTTTCAACACGCGCGTCTGTGGTCGGTATTACCGTTTCGATCTCTGACAGATGGGGAAGCGCATGCAGCCATTTATTGAGAAGCTTTGTATCCTTAGACGACTCAAGTCGCCTGACATTTGTAAGTAGTCGTTGTGAAGGGTCTGCTATCGGTGCAGTGATCCTAGGCACTATATTCTCATTTGGTTGCCGTATCTTCTTCTTCGCCCACGCCGGCTTAGAATTCGGCTTCATGGTTCTCTTCCTGTGCGTGGTTGACTGGATTTCATCGTCGGGTGACAATTCGTCGCTTCCTTGATCGGAAAGCCCAGAAGGGGTGATCGACTCCTCGGGTTCGTATTCACTGTCGAGAACTTCGTCTTGTAATTGACTGTGACCGCGAGGTCTACGAGCATTGCCCTGCAGTCCGCTGCTAGTGTTAATACATTGCCTATCATTGCCCTTGGTCGACGTACCTCTGTGAGAGAGAGCAGAATAAGTTGTAAAGCTCGGAGAGCTCTCTGCAAATCGTAAAAGCGGTGTTGCAACAAAATAAACGGTACAGTACCGCGACGCAGAAACTTGGTCGCAGAACCATAGAACTGATTCTAGCCACGTAACAGCGATGCTGCTGCTGCTGCTGCTGCTGTAGGCAGCAGAACAAAAAGCCAGCAGTCTGTGTGACGGACTAGGTGATGGGTGTGGTCGTGGTGACGTGCTAAGCTATCGTGAGTGAGAGATTGAAGGAAAGACCGCCCGAGTTTATCGTAATATATGTTTCGGTTGGCAGGTTATTGGGGTGAGGTGAAGGTGCAAACGCGCGGGCTTGGCATCCAGAGTCACCCACGATGTTGTTGTTGCCTGCCTGCGGCCCCGCCTCTTGCCAACAACGCAACCTTCCACGCTTAAGAGGATTTTCAAAGCGCCTACGCCCTAGTTGAACTATCGCTGGTCCTGTGAAAGTTGATGGCTCCTAATGGCTACCTCTGTAGTATATAGCAATGTACAAGTACGTGCGCACTGACGTTGCCTTCCCGCTAACCACGAGCCCAAGCGCGTGTGCTTCCTATAAGTAGGGGTATTAATGTGATCATTAAATGAACAGACAACTGCCTCATAGACTAGCCAGGAGGCATTTAGCACTTTTAACAACTACTAGCTCCGCCCTTATAACGCACCTAGACATGCCTTGATGTTTGCTACTTACAATATCTGACTATATTGTTCTAAACATGTCCCAGTCCACCGTGGCAGCTTCTGTCACGTAATAGTTATTGACAGAAGGGTATATGGGCTTAGCCTACTATTCCAACTCTTCTTGAGCATTACAATGCGATACGATTCTGAATGATAGATATCCTGGTCCAATGACAACGTCTGTCGAGGCGGAGTGGTAACTGAACCCTCTAGGTCAGAGGACATGGTCGGTTTGATATACGTATTGCAAGCATAAGTGGGTAGGATGGTTTGAGGCACATCTAGGTGTGTTATAAGGGCGGAGCTAGTAATTGTAAAAGGTGCCAAAGGCCTCCTGGCTAGTCTAGGAGACTGCTGATTGAGTTAAGGCCAAGGGGGCCACGTTGTATTCGTAATGATACTAAAACAGGAATATATGTGCAAAAAGCAGCCGTGGTATATACAACTCTTTCCCAGCCAAGAAAGGTCTCACCAAAACGCCCTTGTATCCACCAGGTATCATCAGTTCGTCTTGCACAGTCCTCGTGAACACCTCTTAAACAAGCACCACTTCACTTCTTCTCATAGTGAGAAGCCTCAAGATCCTTGTTGGCAACAATGGAATCAAAGTCTACTGCACCCTCCTGCACACCAACATGGCTCTCGCTATACGCATCAAGCTCCTTGCCCTTGACGAGATTAAGGTAGATCGGGTAACTCCAAGCGATGAAGAAGAAAACGAGGGGAATGCACATGGCCTTGCGGGTACCGATTCTATCAGCGACGTTGCCGAGGATGACAGGGACAACGGCGCCGCCGCAGACGGAGGAGACGAGGTAAGAAGCACCGCGCTTGGTATGGCGACCGAGACCTCTCACTATACCAAAATTAGCTTTGCACAACACAACTTGAGACATCGATTGACTTACGTGTTAAAGCGAAGATTATGGGAAAGATACATCTGGGCGGTTGTTAGTAGGTGTTCGAAAGGATGCGAGTATCTCTATTTTACGCAGCTAGCATGAGGTTTCGCGAACGCAGTCGAATGAAAGCCTAGGAAGATGGCATAAGATAAAGAACGATTTCCAACTTACGACTCGAAGAACAAGGTAATCATGAGCATGGAGAGGCCGCCCCAGTTGGGCTTTTTGCCGTGGCCAGTGTCGGTGCCAATGGCCGCTGAGATGAAGACCATGATGAGGGTTTGGAAGGCCAGAAGGACGTAGCGGGGTTTTCCGCCATAGTACATAAGACCTGCAGCGGCGAAACGACCGATAGCGAAAAGACCTTGAGCGATGGCATAGAAATTGGCACCTTGCCTGTGGCCTTCTGTGATGTTCAAATCGGGCCTAGCCTCGGTGAAGTAGTTGATGAAGTAAGCAGCCACACCAACTTGGGCACCGACGTAGGAAAACTGAGCGGCAACACCCCAGAAAAGAGTGTACTGCTTCTTCATGGGCTTATCGACGTAGCCGGTCGCAGCGGTAGTCATCTCAGCTTGATCGGCCATGTCGGCGTCGGAGATTTCGGGGATAGGGGCAAAATAGAAGACCACGGCGAGGATCCCCACGAATGCAGCAATTCCAAGGTAGACATATTGCACACTCTCCAGAGAGCGACCATCTGCTCCAACGTTCTTGAAGATGACCTGGCCAGCAAGGACAGGCGCTACGACGGATCCAACAGCCTGGACAGACTGGGATAGCTCAAGACGGAATTCGGACCATTTTGGGGGACCACTATAAAATGTCAATAGTTATACAACAAGACCAGAGGCATCTAACGAACCATACGGCGATATATGGGTTCGCACTAGTCTCGAGAGTCGATAATCCGGAGCCTGCAAGGAACATGGCGCCACAGAAGCCGCCGAAGCTTCGCTTGACCGCTGATGGCCAAAACATCAAAGCACCAACGCAGTAGATGGAGAGGCCGAGCATGAACGTATAACGGTATCCAAACTTGCGAAGGAACCAGCCAGAGTAGGTGAGAGGGCCAATGAAGTAAGCACTGAATGGGTTAGTAGACATTTCATCACCCCGTGAATGACTTCAACATACCCAAAGTAAGACGCCTGAAGACCAGATGATTCGCCCTGAGTGATATGCAGAGCAATCTGGAAGCGAGAGTTCAAGACATCGAGAAGGCCGTAGGCGAAACCCCACATGAAAAAGAGAATGGTGACCAGGACAACCGGGACGATGGATTGGCGCGTGGTAAGGGCGCTGGCACCAGTGACGACGCGATTGTCAACGCTCTTTCGTCGAACCTGCTGCTCGACTACTTCAGCCACTGAAGGACGACGGCCCTGCTGCTCGTGGACCTGTTCCAACGTGGGCTCTTGGGAGCCGCCGAAGAGCTTCATGATGGAAAACGAATACCAGGATTGGCCGATACGACAGGCACGATTCAGGTAAAGGTAAATAAAGGTGATCCGGAGATCAAGAAATGACGTTTGTATAAAGGTGGATCCCAGATGCGCTTGAAAGCTGGAGAACCGAACTGATGAGCATCAATGGGGGAGGGGTCCGCGTCCTAATATATAAACTCGTCCCATGTTCCTAATATGATAGTCGGGATACGCATCACGACAGGACTGGCGCCATCCAGACTCAGTAAGTCGGTGGTACATCGGTGGTCCATTGCTGGCGTTGTTTGAGCGCAGCCGGCCATGCAAGCTGGGGTAGGCTTGATGGTTGCTTCATGCCCTCGCTAACGCGCCGAGCCATGCACTACGCCCCCGGGACTTTCGCAAGCTCGCTCTCGAAATGCGGTCCTGGTAGGCTGGGTGCTCCACGGCCCTTTTGTGGTCTGCAGATTCTTGCCGAGAGTGTTGCCGTGCGCCATGGGAATGCTCGCTAGCAGCCAATCGCGCACTGTTGGGTGCAACATGAGAACCAACACGCCCTCCCCGGACAGATCCACTTCGCTGTTGAGCCTCATGACAGACAAATCCTTCCGCATACTGGGGCCCCATAGCAATCTCCACGAAACTACCCCCGTGGAGAAGAACTAGCGGCGAAAATCTCTAAGTTCGGGAGCCGCGGAGTGCAGGAGGCCGTCGGTCGTAGGCCAAGTCCAAAAGCTGCACCCCCGCGATTGATCGCTGATCTCTGACGTGCGGTTACACACAAAGATCATTCACTCGTAAACTCGTAAAGACGGGTAACAAGCCAAGTCAAGGCGATCTTAGAGGCCCGAGACTGGGTGCCGAGCAACCAAGAGAGCTCTGGGCTGCGCCAAAGTCGGCTTCTGGTAGACCACGATCTCGCCAAGCGCCGGTGCAAACGATGGCGTGCAGACGATGTAGGGCGCTTGGATCATTGAGCATGATGACATGAAAGATTGTTGAGGCTCCTGTAGCAGCCCTGGAGTTCAAGGTGGCCGAGCGTGACCCTAAGCTTAAACAGTGTTGTAAGCACTGGGATGAAGCGAAACACCCAGGGTGCAATGCAGTATTCTCTACGGGATAAAAGCTCTTCCAAATGAGACATTTGTGAATAGTGTGATCAGCAACAGTAAATTCGCTCAACCTCATGAAATACCACCATCTCCCAACTTAATCGCAAACAGCATACAACGTAGAGCAGAACCAAATCCTTCCCGCCACCCTTCGGCCTTTAGTACCGCGCATGTTGATCCATCTCCTCACCTGCTCGAGATGACGCCTCCGAGCCGACTAGGGTACTGAATAGCGCGATGCACCTTTCCAGCTGCATCCTGGGGTAAACTCAAGCCGCGTGCTGGGGACGACATCTCAACGTAATGTTCTAGTCGGCTTCTAGCGCGCTTCCTCGCATTGCACAAGGCGCTAAGACCCCTCGTCGGACATGGGTACCGTGATGCCATGACGCTATCGGTGTTACCCTGCGGGTAGAGGCCATTGGGCCGTTGCTGGCCGAGCAGCGTCGGAAGGTTTATCGGACGGAACGCCAGACGGCAGTCTGGGCAGCGGCATATGAACGGCGGAAAGCAGATGCTGCAGATAGTCCCGTGGAGATGTTGGTAGGATGGGCTTGCGGACTCTAGAACGTGAGGGTTTGTCTGGCGATTTGGTGTGGAGCAAGGGTGCAGAGAGGTGTAGTATAGGCTGTGAAAGGTGGACCGAGCGAGTAATAACATAGGTAGCAACACATTGAGCATTCGCCATGTAAAACTTTGAGCTAGACATTAAACCAACCCTACATTGCATTCCCTTGAATAAGGACGCAAGAAGCTCCAGAAGAAAAAAAGACAAGGTATCCTCGCGCTAAGAATATGCAGAAGCGCCGCCCACCCAACCCAGGTTCATCACAAGTCCCCTATCAAACCCCAAGATACGAAAATCCAAGGGGGCGGGCTCGAACTAGAACTGTCCCTTACCCAAGCGCCCCAAACTCCCGTACTCCCGCCCTCTGTACATAGCGCGTATATGCTGGCTGCTCCTGCAGTTGCCTCGATGCGGCACAGTTCACTAGTCGCTAGGTTTTTTGACAATCTGTACATCACTCCTTCTGTCCCTCATTAAGCACAAGCTCAACGACGACTTGACACCTCTCCTGATGCGGATGCTGCAAACTCAACTTGACTGTCCTCCCATCAGCCCCTCCGCCTAAACCATCATCCAAACACTTAACATCCCTACCCGCAATAACCTGCCTCAGCCTTCCATTCTGCGCATTCCGAATCTCCACAAAGTCTGGATCGAACAGAAGAACATATGGCCCGTATGTGGCCGCAGACTTGGCCTTGCCGACAAACTCCATGATGACGGAGCGGCTGATGTCGCCGTTCTTATTGATATAGACGGCGCATTCTTCGTAACAAAGGAGGAACTCTTGGTCGCTGAGGCGGAACATGCCCAGTGGGTCTTGGTTTTGCAGGCGCGAAGCGATAGTGGCGACATGGGGTTGCTTCAAATCAGGGACTGACCAGGGGTGCTTCTTGTCTAGAGTGAGCACTTCGAAGCCCTTCGCTGTAGAGACAGCTAGAGACGAGTGGAAGAGGTTGATTGTGAAGCAGTCTGCTGGGATGTAGAATTCATCGAATTCCCGGAAGAATTCTGTGCGGCCTGACTTCCATAACCTCGACTTCTTCTCGGTCGACTTTTGGTAGACAGGCTCGAGGACCTTGAAGGTGGATGAAATGCCGTCACGCTTCTTGTAGAAGACGAGCGTCCTGTCTTTCATGACACCAGTTGCGAAGAAGCCGATATCGCGCGCACCTGACAGCTTTTGGGGTGCTCTTCGAGCGGAATCGTTCGTGGGAGGGACACCACTGACAGGGCAGACAGAATCTAGATGGTAAGCAACCAAAGACTTGTCGGTTATGAGCAGCATTAAGCTGAATTGCTCGAGGACCGCGATCTGTGTTACTCTGGGTACTTGAATGGCCTGATATCGTCAGCTGAAATTGGCCAATGGCATACCCTAGGATTCTATGCGCGTACCTTTGACCAACCCCGGGGATTGTCGAACTCTGAGACATAGACACCAATGTCAGTACCAACGGCTACCATGTACTTGCCATAAGGCTGGTTGAAGGCCGTTGCACAATTTACGCGGGCTCGGCAAACTGGTACTGGACGGCCCACATTGACAAACATCTTCTCGACTTCTTCTACTGACCGATCAAGTGGCGTACCCTTGATCGTGATGGCCTTTTGCGATGGCATTGCGCTATCGTATGCGAAAGCAGCATCAGCCATGACTCGTAGCCGGAACGGTTCGGCGTTTTGCGCAAACAAGGCTGTAGCATGCCGTGTCTTTGCGATGATGAGCTTGTCGCACCATTCAGCTCTATTCTGTGCTGACGGGGCGTATAGCGTGTAAGTCTCTTTGCCTAGATGCTTTACTCTGAACGGATACAAAATCTTCTCGTCCTTGTTAGTCTCCACTGTATTTGTGTTGACTAGCGTTTTGCCAGAACCGTTGGTATTGGTTGACCCTAGGGAGTTGGAGGTGGTGGTGTGTACCAAGGCGCCGGGAACAGGGCTGTTGCCAGGTCGCCCTCCAGAGCCCGCTACCCTACCAGCCACTGTGGTGACCGTGGATATACCCTTCATGGTAGAGCGCACAACGGGATCGTCATCTTCGCTCTCCAGGACAAGGAGATCCATGGGAATCGGTAACCTGGAAACGTCATATTTTTCTGACTTGGTAACACCATCCGCTTCTCGGTACGATACCGTCTTCGCAAGTACAAGGTAATGGTCGAACAGTAGTGCATGCGTTTCGAGCCAGTTGAATCGACTGCCTCCCATTCTTTGTAGGTCGCCCCGGTAGATAAGCTCTCGTCCTAGGTGGTCCAAATTGAGTTCTACGCGTTGCATACCCGGTCGTAAGATGAGCTTCGCTTGTAGATCCGTGAGGCTAACCTTCCGACTCATCTCGGCAACCCGACTGTCACACTCCAGAGTCACAGCTTTGATCTCCCCTTTCGCAATCTGCAGGTTGCGTTTCTCCTCGTTGTCCACAGTTGAATTCTTAAGCACTGTATCGATGAGAAGACCGTAGCGCTGCAACCTATCAATAGGCCCCTTGAGGTACGTGTCCCAACTGAGCTTGTTGGACAGCTTGTTTGTTCGAGCTTCATCTAGGAAAGTACGGAAGAGCATGTTCCTATCCGCCTCCTGGCGGACTAGGAAACTTGCGTAAGGAAATGCTGCAGCATACTCGATATATGCTTGCTTGGCTTTCCGAATCCATTCCCTGAAGATGTCACTGAATCCGACAATCCAAGGTCCCTGCTCTTGCTGTCTGTACTTGATCTGGGGCAAGAGATGGTCCTCGTTTGCTTTTCGGACTGCGTCCACCTTGCTGAAGACATCGTTGATGAATTTATTGAGCTTCTTGGGAGGAATGACTGGAGGTTGTGCTGCTACCAAGCGGTCACGGTAGAGACGGCGCAGAACATCGAGTCGCTCCATATAGTTATCTTCTCCCTGAACGATTTCATGGAGAATGTTTTGACGCTCAATTTCCTTTTTGTTTGCTTTCTCAACGTCTTCCTTCTTCAGCTTGTAGAAGGTAGCCCAGTCCTCCGACTGAGAAGCGGCCGATGGCGAGTTGAGATCAATCTTTTTCAGCGTCCGTTGGCAATGATGCGAGTAGCATCGACCAGGACTTGCGTGTGTGTGGAGCATTGGCGCGTAACATCCCGCTCCGGTGAGTTGGAAGATGACACCAGTCATGCTTGCTGATGAGAATTTCAACCATTCCTCCTCATGCACTAGCGTCCCTGCCTTATACATTTCGGCCACCACCCGACTACTCAAGGTCTCGGCATCCGCAATGTTCATTGTTGGTACCTTGTGGGTGAAGAGGGCGATCAGCCCTTCTTGGATGGGCCCTTCCTTGAGATCATTTTCGCCTTCTGTCATAGACTTGAGCCAAGTGATGATTGAGCTGAGCGCCCATGGCTCGGTGCACTTCTTGAAGTCGTTGGTGGAGAGTTTGGCCGGATTGAAGCGCTTGCCAGTTGGAAGAGTAGGGAGATCGATGGCCACGCCATCCGCACTACCAGGGGTTAGAGTGTTTCCATCGCTATCCACAGCAGCACCATAGAAGGTGTTACGATTAGCAGCCTGTCGTGCCCTGTGCCCTTGCTCGGCGTCGGTCTTTGATCTCGGAAGCGGTATTGCTGCGGGTGCGTTGCTGTGTTGGAGTAAAGAGGTCGAGCGAGGAACAGCGACCCCGGTTGGTGATATCATCTGGCTAGCATTGGGATCAACGGGGTAAGAGCCACGTGATGATGGAGCATTGCGCCAATACTCATAAGAACCAGAACCGGTTGAGCCCGTGCTCTGGTGGTTCAATCGCCGGTTCGCGCTCGCATTTGCATTCGCTGGGGGAGGAGGCAGAGGCCGGTTGGAGATACCAGGGTGGAAGAACATGTCTGCTGGCTCGCCAGGCATTGCAGACAGCGGCCCCGAAAGAGTTGAACCAGACATGGCGGATGCGCTGTCCATGAGAGTGGCTTCGTCGCCTTCGTCGTAGCTTCGCCGCCGCGCGCTCGGCTCTTCCAAGCCCCCGGTCCCAAATGTATCGACACGAGCATTACTGGAGAATGATGGGAAGGGATGGATCGGGTCGTACTGGTCGCTGGCAGGTTCTGAACGCCGCTGCGAGCCCGAGGTCGATGGGCCACTGCCGCCTGATGCTAGCTGACTTGGATCTCCGCCGTAGTTGAACGAGGGCATAAAGTTGCCTCCAAACCCACTCACGTCGACGCCTGCACCAACATAATCGCTATCGCTTGCACTTTCCTCTGCCGGCCGACTAGCTCCGGCAGATTGATGCGGAGATTGTAAGCTGGTATAGTTGCTGAAGAGACCAGTTCCTCCACTACGCCTGCGGGCCTCGTCCGCCTCTTCCTGTTCTTCTGCCATTCGAAGTGCAGCCAAGCCAGCGGCTGCCTCGACATCACTCTCATCGCTAGTATACGTATCGCGAGCAGGGAATGATGGCGCAAGTCGGTCGCCATTAACGCGGTCTCCGTTCCTCCCTGTTGGCTGTCGATCCAGACTATCGGGATAGTATTGGCCGCCGTTCGGTTGTTGCACTTGGATGGATGGCTGGCGCCCCCCTGCCGTCATGGTCATGACATCATTGAACAGCTCGTCTTGATTATACGGAGACCCATTCTGCGTCGGGAAGTAGTCGTCGCTGTCAGATTCGTGTGGAGGCGGGGGGAGCGGTCGAGAGGAGACGGTGTTTGTTCGCTGCGGCGAGCCATGAGGAGGCACCTCTGGTGTTGGAGGGAGCGTGTTTGAATGTTGGCTCGAGACGGAGGAAAACCTGTCAACGCGCTGTTGCGAGCCGTAGCCGTTGTCGTATGCAGGTGGGGAAGGAAGCGGGGCGTGCGAGGCGGTTGTGGGTTGATAGTAGGATTGGGACGAAGCATTCGAAGGCTGACGACCCGGATAGCTACCCCAATCCTCTGTTGGCGACTGGGCGCTCCCTGGAAGCGCAGGGAGGGGTGGTGGGGCAGGAGGGGTGTAAGCTACTCTGCCCTGACCCTGAACAGAAGATGTTCGCCCGAATTGCGAACTCTGGTAGACATTGGGCGACGGGTAGGAAACGGTGGGCGAGGTGGGCGAGAAGCCATAGGGATGGCTGACTGTATTGGTCCTGCCCAGGCTGGTGTCCGCATAGGCAGCTGGAACATATGGCTGGTGTTGTGACAGCGCGGGGGGAGCAAACGTCCTGTTGACGCCGCCATACTGCTGGGGATTGGGCAGAGGTATGGGTTGAGAATTGTAGTGCTGGGGGTTGTACTGCTGCTGCGATTGCGGAGGGTATCCATAGCTGCTGCTGTTGTATCCGCCCGCCGTGGGAGACAACGGGGCCTGGTTCAACTGCGGGGAGTTGGTCTCGCCCATGAAGAGCTCGTCGTTCTGGCGCGTAGTATAGCTGTCGCGCCGGGCTGGCGGGGGGTACGCGTAGCCCGCAGCTCCTCCATTTGCCTGAGGATCCCCATGGCCCGTCGCGCCGCCTGCGCTCGAGTGCGGTATATTGGGGTTGTAGTAGTTCTGGCCGTTCCCGTAGTACGACATGGCGACGTGGGCTGGCGGAGAAGCCTAAGGAGGCGCGATGGGGGGTGGTGCAGTCGAAGTCGTCATTCACGAGGCTACCTGATGAGGTTGCGCGGGCAGCATGACCAGGGCCGCTGAGCTGAGGTCGGATTTTTGCAATCGAGCCCGCGCGCGAGTGGCAGCAGTAGCAGCGAACTAGATGCCTTGATCCTCGGGATGTGATCGCATGCGCCCGCCAGAGGTTGCTCCGTGTGTGAAGCGTGGGCAGCGGTCCCTGTGCTTGCTGTGCCAGCTCCCGAGCGAATCGTCAGCTGTCTTGTGGGCGTCCGTAGCGCGGGGAACGGGCCGTTTGAGGGGGCAGATGCTCGTAGTTTGGTAGAGGCTGGTTGCGATGCTGGACGACAGGAGCGATGTCGAGTACAGGCTGGCAAGAGTCGTGAGTATGCTTATGGGCGGCAGTGTTTAATTCCACCATGACCGGTCCACGCCTGAACGGAGCCAAGCGTTTCAGTGGCAGCCCTACGAGCTGGCGCTGGGTGCCTGCGCATTGATAAGCCTCACCCGCCCCCATCGTTGCGCCTCGTCTCTTTTCCATGGCAAATGTATGCCACAGCATGTAAGAGATTAAATTCTGATTACATTACTACTCCCATCAAGTGTTGCAGTTGGTGCCGAGTTCTCTTTGATGCTGGAGCTATCTTCAATGACCCAAGGTAAACGGATGCATCATGCAACTCTGAGCTACGACTTATCAAACAAGCGGGCACCAGTCAATGGAGCCAGACGCTTAGGTATACAAATCTTCGCACATTACAGCACAAGGTGAAACATCCATTTCATTGGGTTAGATCACTGATCTGCATCAAGCAGGCTTCGGGTAGACATGAACCGGAAAGAGGTGCGTTCGCAACCTGAACCTGAATGCACTGGTGCACTGTGTAAGGCGAGTGCTTGGGCTGTGAGTGAAGTAATCAAACCATGAGATCGGGCGGTCTTGAACAAACCTTTGACTTTGAACGGTCCTGCTAGATGTATTCAGAAAAGAGGGGAGGCTGACGCTGTGGTAGGACGTTACATTCTTAGGACCCCAGGCACAGCAGAAGTTTGAAGTGGTATTTGTTCGATATTTACCATTCTCTTCGAGGAATTGGATTGTGAGGTCTTTCCATACAAGGTAGCCTGCAGGCCTTCGAGGTGTTTCGCAGCACGAGCCGTATCCTCGGTATACGTTGAAGGCATACAGCGTCTGTTATGATAGGAGCAGACTGCTTGTACTTGCCTCATTGTAGGTCTCAAAAACCCACCAGAGTTGTAACTTTGCAGGGTTAATGAACCGATGCTTACCTCGAACGTTAGCATATCGCGTATTGGACTTGCCCGGGAGAAGCGCCATAGATAAGGGCCAAGCTCTTAGATGCATACATACTTTCAGTCATTTTGCGAGCACTTGGGTTTTTAGTGGACGTATATTCCTGTTTAAAGAGGCGAATGGCTCCTTCCACGTACATCATGAAGAGAACATCTACTCGACAACTGACTTTATGAACCTCTTTAAGGGCACCGGTATTCTAATTCTACTAAACTCTGCTGCAGAAGTTGGGAGGAGAAAAGGCAACAGCAAATACCTTCCTGATACAGAGTTCGCGTTCGGGCACTACACGATGATCTGACTTGGGCACCTATAAGGCAAAGACTCGACGGGAATTAGCGAAAACGCACCAAGAACATAGTAGCAACATTATCGACGAATGATGCGACCTGGTGTGTACAGTGACATCGCACCACTTTATAATGTCAACTGAAGCACTTGCACGACTACTGTTAAGGCGGATACTAGGACGACAAGGACATTGAGAAGATCTGCGAAGAACTCAAAGTCAGTCCCCTCTTCAACCCTAAGAAGCTGAAGCCGTTTCAACGACTATAGCTAGCATTACCTTACATGTATCCTGTCGTAGTTTTAGCTAGAGAGAGGAAAGGACGAGGCGCTTAAGGGCAGATAATAGCCTTTTGGCGCTATGCTCTTAGATTCTCCATTATGAATCTGAGATGTGAGACATTGATGGGAGAGTCAAAGGGAGGCTGAGGCTGACTTGTCTGTGTATATATCAGCTGATAAGTCGCGCTGCAGATAGTAACGGGCAGTTGTAAAGAATGCTTCGATCCGGATCCGAGACTGGTGCTGAGGCTGAGCTGCGGTCAAGAGGCAGCTGGCCGCATTTGCCAACTTGGGCTGTCAGCCTGACCGATATGAGTTATGTAATGAATTTAGCACTAGTTCAGCTGGGCGCTGCATGTACTCTTGTAGTTGAATGCGGTCCATACGAAGTGACATACAAACTAATTAGCCTTCTATCAAGCTATTGCAATACACTGGCATAGTCAGCTACGCTAGATTTGATCAAGACTAGCCTCAGCCTCGAATCCAATATCAAACGTCCTCACTCCTCCCACAGTCGTTGTTCTTAGCTCACCCAAATACCGGGTATCTTCGAAGCCAACCAAGTAGATAACAGGACGTGTCTTTTGGCCAAACACGGTCGGGGTTTCTTGCATGGGTCGGTCTTAGCGCCAATGCTTCGACTGGATCGACTTTAGGTTTTCGAAAATCCTTCGAGAAGGTGCGCTAGCAACGATATGCTTTCAACCATCTCCCAGCTTCGTCCCAATCGACGGTCAAAATGACGCGTATCAGCAGCTGCTTTTGATGGCTGCCAAATGCTGGTATGTGCCGTAGTGGGGATATTTCCTGGACTAGACTAGATAGACGATTGCTACGGTGGGCAACAGGGCACGCGATGTGGACTTGTCGGGCTTGGACGAGTGCTGTCGTGAGCGTGGCGACCAACCGCTGGCCCGTGATTCGGTGTTGGACGTGGCTTAGCCCTATCGAGGAAGCGGCGACCCGTCAGCACCTGCCACCCACAGAACGCATTCACCGTGCTTAGACGAGGAAGGGAGCGGGGAACAGATTGCGCCAACAACAACGACAGACTCGTTGTATGCTTGCTTCTCTGCACTGCGCTGCTTCGTCACATGCCTGCGCAATTCACCCAAAGACATTGCAGGACAAGGCAGACTGCCCCCAGACCGCCATGGTGGATTCTACGCCTGACGTGCTCCGATAGCATGTCGCGTTCACCGGGACCCGCAAACGTTGCTCTGCCTCTTATCTGGCCGAATAGCGAATCGAAGCAGAACAACAGGCTTGGCTCATGGTGCCATGGCCACGGCCAAGCAATGCAGACAGGGAGTGTTCCACCACCCCATGCTCTAACAGGGAGGTGATATTCTCCTCTAGTACCGCGGGGAGCACCCACATCTTGATTAGTCCTTGGGCCGAGCAGATAGGCCCTGTACATAAGACCTCGGGACCGCCAGCACGCTTTGCTATCTGGTGAAGAGTCGGTCTTGCGCGTTCCACACCATCCGTTCACTGCCAAAGGCTTACTCTTGGCCATTCTTGGGTTACGTAGACAGCTTGGTGGGCGCCCGCGTTAAGCCTTGTCTGTAGCTGTGTTATCAGCGCACGGCTGTCTTGTCCTCCCCGCGCCTCGTTCGTATAACAACCGGTCAACCGCAGCCTCTGCACCACCTCAAGGCTGTCGCACTGCCTCACTTGCCTGCCTACTTGAACCGACTCGACCGCGGCCAGGTACCTTTGCTCCAGTGGGTCGCAGGACTCAACTAGCTTCGTTTGTCGTGTTGCGCCTACGCAAACGGCTCTACCACCAAAGCAGCCCACAATAAGAACCGACTCGGCCAAGTCGTCACCTCAACCTCCAACAATGGCCATTTTCAGAAAGAGGCACTCCGATTCTTCGGACGGCGCAAGCCCTCACAACTCGGACCCTGAGAAATCCGGTGCAAGGACAGACTATCAACATGCGACTGGGGAAGATGCGGTTACGGACGCGAATGGCGTCGCTGTTCACACCGACCACACCCATCTACACCGTGGTCTGAAATCGCGACACATTACTATGATTGCCATCGGTGGTGCTATCGGAACTGGTCTCATCATTGGTACTGGAAAAGCATTGGCTCAGTCTGGGTAAGTGGCATCAGTCGCAAACATCTGCTCAGAGCTAACCATTTTCTTTAGTCCTGGCTCTATCCTCATTGCTTACACCTCCGTCGGGCTCTTGGTCTACGTAGTCATGACTGCGCTTGGTGAAATGGCTGCTTGGATTCCTCACTCTTCTGGTTTCGCTGGTTACGCTACCCGTTTCTGCGACCCTGCTCTCGGTTTTGCCCTCGGATGGACCTACTGGTGCAAATACATCATCACTACGCCAAATCAGATCACAGCTTCTGCTCTAATCATCCAAGAGTGGCCAAGAACAGCATCGGACAAGGTCAATCCTGGTGTGTGGGTTGCAATCTTCCTCATTACCATAACAGCCATCAATTACTTCGGTATCAAATTCTTTGGCGAACTCGAGTTTTGGCTGAGTTCGATCAAGGTCGTTACCATTGTGAGTACTGTCTCGATGAAGGATAAGTAAAACAAGCTAATGCCTTTGTACAGATCGGTGTAATCATCCTCTCCTTCCTCCTCGCTGTTGGTGCTGGCCCAGGCCCTGCGACTGGATTCAAGTACTACAAGAACCCCGGGGCTTTCAAACCATACATAGCCAAAGGCGATGCTGGTAAATTCTACGGCTTCTGGAGCTCTCTGGTCAACGCGGTCTTCGCTTATCTGGGTACTGAGCTGATCGGTGTGACTGTCGGCGAAGCTCAGAACCCACGCAAGACCATTCCTCGCGCCATTAAGCTCACCTTCTACCGGATCCTGTTCTTTTACTGCCTTTCCGTCTTCTTCTTGGGCATGCTTGTTCCCTACAACTCCAAAGAGCTTGCATTCGCCCTCAATGCCGGTACCCGTGCTTCCGCCTCGCCCTTCGTTGTCGCCATCAAGCTCGCTGGTATCAAGGCTCTGCCTGACATCCTCAACGCGTGCATCTTGCTCTTCACTTTCAGCGCTTCCAACTCGGATCTCTACATTGCGTCTCGTACTCTTTTTGGTCTCGCCGAGCAAGGTCACGCTCCCAAGATCTTCCGCTGGACTGACAACCGCGGTGTACCCGTTCCTGCTCTGGGTCTCTCAGCGCTCATGTGCTGCACCGCCTTCATGAACGCCGCCGATGACGCAAAGATTGTTTTCGGTTATTTCGTCAACCTGACCACCATCTTCGGTCTCTTGTCCTGGATTTCGCTCTTGGTGTCGCACATCTTCTTCGTCCGCGCACGCAGGGCTCAAGGCATCACCAATGACCAACTAGCCTACACTGCTCCACTCGGCTTGATGGGATCCTACATTGCCTTGTTCTTCTGCTGCTTGATTGCCTTGACCAAGAACTTCCCCGTCTTCACAAAGGGCAAATGGGGCAACTTTGACTACAAAAACTTCGTTACTGGTTATCTCGTAAGTCTTGCCAAACAAAATATCTTGGTGAAATCATCGCTAATTCAAAACCACAGGGTATCCCAATCTACTTGTTCTGCATCCTCGGATACAAGTTCTTCATGAAGTCCAAGATGGTACAGCCCCACGAGGCAGACTTTTACACCGGCAAGGACGAGATCGATCGAGAGGAAGAGGCTTTCCTAGCCCACCAGGCGGCGGTCAAGTCCAACGACAAGAACGCCAGCTGGTTCTACCGAACCTTTGTCGCTTGGTTGTTCTAGGGGCCTGTCTACTTCACCCTTTACATATTAGTGTTAGATACGCGGATTATATATTGGATTGCATATAGCGTATCAGTCGACTCCGACAATATTACTCTCCCGTTTTTTGGTCACAATTGCTCTCTTTGATCTTTTGGTTTCAAGTCGTCATAGCGACTTCGCTGCACATCATTGTTCTCTTGTTTGCTAGCAAGAATTACCCGCCCTTACCCTTCCACCATTCATACCTGCTAATTGATGTAATTCATGACATAGACCCATATGCGCCAACATCTCTTTCACGTCCATGTTCAAGACGTCTCAACTCAAAGTACCTTCGCAGAATCAGCGATAGCTCAATTAGGGCGCAGGCGCTTTGGAACCCCTCTCTTGAATCAAGCCATCTCACCAAGCGCAGAACCATGCTGACATATTGCTTCTCCCCTCCGCCGTCAGTATGATCAGTTGGCATCACCAAGCCGCTTCCCACAGTTCCTTCTCTTTCCCTGCCGTTTTTAGTACCACAGAATGCTGCTACATACCGCTGTCAAACGTCATAACCACCAAAAAAGTCCTTCCCAAGTCACAAGCGCAACAGCACAACGTCTTTCGGTTGCACGACACCGCTCTTCCGCATCGGCCTTCCCCAAACGGCTTCCCGTAGTAAGGCAAACGGGGCGCCCACCACATTGCACCTTACGACATGCCCTCCAGCCCTCATACTAACAACTTTGCCTGATTTTGCAGCGCAGACCGGCCTCGCCGGAGCCCTCCGCTCAGCCCTTCTTGGCTAATAACCATGCAATGCACACTTACTTTTTGGTAGATGATACTGTCGCCCTTTGCGCGCGCTTCATCGCTGTCCTATGGGAGGGACGGGGGCTGTGATGTCACGATTTCGACGTCGAAAGGTCCCTCCGAGCATTCGGTCGATGCTGCCGTCAATCCACGGCAGTGTAATCGTTGCTGGTCGCAAATCGTGCACAGCATTGGAGTAACAGAGCAGTCACGCCACTGTTCAGACCACGATATCGCCCACCAGACAGTTCTTCAAACCATTGCTACTGTGCTCAAGGAATTGAATCAACGTCCCATTCCGGCATGCTCAAATTCGCCAATCGTAGCAATTACCCCGGGGCGCATCTCAACGTCACCCACGTGTGCTGCCAACATGCAGCCCGAGCTCACCGCCATCTTAGATCGTGGCTGTGGGGAGAGAGCCAATGTTAGTGAAGCTTTCTCCAGCTCGGAACGACCGTGAATGGCACCAAGGCTCCCTCTGTCCTATAGGGCTGGCGTTCCGACTTCGGATCCAAGTATTTGCCTTGTGAAAACACCATCACATGGACCTCACGATACCCACAAAAACCATGACTCTGCGCTTTCGCAGGTCCTTCTCGAGACACTCGATGACATGGCCGCGCTGCATGGTATGAAGGGACTAAGTTTTGTTGGCTGTGGGCAGCGCTGGTATGACGATTAGTTTCCCAAGGTGCTACTTTGGCTTCCAGAGGGCAAAGAGCAGTGTGCCATGCGCCCCTTTCAGAGTGGCTCAATGATCCGATATCAAGGGTACGATACAAGGCGGGTGATACTCTCGTAGTCCCTTGGAACGCTTCACCTTTGTATAGCAGAGCTTAAGTATTCCTTGTCTCCACGCATTGTTGGCTTCTTTTATCACACGAGAATCAAGATCACTTTCTTCAGTATAAAATCCCCAATCTCCAATCTTCAATCTCCAATCCAAATCATCAACAATTGCCTCAGAATCACCTACTCTACTCCAAACTTCTACATATCAAGTTCCTTCTCTACCTCTATTCGAGATTGTTTAGAAAGTTATCATCTCCCACACTTCCAGCTATCTCGAACACGAGAGCTCCCGTGTCTTCATACCTACCCTCGCATCATTCTCTGCAAAGCAGTGTACCGATATCCACTTCTCCTAGAAGGAATCCACCCCTACTTCTCCACCAGATATGTCCAGAGTTCCGGCGGACATGTGGATCTGCGGTAGTTGCAAAGGGGGCAACCTCATTGCGCTTACCGGTACCTCATGCCCCGTATGCGGCCACCAGAGAGACAGCTGCTGCATTGGACCCGGCGAAATCTATTCCGACAACACTGAGTTCAGTCGCGGACAGTCTGACTCCCAGCCCCCTTGTCCAACAGCGCCGTCTTTCCACACCAATGGTACTGCCTTCCATGCGCATTTGGCTGATGCTGGACGTCTTCCACATGTCGCCGCGCCTTCTACCAACCACTCTACATCAGAATATGAAGCTGAGTACGACCAATACCCCTCGTGGCCAGAACTCAAAACTTCTATACCCCTCACGAATTGCCCTGGTGGTGGGACTCCTGCTCCAGGCTCCTGGATATGCCAGCAATGTGGCGCTGCGAATAGCGACCTAACACCTGAGTTCTGCCCCATCTGCGGTAGTGGTCGTTAGTACGCGGGCGTGTTTCCTGTCTCTCGGCAGTGCTCATGCTAGCCACTGTACATTTTGGGTATCTTTCATTTTGATCTTTCATTAAAGTGTACTATCTGCTGTATCTTTAGTCGTTTCGGAGTTTGTTTTGCTTTGCCCTTGTTATCCCCTTTGCTTGTATACTAGCTGTTTCTGTACTGTTTCGTGTAGTTGTTGTTTGTTTATTGTTTTGAATTCACTCGCTTGTTTTTCGTTCTACGTTAACGCTTATGATACCCTCTATACCCCTTTTCTTTGTGATACCCCATCTCGTTGTCCATATAAAACTTTTAAAAAAAATTGTTTATGTTTGTATGTATTAAACTATTTAGCCCTCTATAGTTTTGAAATTGTGCTTACACGTAGATCTCGCTACGTGATGTTTACCTTTGATCGTCTTATATTACCTTAACTTCCTGTGTGACTAACCCGTTAATATTACAAGAATCCCAGCATCTCGCATTAGTATTACATGTAGGATCAATGTTCTAATGCCATGGGGTTCGATTTAGGGAGGTTGGTACCTAGGTAAGACGCTTGCCCGTTGAGGAATGGCTCCTGCCCCGCGGCCAAACATTACATCGCGAATCTTCCTACATCTCTTTCGCTTTCCCACTGTGCAGTGTTGAACGTTCAGAGCAGATACGCCGCTATGCGCGACACAACTTCCTTGAGTAGTAGTTGCATTGACAGTACGTGTAACCCGTTCGAATCAACTATGGGTGCCTGCCTACCCGTGGACGCCTCCCGACGTCATCACTGAACTAACCAACAAAGGCAAGAGCGCGAAGTCACTAAACGACCTGCCAAACGAGATACTACTTCTGATATTCTCGCACGTCGACCCGCATCGCGAGGATCGTATCCTGGGCCATATACCAGATGACCCGTCGAATCCTCACCTTATCAACGATTTTCTCATCAACAGCAAAGGTCTTTGCAGCCTCGCATTAACCTGTAAACGATTTCTCCCTCTAGCTCAGGAGCAGCTACTGTACGCTCCTGTTATTGGAGGATGTGTTACTGTATCTCGGTCCAATCTAGCCCAGACTCGCATGATCTGTTTGTTACGCACATTGCTGGCAAATCCTGAACGCACGCAATATGTAAAGCAGCTTCGTCTTTGTCTTCCAATGTACGAGGGAGGCGCCGGCAGGCTTGATGAAGTGGTGGAAGTGGTGGAGAATTCGGAGTCGGGGGCATCAATTACCGTCAAAAAGCAAGCGTACGAAGCGATCAAATCACTCAATCTCCCTTTGCACATGAAGGAGAGATGGCAGTTTCAAATGAGCTTGAACGTCGAGCGTGCGCTCGTTGGACTCTTTTTTGCTCTCAGGCCACAGCTCGAGAGAATGTGTATCGCGCAAAGCACATCATCGACCCGCGTTGAGTCTACTGAGCTATACGATTACAATTACATAACGCTATACGACTACATGCGCAATCCGTTCGGCCTAGACTCCCAAGAAAATACGGGCGTCTCTGTATCAGGTTTCGGGGGTCTCCAGGTCACCCCATCTCTCACCTACCTCAAGGTAGTCAGCCGGCTTCCTATGAAGTTGCACGGCCTTGAAGTATTCCCCAACCTGCGCACGCTGGACATGAGCACAAAGCTAGCCAATTACTCCCGCCGAACAATCCGACCCATATCGGCCCTCTACGCCTCTCCCGAAATGCGCGAAACCCTTCAAAACATCCACCACCTCCGTCTCGACTTTCAAATCAAATCTGTGGGCATCTGGGACATTGGCGCGCGCGTATGCCTAACCAGCATCCTCCAAGCCTTCCAAAGCCTACAAAGCCTAGACTGCTACGCCGAGCCCTCGGATAGCAAGAACCCCTTCCGCAGCGTCAGGGCATTCCCGCACTACCAAGCGAACATCCAGCACTATCCAGATGCCCCGCCTCGATTGGACGTTCACGCGGAAAGCCAGGATTACTGGGACCAGCGGATCTACGACGCACGCACGGAAATCACGAATTACCAACACCTTGTCGATGCTCTTGTGCATCTTCGGCCGCAGCTGGAGACTCTGCGCTTGCCGGGTGGGTTCTGGACGCTTCCGGGCGGGATGCGCAAGCCGCTTCCGCGCTTCGATGGGTTTGCGCGGCTGAGCATGTTGAGTGTACCGCAAGCTGCTGTTCTTTCTGTCAAGCTGGATAATATGCGGTTTGCGGATGTGCATGGTGACTTTGAACTTTCGCCTGTGCGTGTTCTGCCTCTATCGCTACGGCATCTCAAGGTTTTTGACGCGGATGTTAGCTTTCTGGAGTCCGAGTGGCTTCGAGAGCTGTTTGTTCAGCAGAAGAGTTGCAATTTCTGGCCCGGGTTAGTTTGGTTGGAGATCTTGCTTGGCCCTTCGTGTAAGGAGGGAGAGGTTGAGGAGGTGATGGCGAGGAGAAGTCAACTTGACTTTTGGGCATGGGTGAAGGAAGCGACATTTGAGGTGTTTGTGGGGAGAGATTTGGAGGTACCTCAGTCTGCGTCTAGCAAGGTGCTGCTTCGGGATTAATAGACAAATGATAGTTGATTTGCATCGAGAAGTGATAGTGAGCTAGACGAGACACGATTGCAAGGAGGAAATTAATACTCTATGAACACCTGCATCCACAAAATCCTGACTCTACGGGTATGAAAGCATCTATTTCTTATCGCTGATGCATGTCTCTTCTGATTTCTAAAGAGATGCAGTCTACTCACGCCACCAAGGCTCCGACTGAGATATCTCCAACTCACGCCCACCTCGCACGACGTACATACTAGTCCAACATTCTACCACAATGTGAGTCATTGCCAGCACATATCGAGATAATAAGATAGAGAACACAGATGGACGCCTTACACGGTCACTCGTTGCTAAAAGTGCATCGAGGGAGTTTAGTACTGAGACCCAACACCAGCGGCGGCCTGAAGTGACTCGACTCAACTCGACCAAAACTGAGGCCATAGAGAAGACTATAAATATCCCCCTGCTCTCAGTCAACGTTTCAGATCCCGACAAGGCGCACGAGTCTGTCAAGAGCGGAGTCAAGGCAAAACGCATAGACCCCGCCTGCTGCAATGCAATGCCCATCTGGTTTGCTGCCACGAGACCACCGCCGCTACTGTGCACGCACGCGTCGGGGCCTGCTTGCCCCTCCCGTTCCCCCTCTGATGATGCAGACTGAGAGCCCGCCGCCGTCCGCGGTCCGGAATAAGTAAGCCCATGCGGCGGGCTGAACGGACGCTCCTACCACCTCCATGGAATCATTTTTAAGGCTTCGAGAAGCAATATAATCGGGGACTTGGCGCGTGATTGAAACTGCGCTGTCGGTATGCCATGGCTCTACTAGCCAGCCAGCCAGCACCTGAAACCCCGTTGTCGCCACGGGATGGGCATGAAAGCGGGAAGTGTCCTGCTGGCATGCGGTCGGAGCGTCATCTGCCAATCCACGGGCACTCGAGTGCAGGATTTCTGCAAATCAAGTCACATACGAGTTTCTTGGGAAATTGGCTGCTCTTTTTTCTCTGCGAGTGACAAGTTGAGAAGGCCGTCGTTCGAAAAAAGCCTTGATGTTGAAAGTGAGAATATAGCCGCCGAGTGGGTCCGAATTGGGCATCCCTCCTGCACAGCGAAAAAACGACGCCAACGCCAGACTGTGGGTCCGTAGGGCAGCCATGAGCCGCAAGCCAGGATGAATCCGTGTGGTCGGAACCCAATTAGGGTATTTTTGGGCAGCGAAGGATTGAAAGGTGCTGTGGATTCATTAGCAGATCAGCAGTGACTCACACACATCCTGACAGGCGCGGAGAGAAATTGCGGCTAGGGGGGAATTGGCGTCAAGGTGTTAAACCTGCATAGTAGAAGTGTAATTATCTTGCGGAAAGTTTACGCTTGGCATGGTGATAATTTTACCTGGGGAGCATTTGTTGTGGTGGATAGCGTCGGCTACTAAGTCCCACATGTTCAACCCTCGGTCAGCGAAGGCGCTAACCAAAAGTGGTTATCGACTTTGAGCCTCATCAGCCGCTGGGGGTCACTGAGATGGAGCCAGGGACGTTTGCTTTTTCACAGAGGAGAACGGCAGAACATAACTCGGGGAAAGGGAGACCTCAGGTGGCGTGGCTACTCCGAGCTTTTTGGTCACAACAGTAGCTATAATTGAAGCCGGGAGCTACACACAAACATAGCTCTCAGGGTAGGTATTTGTTGAGGAGTCTTCCAAGATCCGAAGAGCGGGTTACTGGACTATACGTCAGTTATGAGAGCCGCTCGAGGTGCTAGTTCCAATAAACATGCAATAACTAAATATTGAAGATGTGATTACTTCTTCCCGACGACATGCATTCTTGTGTCATGGTGTATGCCCACTGCCCAAGTTTTCAAGTGTAACTGTCGTACAGGTTGCCGATATCGCAACCTTGATCTCCGAACGGCTTGAAGCCAAAGATCATCGTGTTTGCAGGGCGCTAATGTGCACAGGATCTTCAGCCTCGCCAATGGCTTGCTAGTCTCACTGGAATAACGAGACGTCAAGAGAAAACACAGGAACATGGAAATTATATGAGGACGACAAACCGATATTGTCCGTTGCCACCCGCTAGTCTGTCACACATGATGGAAATCCACGAATGCCATGAGGAGCAATTTCACCCACGCACCCAACATGTGCGAGAATTGCTTTCACAACCTGGTGACTGGCGCTGGCCGATGTTTCGCAGAGGCCTGTAACTGAGTAAACTTGTTCGGGTGATGAGGCAAAGAGCAGGGCTTGTTCGTGGCTCGGCCATGGTTTGAGACCAAGACATGAGGGTCACATCGCAGCCACGGTGCCACAGAGATCGGCCTTGGATGTGATGGTGGTGGGGCATTGGGTGTGGGCGCTCGCACTTGTCGGGGTCAGACCACTGCGCGACTTTTGTTTTGCGAATGGAGGGCTGGCGAATGGAAAAGTCGTGAAGAAACGTGGAGCAAGTTTGGCAGTCGTGCGACTCGATGCCTCGAGACACCAGAGGGTTATTGGGACCCGAAGGTGAAATTTATGGATCTGTAGGTTTTGGCTTCACTAGCAATTAGATGTGCGGGTCATTTGGCTCTTCTGACCAGACTTGTTGAGTGTATACGTTGCTTGATAGCTGGCGTGGCTTTCACCGGAAAAGTGGTGGGGTGGTGTGGTGTAGAGAGTGCTAAACGAGTAAGCAACGCTTGGTGGCCCGCGTGATGGATGAATGACCTCTCGGAGACGAGGCGACATGGTTACACCAGATACAGCTGTCTTGCTGCTGTTGGATGGCTGGTGGCTGTGGTGCGCTAGTGGGGCAGCAGGAGGTTCTGGAAGGCTGTGATTTGCGTCGTCTCCGCAAGCACTCGCCAGTCAGACCTGGAGCCGAACAATGGAGCAGCTCTCGGTGGCAAAGGGACGGATATTTCGCGTCCTTTGCGAGATTAATGAGTCGTAGCGGACGTGAGGGTGCTGTGCTGTTCCTGCATGGCAAGCGCGAACGACGTGGCCGGGCCAGAGGGAAAGGGGGATAGCTGAGGCTCGCAGTGACGTTGCGAATACGGCTCGCGAGGATAATAAAGCAAGGAGAAGCAAGGGGAGGCTAGTAGGAAAGACTGGCCTGCCATGGTTGACCACCGTGGGGACATGTACATAGCCCTAGAGTTATTAGAGTGTTGACGATGGATCACGCCAAGAGGTGAGCGGGAAGTGGATGCGGGAAGCGTTGGGCATGGCTCAGGTTGGCATAGCGCTGGTGAAGTGCATGGTGAAAAGCGGTGAAGATGGTCGACTGGAACCGCAATTCAAAGCTACCCCATCCGAAGCCATTGAGGCCTCGCAGGCCGCGGGTTGCATGAGGGAGCCGGGGCCGTCCCGGTTTCAACTCGTTGGACCATGGCCTCTCAAACCGAGGGCCGTGGCATGTCTGACACTGGTGTTGCGCATCTGGGGCAGCCAATGGCAGGCAACGAGGTGCTATTATTGTTATTACACAGGATGTGTGCCGGCCTCGGACAGAGGAAGAGAGGGCCAGCAGCTAGGCCACTGCCCAGGTGTAGCCTCAGAGCCTAGCAGCAGGAAGATGATTGACGGGGGCGTCTGCATGCATGCATGCATGTATGTGTGTATGTATGGGCAGCAGGTGTGGTTGCTGCGTCACCACGTCGAATGGTGTAGGCAGAACGAGGCAGACAGACAGCCAGCCAGACAGACAGACGACAGACAGGGCAGCAAGCTGGCTATGTGGTGCGCGCCCAACGAGCCAGTAGGAGACGACGACGCAGCGCATCAAGGGTGAATTGGCATAGAGTATAGTACGCAGGCCGCCCAGCCGTTTTGAAATTTTGCTGGCCGAGCAGACTTTGGGTGTGCAGCTCGAAGCCCGAACGCGCCTATAAGCCTGCATGCCGCCTGCTGCACCAGCACTCTCGCCCGTCATACCCATACACACACACACAGCGCAGCTCATCTACTCTCAGATCCCCCTTGGTCCTCGTCTTCTGCTCCTCTTTTCTCTCACTCCCTCCAGCTTCACCCTCACCCTCAACCCTCAAACGCGACATGCGACGGTAGCACATCGCCTTAGCCCGTGCCATGCGCACTCTACATCTGACTCTGCCCAAGCACAAGCCCAACTGATCGCCCCCGCGACGCTTTTATTATCGATAGCCGCCCGCCGCTAGATATTTTGCCGACTCCTGCCCCCCCCCAGCGCGCCCAACCAAGCCCGCCCAATTCTCACCACCAAAACTCGCTGCTGCCCGCCATGGCGAGCGAAGAAGCTCCCAGCTACCACCAGCCAACCTGCGAGGACTATGACTCCGACGAGAGCGACGGCCGCGTCCTCGAGTCCTTTACCGGCCGCAAGTCGCCTGCCGCTGCCAATGTCTCCACCAAGCGCTCGCATCATTCCGATCTAGACAAGGAAAAGCCGCCTGCTCAGGAGAGGGTCCCCACCAACATTGACCTCCGCAGCGACTCTGGGTATTCTAGCTACACCGCCGCGACCGTGAGCAGCGCTGATTCGGCTCAAAGTGCCTCATCGCTATCGCGACGCAGCCCCCCAGTCGCGCCTGCCGCCACCGCACCCCTCCCTTCCCAGAGCCCAGCACAGAGGCCCAGGCGGCCTACCCTCTCGGACCAGAGACAGCAGAGCAGCACCAGCACCAGCACCAGCTCGCGCCCCAAGCCCTTGTCGCGCACCGCCTCTCAGTCCTCGAGGCGTCCGCCTGGTGCTCAGCGCCGGCCCACCCTCACCCAGGAACGCAGAGACAGCATGGAAGAGGAATGCCAGGACCCGACTTGCACAAAGTGCGGTCCCAACGCACTTCCCCAGCGTCGTCGACCGGATCTCCCCCCCTCTCACTCTGCTCGCGACGTGTCCATGTTGCGCGGAGACCAGCGCTCCATCAACTCAGAACCCGTCGCCTACTACGCCTCGCCCCCGTCACCCACCTACGCCCGACAGTCTACCTACATGCAAGGAGCAGCTGTCGTTCAGCCTGCCCCACCACGTCGTCGCTCGTCTTCGACTGCTCGCCAACAGCGTCCCATGAGCTACAGCGGTGGTGACCCTGGCACGCAGTACTGGGTCCCAGGTATGCCTGCGCCCTACCCGAGTCCACCTCAAGAACGTGGCCCTCCCCCATCGGCCTCGGCCTATCGCAATATGCAGCCGCAATACCCCCAAGCGCCTCAGGTGCCTCCCGTGCCTTCCTACATGGTGCCACACAACCAGCCAAACGGCTACTATCCTCCACAATTCCCCTCCAACCAAACCTCTCCTCCTTACGACCTGCAGTCGAGACCAGATCTGTCCACGCGTAACTCGTCGTACTACGGAACACGCAATCAGCCGGCTCCCCTTGTTACCCAGGAACGACGCGACCCGCCCAAGTATTCAGCGAGGTATGGTAGCCAGCCTCAGAGTGCTACTACCCAGACCAAATTCCCGACCTTGCAACTCCAAGACGAAGCTTACGAGGGCTCCGAGACCGAATCCTCGTCGGGAGAAGAAGAGTACGCGCCCGATCCTCGCGATGCTCGTGCTCTCATGCCCCCGCCGAAAATCAAGCGATCTAAGAGCTCCAGCAGGGACCAACGTCCAAGCCTACGTCGTCCGAATACCACTCAAGTTGTAGATCGCCTTGAGCGTCGTTCGTCCATTGTCGTACCTGAGCGCCCCAAAGACCGCGATCGAGCTTCGCGAACCAGCAACGCGTCCGCCCGTAGAGCCTCGGTCAGCCGGCCTCCCGGCCCAGACCGCCAGACCCAGTCATACGACACCCGCACTGCCCGTGTGGTCGTCAACAATACCAAGACCAACCGTCGTCAATCGACGCAGATCTACGACAAGATGTATGAGCAGTACTCCCAGGCCAAGCCTACCGGGGAGCGACACGCCAAAGCCAAAGCTCTGGAAGAGGAGAGCAAAGCCCTCGAGCTGGCCAACGCGAGAGCGCTCGAGGAACAATACAAGGCCGAGCAGAAACGCCAAAGACGCAACTCGCGGGTTTACTATCCACCCCCGGAGTTCGACGACGACGAAGAGGAAGAAGAGGAGGTGGAGGAGAGGCCTGCTCCCCTTCGGAATGGTCGTCGCCGGCCGACTGACGCCGATAGCCGCAAAGGCAAGGAACGCATCGTGGAGACGAAAAATAAGAGGACTGAACTGGCCGCTGAAGACTACATCAGCGCCCAGCGAGGCAGCCAGACTCCCTACAATGACCAGATCCACAAGGCCGCAAAGAGGGCTTCCCGGATACCGTCTGGGCCTTCGAATTCCGAGTCTTCCCGCAGCAATGGAAGTGATTTGCAAAGCCAGTCAGCCCGTACCGTCGCCACCAACAATGGCGGCAATGAGATTCGACTACGGGTGGATGCTTCTGCTCCACTCAGCTTGTCTTTCAATGGCGATATGGAAGGGCGCACTCTGCAATTCACTCCTGCTGAAAACGGCATGGCCGATATTGTCATTGGCAATGCCCGCGGCGGCGAGAGCACCTATCACACCAGTGAAAGAGGCAGCGTTATGGGTAGCAGCAGCAGGAAGGCTTTGGTCACAAGCCAAGCACGGAGAGACGCAGAAGAGATGACAGAAAGAAGCTCGCGCAGCGGACGCGGCAAGCGAGAGGGCAGAGGAGACCGAGAGATCCGAGATGACCGCGATGCTCAGCGACACGTTTTACGGTCACGACGCACCGAATATCGTAATTAAGGATTTCACGACCTCCACCCCTCTTGCACAGCTAGCCATGCAGCCATAGCAGATTGACATCGTCTCACCTGTTGTATTCCGGCGGATTTGCTTTCGACTATTGATCTACCGCACATATCCTTGTTCCTTTTCCTTTATACTTCCTACTTGGGCGGACTCTATTTGAACCAAAAGTTTCACACGACCGTAGCTGGTCTACATCAGCCGGGTCGTCCCTACGAAAAGTTCTGGCTCGCTTCTGTTCTGCTCCATTCTGGATGTTTTGGTACGATTCCCCGTCCGTGTTTTCGGTTTGCTATTTGCGTTCCTTGCGACAGTGCAGGTCACATTGTTATTGTTTGCTAGACTGGAACGCTCACGCACACCACTTGCATGTGTGGAGTTTCCACCATTATTGGATATTGGAACCAGATTGTATGGTTGGTTGGTTTCATTCGGCATTTTCAGCCTTTTTGGATGCTTCTGAGCGACGCACTTTTTTTACCTATTCGAACATCTTTATCCCTTCTTGCACTATACCTGCTCCCGGCTCATCTGGGAGGCTTCTTTCTTTTCGAATCTTTGGCGGATGTAATACCCTTTTGCTTGTTGTTGTTGATTCTTTTTGAAGGCAGATAGTGGTTGGGTTTTGGCAAAAGCAAGCGGGTTGGTTGATGTATTGGCATTTGTTGAGCGTTGGAGCGAGTTACGATGACATGATGATGGTCGATGACAGTCACGCAGCGTTGTTTAGGATAGATAGTAGCTAGGATCCAGTCGATTCACCGAGATACCACAGCTTACAGCCCGGCCTGTCAGCATGGCGTCTTGGGTAGAGAAGACGAAAATCTCAATTCTTTTCCTGTACACAACACACAAACTTCTACATGCACGATGATGTGATTTCCTTTCCACCTGGATCTTGCTTTTTTGCTTTTGCCTGACTGCATAGGGCGACTTGTTTCTAGTCCGAGGAGCTTATCTGCTTATGGACCGGTCTGTCCTTCTCCGACCGCCACCCCTTCCTGCTCCGCACAACAGCTATTCGCCAGCTGAGGGGGATGACAGATGGGGATGGATGGATGGACCAGCATGCTTTCAAGGACCGCACCCTGCAAGCCACTGTGCTGAATCACGCCTTGGACTCATTTAGATTGGTTGGGGTGCTTTCTTCGTGTGTCGGTATTCGTACTGTATGGAAAACTGTCGTGTGTATTGTACTGTATTGTATTGTATTGGGGTATGAATGAAGCCGCACTTGTGGTTCTGACGGAGTATGTAGTGCATAACTGGATAGCTGTTTAAAGTAACTAAACACACCACGCTGGAGAGAAATATAGCAGACAACCCCCAAAATAAACAAGAGATGATGTGATGTGAGGCGAGGTGATGTGATGTGAGCAGCAAGGCAATGATAGATTTGGCAGGGTGGTCAGGAAAATCAGGCGACGGATGGCCTGGGGACGCGGACACGTGAGTGTGGTTTCGTGTATCGATGCGTTCTCCAGCAGTGGCTAATAGAATTCTAAATACCGAACCTTTGCTTTATTATTCATCGTACGTAGAAAAGGTCTAACCCAGCTGGACGGAGAATGGTGCTATGCCAATGGTATCTTGTGATTTCATTCAAAGATGGGATATTGTTTGTGGATTTGATAGGCAAACACACGATCTTCATGCGCAGCGTTTTTAGATCCAATGTTCTTTTAATGGCAATCTCATTATTATTAGAGCGAAACGACGGAACTTTATTCGTTGATAATGTCGAGTGAGTAAGATTGTGGTGAGATGCTGACGCGGAGAGGGATTAATTGACTCGAGGCATTTGAGGTCTGTTGTTAGTGACGTCATGGCCCCCTGCTTTCTGTTCATGCACATATCGAACCGCCGAGGTCTTAAGAGGATTTTCAAAGCGCCTACGCCCTAGTTGAGGTCTCTTTGACTACTAACAACAACGCGATTTCCGCTGCTCTTTTTCATGGGTGTATATGTGAATTCTATCAAATCATTGCTTAACGCATCTCGAATGATGGAGCTGTCATAGTACGAGGAAAGATAAACTGGACTTTTAAACGTTGCAGTATGTAACTATCTAGTCTAAGAATAGGAGCTATATCCCACCCAAACGCCACAAATTCCACGTAAAAACGATACATATGTAACAGGTAACACCGGAATCTAAAAAATCCCTATCAGTTCTTGAAGGCGGCAAAGCTCTTCCCGAAGTAGTTCTCTACCACGCTATCTTCCTTTTCGTTTAGACTGACATTCCGCAGTCGCTCCTTGATTTCAGTATAGCTCTTTCCAGCAACAATAGACTCCAACGCCTCCTCCAGCAGGTTCCAGATTCGCTGGATCTCCGTATCGGAAATGAGCGTGTTATCGTACTCCAGCCTCAGAAGCACAGTGTCCTCGGAAACGGCGCAGAACTCGACGAGCAGAGTGAACTTGGAGCCCTTGGTATAAGTGACCAGAGGATCTATACCTTCAATAGGCAGCTTGGGTGCCGTGCGATCGTCGTGGAAGGTCACCATTACGTCTGTGAGGGAGTGGTTGGGGAAGCTGGGCTCGGCTTTTCCGACGGCTGAAAGGATCTGGTTCCATGGGATTGCGTTGGCGATTGCGGATTGACTGGCAGACTGGACGGTGGACATGAATGACCCCTTCTCGTTGCTGTGCTGGATGCGGATCGGGATGGGCTCGAGGAAGAGGCCGACCGTCTCAACATCGTCGGCGCCGCGGTTGAAGTACGGACCACCCAGGACCATGTCGGTGTTGTCGCTATCAGTTTGCAAGGCCAGTGCGACGGCACCAAGTGCCATCTGGTGCAGTGTCACTTTGTTCTGCATCGAGTACTGGAGAAGACGCTTTGCCATCGGCTTGGGAAGTTGGGTCAGACGCGTGACACCGTCGTATGCGCTGCGCTTGGGAAGCTGTGAGACGAGGTGCTGACTGGCTTCGCTACCATGGAGGTACTCCTGCCACCACTTCTTCTGTGTATCAGTGGCTTCACTGGCCCATTGAACGGTATCCGCATACTTTCTCTGCACTCGAGGAAGAGCCTCTTCGTTGTACAACTGCATGACCTCCTTGAGCACCACTTGCAGGGTCGTCAAGTCAGCGATGATGTGGCTCATGGATGCGAGCATAGTCGACTCGGTAATGAAGACGCGGATCGGGTTCTGGCGGTCAAGATGGAACGGCCTGTTAACCTCTCGCCAGAGATCGAAGCTGTCCTCATCAAGTCTTACTACCTGTGGGCAATACCTAGAGAGCTGCCGAGAAACGCCATGAGGGTGCTTTTCGCTAGGATGATACCGACTGCGGAAGATTGGATACCGAGCCAGGACCGCATTCCAGGAGGCTGCAAGATGGTCGACATCAATCTTCTCTTCGTCGATGGCGGCAGCAAAGGTGACATTGAAGGCCGAGGTACCGCGCTGGATCTCGTACTTCTTGACCCACTCCGCTTCAATGGGAGCGACGTTATTCAGTCCAAGTGGAATCAGGCCTGAGTTAGCTTCCGACTTAGCGCTGCCCTTGATCTCGTCGACGATCTTGGCCATGTCTGAGAGAGTGCTCGCGCCGATGATCTTAGCCATGGGGATGTTTTGCTTATACACACTTGACAACTTGCTTGCGAGACGCAGTTGTAGTACGGAGTGGCCACCGAGTTCAGCGAAGTTCGAATCCCCACTGATCTTGTCCGTCTCTGGAAGAGCGAGGAGATCCCTCCAGACCTGCGCAATTTGGCTCTCAGTGACCGAAAGCTTGGTAGCTGCAGCCACCGGGGCAGCAGTAGTGCACACTTCGGCAATCTTCTTGTAGTCGATCTTGCCAGCTGGCGTAAAGGGGAACTTCTCGACTGCGCGGATAATTCGCGGTACTGGATGCGTTAGCTTACAATTCTCTCTGTGGAAAAACACACGTACCAGCATGAATCGGGACCGTCTTCATTACCCTCGCCCTGACATCAGACATATCGAGGGTTTCGGGCTGGATCATGGCGACAAGGTAGTCGTCTTTCTGGCAAATAGCGACCGCAGTGCACTCGGGAATGCCCTGTGCAACACGCATCTCGATATCGTTCAAGTCGGTTCGGTAGCCACGGAGCTTAATCTGGCGATCATTCCTTCCAAGGCACTCGACTTCTCCGTTGTGGTTGAAGAAACCACGGTCACCCGTGCGATACATCATCTCACCAGGGCGCTTCTCGATGGTGTCAGGTAAGAACTTTTCAGCAGTCAGTTCAGGACGGCCAACATATCCACGGGCAACCTGTACGCCAGCACAGTAGATCTCGCCGACCACGCCAGGTGGAACGAGCTGCTGATTCCTGTCGAGGATGTAGATACGTGTGGTCGGGTTTGGCGCACCGATGGTGACCTTACGTCCTGGGCTGAGCTTTTGGATCGTTGCACCGCAAGTCGCTTCGGTTGGACCGTACATATTTTGGAGATTTACATGCCTAGACCATAGGTCATTGACGTACTGTGGTACTGGCTCGCCGACAACGTAGAGAGTTCTTAGGTTTGGGAAGTCACGTGGCTCCAGAATTTTCGCAACAGAAGGAGTCAGGAGTGCGGCATTTGACTTCTTGATGTGTGCAAAGGGGTCAATTCCATCGGTCAGGACGAGTGTTGCACCGTAGGATAGCGCGGAGAAGATCTCGTGGATGCTTCCGTCGAATGCGGGAGACATGACTTGCGCGATACGCACCCCAGGAGCGGCGAAGAATCGCACCTCTGGATCTTTTTGAAACGCGACGAGTCCGGCATGATGGCACATGCAGCCTTTGGGCTTTCCAGTGGAGCCTGATGTAAAACACAGGTACGCGTTGTCGTTGATGCGGGGAGTCGTTCGATGAGGTAAACCCTGGTATTCAGTAGGCAGCTGTTTGAGCACGAGTTCTTCAACCGAAAGGACCAAGTTGCAGGAGTCGGGTTTGATATACTTCTGAGAATCTGCTGGAGTCAAAAACAAGGTCGCGCCAGATGTTTGAAAATTCATGTCGCGAATGTGGGCTGGCAGTGCTGCATCCTGCGCCGAGTAGACTCCACCAGCCTTAAAGATACCGTAGATGGCGACGATCCAGTTGATCGAGCGGTCGGCATGGACACAAACGACCTCGCCGGGCTGAATATAACCTTCCAGCTTCTTCGCAAGAGCGCTCGCAAGTCTATCCAATTCGGCGTAGGTCAAAGAGATGCCAGCCTTCTCAATCGCAGCTCCAGTCGGGTTCTCCCTTGCAGCCTTCTCGAAAAGGGTGACGAGGTCATCCTTGATGGAGATAAGAGAAGTGTCGTCAGTGAGGCAGTTTCCATATTCCTTGAGTGTCTCCTTGCAATCGCGGGTCAAGAGCTGGGACATGCGGTTGTTCATTGGCTTGTCAGACTTGAGCAGAAGCAACATGGCTCTCCGAAAGTGTGCAGCAAGGATCTTCATATCAGCCTCCAAGAAGCGAGAAGGCTTGTAGCAAAGTCGCAGGGTGCCTTTGGCGCTCATGTAAACTGACAACGGCATGTCAGGTATGATATTGAAACGAGAAGTACCGATCGGACGGCGAGATTGATGGTCGTTCAACGCGAAATCCATTTCCATGGCAAGAGCGGAGGCGAAACTCCTGGTGAAGCCATCTTCGGGTGCCGAGCACTGCATATCCTGAAGAGCAACCGAGTGCGCAAAGACGGATCGTAAGAAGCCAGCCACGGACTGGTTCGGATCGATCGTGATATGGAAGGGCAGCGTATTGACAAGCGGACCGATTGTGTCATGTGCACCTTTCACAGGAAGATTGCGGCCTGCAAGTACAGTTCCAAAGACGACAGATGCAGAGTCGGTGTACATGGAGAGCGTCATCGCCCACGCAGCTTGATACCAGGCCATAAGTGAGACACCGGCCTCGCGCGATGCCTTGGCTATCTTCGCAAGCGGGATGTTGAAGGACACCTCCTCGATGGCAGCGGTGGAGTCAGGAACACTAGGCTCACTGAGGGCGAGCTCACCAACTGGCTGAGGATGCTTGTCCATCTGCTCCTTCCAGAAAGTCCGGTTGTTTTCACGAGTAGCCTGCTGAAGAGCCTTGATCTGGTGGGCCACAGCGGAGAAAGGTGTGCCGGATGTGATAGGCTCACCCCCGAGTACCTTTCGCATCTTTTCGTACATCAACTGGCCTGACATGCCATCTATGAAGGCATGATGCACTCTCCACACGATCGTGCTGGTGTCTGACTCTGGGTACGTAACACAATCAAAAGAGCACTCGATATTTTCGGGAGCTTTGTGGCTCTCCATCTCGTGCTTAAAGTGTTTATCAGATGCGCAGATGATGTCGTTCCAGTGGAAAGAGCTAGTCTTGGATGGTCGACGACCACTATCAGTAGCCTCGATATCGAAGCTTTGGCGGAAAATGGACTCGCCTTCGATGACGGTCTTCCATGCCGCTTTCACAGCGGGGATGTCGGTGTTGTTATACGTCTCGATAAAGTTGATGATGTTGGTGCCAGGGCTTTTCTTGTAGCTGTGGATGAAGGAGAGTTGCATGTCAGTCAAGGTGAATGTGTTGTCCGAATCCGGAAGCATCGTCGACTGATCGACAGATAGACGGCTAATGGCAGAAGGATGTAAGAACTGCTCGACTGACGGGCGGCGGACTTGAACGTCCACTGAAGGACGACGGGCATAGATATCGACAGAAAGACGGCGAATTGTAGTTGGCGATATTGGTACAAGAGAAGGGCGGCGGCGGGAGGTTGGCGACCCCGGTACCAGTGAGTGGGAAAATGCATCGAACTTGGAGAACTGGACCGACCTTCTGCGCATGGCAGGGGACATTGGAGAGTTGGGCGTAAACGGTTCGAAAGAGGTGGCAGAGTTCAAAAGCTTATCGATGGACTCGCTCAGAAGTATATTGCTCAAGGAAAGATCAATGCCAGCGGATTTGCAAGCATTGGACAACTTGACAGCAAGAAGTGAATGGCCGCCAAGACCGATGAAGCTGTTGTTCTTGTCGAGATAGGCTGGAGAGAGCTCAAGAAGTTGAGCCAAATTGGTCATGACCACCTCCTCGATGAGACGTGCAGATGGTTTGGCATCTCCCAACACAAGGATGGAAGGGCGTGATGCACGCCGGCGACGAACGACCACTGGGGACTCGTTGCGACGCATGATTGCTGGAATTGGATTGACGATGAAGTCGAAAAGTCTTGAAGTCTAATGGGGACAGAAAACTCCACTGGGAATGATCGGGAAGTAAACGATTGATAAAAGAGACGGAAACCGAAGAGGCTGTGACAATTAGGAAGTGACTGCCTTGTTTGCATCATCCAGTATACTTCAACATCTCTTATATCAGTTTCTTCGACGTTGCTTTACTGCGGCCATACTACGTCTGCTCCGAATGAGCTGGTTGTAACGCTGTTGCTGCCATCCGGAGGTACTCAGGTTCGTGTTGACGGACATGGCGAAGAGTGCTCAGTCTTTCGTGAGCTCACAGCCGGACGTTGACAGCTCGTACCAAACGCCTGTGAGACCCGCCGGTCCGAAACTTCCAGCTTCTGCGAAAGTATCCAATTTGGGTGCATTGCGGCTCTAATGCAATGGTGCACGGTCGCTGCACGTGCATTTTGTTCGGTCCGCTTACATACAGCGTGTTGGCCTGAGACTCCAGCTAGAGAGTTAAGACGCCTAACCAACCATTGCTTCGTTGCAACCCGGATCCGGCTTTTTTTGCTCGAAGTTGCTGCAGGGTGTTTCTTAGCGGAGTCCGTTTAGCACACCGCTAACCTTTTCGGAGCCGAGCTACTAGGATACGATCACGTTAGTATCAACCTCTTTTAGCATTCAGCTGTCTGACTATAACAGTGCAGGCCCTGAAAGCATAATCTAACTCAGATCCACACCGAGTTTCACTGCAACACTACCATTTCAAGCCCGACATACTCCCCGCACCTCTCTATATCTTCGACCAGCAACCCAGATCTAGATTGCATCGACTCCAATTCGAATATTCAATCCTCCGAAATCTTCCTGCATATTTGAACACTCCTATACTTTCCCAAATCACAATGTCTTCTCTCAAGATCGCTATCATTGGAGCCGGGCCTGCTGGTCTTGCTTTGGCCCGCCTTTTACAAATCAACAACATCACATGTACGATTTACGACCTCGAAACGGATCGCAACGCCCGTACTCAAGGTGGTTGTCTTGATATGCACGAGGGTGCGGCGCAGCAATGCATTCGAGAATGCGGTCTATACGAGCAATTCCTAGCCGTTGCGCGAACTGAAGGCGAGGTCCTAAAGATCTACGAGCCTAATGGCACACTTATCATGGATGAAGGCTCCGACCTGGGCGAGCGCCGTCCTGACTCGTTCAAGGGCCGCCCAGAGGTCGACCGCAAGCAACTCCGTAGCATGCTCATTGACTCGCTCTACCCTGGATCCCTCCAGTGGGGCCATAAGCTCAAGGCTGTCAAGACCGATCCTACTGGCCGCACCGCCAAGTACGACTTGCAATTCGAGAACAAGCTTGAGACTGGATTTGACCTCGTTGTTGGCGCTGACGGCGCGTGGTCCAAGGTTCGACACCTCATCTCTGATGTTAGGCCCCAATTCGCTGGTATTACTGGAGTGGACGCAAAGCTCAGCAACATCGACACTGTCGACCCTGCTCTTTCCAAACGTGTTGGAAATGGTATGTGCTTGACTCTCGGCTGCAACACCACTGTGCTTTCCCAGCGCAACGGCGACGGATCTGTCAAGTCATATGGCTTCTTTCGCGGCACTGAGGACTGGCACAAGACCTGCGGCATTGACTGGTCGAATGTCGCCGAGGCCAAGAAGGAGTTTGTGTGCAAGTATTATGATGGATTCAACGACGACGCAAAGAATCTGATGCTGTTGGCTGATGATGATGATTTCGTTCCGAGACCCATGTGGATGCTCCCAGTTGGACATAGATGGGCACACCGCCAGGGGTATGTCTCAGTCCACTCCTCTTGATTGAGAATCCTGCTGACATCACTCTTAGATTGACTTTGATCGGAGACGCAGCTCACTTGATGACTCCTTTCGCCGGCGTTGGCGTCAACGTTGCCATGGAAGATGCTCTTAGCCTTGCGACTCAGATCAAGCAATGGAAACAGAATATCTGTGACAAATCTGATCTTAGCGCCTTGTCATCCTCGCTCATTGAGCCTGTCCGCGCATACGAGGAGGAGATGTTCGCGCGCGCTGAGGCTTACGCCAAGGAGACGATGATGTACTATGATCTGTTCTTCCACGAGCGCGGTGGTATTGCCATGTGCGAGCAGTTTGCAAAGGCAAAAGCGGAGGAGAAGGCGAAGGCTGCTGTGTCTGTAGAGGTTACAGAGCTATCGCCAGCTGCTGTCGAGGCATGAGTCGACATGCACTTGAAATTCCACTGTACATCTTTAGACATTTGGGCGACTTCTGGGGTTTTAGACAGCATTTCGTAGCGACTTACCTTGCATATCCTTGAATAAAAATATTTCGCATTCATTATCAAGCCTCAATTGTGCGTTACGGGTAAGCGTGCATGCAGATTGCGAAAGTTCCCGTTCATCCCTGCACTTTCGGTTCAGGTGATTCTCATTCGTGCGGGAGGTTCTCCACCGTCACACAAGCCCATCATCGGGGATCTACAACGGGCATTTTGACGATCCTATTCCACCGACCACATCCGCAGCCGCACCCAATCCTCCATAGGGCCGCCCAGGTGGCCTCACGGAGGTTCCATCGAGCTCGACGTCTCTTTCGGGAATGTCTGCAGAGAAGAAGAAAAACCATTGTGGGCCTGCTGATCAATCAAGCTTTCCTAATAACGGGATAAACACAACCCTTCATAAGCTGCGCAAGCGATGCAATGGACTCGAAAGAGCGGTAAAGTCGGAGCATTTTCATCCCGCAGTTGCACAAGGTCGCACCAAATCAGATCTCTCGTGAGAAGTCATCTACGTCTCGGCGTTTGTTGAGGAGCGTAGGAGATCGGATCCGATGAGCACATCCTAAGGGAAATTTGTTATTGTCGAGAAGCCATCACTTCCGGGGTTATATCAAAGAACTGCTTATTCTGGCTACACTGAGGGCCATGAATCATCCTGCAAACAGTCTCGCTTGAGGAAGAACCTATCCCAGACTTGGTAAGTGTAGGTATATCGTTGGGAGGTGCACATCATCTGCACAACGGATGTACATCAGCAACCTTGCTTGGCCTCTAGCTAGGCTGCATGCTATGAAGATGTAACCTCAGAGCGCGACAACGAGTTGACATGAATCTCCGAGACTGGCATTTGAATTCATGTCAATCTCTATTTTTGCTCATGCCATACTCCGCCTACTATGGGCTTTTTCACATCCTCACACTAAAAGCGTCTTGAGGTGACATGAGGTGTAGGGAAGACTGCCTCTCGCATGGAACATCCCAGAAGTATGGCAAAGCTACTCGTCAGTCACATTCAGGCCTTGGATTCTGTGTACGGCGCTCCTAGACGCTTTGTGACGACTGTTAAACTGTGAGCAGCCTCATACTGTTTCGTTGTAACATAGTTCTATAGTTGCTATCAAGATTGGAATTGAAGTACAATCACAACTCTTCCCGGAAACGCTGCTTCTAAAGATTTCCAGGAGCGTCAGGTGAGCTTTCAACTTCCACTTCTTAGTTGATGTCACTTAATTTTGCGCAGTGAGGTTTTGAGGAGCAAATGTATTAGACCTCCCATCCCTAACCGTTACTAAGGAACCACCACAGTTTAGTATTTACATTTTAAAAAAGAAAAAGAAACAGTCTATAAGAGTGAAACAAGAATTGAAGGCCACTAGCGCAGATAATGCAAAACACTAGACAGAAAGGAGAAATGCCACTCTTACACCAACTAGAGGGACATGAGAGCTTCTTAGAAGGTGATAGGGCCGATCATGGTGGCATCCTGCGGCATCTTACCCTGAGCCTTGAGGATGGAGGTCAGATTCTTCATCCCGCTCTCGTGGAAACCACCGAGGTCTGTAGATGATTAGCTGAAGTTCAAATTATTTCATTGCAAGGCTTTTAAAACTCACCATAGGAGTCCATGAAGCAGACATGGATATCCCAAAGCATGTAAGTCATGCCGTTGATCTCGCGCACGTCGACAATGTCCCAGGAGCCAGCAAGGAGTCCCCAGTCTCCGCGACGCTGTTTCTCGTACCAGAAAGGCGCATCGCCCATCTGGAACTTCATCCAGTATCCGCCATTGGGGTAGAATTTGAGCTCAGTGAGCTCCTCCACAATAAGTTCGACGTTCTTGCCTCCGGGGAGCTCGGCGCGCAGGTGGCGCTTAGCACCAACAACAGTACCATTGCCCTCAGTGCTCTCAGGAGAAGTTCCGAACCAGGCAGTGTCGAGGAAGTTGGACGTTAGGCGAGTGATCTCGGAGGAGGCGACAGGCCAGAAAGCGTAACTGCTGGAGGTCTGGTAGAAGGAGTTGGGTGGGCAGCGGCAGGTCACTGTATCAGGACCGCAGAGGGGAAGGCTAGCTTGGGGCTTGTTGGAGTTGCGATCTGCAGTGCGCTTCTCAATTTTGTTGAAAGGGAAAGCGAGAGTGGAAGTGGCGAGAGCCGAGAGAGCAAGGGTAGTGAAAAGCATCTTGTAAGCTTAGATGATTGATTTGAAAAGAAGGCGGATGCTTTATCAGACTCAAAGTGAGAGTGTTGGAAGAGAAGCTGCTGTATGAAGCTGTGAAGAGGAAGTTGCTGTGCTGTTTGATGATGCTTCAATGATTTCCCTTCTTCCTTTAATACTTGCTGGATAGCAAGGATTCTAGTCCTTGTGAACGGCATTTGAGAAAAATCAATAGTGACTCCAAGATCTCCAAGTGCCCGAAGAAGGGTGCTCCGAGCCTGGAGCTGAAGATCGATGCTCCGGTAAGCCAACATCCTAATTAACAGTGAAGCTAGTTTGTACATCCCGGGATGCAGTCACTGACTGCGCTAAAACGCATCAAGCTTCTAGAAGGATACCAAAAGGGGACGAGGAAGCTCCACAGCCTTGTCCAGGCTCGCGTATCTTCATCAAGCCCGTACGAGCCCTAGCTAAAGAACCCAAATTTGGTAAGCTTACTCAAGTCCGTCATACTCGGAGTTACCGTAAATGCGCCAAGCTGTCACTGCATCTACCATATGACGATCCTTGTGCAGAGCCGCATACGTGAGACGGCCGCATCCTGGGTAGGTTTTGTCACGTGTACGATCGGATCCGATCGTATTGGAGAAGCGGAGGTACGTCCGGTCAATCGGATTAGGTACAAACTTCAATCCGTACCTAAGAGGCGGAGTTCCATGAGGCTGAAACACGGCGGCGGCGATGGAGAGCTAGAATGGAGGATGTGAGCAAGTGATGACTGCTTTGAATAGAACAAAAGAACCCGTACGAAGAAAAGTAGTACTGTTCGATTATGCGACACATTTCGCTCGTATCGTTGATATACCTTCATCAAGCCAAGTTTGAGCGAGTCGATCTGTCTGCTATTGTGCTCCGTGTACCTTTCGTTATCTTCCCTCGCCTCTACTCTGGGCGTTCCCTCATTTGCCATGTCAAACAACATCACCGTAGACACTGGTGATGGCCAGGAGTTCATCATCGAAGTCAAAGTTCGACCTCGCACCACTACCACCCACAATCCTAACCAAACAATCCATGAAGACGTTCCAATCCAGCTCGAAGTCTCTGCCAACCCGCGAAATACGAGGCGCAGCACTGTCTACAACGATCCTCCCGAATCCGATCTAGGTGGCTTCTTACAGCCTCCATCCTGGGCCGAAGCTACCAGAAGGCCCTCGTTGCCATACAACGGCAGGAGACGCACGACATACATGGATCCTCCCGAATCCGATCTAGACGGATATCTTTCACAGCCCGAGACCGAGATGAGACGAGCACCGTTTGCGCGCAATCTTCGCAGGACAGAAAGCACGGCAACCAGAATGAGCAAACGGCTCAGTCGAGCAAGCGAAGCGTTCGTGGCTACAGCCGAGTTCAATGGATGGGGCGATCCGGTACAGCCTTTTCGTCGAATGGAGGATGTCGAGCTAGACGAGCGTCCTGTGACCACCCGCATCTCCAAAAACCCAGACGGCACACTGAGGCTCAACGGAGTGGATGATGGTTCCAAGCCAACGCAACCACAATACGGCATGAAGTTCTACCTTATCCTCCTCGCCCTCAGTATGACCAATATCCTCGTTGCTTTTGAGGGCACCGTCGTATCTACCGCACTACCAACGATCGTCCGTGAGTTAGGAGGTGGCTCATCATACGTTTGGGTTTCATCGGGATATTTCCTCGCATCGACCGTACTTCAACCGCTCTACGGCCAGCTCGCAGACATCTTCGGTCGGCGCAACCTGATCCTCTTCGCCACAGTTGCATTTGTGGTCGGAAGCGGCATCTCAGGTGGAGCACCCGACATGTCCATAATGATCCTCGGAAGAGTGATCCAGGGTGTTGGTGGTGGCGGCATCAATATGTTGGTCAACCTGATCGTTTGCGACTTGGTTCCTCTCCGTGACCGCGGCAAGTGGATGGCAGTCATCTTTGCCGCCATCTCTGTCGGTACTGGTCTCGGTCCGTTCCTTGGAGGTGTCATCGTCCAGACAACATCATGGCGCTGGGTCTTCCTGCTCAATCTCCCCGTCGGAGTACTCGCGCTTGTTCTACTTGTCGTCTTCCTGCGTATTAAGACACCCAAATCCACAGGCACCTGGCGCGAGAAGCTAGCCAAATTGGACCTAGGAGGCAACTTCATCTTCATCGTCTCGGTTTCCATGATCTTGGTTGCACTGGCATATGCCGGCACACTGTGGCCCTGGGATAGCTACAACTCTATCGCAACGCTTCTCTTCGGTGTATTCGGTATAGTCGTCTTCGTGTTCTACGAAGAGAGCAACTACTGCCCACATCCAACCATTCCTCTACGACTCTTCCGGAACCGGACGTCCGCCGCGGCTTTTGCGATTACGTTCATTCACTCCATGCTGACCTTGTTGGTCATCTACTTCCTTCCAGTCTATTTTCAGGGTGTCCTTTTATCTACTCCTACCCGCTCGGGTGTCCAGATGCTCCCAACCGTTATTGTTTTGGTTCCTTTCTCCGCCATTTCTGGTGCTCTTCTCTCCAAGTTTGGTCGCTACAAGCCCTTCCACATTGCCGGATTCTTGGTCATCACAGCCGGTCTAGGCTCTTTCATCACTTTAGATAGAAACAGCTCAATGGCTGCATGGGTTATGGTCCAGTTTACCGTAGCCGTCGGATCAGGCTTCAGTCTCAGTACCCTATTGCCCGCCGTGCAAGCCAGACTGAGCGATAAGGATACGGCGGCTGCCACGGCCACGTGGGCTTTCATCCGTCAATTTGGTGTTGTGTGGGGCGTTTCCGTTCCTGCAGCTATCTTCAACAGCCGAGTTGAGATGCTTCTTCCTCGTATTAGTAGTATGGCCGTGCGTGCAGCGCTGGACAACGGTGCGGCTTACGATCACGGTACGAAGGAGTACATAAGCCAGTTTCAGAATCCATTAAGAGGCGAAATCATTTCGGTGTACGAAGACAGCCTGCAGCTAGTTTGGATTTTCGCGACCGCTATGGCCGGTCTTGGGTTCTTGCTCGTGTTCCTAGAGGAGGAAGTCAGCTTACGAACGGAGAACAGCAATGACTTCGGTATGGACAAGAAGGACTAAATTGCTCTCGGTATAATCTCGGTGTAACTCTCTTTCGTGTATATCAGTTTCAACTTAGACTTCCTTCGCTTTTGATTTAACATAAAACTACTGTTCAACTACAACGCTACACAGTACATCTATTTCGCGAATACGCACAGGCTTGACGAAAGTGTAGTTGAATCAAAAGCACAGTTGCTACCCAGGATAAGAGGTTGGCTACAAGATCACGTACCTCTATAGCTTGCATGACTGGTATACGAATGACATCCTCTATATGATCGTTTCGATAGATAGCCACATGAAGGCTATTTGTTCTACAACAAAAGTAGATCTTCATTGGTCCAACAAGTTTCAATTGTCAATCATCGCACAAAGGAGTACTCGGAATGTTTTCTGCGATCACAGTAGAGCCTCAAACGACTGGCGGGGTGGGACAGTCGCCGGATCCGAGATAATCGGCACAATCACGTGAGTGGAAATCCGGATCCGAAGAAAAGTGGTGCATGGACCAAGATCCCGTCTGAGGTCACCGCAGCTCTATGAATATGACATTGTGGTAGAGCTAAGGTCTTCGTGTAGTGGAGTGAGCGCGCAGAGTCCGTAAATTTCGAAGGCGAACACCGCTCGTACCTTTAAGCATCAGCACGACCTGGTAGTATGCTCATACTACGCTACCGGATCCGAGTTGAGACGTCGAATGATGTTTCGTCGTAAAATCGGTTGAAGATAGGAAGCTGTGCTCGTAGGTAACGTGTATATATGCGCAAGAACTGGTCGGAGGAGAGATCCATAATGACAACAGCTCCGCATTTCTTTCCTACATTCGCACTTTCTCTTGTCTTGTCGCCTACAATCCACTGCTCGTTGCTGGTCTTTCTCATCTCAGCATATTGAATCATGTCTGCCCATATCATCATTGATGTGCAGGGCGCCGCGTTGATAGCTATCGCCCTCTTCGCGATCCGAAATCACATCGCAGTCCTCGTCAACAAAATCCTGTCCACAGTCCTCAACGCATACCTCTCGCGCCGCCACGCTATCAGGAACATTGACGATGGCAGCAAATTCCCCTCAAACGATTATGTGTGGCCAAATGGCCAGGGTGATGCGGCAAAGTTCTTGCATGGACAGAAGAACAGCGAGGCGTGGGAGGCGAGCTTTGGAGCCATCTATCGTCTCTGGTCCGGTATGACCCCAGAAGTGTGAGTCTTGTAGGCAAAGAAATTTTTGTTGTTCTAGTGCTGAAGTAGAGGGTAGTGTTATCACCAAGCCGGAGCATGTCCGGGTCGTCTTCAAGGACTCGGACAAACACTTCAAGGCCGTCAACAACAACTCTGGCTACATGCTTGGTCAATTGCTCGGGCAGTGCGTTGGCCTTGTCAGTCGTGACCAGTGGAAGCGCGTCCGTGCGGTCGTGGAGAAGCCATTCCACCGCAGCATGGCGACGAGGTATGTTCCAACGGTGAGGACGCGCACAGAGCGTTACTTCCAAGAGCTCTTCGAGACAAAAGACTTATCACGTGGCATTCTCGACCCTGCAGACGACCTCAAGCTCCTCCCTTTCCTCATCGTTGCCGAAGTCATCTACGGACAGTTGCACCCAGAAGTGGAACATGAGCTTCGCGACATGGCACCGCAGCGCGAGGCTCTGATGAAGTACGTTATTCAAGGGGGTCTCGCTCGCTTTGAGTGGGCTAAGCATCTCCCGACTCAGGCAAACCGCGACTTAGCTGCGTTCCGTACGCGCTGGCTAGCAGTCAATGAGCTCGCATACACTCGCGCCGTCGAAGCAGGCATTAGCGCTCCCATCATCGACTACTTCGCCGCTCGTGATATTGGCGAGCTCACCACCAATGAGATGCTACAGACCATGGACGAGATGCTGTTCGCCAACCTTGACGTCACTATCGGCGCTTTGAGTTGGAACGTTGTCTTCCTCGCCGCATACCCCGACATTCAGAGACGTGTGCGAGAGGAGATCAAAACGAAGCGCGATGAGCTGGATAGCATGGGTCTTGAATTCGACTCTTACATAACGGACAACAACTCCCTGCTAGCTGCCTGCGTCAATGAAGCTGCGCGTCTCAAACCTCTCGCAGCATTCTCTGTGCCACAGAGCATCCCAACCGCCCGTGTCGTTGGGGGATACGAGTTTCCAGCCGGCACGAACTTTGTCATCGACTCTTACGCGCTCAATATCCGCAATCCGTACTGGGGCGAGGACCGTGAAAAGTACCTGCCCGATCGATTCCTTTCTGGGGACCGCACTGATGCTCGCTATCATTACTGGCGATTCGGATTCGGTCCGCGTAAGTGCATGGGTCAGTTCGTTGCAGATATCTTGATGCGCAATGTTTTGGTGTATCTTGCCGACAACTACGATCTTGGAATGATCAAGTCTGAATCATTGGAGAGCTGGGGCCGGAATGCGGACGTTTGGATCGACCACCCCCAGATGCAGCTTCGTTGCACGAAGAGGTGAGCTTTCAACTAACGTAAGACGGAGAAGCGGACATCGTAAGACCGAAGGTTTCACACGCTTCCTGTGAAGCCTCACTCGGCGATGGAAGCTGGATCGATAATCCTCCTTTCTTTTCTAGCGAGAAGCGGCTTCAGTTTAGATTTGTTTTCGCCATCTGCATTGGCATAGCATGGTAGTAAAAGGCTGGGTTACAGTATTTGCTTTGTTTAGCCTCATAACTTCTCTGGGTGACCGGGTATCTCCAGTGTCCTCTGTAGCTCCTTGACCAACAAGCGCAAAACCCAATGAGGGACGGTCGGCTTTGAGCATTGATAGAATTGGGTATACTATTGCCACATATGTTCCCAGTTCCAGTCCTGAGTCATTCCAAAATTCAAAGCATCGTTGGGATTGTACATGTCGGCCTGGAAATTTGTGAACTCGGCAGCTAGATCTGGCAGATCCCCAAACCATTGTTCAGCATTCTCTGGGAGGTCAATGGGGAATTGGAGATCCGATATAGAGGTCGGCGTGAGCGTAGGATTGGATAGTGGCGGGGTAATGGTATTTGGCATTAATGTGGTCGATGTCTTCTGGCGTTTAGTAGGCGGTGCCGATTGCGATTGGTCTTGGATTACCATAGGCTGTAATAATCGCTCGCGACATGCAGCCAAAGTTCTCTTAGCACTGTTTTGCAAAGCGTGTGATCTCGAAGACGACCCCGATAGCTGCACTGACTGGAGCGCCAGCCCTAGAAAAACAATATCTTTCAGGTCGCTACTTTTCCGCCCTATTCTATCGATTAGGCAGTGGATCGTATTTTCGACGGTTCTGGCAAGAGAGGTATCGTTGTGCCCAACTTGTCTATCTAGAGCCTGGTCTGCAGCTGTAGCCTGGCGGAGTAATTTGATGTGCTGACATATTGTGAGAGCTGCCCACAGCATGTCGGATTTGCAACAGCGATAAAAGAAGTCTTGTTGTGGTAAGGGGTTGCCAGTGACCGCGCGGAGTGCCTGAGGGGTGTAAAGGTCTTGATAGGAGATAATGACTAGTGACGACTCAAGACAGTGCCTCTGGGTCTCTGTATATATTGTCTGGTCCTGCTGTTCTCCCAGGAGTAGTGGCTTGTACAGACAAAGGAGAGGTCTTCGTAGATAGAGATCCAGCAGGACGCGATGGAGCAGCGATCCACCATCTGTGGGCGCTGTACTGTTGTTATGGAGGCACAATACCAAGGGCTTGCGAGACAAGCACTCTTCGACTTTTCGCCCTAGCTCGATAGCCTCTTCCACGTTTGGAGCAGAGCGTTGTACGAGTGCCAGAGCCTGAAGCCGTTGTGGAAGAGAGGTAGCAAGGCATACTTGGTAAAGATTGTCGGTTTGAGTACTCAGTGGCCGTGATGTAGGCAGCTTTGTAGAGAGTTCATCAAAGTCTGAATCATTGAGGTTTGCCGGCACAAGGTTACATGAATCGAGTTTGGGACCCACAAGAGGCATTCCAGCAGTCATTGAAGCCTGCAGGTCCATTTCAAGGATCGTTGCCCATAGCCTCCGTCGCATCTCAACCTGGTAGGCGTTGATGCCGGGAACACCTGTCGGGTCTGTATGCAGACCCATCACCATGGCGGAGCGCACAAGAGCGCCAGTGGAGCTCCAGAGTTTCTCGGGGTACAGATGACGAAGACTCTTAGAAAGGAGTAGAAGTACATCGACTTGGAGGGTGGATAGCTCGGTTCTTTGTTTCCGACCCAGCTCATCAAGCCAAGCCTGGATGAGGTCGATAGAAGCTCCTTTCAGATAAGTCCTGTGGGTTAGTTCTTCGTTTTCGGGAACTGCATCGTCCATGTGGTATGCCATGGTCATTACAGCGGTCAGCTGTGGTATGATGCTGGACGAACTGCAAATTTCAGGATTATTGTCCAACCAAATCTGATCATATTGGCGCATAAAGGTCGTAATGTGAAGCACTCTCATAGTGCGCTCGAAGTATCGAAAGTAGATGGAAACAAGTCTGTCACAATAGGCTTTAGGGGGAAGAAATTCGCGAAGCTTGAGTAGAGCCAGCGAAAAGTCGGAATCATTGACGCTGTCTGGTGAAGCGATCTTGGTATGAGACTTGTCTTGCAAAAATTTCACCTGTTTTGCAGAAGCCTGGAGCTGAGCATCATTGGACATGTCATTGATAAAATCCTTGACATCAAGGAACTAACTATTGTCAGCCGGACACTTGACGATTCTGCTGATGTACGGTACTTACTTGGTTCAGGAGTGTGACTCTATCATTTTGTCCATGATACACTGAACGATTCCCTTTGACGACCACAGTTCCAAGGAGCGGAAGCGGCGTGGCAGGCATTTGCCTTTCGCTACGGGCTGAGACCTGATGAGTACGAGCGACGCCTAGTAACTCCTCCATCTTTGCCATCCTGAGCTGAAGATCCTCAAGCGAATTCGTTGAGAGATGCCCGTTGGAAGTCGGGGTCGAGTTATCCTGTTTGGCGGGCGATATGCCATTTCGATTGTATGTGCAAGTATTCGCTGTGGACGCCTTGACACAGTTCTCGCAGGGGGCGGTACGGTCGCACTTTAGCTTCTTGTCGCGACACCTCAAACAGGAGACGACAGGCCGTGGCCGCTTCCGAGAGGTTGCATCGTCCATTGTGAAGAGCTGATCCAATATTGCATGTGGTGCACAAGAGAATGGAATGCTGAGAGTTAAGTAGGAGCTGACGGCGGGAGTGGGGCAGGTCAATGGTTACCGGGTAATCACATCGGGATTAGCACGGCCGCTAAGCCACTGGTAACAACTATCACGTGGTGAGAGCCACGGTAGGACAGACTTGAAGCCGGGTCTATTTGAATATACATATATGTGCTAATTACTTAGCTAATGCGAGGCACAGAAGCCGGCTTGAATCTCACTTGTGAGATTCTTCACGAACTAAACAAATGCGCAGGTGCAAGCAGCTGAAAAGCCAGGATCATTCCGTAAGAAATAAGAGATGCAGACATAATAAGCCTTCGGTCACCGAGCGCCGAACACAGAACCAGGTTACGCCTCATCCACACCCGTAGCATCTGAGCACCAAGCCTGATACGAACTCGTTCTGTACACAATTAGAGTTCAGAGTTGGCGCCGGGGCTGATCTTCGACTGCAGCCATTCGACGGGGCAGGTGCGTGGGCTCTTGGTCTCAGCCTTGACATAAGCCAGGACTTCCTTCTCCACATCTGCGTTGTACAGCCAGGCCAGCTCGCCGTGATCACCACTCTCCCAAACGGGTGCGCCAGCCGCAGCCAGCTTCTCACGCTCAGCCTGTGGCAGGCGGGCATTGTTGAGCTGCATCGTGAGCTTGATGACTTTGTCGACACGTTGTTGACGCATTTCCTTCCACTCGGTAATCGCCTTGTCCAACGGCAATTTTGGTGTGATGCGAGGCAGCAGCGCGGCCAAAGTGAAGGCGTCCTCGAAGCCCTGAGACGCGCCCTGGCCGGCAGTCGGGGGGATTGCGTGCGCCGCGTCGCCGAGGATGATGACGCGCTTGCTGGGCGAGGACCATCGTTCGAGCTTGGGCACAACGTAGTACGGCCAGATGGCGAGGGTATCAAGAGGAACGTTGTTGAGGGCAGACTGCACAATGGTGGGCCAGTCTTCATAGCCCTGGCGGAACAGCTCAAGAAGTCCCTCACGATCCGCGAGCAGCGCGTCCCAGCCGGCGCGATCCTGCTCTGGCCATGCGCGTTGAGTGCCCGCGAGAACTTCTGATCCGTCAACGTTCTGCGGAGCCATCACGAAAGCACCATTCTTGCCGTGGATAGCAACAGGCATAGGGTAGTCTTTGGCGCAGATGTTGGAGGGATATTCGAGTGTGTTCCTCTGGAGCGCGCATGTGATGGCGACCATTCCTGAGTATTTGGGAACAACACCAGGAGCAATGTGCTTGCGGACTGTGGAGTGAATGCCATCGGCGCCAACGAGGATGTCGGCCGACGCACGAGTACCGTCAGTGAAGGCAAAGTTGACGCCACTCTCATCCTCAGAAATGATGTGGCTGAACTTGACACCGTATACGACGGGAATCTGAAGGTTCTTGACCTCATCGCGGAGCTCCGTGAGGAGGACCTGGCGGTAGACACGGAGAGCCTTGTATCCGTAGAGCCTCTCCTGGCCGAGGTAGTACTGATCAGTGGTGATCTGCTCGTGGTTCTTGAAGTCGATTGTCTCGAAATTGTAGCCCTGTGGGCGGAGTCTCTCGTAGATGCCTAATGTGTCGAGGATGCGTAGAGCATTAGGTGAGAGCATCAAAGCGCCCGATGTCGCCTTGCTGGGCTCGCGAAGCTCGTATATCCTGCAAGGGACGCCTTGGCGATGCAGAGAGATGGCGAGAGTAAGGCCCGAAAGGCCCGCGCCGATAATAGCTACCCTATTGGGAGGAGTGGAGATCATGTTGTATGTGACTGAATAAGATGGTATCAGATCTCGGGTTCGGGTAGAGGTGGTCACAGGCTAGAAAAGGTGTGATTGAATGAAGTAGAATGTAGAATATTGAGCGTGTTGAGATAGGGGAATTGAGTGCGGTTGTCAAGTGAGTTGAGGAAGAGGTTGAGTGGAATGGATACTTGAATGACAAACACACCAAGCTTTATAGCTTGGCTACGGGTGCGCAGATATCGGCGCAGATACTCGGATCCGTACTGCTTTGTCACCAGTGCCTGATAGATGCATGCTTTAGGCTGTGAAACCGTGTTAATCCACCTGCGCCTCTCCTTTGTCAGGCCGCGTTTGCTGGTGTGGTGTGGTTTCCGGATCCGAAAAGTGTCTCGGATCCGAACACCGACCAATGCATCACTGTTTCCACTTGACCTTCGCCTTCCGAACAAACGACATAAGAGACAGACCTCTCGACGTCCCAGGACTTTCATAACCCAACCTTCTCAACTGTTCATGCAGAGGAACCCGCAAAAGCGTCACTTTTTCTCCTTCTATTTCTTCGAAGCCGCCTACCCACGCCCTGAATTGGAGTACCCACAAGCCAACCTTCAGAAAACAACCAGTCTACTCTCCAATACGAATTCTACATCTACATCTACATCTCCGAAGACAACGGCTTCCAGACAGTCCACCCAGCAGTCAACGTAGACTTTCTATACCTGCAAACATGTCAATCTCGAAGCGCATCCTCATTATCGGTGGCAGCGGTCGCACCGGCAAGTTGGTCATCAACGAACTCCTTGCACGGGGTCATGAAGTCACGGCACTCGTCCGCAAACCCGAGTCACTAGAAGCCAAAGCCGGCCTCAAGACCATCACCGGCACGCCCATGAACAAGGAAAATGTGCGCAACGCCTTCGCACACAGCAACCCCGAAGTCGTCGTCGTTACACTCAGTGCACCACGTGCCGGCGATAGTCCCTTCGCAGCAGTCGTTTCTCCACCCCGCCTGATGGCCGACTCAACCGCCAACGTCGTCGCCGTCATGAAAGAGTTTAACACGCCCAAGATAGTCATCATGCAAGCCTTCGGAGTCGGCGAGTCGTGGCCAAACATGCACTGGGTGATGCGCATGCTTATGAAGAAGAGCAATATGATCTACCAGTACGACGACCACAACCTTGTCGCAAAAGAGGTTAAAGCCAGCGGAGAGAACTACGTCTTTGTGCGTCCATCGAGGCTGGAAGAGGGCGATGCGAAGGCGATCCAGGAGTGGGCCAATGACGGTAAGGGTGTCCCGATGATGGGAGCCATCACCCGTGGCAGCGTTGCGAAGTTCATAGTTGAGGCGACCGAGAGCAGGACCTGGGACGGAACGGCGCCTGTTATCACAAACTAGGTGCTTGGGTCGCGATGAGTCCTAGTCCACGTACATGTAGCATTCTTTCTGGATCAGCGAGGGTTTCAGGTCGACGGCGTTTAGGAGTTCAGGAAGACTTGAATATTAGCATATATGTTATCTTGTACAGATGTCGTTCTGAGTGCCAGCTTGTGCAGTCAGTCGTCTTGCCGTGCATTGCATCGAAGTGCTCATAACCGGAATTGCTAAAAGTAATGGTTGTTATAGAGAGTAGAAAAGCTGGAGAGGTGGTGAAGGGGGAAGAGCGCACGGGGAAGATGCGGGTGACGTCTTGTTAGCAACCATTCGCCTAGAGCTTAACCCCACAACGCCGCTTGAGGGCCCTGGCAACCAGGCGAGTTTTAAACCTCCGAGCTACCACGTTGCTTCATACAACCAAATCTGTGTGTCGAACTTGTCTACAAGATCAATTGCATCCTCCTTTATCATATATTACTTGGTGAATATTCCCATTCCTCGAGCCAAGTGTAAGTCACCGACCCCACCTCATGTTTTGGAGCTCGTAGGGACACGGTAGCTAATAGCTTCCTTGCGATTATAGCTCTCGTCTGTCCCCAACCATGACCTCCCTCTTCGAAGCAAAAGTCAAGAGCGTCCTCTCTGGCGACACCATCATCCTCCACAATATCAACAACCCAAAGCAAGAGCGTACACTGAGCCTAGCTTTCGTCACTGCGCCCAGACTGAGGCGAGAAGGCGATGAGCCATTCGCCTTCGAGTCACGCGACTACCTCCGACGTCTCGTCGTAGGCAAGGTCGTGCGCTTCCAGGTCCTGTACAAGATCCCCACGGGCGCAAATCGCGAATACGGTCTCATTGTCCTTCCGAACAAGATCGCCCTGCCAGAACAAGCAGTGGCAGAGGGCTGGCTGAAGCTGCGAGATGATGCTGGCCGGAAAGAAGACTCTGAGGAAGCCGCACAACTGCTAGAGAGACTGCAGATGGTTGAGGCACGCGCGAGGGCAGACTCGAAGGGTCTCTGGGCCGAGTCGGGAGGCCGCATTAGCTCGTCAACTGAGCTAAGCGACCCGCAGAAGTTCGTCGAGGACAACAAGGGCAAGGACTTGGAGGCAATTGTCGAGAAAGTGCTTTCTGGCGACCGCCTCATCGTCCGATTCATTCTCTCGCCGACCGAGCATGTCCAAACCATGGTCCTCCTCGCCGGCATCCGCGCCCCAGCCACCAAGCGAACGAACCCTTCAGACGGCAAAGAACACCCAGCTGAGCCATTCGGCGAGGAGGCTCAACAATTCGTGGAGACAAGGTTGTTGCAGAGAGGAGCGAGCGTCGTCGTGCTTGGAACGACTCCCAATGGCCAGATCGTGGCCGACGTTAAGCACCCCACTCAAGGCAGCATTACGCCCTTCCTACTCAAAGCCGGATTGGCAAAGTGCACCGACCATCACACAACACTTCTCGGCCAGCAGATGGGTGTGCTCAGACAGGCAGAGAAGGTGGCAAGGGACAGCCGGCAAGGTCTCTATGCGGGCCATGTCGCTCCAAAGGCCAATGCAGCAGGCGAATTGGAAGCTATTGTTACCAGGATCCAAAGTGCTGACACACTCTTCCTACGGAACAAGGCTGGTGTGGAACGGCGCGTCAACCTAAGCAGTGTTCGCCAACCGAAGCCTACCGACCCGAAGCAGTCACCGTGGGTAGCGGAAGCGAAAGAGTTTTTGCGCAAGAAGCTGATTGGAAAGCACGTCAAAGTCCACGTTGATGGTAAGCGGCCCGGGACAGAGGGATATGATGAGCGCGAGATGGTCACCGTCACTATCCAGGGCAAGAACATCGGACTGCTTCTTGTGGAGAGTGGCATGGCTTCCGTGATCCGACACCGACAAGACGACACCGACAGAAGCCCCATTTACGATGATCTTCTGCTTGCTGAACAAAGCGCGCAAGAAGGGAAGAAGGGTCTGTGGTCAGAAAAGGCGCCGGCCGTAAAGCAGTATGTCGATTACTCGGAATCTCTTGAAAAGGCTAAGCGACAACTCTCTCTACTATCACGGCAACGCAAGGTACCAGCAATTGTCGACTTTGTCAAATCCGCATCACGTTTCACTGTACTGGTACCCCGCGAGAACGCTAAACTTACTTTCGTCCTCTCCGGTATTCGTGCGCCGCGGTCAGCCAGGAACGAAAGTGATAAGGGTGAGCCGTTTGGTAAGGAGGCCCACGAGTTTGCCAACAAGCGATGCCAGCAACGCGACGTCGAGATTGATGTCGAGGATTGCGACAAGGTGGGCGGCTTCATTGGCACCCTCTACATCAACCGCGAGAACTTCGCGAAGACCCTAGTCGAGGAGGGTCTTGCTTCAGTACATGCGTACTCAGCAGAAAAGTCTGGCAATGCAAACGAGTTATTCGCCGCTGAGCAGAAGGCAAAGGACGCGCGAAAAGGACTGTGGCATGACTATGACCCTTCCCAGGACGAGGACGCTGAGCCGAACGCTGCTGCTGCTGCTGAAACTACCAACGGCGACGCAGCGACCTCGAGGCGAAAGGACTACCGCGACGTCATGGTAACGCATGTGGAGGATGATGGCAGGCTGAGGCTCCAAGAGATTGGCGCCGGCACAACAGCACTAACATCACTCATGGACGCGTTCAGCAAGTTCCATCTGAACCCAACCAATAGTGCAGGCCTCCCTAATCCTCCCAAGGCCGGCGAGTTCGTCGCAGCCAGGTTTACGGCGGACGACCAGTGGTACCGCGCCCGAATCCGACGCAACGATCGTGAGGCAAAGAAGGCCGAGGTCGTGTATGTCGACTATGGAAACTCGGAGACGATCCCGTGGTCGCGTCTCCGACCTCTCTCTCAGACTCAATTCTTGCCATCGAAGCTCAAGCCTCAAGCTGTGGAAGCACAGCTAGCTTTCATCCAGCTGCCGGGCAACCCAGAGTATCTCGCGGACGCGGTGCACTTCATCTCACAAGAGACGGCGGATCGTCAGCTTGTTGCTAATGTGGATCAGGTGGAGAAGGATGGCCTGCTCTGGGTTACGCTATTTGATCCCAAGCAGAGCAAGACTGGACAAGAGAGCGTGAACGCGGACGTTATCAGTGAGGGTCTTGCTATGGTGCCCAAGAAGTTGAGGGTCTGGGAACGGAGTGCAAGCGATGTGCTAGCTGCGCTGAAGAAGAAGCAAGATGTAGCTAAGGAGGAGAGGCGGGGCCAGTGGGAATATGGCGACCTGACCGAGGACGACTAAGCGTGTCGATGAGATGAGTTCTTTGATGCCTTTGAACTAGGAGCGAGGGATTGAAGGGTGCAAATGCCACAAAGTTTGGCGTGCATACAGGATACTTGAACAGTCAGGAATCAAATGTTTCTCCGTGAATTTCCTTTCGACGATAAGGTGAAGAGGTCAGCTAAGCAGACAGCACTCACGTCTGCCCTACGTTGAGATGAAGGAAGCCTAGAGGCGCAGTCGCCCGGGAGAGCCGTGAGGGCGGAGGTCGTCGCATGCGATTGGCTGGAGTCGGGGGTTAAGCCTCGGGCACCGCCACTGAAGGTACACGCGGAAGGAGCGATTGGTTCGTGTGGGGTCGTAGCTAGGCATCCATGAATGCACCCGCGCATGCTATAATCTGCCCCAACACCCATGACGACGACGCTCAAGGCAGTCACATCGCTGCTATTCTCCATGCCTTTGCATACACGCACCTAACGACGCCATCGCGTACCTTTTACACCTCTGCGACTACCCCGAGGTCGATTCGCGAAGATGGAGACCATCAGCAGACTCACCCAGCTCTACTCCGACACCAAGAAGATCGGGGACGCCGTCGTCGAGCAAGACACCAAAGACACGCCCGAGTCGCATGCGCTCCACCGGAAGTTCAGAATCCAGAAGGATCGGCTGATAACATGGGGCGTCGACTGGAGCGACAACTCCAAGGGCACGCAGGGAGACATTGACAAGAGCGTGGAGCAGGCTGGCCTCACTGAAACGGTTACGAGCGTGCTTGGTACCATCAAAGAGATTCTAGACGAGGCAGAGAGAATGCATCCAGGAGCACCTGTCACAGGAGGAAAGATTTTGTCGGGAGAGAAGAGCAGGCCTGACCCTCCCTCGTGGGCGGCCGCCGACCGGTCACGTTACGAGGACCTCATCAAGGACCTCACGACGTCAATAGACATCCTTTACGATCTGTCGAGGACACGGAGAACACAACGAGGAAGCGACCGCGGTGTCAGTCCAGGCAAAGCCGCCTCCGAACAGCCACGGCCAGCAACATCCACGTCCGTATTCCTCTCCGCCGACTACAGCGCTTCCGACCTCACGCTCGTCAACCCAGCAACATTTCCACTCAATGCTCATGCGCCCCGCTCAAACCTCCCCCCCAAGCTGGACCCGTCCGATCTGGTTCTGCCAGAAGAAGAACCACCGCCCTACGAGAGCGTTGGCAAGTCTTCGAGTCAAGTCATTGGTCGACTACGCTCCCGACACAGCTCGACAAACCCTTGGAAGACTGAGGGAAGCAGGACGATAGAGACATGTGTGCTGGTCGAGTATGCGACGTACGACCCCACATACCGCTTTACTGAAGTCTCTCCACCTACAGACCGCTTGGAACGCCTCTTGTCGATACTGACAAAGCTGTCAAACAATCACTCCTTCCACGGGACACTCCACTGTCTAGGATACTTTGAAGATCCAAAGCAACCGCGCTTTGGGCTAGTCTTCGAACTGCCAACCTCTGTCTACGCAGGACCCGCCGACTCACACAAGCCTGCAGAGGAGTTGAGACCCGTGACACTACTCAGTGTTCTTCAAACAGGCTCAAAGTCGCTGCACAACTCTAACAGCGCTACCCCACCGCTGGAGGACCGTTTTCGTCTCGCCTTCACACTTGGCCTAACTTTCAGCAAAATTCATGGTGATAACTTTGTCCACAAAGACGTCAACAGCAGTAACATCCTGGTCTTTAAGAATAACAAGAGACAGTCAGCCAACAGCAGAGCTCTGCAATATTCTCTTCGCTCCCCGGTTATATGCTCGTTTGATCTCTTTTCTGAATACGACATTGAACCGACCAACGCAATGCCAACACTCAACATCTATCGCCATCCAGAAGACCCCAAGTTCACCGGGCTCAAGAACGCAACCTATAGCCCGCAGTTCGATATGTACAGCTTAGGTCTGATATTGCTCGAGGTCGGCCTGTGGCAGCCCCTAGCGGACCTATGGAAGCCAAAATATACCTTGAAAGACTTCAAACAACGGATAGAAGACGTATACATCCGTCGCCTAGCATCTAAGTGCGGTACGGCTTACATGCAAGTCGTTCGTGACTGCTTCTGGGCAGCCGACTCCAAGGGCGAAAATGTACAGGATCTCTCCCAGCTGTACAATCGTATCATCATCCGGTTGCAAAGGTGCTGTATGCTCGATGAATCCGAGCCTGGCTTTGATTCGAGTGAGCTTAGGCCAGGTGCTACGCCTATCCAACAGTCATCCCCGCTCAAGCGCAAAAGTATCAGCCAGCCTCAGATCGCAGCAGACATTCCAGCAACTCCTTCATACCGGAGCGCAAAGCGATGGGCGTTTGAGAAGGGGTCACAAGCCCTGGAGCGAACCAAGTCATTGTCAAAATCATCACCAAAGCAATCTCCTGACCTCTCTTTGTCGCGGGACCCGTCGCAACGTTCACAGCACTCTATTCGAAAAAGTATTTCGGAAAGCATACGCTTAATGAGCCCGAAACAGGAGGCCCCGGAGCCAATGGAGTGGGAGCAGCAGGAGCGTGATCCGCTTGAAGAGTCCGGTATGTGTAACTTATTCTAGGTAAATTGGAGTGATGATCTAACGGCAACATGTAGGCACTCTTGTTGCGACTCCGCCAGATTCACAAGATCGAAGTGATACCTCGTCTTTGTATAGAGAGCGTGTTGTGACAGCAGCATCAACGATACAGCGCGCGTGGAGACATTCAAAAATCCCGTCACGTGCTTCTTCACAGCGAAGTATGACGTTACGCGACTACAAAGAAAAGATCACCGTGATCCAAAAAGCTTGGCGAGAGAGCAAACAGAAACGATCGAACACGATCGAAGCTCTTCTGACCGACGGTATTCGCCACTGGCCCCAAGCCACGCTTGGCTATCCTACACCGGAACCCGAAATGCGAAGCATCGAACAGAGCGAAGGCTGCATCACGTCCTCTATACAAATACAGACAGATATGGACCCCACTTCACGCCCAAAGCTTCGACTATTCCCAGTCAAATTTGCGCCAGCGATTGTAGATGAATGGCATACAACGATGCTGCCTCGCCTTGAGCGTCTCATTGAGCGCGCACTCAAAGAGTCTGATGAAACGATAAGCATCGATCTCGTGGCGATCGGCGAAACGCCAGAGAAGTCTCACCCGACGATATTCGTGACCTGCAGCAGCGTTACCAAGGTCAAGACCATTCTTGCCCGCCGCTTCCGTTATGACGCGAATGCCTACGATCTCAAGGTCCGTCGGGGAAAGATCCGACGGTCTAAGATGAGCCGCTCCTCGCGGCGAGTACGGTATGTAGATCCCCATACTGCAAGCATGTCTGCGTGCCTTTAGAAGTATTTTTTAGCTTTGTACTTCCGAGCTAGGATTTGAAGAGCTACGCAAAGTACTCCGGTTTTGAGTCGTCAAACTCCTCCATAAATACGTTTGCTAACTGTGACGCCACCTTAAGACCTCCGCATCGTTCGATGATGAATACCGACAACTACAACGGCGACATGGCTGTCATGAATCCATTTCACCAGCCACGACCCCTTTGTGGTGCATCCATCGGTGCGTTTAACAACGATGAACATCTACCTCCAGTCTCATATGGTGGAGTAATCCTTGTTGATGACGAACCACTTGGCATGAGCGTGCACCACCTACTAGATGCCCCCTCGGATGACGAGAGCGATGCAGGTGATGACATCGACAGCCCATACCCAAACAGTGTTGTTCTTTCTAGTGCGGCTAGCAATAACAACCCGTGGTTGATGGGCATGGGCGAGCAGCCTGGGCTTCATCTCGACTCCGATGAGCCTGCGGCGATGTGGGACCTAGAGCTCTCTGACGACGAAGATATGAAGAGCGATGAAGACGCTCAATCTTTCGACTTGTCAGATTCTGAGTTCGACTCGGATGATGAGTCTGATCATGAAGCTATGACTGACTCGACCCTGTCGCGGGCTACCACAGGGGATATTAATGGCATCGGGCTAGGGGAGGGTGAAGACATCAAGATCACACAACCAGCTATCGATGATGTGGACGACGACTTCTTCCCTAATGACGAGGACCGGAATGACGATCATCTATCTTCCCATGAGTTGGGCCATATTCACGCGTCTTCTGGTATCCGACGTTGGAAGCGTGACGGCATCTTACACGAAATCGACTGGGCTTTACTTAAGCTTAATGAGGATCGTTTGCAACCGTATAACATCTGCCAAGGAGGCCGCAGATTTTGCTTTGGCCCACCAAAACCAGATCAAAAAGAGATTTCTGCAAAGCTAGAACAGCCAGTAAATCGGCGTCACTACAGTCCAGAGGAAGACGAGTACCCAAATGGCATCGCCAGCGCGGAGGGTCTCGGTGGTCTCAATGTGCACTGTTTTGGTCGAACAACCGGTCTGCAAGGGGGGATGATCTCCTCGACCATGAGCGCTGTCCGCATCTACCGCCGCAAGACATTCTCTCGCTCGTGGTCCGTTGCAGGCGGCTTTGGCGTCGGTGGTGATAGTGGAGCATGGATCGTGCAGAATGGAACCCATAAGGTCATTGGACATGTTCTCGCATGGTGTCAAAGAAACCACATCGCGTATCTTTGCCCTATGGAGGTCTTACTCGAGGACATCAAGCGAACTCTCGGCGCGAAACGCATCTATCTTCCCGGCTCTACCGAGCAAACACTCTACACCTGCAAGCAGAAGAACAAGCACTCCACCAAGGCACAGGGCGGAGCTACCGCCGAGATCGACGATCTAGAAGTGGGCGTACAAGGCCTCGGATTAGGCATAGTTGACTCCGCGGTCGACATGCGCTCACATTTAAGCTCCGCCCCGCCTAGTGGAGCACCAAGCGGCTCGTGGATGCGAGGCGGCAGACAGAGCCATTCCATGTTGAACACAAGTGGCGAATCGGATAAAGAGAATTTGCCCGTTTTGCGAAGTAGAATCATGAAGGTCAAAGAGGGACGGGACATGCAGCTGGAGATGGCTATCGTGCCTTAGTTGGGCATGACTGTTTTGATATATGTGTAATGAGTCGTGATGTGGGCGTTGTGTGTTGTTGGTGAATACCCCTCTGCGTTGAACACGTTGTTGATAGCAATAAACGTGTAGTGTGACGTATGTAGCGAAATGAGAATATTATTTGATTCCAGCCGCTTAGCTGCCTCTGATCTGTGATATTGTATCTATTAACATTGAGCACTCCGGTCTGCTGTGAGGTCTATACACAACATGCACTTTACAGTACGATCATGTACTCGCTTCCTTTATCGTGTTTGACACGGTAAAGCAATATAGGTTCATAGTTTGAAAATCTATATCGGCTACTAGCAGAAGATATGTGCGATCTCAACGCATCTTATGTGTTTCGAGACGTGGAATTTGCTTTAGATGTTTGGGGAAGGGTATACCGTGACGATTCGCCTACTCTACCAGAGAAAACAAATCATCACAACTCAACGTATCAAGTGTCCGTTCGTTATCGTGCACTAACACTACTATACGCTTCGCCGTTTACTGGGGTAATGTAGATTTCACGAGTCATAAGGCCGACTAACGGGCTTGTTGGAGTCTCGTGATCTCTCAGCCACCGTCTGGGCAACGCATGTCAAGGCCCATGTTGCAGATAAGAGACTCTAGAGGCCTCCAGTTGCCTCTCAAAAAACCGCCATTGAGGCAAGCTTTACCGTTGGGCTGCGGAGTGACGCGCGGGTATCAGCTGGTCGTTACACGGAGAAAGCCCTATTGAGGCAACCCCAGGGATTCAAGACTTGGCGGAGGAGAGATTGGAATGTTATTGGCAGATTGAAGGTAAGCCCGCTTGGAAATAGCGTTTAGATGACGTGAAGGCTCTGGCCTTCGACGCAACCGTGGTTATTGATCGGGAATTCGGCACGTCCTAGTACTTTTCCGCCGCTGGCTAAGGCAAGCCGAGAACGTTAGCGCAGCTTGGCCAAAGGGTAGGCGAGCGGGATTCTTGGCTGCTGTGGCCTTTCGCCCCTCCTGCTCGCGGCCATCCCCAGCCCCGCTGTCGTCATTAGGGTCTCAGGACGACCGTAACAACAATCAGAAAGGCCTCAAAATGACAATGGCCGGCTTTTTGTATCAGCAGAGGTCCTTGTATGGGCAATATAGTTTCCGCTGTGCCCAGCAACGACTCCAACAAGGCCGCCGAGCATGTTAGGAACCCAAGGTTTCTTCTGTTAAGCACGGTTACCGGCGGTGACGTCTTTGGGTAGACCACCCACCGGTCCCAAGATAGTTTCCACCACGCCAAGGGCTCGATATGTCGTGGTTCTTGGCTGTCTGGCCCGCTTGCGGTCCCAGACGTAAGGTTTAAAGAGCTTCTTGTCCCCGGAAATCGATTGCTTGTCTCCATCCAATTCCCCCTTATCTCGGACTTGGCTGACTCATTTGCGATGGGAAAGAAGCAACCCTCACTCGAAGGTCACAAGTCTGGCCAAGCAAACGATCCTCTTTCAAAACCAGCACATGCCCTCCCCTTCTCACAGGTCATTGATGAGACCAAGTGTAACTCCGACGACGGTTTAACCACCACGGAAGCGAAGTCAAGGCTTGACAAGCATGGCACCAACGACCTCGGTGAAGATGGAGGTGTACCGGCAGGCAAGATCTTGCTCCGGCAGGTGGCCAATGCCATGACATTGGTAAGTGGAAAGGTTGCGCTCGAGTTCTCGCACATCTAACAACCCTAGATTTTGATTGCCGCTATGGCTGTCAGTTTCGCCATTCAATCATGGATCGAAGGCGGTGTAGTAACCGCCATCATCCTGCTCAACATTATTATTGGGTTCTTCCAGGAGTTCCAAGCTGAAAAGACAATGGACTCCCTTCGGTCGCTTTCTTCACCAACTGCCTCTGCTGTTCGAGACGGGAAAACGGTTACAATTCCAACCATTGAGGTTGTGCCTGGCGACTTGGTCGAACTAAAGACGGGTGATACTGTGCCTGCTGATATTCGGTAAGGTTCCACTCCTCTAGACGGTCGCGAGCAATCACTGACTCATACATACATACAGCATTATTGAAGCGCTAAACTTCGAGACGGACGAGGCTTTGCTGACTGGTGAATCGCTTCCAGTTGGAAAGGACGGCGACGCCGTTTTTGACGAGGATACGGGCCCCGGCGACCGCCTCAACGTCGCTTACAGCTCTTCGACAGTTACCAAGGGACGCGCTCGAGGTGTCGTTTTCGCCACGGGAATGTACACCGAAATCGGATCCATCGCGATGTCCCTTCGACAGAAGGGTTCCCGTGTCCGCCCAGTCAAGCGCAAGCCTGATGGCTCTGCCAAACCTATTCAATATGCTCAGGCATGGAGTTTGACCGCCGCTGATGCTGTTGGTAGCTTCCTCGGTGTCAACGTCGGCACGCCGCTGCAAAAGAAGCTTGCTCGTCTCGCCATTCTCCTTTTCGGCGTCGCTGTCGTTTGCGCGATCATCGTTCTAGCCGCCAACAGCTTCTCAAACAAGCGCGAGGTCATCATTTATGCTGTAGCCACAGGTCTCAGTATGATTCCCGCGTCTCTCACTGTCGTATTGACCATCACCATGGCTGCTGGCACAAAACGCATGGTGCAACGACACGTCATTGTCCGCAACCTCAAGTCTCTCGAGGCTCTTGGTGGTGTCACCGACATTTGCTCTGATAAGACTGGCACTCTCACACAAGGCAAGATGGTTGCAAAGAAAGCTTGGATTCCAGCAAAGGGCACATACTCCGTTGGCGAGACCAACGAGCCGCATAACCCTACCGCAGGTTCTGTGTCGTTTACTGCGAAACACCCACGACACATTGACCCAGACATCAATGAGAAGAGTCAAAACTACGAAGAGTTATTGCAAGATAACCCACATCTACTTGCATTCCTCAAAGTCGCATCCTTGGCCAATTTGGCAAACGTCCATCAGACAAAGGAAGGTGACTGGAATGCGCGAGGTGATCCAACCGAAATCGCTATTCAAGTCTTTGCATCTCGATTCAACTGGAATCGTCGCGAATACACCACCGGCGACTCTCCTGCTTGGAAGCAGCTTGCCGAATTCCCGTTCGATTCCGACGTCAAGAAGATGACTGTCATCTTCGAGGAAACTGCCAGCTCCAAGAAGCACGTTTTCACCAAAGGTGCAGTAGAGCGGGTCATCTATTCGTGCACTTCTGTCTTCAATGGCGAAAGTGAATCTGCCGTAGAGTTGGACGACGACTACCGCGAGGAAATTCTCTCTAACATGGAGTCATTAGCCTCTATGGGTCTCCGAGTCCTAGCGCTTGCTAGCAAAGACTATGATGGACCTTCTCCAGAAAAGGGCGAGGACCTTGATAGGAACAGTATCGAGACTGGGTTGACCTTCTGCGGTCTCGTTGGTCTCTACGACCCGCCCAGGCCTGAGACTGCCGGATCTGTTCGCCAATGTCAGAAGGCTGGTATCGAAGTCCACATGCTCACTGGTGATCACCCCGGAACGGCCCGCGCAATCGCTGCTGAAGTTGGCATCTTGCCTTCGAACATGTCTACCCTCGCCAAGGAAGTTACGGATGCAATGGTGATGACTGCATCTCAGTTCGACAAACTCACTGACGACCAAATCGACGCTCTTCCGCTCCTGCCTCTTGTCATCGCCCGATGCGCCCCGAACACAAAAGTCCGCATGATCGACGCCCTACACAGACGCAAGGCCTTCGCTGCTATGACTGGTGATGGTGTAAACGACTCTCCATCCCTCAAGAGGTCCGATGTTGGTATCGGAATGGGCACCGGTTCTGACGTAGCCAAGGACGCCTCCGACATCGTTCTGACAGACGATAATTTTGCGTCCATACTTAACGCCATTGAAGAGGGCCGTCGCATGTTTGACAACATCCAGAAATTCATTCTCCACTTGCTTGCTCAGAATATCGCTCAAGCTTGTGTTCTGCTCATTGGCCTTGCCTTCAAGGACGCAAGCGGTTTCTCCGTTTTTCCCGTTTCACCTGTCGAGGTCATGTGGATTATCATGATTACATCTAGTCTGCCCGATATGGGTCTTGGGTTCGAGATTGCTGCTCCAGACATTCTTGACCGCCCTCCCCAAAATGTAAGTATTTCACTCTCAGATTCAGTCCAGAGCGCATGCTAACAATTCATAGCTCAAGCGTGGTGTTTTCACCATCGAAGTCATGGTCGACATGCTCGCATACGGTCTCTGGATTGCCGCCCTTTGTCTCGGAGCTTTTTCCATCGTCATGTTCGGCTTCGGCGACGGCAACCTTGGTATTAACTGTAACGAATCCTTCAACGAAACTTGCAGTACTGTCTTCCGCGCTCGCGCGACTACGTTTGCCTGCCTCACATGGTTCTCACTCTTCCTTGCCTGGCAGATGTTGGATATGCGCCGTTCCTTCTTTATGATGCAGCCCAAGTCTAAGAAGTACTTCACGCAGTGGGCAATTGATGTCTGGCGCAACAAGTTTTTGTTCTTCTCGATCATATTTGGTTTTGTCACAATCTTCCCTGTCCTGTACATCCCGGTTATCAATGACAAAGTCTTCAGGCACAAGGGTATCAGTTGGGAGTGGATCGTCGTCTTTCTCGCTACCTTTCTTTTCTTCCTCGGCATTGAGGCATGGAAATGGGGTAAGAGAGTCTTTTTCAGGAGACGCGAGGTCAAGTCTGGGGTCAGGAGGGGCTCGATTGATTTGGAGGCGCGTGTGTTCGAGAGATATCTCAGCACGGCTATCAGCACGGATGGCGACAGCGACGAGAAGAGATAGGATATGGATATCACAGCGAAGAGTATGAGTATGATACACTGAGCAGATTCCTCTGATAGGAAGCTACATGTTCTCATGATTAGATTTGATCTCAGAGAAAGGAGTTTTGGGTGCATAGTTTGCGATACCTTATGCCTTCATGACTAGCCTCTCGACGAGGATCTGAAGGCTTTCCTTGCTAGACCTCAATTTCATAGTAATCAAGATACCACGATCCTTTCAGACTTTACGTCGTAAACTCTCACTGCAAAAAGTCGGCCCTGACATTTCCGATAAAATCGAATTGAGCACCCCATATCGCTAGAGTCAGTTATCTCGGCCCTACACGGCAAACCTACCCCACCCATTTGCATCTCACCCCACAGCACCAAGCCGTAAGGCATCCAGCAACCGACAAGGATAACAAAGTCTTGGGCTCCACGTGCCCCCGTCGCCAACCATGATCATCCCACTCCGCGTTCCGCTCCACCGCCAATGCTGGGCATCGTCCTCAACACCGAGCCCCGAGGCCCTTGGCGCCAAATCCTGGTCACATGCTACAATTTTAGTGGTCTGTTGGCCCTCGACGCGTCCATGATTGCATCAGCCCAGCATCCGGGTTTATCTTGGGCCCAGAGCGTGTGGGTTGGTGCGTTATTGGGATGGCGTGCGTAATGGAGGGGTACGAAGCAGCGTGTTGGGTAGGATGGGATGGGATGGTGGTTTGGATGCGTTGACACATCGTTGGATAGGTGAAAGATTGCAGATTGGATATGGCTAGGTTAGGCCAAGGTCGTAGGGTGCGGCGAAAAGGCGTGGCTGTGGAGGCTGTGTACTGGTCATCGATTTTGCGGGGATGGGTGGCTTGCTTGCCTAAGATAAGACCGGTCGCGGTCGCGGCCCCTCGAGCGCGAATTCTGGAAATACTCTACATACAGTCGCGGGTTCATGTCATCGTATTAGAGGAGTTTGACTCTAAAACTCAACTTATCAGATTCAAGTTCCCGGATCGTCCATCGTACAGCAGTACTCGTTCCGTCTGTTCCGAGTACGCACTCCCTCGCGATCCCCGCAAAACAACTCCGCGGACCAAATCGCAAAGATGCCAGCGATTTCGAGTCGAGCAATCGAAGGAGGAGTAAATGCGCTTCAGGCCCGAGAATGGCGCAACACGGTGGGCCAGTCAGGCATGACACCCACTGCGTTCTCCTTCTTAATTCCGGTGTTGTTAGTCGCCATCGCCACCCCATTCCTTTGCGTTTTTTGTATTCGCTACCGACGACGGGAGCAATATGTTGTCAGAGCTACGAAGAAACCCGATCTACAGCGTGTGAAAGCGAGAGAAGAATTGAACTCGGTGACGGAGATTTCAAATATCTCAGGCGCTCGGGAACTCTCACAGGCTGGACCGAGCGATGAGAACGAAGGGCTGGCGGAGTCCCGATCAGTTCTTGAGAAGGAATGGTGAGTCAAACTAGTAGATTTCATTACAAGTTTGCGACGTGATACTAACTTTGGTGCGCAGTGCGATATGTCTCTCCACCCTCCATGCGCCATCGCTGCCTGAGCCAGCAAAGCTCAGTGAAGCCGCGATACCCGCCACAGTGGAAGATTTCACACCAGCTGAGCCAGAAGCGATTCTCAAGCTGCATGTCTGTGGCCACGAGTTCCACGCGGAATGTCTGGTGTCCTGGTTTGTTCTGCGTAAGACGAGCTGCCCGATTTGTCGAGCCGAATATTACAGCAAGGAAGCCATGCAATTACTCGACCAGGAAGCACAATCAGCGACAGCTCAGACAGCTCAGGATACAGCGCCTGCGCCTGTCGTCAGCAATTGGCGATTCTTCATCCATGGAAACAACGTGTTCCGTAACCAGGACGCGACAGAGTCACAATCGCCAACACCACCATCCCAATCACGTTGGCGCCGCTTCTGGACTTGACGAGATTGAGATGCCATGATTACGAGAAGAGATGACGCGCCTGAAAGTCTGTACCGCTTACAATGCTTTCGGCAGAATAAATGAGTGCTTGATGAAGACATCCCAGCTTCGTGATGCGCTATCGCATCCTACACCGCTATCCCATCGAGTGTGCCCCAATACCTTGGAACGCCATAGGTCTAACAGTCTATGCGAGAACTAGACAAACGTACATGACATGTCTGACACTATACCAGAGAACTTGAGACGGGAAACGTTCAAACTTCGATATGTCAAGTCAGTCATGAGCTACGATCAAGAGCTGGTAGCCAGCAGTATCCGAGATGGTACCCTTTGTTCTAACTCAGCAGTTTGAGATAGCATTTTGAAGGGATGGCAGATATACCTGCGGTTTTAATATGGCCTACCGCACCGAGATCTCATGTATTTAACTCCGGAGAACCTATTGAGAAACTGGTTCAATCAAATCAAGTCATTTGAGATTTTCCCCTTTCTATGTATCTAATGGCCGACTAGCATATCTTTTGTAAAACCTAATGTAAAATGAATATTAATATTTTGAGTTGTGTTGATTGCGATTTCCTACATTCCGTAGGTATTTCCGAAAGTCGGTCCGATTAAGTCCCGGTTATCCGGCAGACTTCCACCTCCCAGGCGCTGCTAACTCTGCTTTTCCACCACATGTATCACTAATGCCTAAGAGGGTTTAATCATGGAAGATGATAGTGCATCTCGAGTACACGTTGAGCCGATAACGAATCCGTCGCCAGAGTGGACTGCAGCCAACGGGAACGTCACGCATACGGAACGTGCAGCCGTGACCCACATGTCACCAGATGCGAGAAGTTCAAGCGAGCATATATCTTCAGCAGCCAAGAGAAGAAGAGAAGATAGGGAGAGGACTAGAGTTAGTAGGGCATGTGATCGATGTAAGAAGTGAGTTCTGAACAGAAAAGATTTGGTGGAGCTCGCCCTGTTATTTGATCATGCAAGAGGCAAGGTGACACGTGCCGAGATCATCACTAATAAACAACTAGAAAGAAGACGAGATGTACCGGCAGGTGTCCTTGCACATTGTGCCTAAGAGCCGGGCTTCCATGCGAGTTTACAGCATCGTATACACGAGGAAGACTACCATCAGTTATCGTGGATGAGGCTGCCATGTCTGCAGACTCACAAACCCGGATGTCGCTGCCAGAAAAGTCCTTGCTCTCAGATCCTCTCGCAAAGGATAGCTCTAGTTTGTCGTTCCAATATCCGCGTATCTATCCAACACCAGTAGTGGACCGTCCAATCTTTTCCAGTGCAGACAATCTCAACGTCCCCAGCGAATATACCTCTCGTGATCCTCCATCTCGGAACTCTCCTGAACCGCAGCATGGCCAAAGGGACCAAGAAGGCCACTACGTCGGCTCCTCTAGTGCTGTGGCCTTTCTTATCCGTATCCAAAAACGTCTACACCAAAACTCATCCTTGTCACACAACTCCAGCATCTTCACCTTTGGCGACGCCCCATTACCAGAGTTTGACCCGTCTTTCTTCGTCTTGCCGCCCAAACCGGATGCGCAGAGGCTTGTCGAACGGTATTTTGACTATGCGGCACCGACACATCGGTTCCTGCATCGGCCGAGCATTGAGAAGTTGGTCGATGAGTTCTATGAAACGCAGGGCGAGGTGCGGGGCGAAAATGGGAAAGCAAAAGCAGCGCTGTTGATGGTGGTTTTTGCGCAGGCACAGGCGTACATGCCTCCTGGAAGTATGGTCCAAGACAACAGGTTTGCCGTCTCACCTCTTTAACAGCATAGCTTCCATTGACCAGAGACAGTGCCCGCTACTTCTTCGCAGCCGAGAATCAACTTTCAAAAGAACGTGGTGCTGTACGCTTAGCTAGCGTACAAGCTAGATTATTACAATGCTTCTACCTCCTGACCCAATCACGCATCAACCACTGTTGGAGTCTTTTCGGCACGCTGTCTCATCTTGCGCTTGCAATTGGCTTGAACCGCGGAAGGAAATGCGATCCCTCCAGCACAGTCGACTACGTCGAGCTGGAGAGTCGACGACGCTTGTTCTGGTGCGCGTATTCCCTCGACAAATACCTTGCGGCCGCTCTCGGCAGGCCACGGACTTTTAAAGATGAGGATATTGATCAGGTGAGAGACTTTGAAAGGGTCTACCGAAATGATTGCTGTTGCTGATGATTGACATTGGCAGGAACTCCCAACTGTCGTAAACGATGACGACCTACACCCCTCCTATATGACACCAACGCCGTCAAAATCACATTCCGTCATGATGGCAGCAGTCGAGCACATTAAACTCACACGTATAATGTCCCTCGTCCTCCGCGACCTTTACTCTATCCGACCCCCAAGTCTTCCCCTCCGCATCGAGCTCTCCGCAAAATACACATCTGATCTCCGTGCCTGGCGGAATTCGCTATCGCGATTTCTAAGTGACTCAGACGACGGGGGAGGCATCGATTCGCATCTTCTAATCCCAGTTTACCAACGGCAACGCGGTGTGTTGAACCTGGCGTACTATCACGCCATGCTGTTGATTCATCGCCCCTTCTTGCTTCGGGACTTTGCAAGCCTAACACACATGCCCACGCACGGCTCTTGGGGGTCGAAAAATGCAACTATCGACACAAGTGCAAATGTTAGCGCCTGCCTCGAGGCAGCAATGTCCATAGTCCGCGTGGTCGATGACGTATTCACGTCCTCCAATCTCTTCCGCGCATTCTGGTTCACGCAGTACTATGCGTTCTGCGCAGTCGTTGTGCTGTACATATACCGAATACAACAGCACCTTGTCACACCAGGAAAGTGCGAAGGGTATTTCGATGCGGGACAAAAGTGTCAAAGGCAATTAGAGAGTGTGAGTGAGACGGATTGTTTGGCGCGACGGTATTGTCTCGTCCTCGAAGAGTTGCGGGTAGAGGCTCTACGGCAGAAGAGCCAATTATCAGATTCTGCAACATCCCCTTTGCCTCTTGCAGCAGACGCGCCAGCCGGAAGTTCCGGTATCCAGGATACACTTATGCCAACGTCGGAACCGCACACTAGTAGTGCAAGCCCATCTGGTCTTAACAACGCCTTTTACAACACCAACCATATACCGCCCACGCCAGAGAGCGCGGTGTTCAATGCTAATTACGTGGCTTCGGATAGTTTTATGTCAGACCTGACTAGCTGGGGCCAGTTTGATAGCCTAGTTACCGCAGGCATAGGAATGTTCGATGCAGGGTTTCAGGGAGACATTGGATATGGGTTTGGGGTTGGACTGTAGGATGACTGGCAAAGTTGTAGTATATCTCGGAAAAGGCGCCATGTATAAGAATGTATAACGAGCAAAAATGGTGGAATGGATATAATCCTCTTCTACTTGAAGTCCTTCTCGCTCAACGAATCTTCGACCTTTTGTATCCTTTCCCAAACCTCGCTCCACTTCTCCCACTCGCCCTCGGGTAATTTTCCTTTGATCGGCAGTCTACCACCCTCCAATGTGCCATAGCCTGTTACGCGCTTTACTGCCTCTTTGATGCCCACAATGCCGTACTTGCCAATGAATTCTTCCGTCGTGCTCACCGTGTACTGCAATTCCTTGATCCTCTTCAGATTGGCATCGCTAATGGGCCGTGTTTCAGCGAGCTTCATCAGCGTGCACACAGTCTTGGGATATATGGCTGCGAGCCCGTCGATGACGCCTGCTGCGTCAAAGAAGACAATGGGGCCAAGCTGCTGCCCAAGACCGCTGTATACTCTGAACTTGGCATGGTCGATCTTGGGGTCGAGCGAGACTTGATTGTGGTAGGAGACAATGGCATGCGACATCTTGCAGCCGACGATATTGGGGTGCTGGGCGAGGATGCGGTAAGTTTCGGGCGTGACGAGAACGCCATTTGTTACGCCAGGGTAGTTGTAGCTATCTTCAGTCAGCTCTTCGGTCCCCAAACTCGTTGAAACGAATTATATATGCTCACATCAATACAGGAAGGGGTGACCGATCCGCGACAACAGTATACCACTCTCGAATCCCCTCCTGACTCGCAGCAGCGCCAAAGTACCCCGGCGCAAGCACAAGTCCCCACTGCGCACCCGCTTTCTTCAAGTCTTCAAGCCACTCCAGCGTCTCGTCGACGCTGTTGATGAGGGTGCCGCCCATGATGGGGTACTCGGGGAAGCCCGCATCGTTCAGCCCTTTGCGCACGCCGGAGACGAGGTCGATGCGCTCCTGACGCGACATGTGGATAGCCTCGCCTGTTGAGCCGAGCAGCACGAGGCCGCGGACGCCATTTTTTGCGAGGAAGACACTGTGTTCTATCTGTGTCTGGACATCGACGGCAGGCTGGAGGGATTTGGACTCTGACTGTGGTTTGAAGAAGGTTGGGACGGGGACGAAGACGCCTGTTGGTGGTGATGAGGTCATCCTTGTGACGTGTGCGTTGAGATGCGATTATGTGACTTTGGTATGTTTAACGGAGTTTCTTTTCTATGTAGCCGCCGACTGTCAGGATATCGCGACATTTTATTCTAATGGCGCCGTCAGTTCTTCGGGTGTAATTGCTCCATGAACCGAAGCTAGATGCCCCGCGATGACCCCGCGCTCGGGTTGCCGTTACGGGAAACATGTGTGGCTCCGGTTCTATCGGCTCGAATAGGCTTCGGCGAGAACGCCGCCATAGGTAGCGACTACAGCGGGCCCTTGTCGTATTGTTAAGTAGTTGGCCTTGCTCCACAACTCGTCACTAAACATCAATAAAGAAAAGGCTTGAAGGGGACAATCAATGACTTGCACGTAAACTTCAGGGGTGAATAATCAAACAGAGACAGCATGGGGAAAATTGCAACCATCGAGTACTTCCGAGTACCACCTCGATGGCTCTTCGTCAAGATCACCGATGCAGATGGCTATTTCGGCTGGGGCGAAGCCTCCCTAGAAGGACATACACAAGCAGTCGAAGGATGTCTGGACGCGTGGGCCGAACGCTACATTGGCTTTGAAGCAGAGTAAATTTCTCCGCCTTCCTCTTCTGTCGTCATCTCAAACCTGGCACTCATTGCATTGTAACTAATTGATATAGCGAAATCGAGCACATATGGCAAATGTCATGGCGAACCAGCTTCTACCGCGGCGGCCCAGTCTTCATGAGCGCACTGGCAGGTATCGACATCGCACTCTGGGACCTCAAAGCCAGGGCACTTGGCGTGCCGATATATCAACTGCTAGGCGGGAAGGTGAGAGATAAGTTGAAGGTTTACGCTTGGATAGGTGGAGACAGACCGAATGATGTCAAAGAGCAGGCGTGAGTGACACTCACAAAATCCCGATCTCCTTTTTGAGTTGTGGGATAGCCCTATAGCAAGGTATTGACGGGTGGATAGACTGGCACGTAAATCCCAAGGTTTTACAGCCGTCAAAATGAACGCGACAGAAGACATTGGCTGGCTCGATTCACCCTCGTCTCTCAACTCAGCCGTCGAACGCCTCAAGACGGTCAAAGACCTCGGTATGGATGCTGGCATGGACTTCCACGGCCGCATCCACAAGCCCATGGCTAAGCAGCTCGCCAGGGCGCTCGAACCATACCACCCGATGTTCATCGAAGAGCCCCTCTTATCTGAACACATCGGTGGCATTAAGGACCTAGCGCAGCAGACGAGCATTCCCATCGCGTTGGGCGAAAGGCTACATAGTAGGTGGGACGTTAGGCCGTTTCTTGAGGCTGGATGTGTAGACATCCTGCAAGTTGACATCTCTCACATTGGGGGTATCTCGGAAATGCGCCGTATCGCCGCCATGGCAGAAGCCTACGACGTCGCCCTCGCTCCGCACTGCCCACTTGGGCCAATTGCACTTGCAGCGTGTGTGCAGGTCGACTGCACTTTGTCCAACTTTGCGATACAGGAGATGAGTTTAGGTATCCATTACAATGCGGGCAGTCAGGACTTGACCTCTTATACGAAGGATCCCGAGGTTTGGGATGTGAAGGATGGGTATATTGAGTTGATGAAAGGTCCGGGGCTAGGGATAGAGGTCGATGAAGAGATGGTCCGGAGGGAGAGTAAAGATGCAAAGGCGTGGGTTAGTCCGGGATTTATTGGGCCGGGTGGGGAGGTTAGGGAGTGGTAATTGAGTCTCCGATTTATTACAGACTATCTCACTATACTTTGCGCTTCTTAATGATAGCTATTATGTCCCCTGCATTCATCCATGCTAAATAGCCAGAAGTATGTCAATTGACCACTATCGTCCACCATGTTCTTCTTTCGCTCATCGTCCTCTGGCTTCTGGAGCCGACCGAAAAAGGCGAATGGATATAGGCTTGCTAGTAACCTCGAAATTTACTCTCCTAAGCCTTCCGCGTCATAGGCGATTCTCCAAGAAGACCAGACTTGTGTTCCGGTGGCGGTAGATAAACGGGACGTAGGCCACTGGGAAGATGAGGCGTTGGCGGGATAATGAAGGGCTGCTGATAAGCTTGAGAGAAGACCCCGCTGTCGTTACCTTCTCCACGGTCCGCGCGTGGCAGAGGAGGCACGTTCAAAGCTACGCTTTCTCGGAGCTCATCTGCGTACACGGTTCGTCCCCATAGCAGCGCCTCCCACGGCCACACCCAACCATCTTCGTCCCACGGCCACGTGTAGGTGTCCGCAAAGTCCATGAGAGCGATCATCACGAATATGACGAGCCCAGCACAGAGGAATGCCACAAGTGCTGTAGTCAATTCGTCCGTATTCGGCAGAAAACCAGGCTGCTCCCACTCTGCAAGCCCGAGTACGATGGCGCCGCAGAGGGCAATATAGCGATACGTCATCGGAAACTGACTCATCTTGTTGCTGAGGGATTGTGGGTTTTGGCGGAGAGGAGTGGGGATGAAGAGGTCTGCGAGTGTGGTACCGAGGCGGCACAGGTAGCCTACTGTTGTGGAGGAGGTTTCCGAGACGTCCATCACTACGACCAAAGATGAAGTGGACGGTCGAGATAAAACAGAGGCTAGAGGTTGAGGGAGTATTTGAGCTTTTGTGTTCGAACGCTCTGTTGCAACAAGTGAAAAGCGGCGTTTCACTGCCAAGGATTCACGATGAGGTTAACCTGGGTAGTGATACGTCAGTCCCATACAGAGCTCCTAGAGGGGTCCACAACGCTCCTACCTATTCGCCAATTGCTTGATATTACAGCACGGCGACCTTTCGATACTTAAGAGACACGGGATTCACTTATTTGAAATTGCTGAGGTGATCCAACCAATTATATGACTCTAATGAGTGAACGGTGGTTTAATACTGATTTCCCATACTCCTACTGCGTTGTATGATCCGCTCTTGCTAGCGATGATCATACATTCAAACAAAGAAATAATTAACATGAGTAATGTTGCTCTCGATGGAATGAACGTGTAAGCAAACATGGAGCCGGACCAGCAGCCAACCCACAAGAGCGAAAACGGCGCAGAAGAAGAGAACGGTACCCGTTGTTGAGTAGGAAGCTGTACCATTGGAAAAGATGGGTGAGACTCTATACGTGTACCTAATACACAACTACATCACAGTAGCATCATAGTTACGGTTTGAAATATGAATTGAGAGACGGTGGTGATGGTGTGAGTTGGATGATGATGACATGATGACGATAAGCGGGAGTCAGTGAAGAGAAAGGTTACTATTTATGACGGGTCCAAGAACGAGAATCTTTGCTGTTAGTAGTCTTAGAGTGCACAATAGACCATGGAGGCATTCAAGCAAATACCGTAGTGGCGCTCAAAGCACAAAGTATTGCGAACTTGTCTAGGGTATATTACGCAAGTCTATTCCTTGGGCTTGAACACGCGATGTCTAGCCAGTAACTGCGAGATCATAAAATGCGACACGTCTTCATCGGCCCAGTAGTTGAGATGGCTAGCTATGCTAGCCAGTAGGGAAATATCAAAAGCCTATCGCAACTGTTAGCGTGAATGTCAGAGGTGGAAAGGAAGCGACAACATACGCCTTCCTGAATGCTGTAATCCACCCGACCGTTCGAATTCAGGCTTCTGACCTTTGCCTCCTCCTTCTTGAGCTTGCGACTACGTTCTTCAAGCTCCTGCCACTCGAGATCTTTTTCGACATCCCTGGTCCCATCTTCGCTTTGTTGGCTCTTTCTGCGGTTTTGGAAACCAGCGAAAAGGGTGTCTAGTTCGGACTCGATGAGTGTAGGAGGATGTTCACCGTCTTCACCTTCTGCGATTTTCTCCTGTGCTAGTCGCCTCCTACGCTCTTCGTTGATGAACGCACTAGCCGGCTCATTCAAACCGGGTACTACACTTGCAGAAGTATTTGGACTAGGGCCGACATATAGTGGGCGTGATGTGCGCTGGCCTTGTGCACCATTACCTGCGCCAGTCATTTCGGTCCCAGAGATCCCAAGACTACGATTTAACAAGCCGCTTGCGATCCCTGATCCGAGGGAGGACCAGAAGTCTGTGACGCCTTGGCCGACTCGAGCTCCGATGCCGGTGAGACCCTGCGAAGCGGGTGCACCGAAAATACCTTTCTTCGTGTATGGCAGGGGTTGCGCTTTCAGCGTGGACATAGCCGGTGAGATGAGAGGTTCGATGCGATAACTAATAGGGTCGGTAGGGTGAAAGATGTTGAAGATTTGTTTGCAGAGAGGCGAGGAGGTGGTTATATCGAAGGCGTGATCATGTCCTGCGGCGCTAGGTGAGAAAGGATCGTCGAGTGGTGATGCTGGTGTTTTTGGTGGCACGAAGGAGCTAGAGGGTCTCGCAGCGATGGTACGACCTTTCAGCATCTGGAAGAGACCGAGTGGTGAGCCCAGTGCATAAAAATCTTCCACTTCAAAGTCGAGCTTCAAGCCTTCTTCGGTTGAACGTCGGTGTTTGCCTGAATGTGAGCTAGATCTTGAATTGGGGTCTTTCTGCAAGCAAAGGAGGTCGAACATGATAGCTGAGCCTAGTGAGTGACCGACTAAACTGACTTTACCCTTGAACGAGGGATTACGGTCCTTAAACAGGCGGTAGGTACGATTCAGCTCGTTGACTACGATGCGAGTTATGTGACCTTTGTACGCTGGGCTTTGATACAATAGGATGTCTAGGGCTAAGTCGGTGAGGAAGTTGCGTACTGCTGGAACGCCTTCTACGGTGATATCTTCAAGATTTGGATACTCGTGATCTTCGTGGTCAAGATCGCCCAGATCGTGCTCTTTCCGATTGTGCTTCAAACTCTGCTTCGGAAAGTCCAACAGGTGTCTCCAAACGATAGGAATAACCTGGATGCGGTTGTTCTTGGTTTCCGAATCCGTCTCGGAGTTTAAAGCCTGCAAGTCGGGCGAGGCGGCGTACACCGATTTGAAAGACTTGCGCATGGTGTTGACATCGTGAATAAAGTTGATGGACTCCATCCGCATGCCTAGTCGCTGCCCAATACCGTGGGTGATGAGCAGCAGGTGTTCGATCTCACGGCCTTGCTCGCCCTTGTCCTGTACCTTATAGTCATCGCGCATCTCCTTCTCCTCACGCTTCCGAAGTTCCTCCTCCTGCTTTTGCTCGTACTCAGGTTTCGAGGATGACATAAGCTGAGAAACCTGTCTCTCCAAATGTCTTCTCCGAGTTTGAGAGGGAGACTCCCGCCCGGTCTCATTATCCGAGGTCTCGACGTCAGAATTAGCTTCAGATGTAGTGGCTGTGGACGGTTTGCTATAATCAGAGCCGTAGGCCAGTGATGGCGTTGTTGGCCCCTCGGTCTGTTTCTCACCAAGAGGATCCTTGACGTTGGGTGTCTTTTTCTTGTCCTTCGTATCTGTATAACCGCGGACGTACTTATAACCTGCGTAGTGCGCACCACCCGCGAAGCGCTGATACAGTGTACTACCCATGCGCGTCCACATATCGTCAGTTAATAGCCACGCCGTATTCTCATCCTGATACGTCACAGTGGAATTCATATAAGCGCCGAACAGTCGGTACGTGCGCGGTGAGTCGGTGGGCAATATCACGGGCGCATCGTCTGGTTTGGCGTCATGTCGCTGCGTGCGAGCCTCGTTGCGTAGACTTCCGAAAGAGGACTTGGGCGTGACTGGATTCGATGTCGAATCTCGGTTTAGCCTTGCCAACTCTTTGCGATAGTCGTCGCCCACGCTGGGACCCATGGACAATGGGCGTCCACGAGGTTGCGAGGTTGATCGGTTTTCCTCTGGCTTCCCAAACCGCCATGGTTTGACCTTTAGGAAACCCTCCTCAAGCTGCGTGGCTAAACCCTCGTCAACGGCTTCTCCGTCTGGTGTGAACCAAGTTCCTCGCTTGACGTCGTATACAGGGCCCAGCCAATATGAGGGGGCCAGCTCGCGCGTCTCGATCTCAACGTCGAACAGGTAATCCTCGTTTACGGGGACTTTCGTAGTCGGTTTTGGGGAGGCACTTGACTGGGTAGGCGTTGTAGAACGAACGATGCCCTTCCTTAACTCAGCAGCATCATCCTCGTCGGCCGTTTTTTGAAAGGCGGCTTCTATCGCACGAGAGTCACTTGCGCTGAAGGGTATCCACTTTTTCGGCTTGGGAAGGGCTTTGTCGGGAGCAATGGCGTGGGAGGAGAGCGGTTTTCGTTTCGGAAGCTACAGGCTTTATTAGTAGCTGTGCAGGCAGACAGTATGTTTGATGAACATGTACAGATATCTCTACTTACATCAACGGCGTGGAACCACTTTACGGCAAGCGGAGGACAGTCCTGGGGATATCGCTTTAGGCTCAGCCGGTGCCTTGGGTTGACTACATGGTCTCCGCCTTGCTGTGGAGTTGGTCCAGCTGTCCTCGTTTCCGCTTCCTTTCCTTTCTCCTGCTCCTTGTCCTTGTCCTTGTCCTTGTCTACACCTACCTCCGCCGTCTTGGGCGTAGGCGGGGGCTTCGGCGTGACCGCGCGCGAGCCCCAAGGTGACAGGTTCGAGAGGAAGCCTTGCTTGGGATCAGGGCCAGACATCCTATCGTGCGGCTGGGCGCTGCCACCGGGGCTGAATCTGCTGAGCCAGGACTTTTGGCGGTATCGAACGGGGAATCTCGGGGGTGCGAGAGGGCGAATGCGAAGAGCAGCGAGGGTAACGCGTCGGCTCAACGTGATGGCGGTCAGGAGGTTATATTATAGGTGGGTATAAGTGGACATGGCAGCATGTCTTCTGAGGTTAGGCGTTTAGCATAGTGATAGCGATAACATGTGCTCCGTGTCTTGCATGTGCCCAGCAGATGCATGGCTATCACTTACATCATCATCACAGTACCGGGACCCTGGGCCTGTTAGCGTGCGGGGCTTACTCGCGCGCCGTTGTACTCGCGACAACAACAGCAGCCCTCCATGATTTGAACGTATACTCTATTACATACGGAAAATGGCGCCGTCTCCTTTTAGATCGTCATATAGTCCCCACCACCACTCTCGCATGGCGCATGAAGGGCGCTTCTCGGTCACTGACGCCGTACATCTTAAGCTCAGACTCCAAGCTCTCGACAATGCCTTGTCAAGCCCGCCTCTGAAGCCCCAGAGCAGAGGCGATGTCGACAAAATCGCACGCGCATGTGAAGCTCGCCCACGCCATGAGGCTGTATATGTTGACGGCTCAGAGGAGTTCTACTTGCTCGTAAAGCCCATCTCGCGACCAGACCTCATCCCCGACGTCTACATCGAGGCCTATAGAGCTGTATTGCAAGGAAGACCATACCTGAACGAATACAAGGTCTCAGATTCTAAACAGGGCGTCGATCCTACCTTCTCCAAGATACGCAGTTGGCTCCCCAGCATCGACGCTCTCTGCGAAACGGATCTTGGGGCTTCATTTTCTAGCCTCGAAGATCAAGGCAAGTACTTGAAACCATGTCCACTCATTGCTCGCTGATTTCCTTCAAAAGTAAAACCTTTCCCATTCCTCCAGCTCCCCGCCGAGCTTCGTCTTCATGTATACTCGCACCTCCTCCCTCGTAAGCCGTACATTAGCCTTCCTTCCCTACCGCAGCTCAACGATAGAGCACCACTACGCCTTGATATCATGCGCGCCAGTAATCAATTACACAATGAAGTCGCCAAGTATTGGTACGAGAAGCGCACACTTTTCATGGTAGTAGCAAGGGACGTTCCGAAGTACATGTCACAATACGACAAAACGCTAGCCAGGATGCCTCCGCAGACACGCCAGCTTTTCAATAAGATCGAGATACAAGTCGGCTATGACGCAACTCATTCTTTCGCCCCAAGTCGTTACACTGAAATACGCTCCTTCTCAGACTGTATGCGCCACATCTTAGCTCTCATCCCGAATCTTGACGTAGCTGTCATCTCTTTTCAAGATACGGGATATACGTTAGCTCCAACTTTTCACATCACCAAGGGGACAACAGAGATTGCGCAATGGCTTGTCAAAATCATTCCAAGATCAGTACAGATACACTGGGATGTTATACCTTCGATTCCGTCTTCACACAGAGTAGAAGATCAACCCATGTGGCAGGCGGTACAGTCTAGAGGGTTGATAAAGACCGGCGAAAGCGTTTTCACGCGTGTTAAGTGTGTGGGTGATGTATAATTGGCAGAAACAATTAAACAATGTAGATTCTTTTGACCCGTAGCCGAGCCTGTGTAAAAATTGCTAATTGACACAATCCTATACCACGAGTGTATCCAGCATTGGGTAGTGGACCTGCTAGCTGTTGGTGAGTGTCCTATGCTTGCGAGGAGCCATGGGCTGGAGAACTTCAGCATGGATTCGTCTGCTGTTATTAGTAACAGAATTGCAGTATGTGCCGTTAATCTTATACATAGGCGAAGCTTCCATGTCAGCACCATCTGGGGATGCGTACATTTGCAAAGTCTTCACTGCAATTCTTTCGGTCGCATCCAAGTAAACGCCACTGATTTCTGTCCTGACTTACGGTTCATGAATTTATCTATTATGATACAGGAATAATAATACGTTCTAGGGTGTCGTCATCCCAGATTCATGTTAACTTCAAGAAAAGCATAGTAGAGCCCCCAATACCACAATCCACGATTGTCTTGCAATAGAGTACGCTTTGTTGTGTTGAGCAGGAAGGATGGTGCAGTTTTGACTAAGCATGCGTCCAAGCGTTGCGGTTAGCTTTCGTCCGAATATTCTGATTTCTGATCAATCCTGATCAGTGTTCAAAGCATAAGTGTTGTGCAAATATAGCATCCTTCTCGCCTCAACACACGACATGTCTTCGAATAGCACACCCTATCCAGACATCCGCGACGATGCAGTCGTGCGACCGGGAGGGAGATTCGCTTACGGCAACTGGCTGCAGCCCATTATTAATGCGAACGACCAGTCTGTCTCAGAAACAGCGGCAGAAAGCCAGCCCATAGACGCGCCTGCACCAACGCGTCGTGGGCGTGGCAGGCCGCGTATAACGAAACCACGCAATGAGACCGCCACTGAGGTTTGCCATTGACCATGATCTTGGGGTACAATCATATAACTGAAGAACTTGCAGAAACGCCGTGCCCAAGTACGCGAAGCACAACGTACATACCAGAGGCGCAAAGAGACTACCACAACAAGCGAAAAGCGGCGCGTGGACGAGCTTCTGCAAGTTCTCTCCGACCTGTCTTCGGGTGTCGAAGCTCTACTCCAGGTATCCTTGGAGGCGGGCGCCATGCATCGTGATGATATCGTATCCAAGCACATACAAGGATTGTGGACCTCGTATGATACTGTTATGAACAATCCATCCATCACACCTGAACTGCGACTGCTTCAACTCAAGAACGGCCAACGTGTAGCGAATCACCGCAGCAACGAGAACTACATTGTCCCCGCTAGACCGAGTGCCCCAACAACTGAGCATCCCGATACGCAAGCGGTGCCGCCATCTATGGAAACCTCCACTCCATTCGATCCTAGTGACATGACTTTTGAACTTTTGAGGTTTGAAGAAACGACGGTGATGCAACCTTTCCAGCGTACGGCTTCTGCTAATAGAGTGATGGCGGGTCGAAGTATTTTCGATATCGTGAAGGAGAGGCAAGCAGCTCTAAAGGAGGCAGATAAGTCGACTTCCGGACCATAGAGGCTTCGTTAGTCTTTCCGCTCGGCTCTCTGTCTTTTCGTCATCGCGACCAATTTATGCCACCGACGGCTTGTCGTGTAGGAGCTCGTGTATAGCTAAGTGAGAACTCTTCAGGGAACAATGATGTGCGGAGTGAATGCCGCTGGGCTGTACTCACTTTGGGAAGACCACGCCACATCTAAACAGTTAGCCTCGGGGATAATGGTCGGCCTTCGGTGTGTAAGTACGCCCCAGCTTATCGCGATGACAAACATTATCACAACTCGGAAGTTTCACGCGCGAAGTTCGACTGTCTATTAAGATATGTATATATGTATATCGTTTACCAGGAGGCAAGATGAGGCAATATCTCGAAATCATCAGGTGGTTCATTAGCATCGCTCCCCGAATAACGGAACTAGTATCGCTTTGAAGCGTCACGCAAAGTACCTGAAGAGACACATCGCACTGTCCAACATGGAAGAATTCGAGTCCTATCTTAGTAATGCTACAGCGAAAGGCGCAAACATTGTCCCTGGAGCTGTGTTGGCTGTTGTCGACAAAGACGGTAGGCCCCTAATTTATGAATGCCACACAAGTCACTTATGCTTCTCTTAGGAAACTTTATCTACAAGAAGGCCGCAGGCTACAACGGCGTAACGGAGGACGCAACACCACTTCATTTCGACCAGACATTTTCCGTCGCCTCCTTTACCAAACTTATCACCACCATCGCCACTCTGCAATCCGTCGAGCGTGGCCTTGTGAGCCTAGACGACCTCATTGATAAACATATTCCTGAGCTAGCCTCTCAGCCAATAGTCGAACAGGAAGGGACCGAGATCAGGTTACATGAAGCCACAAAGTCTATCACCCTGCGCCAGCTCATTACGCACAGCAGCGGTGCAACCTATGATTGGATAGATCCGAAGCTGTATGCTTGGCGGGCGTCGCGCGGTGAAGCACCCGCCATCGTGAGTGACGGCGACGTAGCGAAAGGCTACGATTATCCTCGCACTTATGAAGCTGGTCAAAACTGGAAGTATAGCGGTGGCTTTGATTGGGCCAGTCTACTTGTTGAGCGTCTCACCGGCACGAGCTTCGAGGCGTACGTCGAGACCAACATCGCAAAGCCCCTCGGTATCAAATCGTTTACTTGGCATCTACACCGCAAGGCCGCCGTAGCCGAAAACCTCATGTCTATGAGCTCGCGACAGGAGGACAATACATTCACTGATGGGCCCACGCCTTTCTGGCCTGATCCGATCAAAGAAGGCGGCGGAGCTGGGATGTACGCTAGCGTTCCAGACTTCTCTCGCGTGCTCTCCGACCTCTTGAAAGACTCACCCGTCCTCCTCAAGAAGAATACCGTCGACCAAATGTTTACTCCACAATTTGCCGAAGGTAGCCCGGCGCTGAAAGGCCTCAGAGACATTTCAGGATCGTCGTATGCTTGCGCTTTGGATGCCAGCTTAGAGGGTGTGGTGCAGAACTTCGGACTGGGTAGCTTACTGCTTATGGAGGATGTGGAGAGGGAGAACTACTTCAAGCCGAAGGGGACTCTGTCCTGGACGGGCTTGCCAAACTTGCTATGGAGTGTGAATAGGGAGAGAGGGTTGGCACTAGTTTTTGCCACGCAAGTTTTGCCTTGGGCAGTTCGGATGACATTTGATTTGATTGCGCGATTTGAAACAGCGGTTTGGCGAAATATAAAGGTGTAAAGCAAATGTTAGGGCAAGTGTCTAAGATCCTAGATATAAACACCCTTAGGCAAACCATAATTGCTGACTTTAATTTTACACACTTGTGATTTCTTAAACTCTATTAAGTATTCTTCTGCAAATAACTCCCCATGTGCCTTGAAAAGAATATGGCATTTCTCTGTTGCATGTAGCATTCGATGGCGTCACAGCTTCGTTTGGCACCTTCCTTATTCAGCAAGGCCCCGCATCGGCACGTTGCTATCACAAATTATATGAACATGAACAACACACACATATTTTAGAAGAGTACTATCTGTTCCTCTTCTCAAGCATTTGCATCTTTCGATCCCGTGTGGCCTAAACAACATTATGTCTTTCAACATCACGAAGGCACGCGAGCGTTTCCCCGCTTTACAACAAGACCAGGTCTTCCTTGACAACGCGGGAGGTAGCCAAGCTCTTGGAGATGTGATCGATTCGTAAGTTTGGTTTATAATGGGGACAATACAAGGATCTGACGATGATCTAGGATAACTCAGTATCTCTCAAAAACCAACGTCCAGCTAGGCGCTTCGTACCACACCGGGTCCGTCTCAAACACAAAGTATGAGGAGGGCTATCAGGCGGCAGCGAAGTATATCAACGCTGGCCGGGATGAAATTGGTACGCGAGCATTATTAGAATACCTAACTATCATCTAACGAGCGATCAAGTACTCGGAGGCTCAACAACCCAACTCTTCATGAACCTCGCCGGTGCCCTCCAGTTTAATGAAGGGGACGAGATCATCCTATCCAAGATGGAGCACGAGACGAATGTCAAGCCATGGCTATTCATGGCTGAGCGACTCAAGCTCACTGTGAAGTGGTGGTATTCCTCCAAAGAAGACGGCCTCAAACTTACCCTCAATAACTTGAAGCCACTTCTCTCGCCGAAAGTCAAATTCGTCGCTTGTACCCATGTCTCCAACATTCTCGGTACTATTCACGATGTGAAAGCGATTGCAGATGTAGTACACGAGGCGGGTGCGTTATTCTGTGTTGATGGCGTGAGCTACGCACCGCATCGAAAGGTTGATGTGAAGGCTTTCGGGGTCGATTTCTATTCCTTCTCATGGTACAAGGTACGAAAATCCGGTAGCTTCCCCAAGTCACTCCCCCACTCATCTCCGTAGGTCTACGGGCCCCACATCGCCGTGCTGTATGCTAGCAACAGCGCACAACAGCACGTCAAGCCCATGGCGCACTTCTTCAACCCCACCAAAACCCTCGAAGACAAACTGGGCTTTGCATCTTCTAACTACGAATGTGTACAATCTATCCCACAGATTGTCTCATATCTCGACGGCGCGTTCGACGACATCGCTGAACATGAAGGGAAACTGCAAAAGATCCTGCTCGACTTTCTCAACTCACGGCCGGACATCACAGTTCACGGATCTACATCTACCGACTCGAGTGTTCGTGTGCCGACCATTTCATTCACTGTCAAGGACGTGAATTCGAAGAAGATTGTGGAAGAGGCAGAGAAGGTTTCAAACTACGGGTTTAGGTGGGGCCACTTTTACTCCAAGAGGCTGTGCGATGAGGTGCTCGGCCTAGGCCCCGAGGCTGTTACTAGAGTTAGTATGGTGCATTATAATAGCGAGGAGGAGATTCGAGGTTTAGTAAAGGTGCTGGAGCAGATTCTACCTTAATATACGTTATAGGCAGTTTGGTCATATAGGTAAAGTGTGTCCCTATAAAGAACAGTCGACTTGAAATGGTAGTACTTGCATTATATCATGAGTATCTTAGTGATAATTACGTTTACATTGTATTATACGTCTAAGTGCGTTATTTTCCTCTCTCCATCAAAGACTTTTAGACGTGGATATCTTCAAGACGATGTCTCCTTGCTACGTAAAAGCTAGCAGGGCTGAATGGCGACATAGTGACGCCACTACCTCGAGAAACTTAGAAGAGGAGACCCTTGGTCTGGTGCATCCTTGCGACATTGAAGTTCTTGATCATGAAGATCCACACAAGCGCCAAGCCGATGATGACGGTACCGGCAATCAGCATCCTCTTCTGTGCGATTCCATATGCCTGCTCAATTGCAATCCTCGTAGCGGTCCCCTTTGCATAGCTCAGCTGCGTCTCCAAACTGCCGTAAATATCGTCATAGCTCTCCATTGCGTCCTCGGGCAGCAGTCGCTGCAGTGCCTGCGGGAACGAGTTCGTCCAGATGGCGCCTGAGATGGTGTTACCGACAGCGCCGCCTAGCAAGCCAGAGATGCTAAGTAGTGCTAACACGGGGGCAATGTGCTGATGGTCTGCGGCAGCCATGACGGCAATCTGCTCACACAGGATGATGATGGCGCCACCAACAGAAATGAAGATCTGGCACATGACGATATACCCGATGCTGGTGTTGGGGTGGCGGAAATAAATCATCAGGCCTTGACCGAGGATATAGAGAGGTACGGCAATGAATAGCAGCCAGCGGAAGTATCCAGTCTTGCTAATGATAAAACCGACAGTGAGTAGCAGGACGCCAGAAAGGACATCGAAAGTTGAGTTCACATAACCGGCCTCGGCAATAGTGAGGTCAGTCACAACTTGGAGAAAGGAGGTGAAGTAGCTGTTCCAAGCGTAGTAGGAAATCTGATACGTGAAACACAGCAGACACGCCCCGAGAACAGAGCGGCTGGTGAGGAGCTCGTAGGGTAAGAAGGGCTTTTGGGCCGTGAAGCGTTCGTGGAGCCCGAATGAGATAAGAAGGAAGAAGCCGACCACAAGCATGGCAATAATGTAGCCAGTGGACCATCCTGAGGGTGCGGAGGTTGCCAGAGTGAACGGGAGCAGGAAGATGACGAGACCGGCAGCCAGAAGGAATGCACCAGGCACTGCGATTTGTTAGCGGCCCATCTTGATCTCTATGAGAAGCAACTTACCATCAAACTCTCTGAAATAGAAAATGATACTCTGCATCATTGTGCGTCCACTCGGCTCGCGGTGGAGTACACCCTCATGCTTCGCCTTTCGAAGGTTGAGCTTCAAAATGACAAACAGCGGCGAAGCCACGAATGGCAAAATGATGGCAAGGGCACCAAAGCCCCAACGCCAACTGATGTTATTGTTGATAGCTTCGGCAGCCTTGGAGCCAGCAAAGGCCACAATAATGTTAGGCGACGACGTGAAGGCAAACGCCAAACCTCGATGTTTCAAGCTCGATGAATCAGCCGTGATGACGTCGACGCAGTAAATCATTGCACCGAATCCGATGGAATAAAACACCTGCGCCGCGCAGAACTGTGCTATGCCGTTGCAAGTGGCCATCAGGATCATCCCAAGAGTAGCGAGGCACACCATGCATGCGAATCCCTCTGCACGACCCCAGAGATCGAGCAGCTTGGCTACTGGGATGTACGCAGCCGCGGCCATGGAATTTGAAACGACGCTGATGACAGTTATGAGCGAGTGTTCTTGGAAGTCGGATGTGACATAGGGTGTCAGGTTGGAGGTGATGTTTGATTGGAAGCCATTGGTAAGGTATAGGAACCACATGCTACACGGGGTATTAGTTCATAGTCCATCCGATGCGAAGGGCATGAAGTGAAGGGGGGACTGAACATACCATACGAATGCACAGGCTAGCGACGTCTTCGTCCAGGACAGGGTCACAGCCTCTACGTTCCTGATACCCTTCTGAGCGGAGTGATCAGGCATCATTGATTCCTCAACTTTGCGCACCGCATCCGCTCCCTCGATGTCGACATCGTGGAGCTTCTTCTCAGAATTGTGAGTGGGCTGGGTGCCGGGCTGAGCAGCAGCAATGGAATCCATGTTTGCTGTGCTACGTTCTGATGGATGGAGAAGACGGGTGGAAGTGCGTCGAGAGACTGACACTACACAGAGGCAGATTCGAATATATAGGAACTATTCGTCTGGCGCGGCAGCAGCAGCTAGATGATCGTACATGACTCAACATGGTTGGCTCGATGCTTGAGCATCCTGCAAAGCTTGGCCATCCTGCCGCGCTCTGGGCTAGAGCTTGACGCGGGCTTGACAACGGGAAGCGAAAAGAGGCATACGAACCCGCCATATTGGTTCAAAACGGGAGTAACCTAGCCTCACCCAGCGTAGCCTTGATACTAGCGATCTTATCAGATGGACCGAGCCCTCGACGTCCTCCTCTGTCGCATGTCATTGGCGGCATATCGTAAGAGAAATGCGATGAGACCACGCGAGGCTTGAAGAATTTGCTGTTCCTTCTATGGGGAGGGCCCACATGGTTGCCCAATCTCTTGGTGGATCTTATCTTATCTCGATCTAGACTTCGGAGGTAGGCGACTAACCAGGCGCGATGCGACTCTATAGCCGTCTTTCCGACTTCGCGCGATCGCGATGCGGTCTGTTCCCGTAAGGCTGGTGGGGAGCTTGTTGAGAGTAGGTGGTAAGAAAGGTTGAGGGTCTGCGGGTCTCGGGGCTTGGTGGAGCCTCAATGGACACCTAAGCCGGGGATAAAAAGAATGAAGAAACTGCCATACAGCTTTGCGGTTTTACAAACAACCAAATCTGGAGTAGATCAATATCAGTTAATAAGTCAGATTTTGTATAGGCTGGAAAAAAATTCAACGATAACAGTACTCTATATGACCTAACCGAGGCAGGGTAGCAGAATATTGTGCTAGTGGGGATATTAAGGTTAGATCCAACTTCGAGACTCGTCTCGTGAACGTGTTCTCGCCCGTAGTTTCATTTAGTTAGGGCTAGTGTCTGGAAAGGAAGGCCAAGTGCCCATAATTTTCTTCCGACTCTCACTCGAGGCTAGAAATGTTGTCGGGATCTGATAACAGAGAGGCGGAAAAGTGAGCATTTGGTCTCGCCCATGCCAACCGATGGTGCCAACATCCTTATGGTTCGACCCAACTTTAGCGCGATACACCGCCATCGAAGTCTTGAAGGGTCCCGTCTTCATTGCCGAACTTTACAGGCTTACCCAGACTGACTCACAGAGTCAGATTAGACAAGAGCAAGCATTATTCAAATACTCGAGTTTGGAGAACCAAGTGCGTTATTCTCTTCGACAGGCTCTTCGTCTTCATCTTCTGAAGGAAGCTTCTCGCGCTATGAGCTCAACACAAAGAACAAATGGGGTTCTCCGCGTTTCCTCACGCGCAATACGCTCCATGTGTTCGTGTGCTTTTCCAAGCACGGGCCAAACTCAGCGTTAGGGATGTTGCGGCTTGAAGTAAGACGACGGACAATGGCCAGTTCAGCTATGCGAAACAGCTCGGCTTGGGCTTATTAGACATATGCATCTCGAATCTTATGCTATACAGCGCCGTAAGGCCGAGCTAAGAAGACAATTCTTGAGCCGTTCCAATGCCATCGAAAGACATCCAAAGTCTACAGGCTTCAGTAGCAGGAGCACCTTATTCTGGTCAAACTCCAGAGCTTCTGTCACACGGCCTCAATCCAACCACTTCTCTTCAACCCATGTCAGCCCCTCCTTCAACCACTCCTCTTCATCTTCCTTCAGCGCAATATCAAACCCATGATCCTGGCCAGATCGAACCTCTAGTCGCACCTCAACACCTTCCAAGTTCTTACATTTCACCGCAAAGGCTTTACTATCCTCGATACTAACCGCCGTATCCGCATCCCCATGCACAATCCACGTCGGTGGCAAGTACTTCTTCTCCTCAACAAGATACAGCGGCCACAATTTTTTATTGTCGCCAAAGAACTCGAGATACCGTCCCTGTACGGAGAGCGCTTCGGATAACGGCATGCGTACTGGTGGCATTGCCGACGAGAAGACCGTGCCAGGAGTAATAGTGGAGATGTGATCATCGACTATAGTCGGCGATGGAGATGGTTGCGCATCCGACGTGTTTGTTGGATCACGCCTCAGATAATAAGTCATCGGATACTGCGCCAAGATCGCCTTGATCGTGCCCTTTGGTTGCATCAAGCCACTCATCAACGCCATATAGCCTCCAGCTGAATCTCCAGATACCAGAACCCGGTCGTAGTCAAGCTGGAAAGCGACATTCTGGGAGCTGAGGAAGGAGTGTAAGCCACCGCCGTTAAACCACGCCCAGAAGTCAGTGAGATCGTCGACAATGTCGGCGCCCGTGTGCTCCGGGATGAGACGGTAGTTTGGAAGAATCGTGATAGCGCCTGTGCGATGGAGAAAGGGGATGAAGAAGGCGGCTATCCAGTCCCGATACAAACAATCCCCTGTTACCTGATTGCATCAGCAATTCCACATGAAGACATAGATGATGAATCAAGGCTAATATCATACCAGACCGCCGCCGTGAAATTTGACGAGTATAGGATGTTTTCCTGGGCTGAGGGTCTTGGGGACTAAGATACCCGCACGGATTTCATGGTTGCCGATCTTTTTATACGACGTGTGATAAATGTCAAAGCTGTCGAAGCGGGTCGCTGGTGTGGTATCATCGAGCGGTGCCATGTTGAATGCTTCGCCTTCTACGCGTCGTACTTGATTACTGCGCGGGGTAATAAGTTGCAAGTGTAGAGGCGAGGATGGTCGTTAAAGTGTTTGTCAGCACGCTTGAGGCCAAGATCAATCTCGCACGCGAACAGGTGTAGCATAGCAGTGACTGAATGGCAAAGAATCTTCAATCAGGAGGGTATAAGCGGACATGCTCATGGCCACCTAACCCCCACCCTCGTATCTGTCTCTGCAGGTTGCATCGATTTCGTTCTCGGAACGGCAAATTGCGACGGAACCCAATATGCTGTGAGACGTGAAGTCGCTCCCAAAGACCGAAGTTCCTGGTCGCTGGTCGCTGGTCGCCCCGAGATGCTGCAAGGGATGAAGGGCTGAAGCTGAAGGCACCACCTTCTGGACCATAACAGAGCTGTAGGACAGCGTCTAGGCAGTTCCGAGAGTCTCAAGGGACAAGAGCGTGCATGACGTTGTTGGCTTCTCAGATCAACTTCTCTTTGGGGAGCTATCGCCGGGTATTGCAATTAGTTTATTGACACTTGACAACCCATGGCTGCTTCTGAGACAGCGGTTCGAAACTACTGGGCGCTGTCTAAGGCTTGATCATGGCGAACGCTCAAGCTATGCGTCGAGAGTCATATGAAGAATGAGGTTTCTGGAAGGCTGTTGGGCGCGATGAGGAGGACGAAACAGCAGAGAAGTGGTAGCGTTTACTGTCCAAGTCCAGTTCAGGCAGGAACGTCACACAAGCGACGCGTTGGGGCAATCTCCGAGTCTGGAGAAGATGCGACCCACCACCTGCACGACGACCCTGCCCAGTGCCGATACAGTAGCGACGCCCCTATTCCCCAGCAAACACCAGTTCAAGGGTCCTTGTCTGATTCTGTCGTCTTGTTGGCATGCTTCTTCTCTCTTCAATTGCACTTTTTCCCTTTGCGATTGAAGGTGCTGCACTGCGCTCGACGACCACAGCACGCCCGCTGCATTTCCGCTTCACCGTCACCAGTGCGCCCCTTCATTTCGCTTTGGAACCGGGCCCGCGTTTCATTTCCGAGTCCAACCTCATGACAAACAGCTACGCCTCCCGCCGCCATGAGAGATGACGCTGTGAATCCCTCTGGCGATGCCGCGGCGGAGGCACTCTCGACCTCGAATGAGCACCCTCACCTTTCACCAGCACCCTCACATACCACCACCTCGTCCACGGGCCCCGCATCGCGTGCATGGCTCAGCAACGTGCGCAGACCGCGAACCTCACCAGGCCCCAAAGCCAGTGCGTTGAGGAGAACGCTGTTGTCCTCGGACGACGACCGTAGAGACTCGGCTTTGGCGTCCTCCAACTGCACTAGCAACCACGAGCCCTCGTCTCCCACCAGCCTGCGCAGGACGCCGAGCCTTCCTGCTATTGTAGTTCAAGATGAGCATGCAGCAGGGCTTTCACTAGACGCCGGCCATGCCCAGCAAGAAGATGATACCCATTTCACAGGCATAGACACCTTTATCCCTACCGGCAGCTTCGACGACCTCACTTCAGACACGACGTTATCCTTTTCGAAGAGGGGCAGCATGATTTTGGGCGGCAAGAAGGCGAATAGGCGGAGTAAACAGATGAGTCTTGTTGTGGAAGGCCCGCCCGCGCCGAGCACACCACCGCGACAGCAGGCGCAGGCGCAGTCCAACACTCAGCAGGAGCTCTCACCACCCACCGCGACGCACCTGTCGCCTACGCCTCGGTCGCTATCACGATTCTCTGCGCGTGCAAGAACTACCAGCCAACGCGCCTTATCTACCGACGAGATGACGCTTTCGCGTAAAGTACGCTCCATGTATAAGCACGGGAATGAGGATGCAGTCAATTGGGACACTCCAGAGGAAGAAACGGGCAGCGTACGGACCAGCTTTGTGGACAACAGCAGCTTGACCGATACTCCAGCAAACTCATCCTCCCTGACCGTGGATAGAAACAATGAGGACACTAGTTCCCTCATGAGCTCGAGGCATGGGAGCGCAATTTTGAAGGAGCCCACAGAAACTGCTGGTGGTCTCGAAGACTGGGCAAATCTCGAAGGTGGCGAAGTCGATCGGTACGGGTTCATCATTCCAAAGAAGACGAGATCAAAGGATGCTACCAATGGCGAAAGTCTCGAGGGCCCTGACACACCGCACATCCAGCGAGTAACGACTTCGCTACAACTGGTTGCGGCAGAGCCTAGACGACGGAGAATTGGGCGCAGTGGATCGAGGACGCGATCGTCGCGGTCAGCAGATCCCCGATCAGGGTCACCTCGGCGGCGAGTGTCGCAGAAATCCGCAAAGCCGAGCAGGTCCATCTTCTCGAATCAAACCTCAGGCACAAGAAGCACGCAGAAACCATTGAGGCTCGCGACCAATATTTTACCCCACAATAGAGACCGCCGTTTGAGAGACGAAGCGAGCGACATGCTCAAATTGCCACCTGGTCTCGCCGAAGTGGCAGAGCAGCGAGAAGGAGGCAGAGCAGCCCGGATAATGAGAGCGAAGGAAATCGAGCGCGACGACAAGTGGCGTAGAATGGCAAAAGTGGTCAAAGCAGGTGCAGACAAGGGCGGCATGCTCTTCGAGTTCGACACCAAAGACCCGAAGCTCGTTTCTCGCACCTGGAAGGGTATTCCAGACCGGTGGAGGGCAACAGCGTGGTACTCATTCCTCGCTGCAAGCTCAAAGGCAGACAAAGACAGCCCCACCGAGGAGGAATTAATTGCCAGCTTCTACGAACTACAAGCAGAGAGCTCTGCAGAGGATGTCCAGATCGATGTCGATGTGCCACGGACTATCAATAGACACATCATGTTCAGGCGACGCTACCGTGGAGGGTAAGACTAACTTGCATAGAGACGTCTGAATGAAGCTGACCGCAAATAGGCAACGACTATTGTTCCGTGTACTCCACGCCATGTCTCTTTACCTGCCTGATACAGGCTACGTTCAAGGCATGGCCGCACTTGCAGCGACTCTCCTATGCTACTACGAAGAAGACAGAGCATTCGTCATGCTAGTTCGTCTGTGGATGCTTCGTGGCCTGGAGAGACTCTATGAGGCTGGCTTTGCCGGTCTGATGGAGGCTCTAGACGATTTCGAGCAGAACTGGCTACGCGGAGGGGACGTAGCGAAGCAGCTGGTAAGTTGCAATCTCGACGTCGACCTAACTCTCGCTGACCATGTTTCTGCCAGACTGAGTTGGGCATCACCTCAACCGCGTATGGTACCCGATGGTATCTTACCTTGTTCAACTACTCGCTCCCCTTCCAGGCCCAACTTCGCGTTTGGGATGTTTTCATGCTTTTAGGCGACAAATCCTACTCTAACGTATCGTCGTCCAATTTCAGTGGTGACTTGGACGTGTTGCATGCCACCTCTGCCGCACTGATTGATGCAACCAGGGAGATTTTGCTCGATTCAGACTTCGAAAATGCCATGAAAGTGTTGACCTCCTGGATCCCAATCAAGGACGAGGAGCTGTTAATGCGCGTGGCAAAAGCCGAATACAAAATGAGGAAGAAGCGAGCCAATGCCTGATATGGGCAGGCGCTCCGGTGACTTGGACTCGGCCAATTCGATGCGAGCGGGTCGGGGGACGTGCAAAGATGGGGTTCAGCTGGGCTGAGGAAGCTTCGCGACCGGCGCTCCATACCCATTGGAGAAAGGGTTAACGGGCTTACGCCGATCTTCTGAGATCAGTGGCGCAATGGCGTCGCGTGGGTAACACGTTTTGTTTCTCCGGGCTGCACCAGCGTTAACTCTTTGAGGCATACCGATTCATCAGGTCTTACGGCAACACATTGCTTTTTCTTTTTCGCACGTTTAGCGGCGCACACATCAACACACCATCGTCACTCTACGGTCGGTTGCAGCCTGTTGTTCGCCACGTTTTGCAAGGTGGCACTTACAGTATGGTCGTAGGCTTGGAGTGGCTTTTTCCCCGGCAGTATTATGACGTGGGCGTATATTGGGATGGGTTCATCGATGACAGTTTACAAGATACCTCTTGCTTTATTCCGGTGCATTACAAGTACAGTCGTCAGTGGGACGCGGAGCATCACATCACATAGTTAGCTATACCCAGTAATAATATCTAATTACAGCCAAAACTGCCCAAGCGACTATAACACCGGGCCAAAGTTGGGGTCTGGCGACCGGCACGAGCAACGTGTTGGTAGATGATCGTCGTCCCCAAGAATCGAATCCTGGCCTCGCTTGCTCGTGATCGGCATGACGACGATGCGCTTGCGGACAACCAACCGCCCCGACGGACGGAGACGGGTAAGACTCAGATTACTGGGTCTCTAGTCCTCGATCGATTCATGTGATCATGTCGCCACAGCGGTTGCTAATAATTCATGAGCAAAGAAAGTTGAATCGTATCGGTGTGGTATGTACACCCCGAGAAAGTGGCCGAGGTACCCTCCTCTCTCTCAAAAGCCAAAACTGCTGCCTAGGTAGATATCATCCATAGAGAAGCCTAAGAATTAGTTAGGGATTCGTAGAAGCGATGCTGCAGAATAGCCGAAGGAGACGTTGTAAGCATGATGGGTGGGAAAATCAAATGCGATGTTTCCCAAAAGGGAAATAGTAGATGCAGATTCGGTGGCAAAGTGTCGTTATGACCTGCCTCAACTACCATTTTTGCCCCCCCAAGCAAAATCAAGCGTCGCGTCGACTTTGCCTCCCATGCCCTTCTCATCTCACTGGAGGCACTTGTAGCCTCGTCTAGACCGATCGAGTCACACTCGGCTGCTCCGAAGATGCCAGGTGTCGTCGCGCAGGTCGAAGAGCCGACGCCAACAAGTGGATGATGATCTGTGGTCTGATTGCGCAGGGTAAAGCGAAGATCGTCAACGTCTTTTTCTCGATGAAGACATGGGTGGCCGTGGGCGTTGCAAAGTCATCGCGAGCCAACGCCACTCGCGACGGGCAGCATGGGTTGAGGAAGCGATTGCGAGGTGAAGGTGGAGCCGAATCTACCTTCGACTACCCGTAGACCCAGCACTAGCTGGCCAAGCGTGTTGAGTAGTCTCTGGCCGGGCCCTTTTGGCCCTGCATCTAGAACAACAACCGACTTCCGACAGCTTTGGAGCTTGCGTACGCGGCGTGGTACGCTTCATTCTGTGAACCGTCTCGCCTCGCATGTCCGCTCACAGCAGCAGCAGCATCATCCAGAAAGGTACACCGGCTCCTCTTGTCCATTACCGCTGCAACGCGTTCGCACCTACACGGCCGGCATGGTCGAATTCTCCGATCTTACACAGCCTTTCGGCAGACCCCCCAAGGCACAGATTACCCTACTGCAAGCCTCATCGTTTCCATGATATCAGGTGCTTGGCACGCGTGCTGGAGTGAGGCAGCCAGCATTGCTCCTCAGCTTCATTACGGTTCAGTCGGCTGTAAATCGAGCATCCCGTCTTCAAGGCCCGTGTCGAACTAACATTACTATCACGTTACCTTCTGTTGGTGGGTATAAGCTGTGGTGTGGATCTCAGCGGCAACAGCCACGCGCGCTTCCAGCCGCATACTCGGTTTGAGAACAAGTCGTCCGAGTCACTGTCGTCCACGAGACTTGTATCATATCAGAGACATGCACATTCGTTACCAGATCCTTCCCGCATCGTCTTGGAAACCACGTTTTCGCCAGTTACACAGAACCAGGCGATTGGAGGTGAGACTCTCAAAGGGGGAGGGCGCTACAGTCGCAGCTACTAAATGCGGCCTTGATCAGCGAGTCCTGTTTCCTAGGCTATCCATTTCTTTCCATCTGGTCTTGCTCTGAAACGTTTGGTGAGCACATGCAAGCTCTCCACTCCCCTGGAGTACGCAGTCACTGCGACGACCTTCCAGCCTCCGTGCTCCTCCCATACTGATTTGATACCCGTGCTCGACGTCACTGCACACTGTGATATTTAACCAGAAGTGGAGCTGGACGGGGACCGGAATCACAAGCAAAGATGCGGTACGCCTCCAGTTCCACCACTTGTCAGAATAGGCAAAGTCAGAGGGCAGAAAGCGGAAATTTTGGCGCTTAGTCGATCGTTCGAGCCGGTGCCAGGCGCTCGGGGATTGCGCAATGCATCTGCTACACCGTCATAAAGGCCTGCAAGCTGTCATCTGCGTGCACATTACGCGCTGCGGTAAGAATCCGCCAAGTACGCGCATAGCAGGTCGAGGAGAAGCGCGCACAGCTGACGAGCGATCGCCAGCCTCCAAGGTTCTTCCGCACCAGACATGTCTCGATATACCTCAGAGACATTGCTGCCGGATCTTGTGTCTGGTGTCGGGTTGCTGATCGTTGCTGTTATCGATTGGCCATGCGGTCTGTCGCGCCATGTCGATCCGGAGGGGCTTCCTCAGGCTGACAGGTTTGAACAAGGTTCCCTGCTCCGTGCCACCACCATGCTCTTCATCAAACCATACCCAGCCGTTACGCTATGACGGCATCTAAATTTCCTGTTCCGGCATTACACTAGCCACGGAACAGCTTCTGCAACCGGTTACAAGCTACAAGCTACATTTCCACCAGCTCCCAAGGTTTCGTGTTGACGGACCGCGGCTCTTTAACATGCACAGCTCATTTCATCCTTCCATTTCGGGATATTAGGTGGCTGAGGTCCATAACCCTTCATTTCCTGTCATGCGACGTGAACAGGCTAGGAAGAGCCAGGCCAGCATCCGTGCAACAAAGCGTTAATCTTGCACTCGCTTCCTCCCGGACGTTGACCCTGCTGGCTGGTGCTAGCGCACGGCTTTAGATTTCCAGGCCACGCCATCGAGTCCACCTTTCGGTCCATGAGATGAGCCTCGCTTTGGCCCATGAAGCCCAACCGGATGACCTGGCAGCCACAGTCGGAATCCAGGCCAGATGCAGAGTTGAGCAGAGAAGAACCCGTTAATATGTCCCGTACAGCCAGAGCAACAGGAACAAGTCACAGGTACACTCTCTGAGATCTGCTGAGCGGGTTCGAGTGCAACTCATGTGTGTAGTGCCATGTCCTTTATCGATTGTCGACCAGACTTCGCGGCACATGGCGGAGCAGCAGTACCTAGGCAATACTATCACCTTCGGCCCCTTGCTACATTCCTTCACTACATAGCTTCGAGCACTCAGCATTCAGCATTCAGCATTCAACAAGCCGAGCAGCCAAAATGGGAATGCTCGCGATACCAACTCGATGCGTCTAGCTTCAGGCCTGTGGATGTATCATCAAACTACTCAAGCTGAGCTGCTTGGCTGAACAGCGGGACGAAAGTAGCCCTGCGGCGAATCGAGCGCCACAAGTGGGAACCACAACTAGAATCTGCAGCAGCCCCATAGCCCCAAGCCTTCTCCAGTACAGGGACGTCAGATGGCGGGACTACAAGAACGCGCACTCGGACATTCCTCTCCCTCTCACTTGCTGACAGCGGGTCTTGCTGCCCATGCATATCCCTGCTACTCTCCTCCCACCATCGCCGCCACGCATCGGCTGTCCTTGTTGTGCGGCCTGCCGTTTTTCTTCGTGTGCTGCTGTCAAGCATTAGCAGCCATTTACTTCCCGTTGGTTGGTCCAACTCCAGTCGGCCCTCTTCCCTTCTCGAACAATCGTTACCATCCTTCCCTACCCGTTGCCCACTTTCTCTTGCCCTTCTCATACGTGGACCTGATTGACCACACCGGCCCACGCGCCTCTACTTGGTCTTGATCTTCGTTGCAGCGAGCCTTGCCTGTCCCCATCCCATTTTGTCAGTCGTGGCCCTGCTTTAACCGCGAATCAAATCGAACCTCTTATGCCTGATACGTATTGAGCGCCCAGAACTTAAAGGCGGCAACGGCTACTGAGCTCTGGGCCTTTGGCGGACGTTGCTCCCCGGGAACGCGCTTCTGAATAAGTATGTATGCTCCATCTCTTTCTGGAAATACCAAATTTGCCGCCACCCAACCACTCATTTCCATGTCGAATCTCTTCCACAACACCTCCCGCCCCGGCACAATCTTCCTCCATGTTGCTCACACTTTCTAACCCAGTCAAGCCGGCCTTCGAGTTCAAACCCCATGACTACTCGCCAGCCTTTCCATTCTCCCCGGCTGCTCGATACTCACCCAAGCTCAACGGTGGGCGACTGCACTCTCAGACGGCCAATTCTTCCTCCACCATGGGCACGCCTCACCGAGGCCTCCCTCCACCTTCAGCGATGACGCTGCCGGATCCAGGACGGGGGCCTCCCCCAATCCAGTCAGCGTTGGGCTCATTGCCTCCAGCACCTTCTCAGTGGCAAGGTGCCGAAGATGGAATGAAGAATTGGCTGGCTGCGAAGACGGAAGAGGAGAGACGAAGACAAGAAGAGGAAAAAACGAGGCAGGAATCATTAAGGCTTGAGCAACGGAAGATCGAACAGTCGATGCTTCGAGAATCCATGCAGGGCGGCATACCACCTCACCTAGTACCCATCATATTCGCAGGTGTTGGCGGAGGAGCTCTTGCAAACATCAGCGCCGAATGGATACAGCAGTACACTGTTCAAGTGCAAGCGGCTCACCAGCAAGCACAGGCTCAAGCGCAGGCGCAGGTGCAACTCTCTCCAGATCTTCGGAGAGATGCAAGAATGATAGGCCAGCCACCGCCATCTTTATACGCAGGACAACCGCAGACTCCACAGACCATATTACCGCCAACTTCGATACTGCCTGGCCAGCCGTTACCTACACAAACTCAACACTCTACCACTGGATACGCAAGTGGACCGCCGATGTCACCGCGAGCGAGAGCTGCACAGTCTACGGGATTCACCGCTCCTACGTCTGCTCCACGCGCTCTCCCTCAGTCGCAGCTTCCTCGTCTAACAACGAACGAAATGAATATTCAACAGCCTCCCGCGCCTCCGTCTGGCGTTCAACAACTACAAACGACACAGACGGCGCAGCAGGAGCAGTCCTCTCCTTCGATTTACTTTCACCACTGGGTCCCCCCGTCCTCCTCGTCACAACAAGAGAAGAGTTCAAGCGGGAACCCGCCAGCGACGCCTTCAGGTAAATACAAAGCCTCGCCTGTTTACCAACCTCGTCAGCGTGCAGCGTCTCATGCGTCTGACTTAGAGTACACCAGCTCCCCCAAAAAGCGCAAGGCCCAAGGCCAACATCAGCCCGCACCGCCCCCTACATCGGCACCTCAGTCGCATACATCGCCCTCCTTCTCGCACATATCGACGTCATCGGCATCGACACCAGGACGGCGAGGACACGCTCGAGCCCGTTCTGATGCATCTAATCGAGGACCAGACGGCTCCAGCGGTGCTGTAAGCCGTCGCGGTACGATCTCTGGGTTTGCGCATGAGACGATTACGCGACAAGGCGATATCCCAGAGGAACCGAGAAGCACCGAAGGCAAGCCATTGCCAAATCTGGACTCAGCATACGCAACTCCACCTCATCGAAATGATGGTCAAGGACAGGGCCAGCAACATTATGCGCCCAATTCGACGTCTTCTCAACATGAAACGCCAAAGTATGGGCCGCAACATCAGCACTGGGATCCTAAACGGGAAGTTGGCGACCGTTAGATTGGAAAGCTGGTTTCAGCATTGCGACCGTGCCTATTCCGGATTGGTTGTCATCCCAACATCACAAGCAAATCTCAAATCACGACGCAAAGGCTGGAATAGAGAGCAGATTGTTTCAAGACACGCCACAAGCAATTTCATCCCCGTAGTTGCGCATTTGCAGCTATCGCAAGCGAAATGAGCTCCACAAGACCAAAATCGCCTCAATCTTGAAATCAAGTGTACATGCACGCACGGCCCCCCATACCCCACCAAGGAATCAACTTCTCATCTCATGAAATTGCATCGCAATGTTATTTACACAGCTGCGTCAATGGCCAATTAGCAAATGTCCGCATGGTATTACCATTTTGGCTGTGCGAGATTGCTACCGGGTGTTGCCCTTATTCCAGAACGGTTCCGGTTCCACGGGCTGATGAGAAGTCTTCCCTCTTGGACACTCTCTTCCGAGCATTCCTGGCGTTTGGATACATCGGGGTCCTGTCTTCTCGAACGTCGGCGCATGACTTCACAGTCGTAGGGTAAAGATAGAATAGGTGGCGGCTGTTGGTCAGGCGTCCCGTTGCTTCTCGCCTCCCCACCTCTTCCCGGCTGGTTCAGTTGATGCAAGAGTTGCTCTCGTCAGCGCCCCGCGCCCCATCTATTACGCAAGAGACTCGAAAATGCATGTTGCGAAACCTGAGGCATACGTACTCCATCACTAGCTACACAACAAGTGCATACGCTTTCACAGTAGGCTACATGGCATCTTCCGCTATGCTTTAGGCACTGCTCACCTTTGGCTCGACACGATTCGACCTTCTTGGATATCAGTTCGCTCGCAACTGTGCCATGCAACGGTACACACCGAACGCCGACTAACAGCTTTTCGGCCACGCTCAAACTCTATCTTCCCTCTACAGCCAGTACTGTCTTGGTACTATCCGTGTATTCCACTATGGACGGTTTCGGTCAAGCTTTCTCTTCGCTTCTCCTGGATCTACCAGTCTGCATTAGTTGTGAGTCTGCGCGATCCAACCGGTCTGTCATGATGACGTCGAGCTAAGTTTGGGCTTACCGATGATCTCGACACACGAGTTGGCGACTGGATTCTTGCGTCTTATCTTTTCTTCTACGGTAGCTGGCATGCCGAACCTTCCTGTATCATTCTCGTTGCATCAAGACCGGATATCAGGGCAACGGCGCTTTCAAGACCCACTGGACCTCAACCCGTGGTGGTCCTCAGTTGGATTCGCATTCTCTCCTTTGTCATAACAATCATAAAACCCTTGGGCTTCCTGTTGGCTACAAACTGTTTGCATATACCCCTATTCCCATTGTTAGATGGGTAGTATACCCTTTCTAGCGGTACCCGTGTCGCTTCCGATGCTGCGATTCGATCTTCATGTGTTTTCATTCTCAACATTGTACATATATCCAGGCAGACTACAGGTTATGGGGCATTGCTATTGGGTAGTTGGCTTCGACGTCAGAAGTCATGCTTGCATTGGGGGCTGCCATAGCCCCGCCATTGTGTATAGGTATCGTAGCTGGAACAGACAGTGGTCTGATCAGATTAGCGAAAGAGAATACAAAGAGGAAGCAGGCGCTGGCGGTTTCGGTTTGGCTCGCATTTGCCTGCCTACCGCAACTGCCAGTGCATTCTATCTCGCCTCTTCCGCAGTAACAGCAAACATGACTCTATTCTCGAGCATGGTGTGTCAAGTCTTGTGCAGATTGCGGGGTGGTTGATTAGCTTCGTGTCATGGTGTGCTCACCTTCTCCGTGGTTGAGTTGGGTCAGTACAAGTAGGCACCAGCCACATCTACCCCGCCTCGTGGCGCTCTTGCCTGGTCGTGCCCCACCATGGCGGATCGGCAAGCGCAGCCTGACAGCCGTCCAGCCTAGCAAACAACAACCACTTTGTTGCCTGTCCAAACATCAGTCGTCTCTGCCTTTTGCACAACCACTCGCACCTCACCTCGCCCAACTTCACGGAAGCCCACACGCGTGACGACGAACGCTCGCTGAAGCTGTAGCAAGCGAAGAGCAGCCAGGATGCAGATCAAGTACGTTGCTGGACAGCACACAAGCACGAGGAAGCTAGACGTGGACATGTGCTATTGCGACCCAGGCTGACAAAGAGCGACAGAGTACGAACCCTCACCGGAAAGGAGATCGAGCTCGACATCGAACCAGACTACAAGGTACGCTCCGCCCACACCCACACCCACCTCGAATACACGCATCAATTCCCACCCGTGGATACCTGACAAAAACACACACGATCGTACATGAAGATCCAGGAGAGCTCACGCTGACAAATACAAGGTCTCAAGGATAAAGGAGCGTGTCGAAGAGAAGGAGGGCATTCCGCCAGCACAGCAGCGCCTGATTTACGGAGGAAAGCAGATGTATGTCGCCTACCCTACCTTCAGACTCGTCTTTAAGGACACATGTAAATAGGGACAATGCTAATTTCCGCTCGCAGGGCCGACGACAAAACCGCACAGGACTACCAGCTCGAAGGCGGTGCCACTTTACATTTGGTACTCGCGCTCCGCGGCGGCTTCTAGCTTTCCCTTGCAGTATGGAAGGACAACGTTGAAGGGAATGAGGTTGGAGGGGTGCTAGGAAGGTGTGATTCTCTCCTAAATTTGAGGCACGAGGAACGGCTCATCTATACGAGCTAGGAGCAGCCAGCAGTCAGTAGTCTGGTAAACACATTATTGGCAGCTTGGCCTGTTTGGAACAAAATGTGTTGCGCTGTCTTGTTTTGCATTGCATGGCTAAGCTGATATATTTGGATAGGGCTGATCCTGTGTCGTAGCTACCTAACTCGTCACCGCTCGCTAAGAATCATTCGGCGCTTGTTACATTCTTCTAAAAAGTAAGGCGCATCTAGCCGTACACTACGTGCAATACAGCAAGCTGTTTTAGCCCTCCTAAAGCTTACGGGGGAAAGTATCTTCTTGAATTGCATAATTGAGTATGAACCGTGCAGTGCTTGAAAACAAGACAAAGTACATTGTTCCAGCCTTACTATTACCATTAGATTGGCATCAAGTAAACCCCATCCCCAACATCCAATCCCTCCCGACATCCATTCATCTCATTCAGTCTCTAATATATCCCTCCATCCATCCCCTCTTCTACCCATCCCCTCACTATCTCCATCTCTTCACAATCATCCTCACCCTTCCCCTTCCTGCCCCTCAACCTTCACAAATCTGCCCAACTGATCCCGTCTAATCCCCAACCCCATCAGATTCCCTATCCTCCTCCTCCTACCTCTAACACGCCTTCGCCAAAGGAGCCAGACTAACCCCACACAAGCGCAGACTAACGCGATGATGCCGATGATCAAAGCGACGAAGAGGGCCCAGCGGGCTGAGAGGTGTTTTGTGTGGTACGTGTAGTGGTGGTTGTGTGCTGTGGCGTTTAGTGGGGGGTTTGGGTCTGCGAGTTCGGTGCTGGATATATATGAGGAAGGCGGGAGAGGAGTAGTTAATCCATCGATTCGGCGGAGGAGGGACGCATTGGTGCGGAGGAGAGGTAGAAGAAGTAAGGGGAGTAGCATAGTAGTAGAGAGGAGAGATAGCCGTGGGAGCATGCTAATCGATTGAACTTTCAGGTATGCTGTTTTGTACACGTACTACCCCGAATTTAGTAGGATTGGTGCAGACGTTTATGCAAGTATGGTTTTAGAAACAGATTAAGAGTCCAAGTACACAATCCCTCATGATGACTGATGGACTCGAGTACAACTCCGCTTCAAGGAACGGGAGGGGTTTGCATCACTGCGTTTGGGTTGTTGCTTGCTGGAACGACACACGACAGAATCGGGCGCGCACAACGGTATGTCTACTCCAGCTGAAAGGTATATAGCGTTGGCGGTCTTGACTATCTGCGGTACTTCGTCCTCAAGTCACGATTGGCTGGTGGTGCTAGTTGAAGCGCCCCATTTTCGTGGTGCATCACTGGATCGGATCTGCAGCGGTCTGGCCCAGATCTGCAGAATGCGTCACTGTTGACTACGATGCGACAGTGGGACTGTGGCAGTTGTTGGTTTCCTTGAGATCCGCCATGAGTATTCAACTAAATTCAAATTACACCTCATTTCTTCTTCGAACCTCTCCCGCCTCTTGCACTTTTCTTCTTGCCCTTTGCAATATCCGCACCACGCCGTCCGCCCGCTATCATTACCCTTACTTTAGACACGGGGACAACGCCCACCACCTCGGTTTCTTTCCATGCCCGTATCAGCTCAACCTCTCTGGGCCAAATCCTCTCCACGTCTTGACTGCTTTGATCTGTCGCTTTTGTATCCTTGCCCGCGTGGTCCCAGATGGCGAGTACTTCTTTGACGGCTTTCCCGCGCTTGGTGGATCCGGGCTGAATTTTAGCTTTGTATTTATACGCGCTGAGAGCGGACCAAGGTGCACAGATAGGTATTGCGGTAAGGAGGTCATCGCCTGGTAGAGGCCTGCCGGTAAATGCATCTAGGTTTTGGAGATTAACCTTGAGGGCCTCATCGCCTTCATCGTCGTCTTCTTGGGCGGCATTCTCGAGAGCGGCACGTCGCGCTTCCTCAGCTGCCTTGCCTGCGGCTTGAGCGCGAAGGTGCTGATCGCGGCGGCGCTGTTTGTCTGCCTGTGCTTGTTCCTCCTTTTGGCGCTTTTCTTGGGCTGCGACTTCGGCGGCCTGTTGACCGGACTTGGAGCCCAGGAGACGCATGGCTAGCGCGCGATCTTCCTCATCTTGAGCCGCATACTTGGAGGCTAGCTTTTTTGCCTTTCCGCGCTTGCCGCGAGGTAGAGGACCATTTGTCGCTTTCGAAGCTTGCGTGGTTACTGTTCCTGCAGCTTTTACAGCTGCTACAGCGTCTTCATCGGCGGAGGCGCTCTCTTCTCCAGTTGCATCTTTGGCCCTGGATGCTGACTCGAGCGAGGGTGAAGTTGATCCGGGGAGTTGTCCTTTCTTCAGTAGTCGACGTTCTTTCGCTGACAGGTGGCGGCGGCTCAGGGCCCCTTGGCTCTGTTCGGTGTCTGCCACTGAACCTGCATCCTGTACATCATCGTTTTGGGTTACTCCGCTCTTACCTCCAGACATAACAAACTCCGAGTCTTCGTTTGCAGGATAGTTATCGTCTTCAGCGTCAGAGTCTTCCTGCGTGTCTGTATTTCTCGATTGAAGGGGGTTGCTTCTGGGAGCTGCAGCTTCTGACTCGGCATCGCTTTCATCTGTGTGATTCATTTTCGCATCCGGGAAATCCTCGTCTGAGTCCGAGTCGATCTTCGCATCTGGGAAATCATCCTCATCATCGCTATTCTGAGATTTGGCAGCCTCTACGACCGCCACTTCATCAGTCGGCTCGGGCGCCATATCTGCAGCAGAAACTGCGGTTTCTTGGATGCGATGCTTGTGGTGATTGGCCTTACTTTGCTCGCTGATCTCGAACATAACTGCAAGGCCAACAACCAATTGAGCGGGCGGCAAGAACTCCTTCCTTCCCTTGATGTTGAACATGCCAGCGGGAAGAAACTCGCCAGTCTGGCCCGTCTTGCTGACCTGGTCACTGCGTACCCACCATGCTGACATGACAGCCTTTGAGTCCCATGCTTCAGAAGTGCAGACGGAGAAATGGCCCGCTTGTGATAACGTTGATGGCGGTATTGGGGCATCTGGAGTGTTGGGCTTGTTCTTGATGATCATGGGGGCGGCTCCTTTCAGGTCGGCGTGCACATAAACATCTCCTTTTCGAAGGTATCTTCGATAGATAATCTCGTTTTGTTGAGCGTCTTTGCCACCGAGGACAAGATGTCCATCTGACGAGACGAAGTAGATATACTTCTCGAACCACTGCTGTTTTCGTACGGGTCGTAACACGTCCTTCTCTTGCTTTAGTCCTTTCTTGAGACCTTCCGTTACCTTCTTCTCATGACTCTTTAGTGCTTTAGTTGATGCCTGAAGGGTACGCTCTTCCTTGTTAGCGGCTGTCTTCTTTTCATCAAAGTATTCCGTCGAGTTGGCCCAGGCAGAAAGTCCAAGGTCAATGTCAATCGCTAGCTGTGGTTGAGCAGCCACCTTGACAGGGGCAGCCTTCTTCTTAGGGCTTTCGTCTTCGTCTGAAGAGTCTTCACTGACTGAGCTCGTCTCATTGCCCTCATCATCCTCCTCTTGTCCTTGATCCCAGTTCGTCTCGTCGAGTAGTAACGTGATGGTGTTCTCATGTAGCTTCAGCGGCAATCGGATCAGCTGCGCAACTGCATTTCCTTGACCTTGCTCCCGCTCGATCAAACGCGCGATGTCGACCCAGTCCATACCTTGTCTGATTAGCCCATTGACAGCCTCGGTGGCTTCGGTAACACGATGCACGTTTGCGAGGATCGTTTCTGCCTTTCGGAAGTTCAACGCTTGGACTTGTTGCAGCCCACCAATCCGGTCTTCATGCTCCTTACGTGCCTTCTCCAGCTTCTTTTTGGCTTGTTGTTCGCGTTCTGTCAGTCTGGATTCCAGCTTCTGTCCCTCAATAGAAGAGAAGAATTCATCCACAGCCTTGTTGAATCCATCAAACTCCAGGAACGTGTAGTCTGAGCCCTCAAATTGCTGTGGCCGGAAGGGATGAAAGTCGTCGTAAAGAACTTTAGACTTGTCAGAAGCGTCTGCATCTGCTTTTGGTGCAGATGGGTTAGGCTTCGCTAGGATATAGCCTTTGATCTGGTCCGGCTTTGTGATGTCGTCTGTGATCTTTCTAGCATCTCGCAGGACCACCACTAGCCTGTCGAGTAGCTCATTGTCAGCAAGCACCTGCTCCGGCTTCTGTGTGGAGTCGAAGTTTGCGGCATGTAGAGCATGATCGACCAGTAACGGAGGACATTCTGTGATAGAGACGGCGAGCGCCTTCCTTAATGCATCTTTGCCTGCCTTCTTTGCCTTCTTCGCTGTTGCGGCTGGCTGCTCTTGCTGCCTGTCGACGGCTTTCTGGAGAGCTTGACGAACCCGCTCTTTGGTGAGTTCAGGCGCGCCACCGTAGTTCTGACGTAGCGAGAGATTATACTGTAGCCCAACCCTGAGCTTTTCGTGTTCCTCGCCCTCGTCTACGTTGCGCAGCAAACCTAGTACGTTCAATTCAGCATCGGTCAGGACAATGTTGCCGCCAGCGTAGAACTCCAAGTATAGTCTGTATAGGCCATCGGAGAATTGGAGCTCGAGTATGCGATCGGTGCCGATTTGGGAGACGGAGGTTACTCTGCGCGTCTTCAAGTATTTGCGCAATTTGGCGACGAAGGTCGACGGTGCAGCGGCGGTAGTGCGTGCATACTCGGTAAGGTGGCAGCGGAAGCCAGAGTCAATGAGCAACTGCTCGCGGTGGTCGGGCTTGTGGAACTTGATGAGAAAGATTCTCTGCGTGAGTGTAAGCGTGATACGTGTTTAAAGCCGGGTGGCCCGATGCATACAGAAGAAAGGTCGTAGACGTTGGTAACGCGAAGCGAGCTAAGTTTTGCGGAGAGCTCATGCGCTATAACCTGTCCTGGTTAGCTTTGTGCCATTGGAGGCATGCATGGTTCCTGCGCACCTTGACGTCTAGGCTGGAGAAGCGCTGCTTCATGGTGAGGTGAGGGTGTCGTGTGCAGAGTCTGTGGTGGGGTCGTGGTGGGATGCCATGACGATGCGGGAGCGCGGGAAATGCGGCGCCCATCCATTATTGCAAGGGTCATAGAACATGCTCCCTCAACTCAAGGCTTAGCAACAGTGCTTTCACATAATATTTCACCAGCATTCACAGCGGCACTGGGTTGGAGTCTGTGCAGTCGAAAAATGTCTTCAACCATAGCCATCCTCGTCCCAAATCTATCATGCGTGCACGGAGGGTATGCCAACTGCTGCCCGTTTTGCCCAGAAAATATAAACTCCAACAACGCCGTACCCGCTGATGCAAACGCCATTATAGGCCTTGCCGTATCCTCTCTGCTAGCTGCCTCTTTCCAAACTCCCACGCGTTCAAGAAGCCCTGCTCGGAGAGGTCGAGATTCTTCATCGACGTCATATCCTGTGCGGGTGGCTTGCTGACACGCGATGCGACAATGACGGGGTCCGTTTCGAGGATGATTCCGTCGTCTACGAGCTCATCGACGGCGAGCGACTGCTGCTGTCAGTACACGAACCATGCCCAGGTATCCTAGTGCTAGACAAGGCACTTACCACAAGATCGTAGTTCTCGATGACGGTGCGCTTGTCGACAGAGTTCCTGCAATTCGTCAGATACAGCAATGTCTTCCCTGAAGACTTGCTTACTTCAGGAGGATGTTGAGTGAGTCCCTTAGAGCAAGGACGACGCTGTGATGAGTGTTAGCCTTGATGCCATGGCGTCCGGGTCAAGCCATGGCCGTACCTGTACAACAGAACCTCGTTCTCTTCCGCGCTTCCAACCACGTAGAGCATCACGTCCGACTCCATCTTGAAGACGATGACCTTGTGGTCGTACAATATAATGTCGCTTGTCTGCTTGGCCGTTTTCTCTGCGTTGCGAGTCAGAACAAGGACGAAACGCTGTCTCTGCACATGTTACCAACCCAGCAGTCCCTTCTCGAACGCCTTCTGGTCCTTCACTGTCTTGTACGCAATCTGGCCGGGGTAATCCGTGTGTTGACCCGCGGGCGGGTGCGGGTTCTGGTAGTACTTGGTGAGGATGCGGGACCCATCGTCGATTGCGAGGACGAGGATGGCCTGGATGCTGAAGAGAGAGAGGGGGCGCGACATGTTGGGCGGCGCGTGTATACGATGGCGTCGACTTCAATGGCGCTCTTCAATGGGCCGTGGTGAGCTCTCGTGGGGTTTTGATAGGTGTTCTCCTCCGGCGGAGAAGCGTCCAATCACGGAGGTGTCTGGTCTTGGCAGAGTTCGAAAAGTGAGCCGACGGCGCATTGTGCACGATTAATAACTCTTCTAGAACAGCGATAATTCTCTGTTATCTTGTCTTGTTGTCTAGAAATGCACAGGCTGTCGCGGACACGGCTTGCCTCTCTAGTCTGTCCCTCGGCACCGTTTCTTGCCCCTCGCCTTGTTCGCGCTGCTGTACCCGTCGTCGTCACATCGTTCCCAGCAACAGGCCTTGCAAGCGCACACTATGCAACCAAAGCGAAAGGCACAGGCAGCTCGCAAAAGCCCCCTCGGATAGGCAAACGTTTCAAGAAGCCGAGATTGGTAGCGGAAGATGGAGCTGAGAAACAGATGGCGGCTTCGGTCGCACAGTTTCGCCAGGCATGCGAGAAACGAAATGTGCAACACTTGATGGACCTGTATCCGACGCTCGCTGGAGCAGGAGTCTTGGATAGCTACGACACGCGCCGTATTACCCAAGCGCTACACGCCCGCATCCGCAACACCTACGCTGACAGCAAGCGATCCGACTTGTTCTCCTTCGTACAGCGCATCGCGACCGACATCCGCAGCGGAGCCCTCCCGCCCCACCCCTACGCCTTCGTCCACCTGTTTGGCATCTATAAAGACTGCAAGCGCTTCCAGGAAGGTCACGAGCTCTGGCAATGGCTTGTCGAGCAAGACGAGCGCTACGTGTCGCAGGCTGCCTACGGCGCTGCTATTGAGCTCATGGCATACGGACGCCTTATGAGCTTGCCGGACCTCGAGAATCTCTATACCGAAGGTCTGAAACGCTTTCCAGGCACCTTTGCCGAGTATCATCTCTCGCCTGATGCCATCGTACCCGATCGCACTCAGCCAACTGCCATTGCCGGCATACCAACCCTTCTTCTACAAGGCATCCTCACAGCACGCATTCTGGCGCGCGACTGGAAGAAGGCATACCTGGCCCTGGACACAGCCCTTCGTCTGTACCCTGCGCAGACCCCTCCACGTTATTTCGCGCTTTTCATGACCGAGAGGCCCTTGTCAGAAGCGTATACCGCTTGTCTATTAGCATGTCGCGCTGGCGTGAGTCTAACGCCATACCTTCTCACAGCCCTCATCACCAAGATGCGTGCTGCTATAGGAGCGTCTCCATCCATGGCTGATCGCATGATGCTTGTCCGTGCTACAGCGAACGCTATTTACGCATACATGCAGGCAGGAGGGCAACTAGAAAGCATACACGTCGGTGCCTTCATTCACGCTCTCGAGAACGTGCTACCTGAGAAGGCTGCGGGCCTAGACTATGAGGCAGGAGCGGCAGAGCTGCGCAATACTATTGTTGTCGCAGCACATGAGATCATATCAAGGTTGATACAAGCCGGCATGCCACCTCAACTTCATCTGTTTGAGGCGCTAATCTCACTATCTGGCAAACTGCGCGTTCCGGGACTACTTACTACCACCCTGCAGGATTGTAGAACCGCTGGCATAGAACTCGGTCCAATAGGAACTAGGAGCGCCATCACCTCTGCTGGCTTGGTAGGGAACACAGACCTTATCGAGCAACTTTGGGAACGAGTCGTCACAGCTGCCGAGGCGGAGAGCGCACAAATCCCATTTGAGGACTGGATCACTTTCACTAAAGCGTGTAGAAGAGCTGGTCATACGGATTATTTCCGAGGGCAGCTGCTGAAGCTACCGCACGCCATCACTGCTAGTATCGAGAAACATCTCATTCAACAAATAGATCAGGAAGAGCATAAGCCGTCGGGCCCTGAGTCGTTCGAGTACATGATCCTAGAGGACCTTACGAGAGAGATCGAGGCGCTCAAGACTCAAATGAAGAACGTTGAGGCTGTTGTAATGTCTGGACAGGCGCTTGATCTCGCCAAGTCACCGTTCTACATGCATATCGACCCAGAACAACGCCCTATGGGCTCAATTCCCGATCTGCGAGCCGTTTACGATGAAATGACTACAGATCCGCATCAGCCGCCGCCTCCACCATCTGCAGACGGGTCACCAGCCAAGGCCGCTTTAAGCCCAACGGGCATTCCGCTAGATGAGCTACGCTTTCAGAACTGGATTACTGTTCTGGAAATGATGGACGATGCTGAAGCATATGAATCGGACCTGCAATTCGCGCTAAATACAGCGATACAGGCGGGGAAGCCATTGAAGGGTACCCCAGAAGTTCTACGCCTACGCAAGGAGAATAATTCATCTCCCCGTTCGCTAGGAGGACTCCGACTTAGGATCAAAAGTCTTCGAGCCGCAAGCGCCGAGGATGTACCAATCTACCGAAAAGTGGGCTCAGAAGTGAACGACGACAAATTCAAACCCATGGCTTATCTAGCCAACCAGGACAAGTGGATCACAAAGAAAACCCACAAACACCCAACGAGCAAGCAGCCGGACTTTACGCATCCTGAACGTTCTGTGGAGCCAGAACAAGAGGGCGCACCTAAAATATCTTACTACGTCGGTCTTCAGTCGACTCACAACGCTCCGGCCCCCACACGTCCTAAACCCGGAGTCCTCGGCATTATACGGAAAATGACCCCCAACAAAGACTATGCGGAACTGCCTTCGTCAAAACCGACCGGCGAAGGTGATGCTGCTGCTTCATAGATATACCCGGTTGAGTCGCAGGCTTTACATGTACAACAATCTTGTATACCACTTTATAATGATGTACAACACCAAAAGTAGAAGGCATAATGGCATTGGCGTAGGTAGCGTGTAAATCACATAGTGAGTATGCACAGAATCGTGCATTACATTGCATTGCTTCGCATTTCAAGCGAAAAAAATCTACTTTTAGCATATCATCTATGTTCTCTTCCCTCATCTAACAGTTAAGGTGGCACAATAGTGCAGGCAGGCTGGAGCGCTTCGCCTACAGATCTATGGGAAAATACTTCCAAGCGAACACGGCCGGGGAAACCTGGGACAGATGATGGCGGACAGTGCTGCTCGAGAATGGACCCATTCTACCTGGCGTCTTCCGCCGGCAGTGAAACTATAAAAAGTATACCCGTGGATGCACCTGCAGCTTTAAGACTGATATCAAGGTTCATGGTACTCCGCGTCAAGAACAGCACCGAGGTGAGTGCGAATGTTCCCAGATGGGAAACATGCCCGTAATGTCGTTACAGCTCATGTTTCGTACCTATGTACTGACAAGGCAACGAGACAGGCTTTCGAAAATGCGCTGGGCTCAAAAGCACGGTTATATGTGCGTGTGTCTTCAAGGGAAGGTTCCTGCTGGAAGTGTCGCGTGTCCCCCTGTTTCGTACCAGTACATCCGCCGCTCCTATAACCCCTACAGTCTCAGCAATACACCGTGTATGTGCCTGTGTGCTCGCGTGCGTTTATCGCCGCTTATTTTACCGCAGGATGTAGACGAGGATTGTTGGAAAAGCTAATGCACCCCGGATCTGCGACGTGCTTGCGTGGATGCAATCCGCATGGTTGGAAACGATGCCAGGAACAGGAGAGGGTTCACGACGCACGCTGCCAGCCTTGTCTTATTTGAATCGGCCAGCTCGAAGAAGAGGCCCTAGACTAGATGTCGAACCACACAGACGTGCTCGCAACCTTCGAAAAATCGCTGAAGTTGGTGGCAACCGGGCGCGAAAGGCTATCAAAACAGCCCCAAACTTTGGTTAAACTTAAACAAACCCAACCGGAGATGCTTTTCCCACGTGTGATCTGATCATTACCCGGCTCCGTGGATAAATATGCACATCCCTGACTGATCCTCAGGCTTCCCCAGACATTCTCCCTCCGTGCCTAGAATGGTATACTTATGCAACCGCCCTGCTATACTAGTGATAAAAGGCCACGGTCATACGGTTACGAATGAGTCTTACTTGTACGTGGCAGTGTGCAAGGAGTTTGTGAGGAGGACGGGGGCGTTTCACACCGCAAGTCTGACGTCTCACCGTTTAGACTGCCGCAGCGGGAGCGGAGCGCGCCGTTGCGGCTGCGTTGAGTGGAAGGTGGACCGATGCTGTGTGACGATGAGCGTCAGACCCTTCTAGAAAGCATGGGGACCGGAGTCGGGCGATCTGTCGTAGCCAGAAAGTCGCCTCCATGTGTGCAGAGTGCGTGTCAGTGGCGTTGGGCACATGTGCATGCCCATGTAGATCAACACACGAACATGGTCTCGAGCAAATCTCCTGTTTGAGCAAGTTGGATGAAAATTCTGGCTACCAGATACTGCGTAGTAGTCTAAATGAAAAAGCAAATCCTAAATCCCCCCGATCCATCAGGTCGATGGTGTAATAAAAAGTTCTACCGTGTCTATCCTATGCCCAAATCATGTGTAACAAATCGTGGCTGTCGAGAAGTGAAAAAAACAAATCGACGGGGAATCAGATAGGAGATAAAAAGGAATGGCAGCGGTCAACGCTCGCGCGGATACAAATGAAATCCCATATCCATGTACAGCCCTATGCTCCATTCCATGTTTGAAGCTCATAGTCGAAAAGGTGAAATTGCAAGCCAGCCGACCCGCTCGCTAAAATGCATATAATCAAAGCAGTAGTACATGAATCGAACATCTTCCCGCTCCTCTTCGAGAAAAGAAGGTGAGGACGGGTGGCTCAGTTTGATTGACTACCACTGGGTGATCGTTGCTCTGCTGGTGTCGATGGGAAAGAGAAATCAACTGGCGATGGCGGTGGTGCTGGTGTCTCGTTGACATCTGACGAGCGAGAGGCCAGGCTGGAAGATGCTTTCAGGGCAGCACTGACATCGTGACCGAGGGTCGAGTTGGTGAGAATGGAGAGGCGCTGGCGAGGGTTGAAGGCCGAGGCAGCTGGAGCAGGCATTTTTGCGGTTGAAGGTGTGGTAGTTGAAATCTTGATGAGACTTGGTGGTGATGTGGGTTGAGTGGGAAGTGGGACGCTAAGGTAAGGTACAGTGATGAGAAGTACAGCCGATCGCAGTTTGATAGAAGCGTGGGTTGAAATCTGGAGTGAGTCCGGGGGCGGCGACTAAATACTGAATGACGGGAGATTGACACGGGCCGTATGCAGGAATGCGTGGTGAGATGTCAAGTTCAGAAAGGCAGCCTCGGAGGAGGGCGCACAAGATATTATGAGTTGTCTCGGGCTCGGACAGCCAACTTGTTCGTTGTCAAAACAGGAATGGCTGATTTATCTTCCGAGGCACTAGTGGTCTTGGGAAAGGGTGATGTAATATGCAAGTAGAAAAGAGCCTGGCGAAAAGGTGAGTCAGATTTAATATCAAGGATGGTGGTGATGCGAGGAGTTGCGAATGCGCTGGCATCTGCCGGGCTGGGACCAACAACTGGCGGAGCCCCGGATTGGCGTGCGTACAATTTCAGAAAGGGCTGCATTTGAGGCTTACTTACGATTGCTAGGTCACTGCCAACGAGGGAGGTCGGATGCACGAGGTTGCCGTAGATGGTGCGGTCTGCGAATTAACCGTCGAGTTGCAAGCGAGAGTCGGACCGTGGATGCTTCGGGAAGAGCGAGACTGACGCAGGCTTTATGAGTAGCTTTATGAATAGGTGCAACAAGGGTTGATTAAGGCGAAGCCTGGGTAAGGGGTGAGAATAATCGTGAGCGAAGAGATGGGTTGCTTTTTGTGCTATGGGGGTGACGATGTCGCGACCAAGGGGGATGTCTCTCTTATAGAAAAGGGAATCGCAACAGACTACCGGATCCTGACTCGCATCAACTAGCCGAAAGGGATAGACGCTTTGGGCGGAAAAAAATAAGTATCTCAGCGATTAAATGCGCCGGAGGGGCCACGGGGAAGCGGACGGTTGCGGAGGCTCCTTGCTTCCCTCCTGGAGCAAAGTCCACCCCACGCCCAACCCTCCCAGGATGCCAGAGCCAACAGCGTCCAGGGTTAGTCCTGTCATCATCGTCGACAAGTCTGAGATGCTCTTGATACGATGAGGGAAAGCGAGCCTGCATGCGACAAACACGGCATGCCAGGCGTACAAGCGAGTCTGTCCGTCTGCGGCCTCATACGCATTCCTCTATCAGGGCCCTGCTGATGAGAGGAGAGGAGATGAGAGGATACCTACCGCAGGCGGGAAGAAAGAAGCAAACCAATACTTGTAGCCAGCCGCTGCTTCTGCGCGACGTGGGAGCCAGCCCGCAAGCAAGGCCAGATGGACATGTCATTATCTGACCGCTCCTCGAGATGCACCCATCCCACGCGAGGCTTGCCGCAGCCAGGATGGGGTAGTGGAGCACCGGGTTACATTCCCCGGATACCAGCTGGCCGGGATTCGTCCACCAAAACGAGGTGGCGCCTGGAACTGTCTGGAAGTATCAATCTGCATTGATCAGCGACAGCATGCATCAGACATCCAACTTCGAATCCTTGCTTAGTGACACAACTCGCAAACGAACAATGTGAAGCTCGCACCGAGTCATGTATTTGATGCCCCTTGGGGGATCCCAAGCTGCTTGGTAGCTAGGCGGTCGTTGCGCAACATCCATCCGGCCGAGATCTTCCTGCAATAAGGCTTCGAGAAGGGCGCATTGGAAGGACGCTCGAGCCGGCTCCTGTCTTGGGGCAACGAGTCCACACTATGTCGTACGCGTCGTCGTCCACTTGCCGCTTTCGCCTTCCCTTCGTTCCGCCTGCCGCTCCGTGACAACCAACGGATCCGGTAAATATGCGGCAAAACAGTGACATCTCAGACCTTCAACCGCCCTGCGTTGGGTACTGGCTTAGTACAGTATTGCTGTTGTGCTCGCCAATCCAATAGTCGGGCACTGGTCGCCAAAAAGCCTCACATAGCAGCCTTATGCTGGTCGCAACGAAAACCCATGATACCACGTCGTCTTGCAGCCTCACACGGCTCCGCAGCCCACTGCCTGTCAACCAGAACCCTAGCCATGGGTGGGTGGCTGCCTCTGGGTAAGATATCACGGTGCAACACTCCCCCGACGCCGCCTCGGTTCTTCTTGTCGTGTCATGGCTTGGAGCCAAGAACGCCTTGCCTGCCATCGTGTCATTTCGTGGCTGGAAAGCGATGGAATCAGACATCCGCACCGTCGCTGTCATTATTACCCATTGACGGGAATACAAGACGTTCTTAGGTGGCGCTCCACACACCCTAGATGGGCTTCACCGCCTGCTCTGGGGAAATTGATCCTCCCCTTGCGTTAGGGCTGTCGGGAGAAACATCCCCGCAATCTTGTGGGACGTCGCATAACCATAGCGCAGAGCAAACATCGTACAAGCGAACAAAGATCCCGAATATCGTTGCAAAGGATACGCGTCGCGCCTAGCGGCAAGAGGCCCCATAGGTGAGCTCTATTATCCGTCCTGCATTACGGCTTCGTGTCTCCTTGGTTGAACGCAGCATCCCTACTTTTTGCGAATCCTCCTATCGGTGCTTGCGATATCGGGTTCTAGATCTACTTATAATGATGAGGTAACTTCGAAGCGGTAGTCGATGTTAGGGAGAGAGTTCAAAGGGGCCATAGAGGGACCTTTGCAGAGGGCTTGTCCGCGCCGTTCCGCATGCCGTACCATGTCACAGTCGCATCTCCTTCCAAGGCCGCCTACCATCCAAAGGATGAAGGATTAGAAGCGTCGTCAGCTAAATAAGGAGTCCAATGGGCAAGGATATTCAACGGTCTCATTACGTTTTCGAGATGGAAGCGATACGACCCGAAGCCGGTGCGAACCTTATAAGTGTCCTAAAGAATCAGGATTTCCCGGGGCGGAAGAGGAACCGGAAGCTCCTTTAAGCTTTGTCTGTTTCACCACTGCACTTATTGTCCTCATCTAGCCATATGGGGATCCTTGCCTCGCAATGGTTGGGTTGTCTTGTTCACATACTCGCGCCCTATATGGGTCGCGACTCAGTACCTTGCACACTTTCCTATAATATGTTGTAAGAAGATCGACAACAACAGGGGAATGCGCATCGAAATGCTTTCCTTGCCCTCTTCAACGGTGGAAGAAAATGCCGCAAGATCATAGGAGAGCACCAATGGGAGCTTGTCATCATGTCTAACATTGAAGTACTCCAGGATTCATAGTTCTAGCCCTCGTCAATGTTCAGGATCCAATGGGCTATCTTTTCCCATGTCGGCCAGACTTTTAAGATCATGATTCAAGGACACTGAATCAAGGAAAATAGGGAGCAGAGGAATGCTGCTCTTCTGAGTGTGGACCTACTTCTACCTGCGAAACAATGACTCAATATGAACAGGTTCTTCTTCAACACTTATGGTTACTCACATCGAAGAGATAGATGCCTTTGAGCATGGAAATCATCGCACGCCCTTCTCGTTATCACGGATTTCACCAAGCCTAACTAACTGCCTCTCCTACTCTGGAAGATTGGGCTACTTTACTAATTTCGCATGGGACTCTTGGACAAAAATAAACACAAATTGCGCCCTGGTTATGTATGGCCAAATTGCAAAGGCTAGACTTGAGGGCGCTTCTTGCACAGTGTTCTCTGGAATGTCATCATAGACGCGTATATAGAGTTTCTTTGACGATATATAGAACTGGACGACGGGCGGTGGCATGTTTCAGCATGCTTGAAGTCCGCTCTTCTACATTAGTCGTCAGAAACGGTTGCCACATAACTACCACGACTGTACTACTTCCCGTTATTTCTTCATTCTCGTTCCACTTGAAACGTACAGTAGATTCATTTGCGGGCGGTGTCAGGGCTAGCAAAGACTACAAGGCCTCCAATTAGTCACAAACAATCCAAGTAGTACGGATTCTACCATGTCCATCAAGGAGATGCATCGAGAAGAGCTAGAAACAGTGGGTATATTTGTTGCAACGTGCCATACACGGCAGTGCTCTAAGTCTATCTACTAGTCACCGTCATGCTCTATCCATGTATGTTCCATCACGCCGAACGTCCGTCGCATGCTGTACCATTTGTCAAAGTAAGAGAATTATGCCATTCTGGAGGCTAGAGAAATGCCGAGGTCGTACCACTCCTCATAGAGTCGCGGATTTTATCGGCTCACTAGGAAGATCTTCCACCACAGCTTCCGAGTCATCGTTGCCCTTGGTCGAGATGCTGTCCTGCTCCTTTGACGGCGTATCTTCCCCAGCAGGAGTGTCAGGCTGTGATGTGTTGAAATGAACCTTCCTATCCGCGGTTTGTGATATTCTTCGTAGTTCAGTGACGAAGGACTCGCCCCACCAAGCGCTATATTATGTTAACTTGAACTCGATTCTTACTGGGGTGGGGAAAGCTTACCTGGTGTACTTGCGGACGTATTTGGACAGCTTCTGGTAGTTCAGTGTCCTCTGCTCATCTCCCATGGTGACGGCATCGTGGATGGCGTCGGCCAGCTCTTCTGTGTTCCAGGGGTTGACGATCAGACTGCCGTTCAGACTCTGTGCAGCACCGGTGAACTCAGACAGGATCATGACACCATGTCGCTTCTCCTGAGTGGCAATGTACTCGTAAGACACCAAGTTCATACCGTCGCGAGTTGAAGAGACGAGGCAGACATCTGAAACCGAGTACAGCGCGATAAGCTCGTCGAAGGAAACAGACTTGTGCATGAAGTGAATTGGCATGAACTCGATGGTGCCGAACTTGCCGTTGATGCGGCCAACAAGCTCGTTGACAACCGCACGTAGGTTCTGGTACTCTTCGACGTCTTGTCGGGACGGGACGGCGACTTGAACGAGCACGACCTTGCCGATCCATTCAGGGTGTTCGGTAAGGAAGACCTCGAGTGCGTGCAGTTTCTGCGGCACACCCTTGATGTAGTCGAGGCGATCGACACCAACGATAAGCTTGACGCCCTGAAACTTCTTCTCTAGCGCTGCTATGCGTTCTTGTACCTTTGGCTTCTCGAGGCCTTCGTCAAACTTCTCGGGGTCAATACCAATGGGGAAGGCGCCGACTGTGACAACCTTGCCGTGAAACTCGACACCATTAGGCGTTGTCGCAAGTCCCCTAAGCAGTATTAGCAAATGTACGCTGCTTCCACCTGATGAGTACCTACAATATACGCGAGCAACTACTAAGGAAGTGACGCGCATAATCGTAAGTGTGAAAGCCGATTAAGTCGCAGTGAAGCACGCCGAGCAGGATCTCGTTTCGGACGGGGAGAATGCGATAAATTTCTGAGCTTGGGAAGGGCGTATGCAGGAAGAAGCCAATCTTGACATTCTTCTTCGTGTTGCCAATTTCCTCACGAAGCATAGCGGGCATGAGCATGAGGTGGTAGTCGTGCACCCACACCATGTCGTTGTCCTGCACGTCTTTCGCGACTGCCTTTGCGAAGAGGCGGTTGGCATCGCTGTATCCCTCCCAGGCCGATTCGTCGAAGGTGATCTCACCGGGGTGGTAGTGGAAAAGCGGCCACATGATGGCGTCTGCAAATTAGCCTGTAAACTCATAGGGTGTCACTCTTGGGCTGGGAATGTCTCACTTGAGAAGCCGTTGTAGTGTCGGTCTGCTAGCTCATCGTCGAGCATGATGGGCACGGCGTTGTATTCCTTCTTAAGCTGATCTTTAAGGTCTGACACCTCATTTTCTGGTACCTCGAGACCTGGCCAGCCGTACCACTGGAAAGTGGTGGTTTTGGAGAGTCCACTCAAGCCACTGACCAATCCTCCCGAAGACATGGACATTTCGTATTTACCCTCATCTGAGCGCTTGATGGTGATGGGCAGTCGATTCGAGACGAGCAGAAGACGGCCTTCGGACGTCTGGCGCCTTACGAGTTTTGTTGGCGCGTCCACCATGACTGCGCTATATACAGGGTCGTAGATCGTGTGGAAAACGGGCGTTGGTGGTAGTCAGCTCGCGGTGTTGCTAGGATCGAGGATTTGTCCACGGTGTAGTTGCGGGGGTACGTTGAGCAGCCAGCGAAGCGCAACTTCAGAAGAGCGAACAGGTGGCGGTACTGGTAAAGTTTTCTAGTCGCGGAGACACGGAGCAAGGTATAGTACTTGCAGCGTTCCAGATGTCGGGTGACGAAAGAATGATATTATTAGGCGTGGGAATCCGCCGAGGGCAGAAGTGGGTTCTCGCAGAATCTGGGACTCGACCGACAGTACTGTAGTAAGGATGGCACAACCGCAAGGCAGAGCTGCAGTAAAGGGAGGGCCAAGATTAGGTCAGAATAAGCCTAGGAGAAGACTGAGAGAGCTCAGGATTGGCGGCGTGCACGTTGGGGTGGGGAATATCGAGGTGAAGGCAGGGCAAGTTGTGGTGCAAACTTGCGAAATACTGTGACGTCGGTCGCTGCGGGGAGCAACCACAGACCGCGGCGCCAATTGAACCGTGTAAGAGCCATAGCCATTGATTTGCTCGACAGCTGCAGTCAGGTTTGCGTCTCGAAAGCAGCCTGAGGCCCACTTCAAAGTCACTTTGGCGTCTCGGCCTTGGTCTCTACAAACAACCGTGGACCTTGTCTCTGCCACCAGGGCTCACCTGACGGAAGGGGAAGCACTGGAGCGCCGCGGAGTCACGTGCACGCTAGCTGGGTCCTAGCCGTCGAGCTATCCTATTGCGCGCCGGTCGCGTACGCTGATCGCGGTCAAGACGACTCCACGCAACATGTCTGCCTCGGACGGAGAGCTGCCCTCAGAGGCGACTATATCAAACAAACTTCGCGACGTCGTCATCGCCTTACACACGGCTGGGAACACAGACGACTTGACCGTCAAACGCGTGCGAGCGCGCGCTGAGAAGGAGCTTGGCCTAGGCGAGGGATTCTTCAAGACAAACTCGAGCTGGAAGCAGAAGAGCCAGGACGAAATTCGCGAGGCTGTGGTGAGTATGCATCGTTCAATGGCGCATCACACTCCTAACATGTTGCACAGGAAAAGTACTGTGGCGATGAGCCTACACCAAACCCAACCCCAAAGAAAGCTACTGCGAAGCCGAAACCGAAACCCGCCGAAAAGAAGGCCAAGGCAGCAACTGAGAGCGCTCGAGGCGTGAAGCGGAAGGCTACTGCCCCGGCCAAGAAATCTAAGAAGCGAAGAAAGACGTCGTCAGAGGAAGAGTCCGAAGCTGACCTGTCGGAACCATCTGCTGAGATATCTGATGCGGACAGCGACCTACCGAAGAAGCCATTACGAAGAGGAAAGAAGGTCGTGGCCGAAGACTCAGACGACGAGGAAGAGGCACCCAAGCCCACAGCTGTAGCAAAGGCGAAGGCGACCTTGGACGATGATGAGAGCGACGATGAGCCAGCAGCGCCAGTCGAGAAGCCCGAGACAACCCCACCGCCAAATACAAGGCACGACGTATCAGACAGCGAAATGTCTGAGCTCATCGACGAGTCACCTGTGAAAAAGCCACGAGGGAAAAAGGAGCCTGCGTCCAAGACGAAGAAGGAAAAGGCACCAGCACAACCAAAGGCCGCGCCCGCAAAGGCAAAAGCCGCCGAGAGCCCAGACGAAGCAGAAATCAAACGACTACAAAGCTGGCTGGTAAAATGCGGTATTCGCAAAGTCTGGTCAAGAGATCCCGAACTCTCCAAATGCGACACGGCCAAGGAGAAGATCAAGCTTCTCAAGATTATGCTGAAGGATGCGGGCATGGATGGCAAGTACTCGAATGAGAAGGCTGCCAGTATCAAAGAGAAGCGAGAATTCGCAAAGGATCTAGCTGCTATCCAAGAGGGTGAACAGGCGTGGGGCAAGGCCGAGGTTACTACCACTGGACGCCCGAGCCGTAGAGCAGCAGCAGCTAGGCCGGTGCCGCAGCAGCAGATTGTGCTCAGTGATGATGAGGCTGAGGAAAATGGCAGTAAAGATGATCAGGAGTCGAGCGATGATGATGACGACGATGCTGTCGAGGGCGACTCCGAAGACGACGACGACGATGAAAAGGACGATGACAGTGGAGATGACGACTCTGATTAAGCACCTTTGGCCATATCTTCAGCTATCCCCATGTCAGTTACATGGACATCATTCGGATAATTTGGCCATGTGGCGCAAGCTCAGTATTTCAAGTCATCATTTAAGCGCATGCACAGGGACTATGTTTCTTCTCATTTCTTAGATGACGGGCTTACCGATGGTGACGGTGGTCTCGGCTTTCTTCTTGCACAAGCACATGGCTTGCGGTGTCCATATTCGCACCACTTGCATTCTTGCCTTTGATACCCGGAAAAGCAATTGATTTGTTTCCTCGACCGTAGTATCTCCACTGTGTGGTTTCGCACTCAAAAACTGCCTTCCGTTTGGTTTTGACACCCCATTCAAGCTTACGTCTGCCAATTCCATGTATCTCGTACTAGTTCACGGTGCTCTTCAACCTCCAACCACAGCGGTACACCCACTTGGACTACTTACGTCCTTGTTGTCATTAAACAGCGGGGGTAGTAGTACTACACCCCCTCTCCCGGTGTTCTCTTCCAGCTGGTCCTGCAATCCCTCAAACTCTTCTAGCAACTCCTGCTCGTCATGGCACTTGGTCGTATGATCGAAATCGATCAAGACTGCCTCCCCGTCGCCCTCTTTTATGAGGAAGTTGTGCTTGTTGGTATCTCCATGCTTCAGATGCAATGCATGCACCTTCTTCAAGGCGCGTTGACACAGGTCTAGATCTCCGACGTCCGCTGTACGTCCTGGAATATTCTCGATAAGAAACCCAATCACCCGTCTTGCCTCGGTGACGTGCCCTAGGAATCGTGGCCCAACACCGTGGTCATGGATCCAGTTGTAAGCCGTGGTCTCGGCCTCCAACATGAAGGTCTGCCATGGGAACTCGGCGAACTTGTAGACAACGGGCTCTGCAAAGAGCGGGCAAGTGACGAGGCGGACATTTTGCCGCATCCGGGAGAGCCATGTAAGTTGAAGATGGTCCACTTGAGTATCATGCCATACGTTCTTGACGCCGGGGAAATCGCGCCGGATAGTGGTAGCGAAGACGGCGTTTCCGGTTGACGGGTCCTTGACGACATGACCCTCGTTCCAGTCGCCAGGTGGGAAGATCGGCAAGGAGGACTTGAGAGCTGGTGCGAAAGAGATGTCTTCAGCAGGGATGACGCCCGGTTCGATGGTGATGTACTTGATGTCTTTCCCGCCGACGAGAAAGCGGTACTCGCTCACGTCATCCGGGTCGGCCAGGCAAGCCTGAAGCTGAATATCAACAGGCGCGAGGTGCAGTTTACCGCTAGTCATCTTCTCTATAGGCAAAAGATGTAATCACCCCGGTTGAGCTATCGCTAGTTGTAGTAAAAGGTCAAGTTGGTACTTCAAAGAAGCGCGCTAAGATTTAGCTCACACGCGCCTGAAGCCTACCTTTGGTGCAAACGCGCGTTTACACGTGAGAGACCAACAGAAATAGTGAAAGCAAGGTCTGGCAACCTTGATAACCTTACCCATTTCGGCAATCAGCAATGTCAGCACTTGCGCTGTCCAACTCCGTATTACTGCATGCATCCCAGGCTGTCATCCATAGTCTCACTGCACTCTCGTTACGCATACACCTCCCGACCTGCTGGCTAGTTTGGACACAGCGTAACTCGGACTATGAACGCACCGGGCTCCGCAAAGCGTTTTGCGATCAATACCGCAGGAGAGCACAGAATTGAGAGTAGGAAAGAGATGGTGTAGTTGCAGCATCTAGGTGAGCTCTCACGCGCATCATGCGTTTGGAAGGATGGTATTAGAAACATAGTTCGCAGGCTAGAGATTCAAAATTTGTGGTCCTAGAGTTTCTGCCAAGCGTACCCGAGTCCGCGACAGGTTTCAAGCATTGACTTTCTACACCTGATTTGAAACACATACAAGACCCCCGATGTCGCAGTACGTAGTGCGATTCGTGGGATACATGGGCTCAAGCAGGGTTCGCACTGATGAATGTGAGACGGTTGAATTGGGTATCGTAGTTTTCCTTTGCCATTCCATCCTCTCTTTCCATTGTGACACAAGTCATACCAGCAAAACGCCTGTAAATGCTACCCGTCATCACCTAGATTCCCGAACGCCTCCTATGCAATGCAAGCGCAACGCTACTGTTCTTCCATGTCGGCGTCAAACTCCTTTGGTTCCCGCGGCTCCTGTGCTTCGTGGTACTGGGTAGCGTCGTCGATGTAGCTCAAGATGGCACCAAGACTATCCTCGTCCTGTACGTCGAGTTTGAGGAAGGAGACCATGCTGAATCCATCAATGAGCTCCGCAACCGCCTTGTTCAGCTTGTGGAATGCCGAGCCACTCATCAGGCTTTCCTTGGTAGCTGGGTCTCTGTAATTTTTGCTGTCTTCCTCGTCGGATGGCTTGCGCGATGGGTCGTCGTCTATGAGGTCGGCATCGACGTCGACGAAGCGCTGGAGGTCGCGCCTGGCTACTTGGCCCTTGACCAGATCCATCTTGCTCAGTATGTTGATGTGCGGCATTTCCAGCATCATCATGGCGCTCATGGCAGACAGGGTGCCGGAGAAGAACTTGGGTCGGTCGATGACGAAGGTGGCCTCGAGGAGATAGGCAGCGCACATGCGTATGTTGAGGGAGCCCTGCATGAGGACCTTGACCAGGTTGGGCAGGACGGGTACGTGTGTATACAGCTCAATCTGGCCCGGCATGTCAAAGACAATCAGATAGTCCTCGGTGACGTCTTCGAGCGGGTCGGTGAGGAAGTCGAGGTTCTCCATGAGGAACTCGAAGCAGTAGATGAGGCCGCCATTGGGGCCGAGGCTCATTTCCTCCATGACATCCTCGAGGGAGATGAGGTCCTTGATGTCGAGGTCGGGCTCGAAGGCGAATTCCTCGGCGGCGGGGTCGAGGTTCACGTAGAAGCATGGGCGCTTGCTGTTCTGGAGGTGCTGGATGAGGGCGGTGCAGAAGGTGGACTTGCCAGCGCCGGCGGGGCCCTAGCAGTATTTACTTAGTATCTCAGCGCGTGAAGTGTATACCTAGGCAGTAAGGGCCATACATACCATGACCAGGGTGCCATATTTACTCATGGTCGTGAAGCTCTGCTGGTGGTGGGATGGGGCGCGTCATGCATGCACATTCAACATTCACCACTTTTCTGCCACCAGGGGCGGTCGGGCCAATGTGGGGAGGGCGGTGAAACAATGGCGTGCTAGTGCGGGCGTCGGAGAGCGGCATTAGCTTTGCGCGCTTTAGGGGCCTTAGGTCCGCCCCTCGTGCACGTTTTTTTCGGCAATTTGACCAGCGGACGCCAGACTGCCAAAACTCTCTCCGCCATAAATCCTCCTGCTGCCCCTCCCCATCCGCCCCCTCCCAAACCCTCTCGTCCTCCTCTCTCGTCGCTACTGTACACGCGGTCGCAAGTCCTAAACTAGCAAACCTCTTCACAACATCCCCCCTTTTCCAACCGCCAAAATGAGTGTCCCCACTGCGCCCGCCGACAAGGTACCGTCCACCCTGTCCACTGCAACCCCGCCTTGTATCCTAACCATTGTGAACAGAACACCTTTCTCTTCACCTCTGAGTCTGTAGGCGAGGGCCACCCCGACAAGATCTGGTATGTACTACTGCCTCGTTCTCTGCTGTTCCATCTGCTGCCAGTTCCCCTCAGATGTAAGACGGGAGGGGTACAACCGGCATGACACATCTCCCGAGCCATTGCTGATAGTCTTCCTCAGCGATCAAGTCTCCGACGCCATCCTCGATGCCTGTCTCAAAGAGGACCCGCTCTCCAAGGTTGCCTGCGAGACGGCCGCTAAGACCGGTATGATCATGGTCTTCGGCGAGATCACCACCAAGGCCCACCTCGACTACCAGAAGGTCGTTCGCAATGCCATCAAGGAAATTGGCTACGACTCGTCCGACAAGGGCTTCGACTACAAGACATGCAACGTCCTCGTTGCCATTGAGCAGCAGTCACCAGATATCGCCCAGGGTCTGCACTACGAGGAGGCCCTCGAGAAGCTCGGTGCCGGTGACCAGGGTATCATGTTTGGCTATGCCACCGACGAGACACCCGAACTCCTCCCCTTGTCCCTCCTCCTCTCCCACAAGCTCAACTCGGCAATGTCTGCTGCCCGCCGAAACGGAAAGCTACCCTGGTTGCGCCCTGACACAAAGACACAAGTGACGGTCGAGTACGCTCACGACGGCGGTGCCGTTGTTCCTCTCCGCGTCGACACCGTCGTTGTCTCTGCCCAGCACAGCGAGGACATCACCACCGAAGAGCTCCGCAAGGAGATCAGGGAGAAGATCATCAACGAGGTCATTCCCGCCAACCTCCGTGACGACAAGACCGTCTACCACGTATGTTCACTCTACCACATTCTTGTAATGCAGTCCTAACAGCCTCCAGATACAACCCTCCGGCCTCTTCATCATCGGTGGCCCACAAGGTGACGCCGGTCTCACTGGCCGTAAGATCATCGTCGACACCTACGGCGGCTGGGGAGCCCACGGTGGTGGTGCTTTCTCCGGAAAGGACTACTCCAAGGTCGATCGCTCCGCCGCCTACCTTGCGCGCTGGATCGCCAAGTCGCTCGTGAACGCTAAGCTGGCCCGCCGTGCGCTTGTCCAGCTCTCGTACGCCATTGGTGTCGCAGAGCCTCTCTCCCTCTTCGTTGAGACCTACGGCACCTCAGACAAGTCCTCAAACGAGCTTGTCAAGATCATCCTTGACAACTTTGACCTACGCCCTGGTGGTAAGTTACTGTCAAAACATATAAAAAAAGGGAATATCTAACATGGAAAATAGTCATCGTCAAGGAGCTCAACCTTACCAACCCAATTTACAACCAGACCGCAAAGAACGGTCACTTTACCAACCAGAGCTTCACTTGGGAGCAGCCCAAGGAGCTTAAGTTCTAAGTGTATAACTAATGACATGTTTTGCATGATGCGGGATTGAATCAACTTCATCCCCTAAGGTCAAGATTTTCACGATGATATGACTCGCATATCTTTGGGAGGCGGGCAAGATGTTCACCTTTTCAACAAGTGTTTCGGCGTCCAGGGCATATACCCTTTTGATACCAGCCCGTTTGCTTCCAAAAGTTTCGATGCAAGTTCATATACGAGGGCTCTCTCTCGAGGTGGGACTACATGATAGATCGGCGTTAAGACATTGGAGCTTCAACATTGGGGCCCGAGTGCGTTGTCAACGCGCACCTAGAGGCTAAGGGGACGCATGCCACGCTAAATAGCGTGGTGGCTAGGATAATAGGTCGAATTGAATATCAATCGAGACCGTCTTTGTCATTTGACATGGACGGCATATTCATCACATCTGCCCACTTCTCGTCTCTCATCTCGTTCATCACCACCATTTGCATACAGTTCAATCATGGAAAAAAGACGTGTATTCCTCATATTGACTCCCGGGTATCTATCATACATTTCCGAAAGTGCACCAAGGAAAGAAAACAATCGTGACTCGTAAGGAAACAGAGAAACCATCTCCACATATCGGCGCGTTGACGACACAAGGTATCAAGCTACCTCTTCAAACGCGAGCGCGCGCCATTCTCGAACAATCCCTCGGGACATGTTCTACGCCTTCCTCGCCTTGGGCGCCGCGCGCTTCGTGGTCGAGTCGGTGCCACGTGCCTTTGCGGTTCCCGCAGCCTAGATACCGTATTAGCACTGTTCAGTCGAAAGTTATAATGCGAGTAAATCAGTGGGGGAGTAGGCACAACTGATGATAGCTAATCGACCAGTGTGGACACCATCCGTCATGACATCGTCTGGTCGACGACGGGACAAAAGAAAAACGCGTTCTCGAGAGAGCACTGGAGAACAGAACGGAACAAGAAAGAAAACGAGATCAACATACCTTCTTCCCCGGCCGTCCTGTAATCTCACCATCCGCCTTCTCCACCTTTCCAACCACCTTATCAATCACCTTCTCCGTCTTGGTACGCGGCTTCTTCACCGTCTTAGTCCGAGGACCCGCCGCAGCCTTGGTAGTAGTCGTAGTAGAAGACTTGGTCGTAGTCGTCTTGGGCTTGGCGACGCGTCCAGTAGCCACCTTGGACGAGGTGCGCGGCTTGCTGGTATTCGCCTTGGTCTTGGTCGTAGTCGTCGTACGCTTCTTGGGCGCAACGACGTTCTCGATTTGCTGGACGATACGAGGCTTGGAGTTTCCTTGGGGGGTTGTGTTAGTCTACTGCTTCTGGTTTAGGAGTGGGTGGGTGCCAGCTACTGCGACTGGGCTGGATTGCATGGTTGCTTGCATTATATGTATAGTGGGGCTTGATGGTGTTGGGGAATGTTGCGAAATACGTACCAGTCCTGGCGCGGGTAGTAGCTGCCATGATGTCTGTAGAGATTCGAAAAGCTTCAAGTGTTTTTTTGTGTTTGTGTATTTGGGTTTGGTGTGACTCGGTATGATTCAACTGTGTGGGAGGTGTTAGCAAGAAAGGACGCGTACCGAAAAGCCTTGGAACAAATACGCGAAACGCGCACTGTGTAAACACCCTCGACCCTCAAGAACGAGAAACACGATAGAAGGAAAGCCTGCGACTCGAATGCAAGTACAGACAAACCCAACCAAGCGCGTTGTGCCTCATACACCCGCACTACATGAAGATGAGCCGCGACCAGCGCGAAGACTCGTCTTCTCCCAATGTGTGGCGTAGTTGCCCCAAAAAGACGGGAAAAATTCAGACGAGAGAACTCGTAGACGGGCTTGGGAAGTGTGCGCGACTGGGAACCTACATACCTTTCTGTATCCCGACGTGTGGTGGGCGAATGCGACAGTGCGAAAGGCGTGTTGTTGTGAGGTGGGAGGTGGGAGGAACGAGCTCTGGAACGCGGGAGGGGGTGCTACTCTACTTTATTCTCGCTTGACCGAGGACGTGTCTCAAAACCACAACAACACATGGTCCATCAGCTGAGCCAATGAATCAGGAAATACCCATTTGTGAGATCTAAACCTTGGGTCTGACTGTTTTTGTCTTTTAGGGCAGCCTGAATGTCTCCACGTGCTTATGTTGTTGCCTTTTTCGTGAGCTCTTTGCCCTGCCACGAAATTCACGCCTCGCTGCCTTGATGTCGACGCTGGTGTATGATGTATGAGGACTGGTAAGCGCCGAACCACACATTCTACGCTGAAGATTATTCTTGGTGTGAACCATTGTGTATTCGTCTATCGTTGGTACGGCCAAATAACCGCCCACGCTGGAATCAATCAACCCCTGTGGGATACCTAAGCGCCGCCCATGCCATCCCATAATTGCCGACGGTGACTGCCATCAGAGGACCTTCCTTGCTCTGATCGCCCGTATGAGACCCAATGTATTTTATTCCCCAAGTTTTGGTTCTCCTATCAAGACGCCACTTGATTCCCAATACCACATCTCTTTGCCTTGTCGCAGCAATAGTCACTAGTGAGCGGCTGTGCTTCCCTTCGCCATCCGCTTGCTCATGAAGTCGAAGAAGGCAAACTGACTGGCCGACACGCCATACTCGTAGACGAAACGACTGGCGAGATAGCTTCCGAAGATGGCACGTAGATAATTATCGGGCACCTTGATACTAGTTAGTTCTGTTTCATCATCTGCATCCTGTGTTCATGACTTACCCTCTCGATGATCTTATCCAATCCAATCTGTTCAAGCAAGGTGTTGGGCAGCGCCTCCTTCAGGATCGAATGCCTAAACTCTACATTCTTCCACAGATCCGTGTTCTGCAGCTCCTCATCCAGCTTCGTGATGGCATTGCTGAGCGTATCACTCAAAATGCTGCGAGGCTGGCCGGTAGCTTGATGCTCCCTCCAGATGGCCTCGAACTCGAGGCGCGCATTGTTCTGGATGGTCCTCTGCACTTCCTTTACGTAGAGATCATAAAACTCGGGGGCCTTGCCATCTTCTCCAACACACATGTGCTTGACGAAGCTCTCATCATCGAAAGATAGCGAAGCCAGAACCTCGAGCGACGAAGATGTTACACCGCCCTTGTTTGCTGAAGCGTCCTTGTACAGAATGCAACCAGCCTTCTCAAGACGGAGCTTGGCGTCCTGGGTGATGAACAAGTTCGCACCCTCTACGATATACGGGATCACCGACTTGCCGTCGACGATGAGTTTGTTCGCTGTCGTCAGATCGATAGATTCAGGTCGTCCACCGCAGGGGACGAAAGTATCGTAGTGGATGTCACTGCGAAGATGGAAGGTATTCCGGAAGGTCGTACCGTTGTAGACCAAATCTCCATTTGGTAGTCGGATATTGGTATCGTCAACCAAGATGCGATAGCCCTCTGCTGAGAGCTTGGAAACATCAAAGTTGTTGATCATCTTACGGCCCTTTGCCAAACGCAGCAGCTCTTGGTGGTTGATGCCATTTGGGTCTACGAGCACACCAGACCCATCCACAATGGAGACGTACTTCTCGTTGCTGAGTAGGATCTCGTTCGATCCAAGATCACCATCTGGGCCACCCGTCTGTAGTTTGCGAACCTTACTCGGATCGAGATTAAGCTTGCGGTAGATACCCAAAACGTATTCTCGGACGGATAGCGTTGTCATGCCGTAGTGGTCGTGGGGAATGCCACCCAACTTGGGGCTCTTTCCGGTGAAGAAAGATTTCCACCATGGCGCACCTCGGCCTCGAGCATGCTCAGTCGCCCAGTCAACAAGATCAGCAGTGTTCTCATCGGGACCCATGAAGAGAATCTCTTCCTTGCCGTGGAGATCAACGATAGGGTCCTTGATTCCAGGACTGCTAGGAGGCAATAGAAGGTCCAGGATGCTGTCGATGTACTTCTCAAAAGCATTACTGGCCTTATCCTGATGCTTGAAGTCAAGAAGAACAACACCCTTAGAACCACCTTCTGGAATATCTTTATTCTTGCGTTGCTGCGTGTTTGCAAGATTGTAGTTCTCATCGAACATTGATCGTGCATTGATCGAGTAGGCTTCTTGACTTCGAGATTTGACGATTCGGATTCCACCACGTGCGATGTCACGGAATCGAAGGTGGAAACCACGGAATTCAGAACCAATCACAAGGAACATTCCATACAGGGGCTGGGGATATTCTGAAGGTGGGAGGAAACTTGGGTTCAAACGGAAGCTGACGGCCACCTTCGTAGGTGTATAGAAGTTCGTTTTGAGCACAGAATTGTTGAAGATGCGGAAAGCAGTCATGACCATCTCATGATGGTCATTGACAACGGCCTTGTTGATCGTGTCCGTCAACTCTGTATCGGTCTGAACCTTGTCGACCGTTAGACGAAGATAACTCAGCGTCGGGAGGAAGTCATCTTCCTCTCCCCTAGTCTGGACATAATGCGTCTTCGCAAATGGGAGATATAAGCTGTGGACTAGGCCGGGGTATGTGTTGATGATCTCGAAGATGTAGTCGGCAGTAAAGGTCTCGGCACGTAATCTTCGCTTCAACTTGGAAAGAAGTTCAGCATGCGCACTGTTTTCGGGGTCTAGGATCGTCGCCAGAGCAGTGTACTCGTTTCCGAGGCGATTGAGGAAGTGAGTAATGAATACCCACACGCAGTGTGCGTAGATAGTCTCTTGCAGACTCAGTCTGCCCGTAGCAAACAGGGTCTGGAATTTGTTCTGCGGGAGACAATACAAGAGGGAAACCTCCTTGGTGATTTGATGGATCGATGCCTCAATGGGTGGAAACTTGGTTCCTGCAGCTCCTGGTAGAGGGCGCAGGTACAAAGACATGACCGTGTATCCGTTGGAAAATTGTTCGACATATTTTCGCGACGTCGTCAGACCATAGTAATGATAAAGGTCGCTCAGAGCGCTGAACATGCCCAAGGCGCTGCCTCGTTTGTATGCTACAACCATGCGCTTGTCTCTCGATCCCTGGATGTCGAAGTACTCGATAACTGGGCCAGTTCGCTCTACAGCAACCTCCAGCACTTCTTGGTAGATCTTCTTCGTATTGGCAGTGGCCTTTTGTAGGAAACGCTTGTCGCCAACCTTTTCGATGTTCGTTTCCGTCGCGCTAGCGTTAGGGTCTACGAAGTCGCACCGGTAGATGAAGTAACAGCGCAATTGCTGTTCGTCACTGCCTGGCAGTGTGCTTTCGGAGCGGAAACTCTCCACTCGGTAAGCCGCACCGCCCTTGGTTATGCTCAAGTATTTCCTGCCGATTCGTTGTTCGTATTGTGGGCCGCCTATGACTGATACACCGGGCTTGCTAGTGTCGATATAGACTGCATGGTCTGCAGCTTCCTTGTCCAGCCGAATTTCTAGACGCTTGTCGTCCCTCGCATATGCTGCGACCTTTGCGGCGTACAGCGAATGGATGTGGCTCACAACGCTAGCTAGACGTCAGCTCCGAACTCGTCAGTGTGGCAGAGGATACTCACGCTTCTACCGTCTCAGTTGCAAAGTACATATCGTCGATGCCCAATTCATTGTAGAACCACCTCGTCTCCGACTCGACGAGCTCTGGAGGCACAAAGCCCTTTTCTTCGACGCCGTCCATAACGGCCTCCATTTGCTTCTCTTTGCCCTCAAATACGGGAGCCACATAGCCTGAACCACCTGAGCCTTCTTGTGGTATAATTCGGGGTGTCGAGTGTCCTGAGCCTGGGATGCTCATATGTGAGGGTAGGGGCGAGGGCTGTCGGTCTGGCGTGCGGCCAACCTGTTGTAGCAGCTTGTGTGGAAGCTGAAGCCCGTCTGCTCCATTGGCGGGTGTAGAAGCCATGATGGATGTATGAGGATCGATTGTGCGGGTAACGGGCGGGTTTTGCTGCTTTAATCGAGCGTAGAGGCGACCGATCTAACGAATGGTGCTCTATAGAACTTGTGGGCTAATAATGAGCAATTTGGTGGAGTAAGACGCGTGTTGCGGCTTTGCTCTGTCGCGCGAGCGTACGAGGTTTGGGTGAAGGTGGGGCTGATGGAGGGGCAGCAAGGTCCGAGCCTACAGCGGAGGGTGCGAACGTATCTAAAGGTAGAAATTAGAGAAGGTACAAGTCGAGACAGTGGCCGATTATGGCAAAAGAGGCATTTAACACATTCTTTGGAGCACAGCTATTTTAGGTAGGGATTATGACGCAGTGCTAGCTCACCGTAGCGGGAAATCCAACCAAGAGAAGGACGAGGTAACGCCACAATCTGTAGAGGTACAGCTGAAACCCTTGGTTACACCGCCGCGATAAGGACGACGACTGGGTACTGGGGAATGTTTTGGGGGTTTGAGGGAAGCCCGGAGCGATTCAGTGGCTTAAGGATTGTAGTGTGAGAGTGTGTGGGCTACCGTAAGGGAGCGTGGCGTTTAGAGGATGAGAAATTATCAGAGATTAGAGGCAAGGTGATTGAAAGACCAAAGCCAAAGTTGGAATATGGAGCTCTTCCAGTGACCAGCGAACACGCCCATCTTTATATCTTGCCATGTCCGTTCAGACGGGCGTACCTGAGGAGCCGTTGGAAGCCGAGCAAGCTTCCCCGGAAAATCGAAAAATGCCGCTAGTATGCACCTCACCACGTAATAGTTCCTGGCCCTGGACCAGAATGACCTGAAAAGGCGCCTCAAACGTCCTGCAGAGTTTTCGCAGTGCTGCCGAATTCATCATTCGTCGCCAATTAACCCCGCAATCCACAACATATCGCGCAATTGACCCCATGCGCTTGGACACAAACGGTGGTTGCTATTACCCAACCCAACAAACCTGCAACCGCCTCCGAGCTCCATTCACCACGCGTCGTGCGTTCACGATCCTTGGCGCCATTTCGCAGTAGTCCCTGTTGTGGCTGTACGTGGCTCTTTGGCATTGGATCTGGGGCTGCACGTGGGCAGCATCTAGACGAGAATAACTCACGATAGATTCTGCTCGGTCGTTGAGCGGAGTCATCCCAGCCCAGGCAGGTCACGATGCTGCAGCGCAAGACCCGTGCAATGGCCATGGCGAGTGGTGGCGACACACCGCTTGCCAGTCACGATGTCTTTGCGATGCCCCTGATGTGTCAATGAACATGTCGCACGGTGTTTTGGCAGGTCTGGAATTCACGATCTTCGCCACTGTCGCCGAGTCTAGATGGTCATGTACCATCGCTGCCCGACAATGGCTTTATTGAAAATTATCTATTTCCAGCTTGGTGTTCAGAATCGCCAAGTTTAGAACATATCGAGCCTTTGCTATCTCTCCTACTTCTCGTCTCCAGTGTACTCCCGCCCGTTCACTGTCAGTAGTATCTTGTACCCACTGCCGTCAATCCAGTTCTTCTTCTTGCCCGCTTTCTCGACTTTCCGTAGAGCTGCATTCAGCCCTTCATCCAATTCATCCGGCTGCTTGCTAAACGCAAAATCAATGTGCAGTTTTTTGTTATCCTTCTTCGTAATCCCCCATTGCACCTTCACCTTGACTCTCTCCTCTCTAACCGCACCTGCGGGATACACGCTTGCTAGTACGGCAGCAACCCGTCCGAGGTACATACACCACCATTCCACGCCCTCGGGGACTAGCTGCAGTATCCGCCGGTAGAAGTCCTGTTCCGTTGGGCTGATGGAACCATATCCTCCGTAGCGCTCGCAGAGGAAAATGGCGAGGAGAGCGCGCTGCTGGTGGCTTAAACCATGTGCAGCAGAAAAAATACCTGTTGTTGTGCTTCGAAGGGCTGCTCCACCGCGAAGATCCTTGACGTGCGCCATGTGCGCAAACATGCCTTGCACGAAAGCTGTAATCAGAGTGCTGCTGAACGGTGCACCTTGACCACCTATCGGTGGAGCCTGACTAGCCTCGAGTAAGGTTCCAACGAGCTCTTGTGTTGACGTTGGGGCATATGGCCTTGTGGCTACGACCAGAGGGCTTTCTTTCCTCACACTAGGGTCCATCTCCGCAAAGTGTATCCCTTCTCTTACACCGCCCTGACAAAAGTGCACACCCATGATGCTCGGCAATGCTTGTGACAGGCAAGTGACCAGAAACGCCACTGCGGGTACCTGACTTGCACGTCGGGCGGAGACTCGAAAGATTTCAGGCGTGTCCTCCTTTTGCACAGCTGCTTGAACAGCTTGCGTATCATGGAACATATCGGTCGTACTCCAGAAACCGTTGATGATCGGAATAGGATATGGTCTAATCGAGTGCTCAGACATCAAAACGAAGCCCCAACCGCGAAAGCCGCCCCCTGATAGGTAAAGCTGGAGCCCTTCGGGAGACTTGGAACGCTCAAGAAGGTGACTAGGTATTTGTATATCCTTGACAGCAGCCTTCAGATCCGCTACGACGTCTTTCTCCAATGCTCGGTAGCTTTTGCTGCCGACTGAGCCTGCTGCTTCTAGTCTTTGTGTGAGCGCTGCAGCACCAAACGGTAGACTTGCACTGCCCTTCTCGCTCATGTTGACTTCGCCGTTCTCCGTCGTGATCCACGTAAGCTGCGTGCTGCCTCCTCCCAGATCCATCATCAAGCCCCTGACATTCTCGTACGAGCTTGCTGCACCCAACGCTCCAATTCTGCCCTCCATCTCCTTCGGTAAAAGCTCGACAGTCCATCCAACTGCCTCCTTGATCTTGTTCTGAAAGTCTTCCGAGTTAATCGCTTTGCGGGTGGCTTCCGTGGCAACAATTCGAATATGCTCTTCAGGGACGTTGAAGTCTTTGCAAGTTGATCTGAAGCGCAAGAGAGATTTGATAACTTGGCCCATTGTTGCTTCTGGGATAGGAACGGCATGGCCATTCTCGTATTGGGCATCATAGAGCGATATAGCGGCACGATCAAGATACACTGTTGGGAGGATACGCTGTGTTTCTGGCGACAGATCTGTTATCGAAAATCGAACGCCATTGCTTCCCATGTCTACCAGGCCATGGTAATACTTCGACTTGTCCAAGCCAGCCATCTCGCGGAATGCTACTTCTCCGGATTTGCGACAAGGGCGTCCGATTGCATGTACTAGCCAAGAGGCAGGCGGAGGTCTCGGTACGAGCCGCGGACTTCGATGGCGCGATTTTGCGGCTTTTGTTTAACCCTGGTGCGTTTAGCGTTTAGTGCGGAAGCCAAGTCTGATGATGTTTCTATTACCCCCAGCTTATGCGGTTGATGAGTTTCTGTTACCCCTCGATTACTTAAAAGATAGCACTGGGTGCGCCTCGTGATGTGTAAGATCTTTTAGTGAGAAGCAAGTGCCCGCAATGACGTTGGTTGGTGTGGTACTTGCAGAACTAGAAAATTCGAACGCTAGTGGAAAGCGCGGCCAATCAGGCAAGGACCTTCTTCTCGATAGATGTGGAGGTGTTCGCAACAAATGGCGGAAGATACTCAGGTCATATTTCTGGAGTCTGGTCAAGATTCGACCAGCCATGTTAGAAGCGGTCGGAAAAGCTCAAGTGTGCGCACTCTTAAACTGGAAACTAGACAGGTAACTGAACGGATCTAGTATGCTGATTCCTCCACAATAGCTACCCATCTCGAGCTCGGCGATTACTGAGTAGGTCGGACAGGACGTAGCATTCGATAACAGTCAAGCAAGAAACCTCGCTCAAACCACAGAACATGTAGGACATAGAGCCCTCCGACTACACCCATACTGACTAACTCTCCAAGTACACCAAATCTTCCAAGGTAGCTAATACCTGGCCGTGTTCGCATCAGGGTGGGAACGATGATAGCAGGGGCCCAAGCAGTGAGCGAAGGCAGCGTCTCAAGCACGCTGAACTGCATGTCTCTCTGTCCGAAGAACCTTTTGATAAACCATGTGTTCCAGACCATGCGCAAGCCCATGTTGACCATGTTCGCAAGAACCACACCGTTGCCTCCTAGCTCTAGTTGACCGATGAAAAACCAGGCGCTCCCCGCGAAAAGTGCGAAGAAGATCCCCATGGAGACAGACTGCGCGTATAGCTCTTTGTTCGTTGCGACTGCAGCTACGAAGGCTTCGGTTACGCCATTGATGGCGAGGAAAGGTATATAGAAACAGTATGTGGAAAGCACCTTTGAGGCGGAAGTTGCGGACCACTTCTCGCCAGCGACAATTGAGAGTAGATGAGGAGCCAATACCGGTCCTAATGTGGTTGCAAACAAGGAGATGATCGCATAGAGGCGCAAAATCGTCGATAAAACATTTGAGGCTTGAGCAAGGTTCTGCTTCTGTTCTTTGGTTGCCTTTGACTTGTCCGCTCCTTTAGCAGTCGATGGTGGCTCTACGCTTGCACAAAGCTTCGCAAACATGTTACGGCTACTCTCTTCGATGGGCTGGAAGAGCGTTCGTGCAATGAGACCTCCGTAGTTAGACGTAAGAGCATAGGCACCTTGGTCTGCAAGTGATGCCAGTCCCGTAATCAGCAAGGAATCTCCTTGTGTAAGAATGTATTTCAAAGCTGATTGGAGAGTAAGAGAGCCTGTGAGTCGTAGAAGAGGAGCCGAAAAGTAGTTCATTGAACTCGAGTTCTCCTTCGTTAAGGGAGCCTTTTCCGGGAAGAGGGAGAAGCCATCAGCTTTCGCGACCGGCCAAGTCTGGTAAAAGTACACAACGAAGAGTGCCAGAGCGTAAGTCAACTGACCGATAGCGAACGGAAGAACTCCAATGTCGACACTATATCGACTGGCCAGAATGGCCGATCCGCATGTTCCGAAGCAACGAAGTAAAGTAGCAGTACTTTCAGCCGACGCACGTATCTTGTATAGCAGCTTCTGCTGCACGGCCGAGAATGCTGGCTCGCTAAGAAGTTCGATAAAGGTAGCGAGGCAATAGATGACTAGAGACTCCACGAAGTAGGGAACATCTGGCGTGCCTGAACGGAGCCATAGGAGGGCGAGGAGGTAGGCCAATGGCGTACCAAAGAAAACCGCAAGATACGATAGATTGACGACAGCTTGAGTTCCGTGCGCCTGGCGTTGAAGCGCTACTCGCAAGCTTTCACGTGCAAAGTAAAGCACAGAGATGGAGAACAGTTCAAGCTGAGCTGACACACCAAGAAGCTCTGGAGATAGAAATCTCAACAAGACTTGGTTGACCGCAAATGTAAGCGCTCGTGAGGCCACCTGCAGGAGAATTAGAAATGTGGCTCCTTTGGCCGAGGCGGAAAGAATTGAATTTGACATGGCTGGCACCTCAGCTCAAGTGGGAAAGATCGATAGCTTCGAGATGAAAGTTTGAAAACCGGTCAAGGAGTCATGATGATTGGACGTGATTGTTGATGCGGTGAAGCAGAGCTCTGTGGTTTGTTGTCGGACACCGACCCGACCTAAAGCGACTAGCTCGTTGCCTCACTTAAGACTGTTGCATGAGAGCTTCGACCCGACTCCATCAGCGCACAGCGCACTGCACGCTGCAAGATGGCTCTTTACTCGACTCTGACTGTGGAAGCTGGAGAAGATGGTAGTTGTCGACCCAAAGATTGTAGTTCGGTCTGAGAGGTTGCTCCTAAGACCATTGGCTATCGAAGATGCCGAAGACATTTTATTGATGCGCAAGCACCCGGAGGTTATGAAACACACGTAAGTTCTGCGCATGGGCTAGATGTCTTCATACATCTCTACAGCTTCGAGTTAGAGATTATTGAGGGCTTGAAGCTATCCAGCTACACTAAGTTGCACAGATCCGAGCTGACGTTTGAATAGGTCAATTCTAGTGTCCGACGATTTAGAAAAGACGAAGGCCTGGATCCAGGGTTGTTTTGATAGCCAAATCAATTGGAATTTCTCCATCGAGCTTCTTCACGCTCCCTCCGAGTCCTCCCCACGCGTCATCGGCCTCATAGGCGCGGTCCGAGCCCCCGAGATAGGCTACATGTTCAATACCTCCTACTGGGGTCAAGGCTACGCGACTGAAGCCCTCCGTGCCTTCATGCCGCTGTTCTTTCAGCACTTCTCCGGCGGCGAGCACGAGATGTTCGAGTATGCGGAGGCACACACAGATGAGGAACTTGTCAGCAGCCAGAACGTGCTAAGCAAGGTGGGCTTCAAGTTGCATGAGACGAGGGAGAAGGACTTTGAGAACCCGGTATTGGGGTGGAGAGATACGCTGGTCTATAGGATGTATCGTCCGGAAGTTCAGACTGAGGTGACACCGAAAGGGACGTAAACTGGGTTGACGATCAATTCGCGGAGAAGAGGCAGGGACCTAAGATGTGTAGACTCAGGGCAGCTTCATGGCCTTCGCTTCTGCTACTTTCATACATCTCATTAATAGATTTTTCGATCTCCAAAAATATACTGTTGGCACTTGGATGCTAATTCGCTATTTGACATGAGCAGACTTCTACATGTTTACAGCTTTTATCGAGCGTCTTCATCTTTTCCTCAGTGGACCCCAGATAGCTCTGTAAATCTTGGCTACAAAGCTGCCCCTGCTCCATCCCTGGGCTTGCGACATGCCAATTTTCAAGTGATCTTTATGGCCATATATCTCTGCCTATCCTAGTTGATAGATTGTGTACCCGATCATTCTGCGCTTCCGTTGGCGATGGGCTCGTCGGTCCAGCCTGCTCAGAGCCTCTAGTGGTACATCATAGTGTGAACGACTGAAGGCGATTGGGTCAGGGATTTAGAAAACCGTGCAAAGGAGACGAACTTCCACAAGGCCTGTCCTGCGGATTCAGCGTCCAGATGAATTTTGGGAATGTAAGTAGAAGGCGCGAGGGAAGGAACACGTGAGCTGTTGCCGCCTGCCCATACGCGATTTCTGTCCATCACACCTGGGCAACTCTTGATCTCCCGTGGAACCCGATCTGACCCTTGAGTCTTTAGTGAAACAAAAGGGATCGCCCACGCTTCGATTCGCAGCTCTTGATTCATGTTCCTAGCATAGCCGTGTCACCCGGCGATTGTGACGCACTTCTATTTGCCGGGCGATTATCCTCACCAGCTTCTTCGGATATCAGATGGGAGCCGTTAGGCGTGTTGGAGACGGCTAGACGAGACGTTTCACCTCTTTTCGCCTTCACCTGATTTAGCCTCTCAAGGAAGCTCATTGGAGCTGGTTGCGCTTGCTCGGGAGTGGACTGTTGTTCCAAAGATAGGGCAGAGACATTCTGGACGTTGCTAGGAAAGCCGGTTGACTCAGTTGCAGGCTGCGCGTCGACAGTATCGTCTATCAGGTCGTCCCGCGGCCGCAGTCGACCAACTTTTGCGACCAGCTTTGCGGAACCCATGGCCAGCAGATCCACCGACGGTAGTGTTCTCAAAGGCTCGGAGAGGTCGCCCGTGTTCGCATCGGGCTTCACGAAGAACATGTCGCTTCCGATAGTCGAGGTCCAGTGGCAACTCAGCAATTCGCCATTGTACATCACTAGCGGATTAGGAGTATGCAGGCCAATGATCTGTACTTCGCCCATGGTAGCCGGCTTTTGACCATTCGAGCTATCGATTGGAATTTCTGTCGGTTGGCCTCGTTGTGCATTGAGCGCTCGAAGTCTACTTTTCAGTAATGTCGGGTGCCCTAGCCTGCCTTGCGAGACCATGGGTACTTGCGCGCTGGGGACATTGGACAGGTCGAGGGGGATGTAGAAGTCTTCAGTTTCGTTCTCATCATATTCGTACTCCCACTGATCGTCGTCGTCTGCATGGGCCATGATAGGGCACAGGTGGATGCTGGAGTGGAAAAGTGTACAGATACGATGAGGCGGGAGAAGTGGGGTAGATACAAGTGATAAAGTAGCGCCAAATCGCGACCAAGCTAGACGATGCAGTCAAAGAGATTTTGTGCAAGGGAGAGCCCTGCTAACCTGCTGCAGTGAAAAACATTATAGGTATTGCAATCTTCAAACAAGTCATCATTCAGGATTACCCCTGTTACCGAGCACGGCTTCATAGCTGTATTCCTCCGCTTGGTGTAGTTGGTTCATCACGTTCGACTGTAATAGCATATTGTTATCGAAAGGTCCCTAGTTCGATTCTGGGAGCGGAGAACAACTTTTTTGCTGCATCCATAAACCCAGTAGACTTGACTGGACTGGTGTCGACGATTTGTCATTTTGCGCCTCCCTTACGGAGTAACACAAGCTGCACTGAAGCTTCGAAGGCTGACTTGGCTTTTTGCATGCTCACTCTCCAGCGATACGAGGTGAGTAGATTCCCTCCTAAACAGCTCGACGCTGTCCTGCAACAATCCAGTCGCCGCATGTGCCTATCGATAGGGACGCGGCGCTCATGCACGCCAAAGCCGCCAAGTTTCCTGGGGAGTCCCGCCCGAGGTCCCATGCTTATTAGCGGCGCGCGACGTCAGCTTGCGACTCCCGAGCTGCATCCCCGCCGGTGCTTCAGAGGCCAGATTCCCCCTGCATGCTTCAATTACCTATACTGCACTGAATCGAGCTTTTGTCTGGTGTAGTTTTCGTCCTCAAAATCTGCTGTCGGTGCTAGCAGGGTCGCCTAGGTGTCAATTAGTAAGTGACAGCTCCGCGCATATCCGACCCAAGTCATCATGAGTCTCTCCGTCACTTCCGCACCCTTGCCGCTCTCTCGTTATTTTCACGATTATGATTACACCATCTAGTTCCGACTGGAGTATCGGCTTCAGATTGCATGCGGGGACATGACTGGCCAACGGCGCTTCCTGTTCGAGTATTGAATCTCGTGCTAACTGATCAGTGCCTATCGTGCCCTACCTCCAGCATGGCGGGCAGGTCCCGCTCCGAGGGCTCCTGCCGTCATCAATTCCGACGCCCTCCATATCACTAGTCGACATTCCTGAATATCCTGAGGTAGCGATACACACCTCTCAGACGCCCGATGAGACACGAGGTGCTGCGCTGGACGCCTCCTACAAACACATCGTACCTACCATCGATATTCCTACAAGCTATTCTTCGCATAAACAAGCGTCGGGGCAAGCTCCCACGTTCGTTCCTGGTGCTGCTACGCCATCGAATGTTCCGGATACTCAGATGAAGGGCAGGAAACCCGCAATCGCCGCCGCGGGTACATTCTTGGGACTCTTTTCGTTCTCCCAGATATACCAGAACGTTCTCTTCACGAAGCTCACACCTTCCGACGAACGCGCAGACGACATCGCATGGGTTGCATCATCCCACTCGTGGCTGGACCGGAAGGCTTGCGATTGGTTTGGACTGTGCGGTCTGGCACACTTGAACCGGGCGGGTTGGACCACCAAGTCAGAAACACAGAAGCAACACGCCACAGACACGGACACTCGAAATAGTGACAAGATAGATTTGACAGACTTCTGGAATGATGCTCGGAACCTGCCAGATGATTGGGAAGCACAGGAGGAGCGTGAGATACCAGACTACGTTCTAAAACATGCACCCCTCATCCATCTCTACTCCGGAGAAGATTACTGGCCAGGCGATATCGCAGAACATCTGATACATACCACGCCACACCTCAATTACACTGCGCTGCAAGCAGCTCAGGATCATCCAAATCTGACGGATCTCGGAGAACTCAATAGGTGGGGTAGATTCGTATACCTGCAAAGTGATGACAACGTCGAGGATCGTCCAGAGTGGCTGGGCGGAAAAGTGAACATTCCCAATGTACCGAAAGACGGAAATGACGATGACGACGATCGGGCTGAGCATGATGCTGTACATGGTCACTACGAAGAGGACAAAGATGGCGAAAATTCAGGCTGGTGGCACGTAGGTCCTGGAGACACGAAGGACAAGGGTGGCATTAGACCTGTGTTGACATCTCCTGGACTCCCAGTCCCGACCGCGACGCCTGAAGGCGACGAGCTTGTAAATGACGACGACCCATATTGGCAACCAGAACTGCGCAATCGTCACCGCAGGTTGGCGGGCAAGAAGGTAGTAGGTGGTAGAAGCGATGCGCCTGCAGTGCTCATCGTTGTGCCCAAGGGCGATGGTGTCGTAGACGCTTTCTGGTTCTTCTTCTACAGCTACAACCTCGGAAATGCTGTCTTCAACATACGGTTCGGCAACCATGTGGGTGATTGGGAGCACACGGTTGTTCGCTTCAAGGATTGTGAGCCGAAAGCCGTATTCTTCAGTGAGCATAGCTTTGGTGAGGCATACACGTGGGACGCCGTTGAAAAGAGTGGCAAGCGGGTAAGTCTAGTGCATCTCAATGAGTTGATTGTGAAACTGACATTGTTCAGCCCATTGGCTTCTCCGCCACTGGAACACACGCAATGTACGCAACCCCCGGTGTCCACCCCTACGTCCTCCCTGGCGGCATCCTGCACGACGTAACAGACCGCGGTCCTCTCTGGGACCCTGTGCAAAACATGTACTCATTCACCTACCACTACCAATCTGACACTCTCCTCTCCTCGAACCTTCACCCTACCGCACCCGTCAGCTGGTTCTACTTCGCCGGCCACTGGGGCGACAAGTTCTACCCCCTTAGCGATGCCAGACAATATCGCTTCTTAGGGCAGTATCACTACGTGAATGGACCTTTGGGCCCCAGATTCAAAAACTTGGGCAGACAAGAAATTTGCCAAGGGAATGGGGAGTGCGTGCTCAAGAGATGGATTGGGGATAAGACGAAGAGGATCAAGAGGTGGGAAAGTGTTGGGGAGGGAGAAGAGATGAGTGAGGATGATGCGAGGAGGGTGTGGGGCGCAGAATATGACTCTGCTTCCTGAAGAGACGAGCGGACAACCGCAGACAGACATGAGAATGAGAGGATGCGTATATAAACTGCGACGTTTGGAACAAAGTCGATATGTTGCGGCACGGAGCTTGGCGTTTGGATGGAGTATTCGACACGAAAGCATAGCGTTTTGCACAGCGACGCGTACTGCTGTACTATATTTTGCAGCGATATGTCTTTTCGAGATACCTATTGTAGCACATGAACATTGTTATTCGCTTGCTTCAGACTCGTCTTCAGGAATATGATTGTTGAGCTGCCAAAGCTATCACGTGCAGCCATACACTGCGCTGTCGGCAGGTCAGGCGGGCGAAGATTGGCCGTAGTGATGCAGGGGATATACGAGTGACGTCGACGCCACGTCTCATCAAGTCCAACTTGCTCGCGCCCTGTCGATGATCGGTGGATTCATGTTTGGGAAGAAGAAGCAGAGAAAATGGCACACCTGCCCCAAGCGGTCGGCGGTGATGATCGAGCATTACGTCGAGCGCAGGGTACCTATACAAGTGATGAAAATAGCTCAAGGCTCACTCTTGCTTATACTGGTGTGACTGGCTCCTATCCAGGGTCATAGACTACAGGGTAGAAACCGTTGGTAATGAGTGATGTCTAGATGACTTCAGAGAGTCGTCCGAATCCCGAGTCAAGAGCGTTGATGCCTGTATCACTCCAACTTCTCCTAAATCCGAACAAAGAGCGTCGCTGTCGGCCAGAGCATCACAGAGGAGTCAGAGCAACAAGGTCTGTTGCGTGGTAATTCGGGCGCTCATCTCATCTCACCATCCTTCAGCGAAATCACGTCGGCGCCGAGGGGTGGGTAGTGGGTGGTAGGTGCATTCCCCCTAGCTGGCGCGCGATATCCCTATCTTATCTACATCAAGGCCATCCCAGTCCTCAACTCAGCTCACCTACACACTCTGGTCCTCAACGCGTCTTACGTTTTCCAAACTTCTGTCCAACACTCCTCCTGCATTTGTTCTCGTTGCCTGTCCAGCTTTCTCTTTGATAGCTTGACTTGATCTTTGTCTTCCCGCGACTTGCGCCTGACCTAATCCACCTGCCAAAACGGTCCGCTGGATTCGTCTTAGCGTGTTCTAGCTGGACATCTGTACATCATACACATCCCCTCACACCGCTAGGGACATCTCGACGTCGCAACGCGACATGAGGCCCTCAAGACGATAAGAACGATACCGCTGTCCCTTGGACACGTTACTCCCATCCATACACAGTCCGATTTATCGCCGCCTTCCTCGATTCGCATCCCGCATTCCGCATCTGTCCGAACGCCCTCGTGCCTTGCTTTCTGGAGGACGTGTCTGCTCCGTCGCCACTTTAGTAGACTTTGATACCCCCTTAGACACAATAGAGAAATGGCTTTTCGTCAGCAACATCGTCCCCAGAGCTCGCGACAGATATCCTATCATGCACCAGAGTCCGCTGTCGAGGCCGCAACCACCTCTCCACAACTCAAGCGACCTCTAGAGCAATCAGAGGAGTGGGTGCTCTTCTCGCCAGTGGCCCCCTCGACCACCGCACGCACGCACACTACCTCGACCGAGCGAACCCCGCGCACAGCTGGTCTGTCACGTTTCAGCGAGTTCGGTTCACTCGACACAGCGGCTCCATCAGAGCAAGAGGACGATGCTGGCACCTTCTTGGATACAGACGATGGGGAAGAGTTGGATAGTTTGGACGACGGATTGCATGCCTTCCATGAGCCTTCGGAATATGCAGCGCCGGTGAGCAGGGTGCAGCAGAGCGGCGATACCGTACTCCCCACGCATGACGGGCTGGGTGAGTTCCAGCCCGATGCGAACCTGCAAGAGCACATGTGGCAGTTCGAGCGACCGCGAAGACGTGCTGCGAGACGGCGATCTAGTGTACAGCGACACTTCACCATACTAGACGGCACAGACCATGTCGTCCCGGAGCAAGACAGGCGGCAGCGCATTGAGCAGTGGCGGCTAGAGCAGAGTAAAGCGCTGTTGGAGGAAATCGAAAAGGAGACAAGACGGAGGCGGCGGATGAGCATGGTCAGCGCTGTGCGAAGTCGAGTGGACAGTACACAGCAGGATACCAATGGTACCACATCGCAAGTCGCTCAGTCGGTCTCAGATGTGCATAGCGAATCATCTGACGAGGGCACCGAGCACCTATCTCTGTGGCAACGGATAACAAGACGGGTGATTCGGGATCTTATTGGCCTCGACGAAGACACACTCTCCGTCATTTTTGGCGAAGCACTGCCAGAGCAAGCGATGACGCCCAAACTAGGCTCGCCCGCCGAGTATTCTACGGACACAGCTTTACAAGAGGCAGGTGTCGATGCATCCACCCTATCTGACGACAGCTGGCAGACAAAGTTACTCGAGCGAGTAGCACAAGAGCTTGGAATTTTGGTCCATCAGCTCTCTGAGCATCCTGGAGCATTCTCGACATACCAACACACGCAATCCACTCCAGATTATGCAGGTTTAACGTCAACAAAACTCAACCCGACTCTTTCAACCGACCTAGCATCCTCACGCCAGACTAGCTCACAACCCTCAGCACCATCCCCCGCTTCAGCCCAGTTCGCACCAACCTTTCCCGCAACACCACATGAGTACAGCGAAGCATCACTGTGGGGCATCGAAGAAGAGTTGGATGAGGTCGACCCCCTCAACTCCTTCCGCCCGGCCCCCGCCGCTGCCGCAAACATCGCCGAAGATTTAGAACGAGAGCGCGAATACTGGGAGCGAGAGTTGGATGTGAAAATGATCTTCAACTTCCTTATGAAACGCTTCTCTACTCGACGACCTAGTATTTCCTCACCGCAGCCGCGCAAAGTTTCCAGTGCGCCCTCGGCTATTGCCACAGACGAAGGCGTGAATTCTGCGCGGAGAGCTGCCATCATACGACAGCATCACCCTTTGGTCGACAGGACGACGGATAGAGGGCTCCCGACGTCGTCCGCCGTAAACGTGAGGGAGGGCAAGAGGAAGGACGCTCCATACCGGACGTACTTTACGCCACAGAACATGAATGTGATGAGGCATCAGAAGCTCAGGAGTACTTCTAGTTGTGCAAGTCAGAGCACGAAGAAGAGCAAACGAAGCGGTGGGTCGGGGCGCAACTATTGGGACCTCGGCGGGAGCGTCGGCAGCGGCAGCGTCTTTGCTGGTGAAGTATAAGGGACGACTGGATGACATTCAACGATGCAAATGTTGCTACGATATAGGCAGGCGTAGCATGACATGGAATCGGAATTTCTCACGACATTAGGATCAAGAACGAAATCAGCATATACATGAGGGTCGGAGTATGGTTTTTGCATGCGGTGGGCTAGAAGCATTAGGGATGACAGCGTTACGATTGGCGTTTTATTCAGTTGAACAGTTTTCTGTACTTTCGCTACTCAGCATCTATGATACCTAGACATTTTCAACCGATTTTGCAATGGGGCTGCATCTCGTTGAATGACTTGGTTTTCCCTGTACTATACGTCTCCTCTACTATATACTGCACACATCTACGATCAGTCATATCTCAGCCGGAAGAGTCGTGATTCTTATTTTGTTACTGGGCTGTTTACTTAACAATGGCCTTCAGCCGCTGCAATAGGCGGATTCAAGCTTACAGTTCTTACAGAGACTCTTCACAAAACATAGACTTGATATAGCGCGATTAGAAGAACCTTCACATAGTCCGTGAAACACAAATACTGGACAGTCGGGTTCCAGGGGCCTATTATTCAGGAACCCAAGCTTTTGATTTCAGTATTGGGTCAGATTGTAGATCCAGCTCCTCAACAACTCGCCACTCAAGAAAATCTACCTCATCACAATCATCGATTCCATCCCAACTGGCACTGCGGCTTCGTCCCACCCTCACTCTCCATCAGACAATACGGCATCTGTATAGGCTCAGCGCCGACTCCCAAGCGCACAAGCCGTTCCCTCATCTCACTCAGCCGAGGCGACGCATCGATCTGGCTCCTATTCCTTCCCTCGCCGTCTTTCGCTCCACTCCACAGCACCTCCGCAACCGCAGAGCCACGCGGCCAGATCATGCGGTCGATGTTGACTGGGTCCGTCTGCTCGGCCCACAAATGCGCTTCTCCTCCGATAACGAGGTGGTGGTGCTCTTCTGGGACGCCGGCGAGCGGGTCGTACGAGTAGATGAGGCGCCAGTTATGGAAGGGGGCACAGTAATCGTTGTAGGGCCAGAAATCTGCCGAGACGGAAGGGTCGAAGTCGAGCCATTGGCCTTTACCGCAGTCTAGGTACTGGATTTCGTCAAACGTCAGCTCTCGTACTCATGTTCACGCCTTTTCAAGACTTGGATGCTCGGGCACTGCTGCTTACCCAGTAGTTGTAGTTGCCTACTAATGCCTTGTGCCCGCTTTTCACAATCTTCGCGACTGCTTCATCGCTCTGCCAACTCTGCACGATTACATCTTTGCCGAGCGTGATATTCCAGTCTAGAAGCATTTCTTCCCATACTACGGGTGTAAGACCCATAGCACGGACTTGATTGTGGTTTCGATCGATGAATTTCTGCATCAGGGGTTGGAGGACAGCGACGTCACTGCTATTCACCGTATCATCTCGCGTGTACGCTTTCATATTCACTTCATCGCCGCCGGTGTGGAAGTAAGAAGAATACGGGTGTACACGAGGGAGTAGGTCGTCGAAGAGTTTTTCAAGGAAATCGTATACTGCGGTGGAGTTGAGCTTCAAGGTCCCAGCCGGTGGCTCAGCAGCATATGTCTCCCAGTCCGGCTGGGCATTAAACGCAGCAATTAGCTCAGGGAACGAGTAGTGGATACTCGACGTATGGCCGGGCATGTCGATTTCGGTGATCATCTCCACGCCCTGGATCGCGGCATGGCGTTGAATGTCCCTGAAGTCCCTCGCAGTGTAGACGAGCTCTGGGCGATATGCGCCTTTGGCTGAGAGCGAGGGGATCGAGGGGATTTCCAAGGGCCAGGACTGCGAGTCTGTGACGTGCAGATGGAAACGGTTCATTTTGTTGTAGGCAAGCGCATCGATCTGGCGTTTAATGTCTGCGACGGGGAAGTAGTTCCGTGAAACATCGAGGTTGATGCCTCTATGCTGAAACTTGGGCGCGTCGTAGATGTTGACCGGCGCGAGCGGTGTGTATACATGTTTTCCATTCGAGTGCACATAGAATAGTTGCGTGAAAGTAGCCAGGGCTCGTGCGATTCCAACGCTGGTGTTTGCAATGATGCTCGCCTTGCCACCTTCCGTCAGTGTGATGCGGTAGGACTCGTCGACTTCGCCAGCGAGTGGCTTCGCTATGCCTCGTGGGTCATGACTGAGCCTTCGAATATCAACACGATTGAGAAAAGTGGCATTCTTGTGTAGCGAAGGTTCATTCCAGTCCCGTGGGTGAAACTTCCATGGATACAAGCTCTTCTTGAAGATAGTGTGCCACGCAGAGTCTATCGCGTAGTCGACAATGGTGTCACCCGAAAGATGTTCTTCCGTGTCGTCATACCCGTCATGGCCGTAATCCTCGGATGGAGGCCCTGTGTAGCGTTTTCGAAGCCTCCACTCACTATTAGTATCCTGTATTTCAGGACTTGCGTTAGAGTTTGATGCAAAGAGGAATGCTTCTTGATTGGCAATTGAGCCTACATTTCTTGCGCCTGCTTCATAAACATAGAAGGGGATGTTTCTTCGGACGAATAGCACATCTTTTCCATGCTCGTAAGTGACGGGATGCGGCCATATAGCGACAGTCAAGGGCGTGTAAAGTAGGATGGAAAGGAAGGACTTCATCGTTATCGACGTAAGAAAAAGGGAGATAGAGAAAAGCGAGCAGGACAGAGAATCTTGAGAACCTTGAGAACTAAAGGGTACCATGCGCGCTTGAATAAACCGGTACACTATAATTGGAATGCTAACCTATATATACGCTGGAATGAAGCTGGCGCAAGGAAATGTAGGCCCAATGAAGCTACTGAGAATCTGCACTAGACCCATTGATCATCTGTTAAAACTGATGTAGATCGTAAATTAAGTATTGACGCTTAATATATAATGTGGTGTTGATGGGATGTTGCCAAAGTTTAAACCTGTGAAATGTGCGGGGCTTACCCAGGAGAGCTCCAAAAGCGGAATGGCGGGGTAGACGTATCTAGCTGGAGTGCAGGTGACGTTGCACAACAGTAAGCCCGTCTGGGACGTTACTGCATACTTTGTATAACCTCTTGAAACCCATATACAATGACGCAGAAACTGTAGACAGGTGTGGTTGATACAAGGGGCACTTCTCAAGATAAACTTACTCCTACTGGCTTTGGCGACTGGGTGTAGTCTACAGCGTGATCAGTAAGATTCTGGCTCGAATTCAGTAACAGCAAGCGATAAACTAATACCAAACAGATGGCGAGCCAACTACCTCAAACACCTTGCTGCGGATTGGGACGGCATTCGGAAGGCCAAGATATCCGAACAACCGATGTCCTAAAAACACCCCTCCTTCATCCACCTTCCCCACTTTCTCAACTGCCAGGGCCGCAAACGAGTCAAACCCAGCTCTAGGCGAGCCTTTCAGCTTTCAGTCCATGTCGTATGCAGCAATTCTTGCGGCGCCAATGCCGAGGTGCAAAGTGGAGCACATATATGATGCTTGTCTTCAACATGGCGTAGCATCCCTTCTTCACTGCACTATGTAAAGATTTGTTCTGTGGCACCAATCTGCACAATTCCTGTCTTTTGACCCACTTGCTCGAGGGTGGTTCCCTTGACGTTCCTGAAACCTATGTAAGTTGAGTACCCTGTCGTCGTTCTGGATACCGTGGCGCAGCTTTGCATGTGAAATTCATTAATACACACCGTATGCTGAAACAAAATATTTAGACAGCGCCTACGCCCCAGGACTATCGCATACTAAATCCTCTCGGAGCCATAACAGACATATCTCGGAACAATGGCCATCATGCTCGATTCTAAGAGCGCTCAGTTCTCAACTCCGATCATTCTCGGCGCCCTCGCTGTCCTCTACATTGGTTATATCTTCTCCAAATCCCTGTACACTAAAGCTCGTATCTCTCGACTTGGGTCCCGGGCGCCTGTCCGAGTCTCATACGCGCCTTGGGGTCTCGACATGGCGTATGAAGTCATTAGCTGTGCGCTAAAAGACAAGACCTATGAAATGTGGATTGGGATGTTCGACAAGTGGTGCGGTCCAGGCCGATATACCATTGAGGGTGGCATCGGCCAGCGGGTAATCCTTACTGCGGACCCTGAAAATATCAAAGCTATTCTTGCAACACAGTTCAAAGACTATGGCAAGGGCGAACAATTCCGGCAGGAGTGGCATGACTTTTTGGGAAATGGTGCGTAAATTCTCTATGCGGTGGTTGGGACAAGTAGACGGCATATGGGCTTGGTAAAGTGTCTAGACGAAATACTGACAAGGTCTGCAGGTATCTTCACGACTGATGGTCAGCTGTGGCACAATTCACGCCAACTTCTACGACCTCAGTTCATCAAGGACCGCCTTAGCGACATCGAAATCTTCGAAGAGCATACGCAGGTGCTCCTGTCCAAGATTGGACGGGGTCAAGAGATTGATACGATTGACCTAATGTTTAGATACACCCTGGACGCTGCTACCCACTTCTTGCTCGGGAAGAGTGTGGACAGCCTTAAAAATCCTCAAACCGCGTTCGCCGATGCATTTTTCAATGCACAGCGCGTACAAAGCAATGTGGCGAGACTTGGGTACGTACTTTTGCGACGTATGGGGTCTTGTCACTTCACTAATGTTCGAACAGTCCCCTCAATTGGCTCATCCCCAGGAAGCGCATGGGCTTTTACTCATCTCTAGACGTTATCAACAATTTCGTTGCCACATATATTGAGCAGGCTCTTGCTCTTTCACCGAAAGAACTCGAAGAGAAGACATCTCGTGACGATGGCTATACCTTCCTCCACGCCATCGCTGCCTACACCCGCGATCGAAAAGTGCTGCGGGATCAACTAGTCTCGGTCCTGCTTGCCGGCCGTGATACCACAGCATGTACTCTTACTTGGGCAATCTACCATCTTTCCATGGCTCCGGCTATCACGGCAAAACTACGCCAGGAGATCGTCGATACAGTGGGTCTTGAAAGGAAACCTACTTATGAGGATCTGAAGAGCATGAAGTATCTACAACACATTTTGAACGAGACACTCCGTTTGTACCCGATCGTTCCCTACAACATCCGCATTGCCCTTAAAGATACCACGCTCCCCATAGGCGGTGGTCCGGATGGCCAGCAACCCGTCGGTATCCTGGCAGGTACACCAATCGCTTACTCTACACTTGTCATGCAACGCCGAGTAGATCTCTACCCCACTCAAGAGTCTGGATTCCCCGCGGTAGACAAGTTCGTGCCTGAAAGATGGAACAACTGGCATCCACAGAGCTGGCAATATGTGCCATTCAACGGAGGTCCACGGATTTGCATAGGCCAGCAGTTTGCGTTGACGGAGATGGCGTATACGCTTGTGAGAATGTTTCAGCGTTTCGAGAGGGTGGAGAACAGAATGAACGGTGAAGAACCCGGGCTACATGCGGATATTGTGTTGCAGCCTGCGAAGCAGGTCAAGGTTGCTTTCTATTGAGACTGCGCCTGCATAGCAATGCTTGTCATCGGGCATGACTTACGATATAACGAATGAACACATTGGCTTTGGACTTCGATACACTTATAGGGGCCTTTAAGTGATGTATTATGCGAGCTTTTTTGCACTTGATTTTATTGTCAGGGAGTCACACCGTTGTACATGAAGTTCGTCTTGCTTACACTGCTGACCCCCACCAAATCACATGCGAAACATTGTAGTCACATGGTAAGTTCTATACACACCCGACCCAAGCCCATATTATCTAGAAAAGCACACAAACACATATAACTTGGATATAATCCCTCAATACGTAGCTACACCCCACGTTGAAAATTATGACATCACCAATACAGCTTGACTGGGAGCTATGCAGGCTTGTACCACACACCTATCGTTGCGAATGTTTGTTACTCGATTGTTGCTCGATATGATCGAGTAAAAACAAAAAGGTTGGCCGGCCGGCCGCTCAGCTTTACTATGTACAGCCACGATTCGTGAGCGCTCAACCCCCCGCTTTTCATACAGAAACGATAATCCGTTGCAGCACATGGAACATCCCTCCGTAATGGACTTCAGATAACTTTTCGTCGTCGCTCACCTGCGCCCTTCAATCCGAGTCAATTTCCTTCTCAAACACCGGTGCCATACAACAGATACATAGGTAAAGAAGATGTCTGAAACTTCAAATAACACGATATACGCTGCGCAATTTTAATGTAAATTGACTAGTGTGGTCATCAATTTGTCTTCATGTGAAAAGGCAATGCTATGCCTATAATGTATGTCTAAACGCCGTCTATGCAAATATCATGATGAATGCAGGCTTCAACGCAAAGAAAAGCAAAACTAGCTTGTGAAACCCCAAATTTACCATGCTTTGACATCTCCACATGGAAGTGAAGACATCCCTGGTGCTTAATTGCTCATCTTCCTAGGCTCAAGTAACAACTTGCCCTGCGGTCCAGTCTTTTCAGTAAAGCCGTCTTCGCGCGAAAAGATCTGCTGGCCCCTGAGCCAAGTCTCGCGGACAACGCCCTTGAGGGTTTTGTTCTCGTAGGGCGAGACTTTGTTGCGGAAGAGCATGGTGCTTGGCTCGACCTTGTCACTCACAATCAGCACACATCGAATTCAACAAGGACATGAGTACATACCATGAACTCAGCAGTATCGTCAAAGACAACAATGTCAGCATCAAAACCAACACCAAGGTCACCTTTGCTCTTTTCCAACCCGACTTGTTTCGCGGTGTTCTTGCAACACCACCTCACGATCTCCTCAACGCTGAATTCAGCATTGCGCTTCGTGCCTTCCGTCCACAAAATGGGCAGACCCAGGCCAACACTTGAAATACCACCCCACGCGCTGAAGAAATCGCCTTTTTCTTCCGGTCCCTCCATCTCGCCCTCACTCGACTCGCAGGAGTCGCAGTCCTTAGAGTGGCCTTCTTTACGTGTTGATGGCTTCTTAGGCGCAAGGTGGGCGGGAAGAAGCTTGATCTCGGGTGTACAGGGTGAATGGTCAGAAACGACCGTCTTGATAACGCCGTCGGCTTCGTCTTGTAGGAGCTCATCCCAGAGGCCGTCTTGGTTTGATTGCGAACGGATCGGGGGGCAGCACTTGTGCCGTGTGTCGCCCTCCTGGATACCCTCAGCAGCTAGTGCCAGGTAGTGGAAACACGTCTCAGCAGTAATCTTGATACCCTTGGCGCGGGCCTCACGGAGCATGGGGATCGCTTCGATAGCGGAAAGATGCACGATGTGGAGTTGTAATTCCGGAGCCAAATGTGCTAACGAGAGGATCTCAGCGACAGCGCATGTTTCGAACGATGGGGGCCGTGACTCAAGGAAAGTGGAGTAGGATGTTAGTGGTCCTTTGGGTGCGAGGGGTGGGTGAGAGCGCTGGATATCGTCACCAACGGAGTCGGCAATGGGTGGGATCATTTCGGCGTGGAACATTAGCGTGGTTGCCGAGTCTTTGAGTTCGATGAGGGCTTTTTCAATGTCCAGGGATGATACTGCGGGGAATTCTTCGACCTGTATCAACGTTAAAATCACGTGTCTGAGGATGGTCGGTAGGATGAATACGTACTCCACTATCACACAAGAAGCCCTTGAAGCCGCGAACACCTCCCTTGACCAAATCCTTTAGGTCGCCAGAGTTGCCGGGAATCACACCTCCATAGAAGCCAACATCAACCCAGCACTTGCCTTTGGCAGCATCACATTTGATTTCCAGGTTCTCCAAAGTGGTAGTCGGAGGAATAGCATTCAGCGGCATGTCGACAACTGTTGTGACACCGCCGAAGGCAGCAGCTCGGGTACCAGTCCAGAAGCCTTCCCATTCTGTCCGGCCAGGCTCATTGAGATGTACATGGGCATCGACAAGACCGGGCAGTAGAACGTAAGGCGAGTAGTCAGTGTATGAAGTTCCTTCAGGGAAATCGGAAGGCGGTAGTATGGAATGGAAGATTGATGTGACCTTGCCAGTAGTGTTCGATACAACTATGGTGGCTTCAGTGAGGCGGCCAGCAACTACTGCCCGAGAAGAAGCGAAGACTGTGATGGGATGAATCGGTTGACTGTGTGGGATCGGTGGTGGTGTAGTCGCGTGAGGAGCCATTTTAGATAGACTGTATGAACAAAGCCTGTTTCGAGGTTTGAAGGAGAAAACGTGGAAAAAATCGTCGAAGTGATCCGCTCTGGCTTAGGGATCGGTAAGCTATATACAGAAGCGCCTAGTCTCGGCAGACGCGGGGAAGGTGGTGTGGGTCACTTAGGGTGAGCTGTAGATAAGCGTTGATAAGGCGCGTGTGGTGTTGCGCCTAAGATGTCAAAGAGGAGAGAAATCGATTCAAAGAGACGTCGACACACCGCTTCGAGGAGATGGTCTTTTGTGTAAGGCAGAGGAATGGTCCTTAGATCTTAGATTCCAGAAACGACTAAAACCCGGGGTACATGTCCTTATCTATCCACTGATCTGGCCTACCCGGGATCACCTCGAGCTTCGAGATCAAATCCGGGACACTTCCCCATAGCGTCAGGGGTCGTGGAATGCCGGCGACTTCGAAAAACGCCTCATTACTCGATGTGAATAAGTAGCGCGAGTGGTTTAGGTGAGGTCATCGAGACCGGCTTGGCCAATGCATCTCGAACCTGTACTCTTTGCTTGACTCTGTACAAATTCGGCTCACTTTATTTTCCCTTTACTCCAGATTATGCTAAGTTCTCTTTTCGACTCCATGTCGTGAAGACTAAAAGATGATTGTTCAACACGTTCAAGTACTCAAGTGTTCACTGGACTGCCAGCGAGGGACGTAGAGCGACGATTTCGCTCACCGTTCTATGAATGTTGGGGGGCGTGCATGTGCCTAGGCGTACTGATAAGAGCAAGCAAGGGTCTGTGTGGCTGCATTCGGTAAAGACAGATGGGTCCACGTCGATCCACCGGACTAGCGCAGGGTTCGGTTGAAATGTAAAATGTTTACGACTTCTCCTTTCTAAAAAGCGGCTGGACATTCTGCCTTACAGATCGCACCTTTCTTGAAGCTGGTCACGTCCGATCTTCGTCGTTCCGGTTGTTGGAGAAAGAGCTGCGAAACTAAAGGCGGCTGGATTTAGTCCCGAAGTTACCGGGAGGCTAGCCCTGGAGAGATCTCACCCGCGTACATCTCAACACACCTTATTCGATCATTACTCGATGGAAATGGTACTGTTTACTCGATCGGAACCTCGCCCAATCTCAGCACCGCCTACCCGGTCGGCTAGCCCAACAGGAACAACGTAATCCATGTCGGAGATGGCCGCCATTTTCGACAACCAAAGACGCGAAAATGTCCGAGTGTGGTTCCGCTTTCGGCTGCAGCCGCGGCTTTGACGCTCACAACATATTCCGGTGTCATCAACGATCCTGTCTCGTAGGACAAAGAATATTTTGAATCTCGAAAGGGCCTTTGGATCTGTCCCGTCTTCTCATGCTTGTGACCATCAAGTTGGAATCGTCGGGCGTCAGCGGCGGAATACGGCGGTGGAGGCCCTGTTTTGATCGAGTAATAAAATGAAAGCTCCTCCCATCCAGACGTCTGTCATTACCAGTAGCGCGCAAAAACTGCACGAGCCGACCGACAACAGCTGCGTTTAGCTCGCTCTGACTCGAACTGCGAGCACGTTTTGGAGCCACGAAGTGTGGAACCCCATGTACATTGGTCCAACGCAAATCAAGCCCTCTTTGTAACGTCAACGATACCTTGAGCCTGCAGTGTGACACCGAAATAGGGTTTCCATTACGTTGGGACCACGTTGGCGAGAGGTCGCTTTCAGCATGGAGCACACAAGACACGGTAAGCGTTCTGCTGAGCACCTGCAGCGAGGTCATTGTTAGCGATCAGCCAGCAGGTAACATGGCGTGTCTTGGCTGGTGAATAGACAGTATTCCGTAGAAACGGACCCACAAGGGTCACTCCATGAGTATCATTCCATCAAACATTCGACAGCTACTTACTGATCAGCATAGACTGGCGTAATTTTGAGCAGGCGCCCAGCTTCCCCATCAGGAACCAAGAAGTATGTGGAGTCATCTAGGCGGCCGCATCTATCACAGCTCACTCTACGTCTTGTAGCATTCCCTGAGTAATCAAAGGCAAGTCAACACCAGCCCGAGAAGATCCGTGCCAGCCGAAAGAGTGAGTTTGGACGAAAGGGTTTTATGAATTGGTCACATGTGCGCTCCTCTGGTCAGTGAGTATGAAGTAAGAAACCAAGATGCTGAGGTGATGGATAACAGACCATGCGCTTCTCCGAGAGAACGCCCGATATACCCTTTAGCCCGGAATAGTCCACCGCAAAGCACGTGGTTCGCCTTGCATTGATCCCGCAATTCCATAACTGTCGTAGGAGGCAGTCAGAAGAATTGGTTGAGTGTTGACTGCTTCTTTCGTGGTAGCGACGTGGACTGCGGAAACCCGACGGCTGCCATCATGCTCCGGCTATTATGGAGACTTGCCTGCAAACCGTATTGGGTTGCAGTCGTACTATTGATGTCCAGGTAAGTGTAGGCATCTGGTTTGTAGTAGAGGGTTCGCCCAGAGTTCAGGAGACCCATTGCTTCAAGCTCGCAGAGGACACGGCGCACATCGTTAGCGTCTCGGAAATTCCTCGTGTACACGCAGACTGTACGATAGGCATAATGTGAGTATGTATCTTGCACACGTGGTATCTGGATTACACGTACTCAGTCGTTCGTCCCTGCCATCGTCGGTAGCAACCTTAGCCGCAGTGCCAAGGCGGTCATCGATCACACCTTTGACGATAAGTTTCCACATGCGGGTAACATCTTCTGACTTGGGAAATAGCATCCACTGGTACTGATTGTTAGCTATGTAATACGCAGTCTACATGCCTTCGGCTACGGCCGTGCTCCGTGGTTGGTAGCTGCAAGGTAGCCGTGGATCTACAGGGTTCTGCAACCCAGTGTTGGTGTTCGATGGGGCTTATGATCATAGCGTACCTTCCCTGATAAGACATTATTCTCTTCAGCAAGGTCTGCAATACGTTGTTGTAGGGCTTTGCCCTCTTGATTCAGGAATTTGGTCAGCATTCCCTTCGACCCTTGAGAGTCATTTGCTTGCATCGCCTGCCGATCCTGGCGGGACTGCTTGAGTAATTCCATTCCACGAGTTGTGAATTGTTCGACTCGAGGGCAAGCATACTTGTCGCGAGGGTTGTGATAAGGATTTGCGACCCAAATCCAATCGCAAGTGACGGCTAGAGTACTGAGAGGGTGGATACGTTTGACGAAGTCGTCCACGGTTTCTCCAAGCTGCCACGAATCGGGATAACCTTGACGGCAGTTGAAGAGCTCGGCTTTTGGTGGCGGTGGTGGTGATGTATCCCGCTTCCGCTTGCCCAACCTCGCGAGCCGTTCTTGCTCCATAGCCTTTCGGTCAAGACCGTGAAATGCAAGTGGCTTGTCAACAGGGGCTGAAAGCGCACCTGAAGAGGTATCCTGCGTCGAAAGCGCTAATTTGGCTGGGGCCGTCTTCCTGCCTGGTACGGGTCCTGAAGTTTGTTGAGATCTGGCGGCCATGGTGACGATATTCAAGTCTTGGTGATGCGTAGACCAGAATGGCTTCGGATTGAAGTGAGCGCAGAGGTCGAGCTGGTACGCTAGCTCACCATCATCACCTGGGTATACTTAGAGGTATGTAACGTATGAGACAAGAACGTAGTGATGATCCGTATCGAATACTGTGTAAAATGAGAGAACTTACCATAGAAGCTTGACTCGTCGGAGATCCACCCATCCCCCGGGACCATCTCGTCCTCCACCATCTTTCGGGCTGTGAGAATAGGTAATGCTCATGCCCTGGACGAAGTTTGAGGACGAGAGATACTTCGTCGGGGTGCTTACGCGCAAGATGAGGAGTCGCTTCCCGATTGAGCAAGTGCAGTGCAGGGGTCGTTTTCCACTTTACGCGCTAATGAAACGCGAACGCGTCTTCAGTCCAGCATTACCAAAACGGACCATACGCAGAACAAGACACTCACAATTGCTCGCATAGTAGTCAAGATGCCACACTCTGTGACCCCAGAATCTACACCAGCAGATGACTCGTCTAGGACCATCTCACAGGCAGGTAGCATCAAATCTGAGCCAGATACCCAAGATGTCGCCATGGAGGATGCACCGACACCACCCGTGGCCGAGAAGTCAAAGATCAACCTAGAAGAGCTTTTCGACGACGAGGACTCAGATGATGAGTTCCCATCAAGTGCTCCAGTGCTCAAAGAGGAGGAGCTCTCACAACCCGCCCCGCTGTACGTTCACCCCACGACAAGAGACTCAAGGCCCAGTGACCACTAACAACGTGCAGCAAGATATCGTCCAGATCTGCCTTCTCTGACCCCGAAATAATGCGCGCCTTCTACCAACGCCTCTTCCCCTTTCGCCAACTCTTCCAATGGCTCAACCACTCCGCAACACCGTCTCCACACTTCGCGCACCGCGAATTCGCTTTCACCCTTCCCAACGATGCCTACCTGCGCTACCAGTCCTTCCCTACATCAGACCTACTCCGAAAACAATGCATTCAGATGCTCCCGTCTCGATTCGAAATCGGGCCAATGTATTCCACGAATCCAAGGGATAGAAAGACGTTGCGGAAAGCGAGTGCGTTCAAGCCTGTGATGAAGGAACTGGTGTTTGATATAGATATGACGGATTACGATGATATCAGGACGTGTTGTACGGGCGCGAGTATATGTCTCAACTGCTGGTCGTTCATCACAATGGCGATTAAGACCATCGACATCGCTTTACGCGAGGACTTTGGTTTCAAGCACATTCTATGGGTGTACTCCGGCCGTCGTGGTGCCCACGCATGGGTATGCGATAAACGCGCGAGAGAAATGGACGATCAGAAACGGAGATCCATTGCAGGGTACCTCGAACTACTCAAAGGAGGCGATCAAGGTGGCAAGAAAGTCAATGCGCGACGGCCACTGCATCCGCATCTTGAACGCAGCTTGAAGATCTTAAAGGAGCACTTCCAGACAAGCATACTGGCGGAACAAGATCCCTGGGCTAGCGAGGAGAAATCTGTGCAGTTGCTCAATTTGCTGCCAGACCCAACGCTCAAAGCTGCCCTACAGAAGAAATGGGACTCTTCGCCCTCGCGCCCCAGTGCGGCAAAATGGGCTGACATCGATGCGTTGGCCAAGTCCGGCGCCTTGTCAAAGACCCCGAGGGACCTTCTGGAAGCGAAACAGGACATCATTCTGGAATACACTTACCCCCGCCTCGATGCCGAAGTTTCCAAGAAGTTGAACCATTTGCTCAAGAGTCCGTTTGTGGTGCATCCTGGTACTGGACGAGTATGTGTGCCCATCGATACAAGGAAAGTAGAAGAATTCGACCCTCTGAGCGTTCCTACCGTAACGCAGCTTCTCACAGAAATTGATGACTGGGAGGGCGAAGAGGGAGAGAAAAAGTTGCAGGACTGGGAGAAGACGAGTTTGAAGCCCTATGTCGACTACTTCAGGCGATTTGTTGCGGGATTATTGGAAGAGGAGAAGCCAGTACTCAAGCGGGAAAGAGAGGATGGCGCGGATGCTATGGAGTTCTGAACGAAGTCTAATGAGGCAATGTTTGGAGTCTGGTGTTTTTGTATCACAAGTATACTTCTAGCTTTTCTTCTCAGTATTCAACGCAGATCTCTTCTGGTGGCTTCACTAAGCCTTGACTGGATACCTTCATGTAGTTTCACAGATGGGAATATGTAGCAAAGATTCACGATAGCCGTAAACTAAACTATGGTTGCAAACAACTTGGATGTAGACAGTTTATAGATGGTTTGGCAATTGTGTGGATATCTGAAAAAAGCCTGCCTCCTCCCGAGTTCCTCGCTGTGCTCTCCCGACAGAGGGCACTTGGTAGAAATCGATCACGAACCAACGCAGCACGCGACAAAAGTTATCACCAAAGAAAATCGGGTCGCGAATGTGTTAAATAGGGAAGTTCAGCCCAGAATACTTTGTGTTATTTAGACATGAGTGGAAAGCTACGTACTGCACATTTGCACCTCGCTTTTCCCAAACGTAATTATACAGAATGCTCGTTGTCTTCTCACCCTCTCACACTTTCGCCACTTCAGGCTTCTCCACCTACTTCCTGCTTGCCCTCTGCTCCTTGTCCGCTGTGGTCTGACTGATATCAAGTCCCAAGCCCTTGCTATCGAGATACACCTTATTGCTGCTCTGCTGCAGAATCTGCGCAATATTCCTCGCGTTCTCAAACTCCCTCAGGTCAACATACGATCTGCTCTTCTTGATGGCGTCACCAATGAGCTCAGCAGAGCGGGCCTCACCCTGGGCGCGGACGACGGTGGCTTGCTTCTCCTGGCGGGCCTTGTCGACGACGAAGGCAGCGCGTTGGGCTTCTTGTTGGGCGACTTGCTTGGCTTCGACAGCGGCGGTGAATTCGGGGGAGAAGGCGAGGTGCTAGTGATGTGTTAAGGCAAGGAAGGTAAGGTTAGAGGGGAATGCATACCGTCAGAGAGACATCGTCCAGCATGATGTTGAACCTCGCCGCTCTTCTCACCAAGTTGTCCCGCACCAGCCTACTAACATTCTCACGTTGCGTGATCAACTGACTGGCATTGAACTGCGCTACCACGCTCTTCAACACCTCGTTGACAATTGAAGGCAGCACCCTCTCATCGTAGTCTGTTCCCAATGTCCTGTAGATCTGTGGCAGCGCGTCGACCCGCGGCCTTGACAGCACACGACAGGTTATGTTGACCATCTGCAAGTCCTTGGTGCCGGTAAGAGAAGCAACATTTCGTGGTTTGGCGCGCACATCGTACGTGATGGGAGTTTCGAACCAGGGAACTCGGAAATGCGTTCCTTCGTTGTAGATTTCCTTCTGGACGCCTCCTACTCTGGTGTACTTGATTGCGCGGTGGCCACCGTCAACTGCAACTAGTCAGCTCCATTCGATCTCATCACAGTCCTGGTAAGCCTCGAGATGCCCTCCAATCGTTTAGTAACGCACCGTTGAATAGCGCATTGTTCGCCAGCCATATACCTCCACCAACGAGTACCAGGCCTCCAATACCTCCGAAGAGGCCCTTGGGCGGACCACCTCCGCTTCCACCGAATCGAGCGCTTCGTCGTGTGAGTTCGTTCTGGATGCGCTGCCACGCTTCTTTGGGGTCTGGAGCAGACATTACGGCGGTATATGTGCAGAATATTGACGTGGGGTTTGGGAGGCGTGCAGGCGGCGATGGCGGACGGCGCTCTGGTGATGAGGTCGACGATGATGAGAAAATGGTGTCGGCGAATCACAAACACCGACGCAGAGGCAAGGGCGGAGAGGAACTCCGCATTGCTGCTTCCCATTTGGTCATACAATTTCGAAGGAACTTTAGTACTCGATTACTTTAGAGCTCTCAATACTTTTGCCCAAGTTTTGGACATCAAAGCCTAAACACCCTCGCGGCATCATCGTGTCCAGTAAGACGTTATCCGACCATAGCTGTTGCAGTATGCTTTGTGCATGGGCCACCCAATCAATGTCATATGTAGTGTTCCCTTAAGCACAGCTGTCCATAAGCTCGTCCAACACCCAATAAGTTCAAGCCTGCCCATCCGGTGGCAGTTCTCTCTTCTTGTTTATTCATATCATTCTGAGATACCCAATTGCTTCTTTGCTTGAAGCGATACTTCCTTTGCGACAAGTCGCGCGAGCTTTGTGCGACGCTGGCGGAGCTATTGAAGTCAAGGTACGCCTTTCGGAATACTGGGCATACGGTATGATTGTTGGGCTAACAAGATTCTAGATAGAGACTCTCTTTCATTCATCGTACTAGATCCTTGCGCCGCGTTCTCGCACCTCAACCCACCAAAGTTCAGCCGCGCATTTGCGCCCCCGCCTTCGCCATGTACATCACGAGACAGTCCCTCCGAACCATTGCCTGGTCTACTCTTGCACTCTCCGCAGCCCGCGCGCAATTTGTCATAGACAACCTCAGCTTCGGCCAGAAAGAAGGCGTCTACATTTCCCCCGATCTCCGTTCAATCCCTCACTTCGTTGTCCAAGGCATCAACGACTACGTGCCCCAGGTTCTGTCCGATCGAGTGATCCTCACACCTCCGTATCCCGGCAATAAGCGCGGATCAATATGGGCACAGGATCCCCTACATCAACGCGACTGGACCGCCGAGCTCGATTTCAGAGCAACGGGAATGGAGCGCGGAGGTGGCAATTTGCAGATATGGTATGTCAGGGAGTCGCAAGCGCATGAGACTCCGGCTAGTCTCTACACAGCGCCTAAGTTCGATGGACTGGTCTTGGTGATAGATCAATACGAGGGACGTGGAGGCTCAGTGCGGGGTTTCTTGAATGACGGGAGTGTTGATATCAAGAGCCATCCACACCCAGACACACTAGCTTTCGGCAAGTGCGACCATGCGTACAGGAACCGCGGCCACCTGAGCACGATCAAGCTACATCACACAGCAGGCTTCTTGGAGGTTATTGTGGACGGAGAGTCTTGCTTCAAAACTGACAAGGTACGTGAAGCCATCACATCCGCAGTCAATGTGCATGATATTAACTATGACTACAGATCAAGCTACCCGAAGGCTACTACTTTGGAGTAAGCGCCTCCAGCGCCGAAAACCCCGACTCGTTCGAAGTCCACAAGTTCGTCGTCTCAACCACCGACTCGCACACGCGCGAAGAACCGAACAAACAGCGCTACGCCAACGCCGACCAACACCAGGAGCAACAGAACATAGCTGCGCAGAAGGCCCACGAACAGCAAACCCACCGCCAGCAACAGCAACAATACGGATCCTCCACCGATCAAAACAACATTCCCAAGCTGGTGGAGGATGTATTGGCGGGCAATATCAAAACCCAACAAGACCAGTTCGCTGACCTACACAACCGGATCCAGATTATCAACAACCGCGTAGCCAACATGCTCGATATCGTCGAACAAATGCATCAATTGAACGAACAACGCTTCAACGACCTTATGCACCGCATTGTGCCCATCGATGACCGCTCAGCGGCAACAATAAGGAATGTAGAAAAGGTCGAAAGAACCACCATGGAGATTCTGAGGGATCTGGAGAGCAAGGATTTCAAGGATATGTTGCAGCAGGTTCACCGAGCGATCGAGAACAGTCAAGAGGGTTTGAGTAGAACTCTACCGCTGGCTATGGGTGCTGGTAAGTCAAATTTATTTTCCCTCCCCGTCACACTTCGATATTATATTTCGGGCGGCACCCGGCTAGGTTGTTCGGGAATGATGGGGTTGACGCCGAGGCTGATGAATTTCCGACGACGAACTGATCGCTAACGTATGAACAGTTGTGGGAAGTCATAAGCCAAGCCTGCTGTTGTTCCTCTTCATTGCTATTGCAGTGCAGATCATGGTCACAGGGGCATACATTGTGTATAAGAAGAGGAGGAACGGGGCGCCGAAAAAATACCTGTAGAGCACTTACGCGCTCGAGTTGATATTCTGTATACTCATTGCGGAGAGCGAGCTGGTCTTGTGCGATATCTCGGTCCCTCGTACATTTGGCTGATGTTTCGTTCGTATTGTGTTATATGTCCGGGAGTTGGCGAAAGAAGCAGAAGTATATGGAGATAATAGTTATGTACAAATAGTGCAACTAGACTCAATGCCTTACCCGCGATGTGTTGCGGCAGAATTGATAGGCTTATTCTCAATTTAGACGTTCTTGCACAGTGAGCTTGTGGCATAACTTGAAGACAGAAAAAGGCTATCCCAATAAGCCCGAAGTTTTTAAGTTTATCTAATCATGATAACGAGTTTCACCAAAGGTGGAGACTGGTGTGAACTCTGAATTAACACCAGTGATAGATTATACAGATAGAGGTTGTCATCTAAGTGTTAGTATTTCAGATCGAGAAGACAAAAGAGTACAGTGATGTTCACGAGCATGAAGACGTATATTGTGAAGTCCTTGACAAGTTTGATTGATAGTCTATATGCCAGACATGTGGTGAAACCTATTCAGTCCCTCCCATATTTCCTATGATGCCGTGACTCGTATCGATCGTGATGCTCCGGTGGTGGATGCGCTTATTTGGCCTCGTCGAAGACATAGGTAAGGTGGCAACGGCCGCAGTACTGGCGGTTGTGCATGGCGGCCATGAAGACACCAGCACCGCACTCGGGCTGCGGGCACTCACGCCTAAGGCGCTCGATCTTGCCATCGCCGTCGACCTTGTAGTACTTGAGGACAGCTAGCTTGGTCTTCTTCCTCTTGTGCTTGATCTTCTTGGGGGTGGTGTACACCTTCTTCTTGCGCTTCTTGGCTCCACCACGAAGGCGAAGGACCAAGTGGAGGGTCGACTCCTTCTGGATGTTGTAATCGGAAAGAGTGCGACCGTCCTCGAGCTGCTTGCCGGCGAAGATGAGACGCTGCTGGTCCGGGGGAATGCCCTCCTTGTCTGCGAGTTGTTAGAAGGAGGATCGACTTGGTGGCGCAAGCTACGTACCCTGAATCTTGGACTTCACATTGTCAATGGTGTCCGAAGACTCCACCTCGAGGGTGATAGTCTTGCCCGTGAGGGTCTTCACGAAGATCTGCATGATGGCCTGCGATCTGTTAGTATTTTTGGAACGTGAACTGTTGCGCTCAGAAGTGCGCGATTTTACGTACCTAGACAACCGGGTGTCTTCCTCAGTCGTCGATGCAGGGTAGGTTGAAGGAGAAAACTTGGAGGCGTAGAGCCAGGAATTATCGGTTGTGGGCAGGGTTACTAAGCAGGCGAGATGTGGCGGTTAGTGGCGGTTAGTGTAATGGTTAGTGGTCCGTGCGCGGGCCGGCTGCCCGTTGCTGGGTAACGGTGATCCGTGCTTGTGTTGATTTCGTTCCGGATAAGGAATATACAGCGTCATCTCCATCTTTGCATCTATTCTCACATCCAGATATCCATCCCTCGCATCATCTCTCAAACTCTATCAAACCCATCGTCTACTCTTCTTACGAGTAGTAGACTACATCACTACACCGTTCACATAAACATTTGCAAAGGCTTCGGCCACATACTTACTTGAGGCAGGCTACTGGGAGACTGCATCTGTACTGAGGAGACCATAAGGATACCAACCGCCCGGCGGAGCGCCACTTGTACTGCGTGAGGTACGTTGATATGACTTCTGAAATAGAAGAATCTTTTGAAGCGCAAGCGGGTGTTTAAACCAGGGCTAACATCATGCCAGTTTCGGACCACAAAGGACTTTCCCCATCCTCGAGCAACCGACTCCGGACTCGACCTGCATACGATATGCTGTCCACAAATATGCCTTCTGGCATCGAACGCCGACGAACCCAGCACCGACGACAAATGTCAACGCCTGCTGCATTCGACGCGCCCACAGTACGACCATTACCTGCCACCTCACCACTACGACGACACAACCGGACCGGCATGAGCTTGGATCTCCGGGGCTTGAACCTGGAGCCTATCCATGCTGCCCAACAAGGCCATTATCCGGAACACTCACTACCAGGACCCATCGACACACAATCCTTCCGGCAGGAAGACAGTACAGTAAGTATTACTAACCTAGGACAATCACCACAGCAAACTATGCAAGTAGCGCAGCCGCACAGTAAGCCCCAGCCGGGCCCCCAGGACTCCTTTCTGCGGTCCCCAGTACAGACTTCTCTCCCATCACCGCGGACTCCTCGACGGACTCTCCGCGCGCAGTCTCCCCAGCAGCCTCCCCTCTCTCCTTCAAAACCCCCCACTGAACAACAACTAAAAGATCTCCATGAGCACATACAATCTGTATATGGCTCATGTGGGCAAGTCTTTATTAACATCCTCCCCACACCCACTGCAACACCGCAGAAGCCGGCGCAGTTACCAAGTCATGAGCCGCTCAGTGCGCTTCCTCAGCCTCCAAACTTCACTGACATGACCGACATCAATCTCGAGCCGACTTCAAGTGCCATGACTTTCGACTTTGAGAACCCAGACGTCGACATGGGCTACGAATCCTCGTCATACTACACTTCAGATGCATTATCGCCGTCACCAATATCCTCACCTCATCAAAACTCGGCACAGCCATTCCTGGAGGGAATCGAGGAGCATCAAGAAATGATGTTCTCTCAACCACCAGCACTATTTCCCTCCTCTCAGAGCTCAATGTTAACACAAGGCTTGTCCTTGCCTATCGATATCGAATCGTTCGAACAGCCCGCACTCTTCAATGACCTCGAAGTAGATGCGAGTCTCGAATACACAGGTATCGCGCCAGAAGAGGTGCAGAGATACATCAGCGAGCAACACCCAACGACACAGAAGTGGACATGCCTTTACGAAGATTGTGGCAAAGTGTTCGGCAGGCGGGAAAACATCCGCTCACACGTCCAAACGCATCTTGGTGACAGACAATTCCGGTGCAACGGATGTGGCAAGTGCTTTGTTCGACAGCACGACCTAAAGCGTCACGCGAAGATTCATTCAGGGAACAAGCCCTACAAATGCCCATGTGGCGCAGGTTTCGCGCGGCAAGATGCACTCACCCGCCATCGACAGCGTGGCATGTGCGTCGGCGGGTTTGCCGACGCTGTTCGACGACAAGCGAAGCGCGGCAGACCAAAGAAGTATCGTCCAGACATGGAGCAGCGAGTCGACAAGGCGAGTAGGACGAGACGAGCACTTGTTTTGGCACCGTCGTCTTCAGCAGGCTCCCCTTACTCCGACGCTCGTTCACCGTCACCCCTTGACGGATACGAGCCTGCTCAATCACAAGACCTACCCCAGCTTCTTGCCAGCTCCCAAAGCTTCAACAACATAATAAACGCATCAGCGGATTCTTTCAGGTATGCATCACGTCTACATTTGCGAATCCCGCTAATCAAACTCTAGTTTCGATAACTCATCAAGCCCATTCGCAGAAGACACCAAGCTCGTAAATTCGAGCTTCGAGTCGTCTTCTTCTTACGCAGCCGATGTTGCATCCATGAACATCTTCCAGCAGCTTTCCCAGAATTCTCACACGCCTCCAATGTCGCCAGCCGAACTACGACCCCACTCGGCTGGGTCAGCCAATGGAGCTGCACTGCTCCAGTCAAGTTCACTGAAGCGGTCATCAACCCCATCGCGATCATCAATCCAGTCAAATCCCTTCACAACCCCGCCCACCTCTCCAGCAGAGCCGAAGGACGACCTTGACGAACTTTTCAATGTCTTGCCTGACAATTCATATTCTCAGTTCGATCTTGAGATGAAGGCGATGGGCGAGTTCACTTCCCTGGATTCTTCTTCGTATGATCTTTTGGACTTTGCCGTATAGCGCCATTTGACGCTCAGAAGATTCATTGGCGACGATTGACAACGATTGGCATTTAGCGGGAGCTGTATGATATATAAGGGATGTATGAACGTAACGATTAGCGTCTTTCACATCTCAGGGAGATATTTGGGCAACGCAGAACTGAAGAGATGCTCGGCTTACGACAGAATGACTTCGCTTCTCGGATTTTTACGTAGGGACCGCGACGTGGGATCACGCTCTTTTTGGCACGCAATGTTTTGATATCAGGCGCATTGGATGGATATTTGACCTTAGCTTTTGAGCCTGGCGTAATGCATCTTCCAGCGATAATTCGTTGGAGGAGATTCCGCATCCGTAGAAATACACTCTATGTGTGACGGTTCATGCGACCACTACCAACCACTATAGACCAAATCTGAACAGGGTGATTTTCATAATACAACAGGGTCTGTTTTTGAACCAGACGAGCGGCTGTAACCTTCTTCCGCGGTACTCCGGAACTTGGCACGCTCAAACCCATACTTAGTACATTAATAGACGTTGAAGGGACCCTGCATAATGTTAAGCTCCTCGACGTGCGACAGTGCATAATCGCCAACTAGGAGAAGGCAATCGAAGTTGACCTTGTTAGGAAAGTATAAAAGGAGACCCGGATGTGGTATGCTCGGTTTCTCGATTCACTTGAAGTGGAGAGTAATATCGTAGGTATGATTGAACTTAGTTCTGAAGCCCTAACTAAATAAACAGAAATTCATGTAGGAAAACATGGTATCACGTCCTTTCAGGATCTATGCTTGCCTACTTGACATACATTCGTTGCCCACATATATCCCCAACTTGAGGTTACCAACTGATAGACGTGCACAGCACTACTACCCAGCCCATCATCATAAGCATTACAATCGAGAGCGACCCTCCTGTCATCTTGGACGCTCCTCCTATCGCGCCTTGTCCATCCGTGCTTCCCTGCCCACCCGTGCCAGCTCCTCGCCCATTGTTATTCCCTGGCCCACCCACTTGCCCTCCATCTCTCCTCGCCGTCGTCTGAAGCGCGATATCCTGCATGGGCTGGCCTGGTGGATTGTTCACGCTGTTCACTAACGTCTGAAAATCCATCATTGGGTTCTCGATATTCGTACAGCTCATTCTTCCGCCATTCGCACTTAGCGGCCCCGGGATAGGTTTTGTTGATAACTGACCAGCGCCTGGGAACTGAGAGATGCTGTTCGTAACGGAGATCGGTAAGTTGAAAATTGTGTACCGATCGTTCCCGTTGAGTCGATAGTTTTGATGGATACTGATATTGTACTCTCCTCTCGCTGTGCCCTGCACATTATTCCCATCGCCAACCAAGCAGTCCGGCCATTCAAAGTTGATGTGCTTCACCGTCTGGCCCATTTCTTGACTCATGATATTTGCCAAAGGTGGCGTGGGTGTGGTTATATTTGAGATTGTGAAGTTCTTCTGCATGGTGTTGCTGGTGAGGAAGAGGGTAAAGTTGAAGACTTGTGTTAGGGGGTCATCGATCGGGCGCGGGGGCACAGGCAACTTGCCATCGCCGGAGATGTCGAGCGCAATGTGAAGGAAGTCGCCGCCCATGGGAGTAAAAGGCTGAGGCTACGGATGCTATTAGCTTCAGGTTGAGCGTTAGAGTGGTGGGCTGTGACATACCGCTAGTATTATTCCCAGTCCAGGTGTGAACACTCGTCCATTGACAATGTTGAACGCGCTGGTATCGGGCTTGTTATTTTGGCCATTACGATTATTGTTGCCGTTCTGTCGTAGTTGAAGGCGGCGGTGCCCTGCCCATGCGCCAACCATCTGAGCATCGACTGAGCCGCATATTAGACATAATGAAATCAGTAGGAGTGCTGAGAATGAAAAGGATAAGGAAATCATTGCTCAACAACGATGTGCATCCTGCCCCGCAGTAGTGAAGGCAAGAAAGCGACGAGAGGCACGACAGGGAAAGGTTGGCAAAGAGAGTCAGTTAGCGCATATCACAGACGGAGAGACGATAGCATCAAAACATGCATTCAGCCCGCCATAGCCGGACGAGGCGTCGCGAAAAGGTCGTGCACATGATGTTGGTTGACGTCAAGGTCCAGCTGTTCATGCTGTGAGCGTAGCCGAGGCTGTCCTGGAACAGATGTGCCGCAGATGGCCCAGGCTGGAAGGTGTGTTGACCCTGGTCACAGATGGGTGATTTGTATCCCTGAGACACGGAGCGTTTAAGATGCAACGGTTGTCAACAAGCCGTGCCTGAGGTTTCACGTCACGGAAGGAGGCTTCGCCTAGACAGCCTACGAGTACAGCAACGGTTTTGCTTACTCAAGAGTCTGCATCTTCAATTTGACAGTTGGCCGTTCATTTTCCTTCTCTCACCACTTGACGCCCTTCTTTCTACTAGGACCACCACAAAGCTGAGGAACATATTTAAAGTTTTATATGGACAACGAGATGGGGTATCACAATGTGTTATTCAACCAGACAAAACTTTGGTATTGCCAACGGCGACATAGAGAGACTTGTCAATCAGTAAATTATCTTAACAGCACACAAGGATCGGTCGCAATATTGCCGCTTCGGACTACCTGATGACAAGGTTTTCCATGGCCGATCACTCTCCAAGACAGATACTGAGAAAGATACTGGGCCAGGAATATCTCAGCTTTCATTCTTCTCGTTGGAATCCAGTGTTGCCTCTGCCCCCATTGTTGAGCTTTATCCAGACTGCACAATGTTTTGACAACTTGTTGTGTCCATTCATAAGCCATCGTGGCCCTGAATGAGGAATAAGGACAAAATCTATTTTAGGACGCACTCACAATGTCAGTCGAAACTAGGTATTCGAAAGGATCTTATCACCCAACCGCCGGTCTTCCTTCACGCAATATCAAGACAGCAATTGACACAAATCGTAGCTAAAAACAATATTCGAATAACACCTACACAGTCTTCTGTCCGAACTCCCTGGGAATTATCCTAGATACACTCAGTTTGCATTTCGGATTTGTCTAAAAATCCTAGTGGGTATCTTTTCGTCACTGCCTTCAACGCATCCACAACTCCGGTTCCGGTTCTGGACATGTCTACACGCGCGTCGGCTATGGGTCTGTATGACACAATGGCAGGCCCTAGACGTGACAGTCGTTCGAGGTCTAGGACATCGCTTGATGCCAGGGATAATGCTAAAACGTCGAACGACCAAGCTTCCCTTCCTCCTCCCACAATTCAGTCGTTGTTGTTCGAAATTTTGAGCAGCCGGATCGTGCGATGCATAGAATCCGAGCTTTTTCAACTCACCCGCCCTTCGATCAGAGATTGCACAGAAGATTTTAGTGTACAGAAGGCCTGGATAGCCTATCTTACCCTTAAAGCTGCCCAAGTCATCGTGCCGATTATGTGTAACAGCATCCTATATCAGGTCAAATTTCTCTGGACCAGCTCAATCATCGTAAACTCTGTCGACCAGCCTTTGCTTTATAGCGGGATTCTACAGCTAGCTCGTGAAAAGTCCGAGGAGAGTAATTCATTACGATTCAAGCTGCACGGACAGCACGAGAAACGCACGGCCGATGGCCAGCTAAAACCTCTAGCAGGCGGCACAGAAGAACCTTTCTGGCATAATGGTACACGATTTACCGTCGAGTATCTGAATACTAATAGCATTTCCAGAGATGTTCCAAGCAGTGTACAGCCCCTTGGACTTGTCCCTTGGCCTGGGAGTTCAGCAAGCCAACTGGCCATTAGCTGCTTTGGCCTTAGCAATGAACCAGTAAATAAGCTGTTAGATGAGGTCAACGAGCGAGTGGTTCAAAGCCAAAGGTTGAATGTGATTGAGATCCAAGCTGGTGCTACAGACAGGCTTCAGCAACGGAACAAGCGACCCCTGTCTATGGTCGATCTTGATCCGGAATTGATGGACGAAATCACCAAAGACGTTCAACAATTTTTCCGCAAGGACACTCTGGCATGGTACACAAGTATTGGTCAACCATATCGCCGTGGCTACTTGTTGCACGGTCCTCCCGGCACCGGTAAGACGACTCTGTCAACTGCCTTGGCTTCGCATTGCGACATTCCCCTCGTTATCATCACGTTATTGGGTATGGATGACATTAAGCTAAAAGAAGCTTTCGACCGGGCACCTTCCAAGTCCATCATTCTTCTAGAGGACATTGACTGCGCAGGGGCGGACGTTAGCAGCCACGGTGCACAAGCTACAGACAATGGATTCGAGCAGGCTCAAGCGGGATCCTCGATTCCGGGGATTCTCCAAACCGAAGTAACCTCATCATCACTCTCGTTGAGCGGACTTCTCAATGTGATTGACGGCGTCAATGCCAAAGAGGGTCGGATAATGGTCATGACGACCAACCACCCTAAGAAGCTCGATCCAGCTCTTTACCGGCCTGGTCGCATCGATTGCAAGTTTGAGCTCGGATACGCCAATAAGCAAAGCGCTTTGCTAACCTTTAAGCGTCTTTTCGATAACGACGTGCCCAAACGCTATACCACAGACGCCATCAGCCGGTTCGCAAAAGCCTTCCACGACCAGTTCCCTAGCAACAGCAAGGTGACTACAGCCGAGCTTTGCAAATACTTTGGCCAGTACCGTGGCAGACCCGACAAGGCTGTAGAGGAATTTGCTCACTGGCTTGAGGTTGGTGCTGACAAGTTCACCTGTCCCATGGACTACATTCAGTCGAACGACGAGGATGGCGTTTACAACGTCCCGGAGCCTTTCGATCGTTCTCTTTTACAAGTGAGCTCCTCGGACTTGGTCAATACTGAAGTTGGCGCAACAAATACTGTTCCCTCTGAGGTCCATACCGCACGATCTCAGTGGAGTACGCTGAGTCGGAAACAAGGTAGTGCAAACAAGGAGTTGACAAACACTGGTTGTGCTCCTCGCCTTCGAAGATGCTGTGTAGGCATTGGTCTAGCATCTCTCCCTATTTTCTCCCTTCGCAATGTGTTTCCCATCCCGTATCGTCTCATCAACATTGTTGGACGAGCCGGTCTTGTCCCTTCTGGGGGTGGTGTAGGTTAGCAGTCTTTGCATCTCAATTTTTCTGCTCTTTGTTTAGAGAGATAAGATTTGGACTTTGAATATCACATACCTTGAAATCTAAATCAACCAAGTAAACCTTTGATAAAAGAATGAATGAAACTCTTTGATGTTTTCAAAAAAACAAACATGAATAGCTTAAACATCCTCCTCCCTCCAAATCTGTATAGCATTTTTCATACGATGGAATATACGGGTTTGAGTCAATCCACGAACTGATCATGTATGCGTCATGCAGCGCGTAAACTTGGTTCGCATTCTGCTTTCTGCCAACATGGGACATACTAGCTTCAACTAGCATCCCAACTGAAGTTCACAAACAGCAAATGCTTCTTGGCACCGAAGGTAATGGCTGTACCACAAAGCCCGCTGTCGAGGCCCGGCCTTGGTGATGCGCGACAAAGAAAAGTCACCAGCGCTCTGATTCGCCAATGGCAACACCGACGGCTGCGAACCGCTCCGATCGGAGAGGTGGATTTGGCAACAGTGACATGGTTTGCGCTTCACGGCAAGGAGAGGATGCAGGCTTTTCGTTTATTATTCGTTCGGCGTGGGTCTCTATCAATATGGTCGCTGCTTGACCTGCTACACGTGCGTGGATGGCGCCTTCTGTGTGGTGTGTGGTCCCGTCGGCAGGCCCAAGCTCGACTAGACTTTGAGCATACAAGCGGGGGGCATCAAGCTCTCTTGGGCATGATTCTCCTACCCTGGACCCTGCGGGTAGCTTCAGTTCACTGTCATTCTTAAGACGCCTTGTCTTTCCTTCATTCATTCAGCAATTCGGGCGTGCAATTGCAGCCATCTCGCCCGACATGAGGTTCGTTTGACCCCGGCACTGCGCTTCCGTCCAACCCTGCACTCCTCCAATCGTTGCATAGGTCCATGATGTCAACCGGGGCTAATGCGAGTACAGGTTCGGCCAACAGCTCAAGCAGTCGCTCAACAAGGAGTGGGTCTTCTACTACATCGACTACGAGGGCCTTAAGAATGCCCTGCGCGTCCACCACATATGGGATGAGAAGTCGGAACAGAGCTTCGTCGAGCAGCTGGAGAAGGAGCTCGACAAGGTCTACACCTTCCAGCGCGTCAAGAGTGAGGAGATCATCCGCCGCATAGCATCGTCGGAGAAGGAGGTCAGCGATGCTGTTGCGCGGGCACAGCAGGCTCTGGGCCAGGACAGCGACTCTTTCGAAGAGGACTTTGACCTGCTCGAAGAGGACCTGAGCGACATCATCGCCGATGTGCACGACCTGGCCAAGTTCACCCAATTGAACTATACGGGCTTCCAGAAGATCATCAAGAAGCACGACGTATGTGTATGCGCCATGAGACACCCAATTGATGCTAACAAGTGGTAGAAAAGCACCAGCTGGGTCCTCAAGCCTGTCTTCGCCGCCCGCCTCAAACGCAAGCCCTTCTTCCAAGACAACTACGACTCGTACGTAGTCAAGCTCTCGAGGCTTTACGACATCGTCCGCACACGCGGCAACCCGGTCAAGGGCGATGCATCCGCGGGAGGAAAGCAGCAGAATTTCGTTCGCCAGACAACCAAATACTGGGTGCATCCGGACAACATTCTCGAGCTAAAGCTGATTATCCTCAAACATCTTCCTGTCCTGGTATTCAACCCTAACAAGGAGTTTAACGAGGAAGACTCTGCCATTACATCCATTTACTATGATAACACAGAGACATGGGAGCTGTACATGGGTCGTTTACAGAAGACGGAGGGTGCGGAAGCGATCCGCTTGCGCTGGTATGGAGGCATGTCCAGCGACACTATTTTCGTCGAGCGAAAGACACATCGTGAAGACTGGACCGGCGAGGAATCTGTAAAGGCTCGGTTCAAGTTGAAGGAGAAGAACGTCAATGCGTTCCTCCGCGGTGAGCTGAGGCCTGAGCAGGTCTTCGAGAAGGAGCGCAGGGAGCAGAAGAGATCAGAGAAGGACATTGCTTCGGATGAGCAACTCGCCCGCGAGATCCAGTATCGCGTACTCACCCGCAAGCTCGTCCCCGTCACTCGCTCCTTCTACCATCGAACTGCCTTCCAGCTCCCCGGAGATGCTCGAGTCCGCATCTCACTCGACACGGAGCTTTCCATGACCCGCGAGGACAATCTAGACGGCAAGAAGCGCGCAGGCGACAATTGGCGTCGTATGGACATTGGTGTGGATTGGCCATTCAAACAGCTTCCAAAAGATGACAAGGAGCTATTCCCCTACGCTGTTCTCGAAGTCAAGCTGCAAACTCAAGCCGGACAAGAGCCACCGCAATGGATCCGCGATCTCACTTCCTCGCATCTCGTCGAAGCTGTGCCCAAGTTCTCCAAGTTCATTCATGGAACCGCCACGCTTAATCCCAAGAGGATAAACCTGATTCCATACTGGACTCCGCAGATGGATGTTGACATCCGCAAGCCTGTTAGTCACAAATTTGGCATTGAAAGGCCCGGGGCAAGCAACGACATCAGCACGAGCGGTAACCTCGACGACGATAGCGACGACGAAGATGCCGTCATGGGGCTTCCGGGTGCTAACGGCGACGAAGATGATGATCGGCTCAGAAGGCTTCGTGAAGCTCGCGATGTCATGGAGCAGAACGAGATGGCCCGTACTCGCGACTATGGTACCCTCACTAACGCAAATGATCCGAATACGCTTGACATTGAGGAGCGTGTGGCGGCCGGACGAACCCGCGATAATGACCACCCCATCTACGACTCGGACAGTGATGATGAAGAGGAGGATTACGCGGTGGCGAAGAGGGAAGGAGGCCTTCGATACTACCGGAAATGGGCGGAGCATACAGCTACTCATGTTGGAACTGTGCTTATCAACGGCTTCATTGCCATCATCCCTAAGCCGACGCCTACGGATGTGGGCGACGGTGGCTTCTCGCTGGGTGTACCGACATGGAAACAGGCCGGCGAGGTGAAGAGGTTCAAGGCGCCGAAGGGAAAGCGTAAGTTATTCTAATCCGGTGCCGTTGTTTCATTACTAACATATGACAAAGGCATACACGTCCCCGTCCGCGTCGAGCCAAAAGTCCAACTAGCAACCGAGCGCACTTTCCTCTCGTGGCTCGAATTCTCTATCCTCATCAGCTCCATTGCCGCTACCCTGCTGAACTTTGGCGACGGGCTCGCCTTCGCCGCCGCATGGGCATTTACTACCGTCGCTTGTATCGCGCTCCTTTACTCTGCTGGCTTGTATCTGTGGAGAGTGAAGAAGATTAAGGAGAGGAGAGCTGTCGTGTATCACGATAAGTGGGGGCCTACGTTGCTGTGTGTGGGTCTCTTTGCGGCGGTAGCTGTGAGCTTTGGATATCGATTTGGGAAGGGTGGATATGATGGAGGCTTGAAAGGGGGAATGAAAGGATAGAGGTGGAGAGAATTTGTAGATGGAAATCATCAAGAGGTGGCCAGAGGAGAGAGGGGTTTAAATATGATACGGCTGGACGATTCTTGTAGTATAGTATAGCGTTGAACCAGTATTACCTACTTGGGTACATAATAATGAGCTCAAATGAGAACGAGAGCTTTGTTTATAATTACCGTCTTTTAGCCATGTAACTTGTCTTAGAATGCCTTAAGTTCCATGTAAAAAGCAATCCTTAGCTAGTGTTAGTATAGCGAATCTTAGAGGCTACTAGGAATAAACAACTGGAAAAAGGCATCGGTTAGTTTGTTGTTTTGGGTCACATGGTCCACCATAAAGTGGAGACAGATTGATATAGTTGTTGATGAAGGACATTGTATTAGATGAAACCCATAAAAACTCCGCCATTGCCCTCGGGACTTTTATGCATAACCCAAGAGCGCAAAGAATGTATAGGAATCGAATGATTGAACTAAAGAAACCGAAAACTCCGTCCAGCGCCGCGCGGTCATGAGCCGTGCTCGTTGGGTATCGTATAGTAATAGCTTGTTAGGAGACGTATAATCGTAGCAACATCGGCGAGGTCGAATTGCTGTGGCTGAAAGGGAAGAAGACACCGAATAGATGGGATCGGCAGTGTATGATCCGATGGCAGCTGTCAGGCGTGGCGAGGCGCAAATGCGTTGACCCGAGGGAGGTGAGACATGTGGTATGAGGTTGGAATGTCGCGTCCCAAAATAGCATCTCATCCAGCCAACCGCCGCCCCCCAACAACTACGCATCTGGATTCGTCAAGGGATGGTTTGCATGCGAAGGGAACGTCGTCGCGGGACTGACGTGCTGGCTCGACTCTGGACTGCTGTTCTTGCTCGACTCTGGCGTGGGCGTAACGGATCGCGACACGATGTAGAGATCGTCGTAGCTTCCGAGGATCATGTGTTTCCACTTTGCGAGTGTAGGCAGGCCGACGTTTGCGACGGAGGCCTTGAGCGTGGGCTTCTCGGCGTACTTTTCGCGCTCTTCGGGCATCATGAGGTCTTCGCCTAGAATGTCTAGACGACTGTTTCCACGGGGTATGGGCTTCTTGGTGACGCGGATGAAGGGTAATGAGGGGTCTACGAGCGAGCCATGTCAGTCGGATTAGGACGGGATACTATCGCGCGGGCAAACTCACCTTTGTCGAGCTCCTCGCAGAGCGTGCTCTCGGTCTTGACTTCTAGGCCTTTGGCGCCTGAGCGGTACTTGTAGACGAGAATGGATTTACTGCCATGCTCGTCGAGATCGAACAGGCTGCTCGCCTTGCTCGATACCGTGCCGGATGTAGACACCGATTTGAACGTCATGCTTTCGTCCAACATTCGAAGGTTGACCGAAGGAAAGGTGAGGCTGAGACGTTGGGTTGCGGAAATAGGGCTTCTGGCGGTGGTGGGCGTTGGACTATCGATGTGTCTCGCTCGCTTTTGCTAAAGGGGGCGCTGTTTGTGGTCTTACAAACTGGTGGACCGTGGCCGTGAGTTGCTTTGTATAGGCAGTGGGCGCTTTGGAGTCTGGTGATTTGTGGAAGCAGAGGGAAGATGCAGGTTGGGTCATGGAAGCACGTCGAGCGTCACACACGAGCGCTGCGCCCAGCAGCAACCGGAAGTCAGGCAAACGGGCCTTGGCTATGATGACGGATTCGGCCGATTTGCTGTTTGATTGGTGAAGATGGTGGCTGTGCTGGGCATATCCGTGATTGGCTACGCGGGGAGGCGGGTGGTGGAATATACGAGGCCCTTCGCGCTGTTGCAATACAGGCTTGGACAACGACAAGCCCTTTGTGTTGTTTTGACTCACCTTCCGATACTCGCTTGATTGGTGCTTGACGAAAGCGTATATCTGAGTGTCTGGAAGGGTTCGGTGGGAGAGGCGACGGGGCGCAAGCACGATTCTAGGGCGAGATATTCCCAATATGGTGAAGGAATACAACCGATGTCCTGAGAATAGCAAGTATCAATGGCCGCGTTATTGCCTTGGACACAGGTGGTAGCGCTTTTGAGACTTCTACACCGGCCCGGTCTGTCACGAGCTTGGAGAAAAGCGACAGACGAGACTCAAGCGTCTGGTGTCACCTGCGAGTCTGTACAAGGAAAACGCCATTCAGGTGATTCTCCCTGACTAACGGTCCGGATATTTACGCTCGCTTGTTCATCACATACATCACAAGGAGGCGTCATCTGGGTCTGCGTTTCTGAAACCCTGAATCTAGTTTGTTCAAGTTGCAGTACTCCAGATCGCAGGGCAAGTTCTTGCCGGCTGTAGCTGCCTATCTTCCCCAACGTAGTAAAGAGAAATGCAGTGTAGTTTGCGTGTAGAGGCAGGCTAGAAATCATACTGCTCAAGTGCAAGGGGCGAGGTGATGCGATGCAATGCGATGCGATGCGATACCCACACTCTGGCTACGATCGCGGTCCGCTCGCGGGCTGATCTCATCACCTTAAATCACTCATCGTTGCACAAAACAAACCTCCGAACAACCCCTGACCACTTCTCTATGCTTGAAAGTGATCATTTCGATATCAAGCCTTGGGCCGAACTTCATGCGATTTACAGCTCCAAAGGGCACTCAGGAGGCGCAGCATATAGCAAATCAGGAACAAGTATCCCCAGAAAGTAGCTTCGCTAGCGTAGTGTATCAGCCATTCCCGCCTCCGCCCCGGTCAAGCGCACACCCTCCGTCACTCTTCCTGCAGCGCAAGCTGTCATGAGGCTCTTCGCAGCCTTATTTACTGCTACTACTGCGCTCCCCTGTTATGCGCAGACCCGTTGCATTCCGACTCCATCAACCTGATCAAAGACCAAACAGTGGATCCCCCTAGGAGCAAACCCACGGTACATATCGAGCTACTGCGCAGACCGACATCATGCTGCAACCACCGATAGAACCGCGCTCGAGGCCGCTGAGCATCAAGACGACGGGGACCACAGCCACTTCGGCAACGGTACAAGATAAGTCAGGGGACACTTGGAAAATGAGAGTGGACAAGGACAATTGCTGGGACGATCTCATACTCACGCTAGGTACGTACAAGTCGTTGGTTTGGCACCCAGGTAGCCGCCAGGCTTGCTGTTGCTGTTGTTCTTATTGCGCATTTGGAGTCACATACAGAATCGCATGCTCACAAGATTCCGCAGATGGTGGAGGCATTAGGGGCTACTCCAGCCTGCTCATCCTCAAGCAACTCATGCATGAAGTCGCCGAATGCGAGATACGATTACAGAAGGAAGAGGGCCCGGTTGCAGGAAGTCAAAGGCGCGAGTTCAACGAGAATGAGCTGCTGCCATGTCACTACTTCGACTACATGTATGGCACGAGCACAGGCGGCCTCATAGCCGTCATGCTAGCCCGCCTACGCATGACCGTACCGCAATGCCTCGAAATCTATCGGAAGGTAGGCCACGAGCTATTCGGCCATCGGAGAAACGTCCTACCGTTGGCGACCAAATACCACCATAAGCCGTTGGAGAAGGCGGTACGCGACATAGTTAGTCAATACTGCAAGCATCATGAGGGCTGTAAAGGTGATGATATGCACCCTTGGTACCCGAACGAAGATGATGCGCCCGCGAACGCGTCTGGTTTAAGCTCACTAGAAAGCTCGGCCGCGTGGTCAAGCACACGAGAATCGAACATCGGCGGGCCGAGTAAGCCAACAGAGAGGATATGCCAGTCGTAAGTAGACACCCCTCTCAATGAGGCTAGAATGCCTTCGAGACCAATTATAAGATCCTTGAAGTCGTACTCAGCTTGGCTCTTGCAAGACTTGTACTAACTGCGAATAGTATCTGCCTCACCGCAACACACTCTGGCCAAATCGACGAAGCCTACCTTTTACGCTCGTATGAGCACCGATATGACCCTGATATCGCTCCGCCCTGGGTTACGCCTTACAACAAAGGCATTGATAAGCTTGAGATTTGGCAAGTAACGAGGGCAACCTCGGCTGCCCCTTTCTACTTTGACATGCTCACCGCCGACCCTGGTAACGGCAAGGGTTTCCTTGGCTTCAAAGACGGTGGAATCCGGGAAAACAACCCCTCTTACGCTGCCTATAGCGAACACGCTTCTCTCAAGGGCGATCGCGACCCAGCTCTACTCTTATCAATCGGTACGGGAAGGCCAGACACTTCGCACGACGGTTTTGCAGCTGTCTGGCCAGGCCCTCTGGGTAGACTGCGTATTCTCCAAAAATGGAGCGAAAAGTTTGCAGTATTCAAGAATGTATTGATCAAGTACACCGAGGGCGAGGATCGACACAAAATGATGCGGACTATTGCCAAGGGGGAACACAGATGGTACAAGCGCTTGAATGTGGACACTGGGCTTCAAGATCTCGCGCTTGACAATTGGGAGAAGGGGTCTTGGACAAATCCGCAAACTGGCGAGACAAAAGTCGTTAACGGAGGCACAACACTTTCAAAAATGGAAAAGGCTACGTCTGAATATTTGACAAGACAAGATACAAGACAGATAGGGGGGTTCCCAGAATACCAACCGCCGAAGATCGTGCTGCAGCAGGTTGCAGAGAGGCTAGTGAGGCATAGGAGGCTCCGCGAGGCTACCAAGGCTGAAGACCTCAAGCGATGGCAGACGCACATGGGCCAGTGGCTCACCGGTGAGCTCAAGCCTGAAGACACCATGATTCAGCCTGCCCCTCCAGCGCCTAAGAAAGGCTCTCGGGTCAATATCTCTTAACAACGCTCGGAGCACCTCGCGAGCTTTGCAGCTGCTCGCTCGATCTAGGATGACACAGCTAGACGACTACTGTGGTACCATTTACCAAGCCCACGACCTCTCCAACAAAAATTCCCATCAAAATACTCTCTTCAGTCAGCATAGCGTTCTATTGGTCAGAAAATTGTTTCAATATTGCATGGCATGGCATAGCATAGCATAGCATAGCGCACGGAGCACTTACGATATCACATACACATCCTCCCGAGGCGTCGGTACGAGGAAAATCTATATGGCAACTGGCGTTTGGAACATCTTTCATTTCGTAAGTATCTAGTGGCATTTCCAGTTTATACAAGGCGCATAGCGTGGGCAGCGCGGAAAGAAAAGGAATAAGATACCATTTTCTTATATACATTAGTAATCGATCTTATATACATTAGTAATCGAATGCAACGTTTATTCTATTCTGTTCTTCACTTTGACGTGCATGCCTTGTCCGTCATCGGTTCGGATATCCTTGGTACGAGATCATGTTTGCGTGGGCACCAACGGCTGACGGGTCATTGCTAGGGTGTCAGCGCCACCAGATTTTGTGTCAGGTACAGCCTGAGGCAGGCTGTCGCCGTCAAACTCCACGCAGAACCTGAGCTCACGATACAAGGCGGATTTCAAGTCGTAATCAGAAAGGGAGCAAAACTCAAAAGATAGTCCTTTGGTATCAGACTGGATTTCCATGGTTGAGGTAGGTAGGGACGTAAAATTAGATCGTACTCTACATTTCTGCGTAAAGATGATTATGCCTTGAGAATTCTTCCAGTTGTGACATGGCACCTGGTCTCAAGACTATTGTGATACTATGTGGACTAACCATGGTTGCAATGCGCAGATTAGTAACTGAATATGGAGCATTTTTAGATAACTTATAAAAGCAAATGGAAAGAATCCCAGGTAAAGTCACAGCAGACTCATACAACACAATACAAGAAATTAGTAGAGAGTCTACAGTTCAGGTACTACATCCACACGGAGAGAACAAACCACTTTTAGTCCTTTAGCTAACGACTTCAAGCACCTTCCAAACTCTACTCTATACCAGCAAGGCGTCCTAAGGGCACCATCTAACCTATGCCTCCGCACTTCAAGTACCTCTACAGAACCGGCGAAAGCTCAACACGTAAGACTAGGGAATAGGCGCTTTTGAAATCTCCCTAACCTCTGCCAGCCACCATGAGCGAACCAGATACCTGTCCAGATACCTGTCCACCGCCCCCAACTCAATGTAATCACAAACATCTCCGCACTCAAAGTACCTTCACAGAACCAGCGATAGCTCAACTAGGGCGTAGGCGCTTTGGAAATCCGCTTCCACCGCCCCCCAGCCACATGCTACTGCCATTACGACCACCATCCCTGCCAGGCGTTATCGTAACTATACCCGCAGACCTACCCCTACACGCGCCAAAACCTCAGCGGCCTGGACAGAAGCATGCCATACTGCGTCTTTCGACAATGGATGAGGAAATCGCATACCTGGCGATGCACCCTCTACCAGACTCGTCAACATCCCCAACTATTGGCGACTCATCAACATCCCCAACTACTGGCGGCTCATCAACATCCCCAACTACCGGCGCCTCGTCGCCGCCTGGGTTGACCATGTTTTTATCACCAAGAATTTGGAGACTCCAAAAGGAGTATTCCGACAGGATGATTATTGAAGGTCACATGTGTGAGCTGTACATGGAATTAAAAAGGATGGTGCAGTACTACAAGACCATGTACGAAGGTACAGTACATGAGGCTCTCGTGCAGGGGTATTGCGAAGAGGATATGGCGGGTATCCTGGATGGTTTCCAAGGAAAATTTGAGGGCACAGAGTGGCAGGGCATTGGGGGCAGGATAGGGGATGATGTTACTTATCGGGATTATACAGCTTGGGCGAAGGAACGTGGTAATAAGAATAAAGGTGGTAATGCGGGGACATGTCGCCTTCGCCTTCGTATGCAGATGGTGGAAGAACTCGAATCTCGTGGCGCTCAAAATCGATGTCATTAAGTGCCGTCCTTAGACATGTATAAATTTGAACAATTGTCCACCAACACGATCCCATTCATCATTCCATCTATTCCCACTCTCTTCCAGGGCGCCGTTCTTGAGCTGTCGCAATAGAGCATCATCCTTCCCAAAGAGATCAATCAGCTGCTCAGCAAGTTGCTGTGAGCTCGCGAAACCCTTTCCGTTGACGTCCTCTTTGACCAGCTCGGGCCATGCTTCAAATTTGCCCCATCCTACGACTGGCAAGCCTGCGCCAAACATGTCGACAACCTTCATGGGCAGATCGACGCCGGATGACGAGGTGTGAAGAGAGACGCCAAGATCTGCAGAGGCAAGGAGGCGTGCGTAGTCTTGGGGTGTGAGCCATGCTGTGGTGACAATGACGTTCAATAGCTTCTTCTGTTGATTGAGGGCCTTGACTTTCGTGAGATAGTGAGACTGCATGGGCCCTTTTCCAGTAATGATGGCCAGGATCCTTGGTAGATGGGTCTTCGAGGTAGCCTCAGCGGAGTAGGCGACGAGTGCATCAAGCAATATTGAGAAGTCTTCGTCGGCAGTCCAAGACGTAGAGCTCACGATGAGCTTCCAGGGTGTCTTTGAAGAGGGCGAGAGGTCTTGGGCATACTGAGCCGTTTCCGGAAGTCTCGCAAGAAACTGTGTCCGCTCCTGAGAAGTGATGGGACGGAACATGGAGGCTGGTCGATCGTGAAGGGCCTGTGCTGTTATTCCGTAGCTGTCTTTGAGCACGCGGGCCATGGCGTTCGTGACGGTCAGGTGATGTGTTGCAGCCTTTGCGAATATTTTCTCATATCGCTCTGAGATACTGACGAGGGGATGCCTCTTGCCCAGCTTGAGCGCAAGGATTGAGTATCCGAAATTGTGCCAATCGATAATGAGGTCGGTGTTTCTGAGGAAGCACACCAAGCTGGCTATGGCGAGGGTTGGTATTGAAGGAGGATTCTGGACGAGCATCCATCTCCCAGGCTCAGAACGGTAGCCTAGTGCGCGATAAATGGACCTTGCTTGCCAGATAGCTTTGAGAGGTGCTAGAATGGGAAACAGTAGTTTGCTGCTAGACCGCAGGAAAGCTGGTGCTGCAACAAGTGGGATGATTGTGATTAGTGGATTTGAGACGATGTCCGGATGGATCTCTGATTCTGAGGACTGTTAGACAGTACTAGTTTTCTAGCATTTGGAGGTTGGCATACCTTGATACCCGATGAGAAACACCCTGCCACCATGTTTCGCAATGCTCAAGGCATGGTACTGCATGCGGGGTGAGCGGCCAATGTCTCCCAATACAAGTATCTGGACAGTCCGACCCTGCCTCCACTTGAGCGGATCCTTTCCATCTTTTGTCTTCATCTTGATCTCCTTGCCCGTCTCGTCCACGAACTTGGGCGGTTTATCTGCGTATGGATCATATTGGCCCGGCAGCGTCGCCAGCAGAATCGTGAAAAGAGTCGAGATGCAAAGGATGGCGCCCAGCACGACGGTGAATCCGTTGCTAAACTTTTCGGTCAAGACGAAGTCTTCGAACATGTTTTGTCCGTGTGTTGGTGAGGTCCAATTGCGGCTCAACGTGGGAAGATGAGCTGCGTCACCGGGCATCTGTAGCCGCGATTGCGGAGATCAAGACCGGGGTTGTACCGAAACGGGAAGGCGGCCAGGGCTTGCTCTATCTGGGACCCCTGAGCTTGAATTGATGAACGCGGCCGCTATTCCAAACGCCGCGTTGCCTCATTGCAACTGCTTTGACTGACGCCCCGCCAACCCGCTGCTTTCGCTATCCTCTTTCTGCTGGACGTTCTGGTTTGGATCGGAGACAGCGTACGGCCAAGTCTTCGCAACATTGGCGCACTAGACGGCCCACCTCCAGCCTACACCATACACCCCGAGTCAAGACACTTGGACTTGAACACGGTGCCAGCTTGCAGATGGCGTCGACGTATGCGCTGCCTAATGCTTCTACATCGCAAACCTACACCCATGGACGTTCACCATCGCTCTATACTCCCGAACCCTCTCCATACGCGAACAGCCCCTTGAGCGGCGCATCACCTGCAAAAGAGCCCGGCCACCGACATTACCGATCGGACATGAACGGAAGCGGGCATTTGCATGGCGTAATGCACTCGCCATATGCTGAGCACAGTGACCATGGACACGACCACGATCATGGACACAACCGCTCGGCTTCGAACGACTCGACGTATACGCTGAAGCCGTTTCTGAACGGGAGGCCCAAAAATAGGCCACGAGGGGAGTCAGACTTGGGACGGTCAAAGATTACTTCCTCTACAAAATATGGCTTCTCGCCGATACACGAGACTGCTCCTGTCTCTCCCCCCTCACCTTCGTAAGCAAACCCCGTTTCCGTGCTCGGAGGATATCAATTGACACTGAGAAGATCATGGCTCGAACTACCCGAAGCCCTCACCGCGCTCCTCATACCCCTCCCATACATCTTCGCCTCGTTAGCGTACCCCAGCGTAGTCGGACGGGTACAAAAGCTGCCCTCGACCCTCTCAGAAGCCGTTGCAGAAAGTGCGCCCACGGTAGAACTACCGAGTACAATGGGTGAATCCCCACTATTGCACGCCCTAGTCCTCTCCTCCGCCACATTGATACTGGTTGGCCTGATAGCCAAGGTCAACTCCAGCCTACAGCCATTAGACAGACGGAAAGCCGAAAAGGGAACATTTGATATTGGCCAGGCGCCCAAACGCATACTTGGCAATATACTTGGTATGCTGCTACCGTTCTACGCCACGATGCAGCTAGGAGGACCAAAGACAGCCTTAGTGCTGCTAATTGCAGTAGCTGCAGGAATCGGTTCTTTTGATGACAAGCGAGGAAACCCTACGGCGTGGGACCAGCTTCAGCGGACGTTGAAGACACGGAAATCAACATGCATAGTACTCCTGCTGGTCTTGGTCCAGGATGCTATCAAGTCAAGTAATCTCACAAGCACATTACTCGGTCACGGTGTGCTTCTCACATCAATCCTGTTCGCTCCTCCGCCTCTACCGACAGTCGAATTGCCCATCAGAACAGCGTCTCAAAGCGAGGGCTCGTATATCAATCAGCGCCCAGCACGATCCTCCGTATCGAAGGTTTCGTCGCCTCTTGTAAGCTCGTTCGAGAAGACGCTCCTCACAATCGCGTCTGGCCTTATTCTGACTGTCGCCACCATTATGTATTCTCTTATATCATCTTTCTCGCCGTCCCTTTCCCAGCATGCTATATGGTTTTCGACTTTATCAGTGGCATCAGCGACGGCGCTTGTATACTTTGCGCTTCCACGGGCATTAGACAGTCAAAAGCACATTGGTTTGGCATTAGGATGTGTCTTGACTACCGCTTTCAATACCTGGGAACAGTACAACGTGGGCTTCTCTTGGGCTTTATTCCCGTTGAACAGCGCGGTATTCGCTGCAGCGGTTGTTCTGGATACGCGAGCACTCATAGTTCCTACGCCAAATTCTCACGGCCATTCACATTCGAGCCACGCGCATTCTCACGATCATCAACACGACCAGGAACACGATCATCATCTGCATGGGAATCACTCAAGATTCTCTGCGTTCTTGATTGCGCGGGCCACACCAGGTTCTATCATCCACAGTGTCCTGATCGAGAAAGACTCGAGGCGGATTGCGTACTTTGGAGTGTAAGTCACTATCGCGCTCCGCATATGACGTGAAATTTGAGACCTCGCTGACATTGACAGACTCAATCTGGCCTTCATGCTGGTGCAATTCTTTTACGGCTTCGTCAGTGGCTCGTTAGGGCTTCTTACCGACAGCATCCATATGCTCTTCGATTGTGCTGGTCTCGCTGTGGGTCTAGCAGCCGCAGTGATGAGCAAATGGCGCCCGAATGCACGATTTCCGTATGGCTATGGCAAGATTGACACACTGTCTGGCTTTGCAAACGGCGTATTTCTATTGCTCGTCAGTGTAGAAATCATATTCGACGCATTTGAACGTCTTTGGGAGGGTCACGAGCTGCAACGACTGAACGAGCTCCTAGTCGTCAGCATTCTCGGCTTCCTCGTCAACATCGTCGGTCTAACAGCATTTGGGCACGCTCACCATGGCCACGGTCACTCTCACGACCACGGCCATGAAGGTCATGATCATGGCCACTCACATGGCCACTCTCATGATAATGAGAACATGCAGGGCATCTTCTTGCACATCCTCGCCGACGCTCTGGGCTCCGTCGCTGTCATCATCTCTACCCTTCTCACCAAGTACTATGGCTGGTCTGGTTGGGACCCCATCGCATCGTGCATCATCGCTGTTCTGATCTTCTTGTCTGCCATCCCTCTTGTAAAGTCTAGTGGAGCTAGGCTGATGCTGAGCTTACCGAACGATCTCGAATATGGTATTCGAAATACGCTGGGCGAGCTGGGTTCATTGAGGGGCGTAGTGGGTTACGCGGTGCCGAAATTCTGGCTAGAGGACGAGGGCGCCGCACATGCGGAAGCGCATGCTAAAGAAGCGCATGCCTGTGGACACGAGCATAAGCACGACCATGACCATGACCACGACCACGACCACAAACACGATCATTCAGAAGAACACACACATGATCATGATCATGACCATGCTCATAAACACGACCACGACCATGAACATAGCCACGCCGCGCCCAAGCAAAGAATCCTCGGCGTTATTCACATCATTGCCTCGCGAGCCGCAGATGTCGAAGATGTTCGAGAACGTACAACACAGTTCCTCAAAGGCCGGGGTATGGAGGTCGTTGTCCACGTTGAGCATGAAGGCGAAGGACGATGCTTCTGCGGTGGCGGGAGTGGGAAGATGAGCTAAGCAGTCAACGTTTTTGTATATCATGAGACTTTTGGAAGTATACGACAGTTGGGAGATATGCCCCTTGTACATCATCATTACAAAGTAATAAACGGTATTTAGGTCCTCGGGTGTCTGGCTCTGTCGCGTGTTATAAAGGGGCCTCTTCATTTAATGTGACCTGCCTTCGCTCTGTATTTTGTATGCAAATATTCTCCAAATAAATACAAGCACCCTAGGAACTTCAGAACATATAATTTCATAGTCTACTTGGACAGTGTGTAGAAGCTACACATGGCAAAAGTAACAAGACTTGAACAATTCTTCTTGAAGTACTCTTAACTAAAGCTATTGAGAAAAACTTTAACTAGCAAAGACTGGGAGTATAACGACTAGCGAAAACCACTATCCCTCCCAAGGTGCACATGACCCTCTCTACTTGCCCATACTCTGCAAATACACCTCCCACCCATCCTCCAGCAACGCCTTATCCTTCCTCAGCACCTCGACTTCATTCCCCTCCATCCACACCCTCAACCGCTCCCGAACCGCCAAATCACTCGCGCCCAGAATCCTCACAGCCAGCAGCGCAGCATTCGTACTATTGTTGATGCCCACAGTAGCAACCGGCTCGCCCCTCGGCATCTGCGTCATGCTGACTAGACTATCCCATCCATCCATGTGCGTCGCCTTGACGGGCAGACCGATGACGGGCAGCGTGGTCCACGAGGCGCACATACCAGGGAGATGTGCGGCGCCTCCTGCGGCGCCAATGATGACCTTCAACGAAGTAGACGCTGCGGCCTTGGAGAACTCGCGCAGCCAGTCGGGCGTTCGGTGCGCAGAGGTAATCCGCGTGGTGAAGGGAATGTCCAATTTCTCCAGGATCTGAAGACCGGCTTTGAGCACGGGGAGATCAGAGTCGGAGCCCATGATGACGGCGACCAGAGGCTCGCCCTTTGTGCTACTACCGAGTTCTTTGCGCGGTTCTGGGGCTTTTCCTTTTTGGCTGTCGACAAAGTCGATGAGGGGTTGCATTTCACGTTCTGCGGCTGCGAGCGTGGGCGCTGTCACAGTGATGTGGCCCATCTTCCTGCCTGGTCGGGCGTCGCCTTTGCCGTAGAGGTGGACGCTTGCGTTAGGGGATTCGAGGGCCTTGTTTGCGACTTGGACGTGAGAGTCTGGCGTTTGGCCGCCGAGGATGTTGAGCATGATGGATGGTTCGCGCAGACGGAGGCTGGCTTGCGAGATAGGCAAGTCGAGGATAGCGCGAAGGTGTGCATCGTATTGTGAGATGGGGCAGGCTTCGATTGTGTAGTGTCCTGAGTTGTGTGGGCGGGGGGCAATCTCGTTGATGAGCAGACTGTCGTCCTTGAGGAGGAACATTTCGACGCCGAAGACGCCCTTGCCTTCGAATGCGCCGATGGCCTTCTTCGCAAGATCTTGTGCCCTCTGTGCTGTTTTCTCAGATACGTTCCGCGGCGGCGCGTACGTGAGCTTGCATATGCTGTCCTCATGCACCGTCTCCACGGTGGGGAATGTGAGAACACCGTCCTTCGTCTTGACCACCATGACCGCGAGCTCTATTCTGAAGTCCGCCCAGCGTTCCGCGTAGAGTGGCCGCTGACCAAGCGCCTCAAATGCAGCCTCCACGTCGGCCTCGCTCTTGACCACAAAGTTGCCCCGGCCATCGTACGCCTCCGTCTTGCTCTTCAGCATATACGGATATCCATACGTAGCGCCCACCTCTTTCAGCCCGTCGACACCCTTGCCTTCCAAGTCAATGCTGTCTGCGACATCCACTCCGTGCTCTTTCAGATAATGCTTCTGCGCATATTTGTCTTTGATGGTCCTAAGTGTCTTCCAGCTTGGCTCAACAATGACCTCTGACGCAACCTCTTCCAGCATATGCGTGTCCACGTGCTCAATCTCCACGGTGACGACATCTGAAGCCTGTGCCAATGCCTTCACAGCCGCTGCATCCTTGAATGATCCTTCAATGTGTCCGTCGTGGGCAGATATTTGCTTTGCTGGTGATGCTGCTGCATCGAGCACGTTAACTTGGATATTGAGGCGGTTTGCAGCTTCGATGAGCATGCGACCGAGTTGGCCGCCGCCCAGCACTCCGACTTTCCGATTGTCAACCATATTAAGATTATCCGACAGTAGGTCGTAATGTGAGTGTACAGTCAAGTGTCGTCGTGACCTCTTTAGGTCAGTGCATGGGTTAGGCCTAAGTCGGAGCTCTGTGGTTGGGTGAATGTGGGGGAGCCGCAGAAAATTTAGCTCGTGAAAAGTTCAGACACCAACGATTGCAAATTTCACTTCCAGGAGCGAATCATGCACCCTGACTTAAAAATGTACAATTTGATACTGGCACGTCACGTAGAAATCGCAGTCTCACAAGCAGTTATTCAGAAATTAAATAATCATGAGTCCACCTCATGAGCTCGGGAGAGCTCACTGGTACGTTTCCATTGCATATTTGCACATAGAGTATCTTTTTGCAGGCCTTCGAAGAGCCCTTGCCAGTCATGATGCACGCCTCGTAAGTAGTGAATTCCCATGACCATGACCACGCCGACAACCCAAAGAAACAGCGCCACTTCCAGCACACGCTTAGACCTTGAAACCGCGCGACCTTCTGCGGCCACGAGCACGCTCGAACTTGCGGCCCTTGCTCTCGACGTAAGGCTTCTTGTGGGAGTGGGGTCCGAAACCGAAATGCTTGACGGCCTCACGGGCGTTCTTGGGGCCACGGATGAGGACTGTGTTGGATCCAGTGGGGAAGCGGGTAGCGACCTCGTCAATGGTGAGAGTCTCACCACCAGCCTTCAAGATACGGGCGCGGGCAGAGGCGGTGAAGCGGAGAGCCGCGATGGAGAGCTTGGGAAGCTCGAGGAGACGGTTGTCATCGGTGACGGTGCCGACCTGATCTGCGTTAGCATATTCCTACCAGCTCTTTGTTGGAGTGCCGTACAATGACAATGGTCTTTCCCTCGTGCGACTTGGCGGACTGCTTGTTGGCAGCGGTCGCGATGATGCGGGACAAGCTGACGGCTGGCACAATGTTAGTCTTTCTGTTCGACAGGATTCGAGAGTGTGATCGTCTTACGAGGGCGGTTGATCTTGGACATCATGAGGCGTCGCAGAACCACCTTGTTGAAGGGAGCATCGGTACGGCCTGAGAATCTGTTAGCACACCAAGTCCGCGCAACCACAGTGGAAGTACTTACGAGCTAGGAACTTGTACAGGCGTACCAACAGCTTGACGTAGGGGTTGGTAGACTTGGGGATCTCTGTACATTCGTCAATCTCCGTCCTCTCGAAGGTTCATGTTGCGTCTAGAAGACAGCAGTCGCCAGCGCATTGCTGCGCCGACTCGACGGGGTATCACATACTGCGGTGCCCGTCTCGAACATGGTGCTTATCGAGATCAATGCCCATCTTGACTGATTTTGAGCGTGTGGTGTTGAGCTGTGGGTTAGTAACGGGGGTGCTGAAGTCTTTAAAATGCGAATATTCGCGAAGTCGTGTGGCCCCGCCAAGCCGCTAACGAGCACAGCTCACCGCCTTTGGCAGAACTTTAACTTTTTGGCATGTCGCTTATGCCTTGCAGAGCCAACATCGTACCAGGCTCCACGAAAACTGGTCACTCATTTTTGTATCATTATCCTGACCTAGTATAGACGTGGAGACTGGCTGAGCCAAATTTGAGCACCCTGAATCCCTTCCGGCCCTGGCATTACAAGAGATCACAGTACAGTACGCATTGAGCTGTTTTCCTTCACACATGCATTACCATTATATAGCTAAAAGTATATACCTGTCGCAGGGCCCAAAACGGGTAGGTGCTGCGGGGTCTATATGTGACAAAACGTGTACTTTACTCATTTTCCTGTCGTTGCTCCCGGACATGCTGTTGAAACAATAAGAAGTTCCCAAATCACTGCTTCTGAAAACAAGCCCTCCTGGCATGAAAAGAACCCGCTTGTCTATGCGTCGAAACACCAATAACCCAGCCACTCCAAACCACTCCAATATGAGGATAGAATAACAGGGAAGAAGAACAAAGTTGGACATCTGTAAGCACGAGGCGGCTGCAACGATTCAAAGCAAAAGGTGTCGGGTTATGCGATCGTGAATGAATGCTTCCCAGCAAAAGAACGTGTTTATACACCCTTCTCGCCGATAAGCTTGCCAATGCCGCTGTAGACCTTATCAGTCGAATCAGGGGCGTAGCGGGGTCCAAGAGAGCCGAGGACCAAGAACATGGAGATGATGACGGCGGCGAAGATCATCAACTTGCGGAGAACAGGACGTGAGTGGCCGAATTCTTGCCATTTCATGCTGCCCTGGCCGAGATACTCCTTCAGCTTTTCGCCGCCGAGCTTGTAGAAGATGAGGCCACCGAGGGCAATGCTGTAGCCGAAGGCTTGGAGCAGCGAAACGGGGTCCTTGAACAGGAACATGGAAGCAAATACCAGGAGAATATCCTTGAGTACGCCGGAGAGGGTAAGAACGAGCGACGAGGTCCTACCAATCTAGATAATTGTTAGTTTGTGTAGATGATGTAGATGAGGCGAAACATACAAGGAAGACGACCGAGACGTTGAGCAAGAAAGCCACGCTTGCGTTGGCAAACAGAGTAGAAAGCCCAACGCGGTCAATGTCAACCATGGTTAATCTGGGGAGCTCAGTGACCATCAAGACCATGCCGTTGATGACGGCGCAGGCTGGAGCGTAGTAGTAAAGCGAGACAAGAGGGTCCATCTTGAAGTCAGCACCGCTCAGTAGGCTCTCGACCATGACTAGACGGACAGCCTCGAAAACGATGCCAGCGACCTGGAAGAGGAAACCAGTCATGACGAATTTGATCTCGCCCAACGAGGCAATGACGACACCGATAACAATGAACGAGACGTTGCCAAGGGTCTTGAGATTCACAGGGGCGACTCCGAGAGACCAGGTCGCAATGAGAACAGCAACTGGTGTAGTAGCCTATCAGGGGTCAAAACTTGTTCCTGCCAGATGCCACGGGTTCGAACATACCTTGATCATCTGGATGAAAGCCACACTCAAGTAGAGGTATGCCTGGTTACCGCAAATCAAGCTCAAGCTGAAGAAGAGACCAATGGGGACAATGGCTCGAAGGTATACGCGTCCGGTCATAGGCACCTTCTTTCGCGAGTCGAGGATGGTGGTGAAGCGGGCGAGGATTTGGGTCATGATGGTCGCGAAGATGAGATGCCATGTTGTGAGGAAAATGGGAAAGTCTTGTTAGGCATGTTAGTATGCGTTGTTGTGCGAATATTGTGGTGAGTGGTTACGTACGAAAGTTGGCCGTATCCAAGATGTACTTGTTAAAGACGATTGTGCTCGAACTGAGAGTAATCCATGTGCTGCGCATCGATTAGCAGGTGCCATGCAGAGCACAATTGGCGTGGACAGGACATACGCAATGTATACGGCGGGATGGAAGGCGGCGGGCTTGGGCGCAGACTTGAGCGCCTCTGGGTTCACAGTGGGTAGCACTGTCTGGGCTGGGTCGCGGGCAGCGTCAACCGAGGACCTGACTTTCTCGTCTGAAGACATGGTGGAATGCGGCGACTAAAGGAGCGGGTGGTGAAGACGTCGTCGATGTGCGTGGTCGTGTCGAGGGTCAAAGGAGAGGTGGCTGCTTGGTTGGGGGGAGTCGAGGATTCGCGGGGAGTGGGTTAGCGCGGGTCGCTGACTGATGGGTCTCGCTCACGAAGGGCGACAGAACACAATGCGTGGCACAAGCAGCACTCAAGAGCTGTGACGGCGCGCACAGGAATGAGAAGATAAAGGGCGAGAGAAGTGTTGAGAGCTGTAAAAGTGACGGGGCCAGTAGCGCTAGGGGAGGGGGTGGAGCGGAAATCAGCATGGAGCCAGCCCTTCCAGGCCGTCACACAGGGGGTTCGGTGGTTTTGCTCCTGATGGCGCTATCACTGGGCAACGGGCGGACTGGCGAGCTTCCCACACAACAACCAGATGAAGATTGGCGGGAGCAGCGCGGGATTTTGCGCCCCCGGGGGCAACGTGAAACAGATCTGCTGTGGACCCTACGCCCTGTAGCGTATGTACGCGCAATCAGGTCCCCCATGGTAGTGGAGTTGCACCCACGGGAAGGATGAAAAAAAAATACGCGTACTGGGGGCGAAATCACTCCCTCACCCTGCAGAAACCGCAGCCGTCAAGGGTTGCTCCTCGAGACCAGTGGATACAAGCAGGATATCTTGACGCGAGGGAGTTTATTTGAGGGGGGCGTAGACGCGGCTCTGCTGAGAGATCAACAGGACGGACGATAGGGGGCAATGCTTGTCGTCGTCGTCGTCGTCGTCGTCTCAAGAAAAAATCTCCACGGGCAGTAGTCTACTTGCTGTACCAAGTCGCACCAACTGCGACGGCACACCACAAGTGGATGCACCCTGTGTCTGGCGTTGTAGTGTAGCCTCGTATTGTTGTAGTAGAGCTACATTACAGACAGTACACAGCAGTACAGTATAGAGCCGTGACAAGCTTCACCAGTGGCTGGATTAGGCCAGTGTTCGCGCTCGAGCCGTGGCCAACCAGCTGCTGCAGGGGCGAGGGCAACAGAACACAACACAGCTCCCACCCACCCTCGAATCGAAAAAAAAAAAGCACGTCGCCGCCCAGGGAGCGTCACAAGGGAGAGCATCATGGTGCAAAGACGCTGCGGCCAATCAATGCGCCCACGAGCAGCCCTGTTGCTGATTCTAATGCCCCTTTTCTCTCGTTGCCGCATCAAGCTTCTTCAGCCGAGTTCTGCGGTGTACCCTTACCCTGCACACCCACCCGCCTAGCAGAACATCGCCCTTGGCGCGCTTGCTTTATCGTAGAGCTATAATTCCCTCCACCACGCCCCCAGGCGGCTCTTGCCACTGCTCCACCTATTGTCTACTACTCCACCGTGTTACTGCTCGCGCACCAAAGTACATGTTGAACCTCGCCCGCCAGACTTTGAAGAGAGTTCCTAGTTTTCAAGAGCTGCTACAGGGCAAGATGGGATCCGCCAAGGAAGAAATGTACCTCTCACCGCCTGCCCGCATTCCTCCCATGGAGAACGAGCTGACCATACCAAAGTTCAGTTGATGTCCTCGTCATTGGCGCTGGGCCGACGGGTTTGGGAGCAGCAAAGCGCCTCAACCAGATTGTACGCTCCACCACCCACCTGTCAACCATGGCGGGGCAACTGCTAACACGCTCAGGACGGCCCCTCATGGCTGATTGTAGACTCGAATGAGACGCCTGGTGGTCTGGCTTCTACCGATGTCACCCCAGAAGGCTTCGTGAGTACCTGTGCCTCGAATTGACCTGTCTGGTCGGCTCTAACCCGACTGCAGCTCTACGATGTTGGCGGCCATGTCATCTTCTCCCACTACAAGTACTTCGACGACTGCATTGACGAGGCCCTCCCCAACGATGACGACTGGTACACACATCAGCGCATCTCATACGTCCGCTACAAGGGCCTATGGGTCCCCTACCCTTTCCAGAACAACCTGTCCATGTTGCCCAAGGACGACCAGGCAAGGTGCGTTGACGGCTTGATCGACGCCGCACTCGAGGCCCGCGTGGCCAACACAAAGGCCAAGAACTTTGATGAGTGGATCATGCGGCAGATGGGTGTCGGCATCGCCGACGTCTTCATGAGGCCCTACAATTACAAGGTGTGGGCTGTGCCCACCACCAAGATGCAGTGTGAATGGCTGGGCGAGCGTGTCGCTGCCCCCAACGTCAAGGGCGTCATCAACAACATCATCCACAACAAGACCGCAGGAAACTGGGGACCCAACGCCACCTTCCGATTCCCTGCCCGCGATGGCACGGGCGGTATCTGGGTCGCTGTCGCAAAGACACTACCTGAATCCAAGACACGATATGGCGAGCACGCCACGGTGACCAAGGTCGATGCTGCTGGCCACCGAGTAACCCTCAAGGACGGCACCGTAGTCAACTACAAGAAGCTCGTCAACACCATGGCCGTCGATTCTCTCGTCGAGTCCATTGGTGACAAGGAGCTCATTAGCCTCAGCAAGGAACTCTATTTCTCAAGCACCCACGTCATTGGCGTTGGCATTCGCGGAGAGCGACCTGAGCGCATTGGCGACAAGTGCTGGCTATACTTCCCCGAGGACAACTGCCCATTCTACCGCGCCACCATCTTCTCCAACTACTCGCCATACAACCAGCCGCAAAAAGACGTCAAGCTCGCCACTCAACAGCTTGCCGACGGCTCCAAGCCCAGCTCTACCGAGCCCAAGGAAGGCCCGTACTGGTCTATCATGCTTGAAGTCTCCGAATCCGGCTTGAAGCCCGTAGATGGGAAGAATATGCTCAGGGATTCGATTCAGGGTCTCATCAACACCGAGATGATCAAGCCCGATGACGAGATCGTCACCACCTACCACCGACGCTTTGACCACGGATACCCCACCCCCTCGCTCGAGCGTGAGGGTGCCCTCACCAAGCTTCTTCCCGCGCTCCAGGCTCAGGACATTTGGTCGCGTGGTCGCTTTGGTTCCTGGCGTTACGAGGTTGGCAACCAGGACCATTCGTTTATGCTGGGTGTCGAGGCTGTCGACAACATTGTTAATGGCTCTGTCGAGCTCACGCTCAACTACCCTGACTTTGTCAACAGCCGCAAGAACACGGAGCGCCGCCTGGAAGATGGTGCTCAGATCTTTGCCAAGTCATCTCTGTCACTGAGGAACAAGGGTGTCGATTAGACCACAATACACGGAGATTATGAACATGTGACGGATTGGGAAATGTTATGGAATACCACGTAATGACATGATTGGGAAGGACTGCTGGGAGCAGGGAGTTTGCACTTATTTGCATGAAGTCTTGGAGATAGACGCATTTCGTCATACATCTTCCAGATGCTGGCGAAGATAATAAAGTGGCATATAAATATAGATACTTTTACCGGTATAAAAAGCGATTCATACGTTTTTTCTCACGCCTCAAATACTGAAAAAGTCAACTAGTCCTGCAAAATAGCGGATACTAATTAAGAAAAATCTAGTCTTACACAAACCTTTTTCCAGGTTTAATCTTAAGCTACGTAATAGGATGTATGATTAACAAGTAAGTAGCTTATATTATGCGTATAAAGAGGTCTGAAATCGGGCCCTAATTAGGCTTAACAGCGACTAGGAATGGCCCCGGAGCTTCTTTTAATAGTTTCCCTCCTAAAAGCTTCTTCCTTAGAGATTCCTTCTTCTAAGAGTATTCTCCTTAGAGCTCTTCTTTCCTCGTAGGATTTCTTTCCTAGAAGCTTTTTACTCCCTAGAGCTCATCGCTCCTCGGCGACCCTCTATCCTTGGAGAGATTCTTCGCGGAGACTATCTCTGCTCGAAGCATAGTTCTCCTATAAGAGTGCTTCCAGGACCTCAAGCCACTCTGGAGAGTTTGTCAAGCTGCTCTGCGGGCAAGCGCTTGGGTCCTCGTCGAGAATGTTCCCCGCATTGCGGCCGTCTTTCGTTCTCAACAACGCTCGTCACCAGCACAAGTAACTGCATTCGTCATTCTCGCGCCGTTAAGGTAACTTGATAATCTGCATCGTTCCTTGTCACCATCTCATGACCAGTTTTCGCTGTAATCTGAGGCCTGTAACCTTGAGCACAAAATTCCTATCTTCTCAGACATCTAACGCGTACTCATCGACACAAACGAGCGCGACCATGTCACAAATTCAGGAATCGTATACCGGACAGAGTGGAATTCTATATACCACCCAGGAAGTTCTACAAGAGGACGAAACGCCTCCGCGACGCGTATGCTCAAGCCATGATAACGCCGGTCGAAAGTACATCCTCAAATACATCCCTGAAGTCAATTATTCGTATCTCGAAAAGGAAATCTACGGTAGACTGCGTGAAGATGCCAAAAACGTCCGAATTATTGAAGACGCCATTCCAGACAAGTCTATGTTTGTTTTCAAATATTTCCGGAGCCATTTTCTCGGCCTTGTTCAACAGAAGAATCTGCCCTTGGACGTGACGAAAACAATTCTAAAACAAGCTCTACTTGGCATCGCGGAGATGCACGATAAAGAAATTGTGCATTCAGGTCAATTCTCTTTTCCCTAGCTAAATTTGAGGAACGCGGGCTAATCTCTCTCGCTAGATATCAAGGCTGATAACATCCTCGTTGATTGGGAGGACGGTCGGGGGGAAATTGCAATTGACCAAGTGAAAATTGCGGATCTGGAAGATGCTGCATATGTCCCCCCGAATACTGCAATCGTTGGAAAACAGGCGGGCAACTACATGTGGCGAAGCCCCGAAGCCCATGCGAGTGGTCCCATTGGGAAGCCTTCCGACATTTTTTCATTCGCAATAGTTGTAAGTGTCATACTACTCACCGCAGCCATTTAGAATTTTGCTCTAACAGTTTAGATGATATACGCTCTGAGTAAACGGATCATCTTCCATGTTACCGACGAAGAACTCGACGGCGGCAAGCTTGAGCGGATCGCAATCGTGATTGAGCGCCAAATGTCGTTCTTTGGCGAATGGCAGAGCACCAACGAGTTCATTGGGGACCATCTCGCACCGGATAATCCGTACGGCCAGGTCTTCCTGATCACACGTGATGGATTTGGACTAGGAACGCCCAGAAATCCGTTTCGATTGTCGAACAGTTTTGATGATGACTTTAAAGACTTGGTGGTGAACATGACGGATTTCAATCCTGCAAAGAGGATCACCGCGAGAGAGGCACTGCAGCATAAGTGGTTCAATGGCGTCTGATATCTATAGGAATGAATATTTATCTTTCCACTGTACGTTGCATCTGCTGAAAGTAGCTATGGAGCAACTGCAAAAGCACATTACAATGTGTACGGTTAGGAACTTAAACTTGCTAGGATAGAATGGAAAGGGACTTGGGGTGACCAGATCAGGACTAGAATCAGGACAAGGAACAGAAAGGGAGTTCAGCATAAGCAGCCTGAGGCACCACGATTTTAATCATAACTAAGCCTGAGCAAGCGTAATCCAGTCTGAGCAGAATTAAGCTGAATCAGATTTTGCTCATATAATGAGCCAAAATCGACTAACGTAGCTGGGTGTATGCCAGGAGTAGATTTGACATAATTTTACACGCCCCACTAATCTCCAGTGTCAGCCTCATCATTTTTTCTTTACCCCCCCTGCTACAGATGATGAAATTTTCAATGTCGTGATACCAGCCATCTATCTCCAACGGGCCGTGTGCGGTGCTTGTGTGACGCGTGTTACGGTGGAGAGCGCGGGTACAGCCGAGATGAGGGAGGATAGAGTGGATCATGTTTAATTTTCTGTGTGGGTTTGGCGCGGGATCGAGTTCAGTTGAGGTGGATGGGTTTCACTTTACATGATGGTGCGTGAAACAGGGCGTCCCAACCTGCTGGGTGGGTGCTGTAGTACTGTATAATCTCGTCTCAGTGGGATTGCCAGTCGAGTAAGCTAGTGAAAAAAATCAATGTCTTGACAGAACTTCACAGATGGTGTATTGCATTTTAGTGTAGAATACACGCCAACTACTACTGCCCCTTCTTCGCTCTGAATTGTCTCAGCAACTCTCTTTCTTCTTCGTCCTTGGCAACAAACTCTTGCTCCCCGACCGGCAAGACTTGATGCTTCCACGCCTTTCCACCTGCACCATACTCGGCACTAACCTGCGCGTCACCTACAATCACCCACTTGTATATCGTCAGGCCCTCGAGACCCACTGGGCCGCGAGAATGGATCTTGTTGGTAGAGATGCCGACCTCTGTTCCAAAGCCGTAGCGCTGGCCGTCCGCCATGCGCGTCGAGGTATTCCAGTACACAGATGAGGAATCGATGGCTGCAAGGAAGGTCTTGGCAGTGGTTTCTGAGGTGGTGAGAATAGCATCCGTGTGGTGTGACCCGTGTGTGTTGATGTGTGATATGGCTTCATCTAAGTTTGCTACAGTTTTGATGGCAATTATGTAGTCCAAGAACTCTGTGTCAAAGTCCTCGGGTCCTGCTTCCTGTAGTAGCGTCGCCGAGTGTGCGTCTAGTTTTCCTTTTAGAGCGGAGAGGGATGCGGGGTCGCAGCGCAGTGAGACGCCTTTTTGCAGTAACGCTTCGGCGATTGAAGGGAGCGATGTGCTAAGCGCCGATTCTGCAACGAGCAGCTGCTCTAGGGCATTGCAGCCCGCAGGATACGATGTCTTCGCATCAATGATGATCTTGGTGGCCTTGTCGGCGGGATAGTCGTCGCAGAGGTACGCCGAGCATATGCCGTCGGCATGACCAAGGACGGGAATAGTTGTCGTGTCTTTGACGTAGCGGACGAGCTTGTTGCCTCCTCTTGGGATACACAGGTCAATGTAAGTATCCTGCTTCAAAAGGTCGGCGATGACATCATGTGTTTGGACAAGTTGTAGACAATCTGACGGGACTGCTGTTGACGACAAGGCTTTTGAGATGATTGATGCGATGGCCGCGAAGCTGTTGCTGGATTCCCGACCGCCTTTGAGAATCGCAGCGTTACCGGACTTGATAGCGAGGGCAGAGATGTTGGCAATGACTTCCGGACGGGCCTCGAAGATGATGAGAAGCACGCCGATGGGACATGTTATCCGCGACAAGGTAAGGTTGTCGTCGAGCAAAGTCTTCGCGGTGGTCTTGTTGATGGGATCTTCCAGTACCCTTACGTCCAAGATCCCCTGCAGCATATCCTCATACTTGCCCGGCTTGCCCAAGTCCAATCTCTTCACCAAACTCGCACTAAGCGTGCCCCCCGCAGCGGCCTTGTTCGCCGCTTCCAGATCTTTGGCATTAGCAGCTAGCACCTCGTCTTTGCCATCAGCTAGCGCCTTGTGGATAGCAGTCAACGCGGCATTGCGCTCCTCAGTCGACAGCACCGCGAGTTTCCGGGAGCCAAGTCTTGCGGCCTGCGCGACCTCGAGCGGCGTCGCGTTTGTAAGAGACATTCCTCTCGTATTAGGGTTACTCCAGTGTGGTGACTAGGTGGTGAGACGTGGTAACGCTGGGAGCCTTTTGCAGTGGACGCGTGACTCAGAGACGCTCAAAGAGGAAGAAAACTTTCTCCCAAGGGTAGGGTGTACTTCGTATGCAGGGCCTGGAGCGGCTGCAGGTGCTATTGGCGATCTGGGGGCAAATCGTATGCAATGTAGTGGTATCTAAAGATAGGTGCGTTCGCATTATCGGTGGGATGATTCACTGGTGTTGCGGGGTCCATCGATCGGCGCCACAGCCGTGTGTGGCGGCACAGCTGCAGAACGCCACAACTCGTCCCTCCCCATCATCATCATCAAGCACGTTGTCATGGCCGCGCATTCTATTGACTTCACATCTATAATGTCAATAGCAGCGGACAATACAGAGCAGTTGTCCTTGAGCCTTTTCCTATTCTGCTCGGCCTTCCGACTAAAAGCGTTCGGGTCGCGGTCGTCGTGAATGGTGGCTGGGTTCAGCTGCCAGCCGCCAACAACGCTTTGTCACCTCGCCAACCTCTCCAAATCCATCCACTCTCCGCGTCGCAAATGGCACGCCACGCTATTCTAGCCTGATTATACAGCGACCTACGTATGTCGTTGTCCACGAGATGGCTGGAAGTACTTTTAGAGACACTTATAACCCGGGACGATGGGCCTGGCACAAGCATCACCCACACACACCATCCACTACCTCCTCAAGTGCTGAGCAGGTAACCAAGCAATTCACGCTTCTACCTTGAACTCATATACATTGTGTCCTGGTACTCACCTACTATTGCGACATCCTCACTACACACTTACTAGACGATATCCTCGTACTACGACACTACACACATCACGATGCGCTCCACGATAAGAGCACTCGCCGCGCTGGCTTCGGCCGCACTCATCGCTCCCTCGGTCGCGCAGACATACTCCAACTGCAACCCGCTACTACGAAGCGACTGCCCTCCGGATTCAGCCCTCGGCCGAACCGTCAACATCGACTTGACGTCTGCGTCCGACAGCTTCACCCCCCAAAGCAATCCCACTTACGGTTCGGACGGCGTCTCCTTCACAATATCCAAGTCGGGCCAAGCACCTCAACTCACCTCGAAATGGTACATCATGTACGGCAAGGTCGAGATAGTCGTCAAGGCATCACCCGGAGCCGGCATTGTTAGCAGCGTTGTCCTCCAGTCCAACACACTCGACGAGATTGATTGGGAGTGGCTCGGCTCGAACCCCAACGAAGTGCAGTCGAACTACTTCGGCAAGGGGCAAACCACCACCTACAACCGCGGCGCTTTCCACCAGGATCCTGGCAGCCAGGACAACTGGAAGAAATACACCATCGACTGGACGCCCGAGCAGATTGTCTGGCAGATCGACGGAGTCACTGTCCGCACTCTGGAGCCTGCAAACGCCCAAGACCAATACCCTCAATCGCCTATGCAGGTCAAGTTCGGTTCATGGAGCGGTGGTGATCCAGCAAATGCCGAAGGCACCATCAAGTGGGCGCGCGGCCCGACCGACTATACCAAGGGACCCTTTTCCATGAAGGTCAAGTCGCTCATGGTTCAGGATTACTCCACTGGTACGCAATACGTCTACGGCGACCAAACTGGATCGTCGAAATCCATCAAGGCCGTCGGTGGTACTGTCTTTTCTGGTGGCAAAGCTCCGGTCCAGAACGCACCTGAAGTAACATCCACGGCTTCTGGACAACCAATCCCATTTACTCTCACCGAGACCTCCGGCTACGAACGCCCCAGCGTGTTCCCCTGGGTACCCAACCCGTCTGTCTCCAAGGCACCTCAACCCACCTTTGCGAACTACCCCGGGCTTCCGAGCGGGTGGACCGTCTCAGATACCGGCAAAGTTGTTCCACCCAGCTCAGCCACTGTCAGTAAGCCTAGTTGCGCCTTCCTGCTCACGACATTATGCTAACATGCCTTTTAGACATCCCCTCTCGCTTCCTATACCTCATTGCCGGCTGCTTCGCCTACGGGTTCCTCTGGCGACTATAAGCCCGAGGTCTCTACTGGCTATGACGACAAGGGCTTCACCACCCTTGTCACTGTCTACCCTGGTACTGCCCGCCCCACTGCCGGCAACAGCACCAAATTACTAGAGAACAACGCTGCAAAATCGCCTGTTCAGGCTGCAGCCGTCACCGGCGATGCTCCCCAACCGCTTACCGGCAACTTCTACCCTCAACTACTCGCCTTTGTGGCCATTGTCGTCGCACTAGTGAGCCTCTAGATTTATCCACAATTCAGAGACATTGTATGGGTATTTTTTGCGGCGCAATGGATTGGGATTCTAGCCATAAAGGCAGGGTGCTAGGAATGAACAAGTAATGGGTAGACGAGTTTGTCACGGGAAATGATTCTGGGAACGGAACTTGTATATGTAGGATTATGATTATGATTGGATAGGTATTGTACATATGGCATTGCATAGCGTGGGATGGGATGGGAAACACGAGCTATTGCTCTATAGATAATCTAGATAGCGAACATTGAAATGTAGATGCATCACTACACATTACATCGTCTATCGCTCTTTCATCTTACTTACAGCCCTAACGCATCTTATGCAGTTTCGATTGATCGTTAATTAATTATGCGCAAATCCGCATCCTCGGAACGCTCATGGTACTTCGGTGGGAGTGTGGGAAAAGCCGCGTTCAAGCTTAGATCGTATAAGTAGAGTAGATACGGGGTTAGTCACTAAAGGACATATCAAAGAACCGATCTATCCCTATCGCTCTAGACTTCCTGTTTGCACCACCTCTACCATTACTCCATTTCCTCTACATCACAATACACAACACGCATTTTACTCTCTCACGTACCCCCCCGCCCCACAAAAAAGAACCCCTCACAGAAGAGACACGGTGAACAATTCCAGCATTTCAAAAAGTGCGCATTAAGGGCTATTTATACACTTCAAAGAAAAATCCGTCCACTCCCTGACTGACCCCAGGTAACAAAGCCAGACCACGAGACAGACAGACAGACTGAACTATCCTAGTTTTTCCCCGCAAAGCAAAAATGGAAAATATTCTCTCTTTCTAGATGTTTTGGTGTCCTTTAGCCGCTGTAGAGAAGTAGGGCAGCGGCCGAATGTAAAAGTGGAGTGGAAAAACATGGATACGGAAGAAGAAGAAAAAAGGGGACAATTGCGCCATGAGCCATACAGCATGTTTGGATAGAAAAGAAAAAAGCCGCCATCGTAGAGGAAGGAGGTGCCTGGGAGAGAAATCGTTCCACCGGATAGGAAAGCTAGACCCCGTCTACGTGGGACCCAAATTTCGACACTTAGATTTTCCATGGGCGAAAAGATCTCGAACTTCCGGTACTGTTCTAGATGCTTGGGGAGTCTGACGGTACCTAACCACCACGGCCGCCGCCGTACGGGTTGTGTCGGTAGTTGTTGGTCCTACCACCGCCACGATAGTTCGCACCGGGCTTACCGGCATTCTTAGGACCGGTCGGGGCATTGATAGGCGCCTGGCTCGGTCCAGAAGGAGGCTGTGACGAGCCCTGACGACTGCCCCTGCTGCCCTGCTTGCTGAAGCTACCATTACCACTACCGCTGCCAAAGTTGCCACGTCCAGCGCCCCCAGGTCCGCTAGGAATCGAGGGTTGCGGGATGTCGTCGTACATGCCCTCCCAGCTCGTGGGCCCACCTTGGCCACCATAGCCTCCCGATTGCTGTTGACGCCGTGCTTGCTGTTGTTCGTATTTCTGCTGCTCGAACATCAACTGGTCTTGTGCTGTATACGCCGGTCGTGGGCCACCTTGCGGGCCAGCAGCCATCATTGCCTGTTGTCCTCCTCCACCTTGCATCTGCTGCATCTGCTGCATTTGCTGCATCTGTTGCATCTGCATCGGGTTCATCCCTTGGCCCATCATTTGAGGGTTCGGGGAGCCAGTACCACGGTTCATGCCTGCGCCCATCATCTGCTGCTGCATTTGCTGCATTTGCATTGGGTTCATGCCGCCCATGCCAGCCATGGGGTTTGGCATGCCGCCGCCTTGCTGCTGGGCGGCGAGAGATTGTTGCATCGACTGGAAGTACTGCTGCATGCGCTGCCAGTACTGTGCCATCATGGCCGGGCTCATGCCGCTGTTACCGCCGCCGCCACCTTGTTGCTGGTTGTTCTGGTTGTCGTAGCCGCCGCCGTTGCCTTGGCCGTTACCGCCGCCATTGTCGCGGTTATTGAACTTGTTGCCACGGCCAAATTTTCTGTTATCACCTCCTTCGTCGTCCTTCATGTTGCCACGTGGTTGGGCGCGCTTGACTTCAATGGGCTTGCCGAGAATCTGGAGAGGGCCCTTGAGTGTGGCGTCCACTGCGGCATCGCCGTCGAAGGTAACGAAACCGAAGCCACGGGGTCTACCAGTCTCCTTGTCCATCATCAGCGTTGCATCGACTACGCGGCCGAATTGCTTGAAGAAGCTCGTGAAGTCTTCTTCGGTTGCTTCTTGGCTAACACCGCCTACAAAAATCTTGCTCGTCCGCTCTTGCTCTTCTCGTGGAATTGCTCGCTTCGGGTCAATCTGGCCTCTGTTAGTAGACGGCTAAAGGTTGGTTTCATGAGACATACGATTTTGCCGTCGAGGTAGTGCTCCTTGACCATGACGGTATTGACGCACTTTGGATCCTTGAATGTCAAGAAGCCGAAGCCTCGCGAACGGCCGGTGGCGGAGTCACGCATGACGGTGCACTCGCTAACCTCGCCGAATTGTGAAAAGTAGTCCTTCAGAGATTCTGGAATAGAGTTAGCACACCACAGTCTATTTACTTGTGGTTCTGCGCAAACAGATGAAAGTTCGCAAGATCACGTGCTGACATGTTGAAGAATTGGTACATACGTTCTGTCGTCTCCCAATTTAAGCCGCCGATAAACATCTTACTATAACCACAGTCAGTATCTTGCGATGGGTAAGTTGGAAATTAATGGCGTTAGCATAGTTCATGAAAGAGAGGCGCATCTTAGGTCATTACTGCGAAACATGGCAGGGTGCCTGTTCACTAGAAAACTGCAAGTGTAGCGAGGCCTTGAAATGCTTGTTGTTAGCTCCGGATGCTGGGTATGGTTCTTCAGTCGATTGGTCTTCGGTCTCTTCTGGTGAGTCCGCCGTCTCAGGCGCCGACCAGCAGGCATGAACCACATGATGTAGGACTCTGACAGTTCTGGTGTCTTGGCTGGTGTGGGCGGTCGTTTTGGGAAGACAATGTTCGTGATTGCTATCGGGTTGAAGCGGCTCGGCTCATATTGATAGTCGATGGTCGCGTCCCCTGCTACGGATCCCTGGTGCTTTGACTACCTAAGGATGTATCGATTTTGTGTCCTAAGAAGGGGCCTCCTGCACGAGCGAGTGTGGTAGCTGTACTTTACGGTCCCAAAGTCGATGGTATGCAGCCGATGTGGCAGTCGGCAAAGGCGTGGACGCTTAAGCGAACATGGACGTCTGCGCCGCATCCCAAATGGAGCGTCTTGACCTCGTGGCGTGCACCCAATCATATCGGTAGGCGAACGCATTCCATATTCTCAATAGCGGCCATTCGAGGTTCATAAGCAGCCCTGCAATGGCACAGTGTGTTCGGATGAAGCGTCTGTGTTCTGCTATGGACTCAAGTGTGCACGTCTGAGAAGACCGTGTCACAGCTTGATGGCTACCCTCTGCTTGCGTTGTTGGTACGCGCTATTAAGTACCTAGGTATATATCGACATGAGGCGCTGCCAAAGCATCCGGCAAGCTGTGATAGTCCTCGCGTAAGGCGTATGATGGGTGATCTGAGAATAGTAGAGCTGCTGACTATTGAAGTTCCAGTCTTCCACAACCCACAATGGCGGTATCGTTCGCCCTGCTTCGAATTCCTTGCCCATCTGGTGATATATGTACTGCAAGTCTTTCAAACGCCCAGCTCCTGAACCATCATGCCAGGCCCTCTGCCACCCACAACCCCGTGCGCTCTTGACTGAAGAAGCCACACGGGGCAGTCCAGGTTTGCACCAGCCACGGTCCCGGAATGCTTCGTAATCATTTGCGACTCCTCTGAGCTCATACTACAGCTCTGCCACGCTGTCTCACGCAGTCGGTGGCTTGAGCAATCCTTGCGTCTTCTAATAGCGGCATATTTTTCGGCGGTCGCGCAAATGCTGTTTCGCTTGCCTTCTTACCTGGTGATGCGCCTCTGAAATGAAATTGTACATCAAGCATTGCAAGACTTACCCGTCCTCCTTTACGTTGATCGGCCCGTAGTTGTCCTCCTCCATGTGATTATTGTCGTACGACTGGTTACCACCAGCGTTGTAGCCCGAATGATCCATGTTCGAGTCGCCGCCTCTAGCAGTCGAGTCTTGCCATGTGGGTACAGCATCCTGGCCGCCATTCTGCGCACTGTCCGGAATCTGTGTGTTCACTTGCTCTACCGGCACCTGTTCAGGCTCGGCTCGTGCGGGTGCTGCTACGGGTGCTGCTGCAGGCTTTGACGCTGGCTCCTCATCGTAGCTGGGTGGTAGTTAGTGCCCTGTGGACTTGGGTAGCTTGTCGCGTGCAGTGCGAGCACTCACAGATCGTCAAAGATGTCCTCGTCGAAATTCTCGTCGGCCATGGCGGAGTCGCTGTATGTACGGAGGCTAAGAAGCGTAAGAGTAAGTGTGCGTGTCACTTGTATATTTGCGCAGCTCCAGTAGAAGGGAAAAAAGAGGGGGATGAGAGCACGTTTGGTCGCGAAGGAAGAAGAGCCTGCCGACCAACGTGAGGAGATGAGAACGGAAGGCGCGCTAGTGAAGCTCCGGGCTTGGCGGGCAGGTGCGTCGCAAGTGGGCCTGCGACTGAGGGTGAGACGTGTGGGTGGTTCCTCGAAAGCGGCCGTGGACAGCGGGGTCGCCTCCAAAAGCACATCTTCACTATGCCCGCCTCCAAGAAGAAGCAGCAGCAGCAGCAGGTTTGTATACGCGTCACTAGACCCAATGTCTTCCATGCTTGCTAACAATCGGGCCAGGAAATGGTCCAGGTTGGTTCGTACCCTTCCAGCACACACGCAGCAAAGCATCACAGTATCCCGGGCAGCTAACATGTCGCGTCCCTCGTCACAGACCGCTCCTCGTACGTTTGCGCTCTTCCATGGCACATGTAGCCTAGCAGCGCTGACTTGTATCCACAGCTCTGCCTCTCCCTTCTGGCGCCCATCGTCCAATCCCCCCAATTCACCCCCGCATAAGAAGGTCATCGGCGCATCCTATTCACACGCCGACCTACTCAGCTTCAACGCCCTGTACGACTCTCTAGCCTGTTCCGTTGGGAGCACATGTGCTTGCTAATGCTAATTGCCAAAGGAATGTCTCTGGGTCCAGCTCGAGACCACGGACCCCGCCGTCGGCAGGCCACAGTCGCGAGTCAAGCGCTGCCCCGACCCGAACAAGCAGCACCACATCGCCTCGCCCTGCACGACCAAACTATAGCAGCTTTCTTCGCGAAACCCAACATGACTGGAACGACGAGGAAGAGGACGATGGCGACATCATGTTCGAGGACGACGAGGACGAGTTTGGTCTACCGAGCATCGCAACCATGCGGAGGAAGGGTCGGCGGAAACAGCCACCAAAGGGGAAGGATGCAGGAGGGACGAATAGTAGAGACAGCCAGGGATCGACGCCATGGCGAGGGATAGACAGTGGTGACATTGCTGAAGAGCGAGGCATACCCAACTACCCCACGGCAAAGAAGATTGAAGGAAAGATACTACGACCCCAATACCAAGAAATTCTACGAGACCCCGCAAACTCCTTACACCTCATATCGCATTCTGCTGTACCGCCTAATGCATCCGCCAAGCAAATTGAAGAGCACTCGGCGCGAACCACTAGAATCAACAAGTTCAAGAGGATACTACAAGCGAGCACCATCTCTTTGCCTGACCTGCGAGACTCGGCCTGGTCTGGCGTCCCGTCTGAAGTCCGCGCCATGACATGGCAGATCCTTCTAGGTTATTTACCCACCAGCAGCGAGCGGAGAGTTGCGACACTAGAGAGAAAAAGACGGGAATACCTAGACGGCGTACGCCAGGCGTTCGAGCGAAGTGTTTCTAGTAGTACTGGTACCGCTGCAGCAGGCACCCGAGGGCGAGGCCGTGGCCTAGACGAATCCATCTGGCATCAAATCAGCATCGACGTACCGCGAACGAACCCTCATCTTCAACTTTACAGCTACGAGGCGACCCAGAAATCCTTGGAACGGATACTCTACCTTTGGGCAATACGACATCCAGCATCAGGCTACGTGCAGGGCATCAACGACCTTGTTACGCCGTTTTGGCAAGTCTTCCTTGGCGCTTATATATCGGATCCAGACATCGAGTCCGGCATGGACCCAGGCCAATTACCGAAGCAGGTGTTAGACGCTGTCGAAGCTGACTCGTTTTGGTGTCTCACGAAACTCCTTGACGGCATACAAGACAACTACATTGCGCAACAACCGGGCATTCAACGGCAAGTGACGAGCTTAAGAGACCTCACAACCCGTATTGATGATGGCCTGGCCAGACATCTGGAAAATGAAGGTGTGGAGTTCATACAATTCAGCTTCCGGTGGATGAACTGCCTGTTGATGCGAGAAATATCTGTCAAGAACACTATACGGATGTGGGACACATACCTGGTGCGTCCTCTTTATTTCTCTCTCCCAAACGATTTGCTAATGCCCTTTAGGCGGAAGAAGATGGCTTCTCCTCCTTCCACCTCTACGTCTGCGCTGCCTTTCTAGTCAAGTGGTCCGATCAGCTCCGCAAGATGGACTTTCAAGAAGTCATGATGTTCCTACAATCACTGCCCACCCGGCAATGGACCGAGAAAGATATCGAACTGCTGTTGAGCGAGGCGTTTATTTGGCAAAGTTTGTTCAAAGGCAGTGGAGCGCATTTAAAAAATACCAGTTCAAGGGGAAGTGGTGTAGGCATGGGTCCAGATTACTAAGAAGCGTGCTGCTTATGTTTGTACAACAGCAAATGATTAAGAAACGGCGTGTATATAGCTGGCTAATCCAGGCACCTGATCTCTGTGCTCAATGTTCTCTTCTCGTTTTCTCCACAGCATCACTAGCTAATCGCCGAATGGGCAGGAAAGAGTAAAGAGCTACCCCACCTTCTACCCCACCCTACGTCAGATGATCAGATCCAACTTGACTTTAGAAGTACAACAGTAGCTCGCTAACAAGAAATTGTACTACACTGGTCGAATTATAACAATCTAATCAGCGCGGTACTACCTAAAGGTCTTCACCGTGTTGATAGGTAGGTAAGGAGGAATAGTATCAGCCTAAAGGTTCTGATGATTACAATCTGATCAACCATGACACCGCCCTCTCGCCCTCCCTTCAGCGACCTTCCACTTGACAAAAATGGACCTCCCGGAAACGCATGGGGCCTATACGGCAAAAACGACGAGCTAGGCGCCCTCAATCTGATCACGCCCTCAACAGTAAAAGCAGCCGCGCAAGAAATCCAAACCGGAGACCGCGTATCGCTAGACTGGTATCTCAACAAGCCGTCCCATCCCTCCTTTGGCCGCCCACCATTTGGCTGGAGAATAGAGAACAGAAGCCACCCGGACGGCACCAAGCGGACCGTCAACGACGACCACCTCGACATCAACACGCAAAGCAGCAGCCAATGGGACGGCTTCCGCCACTACGGATACCAGAAAGCAGCGCGGTACTACGGCGGACGCACGCAGCAAGACGTCGAGGGAAGCGAGGTAATCGGGATTGATCGGGTTGCGCATTCAGGCGGCATCACGGCTCGAGGCGTCATCTTGGATTATCCGCGGTATCTAGAGCGGAAGGGGAAAGACAGCGTGTATGCCCTTGGGGCGAATAGTATCAGCGCCGAGACGCTGAGGGATATGCTCAGGGAGACGGGCGTGCAGCCGAGAGAGGGCGATGTACTCCTCCTGCGCACTGGGTTTACGCGGGACTACGATGCGCTGGGGCCCGAGGAGAAGAAGGCGCTTGCGCATAAACCACCTGCTTTCCTCGGCGTGGAGAGCACCACGGATACGCTACGGTGGATTTGGGAGAGTGGGTTTGTGGCTGTTGGTGAGTATCTTTTCTACTCCCCCCCACACCCGTTTGGTCACTGTCTCTGTTTGTCTAACTCCGATGTAAGCGGGCGACGCGCCATCGTTTGAAATGGCGCCTCTCGTCGGCTCCCACAATAAACCCGGCGGAATCTGGAAAGGTGAAAGCTGGGAAGAAGAGATGCAAGGAGGCGGACTACTGCATCAGTGGTTGCTGGGAGGCTGGGGCGTTATGATAGGGGAGATGTGGGATTTAGAGCCGCTTTGCGAGAGGGCGGTCGAGTTAGGGAGAGCCACATGCTTCGTTAGTAGCGTGCCACTCAAGGTAAGTTTAGTTCTTCCTCTTCCTCTTTCTCTTTCCATTGCCAGAGATAAGAGTACGTAAGGGGGGTTTCTAGAAGCACAGTAAGGGAAAAAAACAAAACGTGTACCTAACCGTGCCGACAGGTTCCCGGGGGCGTCGCGAGCCCACCGAATGCAGTGGCGATATTCTAGCTCGAACTGTACTTTCCAGTGTTATCGAAATCATGCATAGAGCAGGAAATCCCTATGGAAATTCAAAGCATCTGGTCTGTTTAGGCTAACAAGGTCACACACAATCAAGCGCACGTATAGTCGCCAAGTCATTATTTTAGCACAACACCTGGAATGCTCGCATACCTGGCTTCATTCATACTCCCAACCACCAGACAATATATTAAGTCTTGGGGACAAGAAACTCCAAGACCACCCCCCTTCCGTCCGTATCACTCCACTCACTATCTTATAAGCCACCTTGCCCAATTTCCGCCAGTGACTCTCCTCAGCTTCCCATCTCTCTCCCTCCTCTCTACTCACCTCAGTTGAAGCTTCCACCACATTAGTACAACACATCATGAAAACCTTCCTCTTCGTCCTCCTCACCACCCTAGCGGCTTCAGTAGCCGCAACCCCGGTGCTATGCTCTACTCGGTCTCACCCCCACCCCACGCACGCACCGCGCCCTAGAATCTGCACCAGGATCTGTGCCAGCGAGCGGATCACGACTTGTGGTGATGAATGGGTAAATCTGAGTCCCGGAGCTGGTGGTGTATCTTGCTAACGTTCACGGTGTAGCATAGCGAGAAATTGGGCGTGAGTAGTTCTGTCCTGTCCTGTTCTATCGTATCGAGACTTCTACACGTGAGAAGGAGAAGGAGATGTAGCGAGTGGTGCCGTTGATGCTGCGAAGGCGGAGTTGGCGTGAACACTGTCTCTCTCCTTTGGAGGTTGAAGCAGAAGTGTAGCACTTCACTTCCCACCAGTTAGCTAACAACGCCTAGGAATGTTGGGCCTGCTGCAAGAGCTAATGGATACTTGATGAAAGCCAGGGCACGGAGACACAGGGAGAAGTAAGCTGCACCTGCAGTTTGAAAGGCTAGCCTGGTTCTTTTCGCATGGGGCGTTGGGCAGAATAACGACCAGATTTATGTACAACGCAGTGAAAGTTTCGTCCAGTGCGTTTAGACTCCATGTTCTACTTTAGGGGGGAGATGTAACTGGAGAAAAAGATGGTTGGCTCTCGTAGGAGCGTAACAGAAGAGGACAAGTAGACTTTGACAATCACTCTACACTTATGCATGAAACCTCTTTTGTGATTTGACTGGATACTACGTAACATTGAATTTTGTCCTCACTTCCTATTACGGTGTGTAGTTTGATTTAGCTATAGGATAGATCTTGCGACGCTGAGTACGTCTCCTCTGCTTTAATATCATATTCCCCTATTTTTCCAACACAACTTCTTTTGTCACCGTCTACCTCTTACAAGTGGAAACAGATGATGATTCACGTCTTCTCACGGCGTACACTTCACGTCAACCACGTTATAATCAAAGCATAGTTGTTTGATATGGTCATGAAATCGTGAGTGATATTGTGTCTCCAAGATTAACCTGAGATCCACCATACCTCTCCTCGCTTCTCGATACTACTATCCTCAGTCCGCTCCTCGACACCACAAACTCCCACCATATACACTGACACACGCGGACAACCTTCAAGTAGTAGAGCCATGACTTCATCATTCACAAAGACAAAACGCCGGTCCCCATTCGCGCTGTTCCAGCTGCGAAGGTATCCTCGAGGGGGATGCTGATGCAACGCATGAACTCCTGAAACCCAAAAAATCAAAACCTATACCCAACCAAGCGGCCGTAAAGTCGGAAACTCGGAACCCGTAAACCAGTACAAAAGAAACGACTCCAAAACATGAATCGCTTAGCAACAAAGCGATGATTTTCTCCACCTCTTACAAAACGCCTTAGAAACAAGGTTGACATAAAACAAAGCCAAGGCCTTCATGTATCGCGAAACATTTCGAGAAATGGCTGCAAATGCACGTCGTACCCAAGACAAATGTCTGAAGTACTACACGAAGTGCCCAGACAGAAGAAAGTCGAGAGGATAACGATGCGACATGGAGTATAACATCAGAGGAGATGAGGGCGATGCTGACTGAAGAGATGATGGTGTGGGCGGCTCATTCTAGGCGCTCAGCTCATGTCCATAAAGTCGTCAGCATGAATCTCATCATACTGCTGCTCGCACTCGTACGTGGCAAGGATCTCGTCGCCTGGTCCAAAGTTGCCCTCGTACACCGTGGCACCGGCTCGTCGCCTCGAATCAACCCATTGGCAGCCGAAGCACTGAAGAACTTGCTCTGCTGTCGGTCGCAGGTCTGGGTTCTGGTTCAGCATTGCATGAACGACGTGGTCCATGGAGTTGGGGTCGGCACGCTCGACCATGAAATTTGGTGCTCGGGCAAGTTCCTCTTCAGGGTTCGACGATTGCTTGATCGAAATCGAGGACAGCGAATCAGCATCAGCATCGGACATGAGAAAGCCGTCCATGGAGGGCCTCGCTGACTCAGAAACCGGGTCGCCGTTGGAATCCCGGCTCAAGGTACTGCTGTCTGCGCTCCAAGTCAGGCTTGGAAGCACATTGTCGAACTCGCCAGACCGAAGCTTTTGCCAATATACGCCATTCTCAGGAATGACGCAGTTGCCGGCAATTTCAGCCAACATCATGCCGAGAGCGAAGACGTCAGCGGGTTTGTCGAATCGACCACTGAGCGCCTCGGGCGCGAGGTAGTGGCGGTCGCCCTCGCCGTCAATGTGCCTCGGTGCGGGCCATGCGCTAGCCAGACCAAAGTCAGCAATCTTCAGCCCACCCTCAAAATCGATGAGAATGTTCGCAGGTTTGAGGTCGAGGTGGATATATCCCGAGTCGTGTATAAACTTCAAGCCCTGCAACGCCGTTAGCATAGTTCATCCATGTCGTACTCTCCAACATACCATTAACAATTCCAGGAGTATCTTCCAGATCCTGAAATCATCGAGACGGCTATTGAAGCCAACAGTGTCGAGATATTTTCGGAGGTTGCCACCCTCGCAGTACTCTGTCTGAATATACAGATGGGAGTCAAACTCCCAATGGGCCTTAATCCCCATGACATGCTCGTTGCCTTGTAGAGCGTAAAGTATGTCAACTTCGCGCATCTTCCTGTTACGATCGCCCGCGCCAGTGTACGGCTTCTTCGACTTCTTGACGACCCACACTTGGCTTCCAGCGGGTGACCTCCCCGGCGACGCCTTGATAGGCTTGCTAACACGGTAGACTTGAGAAAACTCGCCTTCGCCGCCATCGAGAAGCTTGATCTCGTGGAAACGGGAGCTCAAAGCCTCGTCGACATCGTTCTTAGTTAGTCCGATTGGGATGGCACCTTGCACGCTGCTGAAGAAACTCGACCCGTCACGGGGAGTTGTTGGCGTCGCTGGTGGGAAGTAGCCTAGACTGCTATTGAATGGTAGAGATTCCCTTCGGTTACCCGAGATCGAGAGCCTGCTGGCATCTGGGGCAGCGAAGAATTCATTCGGGGTCTGGGGTGACGATCCACCGAAGAGATTTCCCGCTGCTGATAACTGCTTAGTGTCGTTCTTGGAGATAGAATGAGGAAGTGTTGTACGAAAAGCTCGTCGCGAAAGCGGCATTGGGCGAGCAAATTTCTTTGGCTGCCGCAACGGCCGACTTCGAGCAAGAGAGGGGAAGTGTATCGAGGGAGAGTCGCAAGACTCGGGACGGGGTTCTTCGTGGTATAGCGAAGGCCCCTTATCTTGTAGGCTTGCAACGACTTGTATAGAATTGTACTTACTGGTTGGTCGACTATCGTCCTCTGGCGCAGCGAATGTGTCGTTACTGATGGATGGGCGGTGGCGGAACGTCTTACGCCGCAAGCTACTCTCCTTGGAGCGGCGGCTCGATCCACCATTGGGTTTTGTGGGCGTAGGCGGCATGTCATCCACACTCGATTGGCTGTCCGCCATCCGGTTGGCTGTCGGGGACTGTGACTCGGGCTGAGCATCGTCATCGCCATCACCGTCGATACTGACAAAACTACCGCGTCGCTGGAGCGAATCTCCTACATTACCGAAGATGCTCGGTCGCTTACCAAAAGCCTCCATTGTGAACTTCGACACGTTGGCACTAAAGGGGGTGCTCGGAGTGCCAAACTGATGCTGTGGTCGTGCAGCATCACCAAACAGACTGCCTGTTCGCTTGACTAGTGGCGTGTCTAGATTCTCTGTCCTATCTGCGGCAGCAGGAGGGTAAGACTGGCGCTTCGAAGGAGTATCGGGCATTATATATATGCCGGTACCCGCTGCTGGCTCGTCCACATTTCGGTTCTTCTTCGACAGGAGTCCTGTCGAGAATGCAACCGGCGGGGGCGCAACGACCTTGAACGGTGTGTCGAACGAATCCTGCGAAGAGTGCTCAGAATCTGAGGCGTGAGGTCGTCCTATTCCAATCGGCAATGATCGCGAGAACAGGTGGTTCGATGCGACAGGAGTCGGAGGAGGGCCATATGCTGGGCCATTGAATGCAGGGGCCCTTGGGGGCGCCATAGGCGTATCTCCGTTCACACTAGACGTTGATGAGGACGGAGTATGCGCATAGGAGAGCGGGTGTGGCTGTGAAGCGCCAATGCTGCCTCGGAACGGCTGTGGCAGTCCCATACGCCCAGCATCGAACGTGGACTTCCGAAATGGGGTGTGTGCGGGGGTCGAAGTCGAGCCAATGGAGCTGTCCAAGGACATGCGGTTCCGTGACTTGGACGCAGCGGCACCAGGGACGGCGAATTCGCCATCGTACACTGGCTTTTGGCGCGGCGTATTTGAGACTCGCTGGGACAAGGTCGATCTCCGAAGTGAGGTGGTCCGACGCGGAGATTGTGTGTTGTTCATGGGCGAGCTGAACGAGAAACTGGTGTTTAGGTCGTTATATACTCGCGTTGGCTCGTCCATGGTAGTGCGCGGGGCGGGGTATTGGTCGAATATGCTCTCAAAGTCATTTCCGAGGTTCGATGCGCCGTGCAAACTCCTGCGCTTTGCGACTGGGCTGGTGCCGTTTCCTCCACTCAGGTTCATGAGTCCGTCGTTGCGCTTGAGCGGGCTTGACTTTGCGGGCGGCGCGGGTGATAAATCGGGGCGACGCGCAAACTCAAACTTGATAGGTTTGTCGTTTACGCCGAGTCGCCTGTCCATATCCATGCCGTCCGGAGAGTCCGCGCTGGGCCGGCGCGCGGGCGTGTTTTCCTGTCCGGGTGCCTGGCGCGTCATGCAAGGCGTCGTCGAATTGGCGACGTCGGTTGAGTCGCCCAGGGCGCGACGGCGGGGGCTTTTGGAATTGCTGTTGCGAGTGCGCGGTGATGAGCGGAAAGGCTGTGAGCGACGCAGTGAGAACTTCTTTTTTGCTGGGACGACTTGCGTGGCTAGCGGTGACTCAGGATACGTCGCAATAGGGCTCGTGGGCTTGTGTGTCTTGGGGCTGAAGGCGCGCGCAAGTGCCAGAGGAGAGAGAGGCGAGCGCGGTGAGTCGGCGGGATTGCGCAATTGAAAGCGCGACTGTTTGGAGGGAGAGCGTGAGAGAGAGCGGCGAAGTTGCTGGAGGTGAGAGAAGTGGGTTCCGTCGAGGCGGTAGCTGTGCGGGTGGGTAGGTGAAGGTAGGTGCATGGTGCCGCACTCGCGGCTGGGCGAATATCCGTAATCCATGGCGAGGCGTGCAGGTGCGGTGATTGCTGTGATGGCGTGTTGGGAGTAAAAAGGCGGGAGACGGACGCGCGTTGTTTTTAACGTGAGGCCTTCTCACAGCGTGGTGGTCGTTGTGTGTTTAGGTAGGCGCAGCGTGCATGAAGAAGAGGCCAATCTAATCAATCGGTAACGATAGCGCTTATTTGGCAGAGTGGGGGAATGAGCTCCGTTGGTATGAATGCGTGGAATGCTGTAAACAGCCGCGCTGTTGTTGTTGTTGGTTCGCGACGTGCGTTCATTCACCCGTGCTTCCACCTCAACAAGCAACGGCAACGACCGACGTCTGGCGGAACTCCATGCAAGGCGCGCTGGTTGTGCGCAGTAGAAGCAGGCGGGCGGGGAGAGGATGAGCAAGAGGTGGAGAGGGCAGTTGGGGGGATGATGGCGTGTCGGTGGTCGATTCGCTGCTAACAAGCGTGCGGCGGAGGCAGAGGCGAGGCGAGGCGTGACGTGAAGCGAGCGAGCGGAATGCGCGTGGGAGGTATAAACAAGACAACACGAACCCGAGGCAGGTGCACTCGGCCCGGAAGGCAGTCGCGACACTGCAGTTCGGATTGGGAGGGGGAGGGGGGATTATTGCAAAGCGGAGGAGCGGTCAAGGCGAGATGGAGCGATGGAGATGAAAAAGGACCCTTCTTGCGCTCGACAGCGATCGGTCGGGGATGGGATGGATATGGAGAGGGACGCGGTCGCGTTCGGGGGAGTGGTCTTGGGGCTTTTTTGGTTCGACTCGAGGCAGGTGCGGGTCTGTGCATACTCCCACCCGAGGAAGGCGCGCCCTGCATGCAGCAGCCCGTTGGACCCGCCACCAGTCGATACACGGCCACCGGGGACACGATGAAGCAACTGGGACTGTCCAGAGAGTGGAGCCCGGCGCGATTCCAGACAGACACGCTGGCCTGCTACGTAGACCGCTGCCTCCAACGCATGCTGCTGTCTAATTATCTATTATTATTGTTGTTGTTGTCGTCGTGTCTCTGCGGGGCGTGGCTTGGGTTTGTTTTGTTTACCTTGGCCACAATCAACAACAATCATCTCATCTGCCTCCACCTCATCCATGGTACCGGCATCCCCCAAGCTGAATCGCTGAATCACACAGTGGCATTGCGAGCGCCATGACGAAGCTTGCTGGGATGCCCCTATCCATTCCTCTGCCCAACCTAATCCCAAATGAAGTAATTTCGCTGCCTTCATGCGAAAAAAGGGGCTGCTCGGTCCCTCAGCCTGTTCGCTGCCTCGCGGGCCGTTCGTTCCCGCCCGACAAAACAACCAACCCTCTCTTTACGTCTCCACACTATGATTGCCGCTGCAGCATCGCCCACGCTTCTCCTATCGATTGTATGGGTGGGTGGGTGACAATCATCTAATCGATAGAGGATCGCATGCATGCCCATTGCGGAGCATGGATGGCCCCTCGGCCACACCAACAAGAGCCTCCAAGAGCCATCATGTAGACCGTCGCGAACACGGCAGCAGCATCTTGCCGCCAGACGGGCTGCTGCGGATGTCGCCTCGTACTGCCGCGGCGCTGGCGCATTTTTTTAGCACCGCATCTCGGGTCTGCAATTTGCTCACATGGTCGCTGTCTCTCCTCATCCAATATATCGTCGTCGTGGTCAATATTCCACGGCGATATAGACATCTCCTATCTCTCTGCCCATTCATGATCGACACCAATACGCGTTGTTGCGAATATCAATGCGACGTCTCCTTGTCTGTTGTTGTCATTACAGTTGCATCCACCACAACAACAACAACACGGACTGCCGGCATTTTCCATGTGGCTTGCGGATCCTGCTGTTAGTGTCAAAGTTTGCCATCCAACTTCATCAAGTGGTCATTGCATTGCACCTGTCTTTGATTGCGCGGCCTCCAACCATCAGATAATCCTCGTGATACCTGAGCCAACGTCGCCGTGTGTGATTGAACAAACCCACGAGTTTGGTGACGTCACGTCTTTACAGTTCGCAGTGTGTGGACCATCGATGCACCACAACTCAAACTTTGAGCGCTAGTCATATAGAGTTCTGGAATTGCTTGCGAAACATGAGTCGATGATGGCCTGAGACGGTCCACCTGCACTAAGTTTGTGGAGAAGACAGTGCAGCCATCGGACGTTCACGCGCTGCAACATTTGCGCTTCTCCGTGCTGTTGGAGACGGCAAACCTCAGTTGCGTTTGCGATCTGAGATGCGAACGTTTGAGCAACCAAAAGGCATCCATGCATGTAGTCCAAAAGTCTGGCACGCCATGCTGCAGGAACGCGCTCCTTGACGATTTTAAAGCCGTACCTGCTTTAGTGCTTGACATCGCGCAAGCAAACAACCATGGATGCGACCGCACATGCGCATCCTGAGCCATGGACCCTGAAAGCCCAAACTCGCTCGACCGCAAGCTGCCCAAAGATCAACACCCACAAGTCATGCCCAAGTCCTCCCGGCCCAGTTTCCAGGCTTCCTTGGTTTCAGCCTACCGCTCTGAGCCGACACGGTGCGAGTGCGGCACCTGGTCAAGACTGGTTCGTTTCGGAGTCCGAGCAGAAGATGTTGTGCAGCACCACACCTCAGCCTTAGCCGCCGTCGCAGCAGTCTCAGTTTCACCTCCTAAACATTCCATGTATAAAAGTAAAAGTCAAAAGGAAGACTGATTCCCCCATCTCTACAGTAACCACGTCTCGCTACACCTTTGAAATCAATTATCGTACAAATATAGATGGACGGAACACATTCGGTGTTATAGCCAGCATGTCATATTCCCGCCAACGGCGCCGAGGAAATGATGGGAAGGACATATCCCCGCCGATCGTGGAGAAGATAGGAGCAAACCCTCGTATCGTACCGTGCGTTCTTTTGGCTTCTGAAGATCTCAATTTGGGGTAGATAAGACGGTTGGGTATCAGTCAGACCCTCGGACCTAGGAGCGACCATGAGTGGGTTCTTGAGTAACCGTTTTCACGGTCTTGTTAGGAAAGTCGCGCAGTTGAGTCCCGTTGAAAATCAAACCAACCGAGTATCATGCGAGCTTTGTGTATAATCCTGGTGCTCTTCGTATTTGAAGTCATAGTCGTCTTCCATGCTACACAGCTTGACGACCTCACCTAATCTGGTGGAGCGCAGACCCCGTCCGGCCATGTAGTCTTTAAGGACAACGCCTTCGCTGATATTCAGAATAGAACACCTCTATGCACAAAGATTGTTGAATGATATTCTCTGAACAACTTGAGAGTAGGGTCCTCGTCGTCTTCATCCCATCGTTTCATTTTTTTTTTGCATGGCACATGCACATAAAGTGTAGTACATCGTAGCTAGGAGATGCGACCACTGTTTAGTCTTCTTGCCAGCAAGAAGATTGACCGAACAAGTTAGTCATAGTAAGCCTCCATGTTGCATGAGATCAGATGGATAGGAATGATATAAGGCTGTATTGATTGTGGCTCGGACCGGGCAGACAACCACCACCAGAGTCGAGCTGGATACTGGAAACAAATACAGCAAACTCTATTGCAAAATATTCGAGACGATAGATGCAAATGCTGGTCAATCATGACTGCCGAGTTGTGAGTCTGAACCGTGGGAGGAACATCCGGGACGGAACAACTTTAATCCAGCGCCTGCTAACGGCGGGGTGAGTCAAAAAGTTCCCCGCCATATATTTCGTCGCGAGCCCACACGACCCGAGCAACAGAGTCAAGTCAATCGCAATCATGGCCAACGAACAGCCTCCGGCGCAGCCCCAGGCTGAGGGCTCCGAAAATCTGCACACTGATCCCGTCACCGGCGAGAAGATCTCCAAGAGCGAACTGAAGCGACGACAGAAGCAGCGCGAGAAGGACGAGAAGAAGAAAGAGAAGGAAGCAGCATTGCCCGCGCGGCCCAAGAAGGAAAAGAAGGACGACGTAGAAGAGCTGAACCCTAACGTAGGCCTATTTCCTGTGCCTAATTAGCATTTGTTCTGACACGGTCCAGCAATACTTCGAGATCCGCTCCAACAAGATCAACGCGCTCCGAGCCTCCAAGCAGCCGGACCCATACCCGCACAAGTTCCACGTCAACTACAAGATTGCCGACTATGTGCGCGACTTCTCGCACCTTATCAAGGGCGACACGGAACCAGACAAGGAGATTCGCATGGGACTGCGCGTCATGACCCAGCGCTCCGCTTCAAATGCTCTCCACTTCTACGTTTGTACGTACATGCCACCTTCATGGGACATCTACGGCTAACATCATGTAGGCAAGGCTGAGGGCGTCACGATCCAGGTCATGTGTCAATTGCAGGAATCCAAGGCCGACGTACCTTTCGAGAAGCAGCACGAAAACATCCAGCGTGGAGACATTATCGGCGTCATTGGCTTCCCAGGTCGGACAAACCCTAAGAAGGGTGGTGAGGGCGAGCTCAGTATCTTCGCGCGGGAGGTCATCCTCCTCACACCATGCTTGAGGATGCTGCCGACAGAGCACTTGTATGTAACCCCTGGATCTCAGGTGCGTGTTCGTACTGACATCACAACAGCGGGTACAAGGACCAGGAGCAGCGTCACCGAAACCGATTCCTCGACCTCATCATGAACGACTCGACACGCCAAACCTTCATCACTCGCACCAAGATAGTAAAATACATACGCCGCTATCTAGATGAACAAGATTTTTTGGAAGTGCAGACGCCCATGATGAACAAGATTGCTGGAGGTGCCACTGCGCGGCCCTTTAAGACATACCACAACGAGTTGGACATGGAATTGTTCCTGCGCATAGCGCCCGAGCTGTACCTGAAGGAATTGGTTGTCGGAGGACTTGAGAGGGTCTACGAGATTGGTCGCCAGTTCCGAAACGAGGGTATTGTCCTCACCCACAACATAATACCGGTTTCTAGACTAACTCGGCTCAAAAGGAATTGATCACACCCATAACCCTGAGTAAATTTTGTCCGAACCGCTCATTAGGCCGCAGCTAATGATTCGCAGGGTAACGAAATTGGGTATTCATGTATGAACTCAAGTGAGACATACTGACTTTTTACATTCAGTTCACGACCTGCGAGTTCTATATGGCCTACGCCGATTACAAGGACCTTATGGAAATGACCGAAGAGCTCGTAAGTGGCATGGTCAAGGAGATCACAGGAGGCCACGAGACAGTCTACCACACTCAGAGCGGTGAAGTATACAACGTCAACTGGGCGAGACCGTGGAGGCGAGTCGAGATGATACCTGCGCTGGAGGAGGCAACTGGCGAGAAGTTCCCACCGTCGAACGAGCTGCACACTGCGGAGACCAACGAGTTTCTCAAGCGGGTGCTCAAGAAGGTCAAACTTGACTGTACGCCCCCTCTTACCAATGCCAGGATAATCGACAAACTAGTGGGAGAGTTCATTGAGGAGACTGCGATCAACCCTACTTTCATCGTTGGCCACCCAGAGGTCATGTCGCCTCTAGCAAAGTACCACCGCGATATTCCCGGCTTGACAGGTAAGCTAGTCTGCATTAGTGCTCACCTAAGTCTAACAAATTCGCACAGAGCGCTTTGAGCTCTTTAGTTGCAAGAAGGAACTGTGCAACGCCTATACCGAATTGAACGACCCCTTCGACCAGCGCTTACGATTTGTAAGTTCACCAATCGATGCCCCAGCTACCTGACTTACTAACGGCCATGCAGGAAGAGCAAGCAAATCAGAAGTCACAAGGTGACGACGAGGCCCAGCTGATTGACGAGACGTTCTGCCAGTCGCTCGAGTACGGTCTTCCACCTACTGGTGGCTGGGGCCTCGGGATCGACCGCCTAGTTATGTGTAAATTTCCCCCTCCCACCCGTTGCTCTCGGCATGAGACGGATTTTACGGGAGACAAATACTGACTTCGTATGCCACTCTTTAGTCTTGACCGATCACTATAGTATCAAGGAGGTCTTGACCTTCCCCTTCATGAAGGATATAGTCGAAGAGAAGAAGCAGACCGCGGCAGAGGTCGTCGACATCACGCCCAAGCCTGAGGAAGGCATCCCAGGCAAATAGGAGTTGCTTGAGCTGAAACCCTCCGTGGCTGAGAAGATGGCGATGCGTCAACACCACTGCCTTGAGGATATGGGTATTGCAGTCTAAGTAGATACTGGACTAGCGCAATGATGGATTTAGCAGAAGCAACCTGATTCCAGGATTCCGCACCTAGCGTGCTTTCAATCCAATAAACCATCAATTAACGTGCTCGCGCTCGTGCTCTATGTCTTTGACCGCTTTCACACCAAGGAGTGTATGTCTTGCGAAACGTAGTAAAGCTTTCTATGCGAAGTGAGCGTTACGTGCAAGATTTATATGAAATGATATGCCTTACATGCTGGGTTGTCTCTTCGGCTATCCCTATAGACTCTACCTGCCGACCGAGAAAGTCAGGGGCAGTTCTATCAAATGTTACCCGCTCTAAATGTACCGCGGAGGTAATTGGGAGCCTAATGCTGGAAGCTACTCCTTAGTCCTCCAGAAAGAACGACAAGCTGGCTAGCAGTGTAAATCCGTATTCTAGACATGGATACGTTTCACTCTCTACTTGCCAGCACGCCCTCATACTCTAGACTACCTCTCAGTTTGACACAGTCGCCATGGACTTCGGCTTCGGCTTATGATGCTCTGTATTTTGTGCCTTTATTCATGCTGGCTGATCTGCTAGCCTTTTGCTCTAGAAGACATGGTTCAGCCAGCAATCGCCAGTGTCATATTATGCTCGTAGAGTCTTTCACTCTTTGCAATCCTCACGCAAACGACGTTTTTGTCTATTCGCAGGAGTGAAAGTAGCTTATTCTCTTTATGCACGCTCCTAAACCTGAGATTTAGGCTACAAAGTGGCTGTGTTTTCGCTGTCAGCTTGATACTAGGTCCTCGCTGAACGATAGCCCGACGCTATACTGAGTACATGTCTGACTATTCTGAGTGCACATATCGATATCTAATACAACGAACAGTCAGGGGAATGGTAGCTGAGTGTCTAGCAAGTATGTCTAGCACCACCAAGACAGTGCCTCCTGTTTCACCTCGGTGAATGGGTAAAATGAGCCGCAACTCTGCACTCCCTGACGTCACGGGCAAACGCACGTAACGGTGAGAGTGAAAGTCTCGCTTTTGTCGGACCTTGCCTACGGAGTCCCGCCCCCTCCACATATAACCTTCGATTCCCTTTCCTCTTCCCCCGGCGCTCACACTGTACCGTCAACACTTCGCAACCGTACGCTACCGACCGCCACTCATCCTCATCTGCGCATACACCCAGTTACCCTACCTCACGCTCGCCCACACGGTCACTTCCTGCCTACGCAATTGCACACGTCCACCGTCAATCCCCCTCACGGACCTTGCACTTGAGACTGCCGCCTCTCGTCGTTCAATCTTCTGAACGCGACCTCAAGATTCCGTCCGGACCGTAGCTTACGATGGCGAAGAAAAGGAAGCAATCCGCTAAACCCGCTAAAGCTGGCCTTGAGTTGGTGCGATGCCCGAGAACTAGCCATTTGGTATCACCAGATGATCTCGGGTTTAAGAAAGATGGAAGTCGATCAAAATTGTGCAACAAACATTTGATCGAGATGAGAAAGAAGAATGCAGAGAAGAAACAAAATAGACCATCAGGAACAATACAGGAAAAGGAAGGACCCAACAAAGGGAAGATATGCTGTTCGCATGACCACTGGGCGCTCGCCGAGAACTTCGATCCAGGATACAAGACATGCAGAAACTGCCTCGAGCGCCAGAGATCCAAACGAGCAAGAAAACGGGAAAAGGGGCCAAACCGTGGAGAGATATGGTGCTCAGGCCACGCAAAATACATCACTCTCGAAGCATTCGGCCCATTGAATAAGGATGACGAAGAACCTTACAAGGTTTGCTCGAGTTGTCGTGAACGGACGAGAGTCCACCATGCCCAGCAAAAGGCCGACCGAATTCAACAAGTCGCCAACTTGACCCTCGAGCAGCTACCGCTATACTGCATGACTTGTTATAATTTCAAAGAGTCGCCCGATGATCTCACGGTTTCAGTAAAGACAAGGAATGGCGAGAGGGTTGAGTACAATCAGTGCCATGGGTGCAATGAGAAGCGACTCCAGATAAATCTCACGAACCAGCTGAATTGTCTTAGGGGGGAATGCGGAGCTCAATTTGAGAGTCAAGAGGAACGCAACATCCATTTTGAGCACGAGTGTAAATGGAAGCTATGTGCTCATTGCAAAGCATCCATACTCAAAGAAGAAATGCCCGCACACGCCAAAGTGTGTCTTTTCAAAAAGTGCCCAACCTGCGCTGGAAAGATTGCACTCGAGGAGTTTGACGACCATAAGGTAGCTTGCCAGCGACGACTACACGCGAGGCAAGCGGAGCTCGACGCCAAAGGAAAGTGCGCCTATCTACATGGGCTAGGTAGCCTGCCGTGTCATAGTGCTCCAATGGCGGGATCCAGCTATTGTAGAGAACACAATATCCCAGTCCATGGTGGCGATTTGAACACAGTTGCCGAAAAGAAGCTGCTTTCGGGACTCATTCTCGGCCCGGAAGGACAGCGTGCGATAAAGAAGCTGAAGATGACTAAGGCTGCAAAGGAAATTTTCTGGTTCAGCGAGGTTATGGCTAGCCGTCCACAAGAAGTGATCTGCGGTGACACCGAGTTCGCAGGCCACCAACTATCATCGCCACATCCAACAACCTGCCAAGTCAAATTGTCCAACGGAAAATCCGAAGATATTGTTCCAAATACGACAGTCAAGTACCCGGATACCAAGTCCCAACAATTTGAACACTGGAATTGCGCGCAATCTTTTGTGGCGATGAGTGTTTTCAAGAAATTCTACGGTGTGGCTGACGACGGGCCAACTGTAGGAATTGATGGGGCTGAGTCAATCGATTGGAAAGGCATTGGCACTAAGATCAGGGACTATTGGACGACGCATGGACTCCAAGCCGAAGATTGTGTCTTTGTAGAGTGGTCGGGGTCGGGCCATGTGGACTATGACAACATCAAGGCAGGCCTGGAGAGTGTCGAGAAGGATACTCCGGACACTCTTGAGAAGAATAGTCCACTACCGCGCTTGCTAGTCAATCCATTGATCTACTGGAGACGATTTAGGGATGGACTCAAGCTCAAAAGAAACAGGAAAGGGAAGGGCCTTTTTTTTGGACTGAATTTGGGAAATTTATACTCCATCCTCTATCCCGAAGACAAGAACACGTTGGAGACCCAGCATACAGCGGGAACCGACGTCAAGATGCTTATAGCAGTTACGAAATTCTTTCTTCGCATGTGGAACGACGATAAAGAGCCACATAGGATTGATTCGTACTGGAAGCCGAAGGCCAAAGTGGTGAGAAAAGAGATGGAGTCAGAGGATGAAGAGATAGAGTCAGAGGATGAAGAGATAGAGTTAGAGGATGAAGAGATGGAGTCGGAGGATGAAGAGATGGAGTCGGAGGATGAAGAGATGGAGTCGGAGGATGATATGGAGGTTGGCGATGAAATGAACTTGGAGGAGGAGATGGAAACGCTGATTGACATACGATTGGAGTTGGAGGATAAGGCCAAAGTGGCAGACGAAAGCTCGGATGACGAGAATGACGAAGAGGAGGAGGAGGAAGATGATGATGATGACGAGGAGGACTCGGAACCTATAGCGCGCCCAGCTAAGAGGTGGAGGAGGAACTGAGATAGCGGCTTTAGAAAGCGCACAAAGAGATTAAGCAGGTCTTGCAGGCGCATAAGGATTGGTGGGACCTGGGCGTTTGATCTATCAGGATTGACGAAGGTCGGAGAAATCGGATTTCTTTGCGTAGTACAAGAATCACGAACAATATAATCAGTATCAGTATCGGGATCATCTGATCTAGTTGTTTCTGCAATTTATGAGACGATCTGTGGCTTGGCGTGTCTGACGTTCAGTTCGGCTCCCCACCAGCGGACGTCACCCCGGCCCGCTCCCCTTACCGCACCCGTACTTCGACCTCGGCCGACAGTGAAAATATATGTATGAGAAGAGATATATACTTGAACATCTATCCGATATGTCGCTCCTTAATAAAAATTTAGGACTTGAATGCCTCCAGAGCCCTACTTTAAGAAACCAAGCCAGCGACGATTTATACTGAAACACTACCAATGGCAGCACCAGGCGGAGCATTTTTCATCCAGGAAAAGTTGAAGACCCCTGCGCCGCATCATGAGAGCTACAAACAACTATGGGAAACGAAGTGGAAGCAACCCGTAAGCTGATCTCTTACATCATGCCTCTCCAATCCCTATGGAACGTGATCGTCATCTGAAAACGACCAATGTTAATGATCTAAAGGCGGAAATGGGCGTCTACCCCTTCATGTTCAGCACAGCAAAAGACTTTGAACCCGTCGTGGAAGAATTAGTCCACCGCGACTTCAAAGAGCCCTACAACTGGGATGAGTACGCAAAAGTATACTTCCCCCAGGCCGAAAGCCTCAAGAAGATCGCGCAAGAAGCAGAAAGCAAAGGCGAAATAGAAAAAGCGTCAGAGTATTACCTGCGATCTTCCGCCGTATACCGCATTTCGCGTTTCCCTGCACCACGCTCAGATGTACAAAGAGAAGCATGGAAACTAGGAAAGGAAGTATGTCTAAAAGGCCTCTCCCTACGCCCCCATCCCGTGAAAGAAGTTTTGATTCCGCATACGCATCGCAACAGCGATGAGGGCGAGCACATCCCGGTGTATCACTTGCTCCCTGAGCATGCCTCTAAGGAAACACCCGTGCCAACGTTAATCATCTTTACCGGCCTGGATGGGTACCGAACAGAACTCGCCGTCTGGATGGAAGGCTGGCGCCAAATAGGCGTAGCAACCATCGTCCTCGAAATCCCCGGCACAGGCGACTGTCCCGCAAACGCATCGGATCCTACATCGCCCGACCGCCTATACAGCTCCCTCTTCTCCTGGATCGATTCCCAAGACAGCCTGGACAAGAGTAAGGTAGCCATCTGGGCCTTCAGCACAGGCGGATACTACGCTATCCGCGTCGCGCACACACATGCTGAGAAACTAGCCGGCGTAGTCGCCCTAGGAGGCGGGTGCCATCACATGTTTGACAAAGCGTGGCTGGACAACGTCAACCATCTCGAATACCCGTTCGATCTCGCGAATACGCTGGCGCATAAGTGGGGCTATGGCGATGACGTCCAAGCGTTCAAGCGCGAGGCTGCAAGCAAGTTCAGCTTACTGAATGACGGCACGCTGGATCGGAACGAGTGCGCGCGCCTGCTACTGGTGAATGGGACGGACGATGAGATTTTCCCTATAGATGATTACTATCTTGCGCTGCAGCATGGTGCGCCGAAGGAAGCGCGGTTTGTTACCGGCGTCAAGCATATGGGGGAGCCGATGAGTTTCTTTATTATTTTGAAGTGGCTGTATCAGTTGTTTGGGATTAAGGCGGATCCAGTCAAGCAGATGCAGACGTTGCCATTCAAGCCTAAGTATTGAGGTCATGGTAGTTTGGAGACTTCACAGTATCAAGTGGTGATGCAATGAAAGAGGATTGAGGGGTTCTGTTTGTATTCGATAGACTTCTGTCTGCTGCACAGTGCAAATTTGAGCAGCTGTCTTCCCATTCGTAGGGGCACATAGGGGTATCAAAATCATGAACGCTAATCCTGGATGCCTTCGCGGCACTGTCAGCCTGCCAGTTTCTCAAAATCCATATACCGGCCAATGTGCATCCTTGATCCTTCTCAGCAAGCAAATCTTAGTATACAGTGCATGATATTGCTGAGCCTTTGAATGTCTGAATTCCAGCCCTATACGCCCAAGCAGCTTGTGCTATTCGAAATGTGAGCCTGAAAGTGTTCAAGTCATGGTGTTGGAAGAAGCCACCGTGGTGGTTGTGTTCGTGGTATTGTGCGCGAAGTTCATCAGCACACCGGGCGGTCCATTGTAGCCGAAGCTCTCGAGGCCCTGAGCATATTGGCGGTTGGCGACGGCGGCATGGAGGGCGAAGTAGGTGTAGCGAGAGAGCTCAGTGGGCACGTCGATGGGATGAATGAACATCAGCTGCTTCAGGTTGGGGAAGCACTCGAGGATACGGCACCAGTCGTTACCCGGGCTCACGTTGTCAGCCTCGCGGTTGAAGACGTTGCCAAGCTCCGTGGTCTGAATGGGTGCCACGACAAGGAGGTGGTGACAGTGCTGACCGATGCGCTTTAGGGCAGCGACGACGTGATCGGCGTGAACAGCGTTGACTTCTTTCGTGATCATGATGCACTCGAAGAGCTTCATGTCCGCGATGGGCTTGGCTCCCTTCCAGTAGGGTGAGAGTTTATGAATGGTGGGCGCGGAAAGAGGGAGATACTTGTGGCCATTGTGTTCGACCATGGTGGAGAGAAGAAGATCGTCAAGCTCAGGCTTGTCGGCGATGGTAGAGCGACGGGGCATGCGGGACCTATGAGCCGGGGTACTGTCAGTTCCTAGGTAAGACTTCCTCGGCGGGAGTCCACTGCACCATTTGCGAAGCTGCGCCTCCGCTTCCTCAGCAGGGGGGAGCTTGATCTTCTCGGAGTCACTACCACTGTCGGCACGAGAGAATTGAGCCGGGAAATTGGTTCTCGGAAGAGAGCTTGATCCCTTGATAGGAATCGGGTTCGAACGAGGAACTGGTCCAGGACCCGCCAGTCTGTCAGCCGGGTTGTCGAAGACAGTTTCCTTCCTGGACTCACTCTCGCTGCCACCCAGAGTTAGGCCAGGAAGCATGCGCGACTCTGAAATCGTCCGTCCACGAGCGGTACCGAAAGTAGGCTGTTGGGGAGTTTCGGCTGGGCCGCTCTTTTTGTCGTTGTTGCCGTAGTCCATGATGGTGTTGGGAGTGGTGGTGATCTGTAGTTGTAGAGAAGCTGACGCGGGTTGGTAAACGGAGCTAAAGTTTGTGGATATTCAAAACACTCACCTCAAGCTTGGATCTAGATGTTACACCAACAAAGTTTCAGTCCCTGTTCGTCGTGTTAGTGATTTCTTTTGGTATGAACCCGTAGAAGTGATGAATGAAGCTGCTGTAAGCTGCCAAACGACTTTGAGGTTGAGGTTGAGGTAGGTAAAAAGCGCACCTGGTAAGCTCTATTTGAAGCTGTACAATGACGTGCTGGCGACGCGTTGTTATTGACAGCAAACGCAGCGTCACTAAGACAACACCCAGGCAGCAGTCCCGACGAGGAAGGCGCACAGATTTGAAACCAAGGAGCCTAGGGAAATGCGAGGTGAAGACGAGTTGGGAGTGACGCAGTCCACGCAAAGCCTGTAATACGCGGATACAACAATATGTACTTGTGAACCAGGTATGCCCTCATGATGGTAACGAACTGCATATAGTGCGTAATCCAGAGACACCTCTTCTGTAGGGGAGGTGTGTGCAGCGGCAGACCCGAGAGTGGAACAGAGCATACTGCAAGGAAAAAGACTCCACATCCAATCTAGTACTTTTTCACTGCTGATCCAGTGGGGAAATAGCCTTTATTCCATCTCTTCAATCTAATATACGTGCGGGCTTTGCACACTTGTTCCATTGACGTGTTGTACTCTGTACTGCAATTGAGGCTCTTACGATGTGCTGGACGAGCGAGTTGTAGACAACTCACAAACGTACCAACCGGCTACACATGGTCAATTCAGCACTTGCGATCGATATTGCATCTCCAAATACAGCGTGTTGATTTGCGCCGCTATGGGTGAAGCAGTGAAGGTAGGCTTTCACCTGGGATCCCAGTGCGGCTTGAATCGGCATCCATCGACATGGGCCAGGTAGTTGAGCGACATGTTGTGAGTATGCGAAAGTCGAGCGGCATGTTGTTGTGGGAAATGCGCTTCTCTACTTGAAGTGCTGAAGGAGACGATGATGAGAAGAAAGAGGTGGTGGTCTGATATGGAGGAGAGCTACGCGAGAGCACGAGCGGTACCGCAAGTTTAGCCGAGGTGATCCTATCACAGATTCCGGTTCCGCGTGCGTCATACCGGAGAACTCCCACCATCGGCGGCGTGGGATGGCGGGGCCCATCTCCCCCAGCATCGAGTTTTGCATTCCACCCCTCATATTCTCATCAGGCCTTTCTTGTCCGCATCAATTAGACTCTCTTTCTCTTGTGTCCTCTTTTGAATTAGTCGAAACTCTGCTCGCTTATTCAACAGACCGACATTGGCCCAGCGAGTTGTTGGCAACCTTCGCAGGCGGTGTGTGCGTTATTATACAGCCTTGGTAAGCTGCTTCTACAGGTCTTTCCCAAAAGCAACACTGCGCTGGGGAGAAAGCAGAGATCGCCTAGACAGTAGTTAGCTGTCCCGCGTGACTTTTGAAGATTTCAATCACGCGCAAGCCTAGAGTCTTGTCGGTCCTAATAGTATAAAGCACTGACAACCAATTCAAGGTCCTGACCCATCGTCCCAATCCCTACCACACCGAAAATCCAACATCGCAACACAACTACGTCCTCTGCGACTACTTTGGACATCGTTCCGTTAATTCACGACCGCAATCATGGTTCTAGGCGCAAGAAGACCGCCCTCCCGAAAGGGTACGCCGCACCCCCAATCTCCTGATACCCTCGTTGGGTAACGACTCTATATCGCAAAGATGGGTGGAATAACAATCGTGTTAGGCTCCATGGCGGATATGCCCGTAGACTTGAAGGAACAAATGAACAAGATAGAGGAGCTGTTCGTAGTCCCTACGGCAAAGTTGAAGCATATCACGGATCATTTCGTAGCCGAGCTCGAACGAGGATTGTCGGAAGAAGGGGGTACCATTGTGAGTCTTCGTGCACTCTTTGGAACGGACACAAGCTGACAAGCACAGCCCATGATCCCGACTTGGTGTATGGCCTTCCCCGACGGTAACGAGACGGGCAGCTACCTTGCGCTTGACATGGGAGGTACAAATCTACGCGTGTGCGAGGTCACCTTGACGGAAGAGAAGGGCGAATTCGACATTATACAGTCCAAGTACCGCATGCCCGAGGAGCTGAAGACCGGTTCGGCAGAGGAGCTATGGGGATATGTTGCCGACTGCCTCCAGCAGTTTATCGAATATCATCACGAGGATGAGAAACTAGACCATCTACCGCTTGGCTTCACTTTCTCCTACCCAGTGTCACAGGAGGCTATCGATCACGGTGTTCTCCAGCGGTGGACCAAGGGCTTCGATGTTGAGGGCGTGGAAGGGCAGGACGTAGTGCCTGGATTCACGAAGGCTTTGGAAGAGCGTGGCGTCCCCATCAAGCTCGCAGCTTTGGTCAACGACACGACTGGTACCATGATCGCCTCGGCGTACACCAACACTAGCATCAAGATCGGTTGCATCTTCGGCACCGGTTGCAACGCTGCGTACATGGAAGAATGTGGCGCTATCCCCAAGCTTGCGCACATGAATCTCGACCCTAAGCTGCCCATGGCCATCAACTGCGAGTGGGGCGCGTTCGACAACGAACACAAGGTCCTCCCTCGCACAAAGTACGATATCGTCATAGACAAGGAATCGCCCCGTCCTGGCCAACAATCGTTCGAAAAGATGGTAGCAGGCCTGTATCTCGGCGAAATCTTCCGTCTCGTCCTTCTCGATCTGCACAAAGGTAACGAGTGCCACTTCTTCGAGAAGCAAAACATAGGCAAGCTCGACAAGCCATACTCGTTGGATGCAGGCTTCCTCGCCTCGATCGAAGAGGATCGCTTCGAGAACTTGCAGGACACGGGCGATCTCTTCCTCGAGAAACTTGGCATAACTTGCACCAAGCCCGAACTCGAGCTCATTCGCCGCCTCGCTGAACTTATCGGCACTCGCGCCGCTCGCCTAACAGCTTGTGGTGTCTCTGCGATCTGCAAGCACAAGAAGTGGGATGAAGTCCACGTCGGCGCTGACGGCTCCGTCTTCACCAAGTACCCGCATTTCAAGGTCCGACAGGCACAAGCGCTGAAGGAGATTCTAGACTGGCCGGCCAAGTATGGCAAGGGCAAGGGTGATCCTGTTGAGGTTATGCCTGCTGAGGATGGCTCGGGTGTAGGCGCTGCGCTGATTGCTGCGCTTACGGTGAAGCGCGTGCAGCAGGGACAGCTCGCCGGTATCAGAGATAGCGATGCTATCTTACAGATGGCGCCTAAAAACGCTCGGTAGAGTGAGAGCTATGGTTGACAAAGTATAGTAAATCGATTTGTAAATATATAGAGAACCTTGATTGAGAAATCTCCATGTCACTCTCTCGTTTATGCCACTAATTCTGCTCTCTCAAACCCCCACATAGCTACAATGCACACTCCTATAAACACCAGATCTCTTATGAGACTCACCACGAGGATGACGCCCATTTTCACTTCCAAACAATGGGGGTTTTGCTCTAGCTAGTCGTAGTTGTTGTTGGCATGCTGGAACTGGACGTCGATATGTTGGAGAGGCGTGCGAGCGGCATTGGTACCGATGTACGTACATTTAACTGCAGCTTATGTACTCAGCCTGTGTTTCTGCGCACTCGTGCGAGTGGGCGTAGTTATAGTAAGAGCGCGAGTCCCTATAGGATGTGATGCTGATTAGCGTATGCTACGTGCTTGTAGTCGAATGCGGTATTTACCAATAATGCTCTGAGCTATAGAGTCTGCTTCAAGATTCTTCTTCTGCTCTGATGCTCTTGCGTTCTTGAATAACTCCCTCTCTATCCCCATGTTGTGTATGTCTCTAGACTCTAAAGTCGTGTTATTGATCTAACTGTTCTCGACGCATGGTTCGTGCAACCTAGCCTCATTTCTTTGTTCAACTGAGACTTGTAGTGACAGGCCGACGGAAGCAGTCGTAGCACTTACGGAAAGTACAAGAACTTTCAATGTGAGGATGTACTGGGTTAAGTGTGATATTGCTTGCGACTGAAGTTGTAGGGATGTGTGTCAATCGTTGCGTTCAGGCAAAGACTCACTAATATGTTGTAAAATCTTGTATTGGCGAAGATACGATTAAGGATATTCCGTGCAACCTAATAATACACTCTATTCTCTTGAAAACGCCCGGAACGCACAAAACCCCGCCCTCCTATACTGCAGCCACCCCAAAAGCAAGCTCCCTCTCGCCCTCATGCATACCGCGCAACCTGCTCCTCAGTCCACTCCCAAAATTTCTTGGCAATCCCACTTCCCCCATCCTCCTCGAGAAGGCCAGCTTGAGCAAGATCCTTGCGCAGCGGGCATATACGACCAAAGGGAATGACCCACTCGTTTTGCTTGATAGACGCGACATCTGGCGACAAGCCGGCGAAGAGCTCCGTGTAGGCGCCGTTTACAGCCGGGTACACCATGAGGGATACAAAGAAGGCTTGAAGAGGTGAAATATGCCGTTGTAGATCTGAGGCTAGGTTGCCAGGGTTGAGTGACTATGATATAGCGAGTTAGGAGCGATAAAGAACGCGGATGGTTTATCATTGGGCGGGGACGTTGGAGGGAGGACTCACCACACTAACAATACCATCCTGCTTGTACCGTCGCTGGAACTCAACTGCATGTAGCACATTGCCGCCCTTGCTAACAGCATACTTTTGGCTAGCCCACTTGTCGACGTGGTAGTCGAGATTCTGCAGGTCTACGCCTCCGGTGGGGGCGCCAAGATGTGCTGCAGAGCTCGACACCCAGATCACCCTGACAGATCCCGCCGGACTTGATTTTACGGTCTGAGCGAGCAAGGGGGTCAACAGCTTTGTGAAGAGGAATGGCGCAACGCAATTCGTGCCCAATTGCAGTTCGTATCCTTGTTTCGTCTTGGAGCCTTGGGGTGGCACCATTACGCCGGCGTTGTTGAACAGGACATCCAATCTCTTCTCTTTGCTCAAGAACTCCTCAACTGATGGCTTGATGCCCTCCAAGTCGTTCAGATCCAGGTGCAGATAGTGCAATGCGCCTTGTGCGGTGGGATGGCTTTCCTTGATCCAGGCGATTGCTGCTTTCGCCTTCTCAGAGTTCCGCGCACCAACATAGACGGTGCCGTTGCGCGAGTAGAGGATTCGCGCGAGTTCTTTTCCGACTCCTGCGTTTGCGCCGGTGACGATGTAGACCTTGCCTTTCAAGTCGCCTAGCGAAGTCTCCGTAAACTTGGCCGCGGGCGGATACGCTTGGCTGATTTGGTTACCCATTGTCGTTTGCGGTTCGATGGCAGTTTATTAGTAGCGATAATGGAATGAAGCTGCGTCGTGAAGAGAAGAGCGTTCAGCGTTCCTTTTGAAGTATTCTTTTTCTATGGCTGTCGTCTATGACATACGGGCTACATAGTCTACCGTACCGGACCGGACGGAAGGCTGCGGTCGAACGTCGGCATCACCACCACCTCGACGAGAAAAACATCACACCTTCGCTCGATTCTTCTTCTAGATCGCCACTATCTCCGTTTGCCTACAGTCCGCGTATCACTATTCGGCGCCACTGTCTGTATGTAGTAGGCCATCCTGCTCTTTTCATGTGATAGCCTGTTCAGTAGCGCAGAGAACCGGATTTAGGACAAAGCACGGAAGTGGGTACGCCGCGCTAAGAATTTCGTTATCACGTATGCAAAAGATAGCCTCACCGACTGTTTGCGAGCTCGAGAGGAAGATGAGGGTTCACAAAAGTCAGCGAGCGTTCGTCCAAGGATTATATTTAATGCTGGGATGCTAGCGCTTACTCCCAAATGGCTGACTAACACTTGAACAATGACCTCGAAACGCCCAGAGCCAAATTCACCACTCTGCCCTAAACATCTAAACGTTACATTGCATATATATCATCTATCCCTCAGATCGTACAACACCCGTGCAACTTCTGACATCAAACTCTACCCACCGCGCTCTCCCTTCTCTCCTCCCTCTTCCACCACTCTCGTCTATACTCCCAGGGTTCATGACCGTACACCCAAAGTACTTGACCACAAAAGCTGGAGCTTCGGCATCTGCAAGCACTAAGCTTGTCGGCAACGGGTAAAGGTTCAGTGTGTGCGCGAAGTCCCAGTGCAGTGGGCGAGCGGAGAGCGGGAAAGGCGAGAGATGTGATTGTGATAATATCGTTCGCGTGAGTGCACGTGCTGTTTGTGTGTCGTCATCTATTTCATCTTGTTGTTTCGGTGCGGCTGCCGCAGGCGCAGATGGAATATCGAGGTCCATTGTGTCTTGCGAATCAATGTCGTTCTGCTGCGCGGAAGGTGCGTAGGGCATCTCATCTTCAACGTCCGGTGCAGGCTTGTTGAAGCGTATACTTGTCCTCTGTAGTCGACCCGCAACATCGTCTCTAAGGATTGCCATCTCGCCCTTCACGCCGAACCAGCTGAGTCGCGAAGGGTTACTCGTCCATATCACCTCACCCTCTTTGCCTTTCGCTTTACTAACACCCCATACTTCTCGATTTGCTTCTGCTACGACTCGCCTTATGCGGTTTGTGAATAGCTGTGGCACCGGTTTGCGAGGGAGTGGTGTTGCGGCGCCTGCTGAAAAAGCGCTTGGCCAAGCATCATTATCGCCAGGTACAAAGACTAGGGTAGTATGTGCGATGAGTTGTTGAAAGTCCGCAAGGACCGAGGCTAGAGCGTCGAAGTGCTCTTTGTATTCTATGCTGCCTGCGCCAGGGACACCTGCTAGGCTGGCTTTGGAGCTGAAGTTGCCCATTAGAATGATCGCGAGGGGATAAACAGGGTGGGCGTCATTAGGATCGGGTGTGTATGATCGTAATAGCGTTCGGAGCGCAGAAAGTGTCGATGGGATGTCCAAATGCAGGTCCGATGCTATCACGACGTTGTGTGCCTTCTCCTGGTCGAGCAACTTCGACGCTATCTTGTTCATTCGAGAGCCAGTTGCGCGCTGGGAACCGATTCCCAGGAAGTCTGTCCACCCAAACGCTGGTCCAGCCAGGTTGTTCTTATCTAACTCCTCTGCGCCACCTAGAGTGGCTGTTCGCCGTTCACATGGTGGGTGACCGACCGAGAAGCCAATGAACTTCCCGCCAACCGTTCCGCCAATTCCACCGTCGCCCCCTAGCGATGAACTTGCGCCCGCATCTTCCTCATAGGTACCTTCCACGAGTACAACCATACCGGGCGCGAAGTAAGCCCCGTTTTCCGGTATTGGTCGTGCGTGTTGAAGGTCTAGTGCAATCGTCCCTGTAAGGTCAGACAGCGAGAGTGCTCCAGTAGCTGAGACAGTGAGCATGCCGAGCAGCAAATGAGTGCTTCCAGTTCGGCCCAATAGGTTGGCAATAGGGGTGATAGAGTTCATCTGGGATGTGGCGATGGAACCAGTGCGATTTAATGTTGCAGATCGAGCAGTAGAAAAGGTGGGCGCTTGAAAGGTTTCATTGCGGAGAATACGCTGGTGTACAATGTGGTATCGCTGCCGGAAGACCTCGGTTTTGTGTGAGGGATCTGGGAAAAGCGAGGGCTTGATGGTAGACCTGCGGTCGTTAGCGCTACATCTAAGGGCTAGTTCTGGCAACTTACTTCTCGAAGTGTTTCTGGGTGACGTTGTATACCAGCTTCGGCTGCTCAAATGCACCAATAACCTTAACCCACTCTCGAGGGTCCTTCAGCAAGTCGTCGTCATCTTCGTCGTCTTCTACTTGAAGACTTGACATGCCAAAGCTTGTATTGCTATCCAACGTTGGCCGAGACGCTTGAGCATTCATCTCGGGCCCAAAGTTGAAGCTGCTATGCCTGCTGAGATTCGAACCTTGGACAAGTCTTCCTCCGTTCATGGATCCCTCCAGCGTCTTGAGTATGCTCCGGAGTGTCTCATTCTCTCCGTCTACGATTACCTGACCACCGCACTTTTTCCAGCTCTTTGCAACCTCCTCCAATACCTTCTCCGCCAGTCCTTCCTCCCGCCATCCTGACCCGCAGTGCTTCCCTACGAAGGTTGCGAGCGCCTGAAGGGCTGAGGATGTAAGGGTGAGATTGTGTTTCTTGGTGAACGTGCGAAAGGCGAGGGGTCGTAGAATCGCTGGTGGAAGTAGTATGGCGAGAACATTGGGCTTCGGGGCAGGCTTCAGACCAGGCGGGGCGCGAATCGGTGCTGTTCTACGGGGGTTGATGGGATGGACGGGCGTGCCGAAAGCGGGCGATGAAGACGGAATGGGGTTCGCTGGCACCTGTGAGGGCTTTTCTGGTCGCCGTGCTGTCGCCATGTCGTTAGGATGTGCGTGGGAAGAATAAATGGCGATGCGTGTTCATGCACTTTACGGCGCGTCAACGACGCGGGTCGCGACTTCGCGGTGGCCCAAGCTCATCAAAGCTACTTCCCGCAACAGCTCCACCAAACATACACCACCAAGCTGACCTCGCGCAAGCCCAGAAACATCGCATTACAGTCGCATACACTACAGCTATCTAGCCTAATCTTCTCCACCTCCACCACCGACCCATAATGGCTGATCCAGCGACCAAACCTCTCGCGGCTGTCACCGAGACCGACGAGCTGCCCAGGACGAAAGAGAAGCTCGAGGAGCTCTCCAAGGTTGCCTCAATTCACTACTCAACTAAGAACTTCGCTGCCGCTGCCGAAAACTACGCCAATGCTGTCGAGATTCAAGCTGAGCTGAACGGCGAGATGGCGCCCGAGAACGCCGAGTTGCTGTTCTACTACGGCCGCGCACTTTACAAGGTCGCAGTCGCCAAGAGCGACGTCTTAGGCAACAAAGTGGCGCAAGAAGACAAGAAGAAGACAAAGCCAAAGAAGAGCGCAAAACAGGAAGCTGGCCAAAGCTCAGGCGCAGCAGCGAACGGAGCGAAAACCGAGCAGAAGGAGGAGTCGGTCGAGTCGAAGCCGTATTTCCAGCTTCAGGGCGATGAGAACTGGACGGACTCAGAAGACGAAGAAGAAAATGAAGAGGAGGGTGAGCAGGAGGAAGAAGAGGACGACTTCGGCAATGCATACGAGACCTTTGAACTAGCCCGTGTTCTTTATTCGAAGCAACTGGAAGCGCACGATGGAGGAGAGACCGCGGGCAAAGGCAAAGGGAAAGCTGAGCTGAGTCCACAAGAACGTATAATAAAGGAGAGGGTTGCAGACTGTCACGGCTTCCTGGTGGAGATCTCACTGGAGAACGAGCGCTTCCACGATGCCGTATCCGATGCCCGCGCTTCGCTCGCTCTACAAGAGGAGCTGTACCCCTTCGAGCATGAAAATGTCACAGAAGCGCACTACTCACTTTCGCTAGCCCTTGAGTTCGCATCTGTCTCCAAGGTGCGCGAGGATCAGACTGGGCAACAAACCGATGCACCAGCGGACGCAGCACAACAACCAGAGGATAAAGACAGCATCGATTGGGAGCTTCGGAAGGAAGCCGCAAAGCACACCGATTTTGCCGTCCAGAGCCTCGAAGCACGCTTGAACAAGGAAGAGGCTGCCCTTACCTCCAACACATTGACCCCAGACCAAAAGAAAGAGAAAAAAACCATCATCGAGGACAAGAAGGGCATGTTAGAGGACCTCCGAACGCGCCTCATCGACCTAAAGTCAGACCCGACTAAGCAGGAATTTGACAGCATTGATTCCTCAGTCTTTCAGGGTCTGCTCGGTGGCTTGCTCGGCGCAGATGCGGCGACGCAGAAAGCGAAGATCGCTGAGGTAACCAAGGGTGCGAATGATGTGACGGGCTTAGTCAAGACGAAGAAAAAGGCGAAAGTCCCAGCACCAATAGCATCGGCGGATGCTACTAGTAGCAAGAGGAAGCTGGAAGTCGAGGACGAAACGGCAAATGGAAAAAGAGCGAAGACAGAGGAACCCATTTGAACGGTATGTTGTTGCACATGAAATGCTTCCTATACGTATGTTTTGATGTGCTGGGTACCTCCAGGTCATTGGCGTTGTAGGAGTAGTCCATGCCCGCCTCAGTTGATCGGTCAGGGTAGGCGGAACAGGCTAGCACGGTATTTTCGATTAGCTACACAGCTTCAAATCGAGAGCTGTTCAAAATTTACAAGTACTATTTAGGGCTTTTGGTTCATCTAGTCGTATTATACTGAATTAAAACAGTCCTGCGCTATCTGTGTTATAGCAACTGCCACTTCGTTTTGTAACATGATATATAATCGTGATAATATGTACTCAAGTAACGATATCTATTCCAACTGTGTATTACGAGCAATGACGTTGGGTTTGGGTCTGAATTAAAGGAGACGTGGTCAGTCTTTCAACTCCGAGGAAAAGAATGAGTGCAACAATTAACATTCAATTCATGGCAGTTTTCGACGTACCTCTCTCACGCCCTTCATCAGAATGCTCACTCGCGCACCACATCTCCCTAGTAACCCGCCATATCCACTCATTGCCAAACATCTTATCCTGTATGGGCTGCGCTCCAAACCCAAACTTCACATTCATCATGCCCTTAAAAGCGACATTTGCGTCCACACACGATACATGCACTTCGTCCATACCCAGCACGCGGAAACCATGATCAATCACCATACATAATGCCTCGTACGCATACCCTTTACGCCGAAGGTCAGAGTCCAACATCATGCCCGCGTCCCCAATCAACTTGCCGTCGGACTTCCGACGCCCGATCCAGCCCAGGCCACCTGTGCCAACTGTCTTTCCTTCGACAACAACGACGATGTTAGCGCGCTTGAGTGGCTGGCTTACGTCCAGCCACTGCTTGATCAAGGCGCTGATGGCGGTGGGAGTGTCGAGACCGCTGCATGATTTGTCGTATTGGATGTTGCGGTGGTCGGTGAAGAGGCGTAGGAGTGCTGCAGCGTCATCTTCGACCGGCAAGCGAAGCTGTAGCTCTGGGAATTTTAGAGACGCTATGTGCAGATTACTTTTCCCTCGGCTGGCTAGATCGGTTGAGTGCGTGTAGATAGTAGTGCTACCGGATGAAGAGAGGAAATCGTGGCTGGGATCTACAGCCATGGCTTTTGGGGAGTGAAGGAATGTGAGACTGCTGGTGCCTTTCTTGTTACTATCCTAGGATATCATCGACGGAGGATAATAATAATTAATAAGAGTTGTCTGAGGCTCGAGTTTGGGAATGGCGATGATGTGTGGAAGGGTAGTTAACTTGATATCGTGCACTGTGTATAGATGTTCAGGTGGTGACAATCTGGTGTTGTTGTTATACAGTAATTCTAGATCGTGCGCAAAACACATGTAGTTGGATTAAAACCAGGAAGATCAATTTGTGCGAAAGTAAGCAAAGGGTAGATAGTGGGATGCAGATCAAGTAAGCACTGACACGGGAAGATGGGGGCCTCGCCTCTGATCATTGGTTCTCGGTTGCTTGGCCAGTATACACTAGTATGCTTGAAACATGAGCATTCAAGCACACTTATAGTGTCTGCCTTGACTGGAGCGGACGCGCTTGCTCCTCATCCTCCAAAATAGGCATTAAACCGTTCTCAATCACATACTCCGCTCCTCCGGGCGCGGTGCATTTTACGATAACTCTCTTCTGTACACCCTTTTCCGCATATTCACCCAAATTCTCTTTGAAGAGCTCTTTATCATCTTTTGCTGCGCGTCGAGCGTGTTCCCAATCGAAGAGCTGAGCTGCAAGACCAGCAGTGGTCAACCGAGTATGGACTTGATGTACCACAGGGGATGTGGCTCTGAAGGCGATGCAAGCAAGTATTAGGCCTAGTAGTGCGAATGTACTGTTTGCGATAACGAGCAACCAGAGCGCTACCACCGGAAGCTTTGTGATGACTTTTGCCCTCCGCCGCTGTACGAGACGTGCTGGGGCGGGTACTGTGTGCGTAATCAAAGGCGTGATCAATGCCCTGCTAATCTCCTTTTCGTACTGTTCTATGAATAATGCTGGCGACGTGAGATTTCGATTTGCTTCGCTGTACACCTCGTTTACGAGGTGTCCCATAAAGCCAAAAGCATTGACACCCATCATTGAGACGATCCCTGTTGTGGAACTATTGCTCTTTTCGTACGAAAGGTCTGTGACCTTGTTATCGATGACAGAAAAGGTAGTGTCCCAGACTGAAATTAAGTCAGCCATATATTAGGTGAAGGATGTCCAAACATACCAGTGGTATTGCAGGAAAGTAAGAAAAACAGAAGGTCACGCGGATCCTGCCAGACAAGGGAACTCTCTTTGAATGCCGCCGGCCCTTCTGACACGGTTCCTGTGGTCGAAATTTGTGCCAGCCAATGCCAAGGGTTGCGAAAGACTGAGCCTGACTCTTCCAATGTCAAGTTAACTGACTCTCGGCTATTTGAAATTAAACCTGCTGAGCTGTTTTGGAAGGGAGTATCCTCGGTGAGAAACTCGTGCCAATCATCAAACCACATTGTGTGGACGTATGAAGTGAAATTACCAGAGATGTTTTTCCCTCCATAAGCTTCCTTGCAATAAAATTGCGTAGATGAGACCTCCCTGAATGGCCCATAAGTAATGCCCAGTTCGCAAGCAGTCCGTGGGATCGCAGCGCACTGAGTGGAAACCCCAAAGCCTGTTCCACTCCAATCGACTTTTGGATCAATAACAGCAGAGCGTATAAGAGCGAAATGAGTGCCGTTGGTATTAGTGAAGTTCATAGTGTAGGGATGGTTGTCTCCCATGATGTCCTGTTGGAGAGTGCCGTTGGCTGGCCGTACGTAACCCGTCTCTCTACTATAGGACACACCACAGCCCCAAAAATACTTTGGACTAGATATCCCTCGGGCGTCCTCAGAATCGTAACACCAAGGCGCTAGTCGTCTGCCATACTGGAACTCGGATAGCTGTTCTGAAAATAAGCGAGTTGCGCTTACAGCTTCGATGACTATATGAAAGTAGGTATCGGCTAGCTGTATGAAGATGCTGCCATTGTATCAACAAAGGCTTCACAACATGGTAGCATGCACATACCTGCCAAGAAGACTGAGAGTGAATACAAAAAGCGCTTTTCTGATGATAGGGGGGCTATGTTGATGTTTCTTCTTCCGAGATTGTCGGCGTCCAAGAGCTGTATGAATCTTCCGCACCCATACGTCCCATAGTAGGAACATCTCTGCGTTGATTAGTCGAACAAGTATACTGGTTCTATAAGGGCTAGGAAGATTCTCGTGTGCTCTGTTAGAGGCCGACACATCCAAAAGTTGACGAGCAGCTATGAATCCATACATCGCCATCAACGCTGCGACAAGGGCAAAGCTTATTGTTGATGATAAGGATGAAACGAACGCAAGTCGACCGACTGAGAAGTCTACGTAGTAGTTCGAGCCATGCAGGGAGTTCAAGGAGTTGAGGTCAGGACACAGCTCTGGAAATGGACAATGTTGTAGATCTACTCTCCTTGAGAAAACGATCGATAGGAGAGTAACGGTGAAAGCGACCATTGGCACGAAGACCAAAGAGCAAGTAAGGATGATTTTCCTGGTGTGAAGTTTCCACGGATTTTGGAGGTTCCAGATCTCTGATGGCGATTTCGACTCGCTAGACGGCGAAGAATCGGACCGCGAGCGTTTCAAAATGCGATACATGGTAGTAATTGTTGAGGTGAGTCAAGACAAGCAAGTCCGAAGGAGATGGTAGAAATTAGTAGAGAAGGGACAAGACACTACTCTTTAAACATACGCATACATATGGAAGCAGTGGGGCGCCCCTTTCTAGGGTATGACAAACGCGGGGCTGAAGCTGAGCACCCAGCGAACCGTCACACGAAATCACCGCGATTGTAAACCAAATGTTGAGAGTCAGCCTTGCCATACCAACTGCAGCGGTGAGATTTTCCATAGCAGCACGGCGTTTCGTGAGACATTGCGCATTGATTGTATGGGCGTACGCGTCGAGAAGCGAGAAAGGCCGAGAGACAATGACGACATGGTGATAATGAGAAAAAGCAGCTACATAGAGGAATGAGAAATAATGAGAGGAGATCTAGCTGATGAAAAACGGGGTAAAGATATAGATGGTGCGGATGTATGTTCGAGGTACGATCTCAGGGAACAATGGAAGGAGCATTTTAGGCAAATATTAGTCCTCAGCTATCATCTGAGACTGCCATCGAACGTTGAGGAATGGTTGCACAGCATTCCTTCAGAAGTTTACTGTACTATATGTCTATCATACGTGGTTGGTGCTCTCGGCCCGAAAGATAAGATGAATCTATCAAATGGTGAAGTCGAAGTTGCACAGGAAGCTCGCTGCGTATCGCGCTTGAGTACATGTGCACAAAATTAATGTCTCGTCCTTGCATTATCATGATCGGAGCGGTGTGAATTCCGGTGTATTCCAGATGTACTCGAAGACCATGAAACAGGGAGGCTTAGTAACGTACCGTCCGTCTACTCCCCATCCAAAGCTTGTAACATCTCCCTCGTAGCACTCAAACTTTGACTATCCCCATAGATTGCCGCAATTAAGCTCCCATCGATCTTCGGAAATTCCCTCTGCAGAATCTCCACATTTAAATCAGCTTCATCTTTTCTGCCAGCCGCCTCATAGCTCTGCATGACTTCGATTTGGTGCGAACGGTCCTGTCCTGTAGGCAGCGCTACATCGGTGGCTGAGCGGCGAGGTGGTAGACCTGGCGGTTGTTCCTCTTGGCCAGGGTAGGAAGGTTGAGATGGCTGTTGCTGGTGATAGGACGGTTGAGAGGGTTGCTGAGACGGGTTGTATGGGTTTTGCGACAGACCTTGGCTTGCCTCCTGACCCCAGGGGGTTGTATTTTGACCCTGAGATGGTTGTTGGGAGAAGGGGTTTGTGGGTTGCTCTTGGTATGCTTGGTATGGGGGTTGGTTCTGGTGGCCTGGGCCTTGTTGGCTGCGCTGATCTTCCCACGGGTTGTCGTTGTGGTTGTTGGAGGCCATGATTGCTCCACTGTAAACTTCGAGGAGTGGATTGGGAGAGTTAAGTAGGATAGCTTGGAGTATTTGCACCAGGTATTCGAGATTGTGGCGGTATGAATTGCGAAAACTGTGAGGCTGAGTGACGGTTTGTTGTGCGAAGATCGAGGCGCGGTTTGGGATGACGTATGCTCTTCACGTGCTGCGCTGCCCCGCTATTGCCTACCGGGCGCGCTCCCCGTCCGCTACTTCAATTCTACCACCATTCATTTTGTCAATTAGGTTTTCTGTTTGACCCCATATATTGACAAACTAGCTTTGTAAAAAAAAAAAGGAGATTAATATAGTGTTATACAATGTGCCCTCTCTCGCACTTTCTCGTAAAAACGAATGATTTGGTAGTACCACCGCCTCTTGTGATAGGAAGTTACAGGGACTCCAAACGACGAGAAAACGACAAGACGAGTACAATATATGGCTCATTCGGTTACTGTAATAGTTTCCGTTCATTTTCTCGACATTTATAATACCTACCATTTTGTTTTAAGTGACAACCTAGAACCATGGGAATTCGAAGATACGCAATGCCCATTGCATAAACCAGTACTCCTTGCATAACTCAAGATAAACAGCCCCTTCTAAAAGTAACGAAAGCTTTCAAAGTGAGCTACAAACTCTCCCTCCCTTCAAGATAGCAGCACCAAGTTTACCACCCATCGTTCTCCGCCATCTCAGCGCTTCAATTTCTTTGACCAGTGGCTTATTTCGCCGCGTACGCAATACCGCCACTAAAAGCACCACGCCCGAAAAATATAGCATTATTATCTACATCAACGACAACAAAATGGAAACAAAATGGAAGGCCGAAAACGAAATTATCAAAAAGGGATGGCGATTAGATAACTAAATTCTGCCACAAGATTGTTCAATTGTAGGTGCTGATTGCACAGGATAATAGAAAAGGAACAGCAGCGGAAGGAACACAAATTAATGCGAAAGGAGAGCGAGACGAACACGAAGGAGAAGCATAAAGATAAATATATCAAGAGAGAGAATAAATTGATGAAGAAGAGAAGAATGTGACGACTTGTTCAGATAAAGGGCCAGCTGTCCTAGAAAGAATGCCAACACATGTTGCAGATCTTGTTGTGTTATGTCTGCCCTGTCAACTGGGATGCTAACTACTATTTTCCTAGCTACCATGTCTTTTGAGTCCTCTGCTTTGGTGCTCTACCGGAAACTGCAATCTCGATACCATGGTTGTCTAGTTCAGCGGGATTTCTTTCCAAGAGCGTTACTGTTGACTAGGTTGTGTTCGTCCCTTCCTTCGCGCCCGTTTCTGTTGTTCTTGCATTGCTTCCTGGGTTAGTGGCGAAGTTAGTTCTATGCGACGAGCCTCGCGTGCTATCGCACCAGGGCCATCCGGTAACACGAAGCCCCGTAGTCGAGGCGAGACTACTGGAGGTTGACGAGAAGGGCTTCGATGATTACTTGTAGACCCAGAACGCTGAGAGCTGCGATGTAGCTCAATTTCATGTCGAGGAGACGTATACGAGCGACGACGGGAGCTCGATGATTCCGGATTTCCGCTTGCAATACGATCGTCTGTAGAAGGCCGCACCTCGGACTGTAGAGAATCACTATGCGATCTGTGCCGTCTCTTATCCTGCCGCGCCCTCCTTTCATGAGGGGTCGCCCTGTCTCGATCTGTGGGAAGTCTACTCGGGGGAGGTCCAGCCACTGGGATTCGTGCTTCTCTTGGCTGAGTGGATAGCCGACTTTCTGAATATTCTGTAACCAGAGGCTCGTTCACAGGTACGTCGGCAGCTAGACGCTCTAGAGATAATACCTCATCTTCGCCGCCAGTGAAATTTAGATCAAGCGCTCCGCCATTGTGCAGGCCACCACTTGGAGCTGGAGAATTTTGTACTCTCATCCTTAGAAAGCTGGGTTGAGAGTCACGTCGTGACGGCGGTGTAATTTCGACATCGCTTTCCTGATCAATCCGATCATGTTCATGAGCGCCATCAGCTTCGGCCAAGTTCCTTACCGTGCGCTCAGTCGACCTGCCGCCAGGCACCAATCTCGTGCCATTCGCTCCATGGCCGTTATCTCTTCGCCCCGATAAGTGTGTATCGGATCTTAAAGCTTCTACCGGACGGAGAAGTCGAAGCGTTCCTTGAATCTCTTGAATGTCATGCTGCAGTTGATGAAGAAATCGAAATGGATGCCGCACAATCTGAAGTGCAGTGTTACATCTGGAATAAGAGCCAATGGAATTCTCAGACAATCGTTCCCCGTTAATCCTACTTTGTCTTGACCGCACCTGATAATGCGTATTGCCAGCATTTTTGATTACGACCTTGCTTCGTTCACCAATACAAATGTGGAATCTGTCTGGTTTCAGGACATTTTCGGATTGAAGTTCAGGCATCTTCGGTTATAGTTTCGTTTTAGTGAATTGAATGCCTCGATTGGAGCCTTAAATGGTCTAGCGAAAGATGGTGTGATCTATGCAAGGCAAGGCAGCGTTGGGCCGAAAGCATAAACGTTGGTCAGCCAAGAGGTAGCGACGTGGTAGATCAAACGCAGCTGTTTCAAACCATCTTTTTAAGTTGAATGCTCCCGTTAAACTATCGGCAAATTGAAGTGCGTTTGCCACTCTCCTTCTGACACAAACGCAAAAGCACGCTTATTCAGCTACCAATCGCTAGCCGATATCTGTAACATTCAATATCGTTGCTTGGCATTATGAGTCTGGTTACTCATTCTGTGAACACTAAGCTACTACTTTGTTCACACTAATATGCGCGAAACTACAGTTCTCATAACTTTGCCCCCACATTTCCACCACCATAATCCACTTTCCGCGGTTCAGCAAGCTCGTTCGAACGCTCGGGTTCCCAGCCCGCAATCAAATCCTCTACAACACCAATCTCGTCCTGACCCCAGACAAGACCACCTGCAAGTTTCCACTCCCCACCCCCATCATCTCTAAGAACGCGATACGTAGGCACGCCACAAATCCCTTTGTCTTTCGCCTCAGCAGTAAGCTCTCTCAGTTTTGTCTTGATAGCCGGCGTATTCGATTTAGCAATGAGATCTGCGCCGTTGTAGCCCCCTTTGTCAAGGACCTCGGCGAGTACAGATTCTTCCGAGACGTTGGCGTTGTGCTCCCAACAGGCAGAATCTAGGATGTTGCATTAGCTAAGTGCTTGTATAGACTGCTAGGGGATCACCTTACACAGCAGCGGAACAGTCCTAGGCTCCACAATAGCAACTCTGAGCACAGTAGGTGTCCGGATGGGGAATATATCCGCCCAATGAAAATCAATGCTCTTGTCCTTTTCCCCATCCTGGGCATTTACGGCGTTCCAGTACTTAGACCAGTCCGCGTGATCTTGTCTCGACCATAGTGCTTTCGCCGGACTCACCGCAGCCATCGGTAAATTCGGGGCTCCAATTTCTCTGAACAGAATGCCGAGTAAGAACGGCTTCATCTCGACTTCGAGCGCGTGACCAAATGTTCGCTTTAGCCGCTCAAGCTGGGTGTAGCCGAGAAAGGCCCAGGGACTGCTGAAGTCGTACCAGAACTCCAACTTTACTTTCCCGTGGACTTTGTTCGAGGGTATGGACCTAGGCATCAAACTTCGTAAACTAGACACGCGGTTCCATTCGTTGTTCTGTTGGAGGGAGAGTAGCGTAGCTTCGACAAAGTGCATGCGGTCCTGCCCCCAGAAGAATCGTCCTGTTTGAGGTCCGCCGCTGAAGTCTGTCCACTGCGCGCCAGGAATCCAGAATCCAGGGACACCGAAGGCTCCTCTTTCGATGGCTTCTGCTGTTGCAATTTCTAGCTGCTTCCTTGCATTTGCATCGTTGAAACTCGCTGTGCTAAGGGTCGCAGCACTCTTTATACCGCTCTCCTTTACAATTTGTAATATCACGTCGCTGTCACTGACATCCCTGCCTTCAACCCAATACGCTTTGAATAGCGCATCACTCAACACTCTCCTCTCCCTGTCATCTTCTACACAGTATAGCAACCGCAGTGCATTGACAGTTTTCCGTGGATGTTGTGGCGGCGGGTTGTACTTGATCTTATATCTCTTCAGTGTCCTTTGCATGGACATCCCAGTCACGGCTTTCTTAGTAGGATTGAAGACATCTGATGCCGAGCCACCAGCACCTTGTGGTGCGGCTGTTGCGCGGTAAATAGCGCCCAGAAGTACAGGTCGGTAGATGAGCTTTGCATTTGTTCGCTCGGCGAGTGCTCTGACGCGGGTGGATGCTATGTAGGCGAAAGGGCAGGAAATATCGTAGTTAAACTCAAGGGTTGGAGAAGTCATGTTGTCGACCGGTAACATTGGCTAATTACGAAGTTTGAATGAAGTAGCGTATAATAGAAGTTGGACAGTATGAAGAAGGATCAATGTATATACATGAAGTTGACTGGCGATTCAAGGCTGAAGCTCGGTGTATTGATAATGTGGGGTAGATGCAGGAACCGTGCACAGCCGAGGTTCAATCGCGTCAGCACCATCCACTGCGAGCAACATGACCCTAGATGCTGGGCATTATAATGAACCAAGGTGATCATTATCAGATTTGCATTCATGTCGAGTCGAGCTATTTACATGAAGGCATAGAGTATCTTACAACACCACCCATGACCTAACCATAATTGAACGGGTTCCTGCAGAGCGGGCAGCTCGAACTCCCGCTTGTCCTAAACCACTTGAACAAACAACTTCCATGGAACAAATTTTTGCACGTTTGACAACGCTTATCTGGCAGCTTCCTATCACTGCCTACGATACTGTAGCAGATGGCGCACTCAGTTTGCCCCTTCATAGCTCCATCGACATTGCGCTTGAAAGTGGTCAATGCGTCAATCAATGAACCATTGAAGATAGTGATAGCACCGAGCGAGGTCCGAAGCCAGGATTGCCATTTCTGCTCGTTTACGGCGACGCGATTGATACCCTCAATATGTGCGTTGGCAAGAGGAAACGCCGGGGGAAGCGAGACTCTCATCGACATTGTCTGGTCATCTACGGTGTAGGAAGACGTGATTTCGCGCGCCCGTGGAGCCACTTTAACACTGAAGGGTGAATCTGGCTCAGATTCTGATTGTTGCTCCGACCAAGAGGTGACGGATTCGAGCGCAGCGGTGATCACAGGGGGCGAGATATATTTCTCGGTCCAAGGTTCCAAAGTGACGACCGTGGCACGCGATTTGCAGTCGATGAACCAAGATTTGGTCAATGACGGTACATGTCGAAGGCTTAGGAAGTACAAATGGGTAAGCAACCAGTGAAGATCCCGCTTGGGAGGCTCAATATCGGGCTCATATGTGGTGATGTCGAGCTTTGACACGTCAACGGGCTTGTTGTGCGCATGGCCTAGGAAGTCGAAGGTGAAGTTGAGCAGACCAGGGAGATATTCACCCTCCTTGACGTGCTCAACATAGTCGTTCTTGACCTTGAACGAAGCATGCTCCAGATGATCGAACACAAGTAGCCAACTTAGCAGATAGCCTCGGAGTGGTAAGGGTACGCTTCGCTCGAAGTTCGCTTCCGCTAAAGCCGCCACCGTTGGCGCATCGATGATTAGTGAAAGAAGCTCCTCTGGCAAGCGAGCATTTGTCTTCTCTAACGCTGCATCGATAGAAATCTGTTCTTGGGCGGCTGGTATCTGCTTATGCAAGATGTCGAATGCAGTCTGTTGCACGGGTTGTGACTCCACATACAGGAGAGGATACAGCTCGTCCGTAGACTCTAAGTGCTGTAGCGAGACCCTGGAAATTTGACGTGCTAGCACTTCGTTGACCATCTTTAGGGGCTGATGGAACTCGTCTGGGAAGTGCTGAGAATGTTTGAGTAAATTTAGGAGTCCGTTGGCAACAAGTTGCTCGGTCTCCTTCCAGGCATCTTGGAGATCATCGTTGGGCTCATCGACTTGGGTTAGTGTGCGAAGCTGAGCGTACAGCTTCAGCGATGAGTGTACAAACGGAATCGAACTGCAAAGGTTTAGCATGCAGATCAGTACTACTGGAAGACCATAGAACGACATACCTATCTTTACCAGACTCGTTCTCCTCGAGCTCCTTTGTCCTTGACCAAGCAGCGGCAAGGGCATTCAAGATTTCTCCCCAGTGCTCACCATATAAGTCACTCATCAGAGGCAAAAGTACCGTCAACGCACGACACAGCTCCGCCTTGATCGGCCGAGCAACCTCGTCTTCTTGCAACCACGGAATCACGTGTTTAACGAAAAACACAAGGCGTTGCTTGGCGATGCTTTCCACAATACCTTCTTGACCAAGAAGAGTATTCAGTAGAACCAACTGTCGCAGACTTTCACTGGGCTTCAGCCCAATCTCTACACCGGTCAAGTCGGCAACGATCTCATTGCACATCCTCTCGCATGCCCTTGAAGCAGCTAACGGTTCTTTGAAGGCATTTAAGAACCCCAGCAGCGGGAAGACTTCCTTAGTCTTGCGCATAGCCTTCAGCGTTTCCTGAAGTTGATCCGTTTGCGAGTTTCTCCAAAAGGCAACCTCGATCGCATCTGCCACTAGAGCACTATACGTACGCGCAGCATAGTAGGCTTGAGCCGAGGCAGTGACATCAATCTTGGAAATTAGCTCAAGTGCCCATTCCAACATAGATGAGCTGGCGCTCTCTCCTGACCAAGATGTAGAAAGTCTCTTCAACTCTTGAGTGAGAAAAGATTGTGTATCTGACATGAAGGTCATCGCATCCGCCTCCACGTCAGGATTGTAGTCTGCCCAAAGACCATTGGCTCCAGCAAGCCCTAGATTGTCGTTCGCGAGTTGGACCGTAAGTGCGATGTTGCGCAAGTATGCATCTCGAGTGTTAACCGGAACAGCCTCGATGGGGAACAACTCGGGGTTCTTGAACAATCTAGTAACATATTGCGTGATACGGTACGCAGCGGAGTACCCATCAGCATCTCGAGACATGTTCCTGATGCTGTTCGTAGAATCGCTCGAGTCAACGAGATACACGGCACCGCCTAGAGGATTGGTAATAGCGAGCGATGATTTGGGAGCTGAGTTAAGGAATGGTGCTAAAGCGGAATCCCAGTCGTCAATAGTTGGGAAGACTTTGGATATGTCATTCCAGCTACCTCCCATACTAACGGATTGCTTCGCTAAGTCGACTAAGGTTTCTACGGAGACTGATGTTGAAGTAGCCTCCCGAAGGCCTTGGTGAATAAGGTCGTACATGGACTGCTTCGTATCAGACCCCGATGACAGGAGGGTCTGAATGGATGCATTGACGGCTGTGGCGCCATGTGCAACCTCGTCATTCGGCGACTCGGAAGCGAGCAATAAGCTTTGAAGGAGCTTGGATCCATGGGTGGTGGCAAGGAAATTTCGCAGTATGGACGGATTCGATTTGACGATTTGGCGAAGTCCTTGTAGCGTATATGGCGCGTGTTGCGATATCGAAAGTGACTGTGTCATGTAGGCGAGAACTTCATCGACGGTGTCTGGAGACAAGATTTTTGCCCTTGACTGTAACATGCGGTTAAAAGAATCCCACTCGGCAGAGCCCTCGACTGCTTCCTGTACAATATATTTGATGTACTTTTGCAAATCAGCATCCGATGTGGCCAGGTCGAAAGACTGTGGAATCCTTGGTGATGTAAGTATTGCCTCGAGTGCTTTGGTTTTCGCTGGCGAGTCGGCCTCCTTCAAGATATTTCTTAGAGCGACGCTCCAGGCATCCTTGAAGGCATTAGTTTCGGCCATGGTATATAATATATCAACTAGATAGGTTGATGATGGCGATGACATAAGGCCGGGCAGATCTTCGCGAACGAAATGCTCTATTTCAAGCTCAGCTTGAGTTCCTGATACAAGGGCTTGACCACGAAGTAGTAGAGCAGCCACTGCACCAGCTGCACCATATGGTTTCCCATTCCTGTTCTTAACAACACCAAGTGCTTCGATTATGATCGAAGAACAGGACTGGCGGAGAACGGGCTGCATAGATGGGAAGGCTTCAGATTTGATGACCTGCTCTTGTAGGGCGGCGAAACGTGTCGCATGTTGAAGCACAGCTACCTGTGATTTCTCGTAATCTTTTGACTGCTCTGGAGCTGAGGTCTTGACATCATCGATGAGTTGCTGGGCGAATGCAGGCCACCTTTCCGCGAGTGTTGCTACCATGCCTTTGATCGTTAGTGCTTTCTGTAGCAAAGTAGTCGCGTTTGCGGGGATAGTCCACTGTGAAGTCTCTAGCGAAGGATGCAAATACTGCTTCAAGAGTGGCAAGACCATGTCCTCCACGAGCTTGCCCTTATCCTCATCCGGCAGCTGCTGGTCGATGAGGTGGACGATATCTAGATACGCAGTGAAGGCTGCTTCGTGATTGAACTTTGACTCATCATTTCGAACGATGCCGCCCTGGAGTGAGCTTAGAAGCTCCGCAGCGTCGGCAGCATTGGTAGGTAAGATTTCCTTTGGTAGAACCTGAAACAATCCCGACAATCGATTCCAGAAGTCGCGAGGACCTATTTGGGACCCCTTCTTTAGAAACTGCCGTAAGCGCCTGTCTACTGCGGTTTTGCTCTTGTAGTGCTCCGTCCAGACTGAAGGATGCGCAGACGTGAGCAATGTCAAAGCTTCAACGTAGTCGTAAATAGAACTGATTTGGTCGGAGTTTAGAGCAACGGAGAGATACGCCTTGCTGATCGCTTCGAGGTTGGCTTCGATACCTGCTGTGAAATTACTTAGGACAGTAGACGCATTAACCTCAGTTGTTACATACCTGATTCCTTTATGAGGCATGTCTTCAGAAAGCGGTGCAACGACCGCCGTACCGAAGCGTCTCCGTAAGAGGCAAACTCCCAGAGCTTCTTGTCGCCAAGTAAGCTCTCATAGTCGGGCTGGTACTTGGATAGTTCTACGGGTTGTAGATTTGCCAATAAGCTGCCCAATAATGCGATACAAGCTGATATGACCCTGCTATACTTGGCGTCTGCATCATCCTGACTGACGGTTCGTTCGTCGCTCAGGGTCGTTGGGCTCTCTTTGTCGATGGCGTCCCGACAGTACTCCAATATGGGCTGCTGATACGCCTTGCGGATGTTCTGTATCTTTTCTGGGGTGTTGAAGACCTGACGGAGGGAACTCTGTGTTGCCTCTACCACGGACCGATCGGTGTCGTAGAGGCCGCATAACCACGCAGCGACACTCTTGGGCATGTATTTGGCTATTCGCTTGCCGGCAGATACAGCAATATGACCGTGTACGGCATGGGCGTTCTGGCGGACAGCTTTCGCGTTGTCTATTGAGGTGCGAGGGTAGATCTTGATCTGCAGAATTCTCTATTACTACTAACACAATATGTACACGCACATATGCAACGCACCCATGCCTCGAGCAAGCCTTCCTCGACTGGATCCTGCAATGACAAGATGTATGTTTGAATGTCTTCAAGAGCCTTTGCCTTTGTAGTACTATCCTTTTTGGACAGGTTCCTGAAGTAGACGATGACATTCGCATCGGATATGGCAGAGAGGTCTGGCGGCTCCGATACGTAGGACAGCTGCGAGGAGCTGGCGCCGAAAGCTGGAGATGAAGAGCCCCCAAAGCCTCCCCCAAAGGCGGTTGAAGCAGCCCGCGCACTGCTGGCCTGAGACTTTGCTGTGCGCTTGCTCATAGCGGGGTCTGGAGGCCTTCGAATAGCTCTGCGAATGCCAATCGACGAACGAGATGCGGTGGTGAGGATGGTCTGGGTATACTGGAACACAGAGAAAAGAGAGACGACAACGAAGCAACCCCCAGGCGTGGAAATATATGTACAGTACAGAGGAGTTTGTGTGCGAACGCGAAATGTGCGGCTCTGCTGCTTGACAATGACGGCACCAGAAGGGCGGAAGGCGGCAGTGGGGCTCATATGGACCCCTGTCTTTGCGCCTTACCTTTATCAGCACTAGCTCATTTTGGGTGATCTTCAACTGAAGGCAACGCCCGAGCTTGAGCTTTGTTTCAACAACTTCCCATCGCCACGACAGAGTCCGCGCGGGCGTTGGACCAGCAAGATGAAGTTCTACATCGATACCCTCCCCGTGCTGTTCCCTTACCCTAGGGTATATCCTGAGCAATATGCATACATGTGCGATCTCAAACGGACGCTGGACCGAGGTGGCCATTGTGTTCTCGAGATGCCTTCAGGCACAGGTAAAACTGTGTCGTTGCTCTCACTGATTGTGGCATACCAGCAGCATTATCCTGAAAAGCGGAAGCTCATTTATTGCTCACGTACCATGTCGGAAATTGAGAAGGCGCTGGCGGAACTGAAGGCGTTGATGAAGTACCGAACGGAAGAGCTAGGATACGATGAGGAGTTTCGAGGGCTAGGATTGACGAGCCGAAAGAACTTGTGTCTGCATCCGTCTGTTAAGCGCGAAAAAAGTGGCAGCGTTGTCGATGCACGCTGTCGAAGCTTAACGGCGGGCTTCGTCAAAGAGAAGAAAGAACGGGGCGAAGATGTCGACCTCTGTATCTATCACGACAATTTGGATCTCTTGGAGCCACACAATCTGATACCTGCCGGTGTGTGGACGTTTGACGGCATACTCAAGTACGGCGAGCAGCAGAAGCAGTGTCCGTACTTTACTGCGCGGCGAATGATGCCTTACTGCAACGTCATCATCTACTCGTACCACTATCTCCTAGATCCAAAGATTGCGGATAGGGTGTCCAAAGAGCTGTCAAAAGACTGCATAGTAGTCTTTGACGAGGCTCATAACATTGACAACGTATGCATCGAGTCGCTCAGCATTGATTTAACCGAGGACTCGTTACGGAAGGCGACCAAAGGAGTAAATAACCTGGATCGCAAAATCACGGAGATGAAGAGCACGGATGCCGAAAAGCTACAAAACGAGTACGCCAAGCTTGTCGAAGGATTAAGAGCGGCGGATGAGGCACGCAATGAGGAGGCCTTCATGGCAAATCCGGCGTTACCGGATGACCTACTTACAGAAGCTGTGCCTGGCAACATAAGACGAGCAGAGCACTTTGTCGCATTTCTAAAACGATTTATCGAGTATCTGAAGACGCGGATGAAAGTTCTCAACGTCGTCTCAGATACACCGCCAGCATTCCTGCAACATCTTCGCGACCTCACTTTCATCGAGCGGAAACCGCTGCGCTTCTGTGCCGAGCGTTTGACATCACTCGTCCGAACTCTGGAACTCACAAATATCGAAGACTACCAACCGTTGCAAGAAGTCGCCACATTCGCCACACTTGTAGCAACCTACGAAACCGGCTTTCTCCTCATCATCGAACCCTTCGAATCTGCAACTGCCACGGTGCCGAACCCTGTCCTACACTTTACTTGCCTCGACGCGGCGATCGCCATCAAACCCGTCTTCGAGCGCTTCTACTCCGTCATTGTAACCTCGGGAACCATGTCGCCGCTTGACATGTACCCGCGCATGCTCAACTTCAACACCGTCGTCCAAGAATCCTTCACCATGACCCTTACACGGAAATCCTTCCTCCCTATGATCGTCGACCGCGGCAATGACCAAAATCAAGTAACCTCCCAATTCGAACACCGCAACGATCTGCAAGTACAGCGAAACTTCGGCACGCTCCTCATCGAATTCTGCAAACTGACGCCTGACGGTGTGGTCGTTTTCTTCCCATCGTACTTGTACATGGAGAGTATCATCAGTGCGTGGCAAGGCATGGAGATCTTGGACACGGTATGGAAATACAAATTGATTCTCGTCGAAACACCCGATGCGCAGGAGACAGCCCTTGCGCTCGAAACCTTCCGCACAGCATGCAACAACGGCCGCGGCGCCGTGCTCCTCTGTGTCGCGCGTGGTAAAGTGTCAGAAGGTATCGATTTCGACCACCACTACGGGCGCACTGTGCTGTGTATGGGTGTCCCATATCAGTACACCGAGTCCCGCATTCTCAAAGCACGCTTAGAGTTCCTACGTGAAACGTACAGGATCAAAGAGGCGGATTTCCTTTCTTTCGACGCTATGCGTCACGCTGCACAGTGTCTGGGTCGTGTCATCCGCGGTAAAGATGACTACGGTATCATGGTTCTGGCAGACAAGCGCTTCAACAAGAAAGTCACCCAACTTCCCAAATGGATCCAACAGGGTCTCGACGCAAAGTCGACAAAACTCTCCATCGACCAGGCTGTTGGCACCGCCAAGGCCTTCTTGCGCGATATGTCAGTTCCCTGGTCGAGAGCTGAGCAAGAAGGGCATTCGAGCTGGAGCTTGGAAGAGCTACAAGCTCATCAAAAGAAGAAGGAAATAGAAGGAATCAGCGGCACGGATAACCCGGCTATGCGCGCATTAGAGGGCAGGGCCGAAATAGAACCAGGTCCTGAGGTAGACGAATTTGGCGGCGCGGATATGGATGCCGTCATGGCGAATTTGGACGAGTAGTATGCATATACATGTATTCTTTTCCCGCTACCTGCAGGTTATTCGGTTGGCGAAGATACCATGGAAATTGAGGGTAGTCTGCGTTTGCGTTCTCGGTCTGGCGCAGGGGGTTTGTATAAGCATACATTGAGGATATCAAAATGTAAAACGAATGTCATACGTAATCATCCCATACAATCTACGTCGCAGAATCCAGTACTTTATCTCCATGGTTCGGTACAATCTACATGTCTCAAATTTATAAGTCTCTTCACAAGACTGAGTTTGAACCTTTCCTCCCTCATGTCCTCGTAGCCTACTCTCACCCATCCATCCTAGTGAGCTGGTTCTAAAAGGACTAGGTATATAGAAATGTCTGCCCGTATGCATTAGTAATACGGCTAACGGGGTATAGCCAATAGTACTAAAAATTTTGAATTAGAGTGGAATGTTAGGAATGAAGGATTTTTGCAGATGGACGGGTGTTAGATTGTGGTAGCTGTTTACGAGTTTTTTCCACGAGCACGACATTCGAAAGCAAAAAACGTCAATAATTAAGAGACTGCCTCGAGAACAAACGCCTTTGTCCAAAACGCAAATGCTACAGGGGTACATGCACTATGTATAGGTAGGTAGGAAATTGACGCCGTTCCTGTTGCTCAAGAAGAGACGGCAGAGCTAGGAAGCACGAACCTCATACAGTAACCCGAATGGAAGAAGCAGGATTAAAAAGTGGGCCAAGGAAGAACAAGATAGCAGAACCACAACGCAATAGTAACAGACTGACAAGCCTCCAAATGTAGCCATATCCGTAATCATCTGCGGGAGCGACTGACGCTTAGGTCTCCATTTCCATGAACAACCATTTGTCGCTAATCAGCTCTTCTCCATGACTGAATTCATCTAGTGTCGTAAGACTGAAGCCGATCCAGCCAAGATCCTTCGTCAAGGTATCTCTGGCGAGCTGGTCTGTGTGGCGGTCGATGCAGACAATGAGGCGGTCGCAGGAGAAATGGTCGACTTCGCAAAGTTCGAGGAGGGCCATGAGGCTGTGACGTGTTAGTAATGTGTTAAGTAGGAGGCGTTTGGTGGAGGTAGGACTCACCCAGCCTTGAGATCTCCCACAATAACCGACTGATCAAAGAAGACGAACATGGCCTTCTCGTCATCATTCTCCGCCACGAAGCCGCGGAACCTGATCCCGCCTACATAATCCCACATCTCGATCCAGTCGCTGATGGTACCCTTGTCTGCATACTCGAGCGACTGCATCGGCTCTGGGGACGACAAAGACGAATCCATCGAGCTGGCTGAATCCGAGTATCGTCGCACATCGACACCATAGTCATTGCCCAAACTGGTGGTAATGTTGTTATGCATACCCAATACAAGCGAGTCCTGACGTTGCTGGCTCCCCTCACCCAGGAAAACAGCTCGTAGTGTCTCGCAGAAGAGTCTCTCACACTCTTCCGTAATGGTATATGCTGCCCCCCCTCTGCGCGCCTGTCTGCCTTTAACGGCGGACTGGTGTCTGGCGGCGAGGGGGGGACTTGGCGGGGGTGATGGTATTCCCTGTCGTAATCGTTAGTATGCACAGGGTATACAAAGGGCAAGGTAGTGGTGTAGACTTACCGAGCTGACCTCAGGAACACCACTCGACCCCGGCAACCCGCGTAGTCTCATAATGAAAGCCCTGAACGTTCGCGGTGGCCGAGTTTACGGCGTAACAGCTAGCGCGCACATTGGCAGTCGACGAGCCGTAGGAAGAGACGCTACGATTACTACTACTACTACTACTGTTTCGTTTCATTGTCGAGATCGCCATTGTTACAGGATTGCCACGGTTGCGATGGGTGAAGTTGTTGGTATGTGCGATGGGAATATGGGCGTTGAGGGCCAAAGTGACGGTTTGTCGAGAGGCTTGGAGGCGCTGGCCTGTGTGACTTGGGCGGTGGACGTTGATGTGATCGGTGGTGAGGAAGTGAGGAGTCGTCGGGTCGGTTGGGTTGGACTGCCTTGTGGGGTCTTGGCCCGTGCGACCTGAGGCAAACCGCTGGTTGGACAGCTGCCAGAATCTTCCGCCACGCCTCTTAGGCCTCGGCGCAAACGAGCGCAGTCACGTAGAGGACTTTTAGACGGTCGCTTCTAACGTCGTAAATGCACTGTGTTAGAAGCTTGGTGCTACGACTCACGTCACTGCAAGGAAGGGGTAATACGACTAAAACATTGATAGACTACATAGATCGAAACCTAAACTCCATAACTTTTCGAAATAGCGTCCTCAGCGAACTGGTGCCTATGTTGGCAATCGCCTTGCTATATCACAGCCACATGCCGTTGACATGGGAAAACATGTCGCGTAGGGGGTGAGAAATCCGTCCTCCCTGCAGTCATCTAACAAAATCCCAGAGTATGCAAGTCGGATATCTCACTCATCGCGCTATGCAGGAAAATCAGACGACGGAAATATACGAGAGAAGCGCGAACGCACGCAGGCAGGTGGAGTCCCGCGCGAGCCTACTGCGCAGGAGTGGAGTCGGATCCCGGCATCGTACTTGAGGGAAGTGGGCCCTGTACGCGTACAATCGGACAAATACAGTCGAACACCTTTCTAACCGATGGAGATGCACTTGATGTCGAAGATCAAGTCAGAGTTGGCAGGAATTTCCGGGGGAGATCCCTTCTTGCCATATGCGAGGGCCGCGGGAATGGTAAGGCGGCGCTCTCCGCCAGCAGTCATACCAGCGACACCGACATCCCAGCCCTTGATGACTTGGCCGACACCGAGCTTGAAGGCGAATGGCTTGCCTTTCTTGTTGGCTGTGGAACTAGTTAGTGATCTGAACCCAAGGGCAAAGTTGTGGGGTACTTACAGTCAAAGACCTTTCCGTTCTTTAACTTGCCAATGTAACGCATCTCGATGCGGTCACCCTTCTTGGCAGCCTTGCCCTTGCCCTCCTTCTTGTCATCGATGGTGACACCGCCGACAACTCGTGGGCCCTTGGGAGCCGCCTCCTTCTTTGCCTCTGCCTTGGGCGCCTCGACCTTGGGCGAGCCAGTGGGGCCCTGCTCAAGGTTCTTGGCGAACTGAACCTTCTTCTTGTCGCTGCTGGGCTCAGTAGCCTTCTCGGCCTTCTTTGCTGACTCGGCGGTACCAGCGGTTGCCTGGCCATCGTTCTTCTTCAGCTTCTTGGCCTGCTTCTTGCTGAGCTTGGCATCGCCGTTGGTCTTGCTGATCAGGTCATCGAGGGTAGCATCATCCTCGGACTCGGCAGGACGCTTCTTGCCCTTCTTGCTGCCCTCAACAAGCTTGGGTGCCTCCTCCTCGGAGTCAACCTCAGTGACCCTGGGATCTTGCAGACCATCAAGCTCATCATCCTCAGACTCATCAATGTCGTCCATGTCAAGCTCATCCTCATCGGGCGAGAGGTCGTAATCGAGGCCATCGAGGCCGTCCTCCTCATCCTCGCTATCCTCATCGGGGAATGCGATGTAGTTACCAGTGACGAAGACATCATGGGTACCGCTGACCATAAGGTAGACCTCCTCGCCCTCACGAACAGTGATGTCGAGGGGTTGCTGGTAGTGCTGTATGTACGTTAGTTTTAGTGTATGTGGGTATTTCTAGGTCCTATCTTACCCTCTCTGGGTCCAGGGTGCAAAGAACAAGCTCCTCAGGCTCATCATCCTCGTCATCATCATCCTCATCCTCGTCGTCATCCTCTTCACTGAGGTCGTCGGCGGTGATCTTGCCCTTGCCCTTGACACCGTTGGTCAGGCTGCTGTCGATCTCCATCTCGTCAGCCTCGAGGTCCTGCTGCAGCTTCTTGGTGAGCGCGGCCTGCTTGGCCTTCTTCGACTTGACGGGGTCGCTTGGGCCACCGTTCTTCTCGTCCTCGCTGTCATCCTCGTCGGACAGGTCGGAGTCGGCCTCGGGAAGAGCGCCAGCCTCGCGCAGACGGGCAGCAATAGCCTCAATATCTTCCTCATCGTAGTCCTCATCGTCGTCATCGCTGTCCTCGAAGTCCATGGGCACGCGGATGAGCTTCAGGGTAGCGCGAGGGACTTTGTGGTTCTCATCGATCTGGGGCTCCTCATCGGGGTCAATGGCCGCCATGGTGATGCGGAACTGTGTTTTGTTAGGAACTGTTGTGAATACCGAATGAAAAAAAAAATGCAATACGAAGTGCGCATCGGGGAGAGCTTAGAATAGCAATAGGGAATACTCACAGCCGCAGAGGGATCGATAGCCGCGAGAATGGGAATGCCTCCAGCTGGGATGCGACGTCCATAGACGCCAGCGGGAATAGAGGTAACCATCTTGAAGGATGAAGCTGATATGTCTTTCGAAAAGCTGTACGAAATATCGAGATTATGGATGGACTGCTTAGGTTCAATGCTCAGGAAGTTGCACAGCGCGAGGACAGGCTGGTTGAGCAGAAAGGTTGCAGAGCGCAGGAATCTCGAAGACGGCGGGTCGAAGGTCAAAAAAAGTTCGCCAAGCATATGCAGCTTTGCGCTTCACCGCCGGCGGGACTGGCAGAAGGCCCACATCGCCTGCCTTAGCGTGACGTCCTCGACGCGCCACCAGCACGCGCTTTCACTCCCCACCACCGACTTTGGATGGCGGATGCCTTCACCAGTCCATGACCCTCACGCATCATGACCACGGCCTCGATGGACGCCCTTGATCCGCGATCAGATAGCAACAACCATGGGCTCGCGCTTGGAGAAGAATTCCGACTCCGTGCGCAAGCGCATCGCCAACCACGCCTTCGACGGAGAGGATGGTGAAGAATATGGAGGATCAGCATTTGGGGGCTTCCCCGACTATTTTAGGCGGAAGAAGATCAAGCTTCAGAATCTAGACGCCGACATTCGATCGCAGGCCGGCGACAAACCTCCCATCTTCCGAGGAGTCGTCGCGCATGTGAACGGCTACACACAACCGTCCCTCAAGGATTTGCACACGCTCATTGTCCAGTATGGCGGTGGCTTTATGCAGTACCTGGACGGAAAAACCACCGCGACGCATATCATCGCCAGCAGCCTCACCCCGAAGAAGGTGGTTGAGTTTAGAAAGTACCGCATCGTAAAGCCCGCGTGGGTGGTGGACAGCATCAGCGCAGGGAAGCTGCTTCCGTGGAACGAATATCGCGTAGTGGATGAAGGCGAGAAGCAGAACGTGTTGGCGTTCGACAATGGCACAGTCACCAGCCATGCCAACGTCAAGGTGAAAGGCTACCGTGACCAGACTGACGCGAGTTGGTACACCAGCCAGCTGAGGGGCAGCCAATCTGGACCCGCCAGTACACCGACACCAAGCAGCACCATGCGCTCGCGCTTCTCCAGACAAAGACTTCCGACACCAGACGACGACATTGAAGATCTGCCGCCATCGCATCAGCCCAAGACCATTGCTCCCATGGTACCCACGTCTGGCAAGTCAAGTAAGCCTGAGAAGCTAGTCACGCCTCCTAAGACTAGTCCTCTAATTGCTCCCCAACGATCGAGAGACGACGTTGCGGGGATTGACGACGTGCCGTTTGATTTTCATGATGACCTTTACGCTAACCCCACTCCCCTTGCTCAGCAAGCGCAGCCTGGCAAAGAGCGTGAAGATGTAACAGAGCCGGCACCTGATGAGCGAGCTGCGGCACCGCCTCGGAACAGGGGGCTGACCGCGGAGGAGCACAATGCAATTCTCCTTCGCGACCCCAAGCTCCGCAAGTCTACCGTAGTTGACCCCAACTTCCTTGAGCAGTACTACCGCGAATCTCGTTTACACCATCTATCGACTTGGAAGGCAGATCTCAAAGCTCAGCTTCAAGCGTTGGCCAGCGAGAAGACCTCATCCCAGAAAGCCAAACAGAAGCGACCGCTAGGTGCGCGACGCTACATCCTGCATGTGGACTTTGACAGCTTCTTCGCTGCCGTCAGCTTGAAAAAGCATCCCCAATATAAAGATAAGCCAGCAGTGGTAGCACACGGACAGGGCAGTGGCTCTGAGATCGCAAGCTGCAACTACCCCGCGCGGAAGTTTGGAGTCAAAAACGGCATGTGGATGAAGCGAGCTCAAGAGCTTTGTCCAGATTTGAAGATCCTACCCTACGACTTTCTCGCGTACGAAGAAGTCAGTCGAGCTTTCTACGATGCTATTCTCGCCACAGATGGTCTTGTTCAGAGTGTTAGTGTTGACGAAGCATTGGTTGATGTGTCGAATCTTTGTATTGCTACTGGTGGCAGCGATGGTCGCAAAGTACACGAGGGGAGCAACTACCGCGAGCAGGCCAGGGCGGACGAGATTGCACAGTCATTGCGTGATCAAGTCAAAGCGAAAACGGGGTGCGATGTTTCGGTTGGCATCGGTAGTAACATATTGCTAGCCAAGGTTGCTCTAAGAAAAGCGAAGCCTGCTGGCCAGTATCAAATTAAGCCTGAGGAGGTATTGGACTTCATCGGGCAGTTGCAAGTGCAAGATCTGCCGGGTGTTGCGTGGTCTATTGGCGGGAAGCTCGAAGAGATCGGCGTCAAATTCGTGAAGGATATCCGTGAACTTTCGAAAGAAAGATTAGTGCAGACGCTGGGCCCAAAGACCGGCGAGAAGCTCTTTGAGTATTCAAGGGGTATCGACCGTCAAGAAGTGGGTGAGCAGGTCGTTCGCAAGTCTATATCCGCCGAAGTAAACTGGGGTGTCCGCTTCGAGAACCAAGAGCAGGCTGATGAGTTCATCACAAGTTTGTGTGGGGAGCTGCAGAAACGACTATTGAAAGAAAAGGTCAAAGGTAAACAGTTCACGATGAAAGTCATGCGACGCTCGCCGGATGCTCCTTTAGATCCACCAAAACACCTCGGCCACGGGAAATGCGATACACACAACAAGAGCCTACTGCTTGGAGTCGCGACTAATTCGAAAGAGGTGCTTGCGAAGGAGGCGTTGAGCATTCTACGTGGTTTCAGCTTCACCCCTGGTGAGTTGCGAGGCATCGGCATTCAAATGACGAAGCTCGAGCCCATGAAGAACGCTACCGACGGCAGCCACGAAAGCTCACAACGGCGACTTCAATTCAAGGTAGGCAACACAGAGCCTGTCAGGGACCGCGAGGCGCCGAAGGCTGTGGACGAAGACCCGATTCAAGATGAGCCGGAGACCCCTAGGAAGCCGAAAGTAGCCTCTGAGGAGGAGCATGTTGTATTTGGGGCTCAAGAGCTGAATCACTTAACCCCGTCTCGCCGCCCGCTGAACACCCTGGGCACGCAATTCATCATGCCCACGCAAGTTGATCCCAAGGTGCTCGCGGAACTGCCCGAGGACATCAGATCAAAGTTGCTACGGCAAACTCGACAGTCATCTCCGACCCCAGCAGCTCGCAATGCACATAGGGTAGAGCGCTTCGGAACGCCGAAGAAGACTTTGCCATTCACAATGACAGCCCTTCCGGCACCATCTCAGCTCGACCCTGATATCCTCGCTGCACTTCCACCAGAAGTTCGAGCAGAAGTACTTGCACAGTATGCTGCTGGCGCAACACCCACCTCTCCGTCTCGACGACCAAGGTACGCTGACCAGACACTACTGCCTCAATCCCCGCGTAAAAACAGGATCATAGGCATCCCAGCGAAGAAAGCTATTGTACCAGTCAAGCGCGGTCGTGGACGACCACCCAGGTCTGCGATGCTGGCTGCGGCTGCGCAAGCAACCACGATAAGCAAAACAGGAAAAACACTTACGCAAGCGAATTTCATCTCCCTCAAGAACCCCGCCCGAGAAGTTGGGAGTAGAGAAGGTTCCGCCGGTCCCAGCAATCTCAGTGAAGGTGTCGCTGCACCTGCGGGTCCTACGAGAAGGCCAACAGCGAGCGAAGGAGAGCTCGACCCAGATTTCCTGTCTGCCCTCCCTGAAGAAATCCGCAAAGAAGTCATCGAAGAGCACAAGCGCAAAAAACTCCAAGCTTTTCGTCTTGCGGTGACTCGAAAACAGAAAGCAGCCGCGCCATCCCTTCAACCAACCAGGCCAGCTCAAACGATCAAAGTTCCTCGTCCGCCTAGGCCAACGTTCACTACGCAGAAACTCTCACGCGAGAAGGATCTAAGAGGCGCAATGAGAGAGTGGGTCAGGGAGTTTGGTGATGAAGGGCCGTATGGCGAGGATGTCGCTGCGCTGGTGAAGTATCTCAAGAAAGTAGTGCTGGAGGAGAGGGACTTGAGCAAGGCAGTTGGGGTGGTGAAGTGGGTGGATTGGGTTGCTGGCGACGCAGCAGATGAGGATGGGCGTTTTGCCCAAAAACAGTGGGACGAAGCTATGCACACGATACGAGTAGGCATTACGGAGGCTGCGAAGGAGAGAGGATTAGGCGCTGTGTCATTTGACTGATGACGAATGTTATTGCATCAGTACGGTTGTTGTAGCGTCATTCCTTGGGAGATATACCACGATGATAGATTATTATTACTACGTATGATACTATGAATCAAACAAGCCGGTACGCCGGTGCCATGCGCCTTTCCTGCGCATCCAACTTCCTACCAAGGGAATGTCGGGGGGTATCTAAAGGAGGGGATATCGTAAATCGTAATCAAGTGTAGGGGGTATCTGCCATTGCTGTTCATCAAACGCACTCTTTATCCGCCTCTTCCAAAAGCGCGATTCTTCCTCCTCCGCCTGGCGAGCTGGGGGCTCCAAATCCCGCTAAAAAGGTCCTCGCACTCCTCTTCGTCCTGCGAATCAAACTGGATATCCTCGTCCTCCTTGTCCTCTACTGCCCTGCCCTGCTGTCCCTCTTCCTCCTGCGGTACAAGGTCCCTGGACTCCCACTCAGCGCCCTTGACCACCCTCTTCGTTTCCAGTATGAATTTCCCAACCTTGTACTTCTGGCTGTCTTCCTCGGCTTCGACGTACTTCCAGCCCAACACGACGCCGCAGCTCCGGCAACTAATATCAGACACCGTGTGTGCGCCTGTGACTAGTTGGCGCGGCGCAGGTTTGTGCGTGAGCGTGTTTGGCAGGTCGTCTTTTGTCCACTGCGGTGCGGCCAGCGCGCCGCCTGCGAGGATGGTGGATGGTGGTGGTGGCGCAACGAGGTAGGCGCGGCCGTGGCGGCCGGTGAAGCCTTTGCTTATGATTGAGGATGTGGGGATCAGGTCTGTGAGGCATTTCTGGCAGCGGAGATGCGAGGTTGGGTTGTTGGAGAGGAACGAGGTCGGCTGTGGCGGGGAAGCGGATGGCGAGGCGGTGGATGCTGTTGATGTGGATATTGCGGAGCTTCGACGCCGGCGGAATGGGATGCTGGGGAGGAGATAGAGAGGGAAGGGTGTCGTTGGTGAGTTCGGCATGTCTTCTCCTTGTTTTTGGTTTGATCTTATGAGACTGAGTGGTTATAGATGGATGTCTTCCACTGGTATGGGAAGGGATAGAAGCACAGTCTGCGTTTCCGAAACCCGCTCAGTAAGTGGCAGTTCCAACCTTGGAGATATAATCCGAATCAGGTCGGTCCTTCTACCAGTACGCCAGTACGCGATGTTGCGAACCGTCTGTTTGCGGAAGTCGAGACAATGGTCAAGGTCTCAGAGCTCCGCAGCACTCCGCTTGGTCTCAATCACCGCGAGGTTAGTATGAGTAGAGAAAGCAACTCTCCAGGAGTGCAAGAACAGCGTCTGTATATAGAAGAGCTTCTATAGGGCCCCGCAGGCAGAGGGATGACCCTCCCTTTGAGGAATCGCGTCGCGACACGACTTGGAGGAGGAGCAGGTGACGTGCTGGAGAGAACGCTGGATGCCGCGATAAGCGATAACGGACGCCACAGCCGAGGAAGGCGGGGCTCACAGGATACAACCTTGAAGGTATGACACCTTCACACGTCAAATGCTCGAAGACAGTGTGAGATGCTGAGGAAAGGCAGGTAGGTAACTAAAAGTAATTCAAGCATCTTAATAGGAACTACAGTCGCAAAGTTTCGTCTATACAGACCTACACGGGCGGGGGCAAATCACGGTGAACTTTACTAGATCACGCGGCCTAATGAAACACGACCTTCGTCACGAGTGCGCTGGCAGCTTCCGATGCTCTCCGGTTGGTAGAGACGCTACTGGCGGAGATCACTTTACGAATGTCGCAATGGGAACCTCAATTATTGCTCCTGATTGATCTGTACACCTTAGCTAAGGCCGTTGCAGAACCCTCTAGTTGTTGAACGTGGCTGTCGACATAACAGTGCATGCTCTAGCCTACACCAACATGACTCTTTCGATGCAAGCAATGTAATACACTGGTCAACCACTATCAGCTGCCAGTTAGGTATTCGGATTCAATTCATCTCTCTAGGGACAGAACGCTCTTTCAAGTCGTACTTTACATCTACTGGTTGTCGCGTTCTTACCTCACGCGAGCAATGGCTCCTTCTCCGTTGGGCTACGCTGTTTCCTGTCCTTTCGCCATGTCCACTCTTTTCCTGCTTCTTCACTCCATTGTTCCACCACCGCATGGTCTAACCAGTATTGTTACCCATTCCGGTCGTAATATCGATACGCCGAGCTGCCTGAGCCGCCATCATGATGTCTCTTGTCCCCACGCGGAAGAGGAGAGATATCCACAACCCCGCGTTGGCCTCCCGTGACAAGGACAAGGTTCGCCTCATTGAGAAGTCTACGGAACACCTACTCAATGCGTCCGCAAAGCCTCAAGTGCGCACCAGTCTACCAGCCAGCCGGACCTTCAAGACCCTTCGCCGGGGGAGCATCAAGATCTTCTCAATCTTCCGCAATGGCAAAAGTCTGCCATATTCCCGTCTCACTGGTCGTATAGCTCACGCTAATAGTGTTCACAGATTCCACCCCAGGATCCAGACACGCTGCATCTGGTGACAGTGGCTCAGCTTTGAGAGCATCAGAGAGCACGCAACGCGCCGCAACTGCCACAACCTCCGATACCTATACTGAAAGCACCCTACACTGTCCTAGCCTACCTAGTATTTCCGCTGTCCTACCGGGTCTCACTCTACATCAAAGAGGCTCGTCCTCTCTACAGCTTACCAATTTCGACGGAGAGTCGGAGCCAATCCTCAGCAGCCGAAGCCCTCTCCCCACGGCTTTGCATAGAAGCCGATCAACACCTGGACTATCCCGACAGCTGACATCCAAGTTCTCAAACGCTCTCCTACACAACGCTACAGTCATACACAGGCCTAAGAAAAGCTCCCGGCCAACGATCCGATCGGGAGACTTTGAACGGCACCCTAGTGAGCAACCTGCTGTGACAGTCACGTCACCGCAGCCTCCCATGTCGGATGTATCGTCTCTTCCATCGAGCTTTCTAGGTAGCAGTAACGCTCCGTTAAGTCAGTCGACCGTACCCACCTCGCTTCTATCTTCAGGTGCGCCCATATCCGCCGAGACAACACATCGAGTGCACAATGAATCTCGCCACATCTCTACAGGCTGTTCTCCTCCGCTATGTGAGCCAGCTACTGAGCAGATGCCCCCTCATTTTCTTGTCTTTCCTCGTCAAGATGCACCTCGACTATCTGAGCCCTCTGTCGCCACCATCGAGAGAGCTGCTGCAGCCAAGGTATTCTTCGAGTCGCATTTCAATCAGCTCCTTGCGACCAAAGTTTCACCACGTTCTATGCGTCGCCGCAAAGTAGAGCACAAGCTCTTTGCTCTGGCTTTACCCAACGACCAACGTCATCTGAAACGGCGCGAATAGTATCTCGCCGAGAGTTACCATCTCCGCCAGACGCGCGTAATGAAGTCAAAAACCTTGGCCCGGCAGACGATGAAGGGAGTGCATGTCTCAAACTATGACATCGTCAGAGTCTTGGGCAAAGGCAGCTTCGGAGTGGTCCGCCTCGTTCGAGAGAAAAGCAACCACACAGGCAGCATTCGAGGCAGCGACTGTCATGTTGAGTATCTTGACCGCTCATTAACTCCAGGCAGTGCGAATTCGTCGGCACCAGCCCGGAAAGCGAAACAGGTCTTCGCAATGAAGGTAATTAGAAAGTCTGACATGCTCCGCAACAGCCAAGAAGGGCATCTACGAGCAGAGAGGGACTTCTTAGTCGCATCAGAGAATTCGCAATGGGTTGTGCCACTGGTGGCTGCATTCCAAGACAATAACAACCTGTACCTTGTCATGGAATACATGATTGGGGGAGACTTTCTTGGCTTGCTCCTCCGAGAGGACATCTTAGATGAGAACGTCGCCAAGTGGTATATCGCTGAGATGGTACTTTGCATCGAAGAGGCACACAAAATGAACTGGATCCATCGCGATATCAAGCCCGACAACTTCCTGATTGCCGCTTCCGGTCACCTCAAAATCTCGGATTTTGGCCTCGCCTTTGACGGTCACTGGGCGCACAATCAGACATACTACAACGAGCAGCGGTACAATCTACTCCGTGATTTGGACCTGCATGTCCAAGGCGATGCACAAGATGTTGAAGAAGAGAAGGAGCGGCAAAGTGCTCGAAGGACTTTGGATCTCATTAATGGCAGCACAACGACACGTGGGCGTTACGAAGGGAAGAAGGATGCAGCTAACGGACCCATCATCGATTGGCTGAATCGCACACAAAGGCGTCAATTCGCCAAGAGTGTCGTAGGCACAAGTCAGTACATGGCGCCAGAGGTCATCAGAGGCGAGAGCTATGATGGTCGATGCGACTGGTGGAGCATTGGTATCATATTATACGAGGTTAGCCGTCATAAACCATGTTTACTATGCTTCGGTCTAACCAACGCTCAGTGCCTTTACGGATGTACGCCCTTCTTTTGCGACAATCGGCAAGCTACGAAAGCGCGGATACTTGTTAGTCAAGTTAGCATTGTAATTGCCTAAGCTAATACATTGCAGGATCATCGGCGCTGGCTGCGATTCCCACCCGAGCAGCGTTATGCTCGTCCTAACATTGATCGCGTGCCACTTATGCCAGTCTCGCGAAACGCCATCGATCTTATGATGAGGCTTTTAGAAGAGCGGCAAGATCGGTTATCTGCGAACCGGTATCGCGAAAACGACTGGGTTTTGCGCGACAATGCTGTAGGCAGCCGCCGCATGCGAAATCTCAACAGCACAGGTCACATTGTGTTTCCGAACGACGCCGAAGACATCAAAGCGCACCCCTTCTTCCGAAACATCCAATGGTCAACATTGCACATGACACGGCCGCCATTTGTGCCCCGCGTTCACGGCGGTCAGGTCATCACCAAGTACTTCGACGATGAGGCCGAGATCTTGAGTGAAACAGACCACCTAGACTCATCAAGCTATGAAGCCGCGCAAGTAGAATGTCTAGCTGTGCCCGGCGCGGCAGATGTACTCAGCAACGAAGAAGCGACGCCGACCGCTTCGCCTGGCCCCAAAATGGACGGTACCGGTATGCCTACCCCTCCTTACGAGCAAATTTGCAAATCATTCCAGAAGATGAGACGACGCAAGAAGGAAAAGAAGAGGCCGCGCGACAAGCTGCTCCGTGATCCGCTGGTTGGCCGAACTGTTTTGGAGATCCGGAAAAAGGGTGCATTTGTAGGGTACACGTATCGCAGGCCGAGGTTCTCGCTGCCGGACTTGGAAGAGAAGGTTGCCGCTACGAGGCCGCATATCCCACGGGCTGGTGTGGTTGCTGGGAGTGTTTGAGGAAGTTATTTGTTCGCTTGCAAGTCGTTGGTTTGCAAGACAGCTTTTATTCTTCTGTGTCCAGTTGGTTGTAATGCGTTTAGTTCCCGATGCCTGTAATGACGAGTCTTTTTGCTATTCAGGTCATGCTTGATGTTCGTACACGTTTGCATAGCTTTCGCTTTCTTTCCTGCCGCACCTGCCGTGTGCTTAATGCATGGGTAGATATCTGAAAAGTAGCTTATTAATCGCTCCAGGACCAAATTATTTAGGTGCTCGTTCCCAAACCCATATAATGTGTTTAAGTGCTTTATCTAGAGTACAATAGGGGGATCTAGTTCATATTTGCACTACTTCCCCCCTTCCCCTCCTTTCGCACTTCCTATTCCACCCTAACCTTACAAATACCCCCCCTTCTCTATCTTACTTTTCAGATCAATTCTCTGCCCCAATTTCCAGTCTCTTCCTAGGGATATCCTGATCAACCCTTCACTCTCGCCTTCCTCCGAGAATACCCTTTTCTCCACACCGCATATATCGCGGCCATGAGCGCAAGGTAAACTAACACCCCCACAGTAGTACCGAGTGCGATGATAGCCGTAGCGCTAAGTCGTGGGCTACTAGTAGACGAAGACTGAGAGGACGGTGGCGCGGAAGAGAAGGACTGTGAGGGTGTCGAAGTAGGAGTATGTGAGGGCTGTACTGTGGAGGATAGGAAGATAGAAGTTAGTATCTGCGTTAGCGTTGGTCTCCTTGTTGTAGTTGTAGTTGCAATAGCAGTACGTGTGGGGGGAAGCGGGTCAGACGAGAACACGGGTCCATCTGGTGCGCCGGTGAGCGTGGCTGTTTCTATCTCGGTGAATGCTGAGGTAGATGGTGTTGAGAATAAGATCCATGATATTGTTGAGATATCCGTTGTTGGTTCCGGCGAGGTGGAGATGGTCGGAAATCTTTCTAGCGCTAGGTGGCTTGTGCGATGTGCATTTGGCTGGGATGGGATAGGAAGGTTTGTTAGGGACGGAGATGGGGTATGCTCTGGGTTCATCTTGATGGGATGATGGGGTTGGGTAGGGATGGGAGGTGGAAATGATGTAGGAGTTTGTAGGAGCATGAGGCTAGCACGGGCTAGATGGAAATGTGGAAGCGAAAGGCGTTTGGGGTCATTAGTGAAATGACAACCATGATTCGTTGGCGATGGTGAGTGGTTGTTAGTCCAGGTAACTCTTAGCAGGGCTCGTAGATACCTCTCAATCGTAAAAAGAAAAGAATATGTCAAACCGACATGCTAAACGACTTCTACTCGGTATCTTTGTAATGCACGAAAATTCTATAACAATTGATTTACGCAGCACTCGTTTGTTCGAAGTGAACAACCCTTCATTATATCCCTATCTAACTCATGCACATAATTTGTCTTCCCTTTCATATCGCCCCATCATCTTTTAATTCTGCAAAATCAGTCTTCATGTCTACGGACTCTTTGCTTCCACTTCTTCCACAAGTACCCAGCTAAGGAGCCGGACAAAACTAATATGAAAACTATCGAGACGCCGAGAATGGTGTACCCAGGCGCTGAGGAAGCATGAATGAAACCTTCTGGAAGTCCTGGTTGCGCTTCCACCGTCTCAGTTGGCGATGGAAGGATAGTCAGAGACGTACATGGAAGGATATCTGGGGGCACGTCAGGCGTCGGGTTACTGACTGAGGCTGTAACAGTGATGATCTCCCTCATATTCGGTGTGCTTTCAGCTGTCTCGATGGGAGTTATATGTTCTGATGGTGAACTTGGAGGTATAAACAAGTTCTGAAGAGCAGATTTGGGCGCTCTCAATTAAGACTGCTTGTGATCTGACTAGACTGGATGACGTGTAACAACCAAACACGTTGCGTTGACTGATGATAGTTTTGCTGCTGTCGCCCTATGCTCCTGTCAGTGCTATCATCAGTCGCGGCCCCTGCTGTACCAAGTGTGCAAAGTCAAGTGACGACGGTAGTGCTTTCCTAATTTAGCGGGTTCAAATTTGATCACCTCCTGGAGTAATCTTAAGCGAGTCGAGCTCTGTCTTTGCAGGCAATACAGAAGCTTGTGGATGTGTTAATTGAGGAGACATATTGCTGTCCACGAACCCTGAAAGACTTGTTGGACTTAAGGTCATTGGACTGATGACAGACCAACGCTCACGATTAGTCTAGGTTGACTCAAGTTCTGACACGGTTCGAAGTGAGTCAAGCTCTGAAAACCTGTTACTGACTGGACTGCCTGTCATCGTCCAAGCCTCATCTCCTGGCAGCTCATGTAGTATTTCAGGGACAGAAGAGTCCCCTTCAGTCTTCTCATTTTGTCCTTCCAGCTGATTGGAAGTCAGTGTAGACACGTCGCAAACGTATAGCGCGGGTACAGCGCTGAGGCTGACACTGGCGGCACAAATAGCAATACCGTTGTCTATAGACAGCATGTTCAATTTTAAGACATAGTGTCAGCGCAGGAAGTGATCCACAAGTTTCGGGGATCTTCAATATTAGTATGTTAAAGAGTAAAACTTCTCCACTTTTTGTCTTACCTAGTCATTAAGCGAGAATAAAGTCTTCATACTGCAAGCCCTCTTCCTTTTGTGCATGGAAGATTTCCCCATTCATCAGCCCATGAACATAGCACTCTCCCAAGATCCGGTACACGCTCCCATATAACCTAAGCAGAATCGGAAAGTTACATCCGAGGATCAGAACTAAAACGTCCCCTTCCTGTACAATATCAGGTACAAGACATATGTATCCGGTATCTGTTGTTACCAGTTTCCGTCCTCTTAGGGAGACAACCGCTAGAGTCAAATGTTTTGAAATCTTACTCCTTCCTTTGAGTATGTTTCGCTTAATCGGAAAGTAATCTCTGAAGGGTTTACCGTTGATGGGGAAACTCTCATTGATAACCCTGAATCGATGGAAATCCAGGAAGTATATACTTGGCACATTTCCAGACATAGACCCAGCGCCCTCAACAACCCAGGGCGTTTTCATAAGAACTGGATTCTGAAATGTTTTTGGATGGTTCATTACCATTGTTTGTGCTAATAGTCGACTTACATCCCCATTGTAACGAGTGGAACTGCGATTTGGGTAGATTGGTTGGTCACCAAGAGATTGAGAAGCCATGATACCATCGACAAGGTCTATTCGGATTCCCTTGACGCAAAGCCGGGTGTTTAGCGGGCTCTCTTCATCCAGAAAGTGATAATCTGCGCTATAATCTTTACTTGCTTGGCATTGACGTAGATACTGAACATGCTTGCGTGAGAATGGCAGTCGCAAATCTGAAATCCATGATGGCCAACTTAATGTAGAAGACCTAGAGCCATATATGATTTGCTCAAGGCCCGTTGTTTTAATAACGGCCACGGTTAGTGCTGTAAAAGCTTGCTGCACCGAAGTATTGTTACTGTAGTCTGGAATGATCTGCGAGGAGATAGAGTCGGGCAACAATCCAAGAATTCCATACACTTTGTCCTTCTCGTTTGACGCGAGCGCTTCGCGAGAGAGATTCAGTACTTTCTTTAGCATCTTATTTCGGGGCAGATTAGGTTTCAATTCAACTAATCGGTATACGCGAGTCGAAATGGACCAAGCATCGAAATGAGTGTTGTGGGTAAATGGTCGGTCTTCTCGTAGCAATTTTTGACAACATTCGGCAGCTAATTTGATCATCTCTCTGGTCAATGTCTTGGCTCCGCATAGGAAGAGAGTAGAATAATGGTTTGCTGTAAGCTCTTGAATTATCCACAAACGGTTCCAGTACGGTTTGCTCAAGAATGCACAAAGCGCTCTCCAGTCCTTCGCGGCAAAACCTGGCGGTCGAAAAAGTCGGCCATTTTGGGATATATCTTTGCGGGTTCCTTTCATTGCCGTGATTGCTCTAGTATCTTCTTCCGTTTCTGGACCCAACCATACTACGATAGCTCTTGCTGCCCAATATATGTGCATTATACGTTTGACCTGATGATTCCTTTCCTCGACATCATCTTGATTTATACAAAGCGCATCAATCCAATAATTCATCCCAAGTCGAGTTTCTGGCAAGCGATGTAAAGCCCGTAGGGCTATGTCTAGATCACAAGAAATTTCTTTCCGAACACCATTGAGCCAAACAAATGTCATATGTCTTCTGTCACCCCAGCAGTATGATACCGCTTCATATTCGCCCCATTCAAAGCGTGAGTTTGGCTGAGGTCGATGATTGACCAGTGCTGGTGACAACCGATCGCGACCGGGAGATGAACAGCGTGATTTGAGCTCTTGAGTGAACACATCCAGCTCCGGTTGTGGGAAGCTTAATTTATCAAGCGAAACGGTCTTTATCAACAGCCGTAGAGCCTTTGATGATGTCTCTGGATGCCAGTGGTTTTCGAATTGTAGGACCCGTATGTCGTTATCTTCGAGTGGCTCATAGAACATGTTGACGTCCGCTGCTCGATCGGAATGAAAATCAGAGTCAGGTAATAAAACAGCCCAAAAATTGATAGCTTTGTAAAGTAGATCCAGGCCTGCAGTGTCCACAGATGGCTTGAGGTGGAAGGTCGGCTGCGCTTTTACATACCTGGCTGTGATTACAATGTTTAGTCGTATGATGAGAGAGAAGAGAATTATAAAGATTCACACAGTTTTATCAACCGGTCAAACGAAAGGTTTAGCGCTTCCTTGGCGCTTGATGTAAAGGAGGATCGCGACCACGTTTTAGTGGTTAGCAAGTTTGTAGCCTAGCGACCTGGTGCCAGCTCATAGGTGCCAGCTCATAGGTGCCAAGGCTACTACCTAGAGTGGAGATGCATATGGAGACCATATTTGGTTCTCTTCGGGTGCATGTGCTGCCTGAAGATGTCATAGGTTTCAATCTTTAGTACGGCGGGTGGCCGATTCACCGGTGATGGGGTCATTGATAGGCATCGCAGTGTAAAAGAGCAGCCGGAAGCAGATTGGCCGCTCTGCAGGCGAACATAAGACCTAATTTGTAACGTCTAATTGCGCTAGGTGACACAGCAGCAAGCCTTAGCATGCTGAGGTAGTGGGTGGGGTAGCCCTGATTATGACACTGACCCCGCGGGGTATATCCGTGTCGTAACTGCACCATTTCTAAGCTGTTATACATTCAGACTGAAGCTTGCGATTTCGCGAATGCTGGGGGATGCACTCTTAGGCGCTGGGTTTGATTGCTTTAACTAGCGACCTCTGCCCTATTAACGGGGTTCATTTTTGTTGATAGATTGGATGAATAACTTCGCAATCTTGCGTTTAATTTAGGTTTCCTAGATTGATCGTAACTAGAAAGCTACTTAAATGCCTGCTATGTCTTCAATTATTCTTGCATGTTCCTTCCGTTACCTGGGGTTGATTGCAGTGCAGTACAATCAGATATAGTGGACATGACTTGGTCTCAATCGCATTTTTTATAATAAATATTTCCGCCGAGTTTTGGTCAATTTCTATTATACATAGGTCCCCTAACATAATATCTGGTCTCGCTAGGCCTTGCTCTTCATGTAAGACATGACACATTGCCCAAAGTGTACAACCATAGAGTATCTAAAATTTGTTAGTCCATCAACATTACCCTAAAAATAAACTTCAGGTATAGCACTTACTAGAGTATGTTCGCCTGTGCCTGACGAAAAACACTTGCATCTAACAGCAAATTTTCTTTATTAGATCTCAACCAACGTAGTATCATCTTGGGCAACCCATATTTGCCACCGAAGTTGCTAAGATCGTCGTTGAGACAAAGTTCATGACTGTCTCCCAAGCTCTCGAAGCGCTCCTTGCCAGCAACGCCAACTACCCAGACCTTTGTAAGGCCCACACTCTGGCCATCATCACTGTAACACTCTGTGGGCGGGGACATGATTTTCCTTACGATGTCGGCTATCTCGTCTTCATAGGTCTTTACTAGGATGCCGCCTGTACAAGGGGCATATAGGCCGGGGTTGAGAAGCCGTCGGACATACAATCCAGAAGCAGTCGCTTCGTAGTATTGCGAGTCCTTCAAAATGTGTATCAGTAATGGCGACAGTGTGCACGTCGGGAACACTCACATCGATTGTATCGCCAACAGTGGTGGCTCGACTATCCCAGACACGCCTTGCATCCTTCCAGGCCTCTTTATTTTGCGCCATTGTGTGTAGTTGAATAGAGTTTTGGAATTGCCGTTAACAAGAAGAGTGGACTTGTATTCAGTCTTCGGGGTATGTTGTAAAACAAAACTTTGAAACCTCACAGTATTTATAGAGGTACGGAATGACTAGTGAATGAGTTGTATTAGACTAAGGGTAAGATTGAGTCTTGAATAGTCATGGGTATGACACTCACCATTATGACTCTTTTCATATTGTATGTCACCAAGAGGAGTACCTGCCGAGCCATCTCCACAAGGAGCTATGACAGACAGGTCAAATACTGTTGAGACACCGGTAGTAGGTCGAACAGGTTAGGTTGTTGGGACTTATAACCCTCACCCAGGACCATAAAATGTCAACACCAGACATTGAGCCGGAAGGAACCAGCTAAAGTTCAGATATTATTAGTTTAAAAGGTAAAGTAGCCGCTTTCTGAAGCTTCGGCGAAGGCGCCGCCCGCACTTTTTAGGTAAAATGCTATAATAAGGTTGCTCTTGGAAGCTTGCGTGCCGCTCTACTAACAGTGCGCGGCACTTCGTCGTGCATCATCCTCGTAGCGAGTTCGCCCACGATGCCCACCGAATGATTAGCTGCCATGTGGATGCGTACCGTTCGGTGGGATTAACGGCTTTGTAAAAGCTCTTTGCGAGAAACCTCAATCATGACCATTATCAAACCGCCTACTTGTCCCATTATACTTATCTTCGAATCAAAGCTTGGGAAGTCAGTTCGTATTTCTTCATTTTCTCTTCGCAGACCCAGCGGTGATTGCGTCCCCATAAATGCCCTAAGGGTTTCTCCCGGTCCCAGAAGCTCGAGTGTAAGCCACAAACGCCTTCCGTTGTTACTGCGGTTTAGCTTAAACTTGTCTCGTCATCCTCGTTTGACACCTATAGCAAGCTATGTCTTAGCGCTAGTGGTCATCACTAATGACGCACAAAGTAAAAAGAGACTATTGCCGATAATTGCAAGTAACACTGTTCCCTCTTCTTGAAGCGCGAACTGCTGTCATTAAAGAACATTTTACTAGCATAATTTTGCCTACGGAGACCGACAGAGTGGTAATGTGATTGAAAAGCATCCATTTGTTGAGTTTGAAGTGTTCCAAATGTGTAGGATTGAATGAGATAGACATTGCGAAACATGGAGTCACCGTTGGCTCTTTTGAGAAGGATAGAATCGCCGTTGGTTCATGAGCCAATGCGGAGAAGTTAGGATATTAGAGTGGTGGATCTGGCCGTCGGTCATATACGAGATAAGTTGGAGGCTTTGATGGGATAGGCCGATCAGCCACACATAATGACGACAAGAGCGATCGCATCGTGCAAGCACACTTAGCGCAGGTCTTGCCGGTCTAGTATAGCAGTTTGAGCGACCTTGGACGTTCTTGCCGATTTGATCAAGCAAAGTGTTTGCCCGGTAATAGATACTGAGCCCGTTTCCTACCGATATATAGTGACACATAGTGCGAGTTCCCCTTGCCTTGCACATTGGGAACTTGTATAGCGTATGTAGGTGGAATTACGCATAGTCGATCTCACAATTCATTCATAAGCGACCAGACGGACAAGAAAATCAGTCAGAATTATAACAATAATAACCATACCTAGCCTTGCTACGCGAAGGTAGCTTGTCAAGATGAAGTACCTTGCGATAAGGTATCAAACAATTGTGATAGTCCTCATATCCCGCTCAACCTTACGCCGATGCTTTCTGCGTTTTGATTTCCATTTAGTCCAACCATCGGCTTTCCTGTACAGAAAAATCCCGATCCTACGATACGTGCTGTCTATGTGACCGTCAGAGTTGCTGCCGGCTCGTGCCGAAAGGGGTTCAAGGATTATTGCGTGATAATTAACCATACGAGCAAAGCCCCAATCTTCTGCCATAACTGGAAGCACCATGTATAACTGTTCGACTTTCGATGTTTCGTGAGGCATGTCCCAGCACAGAAGTGACAATTCATCACGTATTAGTGGCAAAGACAGACTGATAAGTTCTCCACGCAGTTTCAGTTTTCCTTCTTTTACGTTTCCATATGGATTGTCGGAGAGAACAGGCAGTGTACTAACACCGAGGATTTCAACTAGCCTCTTGTGTCTTCCACCCCAAAGTTGAGTGCTGTGGTCTATTTCTCGGGTCACTGATGCCCAGCTCCACGATGGAGCCACAGCCAAACGCACGGCGCATGAGCCCACTAGCGGATGCGGACAGTACCACAATAAGCTTGGAACCAAATACTGGCTCCACAATCCCGCATAATATTCTTCGCCGTGATTTGTAGTATGTAAAGTCCTTACAACTGAAGACAGTGCGATCAGTCGGTCTTCCGAATTCGTAAAATTTGATTTTGAGTATTGTTGGAGGAAATATAACCAACTTTGCAGGTCCATTTCTTTCGCACTTCGTGTAGCTCGGACCATTTGAAGCTGTGTATAATCTTTTCCGACTTTGCCGTAGGAGCTGTGTACTGGACTTTGATAGCATTCCCTGAAAACCCCTTGCTTTGTAAAGTGGAGTAGTCTTCGTGAGAGAACTCGCTCCTGTTGTACCCAACCGCGGCTGTTCAGTTCGGATTTGCTAACAAAACTATACAGACTTGGTTCCGCTATATTGAGAAAACACGATAGCACTTGCTCAGTCATCGAGTGCTGAGGAATCTCACATGGTTTTGCCAATACGAGCTCAGTTCCGACCTTTGAAAGGAAGCCATCGTTAGTGCTTTCAGCACAGGTAGCCGCAATCGTAAATAGTGCACCTTGATATATGACACCCATACGGGGCCCTTCTTCGCTCCAGTCCGTATCATCCCCATATGCACTTGACTGAACAATACACAAGGCGTCGATCCAGAGGAAGCGGGCACTCAGCGCGCGTGCAGTTATGATAGCGTCTTTGAATGTTTGAGGCATTGCCTCAAAAGAGAAGTCCTTATGTCCAGTAAACGGCTCGCTCAAGATGCAGCTATGAACCGCGGAGCCCCAACGATAGCTTAGGGTACAATACTGTGAGAACTCAGCAGTACTCGCAAGGCCCAGAGAAATGCAATCCTGCACATCCACCACGGAGATGGTCGAACCGCGAGAGACGTCCAACAGCCGGCGTGGAAGAGCAAGGCGTGAAACTGACTGATCCTCCTCAATGGCCACCCTATCGTTGCAATCGCTGTGACTTGAAAGACATTCTCTTAACAAAGCTCCGGCTTGAACAAGCGGATCATTGCTAGCGCATTCCTGAGTGAAATCTCTGAGTTCAGGAACGTTGTCTATTAAAATAAGAAGGCAGTAGCTGTTAATCCGAAGTTCGAAATGAATTTTACTCCCAAAATATAGGTATATCTCGTTCTTATCCACTTGCAACTTCTCCATGGGCTGGCAGGAAAGATGCTGCCAGAACAGTGTGCAGAAATCGCAGCCTGATCGGGCAAGGCTGATCAACTCTGCACCGGACGACCATATACGAAGGAGTGTTTTTTTAGACCGGTCGAGAGGCAGTATAACTCTTTCGCGGCAGACATCACAACGACCCATTGTCGCTTCGTCCCGATATTCGAGGTTGAGTAGCAGGTTGCAAAACAGTTTGTGTGAAGAGCGAGGAAGGCTGAGAAGTGCGAGACGGCAGTCGCGATTGAAGGCAATTTATGCTGCCAGGCTGAGCTGCAGGACAGCCACGCGCGGGGCGGGATCAGCTGAGGGTAAGAGCGCCCAAAGCCAATGCAGATACAGCGAAGAGCCGGTTTTTTGGGGCTGAGCTCGTGAAAGAGTTTAAATTGCCGATGCATGCAGCAGCTGCAGCGCTTACATGCCTTGGCCAACAGGCAGCCACGACTGCTTGCATTGATTGAACTCGGTCTTGACCAATGGAAGTCTTCGTCGATTGAAGCTGACAGAGGGGGGACCTTTCAGTCCAGATTTTTAAGAAACTGATCAATAACAGATCACAGAGTTAGACTTACCCGGGAAGAACTCACATACCCACCACCCAGATGAATAAACAAACACCATCCACGCCAACTAGGTAGTTAAATGTTATACATTTTTGTCACTCCCTTTTCCCCTACCTCCAGTCTATATACAATCATCACACCTCCCCATCACCCTGCTTATACTGATACACACTCTTCTTTTTGTAAGCCATGTCACCAACAGGCACAACCGTCCATGCCCTGGAATCCACAACCCTGTCAAGCCCACAACTCCTACTCTTCCACCCCTCTCCTCTGAGCCCCCTAGCAATGTTCCACGCACCAGTAATACAATCATTAACACTCACGCCATTAAACTGACTACCCACGACGCGTAATCGGCCCTTGAACTCATTCGTAATACCGTTCGCAAAGTCGCGCAGGCGGTCTTCATAGCCTAGTGTGTACTGCGGTATACAGCTTTTGGAGAGATTGGCGCAATGCGCGACTGGCTCGTCCGTAATGCCGATGTGGCGTTTGATAACGGATTTCGCCATTTCTAATCCTTCTTCTTCGCTCGAATAGCTTTCCCAGCCGTCCCACCAGTGTCCGCCCATCATGACTGTGATTTTGGTGCCTTCGGCCGTGTCCTGGCCCTTGATAGCGGACGAGTCGAAGATGACGCCTAGTGCGCGCTCTGGGTTTTCCTCGAAGGGGATGGATTGCGGAATGAGGTAGCCAAACCCTTCGACGGGGAGTAAAGCGGGATTGGAGTAGTATAGATTGACCGTCATGACGGTTATGTAGGGTGTGAGTTCGTCGTTGCGGAGCGTGGAGATGACTAGGTCGAAGTTCTCCTTTTGGGTGGAGGGCTCATTCTAGCGAGAACTGTCAGTACTTGAAAGATGAAAACAATTCGATGAACACACCCCTGAGATAATCTCAACCCCCATCTCGCCCTCAATCGGTTTGAAAGACTGTATCGGGCTCTCCGTTTTGACCTGAACATTCCCCTTCCCCTCCACGCTCTTTTGCAGAGCCCGCACCAAATGCTGCAAGCCATCCTTGAACGTAAACATGCTCGCCTCTTTGAGGTTCTGAGTAAACTCCAGATCCAAATCAATCTCCTCATTAATAGCTTTCGAGACCTCGAGATCATACGGGTGCACAATCGTCAACTGCTGCGGCCTCGGATCCTCACTCTGCATCCTGAAAAAGCCCCCCAACGCACTGCCATATCTGCCCTCCAGCTGCCACGCCAAACTCAACAACGTCTTTGCGCTAAGCTGCCATATATCACCCGCGTATATACCGTGGAAAACGGCTGAGACGATGTTGTCCGCTACCCGCTTGTCCACACGGCGCGCTAGGAAGGAGCCGACAGTCTCGTCTGTCATGTCTTGGGGACGTGTTGGAATGAGGGGTTCTTTGATCGCGCCGAACGCGCCGCCGAGTATGCCAGACCGCCATAGCGTGAATAAGTCTACTAAGCTAGGACTCTCAGAGGGTAATCGGTTCAATCGATCGGGGAAATATATAAAGCGGTTCTTTGCGCCGGGTTCGGTGCGCTTCGTGTACGTTATATCCTTGACCAAGTCAAGCTCTTGAATCTACTATTTATTAGCCATATCCAGCACAATTCAGATGGTGGAGCGCACCAAAGAAGCCGTGGGCGTCGCATTCCGCAATGTCCTCGGTCCTAGTTCGAACAGGATATCACCACCCGGTACATCCACTCTCCTAGACTTGATCCATCCGCCCGTCTCTTTCCCCGACTCAAAGATGGTAATCTTGCTGTTCGGAAACTCCTTGCCCACGAAATACGCGCTCGCAAGGCCGGCAATGCCTCCACCCAGCACAGCTATCCGCTCAGGGTATGCCGCGGAAGTGGACGAATATCGATAACGATGGCATTGCGACGAGAGGAGTGGCCGGAAAGCGACAGTCTTCAATGTCGACTCGAGGAGCGGAACATGTCTCATGAGCCGCATTGCCAGATGCAAAAGAAGAAGGTGAGGTGGGGCCAGAGAATCCGAGCCATGCGGGATGAGCTCAATAGAACCGATGTAGTCGAAGTTGGGAAAATGTCCGAGCTCGGACCCGTCATTGATTCAGATTCAGCCCTACCAGCATGCAGGCGGCACCATGTCATACACTAGTATACAAACCACAACAAACAGTTGGGTGTTTGGCAAGTTGGTCGTGTAATTGCGGCTTTCTTCACGATTGTGGATGAAGTCTTGTTAAGAAGAACAGAAGCAGCCCAACCAGGCCGCAAGAATAGCAGACTTCATTTTTGAAAGAAAATGATGCCCCCTCGAACAATTGCCCCACGAGAATGCCAAACCGAGGCAATGCCACCGACCATAACGCCGCATTCAGCCATATCCAGAACTATAGTACACACGCTTTACTGTCGTATCGCCGATCTCAACCCCACCGACCAGACCGCGTCCCAATGGTATCATCCATGTCCATGTCCAAATCTACTAGCCCGTCTATGATTGCACATCCACGCTCTCAGTAGCCTGTGTCTGATTTTGTCCTGGGAGGATAAGCTCTTCCTGCTGTTCCTCATCCACAAATTTCCTCTCAGAAACATGTTCACCTTCCTTGGGTGCGACCCAAACGTTTGTGTTGTTCTTCTTCTGCCCCGGGGCATGCTTATATACGCAACGGGGGTTCAAGCACGGGGTAAACTTGCACATAACCGCAGAATGCCCAAATGTACAGCCCTCTTTTGTGCAGTCGGCACCGTTGCGGCAAGCCTGAGCAGCAGGGTGCTTGTACGGACAGCTAGCTGGATCCCGGCAGTTGGGCCAGAAGGCGCATTCCTGCTCGGACTGGAACTTCTGTCGCTGCGCGGGAGATGGATGCTTTCCGACGCACTTCTTGTTTTTGCATGCGGCGCCGTAGTCACATGTATCGTTCATGTCCACTGGCGTCCCGGGCACAGCGGCGGGCGACTGATGTACGAAGTGACAGTCTGGATTTGTACACCGCAGGTTGAACTTGCACATAGTGGACGACGGCTCTGGGCGCGATGTCTCGACTTCCATGCCGTCGACGTTTTCTGCTGCGGGACCATCTGCCATAGTTTCATCCTGGCCGTCCTTCTTGGCAAAGGTTTTCGCGTTTGGGTTCATGCCTCGGTTGCCATGTGGCCGTTCCATGCGCTGATGTAGAGATTTCTTGGGGCCATTTCGGTTGCCCTGGTTGAAGTTGGGGTTGACAAAGGCTGTCGGGGCGCCGCCGGAGAAGATCTGTTGCATCATTTGTGCTTGTTGCTCGTACATTTGCATCAGCGCCATCTGCTGTTGCGGATTCAGCATGCCACCGGGCATGCCATTTTGGCCGCCCATTGGTGGCATTGGCATTCCTGGCATACCGCCCATGGGCATACCGTTCATGCCGGCCTGGCCCATGTTCATGTTCGCGTTGCCCATGCCCCGACCGTTGGCCATGGCCTCGATTCCTCGACCGATGTTCTGACCTCGAGGGCCTTTGGGCGCGTCTCGAGTGTGTGAATTTATCCGGCCGACACCTCCGCCAGCGCCACGCACGCGATGTAGCGCGGAATCATCATTGCGGTTCATCGACTTGTTGAGTTGGTTGAGCATACGTCCGCCACGCACTGGACGTGCTGCTTGCGCGCCACTTCCATTGCGCATAGCTTTAGGTCCTGTAGGGCTGGGTACTGTTAGTCTTTTGTCGGGTAGAACAAACGGGCAAGCAAATGATTTGTTGACATACATGTTGCCTTGGCCAGACTCTGATGTGCCTTCCATATCTGCATCCTGTGTAGACGTCGAGTTGTCGTTGAATGTGCTGTCCATTTGGTTCTCAATCGACTGCGCAATCTGAACATCGCCGCCGCTTAGTTGGCGCTTGAGCACCTCGATCTGCTCGAACAGCCACTGCGCAAACTGCTGTGTCTCTGTATTCTCGGGTCCCAGGTCTAGCAAATCGTTCGACAGCTCGGCCGCGACCTGTGCCTCGTTCTTATCGTTCGCAAGCATAAGGAGGATGTATTCGAAAAGCGTCGTGTCCTCGCCGCCCGTCGTCCACCCAAACTCGGCGAGCTTGGGCTGCACGACATGTTGAAGCTGCACCGCCAGTGGTGACTCGTTGGAAAAGTCGACGGCCATGTTGAACGTGGCGTTGATGAGAGAAGGCTGTTGCGAGGCCTCGGGTGAGGAAAGTGTCGAGACAAAGGGAGTGGGGATGGACGCGACTTTCTGCACGTTCTGTCGTCGCGTTACTTGTAGCAGCTCGGTGGAAAAGTAGGTCGTCAGTCGTAAGAAGAGGTGGCGCGCGAAGTGGAACTTGGCAAGTGGATGTGAGAGCGAAGTAATGTTTGGGGAGGTTCTGCGTCAAGCTCTGCTTGGCAAGCAGGATCGGCACTTGCCGCCTCTTACTAACCATCACGGAAGGTTCTGCCCGGGGCATTTCACTCGACCCTAATTCTTTGCGAATCTCTCGACGTGAACCTCGAGGCGATAATCATTCACTCGAATATTATGCACATGGCGATACACCTCACATGTAGCAGTTGAATGGTGATGCGGATACATGCAGGCTGTATAACCACCAAAGCATAGTGACCATCTCGAAGCATTTTCTTCCCCAACCCAAACCAACCGAGGCTTCGAGCTCGTATTACTCTTGCACGCTCTTAATATAGTATAATGTATCCCTATTGCGTTGCTTTGAAAAACAATCCTTTTTTAGCCGCCAATGCAGCTTCTCCTGTCACGTCCAGTACTTCAGGCTGCTCTACTCGCTTCCACTTCACCTCTGCCACCGTTTCTTACTCTCAATATGGTCTTCTACGAAACAAAGCCAGAATAATACATCACCTCCTCCAATATCTTGTCCATATACAGCGATTCCAGAAGATGTAGCATCTCCTACGAACCGGAAGCATCATGCAGCTACGTAATACAGGTTCTGAGACGTGTTTGGGGGGTATCCCTGACCTGATTTCTATCTCTATACATATGTAGCAAGGAAGACCCCGAAAATTCTAGTTGCTATGGTTAGTGTGGGTGACGCCAGCGGTGTCACGGCACGCTAGCTTGATGTGACATCTGCCTTCTATACCAAGTATCCTCCCAGTGTCTAGTGTCATCACACACTTGAATGTGCCACCATCCGCCTCTGGCAAAGGTTTCCTGACTGCGCCGCGATAATATTTCGCTTCTCGTTCCGTGGCTGAGTACCAACAGGCGTTGCTGTGATTCCCAGGCGCATACGAGTCGCGTGCGAGCGTGTCCGGGTTGAAGTTTCTGAAGGCCCAGCCTAACAACACGAGTTCTTTACCAGTCGCCACGACAAATTTCCACGTGAACTGCTTCTTGTGCACTTGGATGATAGAAATTGACGTGTGATCAGACTCGTGTAGACGGTCGAGGGGATTCTCCCGCAAAACAAACTTAGCGCTTACGCATGCATGCATAAGTCGGACCTTCCCTGCAGGCGTCAACTTGCAACTCTCCGCTACCATCATACCCTTTTTTCACTCACCAGTCTAAGGTTAAACAGTGCCTGAGCTATATCGCTCCGAATTATATACCTTTCAGCAGGCTGCCTTGTCCGCTGAGAAAGTAAACAACATCTGAACTACAAAGCTGCAAGGCCAGCACTCCATAGGTGCCCTGACACGCCTGAAAGAATCGATCTAGCCTCTTCCCTGCGAACTATGATCAGTGCTTTAAATTAATGGAGCAGAATACATAGAGCAACTACGTTATCTAGTGCTGGCTCGCCAAGGCATATTCCACCTAGCGGACGAGGTACCTACCTTATATACCACGGCTCCGTCACATTTCCAGATACTTGGTACCAATATCCCCATCGATCGGAACTTCTTGCATAATATCGACAATGAAAGTCGCGTCTGTTGTCTCGTTAAGCGCTTTCACGGCAACCACGTTGGGAAACACCTTCGAACCCGTTAACTTCAACGTTACGGGAGCTCTCATAAGTAATGGTATCAATGTCGCCGCCATCCCCGAGCTCGTGGAGTTAGTGGAACGCTCGTCTCCGAGTGGCTGCTCAATCGCTGTCGGTTACCCCAGGCCTTCGCGTGTTTCTTCGATCGAGTTCTGACTTTGCCACACAGTGCACTGCTCTCAAATTTTCTTTTGCTAACGGTAGCGTGCTCTCTGAAGGGACTCCGGCGTACGAGAACTTCACAAACAGTTATTGGTCGGCCCAACAAAATAGATTAAAACCTCATTGTGTGTTCAAGCCCAGTAATGCCCTCCAGGTCTCGACACTCGTCCTCCTGTCTCGGCTCACGCAATGTCCCTTTGCCGTGAAGGGAGGTGGGCATGCTGCATTTGCTGGAGGCTCGAGCATAGACGGAGGTATCACAGTAGCTCTAGAGAACCTGAATGGGATCACACTATCGTCTGATAAGGAGATTGCATCGATTGGGCCGGGTAATCAATGGGGACATGTTTACAAGACGCTGGAGCAGTATGGTGTTGCAGTAATTGGTGGCCGTGTAAGTTCACTAATTTCTCTATGCTTGCAAATTCTAGCTTCAAAGCAAAGGGAGCCACAATGACTTTAGTCCTTTCTCCGAACAGCAGTTGAAGGTCACATAGGGTGTTGGGCGTATCTACGCTTCTGCGTCCAATTCTCTCCCACCACCATCATCATCATCATCATCATCATCATCATCATCATCATCATTCGTTATCAGTTCTAACCTCACATTAGGTGGCTTCGGTCGGTGTATCTGGGTTGACTCTTGGAGGGGGCATCTCACACTTTGCCAACGCTTATGGGTGGGCATGCGACAATGTTGAATCATTCGAGGTTGTGACGGCCTCCGGTATCATCGTTACCGCCAGTGCGACTGTATTCCCTGATCTCTATTGGGCTCTCCGTGGTGGAGGCAATAACTTCGGTATCGTAACCAAGTTCAACATGAGGACCTTCGTTCATGGCCCGATGTGGGGTGGCCAACGTGCGCATCTCGAGTCTGAATGGGATGCCGTCTATCGAGCCTACTACAACCTAGCCAGAGACGCCGCCAAGGACACGAAGCAGGCTCAAATCGTTTCCTTCGCGCTACAGAATGGGAACAAGATCGCAGCAGAAGATCTAGAGTACTCTGATCCTACACCTTGGCCTGCGGTCTTTGACGAATGGAAGGCTATTCCTGCAATCGTGGATGGAACCGCTATCAACAACCTCTCCACACTGACGCAGAACCTCGGCGCAGGGGTACCTGACGGTATCCAGGAAACGTACTGGGATCGGACCTTTAAGCTCGACAAGGACATTTTCAAGATCTTTATCGATACATTCTTCAAAATGCTTCCTGCCATCACGGATGCTGCCGGCATTCTACCCGTACTCTCGTTCCAGGCAATCACCGTTCCGGCTATGGAGAAGATGCAGCAAAATGGCGGTAATACGCTCGGCCTTGACCCAAATCAAGGCCCTGTTTTCATCTGTAACCTTGCAATCATGTGGACCAATGTCGCGGACAACCCTCGAATCATGGCCTTTAGCAATGACCTGTACAAGCGCCTTGTGGCGATAGCGGGTGAACGGGGTCTAAACAACGACTTCATATATATGAACTTCGCATCGCCTTACCAAGATGTCATCTCAAGCTATGGGGCGGCTTCAAAGGAGAAGCTAAAGAAGATCGCAGGATTCTATGATCCTACTGGAATTTTCCAGAGGCTGCAGCCTGGTTACTTCAAGCTAAAGGGCGCGCCGTATGGAGCGTTCCCTGCGTAGCTGGGGAACGTGACATAGATGTTTGCTCTGTAGACAGTTGTTATATAGCAATCCATAATGTTTGCTTTACGAAGAGTGCCCCTAGGACGGGTTGCTCTGGCCTGCTACTACTATTGACTGGTGAACTCCGACATATCTTCAAGTTTTTTAACTCGCCTCGTCAATAAAACTCCAGAATTCCTTTCTTTTAACACGTCTGATATACCAGGTCACTATCCAGCACAAGAGTGAAAGCTTCGCGTCGTGTTCGGACACCGCCGGTGCCAAGCAAAGGCCTGTGCGCCAAGCGTTTGCGGTTGCCAGGCCTTTTCTCATGCTTGCGGACTTCCATTCATCAACTTCCAACCTCAGAGCCTCCACGACTTGTCTTCAACTACAAGCTTGTATCACAATCCTACCCCCACGACTCATATACGCATTTGACCATGTCTCGCGGCGGCGGTACTACGCTCTACGTCACCGGCTTCGGCCACGGCACCCGCGCTCGCGACCTTGCCTACGAATTCGAACGGTATGTCTCCTAACGCCTCGCCCCATTTCGATCGCCTCGTTCCCGTCCTCGAACCGCTCTGCCTACTTCCTCCCGCCGTCTCACTTCGATGATGCCCTTCTACTTTCTCCTACTGCTTTCGCAGTGCTCGTGCGCGCGTGGGCAACCACCCGCGCGCACTCTCGCTCGTCCTTTCCGCACCAAGCTGTGGACAACCATCTCTGACATCTGAAAGCTACGGCCGCCTTGTCCGCTGCGACATTCCAGCCCCCCGTTCGGCTTCGAGTAGACTGTGAGTTGGACCTTGCCCATTTGCGAGACCCAGGCTCTAACAGCCCAGCAGCTTCGCCTTCGTGGAATATGAGAGCCGTCGTGATGCCGATGACGCTTATCACGAGATGCACAACAAGCGCATCGGCCGCGACGACTTGCTGAAGATCGAGGTGCGTTCCTACCCCCGGTGAATACCACCCCTACCATGAGGCTAACGAGCAAGGTGCAGTGGGCACGCACTCCTCCTTCGGCATCGTGGCGCTTCGACTCTGGCCGTGACCGCCCTCGTGGTGAGCGTTCTGAGCGCGGCAGTGACCGTGGTGGCGATCGTGCCGAGCGTGGCGACCGCGGCGTTCGCTCTCCTCGCCGTCGCAGTACGTCACCGCGACGCGAGCGAGGTGCCTCGCCCCGCAAGGACGACCGTCGCGAGCGCGACTATGATCGCCGTGATCGCGATAGGTCTAGGAGCCCCGTCGACGGCGACCGCGAGATGAAGGATGTTCGCGACCGTGAAGATGACCGTGGCGACCGTGAGCGTGTCGATCGTGAGCGCGATGACAGGCGAGAGCGCGACCGTGAGGTTGACGCTAGCGGCGAAGCCCGCAAGAGTGAGGCACCCGCACCTCCATACGACGAACTTCTCTGATCATCAACGCAGACGACTCTCCTCCCCCACCCGCACACGAAGACTTGGACGTGGCTGAGTAGATTCAAGGAACTGCTGTGCTTTGCGCAGACAGTACCCAGTCTGCTGCTATTGTCTGACTAGGGTAGTATCGGTGCAACTTCTTCTAAAATTGGTACTGGCGTGGGTGTTTTGATAAGTGGAAATTAGGCTACTAAGGGTTTTGTTCTTCACTCGGCGCTGGCTCGAGGTACTTCTCGATCATAGCACTACATTAATCAGATCAGCAGTCGAAAGCTCGGTTCGGATCTGTCTTTGGCGAACGATTACGGCGATTCCCATTCGGATCGATTTCCTACCTTGCTCGGTCGATCGGTCGGTATCGATGCGGTTCGATGGATCCTTTGTACACTACTCGGTCGATTCGTAGCACGTCGAACTCCTTCATCCCCTACTCCCCCGCTCCTCGCTCGACTTCACTTGTCCGATCCCCGTCGTACCTTCAGCAACCCCGATGCGATTAAATCTTTTATTGCCAAGGTTTGTACGTCCTGCATCTTTAACACGCAGTTTCTACTGTATTCACTGTGACTGTGATGTCACCACCATGGCTGTTCATGAGTGCTACATTTTGCAAAACCTTTGAGACCGTATGAATATATTATATTGATTACACTCCATCTACCCACCAATATTATTCACCTACTTCACCAGTATCAATTTTGAATTGCGCTGTTCAAACCTTCACTCCTTCAGTCACCAATCCATACACAAGACCCATATCGATATAGCATTTGACCCACCACAATGTAACCACCGACAGCTGGACCCGCGGTGACGACATACCCCACAATCCTCGCCCAAGGCCCTACCTGCACTCGTAGACTAGGCATAGAGTCCTTACCCTCCTGACCTACCACCCATGATAGCCCCGTGACCACGCCAAGGCACAACCATTGCACCGTGTAGATGCGCCAAGTCATCGTCTCCTCTGCAGGTATCGATCCAGGCTTAAACTTTGATAGCGTACCTGTTAAGACTAATGGAAGGAGGGCGGTGAAAGTGGTCAGTGTGTACTTTATCCACCACCAACGGCGCGCGTGGGTAGAGGAAGCGGAAGAGGGGAAGGTTAGCGTCCATGAGACGTCCTTTAGGAAGAGGAATGTGCGTTTCAATTTGATAGCGGAGATGAAGTGCTGAAGTGGTGGATTCTTCGGGGAGGGCGAGGGGGTGCAGCGGACGATGGATGTGTGGTTGGGGATCAAGAGGAGGGCGTCATTGCGGGTGTTGATGTAGTTCAGTTTCAGTGGAATGGGGGCGAGGGCTTGTGTATGCCTTATCATGGAAAGGTTGGCGGATTGTGAGACCGCTGATATCTTCGTCTCAACCGTGGATGCGGTGTGTTCGAGTTCGAGGGCGCCATTTTCATTCTTCTGTTTCTCCGCATGTAGGGTGTATTGGAATGGATCAATGGTGCTGAAGTGCGCTTCCACGCTGCCAGCTTCGTTACTAGAAAAGCGCAAATCCTCAACATCCTCGCCATCTGCGATATGACAGGCACAAATACTCTCCGCCACATGCTTGTCTTCATCCACTTGGCCTACTGCACCAGAGAAGATGCCGCCGCGCTTCCGCGCTTCGTCCATGATGCTGCTTTCGATCATATACAAGCTGGGATATTCTGGTCGGCAGAGGTTTCCCATGAGATTCATAATGGACATGACAGCGTAAGGAGCAACCGTAAGACCAAAGGCTGCATATCCAAACTGACGGATCTGGTCGCCCCGCGAACGATAGAGAGTGCTGAGGGCATACCCGGACTGGGCAAGGGCGATGAGAGCTTTGACTACGTTGTATGTAGCTGAGACTTCGATCGTGGGCGGATCTGCCGATGCTGAAGGCGAAGATGAGGTGAATTGCGCGTCGTGAGGTACAATGACAAACAGGTAGCCGGGTGGGAGGGAGTGGGTTCCATGAACGATACGACGGTGGACGTAGACGGGACATCCAAAACGCGTACACATGTACGGAGGAGGGTAAACGATGACATGAATATCTTTCTCCTTTGTCTGTCCATCCTCCTTCTCACCCCGAGAAACTGTCGTGGCATCTGGTACTGCCCTCTTCAGTACCACATTCGTCACCGCATCGCCATCTACAGGTCTCCAATCCGCGCCTCGCACCACACAACACAACGCCCCGCTCCTCGCCGCTTTCCTCAAATCGTCATCTTTCTTGACAAACACTGCGCCACACAGTATAGCTTCGATGCCTCTATATAGTCCCAACGGCGCGAACAGCAATGATCCTATCACGCCAGCGACATAATCGTCTGCGCGCTCACCAGGTTGTGTCACAACGGTAGCAGCGTGCGCTACATAGTTTAGTAGGTAGAAGGTTAGTAAATCGAAGGGTTTAGCTGGTGTGCAGAGGAGGCCTGGGGTTCCATGGTCTGAGGAGCCGGCTGGGAGGGCTATGGTGATGTTTTGGAGAACGAGGGAGGTGGCGGGGGATGCGAGTGTGAGAAGGAGGAGCGTGGAGAGGACGTGGAATTGCGTGTTAGGTGCGATGGTAGGACGGGATATCATCTTGATAGCTGTTTTGAGGAGTTCCCCACTTCGGGGTAGTTATTCAGCTTGACGGCGTGCGTCGAAGGCGCGCATCTTGTTGCTTGAGAATTAAAAAGATGAACGGCAAGCAGTGAGCTAGGAAAGGAGGGGAAGTAAAATGTATAACTAGGATAACCTTTGAAGATACGCATCCTAGATTGATTCAGCCTTACTGAGGTGCATCTCGCCGTCCATCTCATTCGCTGGCCAACGCCATCAATCGTACTTCTCGTATTCCCGTTCCCCGCACATAAGCCACCACACTAAACAGAAGCCAGATATCATGAGGTCTTGGGATTCACTTGCGTCGTGTTTCCTATTAGTGGCTCAAATGATTATACATGTGCGGTTGCAGGTGTCCTGACGCATATTGTACTACGATCAAAGGAGGCTTAGGCTTAGGCTTGATTACGAGGCTGGTCTAAGCCACGCCGCCACCTGCGCACTGCGCCATTCACCGCGACGCCTTGTGTTGGAGGTGCACACTCTCCGACAGATACAATGAGGCTTCTTCTTCACGGTCCTTCTTTTCCTTCATTGACTTTTCTTCACTCTTGATTCTTCGCTCCTTCTTTCAATACAATCAGATACGCGCTTTATAGCAGCAAAGCAAACGCCGAACACGGACTGGTGCTTGACTAATAACGAGCATTGCCCAGCTACGCCGCGGAACGCCTTGCATCAAAGGCTACGAGACGATCAGTAGTCCATCGCTCCTACATCACACTCTTCGAAAACACCAATCGCCAGCCATGTCTCAGAAATACGTACGTTTTCCTTTGCGCGCACCTTCAACAGGGACTCACTGCCCTGATGCGATGCGCCATATTTGCGCAAATGGAAGTTTCATGCTAAAGTCTCATAGGACGCGCCCCAGGGCGCACCACCGCAGTACCCTCAATCCCCTCCACCTATCCACCACGACGCCGGGCCTGCCCCTGGCGGCGTGCAGCCCTACTACAACAACAATGCCCCCCAGGGCGGCTCTGCAGATTACTACGGCAACTCCCCGAACCCATACCAACAGCAAGGTCAATACGGACCGCCACAAGGACAGTATGGACAACCGCAGGGGCAATATGGATATGGTCAGCCGCAGCAGGGAATGCAGTACCAGCAGGGACCGCCGCCACCAGGAGGTTACTATCAGGATGATAGGAGACAGGGCGGTGGCGGTGCGGGAGGAGGCATTTTCGCGGGTCTGTGTGCGGGATTGGCGTGCTGTTGCTGCTTGGACTGCTTGTTTTAGACAGTTGGGGAACAAAGGGAGGCCGTGAGCAGTGGCGGGACCAAGGAATGCCGTTGAAACGTACCCAGCATGAGCATTTAGGCTTCCTCGACACAACACTCTTGCTTACTACCACTCACCGAACGCGGCGCACGGAGAGAAAGAGAAAGAGAAGGGTCTCCTGATACCATACGGCTTGTAGAATGCCAGATTTCATTTGTCATTTCAATTTTTCTGCGAGAGGTTTCGACGTATATATCGGCTTGATGTTCTTCTCAGAGCTCAATGTCAGGAGCGAATATGTTCAGCCTGACACCTCACTAATGCATCTTACAACTAATCCAAATGTCTCTGCATTCGATAAACCTGCAAGTTGGCATCTGTGTGAAACACCACGTGATGGTCTCGGAAGCGCCTGCATACAATGGCTTACGCAGCTGTTCTACACCCGGTTACGCCTCAGCCCCAATGTCAGCAAATTCGAAAGACATCGCTGTCTGTCTCCGTTATGACATGTTTGGTCCTACTCTTCGCGTCTGCTAACCCCTGATCGCGCATATCGCTGCCTCATTCAACTGGTTGCCCCACAGCGAAAGCCGAGGCTTCCAACGCACGGTCTCGAGCTTGCACTACTCCGCACTGTTCTCATGACGCTGCACGCGTAACGGCATAGCGGGTTCCACACCGAGACTTGTTCTATTTCTGTTCGGTTTTCCGTAGGGCTGATCGAGGATACATAAACGGCGGGACGGAAGCTCACAGAAGTTTCAACAATTTACAAGTAACGCCACCCTTGCACCACACGACGAAAAGCAAACAAACGCAACGCCCCACGATTTATTGAGTTGCTACGGGAATAGCCCTGTTTTCCGGAAACCATTCGATTTTCGTTCTAGACCAGTACTGAAGACCAGTCTCCACGAGAGTTGTTTCTTTGTCTTGCGCTGCACGATAAGCTGCATTCGGACAACCATCGGGAACTACCGATCGCAAACGTACATCAGCCTACAGGCCAGCGGAATAATATCTCGAACACGAGACGATTTACGAAGTTATAAACACAAATTGTCCAGATTACGACGCTCAACGCCTGCCACGCACTCTCGAGCAATCGGCCATATAACCACCTCGAAACCGTCAAACCAACTAGATGAAGCTCACCACCACTACCCTCGCTGTTCTTGCCGCCGTTATTCCTACAATTTGGTCGTTGCCAACAGAACTTGCTCTGCGAGAATACAAGTTACCTACTTGCGGCGCAGTAAGCTTACCATCTGGCATTCTCCAAGTACCTGACTAACTCACTCTGATAGGAATCATGCCTCGTACAAACTGCCGAAGTCTTCGATGCGTGCGCGCCCAGTGATCTAGCTTGTTTATGCACTCTAGAGCAGAGTGAGGTCACCCGCTATGTGAACACAGTGCAGCCTTGCATTGACGGCGATGCGGGCAAAGCGGCATGCACAGACGGAGCGAGATACCGTGAGTCGCCTGCACCCCTCCTCTGGATTATGTGAAGTGTACTAACCCACTTATTAGAGTACAAGGACCTTCTCAAGTCCGTTTGCGCAGATGATCGATTCGGCAACAAGGCCGTTGAATTTCCCCCGACCGCATGAACAAACGACTGCATAGCCATCACGCATTTACGAAGCTAGAATATTTACATCTACTTAATCTATAATACACGCTCCTTTGGGCTTCGACCTGCGCACACATACATTGTTTGCAATCTCCTTTTTCTCACCCTTCACTGTCGCAGCTGACGTCACGGCGCGCACGTCTGTGCATGACTAGGCATGTGACCGTGGCTCTTGAGTGACTGTTCATTACCCTCTCCCTTCATAGAGCTCCTCACTTTACACTATGCCGTGTTTTGCTCATACTTTAGTTCATTGAATACTCGGCAGTCAAACAAACCTGCGATAGCTGGTGCGTCGTCGATTGGGTACAATCGCTTCTGGAATTCCTGTTAATGACGGCGGTCATCAACATGATCTCAGGATATATACCTCCCCCGGCTTTACCTTCTACTTCACCTTCTGCGGCTGCGGCTCCTGCTCCTGCTCCTGCTCCTCCTCCTACGGACATGGTGGCGATCTGCACAGTGAGCGCACCTAGCTTATCAAAAGTTTTGCGTGCAGAGGCTAACATTATCAGATATCAGTGGATTGCCAGAGAGAAGCAGTAAAAATAGGAGACACGCCACCAAGGCCGCTTAACTGCAACTATGACGACTTTGAGTGCATTTGCGGTAGGACCAATGTCATGGCACATAACACATACTTCTCTTCTGGATGTATATTGAGAGAGTGCACCAATGTGGATAGTAGGAAAGGTTCGTGATAGTCATCCTAAATAAGAGGGTGAGAGAGCTAAAACTAGTATTTTATAGCCTTCATGAGCAGGTACATGGAAGGCTGTACCAATATCACCACTGAGCTTACTGACATTCCCGCCGACTGGCTACCGTTTGCTCCCTCACCTCAACTCACTTCCACGGGCCGCACCTTGAGAACGACTGAGATCAAAATGAGCATGACTCTGTCCCAACCCACCTCTACTGACCTAACAACGCTGTCCCAAGACACTACCATGAGACAGACGACTGTGCCACCAGATACAGCAATGCTCACATCAACAAACGCAGCTGACATCCAGCTACCAATCTGCGGAGTACGCTGCCTTTCTACAAGAAGATACGAAGGTTATTAGCTAAAATGTAATAGGTTTCCCGAAAGTGCCTTAAGAAGCAGAAAGATCACAGCCCTTCGTGCGGACCCGATGATCTTCCATGCATCTGCAAGAGCAGCAACTCGCTCGCTAAGAACACGCAATTCGACCAACAGTGTGTTTTTGATGAGTGCCATGGTGATATCGGCTTGCGAGGTGTGTCAATGCTTCAATCCTCACTTCCTTAGATTGAGGACGAAGGCTAATCTGCGCAGAATTTCTCCAGAGTCTAGTCTACAACTGCAAGAAAGTCGACCGCGAACTCATCGACATACCTGACCGCTGGAAAATATACATCCCAGAGTCGGCGACAACATCGTCTACGTTATCCACCGCTACCGTTACTGCTCCTCCTACTACCTCTCCGAGTGGCCTCCCCGCATCAACATTTGCCCACACACAACCGTTCCATATCGCTGATGGCGCCATAGCAGGCATCGCAGTCGGTGTTCTCCTTACCGTTGGAATCTTGGTCGCAATGGCAATGGTATACTGGAAAGCGAGGAAGAAGACAAAGGAGTTGACGCGAAAGAATGCGATACTGGTTGATCGGACGAGTGAGCATGGGGCGTCGGCGAGGATCGACAAAGTTATGTCAGGTCGTTCGATGACGAGCTTGACGACGACGGCAGATGGTGCTACCTTAGTCCCGGCAAGTAGGCGAGAGACGCAGGATGGACATGGGATTCATGGACAGGAGGGCGGACAGGAATATCATGGCAAAGAAGGGTATGGACTGGAGGCTCCAAAACTAGAGACACGAAGGTACTAAATGTGGCGTATCGAGGTGGTTGGACAAGCATAGTCTTGAGGCTATCCAGCGATGACGACGGATTCTTTCGAGATGTGATCATGGTTTGCGAAACCATGTTCGTATTGTCTTGACTTCGGTTTAGGATAGTGCGTATCAACTTAACCGCAGTCATTTTTTCTTCCCAACAGCTGCAAACATATCATTGACGTCCTCAGAGCCTAACAAGTTCATTGAAGCCCGAACTCTCAATAGCGCCCCGGAACGCTTACGCATAATCGCAATCTTAGCGCAGTGACGAGTTGCCCAATTTGTGGCTGTGCGCGCGCAGAAGGGTAGTACCAATGACATGTGTCACTCAAACTTGCGTGAGGTATGCAGGATTCCGTTTGCTAAAGTGGAAGATATTTGGTTCCCGCTTCTTGTACTCAAGGCAATACTCTTGGCCTCACCTTCCGCCTTCGGCGTATTAGCAAACACGAGGACATCTCAAATATAATCAGGCTTGGGGCTTGTGTCTTATAACGCATCGAAGGTAGCGAGGCCCCTCAGGCTTCATTTCATCACTCTATCCTCACGATGTTGTTATTCCTTCTCATGTTTCTCGGCCTTTCCGTGGCTCAGCAGTCGTGCGACCCAGCGAAACCTCCACTAAACCTACCAAAATGCACGGTGAGTATATGACCGCTATCATTGACGCTTGCTGAGCCGATATCAAGGGCCGATGTCTTGTTGGAGAATACAAGTTCCTTGACGGCACATGTGCCGACAATCTCAAGGGATTCTGTTATCTCTCAGACGGCGTACGCATGTACTTCGACGAGTATGGAAAGTGTTTGCTCACGCAATGCCCTGACGAACAAGATCGATCTCGTACGTTGAATTTCGATCCTATTTGTATAAGTCACGCTAATCTTTAAGGGTTCATTCGATTATTCAAGGACCAATGCGAGTCGATTAATAGGTCGTGGAAAGATAGTGATGTCCCGCCCGAATTCGTCGAACTCTTGACCAAGCAGTTGGCAAGTAGTACGAATCCGAGTGCAGTACAGACAAGTTCAAAAGCGGAACCGACTTCGATATTCACAACTTCGAGCGAGCTTCCCCCGCCGGCTTCGTCTATTTTATTGTCCTCGACTCCTGGAGAAGAAAACTTCCCCACTATAAGCTGGATTTCGGCTTCTCAAGAACCTAGTTCCGCTAACAAGGACGAAAAGCCTACACCTACCGTAATGTCCAACTCGCAATTCCAATGGCCTGCCGTGCATAGGACAACATCCGAAATTGTCATCTCTAGTCATAGACCAGAGAATCGCCCGGACAGTACCCTCCACATCCACACAACAGTCATCTCGACCCACGCTCCCACAGCTGCAACTCAAAATGAGCCGAAGCAACGCGTTAGTACAAATGTCATTGCGGCTGCAGCCGGAGGTGGCACAGGATTTCTTGCATTAGCCATTGGATTAGTGTATATACTCATGCGCCGCCGCAAGCGCAAGCAAGCTAAGGCTACAACGCCAGATACATGGAAACCTGATCGAGGATTGAATGCTGAGCCAGAGCTCGACGAAGGGGCAACAGTTGACCGGTACTCAGAGACCGGTACTGGCGGTGCGATTGGAGTGCCCATGAACGCAGAGTTACATGGCGCCTGCAGTCCCATGACTGATCGATATCTAAACATCAATTCAAGGGATCTGACCAAGTCGCCGGATTCCATGGGTGGAAGCTACTCACGATACTACCGTCAAAATACACCATTGGAGCGGAACAACGGTGACACTGCCAATCGACACCATTATTCTGAACTTGGAGCAAGCGCTCCAGCAGCCATCTACTCTCCAACTTCCCCCGTTTCAGATATGTCGGCATCGTCTACCTGGCACGACCCGCGTGTTGAACCAAATCACAATGGAGTCGGAAAGGCAGAAATGCCGTCGCAAAGCATGAAAAGTCCTGTCTCGGAGCTGAGTACAACAACCCCTTCGGCAAGACCTGAGATGACGGAGCTACACAGCGAGGAATTTCCGAATCTGGCTTCGGGGCTCAATGATACTAGCCGTACAAATAAAGATGAAAGCGTAGAGCTTCATAGCGAGCATCTGGGGCCGCGGTATGCAGAGCTTGGTACCGGGGCACATGCAGTAGGCAGTGCTGCTGAGTTGGGTTGAATAACTTCGACTGCATCAGGGGTCGGGAATAGACGGTAGCCCGTGTATTTGTCTGAGAATAGGAAAGCATGATAAAAGATGACTTCACAAGGGTCTTGCGAGTGTAAAGATGATTAAATTATTTCAACATGTCTACACTATACTCCATAATAGCCTTATACGTAGGCTCACTCTTCAACTCTAGTACATCAGTCTGGCTGGATGTTCCTCCAATGTCATCGGAATCTCTGGCTTATTCAGAGAAAATTTCGAAGTGAGCACATGGGTTTGTGGCGGAAGGAAGAATCTAGCCTAATACCTAGTAGGTTCAAGAAAAGATCGAATTCTGGAAGTATTGAGGAGGCTAGTAGCACGAGCATGTGCATCAGCATCAGCATAATACAAAATTGCTGCGCCCTATAGTGCTATGTCTGGTGAGACATTGCGCAAAGGTGTTTGGATATTCGGATGGTGAGACAAAGGATCCAGTGGAACGAGGCGAGGAGATCACGCCGTCTGCTTAGCTGCTTGTTTTACCGATATCAGAGCATATACCCTTATGTACTAACGGTTATTCTTCAGCTCGGCAGTCTTTCTTTCCTTTTCAGCGAAAAACTTAAATCAACTGTTACAATACTCCCGCACGATTTGAGGCTACAACTAGATACGTGGAAGACTTTAAGAGTATCTATTCATTGCACTTTGCTGGTGGGACTCTGGCCCATTGATGCGGGATATTCTGAAGGTGCTACGCGGATTCACGCGGCTTTGGGTTACGGTGAAAGCGGATGAAACGTCAGGTGGGTGGTCGATAAGAGATGGTGACACCTTGTACACCACGATATTTTGCCCGGCCATCCAGCCTTGTCAGTTCATCGTGTGAGAAGAAGATACAGTGTTGCCTGCTGAACTATCCTTGCGCGAAGCTACATGCAGCTGATGCTCCTGGCCTTGTGAAATAAGGACTAAACATGCGATCCGCGCTGGGTGGAAGTTGGTGGCCTGAAAGAACAGCTGCCTCCTCTTGGGCGCACCTCTTCTGACAGATGCAGCATTGCTCAGCACTGACTGAGGCTAGAAATAGCGTATTAGGCAGGCTTACCTATATTCTTATGTTGATACCAAGATCACCTTGTTAAATCCGAGTACCTCAGTATGCATCCTGTCTCCCATGGTTGATGCGGTATGGCCGTAATCACCCATGGTTACCTTCCAGAACGTTCATCAACTAACAAATAACCGTCGTTCCTTTCAGGATTCACTTGTTCGGAGGAAAGTGAAGTGATTTTGCCTAGAGGTCCTTGCGAATCGTAGGAGCTGTATTTGTAACTGTCAATGGTACTGGATTGCTTGACTCCCGGGAATCTTCTTCAATTTGCCTCTCGCTATATTTATCAGCTTGCAAGCCTCTTCGACAGCTCGCACGCACTTCACCCTCTCAACCTTCCACCGTCTGTCGATAACAGCTTTATACCTGCGAGACTTTTACCTTTGTTTCAGAACGATGTCCACCAACCCCAGCACACCTTCAGCCAATGGTTCCTGTTACTTCTTTCGCCTGCCGGGTGAGCTGCGCAATAGAGTTTACCAATTTTCGCTTTCCGAGCCCGAAGGCCTCCGATATCACCAGAACTCGGACAGTGTCGGGTTTTACCGTCGAACCGAAACTAGCAAGAACGATTCTCACGACTCTGAGGCAAACCAGTTAAAGTACGTCTGTCGCAGGCTGAACCAGGAAACCCGAGGCCTTGGAATCCGCTACAACATGCTGTACTTCGATAATTTCATGCATGCTTCCTGGTTCCTAGACGGCTATCCGGAGAAGTGTCATGGCTACTTAAGCTTGATTGATATCGCTGAAGGCAATGTCAATGGGAGTTGGATAGATGCAGACGCCAAGATTGTTAAGCTGTGCGTTGATCAACCGCACGTCATGGTCAGAGAGCGCACTAGATTGCTCAGGTCAAATGACCGTTACCTTGTTCGTAAAGTCATTTGTGCCCAATACGGACTTAGAGCAAGCACCGAATTAGCTCGACGGATTATTGCCGACGAATACGTACGCGGGAGTATACTTCGGGATTGTAATGAGCTATTTAAAGTCAGCATGGTTGCGGAGATCAAATCACGTGTGCCTCAGAATTATCGCATGTTCCCGGCTGAGGAATCCTTCGACGAGCAGGCCTTCCGTAAAATGATTAAGGACAATAGCTTTCTGTTTGAGCGTCTTATACCCAAACTTAACGGAGGATTGGAATGCTTGATTGCTGTGCTGAAGGAGCTCTTTGAGCGCGGAATTTAAGGCTACTCAACCACTTCGAGAAGTACGAAGCATGCGCGTGTACCACATACTTTTGATGGGTTCAAAGACTTGCAGTCAAGATGAGAGCTAGGATTGGATCGAATGAGGCCGATACCTATGTTGGACTGGCTCTCGATGTTCGGTCTGTGGGGTGTTAACGCGCACCATGTGACATTGAGGGTTTTCTATATCAGTGTATGTAGTTCACAAAGCACTTAGTCTAGAACTGTAGACTGTAATGAGCATTTCATTTCGACAAAGATTGCGAGCCTGTTCGTAGTCAATGAGCAACTCTTGACGCGGGTGGGTCCCAATCATTTCTGTGACTTCCCTGGCACTTGATACTTGCATTCGCGTGCCATTCTCTTTACATAAAATTGCTCCAAATACATCCTCCTCTATTAGCGCTTATCTTTAACTAGTCAAAAGAGTAGGCATGCGGTGTGGATAGATGGAATATTTCTGCTAGAGCAATAAGCTGCCCCAGGGTGCAAGCCTGGACTTAGAACAGGCGATATGGTGTTGCATTATTTGCATGGATAGGTCTTCTTCCTAACTGCGTAACGGGCGTCTTGTAAGAGAGAAAGTAATCAGGGGTGAGATATCCACGACGAACAGCTTGCAGCTCGCGTGTGACGTTTTTGCCCGGCATGGCTGCGTCAACAGCTCGGATGCCAACGTACGCCTTCGAGGCAGCGGCCTCGAAATGGGGAAGGGTGAAATCATCACAGCTTGTATTCTAAATGATCACTAGAGGGGTTATGCAGTGAAACGGGGATAGTTGTCTTTGTTGATATCGAGTGCTTAACACAGGTGCAATATGGAGAATGTTTAGTAACTTTGCGCCATCGCGATACTCGATCCCCCTCTTGTACGTAGTTGTTGTCCTGCTCTTGATGTGGCGGAACCTAGGGTGCTCTGGCAATGGTTGCGCCATTCTACCACCTTCAGAACTTGCTTTCACTTTCACCAAAATCCGTGCCCTGCTTTGCCATTGGTGACGATAGCTGTGATTCGTGTCCTATTGTGTTATTAGTGATAATAGCTTGCTTGACGTCACGCTAGCTGCGGAAGGTCGTCTACGATAAATACCTTTCCCACAGCACCACTTTCTTCCACCAAATACCTACACCCGCAACAGCTTTCGACAACGTCAACAGACCAACAGCACCCAATTTGCCCAACAGCAAACTCTCTTTCTCCACCGACAACACCATGTCGCCTCTTCTCCAGTTCCTTGCGTTTTTTGCGCTCATGTTCCTCGCCGCCGGCCCCGTCCGCGCGCTCCTCCTGGCTTCCTTCGAGGTCGCCTCTCCCCACCTCTCTTTCGGTACCTGGTTCTTCGCCGGATGCTGTATCCTCTGGTGCTCTCCGCAAGCGTGTCATGCCCTCTCCTCTTCTGTCACCGCAGTCGCCTCGCTCGTGCGTGGACTCGCCGAGATGTCTCGCGATACCACTGTAGCCACCTTGCGCGCTCAGATCCAGGCCTTCCAACAACCCACTGGTACTGCGAACAGCCCCTCGAACACCTATCAAGATGCCAGCCAGCAGCTGATGAAGGACCGGGATGCACTTCAAAGGGGCTACGATGCCTCGCTGGCGAGCATCAAGGCCCTGCATCTCACCGTCGACCAGCTGCAGAACAAGGCCAGCATGTACGAACGCCACTACAATGTGGTTGCAGTCGAGATGGACCGCGCGAAAGCGAAAAACCAGGTTCAAATTCTCAAGCAAGAGCTCCTGGTGAGAGATGAAGAGATCAAGAGGCTCCATGAAGCCGATCGTCACCGGAGGGAAGGCGCTGCAAAGTCCTCCAATGCCATGAACTCCCTTGCTCGCAAGAACGACGAGCTTCGGAGTGCCCTGGAGGCAAAAACAAAGAGGGTGAACGAGCTGGAGCCGCTTGTTCTTCAGCATGGCCGGGACATGTACCAGCGCGACATCCAGGTCGCCAAGTTCAGCTCCTTCAAGGAGATGATCCACCAGATGACGGAGGAGGGGGGAGATCAGATGATTGTCGTCGTCCTCTTCCTTCGCTATCTGGTGGAGAAGGGAGTCGATCTGGCTGAGATGGGGGTAGATGAGAGCTTGTTTCTCACCTACCGCGACTACGCTGAGGCAGTGGCTGGCCGCCGTCCGAGCCCTCTCTTCCCTCAAGGTATGTCATCATAGGTCACCCTGTAATTCCTAATGCATTATACTGACTCCATTGGCAGGTGGATTTCGCCTGAAGGGCATCCAGTACCCCCTTTCCGGTCTTCGTGTGGTGGGCGCGAAGATTGTAGAAGCTGGCTACTGCTCTGTCGTCCCGTCCTCTTTGGCATCTTGGGGTGCTCCGCAGCCTCTCTTCTCCACTCCTCCCGTTGCTCCCACGGTGGAGTTCACGGCGCCCTCCGCTCCTCTCGCTCTTCCCGCTGCCCCTGGGGCCCCCGCGATGGGCTTCACGACGTTCTCCGCTCCCTCTGCTCCTGTTCAGGAGGTATCGCAGATCTCCTGGCCTACTCAAGAGCCAGCCCCTGCTCCTTTCTCGACCTCTTCTGTCGGCTTCGTGCCCTTGCCTGCTCCTCCTGTGGCACCGCAACAGCCCCTGGACGCCTCCGCGCCTACCTCCAAGGCCGCTACTCCTGCTGCACCTGTTGCACCGGTTGCAGCTCCACGTGGTAAGGGCGAGGATGTCCAAAAGCCGACTGAGAGTGAGATGAAGGAGCTGGCGGTGGCCTTCCAGCAGTCAAAGAAGCCTGGGAGCTTTGGGGTGAAGGGCAAAGTTGCACCAGCAGCACTTCCTACGGGAGTGACGAAGCGACGTTGATGCGTGAACGGCTGGTCCATGCGTTGCTCTTAGCGTGGACTAGCGTGATAGCGCGTCAACGCGACGCGTCGCCCATTTCGTGGCAAAGAGCTACCCCAACCAACATCATCTCTTTTCCGACTCTTCCCTCTCTGTTTACTACTACTACAATTTCATTTCTGCTGTATTATCGCATTGCTTCACCATGGCGTCCAGACCTGAGATGCGCGAGGAGGACGAATCGGGCTTCTGCAAGTTCTTCCGCAACCTGCCCAAGAAAGACGAAGACACCATACGCATATTCGACCGCAGCGATTACTACAGCGCTCACGGCGAAGATGCAAAATTCATTGCAAACACAGTAAGCCAGCAATTGCCACAGTGGTAATGGACAGCTTGCCAATTTACTGCAGGTTTACCGAACAACGGCTGTCATACGGAAATTGGGCCGCGAGCCAGGGCTCGAGTCTGTCACCATGACCACAATGGTGTTCCGCAACTTTCTCCGAGAGGCACTTTTCCGACTGAGCAAGCGAGTCGAAATATGGCAGTCAACAGGGAAGCGCATGGATTGGCAGGTGGCTAAACAGGCCTCACCTGGCAACCTCCAGGACCTCGAAGACGAGCTTGGTGGTCAAATGGAGAATGCTCCCATCATACTGGCAGTCAAAGTGTCCGCGAAGGCCTCCGAGGCGCGAAAAGTGGGCGTCTGCTTCGCCGATGCAAGCGTACGGGAACTCGGCGTCACCGAATTCCTCGACAACGACCTCTACTCGAACTTCGAATCGCTCCTCATCCAGCTCGGCGTCAAGGAATGCCTCATACAAGTTGATACCTCGAAGAAGGACGTGGACCTCAATAAGCTGCGGACCATTGCCGACAACTGCGGATGCGCTGTAGCGGAGCGTGGACATTCAGACTTTGGTACCAATGACATCGAGCAAGATCTGCCACGATTGTTGAAGGACGAGCGCGCGGCAGGATCACTACCTTTGACAGACTTGAAACTCGCCATGGGTGCCGCTGCTTGTCTCATCAGATACTTGGGTGTCATGTCGGATCCATCAAACTTCGGGCAATATCAGCTCTACCAGCACGATCTATCGCAGTATATGAAACTCGACGCAGCAGCCTTGAAAGCTCTCAATCTCATGCCTGGACCTCGAGACGGTGCGAAGAACATGAGCCTATACGGCCTTCTCAACCACTGCAAGACGCCTACTGGAAGCCGATTACTTTCACAGTGGCTCAAACAGCCCTTGATGAATGCCACAGAAATTGAGAGGCGCCAACAACTCGTGGAGGCGTTCGTAAATGACACCGAATTGAGACAGACTATGCAGGAGGAGCACCTGCGCTCAATACCCGACCTGTACCGACTCGCAAAGAAGTTCCAGCGCAAAGTTGCGAATCTTGAAGATGTTGTACGAGCATACCAAGTCGTCATTCGGCTGCCCGGCTTTCTCAGCTCTCTCGACTCCGTCATGGACGAGCAATACAAGGATCCTCTCGACGCTGAGTACACGGAGAAGCTGCGTCAGTACTCAATAGCATTTGTGGGTCTACAGGATATGGTGGAGACGACGGTTGACCTTGATGCGCTCGACAACCACGAATTCATCATCAAGCCCGAGTTCGACGAGTCTTTGCGCACAATTCGCAAGCGGCTGGACAAGCTGAAGCAAGATATGGAGTCAGAGCACGTCAGGGTTGGCGACGACCTCAATCAGGATATAGAAAAGAAGCTGTTCCTCGAGAATCACAAGGTACACGGTTGGTGCTTTAGGCTAACGCGCAACGAAGCGGGCTGCATTCGGCAAAAGAAGCAATATCAGGAGATCTCGACACAGAAGAACGGCGTGTACTTCACCACATCAACACTACTAGACAAGCGTCGGGAATTTGATCAACGTTCGGAGAGCTACAACCGCACCCAATCTGGACTTGTCAACGAAGTAGTCTCGGTCGCTTCGTCGTACGTCCCTGTCATTGAGAAGCTGGCAGCTGTTCTTGCACATCTCGATGTCATCGTCGCTTTTGCCCACGTCTCCGTCCATGCACCCACGTCATATACTAGGCCGAAAATGCACCCACGAGGCACCGGCAACACTGTGCTCAAAGAAGCACGACATCCCTGCATGGAGATGCAAGACGACATTTCCTTCATCACCAACGACGTCAGCCTTGTCCGCGACGAAAGCGAGTTCCTCATCATCACCGGTCCAAACATGGGCGGCAAATCCACATACATCCGGCAGATTGGTGTCATCGCTCTCATGGCACAGATCGGATGCTTCGTACCTTGTTCAGAAGCTGAATTGACAATCTTCGACTGCATACTCGCCAGGGTAGGCGCCAGCGACAGCCAGATCAAAGGTGTCTCGACCTTCATGGCTGAGATGCTCGAAACAGCCAACATTCTCAAATCCGCGACCAAGGAATCTCTCATCATCATCGATGAACTTGGCCGTGGCACGAGTACATACGACGGCTTCGGCCTCGCCTGGGCAATCTCAGAGTATATCGTCAAAGAGATTGGGGCTTTTGCGCTCTTTGCAACGCATTTTCATGAGCTCACCTTGTTGGTCGACACGTACCCTCAAGTTCAAAATCTCCACGTCGTCGCACACATCTCAGAAGGCACGACAGAGAACGACAACGGCGTGCAAAAGAAACGCGAGGTCACCCTCCTCTACAAAGTCGAGCCTGGCTTCTCTAATCAATCGTTCGGTATTCACGTTGCAGAGCTCGTCCGGTTCCCACAGAAGGTCATCAATATGGCGAAAAGGAAAGCGGATGAGTTGGAAGATTTCTCGAGCAAGCATGAAGTGGGCTTGGTGAAGGCGAGTAAAGAGGAAGTGGAGGAAGGCAGCAAGCTGTTGAAGGAGGTCCTGGCGCAGTGGAAGGCAGAGGTTGAGGCGAAGGGTCTGACGAAGAAACAGCAAGTAGAGAGGATGAGGGAGATTGTCAAGGCAAACCAAGATTTGATAGAAAATGGGTTCTTCAAGGAGATTCAGGCGTTGTAGCTAGGCGAAATGTTTTCGGGTTCCTAGAGAGACACAGTGTCCTCTACAAACAGGAGTCTTTGTTCAGCGAAAATTAGCAGCATGATACCAAACAGTTTACTTATTCCAGATGATGCTTCGTCGCTTTGTCAGCATGTAATGAACTGTGAAGTGGTCGAGGAGCTGGCACAGCCACATCACCCCGCCATGCATCCCACCTTCCGCCTTCCACAGCGGGCCGCATCTAATCTACATGCCAACAACCCCAAGACCCTTAAATATCGCAACAGCCTAGCCACTCCTTCCATATCTACCACATAGATTCCCTACGGATAAAAAGCAATCATGGCGCCTTCAGCCTCGTTGGTCGTAAGTTGCGGGACGCTGTAGAAGCTGTAACGAGGTGCTAACACTAGGCAGAACAAGCTCAAAGTACAGCTCAAGCTGTCAATATCACGACTGCGCATGGTACAACAGAAGGACAGCGCGAAGGCGAAACAGCAAAGACGAGAGATGGCACAGTTAATCGAGGTATGTACAGCGTTGTGGATGTGGTCGTGGAGAGCTCCGGCTAGCTCCACGCATTGCCTAAATGATGGAAGCTCACATATATTGCAGGTTGGCAAAGTGCAATCGGCACGAATACGCGTCGAAAACATCATCCGCTCAGACATCACAACGGAACTGCACGAGATACTCGAACTCTACTGCGAACTGCTCCTCGCGCGCTCCCAGCTCCTGGACCAATCTCCCACACCCTCCACATCTGCTTCCACTACATCGATACCCCTCGACCCCGCGCTCGAAGAAGCCGTACGTTCGATAATATACGCTGCACCGAGGACGGAAATAAAAGAGCTACATGCAGTCCGGGGCTTTCTAGTCGAGAAGTTTGGCAAGGATGTTGCGCTTGCGAGCATGGAAGGCGAAGGGGTAGCGGAACGCGTTGCGAAGAAACTGAGAGTAGAAACGCCGAGTAATGAGCTGGTTGATGCGTATCTGAGCGAGATTGCGCGGTTCTACGGTGTACCGTTTGGCACAGCAAAGACGGCCTCGGACGACGAGGACGCAGACGATGACGACGAGCCGTCAGGCGGCATAGCGGAGGAAGCTGACGGGCAGCTAGAAGACCCGTTGGAGGCAGAGTCAGGGAAGGACAAGAATAGCAAGAAGGAGGATGAGAGGGAAGAGTTGGCAAAGGCCAACACGCCGAAGAAACTTGGTCCGCAAAGTCCGCTGAGAGTGGTTCCACCGAGTCCTAGCACAGACAATGTGGCGCCCAGGTTGAAGCTGCCGGGGACTGCGGCGGCCAAGGTTGCGAAGAGTGATGCGAAGAAGCCAGTTAAGAAGGAAGATGGCTTGGGCAAGATTCCGGATGTCGATGAGCTTGCGCGACGGTTTGCGGAGCTGAAGCGGTGATAATTTTCGAGTATTGCTTTTAGGTGGCCGGGGCACGAAGCACTTGGAGGCCAGGGGCTTCTGTAAGAGAATAGGAGTGCGGTGTATACCGTCTCTAGTCCCATGGATCACACAGGAGTTCTCACGTCAGCCTTTCCAACCTCATCTCGAACTCCATCTTCGTGCTTTTATCGGGTACTTTCTTACCGTCGTCCTACTCTGACTTCTAGTTTCTTGCTTACTCCCTTCTCCCTATGATTCTCCGAGTTCGTATCACCACTTCCTGTTCCCCCCTTCGGCTCCCATTCCTCTAGGATCATGTCACATTACTTCAGACTCAGATATGCCCCCACTTTCAATCGTTAGTCGGGATCTAAGAGTCAGTAATACGATGACTGAGAGAGCGGCCGTCAAACCTGGATTGCACATCAAGCTTCAGTCTCGAATCGAGAGGAGCATAGCAGTCCTAGTTGCTTACGTGTCATAGCTAAGACATTCTGTGTGGGTGACAGTCTTGGTCATGGTCTCGGTCTTACTTTTCGTACAACTACAAAAGATGACTGCGGGGTTCAACAATTCCTGCGGATCCATTCCAGGATCGAGCGGTTCAGTTGCTTAGCGTAATCATCCCTGGCTTTGTATCTAATCTCTTGGTGAGGTCAACGTGGACGTCCCTGATAGGAATCGCAATCTATTCTCCGCTACGGGCGATGATGCTAAGCGGCCCTACCACCCTGTTCGAAGCTTGTCAACGCTAATGTAACGTACTGTGCCCCTAACGTACACCTATTAGCACCGTACTCGGGTCAGCACCAAGGAAGCGGGTTCTTCGACAGCGACCTTTCCCCACTATCCAGGATGCGAGTCAGGTGGATACGGGTGCACACTAACTGAATGCCACACCCACATAATCCATGGTCCATACATCGCCGCGACACGACCTGAAACCTCAAGGCTCCGTGAAGATGTTGAGGTTACGCGGCTATGCTATGGCAATCCCTCGGTATAGATGTGTCGGTTCTGCACGCCCCATCACGTCGCGGCTAATCTCAGACCCGTTAGTGCTCGAGACCCTGCCCAGGTGATAGGCGGGCTAGGCCGTGGTGACGTCACCAGGCGCCAGCCAACTTGCTAGCCACTTCGCAAAGTTGAAATTGCGGTCAGCGTTCCTATCCCCACGATGATGCTGGGCAACATATGGTGCAATCACAACCCTCCGAGTCCCTGCACGGGTGATCCCCGAGGCACGGGCGGGCGCGGTAGAGTCGCAAGTGCGCTTGTTAGAGCGCTGCGTCATTTCGCGTGAAGGGACTGTTAATGGCGAGCCGTCGTCGTCCGTTTCTCCAACATTCTCACGACTTACGACTGCATTTTTCTTGGTGTTTGAAAGAGCTGTTGCGTATGCGCTAGACGTAAGAGATATATAGAGACTTATCCTTGGTGATCGTGTGTTGGATTGATCTTGTGATCCTATCAACATTCCTGGTTGTTTATCACGCACGCGCCTAGACATCTTGTGAGCGTGCGCACTCACTACCAACACCTTCAACATGAATTACGCATCATGGATCGAGGAGAAGAACTTGAAGGTATGAGACTTGTTGTACTTGGGCAATGAGTGCATTTGCTGACCCTCCTTGATAGAAAACCTTCATCGTAGCCACGCTTGCCTCCACCCTCGTCGGGACTTTCACGGCGTCCATGGGCCTCTGGGAACGTGTGGCCGATAGACGCGAGCAGCATAGACAACGACAGCGTGACACGAAGCAGGATGGCGAGATCAAGCTATTAAGAGAACAGTTTGAGAAAACTCAACAAGCGTCCGAAAGCCGACAACAGGAGATTGAGCGTTTAAAGAATGGTGGCGCTAGCGGTGGAGGCGGAGGTGGAGGAAGGCAGCGCGATGAAGTTGGGAACAATCTTGAAAGGGACAGTGTCATGATCCAGCGAATGTACGATGATATGTATGGGAGAATGGGAAAGCGATTCGCACAAGGTGATGGTATGCATATTCAATCTTCCAGCGAGGGTCACACGACTGGGTGCTAACGAGCATACAGCCATTGTCGAGAACCAGCTGCAAGCACAGATCATTTCGCTCCAGCAGACAGTTATCAACGTTCTTCAAGACGCACTATACAACGACCGCCAGCTTACCCGTGCCGACATGGCGAAGCTCATCGCTGCCTCCAATTCCGCCCGCGAAGGCTCACTCGACGCACTGCGCCAGGCGCAACACAGACTCGGCTCGAATGCTTCCAATCGCTCTCCGTCTCCGCAGAGATCCATAGCACCGCCAAAGCGCGCATCCACGACTATCCTCGATGGTCCCGACCAGCTCTTTTGTCGTTACAGCCTAGACCTCCAATACATCCAGAACAAGCCCCTCGCGGCCTCATTCGCACCGGGCGGCTCCTGCCAGTGCCCAGCATGTGGCGTCCGCCTCGATGTGACCGCAGACGATTTCTGGATGATCGGCAAGCGCATGCCAGTGACTGTCATTGACAAGGGCTATGAGTCGGAAATCTTCGAGACGCGCGAGTTCCGCCTAGGGCAGCGCTTTGTGCTCAAGTGCCATACGCCTGATGGCGAGTACGCGTGTACCATATGCAATAAGAACAGGGACGTGGATGCTATCTGCCGAAACGTGGAGAGCCTGGTGAAACACGTTGGAACGTACCATGATGCCGACGAACTGGATAGGGAAATCGACCTGCGAGAGATCAAGGTCGATACGAGGAGGCTGAGCTTACCCGCGCCGAGGGTACCGAGCCCGCCCCTCTCACGAAGGGAAGAGGTTGACATGAGGGAGTACCGATGAGCGTGACTTTAAAGAGAAAAAACGCGAAATGGTACATTTAAGAAGGGAGGCCTAGAGTATATAGCGAGGCGTTTGGCAGCATGTCTGTTCATTTTGTGGGGTTTCAGGTGTCAAAGACGGTGCATGTTATGAATTTCTTTTTACGATGTACGAGTTATATGACGACACGACTTCTATGCCTCTCAATCAATACATTTAGCTACTTGGTTTAGTGGAGTCTATATCCTTCCGTTTTACACTTGTAATGTGATTGTGCAAATCTTGCTCCTGAGTGTTTACTGTCACTGCTATGAAAAGGATCACTACGCAACACGTTCACCTACGAAGGAGAAATTAAGGGGTTTAAGCTGCTCAGGTTTTGTTACCGACGCTTAATAAAATATCAAACCAGACACTAGTGTATAAAGTGCAAAACTACGCGCAATACTCGGAATTGGATTGTATGGTTTGATGCGCAACTAGAGAGGATTAGTCAGACCTTGACGCTGGAGTTCGCGATGCCCGATTCTAGATGTTGAGGCGAATACATGTCCGTCCACGTTACCGCCCTCCTCACTATGTTAATCTCAGTCTTTTCAAAACTTCTAGTGTGCCGTCTCGATGTTTGATATTGCGTCTACACCATTATTCCGTCTTGGCAATCCGATGGCAACACCGCCTCCTCGAAACAAATACATGTCACACGCGGAACACCGAGGTGATGATCGATCACTGACAGTTGGTGGCTAGATGTCAAAACAAGACTTTACGGGGCAAAGACCGTCTCGATGAATCGAATAGGCGAGATTATCCCTCAGCCTCGTCCTTATCAAGCTTTGTCCGGCACATCAGACGACCAGGCCAGGCTCGCGGTAGCACGGCCCCTTTCGCCGGTCGTTCGCCGCCCGCCCCACCCGTGCAAATTACTCCTCCCAAGGAATGTCAGCAGAACCACAGGGCTACACTGCCGTCCAGCACACTGTCGAACAGAAGAGTACTGTCGGTCATCGTTTTGCCATCATAAATATAATGCCAACGCTTTGACTCTTTTCCATCAAGCAAACAGCAGCCCGGCTGGCACAATCGGTAGCGCGTGAGACTCTTAATCTCAAGGTTGTGGGTTCGAGCCCCACGTCGGGCTTATCATATGTTTCTTTTTGCTTTTTCCATTATGCCGGTGTGGTGGTGTGGACTCGGAAGGTTTTGGGTGAATGCGGCCCGTGCGCTTCCCTGTCCGCCGCCTCCCACCCTGATGCCTTGGAACAAGTCCTTGACTTCCTCGATTGATATGTTTTATATCGCCGTCGTGTTAGATACGGCCAATTATTTTGATCTTTCGTCCTGTCATACGTTCTTCCTCTACGTTTCTGTCGATCGGCACTTACTAAGTCGACTATTTTGTACGTGGTCATTAAGTTTTATTCCTGATCCGAGGCTATCAGACGTGGCTTTTCGACAGCGCTGAATTCACATCCAACTAACAGTCTCCAGCGTTATTAAGTGTAATCGAGCCACCACGATAATGATTTGCTAAATATGATATTGCGTACATATGCCGACCTTGATAATTCCTGGCTTACGCCTTCGCCAGGCTTATTATACGTTTCCTTTTGCTTTTTGTGTGGTGGTGTGAGTTTACGGATTTTTGGGGGAATGGGCCTGTACTTCTAAAAACCAACCACCCAACACTGTTTCAGATAGATAGTGGGCATATAGTACGGAACATCGCAGGTACTATCGCATCAAGGCTGACGGAACATACGAATAGAAGTCAATAGCAGATTAAAGGAACTCGAATTTGAGTTGTGTTATGCTCCTGGCTTTGTTCTCACAGGCCTCTCTCAATTACACGCTTGAATGAGCAAGAACTCCTTCACCCTAGCTGCAACTGGATGTATTACCTACGATTGGCGATGTGCGTTGCATGGTAGATGCATGTCGTGTTCAAGATTGAACTTGTTCTCGATTGCGTCTATAAGTCACTGAATGCACCGTATCAGCGATACAGATCCTTATGAATTCAGACTCAGGAACTTCGAAAGCGTAGCTCAGGCTTAGCTTAGAACTCTCATACCTCAATGGCACGCGGTATGAAGATTTCCGTGTTTGCATGGTATTTTGGTTCTGGTGGTAAACAGGCGGTAAAGCAGATTCAATGGTTCTTTTCGCATCAAAGGTCCTAGTCTTGGTATGGCCATATTCGTGAGTATAAATTCCTCTGCGACTCAGAATCAGCCATGTCTAGAAACATCTCCTTGACGGAATTATTGATGTGCAAAGCCTGCTCGTAATATTCGCGAAGTACCATGCCGCCTAGTGGGATCAGGTTATCGTCTTGAAGCTGGTGCAGAACTTCTCCGAGACCTTCTACAAGCTCCATTTCATCGTGGTGAAGCTGTAGCTCCTCCTCCGTGAACTGGATGGGACAAGATACATCCGCTGGCGCAATGTCTTTACATTGAGCAGCTATGTGTATTAAGGCGTGGCGGAAAGATATCACATCGTTCCTGTCCCAGGCGCCACAGAGAATTGAGCTGGGCTTGGTTAGGTAAGAGCGATTTTGCAAAGCCATTGAGGCGCATCGTTGCTTGTTGTCAACCCGCGTAAGTTCTTGGTAGTGGCTGAGGAGAAGTGCAGTCCTGTTTGCAGAGTCGGTTGCTCTAGACCCTTCTCGTGTGGCTTTTACTGGTTTGTCAGGGACGTTAGATTGAACCGGAAGAAGTAAACGCGGTACTTTCTCTTGGAAGAATGGCTCAGACACCGAGACTGACTGCCAATCGATGATGCAAGTTATTTGCTTCGTGTCTGGGTTGACAAACACATTGTCGAGATGAAGGTCCGGATGGGAAAGTGACGTTGGGACGGGGCCCGGTGACAAAAGGGGAACAAGCTTAAGATATCGCTCCAACAGTGAGATGTACTCAACAGGAGTTTCGAGCCTCTCAAGCGATCGGTAAGGATTTATGCGCGGTTTCGCGTACGACTCTGTCCACAGTATCTCGTTAATCCCTATCGCTGCTAAGTAGGACAATGGAGTGCTCCCTTCTTTGGTCAGTGGGCTCTGATCACAAGCTGGTAGTGCATATAATATACATGGACCTCGATCTAACTTCATCGCAGCTTTTTCGCCTCCCCAAAGTCTTGCTTCAGTTAAGGGCCCGAACGCAAACTCCTCTAGGGGGTTTCCTTTCAAGAAGTCGCCAGATGATAAAGACTTGGCGTCTAAATCATATGACTTGACTTTCCTCTCTTCCAAATCCTTCCTGTAGTAGATGCAGCCATGTTTCCAAAAGGATATCGAGGTTAGCTTTGTTTCGATCTCGACGAGCTGAGTTATCAGGTCAAGTTGTGTTTCTATTTGCCACTGATACCATAGACTCCCCAGTGGTTTTCCTTCTGCCTCTCTTCAATGATGTACTCAGCACCTACTGGATTGAGTGGATCCGAAGAATATGCATAAATGCGCGGAATGGGCATTTTGAGAACCGTGCGGAGTTAGACAATCTTTATTAGAACTTCAGCATACCAGTCACGGGTGACGTACAAATTGTCGTGTAGCGACCTCAGACGCAGTCGTATAGAAAGCTGGACCAACATTAGAGTGGGGGATCTTTGCCAAAACTTCACTTCCATTATCCATAGTTATGATGAAAACCTTATTTTGTTGACCTTCTACGCATTTCAGTAGTTTGACACCTGAGCACGCGGAAGTCAGGTTATAGTCCACTATAATTCTGGGGTCGGACTTAGCAAGGTATCCTACAAGTTCTAGCTCCGTTGCCAACGGCTTGGACGGCAGCATCTAGGAGAGCAGGAATGTTGAATTCACGATAGCGCATCGCAAGATTCTCCGTTTCGTTGCATCTGCGCTTCGTTAATTCGTCTTCATGAAACGGTACTAGTCTGCACTTACAGCCACCGGTATCGACTATATCTGAATAGCTCTTCTTCTGGTAATTCTACCTCTACGCGAGCTGAATAAGAACAGTTCGAGGAGCCTCTAAAGGAGTTCCCGGCCTACCCGAACCATCATCTCTCTGCTTTTTGAAGAGGGGTCTCGCCATAGTACTCATCGCCTGGCGAAGGCGGCGTTGCTGGCAATACCGGATTTCTCTTCTTCGGAAAGTCGTGAATGTGGAACTGGCTCTAAGGAACCTGATAGATACAGAGCCTAATTCCATTGCAATGTGTAGTCGGTAGCTTTGATGACTTTCAAATATAATGAACTGGCGCTCTTCCATGATGCTGATGGGAGAACCTCGGATGTGTAGATCTTCCGCTCCGTTGTACCGAATCAAGTTTGTCCGCCAGGGGCTCGAACGCGTCAAAGTCGACAAACAACCTGCCCCTGCCATGAGAATATGTTGGTTCAGTCACAGTACTAAAACTACGCCAAAATCAGTGCGAAATGAACCATTAAGTTGATGGCCCATGGATAATCTAGAAGTGTAGCAAGAATGCACGTCAAGCTCACACTGACTGCCCCTGGCACCCCCACCTAGTTCGGCTTCGTCCAAGGGGCCAGAATCTGAACGGGATTGGGATTGCGGAAAACGCAGTAGGTACTACTTGTTGTTTAACGCTAGGCTTGCTGAGTCAACCAGTAAAGTATTGAGTAACACCACGAGTTGGACGATAGACACCGGCGCCGAAATCCGGAGCTCCCTCGGTCAATCACTCCACCGTCCTCGTCAAAGCGATCACCCCGCAAACAATGTTATGCCCGATGACGAAATGTGCTACATATGCCGACCTTAATCATCCTTGGCTTACGGTAGGCTTGCAGGTTGCATGGTGCTTACGGATGGCGCAGGGTCCGACGCATGTCCGAACTTCCTGATTGACGATGTGATTCGTTGTAAATGCTATAGCACCTGCGGCATATCAACGTCTCCATTTCTCGACTTTGATTATCGAATCACGATTTTTCAACAGCCCACCATTGAGCAATCACGTTGAGGGTGGTATTGTCCAGATATGCAATGTCATTCGATCTACAAGTAGGCAATCCATGAAGATCACATTCGGCAATGGAATGCTCTCATAGGTACTTCAAAGTTCTGCATGGCCTGCTTTCAAGACTTGAACAACGCGTTAAGTGCGCCAAAAGGGTAGAAATCGACGTTGAAGCCTATATGGAACCTTGACGACTACTTCCGAATGCTTCCGCAGCCAATGCTATGGCTTCATTCATAACACCGTAGCCACACCCTTTTTACGGGAAATCTATGTCGGTCGGATGTTGCCCCCCAAGAGTACGTTCATAGAAAAATGCACCACTGCAATAGGAAGTCTCGCTTACCAAGATACGGACTGGTCAAGGCGACACACTCTTACTACCTCAAAGCGGGGCAGCGCACCCATACAATGTACTGAGCCGGCGTACACCGACTGGACGCAGCCTGGTAGGCATGAGTATATGTTCCGAGTGGTGTGAACCAACGTCACATCACATGCACTTTCGGCAGGCCGGATGCATCTCACCACATTAGCCAGGACAGACTTCCTGGAGATATAAATGTGACTGTGACTGATGCTGGAAGAAGCATCACAGCGACCAACACTTCCTCACAACAACTCCTCTAGCAGTCGCAGCACCCGACCCTCAAATTACATCTTTACTACAAACGAATAACAACACCAACATCGACAGCAAACCCAACCATCACAATGGTTTCTACTCAGTTCTCCACGAAGGCTGCTCGCATAGCCGTTGCTGGCTGCAACGCCCTCACCTGGGTTAGCTCGGTCATTGTCGTCGGTATCACTGGCTACTTCTTGCAAAAATATCCTCACGATCAGCATCTCATCTTCGAAATGATCATTGTAAGAATCCTGAAATACCATAAGTTCGCCATGGAAACTGATCTAGGTACTAGTCTGCCCTTGTGCTCGGCTTCTGGCTTCCCTCATTCGTTCTTCCCATCTTCAGCAGCTACAAGTTCTATTACGCGCCATTGAACTTCGTTTTCTCCTACCTCTGGCTTACTGCCTTCATCTTTTCAGCCCAAGATTACAATGAGAGCCAGTGTGAGCTGAACGCTCCCCTTGGTGGATCCTGCAACCTGAAGTTGACTAGCGAGTCTTTCATCTTCATTGCCTTGTGAGTATTCAATCATAACAGTATCATGAGGTGTGTGGACTGACCAACCTGCAGCTTTTTCACCCTCGTCGCTTCCATCGTCGATGCTTATGCTTACAAGATTGCTGCTGTTATCGCTACTGAGCCTGTACATCCTGAGAAGCCTGTCGAGACTCCTGTCGCTACCGCTCCCGCTACTGTCTGAGTTATTGGCACTGTTTGTGACTAGACGTGAGAGGGTTAAGATTACCATACTCTCGGCTATAACATGGGAAATTCACTTGTCAATACCGGATGGTCGCATTGATGCGACCTCATACCGGAAGAAAAACGAGACTGACGCGTATCCGTAATGTTTGATATTCTTAGACTTTCAATGTGCGATAAGGAGCTGTATGTAGATTGGACCTTTCATTGTCTCTTAGTATGACAGTAGCCTATGCACTTACGCTCGCTACGAATAGCAGATGATTATACATGAAGTTGTCGTTCAAGGAGCTGGTGGTGACACTGATATATCGCTCAAAACAGTTTGTGGGGGACAGCTAAACAATGCACAGTCTGTGCAGAGTGCACTCTGTGATGTCGTATCACCGTTGCTCATCTTTGGGCGTGAATGACCGTCGCAACTGAGTGGTTCCGCCCTTGCCTACTATCCAAGAGGAGATATCATGTGCGATCTATCTGAAACGAAAGCGACTGAGGTGGGAAGTTCCAGAATTGAAGAGTCCAACCCGCCCGTTCATTATGGTGGTCAAATGATGTTTGTGTAAGGATGTGTCGCTCAGGCTCCTCTGTGGGAGGCTACCTATCTATTGCATCGACAAGGTGTATACTACGATGGTCACTTGGCATCTTAGGTAGATCCCGCAATGCTGACTCTCTTCTTCAAGCAACGCGCGATGCGCGAAGACTCAACGAAAAAATATTGGCAAAAGCCACGAGCAGCTGTAGATGACTCGCACCGGAACAGGCTGGTGTTTCTCATATCTCGAAGCAGGGACTGTAGGCAGACTTGCACCTTCCCAGTATGCATCGATTAGAAGGACCACCATGGGGTGAGAACACCTCAAGGTAGATTGGCAACAAGTCGACCAAGTCGACATGTCTAACAAGCAAACCGCTCCACCGTCGGCTTGCTTGCCACCCAGTCCAAATTGCAGACAAGCTGCGCACCCAAAAGCCTTCGTTGCAGGGGCGATGCATTGTAGGCCCACAAGATTGCTCTTGTGTCACCGGCGCCTCGACTATACAATGGAAGAGCAGTGTCTCAAGCAGCTGGCTTGCCATTGTACGTCGAATGACGCGATGATGGATGTGGAGTGGAGCCGGAGTAGGATGCGGACACTGTGAGCGAACACCACTTTCACCAGTGCGGTATCGAGATAGCTACTTGAATAGCTTCTCGACCGGTATTCAGACCGCGTAACCGCTGGTTGAGTGATGGGCCGACAGTGAGCAATCCGTTCGGAGGATGTGGGTGCGAAGCCACATTTCCGAAGGCGAAGGCGACTCTCGCAAGACGGAAACAGGTGTAAGATGGCGTTCGCAGAGACATCTTACCACTGTGACAAGGCGATCAGCGTACAGCACCGCGGGCAAACGGTTGTCGTTGCTGCGCGCGATACGGACAACGAGAACTGCGCAACGCAAAAGCATCGCGAGTTACAAGTCATCCTCAGAAAGGATGAAGCCTTGTCATCACCACCTAACGAACTAAATCGAATGCTGCAACATGAAGTCGCAGCTCCGCACAAGACATGCAAGGATCGAACTGAAGACGTTTGCCCACGCCCAGCTCAAGGCCTTTGCACTCCCGGGAGGATGCCGATAGCGACACGCTCCCCAACGCCTGAAGGTGATCGCCTTCTTCAGACACCAGTAAATCCTCACCGTGCAGTGCGCTGGGCCATGCATCCGTTAGGCAATCTAGTTTGCTAACTAGATCCCGAAACTTTGCGACACTGACACGGCTCGTATCGGGTGAGTGTTGTTGCGGAAATGGTGAGGTCTTGGAGGTTCTCGGGTAGAGTAGAGGAAATGTTATCGTAGGGAGGAGGCCGAAGGCGGAAAGAGGGAAGGAAGAAAGGTGGGTGAGGCAGTTGAAAAGTTGAGGTGAGAGATTATAAAGTTCACGGAGGGGAGGCCTCGTTTATTATGTGCGGGGGGCTGGGCTAGCGCTAGATAAGACCCACCTGCTGACTTATCTCCGCACGGTTGGTCAGGTGAACCAAGTGAAAGCAATTGTCACGTGCTCACGGGATAAAACTGTCACACCGCTGATGAAATGCTTGGATAGAGGACCAGCACTGGGGCACTGTTAGCATCCACAAATCTACTCTTGCCTTGGGCCGAACCAAAAGGACACCCCCCAAATGCGGACGCGTCCTCTCCAATGTCCATACAATCCCCGACTGATATGCTTGGACTGGGCGCGGTAAAGGTTGACAATGCAAGATTTGTTACTTTAGAAGACTATAAGTAGTGATCTCGAGACTAAGAGAGCTCTCATAGCCAAAACGATGGCTTCAACGCGTGTTGATGCTATATTTCAAGACTCATATCCATTACTATGTAGGTGACAATACTTTGTCTCTGGTTGATTGTTCGTATCTATCCATGTAGCGAGACAACCGCCCCAGTCGCATCGGCATGAGGTTGAGTCTGAAGCCGCGTTGCTATCTCACCGAAACTAAACTAAGCCCCAAGTGATTGGTTACAGATTTGCGCCCGAGGCACTCGTGCCAATAGTTGCTTTCGCTAAACAATCCAACGCCTTCAGACCGATCCGATACCTACGCCAGTTCCGTTTCATCCTTCAAGTCACCCTGGCCTTGTAATTGCCTCTTGATGTCCTTCAGTTTCCTACTCTGCTCGAGATCCTCATAATGCGGGATGACGTTGCGAATCAGAGGGTCGTCTAACTGTCCGGGCTTACGAACGTGACCGCGACGGCGTACGGGGCCATACGCAACCGCTTGACCTTGAGTAGTGACAACCTTGGTAGTGGGAGGATTAATATCCTTCCCATTAGACTTGTCGGCTTGAGAGATAGCTCTACCGGACTTGTGGGCGGGAAGGTTGTCATCAACGGGGCCGGGTTTGAGAGAGAGTGCAGCAGTAGTCGTAGAAGTGGCCGCGGAGTCTTTGGAGATGGTCGCAACCTCGAGGGTGACCAGATCGCGGGAGCCGGACGCAATAGAGGGTTCGGGAGGAATGATCGAGATGGCACGCGGTGAGTACAAGTTGTCGGCGTCTCTCACAAAGCCAGACTCAACCCCTGGGAGATCGCTGATTCTGTCTTTTAGACGAGCATTGTCGGTTTCGAGGCGCGCAATTCTGGCTTTGAGGCGCGTATTCTCGGTGCTAAGACGCACAACTGTCTGTTCGACCTCGTAGACCTGAGATCTGAGGGCTCCAACTGCCTCGAGATAAATCCGCTTTTGGCTCATGATGTGCCTAAAGGTGGAGCAAATAACAGGTCAGGAGGATGTCATCGGACTAATCTGCATCTGAGTATACTTACAAGTGAGCGGAGTTGACCTGAGGCGATTGTGGGGTGTGCGATGAATTTGCTGCGGTTGCGGTGTATATATATCTGTGAGGATGCGCACGGAGTCCGGCCTTTTCATTTCACCAACGTTGTTGAACAAACAGTCGATTGGCCAATCAGCTGCGCTTTGGTAGGGATACACCGTGTAATTCTTGGAAATCACAAAATGGTATCATCCGTATCGGCGGGGAAAGACTAAGAATGACAGTCACCGTCTTGCAGGTTAGCGCAATTAGCAACGATTGAGAGTGAAAGTGTTCTAGCTTGCTACGGCTCTACAGTGCGAAATTCATTCATGTAAGTTGTCGCGAGTTTAGCGTTCTCACCTCAACCTCACTGGCTTATTCTACCTTCATAACATCCGCACTATCGGTTGAGCTCAAGAACGACCGCCATACACAAAAGCAATATGGCCAGGAATCGCCTTAGACCACCTCGAAAATACCGCAGCAAGCCACGCCCGCCTCAAACGCAGCAAGCGTTTCCCTTCCTCACCCTCCCCGCCGAGCTCCGCAACCGTATCTACCTATACGCACTCACCGCACCGGATGGTATCAAGGTCAGATGGCGTCGAAGCAACAGTCGGTGGAAGAAGAAGCCTGTCATGTTTACCAACAGTGATAAGGAGGAGGAGGTCTGCCCCATTAACCAGCTCCAATACGTCAACCGCCAACTGCATAAAGAGACTGCCGGCCTGGAGTTGCAGTACAATCGCGTTATATTCGATGGATATCCAGGCTCGAATGGAGACACTATGAAGAGCCTCTACGTATTTGCAGGCCGCTGCACACCAACAAAGTTACAGTGGTTGACCCACGCCACGCTCGCGCAACAGTCCGACCTCACCACCAGCATACAGTCACGGTGTGCCATCCCCTGGGTCAAAAGGCACATCGACAAGATTATTGGGCTGCTGAACTTCTGCATCGAAAACAAGCACATTCACGTCGAATTCCGGCTGCCCTACTTCGTGTTGTACCCGGATCCCTTACCTACCTTGTCCGTCAATGGGTTTATTGAAACCGGTATTCTGCTTTCTCGCTTGTTCCGCGGTGCAGACATCTCGCATATTGATATACCAGGCAATACTGCGGCTAGGTATGCTGAACTACTGTCCCGTTTAGTAGGCGACGACGTAAAAGACACGATCAAACGACTGGCAGGCGAGGCTACGAATCTGCGACTCTATCCGAACGATAAGCACTTTGATATTAAGCGGTTTGAGAAGGAGGTGGAAGAGAAACTCAGTGATCCCTGGTGGGCGGATTTTGTGGCAAATGGTGGAGGACTGAAGTGGGTCGAATATGCGCGTCAATGGAGCGCATATGGGCTTTGAATAGTGAGAGAGAGGGCGAAGCCAGGGCGATGGTATGGGACTTCGGGACTTGGAAAGACGGCCAGAGGCAGGAGCGAGATATCTCGAAGCGCGCCATGTTTGGACCAGCATCTAGTGGAAAAGATTGCTTTCCTTGTATTGGGTCATCCATACCAGCGGAGGAATTGGACAGTGGGATACGACGAAAGGCATGGGCTTAGCAAACCATAAGGTTACCTACATGTAGCTGTAACTAATCAGGGCTCCGGGGAGCTTTGCAACCTCTTCTTCTCATGTAGCTGAAGGGAGGACTTTTCAGAAAATCACATTGCACAAAAGCCTGTCTCGCAACCCAATTGCCCACTTGTCGGATTTTGATCATTGTCTCTATTAGAAAGCTCGTACGTCGCAACTTGAGCTCTCCATATAGCTACATGTAACTTTCACTATAGATTACCAGCTACCAGTTCCGTCTCTATGCTCACCCGCACTCGCCGCATACCCATCTGACCGCATAATACACTCACTCACTTATGCACTAGCCTCAGCTTCAGCCTGCCGTCCAGCAACACTCCCCTTCGTCCACCTAATCTGAGGATCCTCCTTCCTCTCCACTCTACTCTCATCGCCCTCTCGGCCCCAGCCACCGCCTCCGGGCGTATTTATAATGATGCGTTCACCGGGGCGCATAGCGGCCGTGTTCTTAGCGCCAAGGCTGATATATCTATACTCCACCTCTTGCTTCTCTTGGGTGTCAGCCGCTCTGGACGGCTCGGTAGGCCGCTTACTGTCTGAGTTCTCGTCGATGACTTTCTGGTCTACTTTACGGGCCCAAATATTGAGTCCGCAAGCAGCCTCGCCACCGCCCTCCATACCGTAGGGATGATATACTCGCCGTTCACTCAGGATGCTAACTTGCACTGGTATGCGGAACTCAATGTCTCTTATCACGCCCTCACCACCGTTATGCATGCCTTTACCTGCACTTCCTTCTCTAAGCGAGAATTCCCGCAGCAAGACTGGGTACCGACGTTCAAAGACTTCCGAGTCTGTGATACGTGTGTTGGTCATGTGTGTATGCACACCATTTGTACCGTTCCACGTGGGTCCCGCGCCACTTCCACCCGCGATTGTCTCGTAATATCCGAAGCCTTTGGTCTCTTTTCTTTCGCCTCCAATTCCGCCCTGTCCTCCGAATGTGGTGCCCCCGAAGCCAAATGTAAGGTTGTTTGTGTCTCCTTGTGAGGCCGCACAGGCCTTGAAAGCTTTTAGTATCACGTCGGTGACGCGCTGTGATGTGAGAACGTTTCCGCCTACCACTGCTGCGTTGTCGGATGGCGAGAGGAAGGACTTCTTGGGTATAAGGACGTGGATTGGCTTGAGACAGCCTTGGTTGAGCGGTATGTCTTCGCTTATGAGGCAGCGCAAGCAGTAGATAATTGCGGAATAAGTGACGGCCTCTGGGGCGTTGATGTTTCCATACACCTCGGGTCCAGTACCACTGAAATCGAACACCGCTTCACCCTTATCAGGGTCAATAGTGACCTTCAATCTTATTGGCGACCCATCGTCCATGAAATCTTCTGCAGACAGATCCTGACCCTCGAAGCGTTTGTACACCCCTTTCAGTAATTGTCGCACAGACTGCTCAGCATTTTCCTGGATGTTCGTCATGTAGAACTTCACTACTTGCTCGCCGTAGTCGGACATCAATGTGCTGATCAGATTGATACCCTTCTGGTTAGCAGCAACTTGCGCTTTCAGGTCATTGATGTTGTCAGAAAGGCAACGAGTACCGGAGCACCCGGGGTATTGACCTGGTTCATCTAGCAGCAGCTCTGTGATTCGTTCCTCATTGAAGTGACCCTCTGACACCAGCTTTTCGCTCTTAATGGACGCGCCCTCCTGGTATAACTCTTTGGAGTGTGGGGGCATAGACCCAGGTAGAATGCCGCCAATATCTGCGTGGTGTGCGCGGGAAGCAACGTAGAACAGGATGTTGTCTCCGCTGAAAGCTGGCGTGATGACCGTGATGTCGGGGAGATGTGTACCACCGAACATGGGATGGTTAGAGACGAGAACGTCACCTTTCTTGAGCTTGCCTTTCCAAATGGCAGCTTGTTTGCGCACGCAGGTCGACATACTGCCGAGGTGGACAGGGAGATGAGGAGCTGCGTGTTTATTAATATAAGGTATAAGTAAACAGTGAAGGCAACGTACCATTCGCAACCAATCCACCCTCCTCGTCGAAGAGAGCACAAGAGTAGTCCAAGCGCTCCTTGACGTTAGTGGATACGCTCGTCTTCTGCAATGCACGGCCCATCTGCTCTGCGATTGCCATGAAGCGATGCGCGAAGATGCTCAGTAGAATTGGATCTACCTCATTCGTGCTAATTTGCTTATCTTGACCATCGCTCTCACCGATATTGATGACGACATGTGTGTTGATGACCAACGCACTCGCACCGGGCGTAACGACGATGGTTTGTGTGCCGTCTGCGATAATGGCGGGACCCTTGATTCGGTCGCCAACATCGAGATCTTCGAGCTTATAGATGGATGTCTCCTGTCGCCCACCTTCGAAGAAGACTTTCCGAGAATCATAGCGCTTTGCGTCGCGTGGAAGGTCTTTAGGTGTGATCTCCTTGAGTTGTTGATCCACGCTCTTCTCCAGACCTTCAAATGTCTTTCCAATGCCACGTGCGCGTACGTCGTCTACAATGATGTCGCGGTCTGGCAGCGTGAAGCCGAACTCTTGCTCGTGCTGCTTGACAAACGCCTTGCCAAATGCCCAATCATCACCGTCGTAGTCCTTTTGTGCCTCCTCTTTTGTGGGCTTGACGATCATCAATGCGGACTCGGTGCCGCGATATCTCAGGTTAAGGTATTCCTCAAAGTGTACATGTTCATCATCGAAACCCTGCTCTTTCAATGTCGCCGTCGATTTCGACTTTAGTTCTGCCATCTTCTTCTGTAAGTACTCCCGGACATCATTGTCATCAGACCACACCTTTGACTCTGGTTCCTGTCTCTCATCCACAACATCCGCAAGCGCCATACCGTAAGCCGAGAGCACGGATGAATATCGGTGTATCAAGATCTGCGATACGCCCAGCGCCTCCCCAATGGCCACCGCGTGCTGCCCACCCGCACCGCCGAAAGTCGCGAGTCTATGTTTCGACGTATCGTGCCCTCGTGCTTCAGTCAAACTACGAATCGGTCGCGTCATCGTCTCGTTTGCAATCTTTATAAATCCATTTGCAATATCATCCAGTGACATCTCCTTCTCCTTGTTCCCGCCGGCGACTTCCTTATTGATCTGCTCCGCCAGTTCCTTGAACAACTTCTCACTCGCATCTGCATCGAGGCCCTCGTCTTCGTTTTTGCCGAAGATCTTGGGGAAGAAATCTGGTAATAAGCGCCCAAGGAAGAGATTTGCGTCTGTAATGGTCAATGGGCCACCTTTTCGATAGCACGCTGGGCCTGGATGTGCGCTCGCTGATTCGGGTCCTACGACGAACAAGCCGTTCCTCCAGAAGAGGCGCGAACCACCACCTGCCGCAACGGTGTTGATGTCTAGTTGTGGTGACTGGATGGTGACACCAGCGGTCGTCGTCTCAAACACGTGATCGTAGCGTCCGGCGCCGTATCTGCTTACGTCGGTACTTGTGCCACCCATATCAAATCCTATGACTGGGATCTTCGTCTCAGTATCGTACGAGGTCAAAGCATAACCCACAACCCCTCCTGCAGGTCCTGAGAGAATAGCCTTCAAGCCAGAGAAGATGTCGACGTCTACTAAACCACCGTCTGATTGCATGAACTCGCATCGCGCGCCCTTCGAACCTTGTTCACGCTTTACGCTCTTTGAACCGAGGCCGCCTTCAAAGCCCTTAGAAAAGCCATCAATGTACTTCCGTATCGCGGGAGTAAGGTATGCGTCAGCACAGGCGGACGTGGCTCGTGGAACTAGTTTAATCATAGGCATGAGCTCATGACTCAAGCTAACGTGCTCAAACCCAATCTCTTTCGCAATCCTGCCTACCAACGCCTCGTGATTCGGGTACGTATATCCATGCATTAAGCACACGGCGATGCTCTTCAGTCCGCTATCATACACATCCTGTAGTTGTTTTCTTATGGCTTCCTCCTGTGGTCGTTGTAATATCCGCACCGTCTCGCCCGACAAGCCCTTGACAAGCTCTGCGTTCTCCCCCGCCTCTTCCACGCTCTTCGCCTCTGTCTGATTTCTTTCTGGGTCCTCAGCATAGTCTTCCAGCGTGACGCGCTCGTCAATCTCCACAACCCGCTTATAAAGCACCTCGGGCTTCCTGATATCGAGTGCGAAAATATTTGGCCGCGACTGATTTCCAATCGCTAAACAATCCTTAAACCCCTTTGTCACTACCATGGCGATATCCTCCCCCTTTCTCTCTAACAACGCATTCGTCGCGACTGTGGTGCCCATGCGTATGCTCTCAATCTTGGACGTGTCGAGCGGCTGCCCGCGTGGGATATCGGTGCCCGTGAACTTGGAGAGAAGTCGTCGGATACCCTCGAGAGGCGCGTCGTCGTAGTTGGAGGGATCAACAGAGAGGAGCTTGATGAGGATGTCATCTTCCATCTTGCCTGTGCCAGGATTGCCCACACAGTCTGTGAAGGTGCCACCGCGCTAGAGTAATCAGTGCCATTCGCCAAAGGTGTGCTGGATACATACGTCTATTGCGATGCGGATTCCCCGCTTGCTGATCTTTGGTGCAGCCATTGTGATGCCTAAGGTATGCAACGTGTGTGGGAGTGCTCAAGGGTGCTATTGCAAAGCTATTGACATTCAAGAACAAATCAACAACACGTAGGAGACAATGTTGAAAACGGGAAAAAATACGATGCTAAATTAGCACGTAATTACATGCAATAGGTACAAATGATAGATAAGGGTGGGGTGGTGGCGATGCCCCGCGTACTTTGTCATGCGAATACGGAGATGGCGTCATTGCCGCGGCTTCGCTTCGTTGAGACTAATTGACTTCAGCCTCATCGTAACCTGCACCTTTTCCACGACTCTACCTCTTCCGTCACCTTCAATGGCACCTCGTATTACCTTCAATTGTATGACCATTCATGAAAACGACATGTCACACTATTATGCGTGCAGCCATGTCTTCTCAGTCTTCCCACGGAGCTCCGATATCGGCTTATGTGTCAGGTACAACGGCCGTTGCATTTGCCGACCGCAATGGCCGATAAGTGATCGGAAGAGCAAGCACATCCAGTATTTGTTCCACATGGACTCTTTGGACTACAGTCGACATGAATTCCCCGAAGGAGAGCTGTAGGCTCGAATGTAGCCGCGGGAAGGTTCGATTACTGTTGGGCTGTCCAGGAAGCCTTTACGCCTATTCGACTTGCCCCAATCAATTCAATTAGAATACTCATCTTCACATGCAGAGCTTCAGCATGGAAAACATCGACCTCGGAGGTTTAATATACGTCTTTTCGGCGCGAGTACCTAAACGAACACCTCTCCCTCAAAATCCGGGGAAGCTTGTTTCCCCGCATGCTTGGCTTGAGGAGATGCAGGGATGGCATCAGGGCGACGTCCTAGGAAGCCTCATTTGACCTGCTTGCTTTAGGCTTATGATGCCCGCTGACTGCTCGTAGCTCGAGAATGGTTCAAAGACTCCTTCCCTTTTCCGACGTTTCTTCCGTCGCGCAATATGGCTGTGCTACTAAGATCCACGCATTGGAAGCCCATAGGCCAGCGCGACGGGGTGACACCGACGAGCCGAGGATGTGTTGCGAGAACTACGAGGATAATTTGTACTTGCAAGCTGACCCAAGCAAACTCAAAGTATATTGACTCTCTGCAACACGCCTGTCAATGACGCTACACTTGAGCGGGGGACCTTGATGAAAGAGATATAAATATGAGACCAACTATCTAGAATTCAACACCAACAGCAACCATCACTGCAAGCCCTCATCACAACATCACAAGCCGTCTTTCTCAAGTTCTAAACAACATGAAGTCCGCAACCATCTTCGCCGTCATCGCGTCCCTGTACGCCTCGGCTGCCTTTGCCCAGACAGCCTGCGACCCCGCCGCCTCCGCTATACCCACCTGCGGTGTACGTAACATCTCAGTCTTTCCCATGCTCCCACGTCTATCGTGCTCCCTCCACTCTTTGCTAGTTAGATCACCCAGCTAACAATCAAACCCATTAGGTCCCATGTATCCAATCCGCTGCCTCAGGTGCTGGCTGCACAAACGGCGACTATCGCTGCCGCTGCAGGAACTCGGCAGCCATCCAGTCTTCGGCCCAGACCTGTGTTATTAGCAACTGCGGCATTCCTACGGCGCTGCAGGTACAGGCCAGTGCGAACGCAGTGTGTTCGTGTGTTGCCACTGCAACGGGTAATATCGTGGAGGCTACGGCTGTCTAAGGCCTAAATCAGCTTGATGAGAGAGAACTGTAGATAGGGGATGAAGCTGGAATGGAGGTGTCGTTGGAATTGTCGCGTTCGAGCTAGAGCTATCTGTTGGCAAGTGCAAGGCATTGCAGTACCTCAGTATGTAGTCTTAAGTAGCCATCAAGCCCAACTCGCGCTCTATCCATGCTCAGGTCCCCCGACTTCATCCACTGCAATGCTATTTCCCCTAAAGTTCTTGTCCTGTGGATTTGGGAGTAGAGAAATAGTAGTTGTGTTCCATTCGTTCACTGCTTTAGCCGGTGCTTCAGGACGTATTTCAGTCGCCTGGTAGATTAAAGAAGTATCCATTCGGCATCCGTTCCTCAGTACCTGAATCAATTTAATCTCTCATCTTTTAGTCTACCCGAGTACGAGTTTTCCCACGGTCTTTTCGCATCTAACAACCACTTGGAGCTTCTCCCAACATCACCTAACAGTATGTTGATTGAAAACAAAAGAAGCCCGAAAACGAGTGTGCCGATGATACAAAGAGGTAAGAACAATACATTCAGACAAGGATCTAGCTTTACTAACATCTCCATCTCAAGGGCTTGAGCTCACAGCATTCGCGCCATCTCTTCCCCTCAACTCTTTGAACTCATGACTCTCGTAAAACTTTACCATCTCCGCCCATCTCTCATCCCACTCTCGTTTCATCCAACCCCCTTCTGCGACCCAGATCTTCTCGTGTACAACCTTGAGCGCCCCTTCCTCATTATCTTGCGGAAAGAATCCACCCCATTTCCTCTCTAGCGTTGTCGACGGAAAAGCCCCATCATGACGAAACTGCCAGTTAAGAAAGGCTTGCTCCGCCATCAAACAATTATATCTATCAGTTTTAACGTAGTTCTGGAGGAGACGCTGATGCATGCGAGCAGAAGGCGTAAACACCATACTGCCCACATTGATGTTCTCAACTGGCGGGTCCTGAGGCACGCCAGCAAAAATATAGGGCTCACACACCAGCGAGCCGTCAGTGTGGAAGTCGTCCAATACCAACTTCTCCGCCTTGCAATCCTGCATCGGAACCAAATCGAACATCTCGTCGATGTTTGTCAGGGGAAATGCGTCGGCGTCTAGGAATAAGATACGCTTGAATTCCGTTTCATTCCACATGTTGAGCTTTGCGAAGAGATCTTTCCACCGCTTTTGCACTCCGGGGACGTTGGGATTCCATTCTAGGGGCGCAAGTTCTCGTACGATGGCACCGGCACCGGTGAGAAGAGCACGTTGCTCGGCTGTCACGAAGTCTGCTACGAAGACAACAAGAGGGTAGTGTGCTGTATGTGATTGAGGGGACCAGAGGATGCGGTATATGAGTGAATGGATGGCGAGGAAGTATGGGTCTTTGAGCGACGGGTTCCTTGTCGCCATGAAGGTTGCATAGGCGTAGGTTGTGGGTCCATCGGGATTGTAGTTGTGTGGTTTGTGGCCGCCAAGTTCTTTGAGAGTAGTTATAGGGAAGGGCAGTTCGAGATCGTTCTGGAAGGGATACTCTGCTTCAAAGGCTAGTGCGCTACTATGGGATTCCGGTGGTGATAACGGAACCTCCACTGGGGGTAGCTTGGGTGAATCGTTTGAAGCCGATAGCTCGATTGATGGTGAGATGCTCCCCTGTGCTGATCTGCTAGGGGTTGGTATTGTAGTAGAATGCGGGGTGCCCAATGCGACTAGATTTGCTGGTGACAAACTGGATTGGCCATGTGGTGGGGATAATGTCTGCTTCGGTAAAGGACTGCTTTTGTCATGATCCCGAGACCCTCCATGAGGTGTTATGAATTAAGATGCATCTAGAATGTCTCCTTGACCCTGCGCAAACAAGAAGACAACGCCAATGACTAGAGCGGTCGCTAGTACAACGTTATGCCGTCTCCGCATGGTATCGAGCTTGAAGTCACTACGTAGATACAAAAAACGTAGTTCTGCTATTTAGAAACTAAACCCTTAATCCCGGCCAAGTCTATCACATGCGCACAACCAATTCACGAACCGCGGATGTGGTCGATACTGCACCAGAGAATGGATGACGTTGAGGTAGGTGGTGTGAAGCCGGGTAAGAAGCGTGCGGCGCAACCCAACTACCTGCACGAAGGATCCGTAGGCTACACCTTAGAACACAATCGGACTGTCTGCGCTCTAATTTGGGATAAATACGGCAATATGGTGTAGATCTGCGCTAGCGAAGTAGGGATCCCGCTAAGTGATGCACCCCGTGGGGTATTTAGCGTCGGAGAAAGCGCCGTTTTGGACGTTCAATAAACGGCCCGCACGAAACAGTCAAGCACCTGCAGTAGTGCTGCATATGAAGTTCCTGAGCCCATGTGAGTGTTCACATGAAGCCGAGGGGTGTGCACGCGAGCAAGCTCCGAGATTATTGCACTGCGAATGAATTCGACTCGAAAGGACTTGAACTAAATGATAACATTACTAGTGGCTTGCTGACTGCAAGATCGCGATCATTGTTTTGGCGCCTGAGTCTGCGATAAGGCCTTTCTGTAAACCCAGTTCGCAAATTTGACGCTCGGCTCGTCAATTAATTTCGTAACAACTTCAGCCATATACAGCGTGGCAGGCAGAATGACAATCTGTGGCACCCAAAACGCCAATTCGAGGCCCATGGGTCCCCTTTTCGACAACGGAAATTTGTTTGCCCACCCGGGAATGCCGTCCTTATGACTTGGTCTTTCTAGCCCTGCTGCAGCATAGATGCGGTCGCCTAGCGTCCAAATCATGAGGCCATGCACCAAGTATAGTGCAAAGGAGATACGGGCGAGGTACTGACAGAAGCGCGTTTCGAAAAAATACCTCAACCATGGAAGTCGTGGTACCGACGCGACGGCGAGGAAGGCCGCCCAGAAGAGATAGAACCACTTGGCATCAAACACGGCTTGTGGTTTTAGGCGTGACAACCATATCCATCCGGGAGACTTGGCAAGAATGGCTACGCGATCGATGCCAGGCGGGTCGTACGATGGTACACCGCCAAGATAAAGCGCAATGATGAACAAGTGGAAGAAGATGAGCTCCTTGAATCCTGCTAGCCTTGCGAGAAAGCGCGGTAGTTTTTCGTCTTGAGCGAGGAGGTCGAGATCGCAAAGTAGCATGCCGGACATGAAAAGCGCGCCGAAGTAGCCGTCGACAATATAGAGGAAGTAGAAGATAAGGCCCACTTCGCACCATAGCCGGGCATTCTGGGAACATTTGGCGAACGCAGAAAGTGCAGTGTAAACGATGATTGATCCCTTGAACTCGATGGGTATTGACCACGTGTGTGGGTGATAGGGCTCCGTAAATTCGTAAATGTTGGTAGAGAAGACGAAGCTGTAATTCTTGAATGTCTGATACCAAGTCCTGACGTCTTCGCGAAAGGTTCCATTCATGTCACGCATGTCAACCCAGATCTTAGTCCAGTGTCGTAGACACATCCAAAGGAAGGTGACGGCAATGATTGGAATGTATAACCGTAGCCAGCGGCGGAACAGTGCCGAACCGATACCATCTGCAGCGTGCTGCGTTTGACCTCTCTGAATGAGGCTCAAAGTCTTAACCGAAAGGACGTATCCTGAGATGACAAAGAATATAGCAACAGCAAAGTGCCCACCGGAAAAAAATAGGCGTACAAATGGAAGAGCTGCAAAATAGTGCCTGCCTTCATAGCCAAAGCCGTTTTCGTAGATGAGGTTTCCTTTGCCGCCGTGAGACCAAAGCTGATTGTGGTGGATGTAGACCATCAACGCCGCAAAGCCTCTTAAGCCGTCTAGCCATGCTGTTGGCCGAGTTGATTGTTTCTTTGGACTGCCAGGCCGAAGGGATAGGAACTCTGGGCGTACGGCATCGATACTCCATCGCGCAGTTCGCACTGGCTTCCAGGTCGTAGTGTGGAGGTTGACATCTTCCAGGCCGCCGTGGTCCAATAGCCCATTAAATTTGGTTGGCATTGTGCGAGTTTAGGTTACTACAGAAGTTGAAGGTAGCATAAAGAAAAGTTGAAATAGGGAGAGCAGCAGAATATGCTTTTTGGAGGTCGTGAGGCCCATGCGATAAATTGCTTGCGCAAGAAACGGCGCGATGTTGTGATGCCTGTCGATTGATTCGCAGCAGTGGGTAAGTATCATGCCGAGGAACATTCATTTGGCTAGGTTTATCCGGATTAGACAGTGCTAGGATGCACGCAAACTGTTCTGCAAAAGCGGGGATAGTAGTCGTGCTGATCCGTGTTGAGGAGCGGGACGTTTGGGGCACAGGCGGCGTTGGTACACAGGGGTCCCCGTCTCCGAACCGTCCATAATCAGGGATGCCACAGCTCATGGCAAGCTCTGTGGGGAAGGTGCGAGGAGTTTCTAGCAATTGCAGGGATGGCTCGTATAAGCTTTAACGTAGCCGCCTCACCCTAACCACCTTAGGTCAATCCTCCGGTGCAGTCTTTCAGGCTTGGGATGAACATGCAGCGTTCCTTGTTGTACCCTGCTGTCGCCGTCCTTGATCTGCAGGTATAGTACGTACCAACACACCGAGGAATAAACGCTCAAACATGATTGGCCACCATCACGGCCGGGGAATGAGGAGTTGAGAGGCTCGTGGACCAGGAGCTCGATCATGTAATTTCTCAAAGCCTCGGAAAGACTAGGGGATGGTGCGGGTGCTGCAAATCTGTGATAACCTCAGCATGCGCACTCGATCAAGGCCACCTCCGCCCAAGCTTCATCTAGAGACCAGAATGCCTCCTCACTCCCCGATCGCCTCGCACTTTCAGGGCAAACTGACAAGCCAAGTTCGAAGAGTGCTGCCAGCGTACCTCGCTCTCCTCTTCGTGTTCCTCTTCTTTGCAAACACACACTTCTTCACTGCCCCTATTCGAGCTGCGCACAAGTATAGGCGCGAACTCAAATACCAGCAACCGCTGCAGCCGTCCGTAGAGACAATCCCACGGAAAATATGGCAGACGTGGAAGGTCGGTCCACTGGGCTTTGAGCAACGCGACTCTGACGCAGCGAAAACTTGGCCAGCAAAGAACCCGAGGTATAGATACGAAGTGCTGACGGACGACAACGCAATTGAATACCTCGAATGGCACTATGGTCAACATGGCTTCAATAGGCCAGATTTCATCGATCTCTATCGAGAGTTGAACATAACGATCATCAAGGCCGATCTCCTCCGCTATCTCGTCATGTACGCCGAGGGTGGTGTATATGCCGACATCGATGTAGAATGCCTTCGACCTATCGACAGGTTCATCCCTGAGCGGTACAGCGAGCAAGAGGTCGACATGGTCATTGGCGTGGAGATTGATGAGCCTGCGTTTGTCGACCACCCAATCCTCGGGTCCAAATGCAAGTCTTTCTGCCAGTGGACGTTCGCCTCCAAGCCACGGCTTCCGGTCATGATGAGGTTAATCGAGAACATCCAGGACTGGCTCCATGGTTTATCAGAAGAGAAGGGTGTGTCCATATCACAGCTCCAGCTCGACTTCAACGAGGTCATTAGCGGGACCGGTCCGTCGGCGTTCACACGAGCGGTTCTCGAGCAGATGACTGCACAAAACCATGGGAAGCCTGTAACTTGGGATCACTTCCACAATCTTGCCGAGTCAAGACTAGTGAGTGGCGTACTTGTCCTCAACGTCGAAGCGTTTGCCGCCGGGCAAGGACATTCAGACTCAGGCAATCATGACTCGCGAGGAGCTCTTGTGAAGCACCACTACCATGCATCGGGCTGGCCAACCCTCCATCCGCGACACAACCATGCGATGTACGGCGAGGTAGAGAAGTGCAACTGGGCGCCGGACTGTATCGCCGAATGGGTATGTCATTCTCCGCTTCCTCGATTCCATTCAACCTCTGAAGGTGCGTACTGACCAACAAATAGGACAAGAATGTCGCTGAATGGGAGACGCTGTCCAAGGAGGAGCAGGATAAACGAATTGCTAGCAAGCAGATCCAGCCGTTACATTAAGGCTTTTAAACGTGACGTGTCTGGATCTGTCTCGTTGTGTCGTAATCCTTCCCCCTGCGACAAAAGCCTGTGCGCGATTGGGGATACATACCATAGCGTTGGTTGTCACTATTTACGAGGCGCGATCGGAAGAAGATAACGCACGAGAGTGCAGTCTGCGCGGCCTGTGCGGCCAGGGGAGAGGAAGGGGTTAAGGTCTCGCTGTTGGAAATAGAGCCATCGCAGGACCACAGGTGAAGCCTGAAGGCACCGAGGGCACGATAGCCGAGTCTTGGCGCATGACATAACGCATTTGACGCTCAGCTCTCGCATCAAGGCCGCATCACATCTCGACGTGTAGTATTCCCATTTACTAGCCCACTATACCACAATTTTATATGTTATGTTATGTGTTTCTACAGAAGAATCTTCGTCATCGAGAAAAGAAACGTTAAAAACCTTCACAATTTGCTGTATCTCAGTATGATGTGCACAGTGGGTCTTTGGACGGTTGGCATCCTCTTTTCGATCATTTTTGCATGCAAGGGAAACTTCGCGGCCTCTTCAAGAAACGAACAGCTGATTCATCAGTTCACAACATGCGAGAAAACACGTTTCTCCGCCCTGGGAGGCTTTCGATTCAGAGTGAGGATAGCAGTCAGATGAGACATCTCACACGCGCAGATTCGCATCTTGAAGTGGTCTTTGATAATGTCGTCTTGGACCGTAATTGTTGATGTAAGAGGAGGCAAATGAACTGTAACACTTCTATCGATGTGAATAACTTACGGCTATCTCATTGAAAACCTGACGCTTTTGTGGCATTGCTAATTTAGTAGCTGAGCGCCACGGAAAATGCAACAGCTATTACCGCAGTAATGGATGCCGCAATTGTGCCCGCCGAGCCGGTACTCTGCGGGGATACAGCGCCAGAGGTTCCTGATGCGCCGCCACTCTTTGTGCCATTGCCAGCATTACTTCCAGAACCCTTGCCGTTACCTGTTGCAAGGGCTTTCGCTTGCGGATAAAGTAGAGCCTGCACGACCTCGAGGGCACCGAAAACCTCGCCTAGATTTCCGTCCTTGGCGCTAACTGACCACTTGGACTCGCCATGAATCCAGCTGAGATTACAAGAAACGTTTTCATCATTTCCATCACATGCGCTAGCTGCTCCTTTGGCTGAAGCCCCAATCATCTTGTTGATGGATTCAGCCACACTGGGTGCGGAAATGGCAGCACGGGCGAATGATCGCGCTGCGATGCCTTTGAAGGCTCGTTGATCGATATCGCATCTACCATTCTTTTCGCATGCTACCTCAACGAGTGCGGAGGTGGAGTTGTCTTGGAAAGTGGATGATGCCTTTACCAATCCAGTGATTGCGTTGGTCCAATTCTGTGCACCGTTTGTCTGAGGGAGTCAGATTGAGGTGAAGGTAGATTCAAGGCTAATTGAACTTACGATGTTATGCATGAGCGCCGCACCTTCTGTATAGATCCCATGTGTGTTGGCCCATCGAATTCGATTGACGTTTGTGCAGTTTTTCTTTGCATCAGCACCATTATATATCGCAAAATCATTGGTAATCAGACCAATCTCTTTCGCCCACGTATAAGACTTGTCGGCCCAATGAGTGTAAGTTTCGTTCCCGGTAAATTTGGCCAAGCGAGCAGCCAGGAGGAAGAAGTTGCCGTTCGAATTGGTATCTTTGTACTCGTACCCGTCGTTGAAGGTATATATTTGCCAGCGCAGACCACCTTTGCAACTTGACTCATTCTCTTCCGCTTGCAGACGCAGGACCTGGGTATTGAATACGTTGGCAGCGTAGTCTACCCACTCTGCGTTCTTGGGCTTGGGGAACCCCACTTCAGCGGCCGTTATAGCTGCAAGACCCCACGTGCTCTGGTCTTCGTTGCCAAGAGTTTTGGTCTGGTTCCTGAAAGTAGCGACACAGTTAGCACTTTTCTAAATACTACACACAAATACTACCTTAAGACATTGTAGGGAGTGTCTTATAAAAGGTTCGTTACTTACTATCCGTATGTTAGCTAAGACATTCAGATAGTATTTGTGGTAGGACTTTCGCACCAAAGGCATGAACGCATCACTTTCACCAACTTGCCACTGCAGAGCCTCCGAAATGAGAGTATCATACTGAGAGTCGCCGGTGAGGTATGAGTACTCGATCAGTCCGTGGAAGACGGCACCGGCTTCCCACCAATAGTAAGGTTTTGGAAACAGCCCGGGTGTGAGGGTTTTCGTGAGACTGTCTTTATAGAATGAGACTATGCCGCTGGCGAGTGTTTTTGCCGCTGACTTGATGGAATCTATAATCATGAGTTCATCATTCGATTGACGCAAATGAAGGGAACTTACCCTGGCTGCTAACATCCAGGTCTAACGCCGCGACCTGACTACCGATTGAAAGAAGAGCGAGTAATTGGAGGCTAGTGCGTCTCAACATTGCGATCGTCGTAAAAGAGTGCAGTGTAAATCGAGTGTGAAATAATGCTGAACAAATGGCGGTCGAAGAAATTTAAGGCTATCATGCTGGACGTAAGGCGTGCCGTCCCGCCGTATAGCCCCTCATGATCATTGGACGGACCTCGGGAACGGAGTGCGACTAACCGCATGAGGCATGTTCTAATTTCGGGTTAAGGCATCAAGGGGCTCATTATACTTGGCTATATTAATCGTGTCTGTTTCGACTCATACCCATTTTTGCTACAAGAGATTCTGCAATGTCGCGTGCAAAGCTCTCGTCGTTGATAGCGCGCTTGTCTTCTACGACTTCAACGCCACTACCCGAAAGACCTGCCTTGACTGCGGCGAAGAGTGCAGCATCAGCTTCCTCGTCTGCGAACGGCGCATCAGGAACTGCGATTGCGCTCACTCCACCGGTTGGTAACCAAACTTGAATCGCATTAGCATCCTTTGCATGCTTCTGCAATTTCTCAGCAATGAACTCGCCAACTTGTCGCGCTTCGTCTCTAGACGTTCGCATCAGCGTTACAACGGGGTTGTGTTCGTATAGCTTGCGGGACCTGTATCGCTCTGGTACTGTGCTCCTCGGGCCAAAATTTGTCATGTCGGTTGCTCCAACAGAGATGATGTTTGGTATGCCAGCTTCTGCAGCAGCTTCCAGACGGTGCGGACCAGCACTCATGACACCTCCAGTGAGATGATCGCATATCTCAGTCGTGGTGAGATCGAGCACTGCGTCGATTCCGCCTTCTCGGATAAGTCGCTCCATTGCTTTCCCGCCGTGTCCGGTGGCATGGAAAACAAAGGTCTCGATGTCGTAGTTGGATTCGAGATGTTTACGGATAGCATCTACAGCAGGAGTAGTGACGCCAAACATGGTGATAGCAACGCGCTGCTTCTTCGTGGCAGGGCTGAGATCCTGACTTCGTGCTGTGTACGCATGAGCCATGCCGGCGATTGCTGCACCTGCATTGCTCAGCACGTTACGTAGAACTTGGTTTACCCCAGCAACGTCCACGACCGAATACATCAAGGTGATATCCGTCTCTTCTACGATTGGCCCAGTGTCGCCGCTTGCTACTGTAGAGACAATCAACTTGGGAAAGCCAATCGGGACCGCGTTCCTCATAACTTCAGCAGCGAGAGATGTTCCCCCAGATCCTCCTGCAGCAATAATCGCGTGTATCGACCCTTCGTCAAACAGCTTCTTGACCGCTGTTGTGGCACAACTAGCCATACTTTTGATGATCTCCCCGCGCGGTAGACCGGCAACATCTTTCCCATCACCATAGTCTTGTAAAAGCCGTCTCGAACCAATGGTAATAGCATCGTGTTGCGTAGGTGTTCGCCCGACGTCAATGAACGTCACGTTGACGGTGTGCCGTAAGATGACATGACGAAGATGAAGTAGCTCTTCGAGCTTTGTGTCGCATGTCCCAAGGAGAACCACATTTGGACTCATGGTGAATATATTGACTAGAGGATGAGGTCAAAAGTAATCAGATGCTGGTTGTGGTTACTAGGTGGAACTTATCCCCGCGTCCTGACGTCATCGTGCATACAATTGATACCGATTCTCCCGAGCATCCATCACCAAAACGTCTACATTCACATGACACAAGATGACTCCTCCCACTGATAGAAAAAAGATTCTCGCCAACCTTCGCTCTCAGATTAACGATGGAAAGATCATCGTGGGCGCTGGTGCCGGCATCGGCCTTTCAGCAAAATTCATCGAGCAAGGCGGCGGCGACCTAATCATCATATACAACAGCGGACGTTACCGCATGGCAGGACGAGGCTCGCTAGCCGGGTTGATGCCGTACGGGAATGCCAACGACGTTGTTCTTGAGATGGTAAGTCCCAACGTTGTTCTACCATAGCAACGATGTAGTTAAAGCAGTTCAGGCAGGCGAAGTACTCCCAATTGTCAAATGCACTCCAGTCCTTGCGGGCGTATGCGCAACCGACCCCTTCCGCAGTATGCCCAACTTCCTCAAACAGCTCAAAGAACTTGGGTTCGCTGGCATACAGAACTTCCCTACCGTTGGACTAATTGATGGCACATTCCGGCAGAACCTTGAAGAGACTGGCATGTCGTACGACGCTGAAGTGGAAGTGATCCGGCAAGCACGGGAAATGGATATGTTGACTACGCCCTACGTTTTCAATGTGGAGGAGGCGCGAAAAATGGCAGAAGCAGGCGCAGACATTCTTGTTGCACATATGGGTCTTACGACCTCCGGTAGCATTGGTGCATCAACAGGAAAAACGCTCGATGAAAGCGTCACCCTCATTCAGCAGATAAGAGACGCAGCGACCAAGATTAATGCCGACATCATTGTTCTTTGCCATGGCGGACCGATTGCGAAGCCAGACGACGCGGGGTATGTGATTAGCAGGACGAATGGTGTGCATGGGTTCTATGGTGCGAGTTCAATGGAGAGATTACCGGTTGAAGAAGCCATCACAAATATAACGAAGACGTTCAAGGGACTGAAGCCAGGATCAAAGTCATAGTGGAAAACTTACCCATACTTCCCTTGATACACATCAAACATTGTTTAGTCGTTTGCGAGCGATAAGATTGACCATCTCAACTAGCAGATCCACCATCCCTCTTCAACCCCTCAACCCGCGTCTTAACATCCCTACTAAACCCCTCATACATAGCCACCACACTCGCTCTCGCAAACCCCAACCACCCTTCACCAAATAACCAAGTCAACCAGCCGACATAGTCCTCGCCATGAACGAACAAACACCCTCCATCAACCTTCTCACTCTCTCTAAACTCAAAGTAATGCTCTCCTGCAAACGCGCCAAGAAAAGCGCTTCCTCTCCAGCGGAACTCAGCGGGTGTATTATTAAGAACGACAGGCTCGATTGTGCTGCCGTCAAACGCAGCGACGAGCTTATCGCCTGGGATGAGGTCGAAAGGGGATCTTGAGGGAGGGATAGGCGTGAGGGATTTGATGAATGAAGTATGCCATTCTGGGTAGCGGGGGAAGTCTAGGATCTGTGTTTGGTATCAGGAATGGTGTTCTGTTTTTATTGGTAAAGGGCCGAATGAGATCGTACGACTGCGCGGACTTGTTTTGGTGTTGCGGCGATGTCGAGCTCGATGCGGACTCGCGGCATGGTTTCTGTAGGTTCTACAACACCCCGTCTTGGAGTTCGTGATGAGCGTAATGGATGTCGAGTCTTATCTCATGTCACGACTGGAGATCTGACGTGAGAGTGGCGCAGTAGGGTGGTCTGTGCACAATCAGAGAAATGCAGAGACGCTGATATATTTAATATGTATAGATTGCGCGGCCTGTATATATAATGATGAGACCAGGGAAGGAATCCTTCGCAATCACAATGTGTACTTGAAATCAGGATGGCGATCACCCATCTTGCCGGAGTCGATCTCCCGAATCCTCTCCTCAATCGACATAACCTCCCTCTTACGATTGATTCTACGCAGCAGGAAATACATAAGAGCATATCCACACGCCGCAATTGTGATGGTCGAAATTGAAACTGCATGCCCGATCACGTAGCGACCGTCGCTGTTCGTAATGCGGTAGATCTGGCCAGCCATGATACCAGCACTGTTACCGATAGTCTGTTGCAAGCCGATGGCCGTTGCACGCTTGAAGTACCCTGCGTTGCTATTGATGATCCATGTTACATTCAGGCCTACGCAGCAATAGATACCCGTGGCCGTGACAAACGTCGCAAAATACAACACCCCCGTTCTGTCCATTGAGACGCCGAGCATCATTGCGTAGCCGATGGTCGTGACGAGCGCAAGAGGGACCATGAAGAAAGCCCTGCGGTTGAAGTAGTCCGAGAAGAACGCTACTACAAGGTAGATAACGGATGCCCAGATGTATACGGGTACAGTCAAGAGTTGAGTGCGAACGCTGGAGAATCCGAAGCCGCGGATGATGACTGGGAGGAAGGTGGAGAATCCAAAAGAGCAAGTGTTGGCGCAGAACTGGCAGATGGAGTTCAGCCACACCTTCGGGTCGCGGAAGGCAAGCTTGACCTCTGACTTGTCCATGGCATCCGTTGTCATGGACTTGCCTTGGTACAAGCGCTCGTTTTCATGACGCGCGCGTAGCAGAGCCTTTTCGTCCTCGTTGAGCCACCACGCCGTTTCAAAGTTGTCTGGGAGGAGGAAGATGGTAGCAATGCCAACAACCATTGAGATAATTCCTTCGACGAGGAAAAGCCATCTCCAGCCGGCAAGACCCTTAGCCCCGTGCAAGTTTGTCAGCCCATACGCCAACAAGCCACCGAAAGCGCCCGAAAGCGCCGATGCAACGAACAAGTAGGACACTCGGCGCGCTTGCTCCAGAGGCCTGTAGTACATGCTCAGATATAGGGTTAAGCAGGGGAAAAGGCCGGATTCGAAGGCACCGAGAAGCAAGCGAGTAGCGATGAGAGAAGCGTAATTTTCAATGAAGGCAGCTCCGATAATGACTGCACTCCACCCGATGATAAAGAAGGGAATCAGGCGGGAAGGACGGAGTTTCTTCAACATGAGGGAGGCTGGGACTTCGAAGGCGATGTATGTGACGTAGAACAGCGTGACAGCGACGTTGAGGCGGTTTCCAGTCAGGTTCAGATCTTTGTTCATGCCTGCGATGGCGGCGTTACCTGTAGACAATTAGCTGTTGTCTTAGAGGAGAAACAGGGGATACTAACCGATGTTAGACCTGTCCAGGTAAGCCACGAGGAAGATCAACACCATCATAGGCGAGAGCACAAGGTCGAGTTTGCGAATCAGCTTGGGAAGTTAGCGAGTGTCTCATATGCAAATGCACAACGATGTGTACCTTTTTCTCTGCGACGGGGTCGATGTGGATTTCCTCAGTGGCGCCAACCTGGGCATCTTTTTCGTTGATGGAGCCATCGAAGGCCTTGTCATCGCGTGGAGGCGACATGATGCGCAAATATCGCGGTCTGGTTGGTAAGAGATGAGATGAGATGCGATGCGAAAGTTATGAAGGAATAAAGCCGGTTTGCTAGGCCACGTTCCTCCACGACGGGTCTCTTATAACGACCATGTCGACGTCGAGTCGTGCATCTATTGCCGATCTCTACTGACAGTGCGCCAACTGACTAGGCCGATGTGGAGAGATAGCGCATCCTTGGTGGTGTGGTCACCGTTTGCAGCGGAGGAGCGCGCTAGGCATTTCTTTATCCCCCCCGTCTTGGCAAGTCACCCGATGTCGGCATTTTCACTCTACTTATCGGCCAAATGCCCCAGACTCATCGGGCATTGTGATTGCATCGCACCATCCATGGAAGCATCGAACGAAGATAGGAGAGACGAGACCGACGGTGCTCATGCGAGCAAGAAGCGGAAAAGAGGGCGGCAAGCGAAGAGCTGCGTCGCATGCCATCGGCGGAAGCAAAAGGTACGCTGGTAACATCACGTGGTTTATCCCTCAACGGACAGTACAGCAAGAGTAACCATGGGTAGTGCGATGGTGAGCTGCCTTGCTTTAATTGCAGGAGACGAAATGTGGCTGCCAGCTGCATGTATACTGTCATAATATAGGGGTAATGATCTGTATTTATAAATTCTATCAAGCTAAACTAGCTGCTAAGTAAATAATATACTTTATTTTAGTATAAACTATTTTTTTTTAGTATTTATATAATAGCTGCACTCTTGCAAACTAGTAGCTAATATTATTAAATTTAGTACTAAAATTTTTATTTTTTTAAATAATTCTGTAAGCAAGGGTAAACAACCTAGTATTTATTATTATACTATAATAAAAAAAAATTTAAAAAAAAGATTTTAAAAAAAAAAAGCTACTAAAAAAAAAAAACTGCTAAAAAAAAAAAATTACTATACTCTATTACTTTAAAAGCAAAAAAAAAAATTATTTTTTTATTTATATAAAGCTTACTTTTATTAATAAAAATTCTAGTAATTATAGCTAATGCTTTTTTAGCTTTTAAAAGTAATAGTATAAATATATTATTAAGTATAAAATTATAAGCTGTATATTATATAATAATAAAATAAGCTTTTGCATAATTAAAAGTTTTACTAAGTATTTATTAGTGCTTGTAAAATTAGGCTATTGCTAACTACTTTTTAAAAAAAAAGTTCTATATGCAAAAAAAGCAAGCTTTTATATATTATAAAAAAAAAAAAATTTATATTTATATAAATGCTATTTTAGTAAGTAGGCAAAAAAGCAGTTCTTTATTACAGTTTATATATAAAAAAAAAATTAAAATAAAAATTTATAAGTATAGCGTAGAAAGTTTGCAAAATTATACTAAAAAAAATAAATAAATAAAATATTTTATAAAAAAATATTTTAACTTGCTTATATTATTATATTAATCTAGAATATAATAAAAAGCTACTAAATTAATTAAAAATTTAATAGACTTTATTTAAGTAATATTTTATTTTTTAAATTAATTTATTTGCTAAATTTTTTTAAGGCTTTTGTAAGGGTAGTATCTTTATTTAATAATATATTATTTAGTTAAGTTTTTCTAATTTTGCTTATAGTATTAGCTTTTTTATTTATTTTACTATAATTTTTTTGCTGCTTATTCTTGCTTGCTAAAAAAAGTACTTATATAATTATTTTAATTTATTTAGCTGCAAAAAGCTTTTAATTTAAAATTTTTATAGTAAAAATAGCAATTGCTAAAATAAAAGCTAGATTAGTTGCTAATTTTATAGTAAAATTTTTTATAAAACTTTTTATTAAATCTGCTATAAAATCTAGCATAAAATATTAGGCTATTAGCTTTTTTTTTTTATTTATTATTTTTTTTTTTAAAATTTAGGGCTTTGTAACTAGCGTCCCTTTTTTTATTAAAATAATTATTTTTTAATATTTAGTAAAAAATTTAAAAGTTTTAATATACTTAAATATTTTTAGCTTAAACTAAAGCTTAAATGTTTTATTTAAGTTAAAAGCAATATTTTTGCCCTTATTATTATTACTATAAAAATTTTTATTTTTTTTAAAAATTTTAGTATACTTATTATTGTTTATAATTTTACACTTATAATTTTAAGTATTATTTATATTTTAAAACTTTTTATTTTTTTTTTTTTTTTTTAATTTTTATACTTTTTAGAGCTCTAGTAGCTTTTGCTTAATTTTTTTTTTAGTATAATAAAAAAAATTAAAAAATTATTTTTTAAAAATTTTGTTAATTTTTGTGCGTACAGTAATATACTTAGCTTAGTTATTTTTTATACTTTTAATATTGCGCTTATTTATAATAAGCTAAACTATTTTAAAAGTATTAATAGTATGCTTTTTATTAATCTAAGCAATGCGCTATTTATTTAGTAGTATAAAATTTATTTTAATTTTTTTTTTTTTTTTTATATTTTTACCTTTTTTTTGTACTTTTATTTTTTTTTTATTAATTATTATTTTTTTAGTAGTATATTATATAGTCTAGTAAGCAAAATAGCTTGCTAACTTACTAAAATTATATATTTAAAAACCTGCACTTATACTTTATAAGTAAACTAAACTGCAGACTTATATAAAATTTTTATTTAATATAAAATTAAAATTATTTAAAAATTCTGCTTTAAGCAGTATTTAGTATAAATTATTAATTAAAATTTTAAACTTTTACTTTAGCTTTATAGCATTAAAATTATATTTAATTATATAAAAATTTTTTTTATTATTAAGTAGGTAGGCTTTTGCAATATTTTTGTGCTTTATAATATTATTTATAATTTTAATTTACTAGTTTTAGTTGCATTATAAAGGCATTTAAATATAAATAGCAAATAAGTTAATTATCTAGTAGTGCTCTTAATTTTTTTTTAAAATAAAAAAGTTTGAATTTTTTAATTTTTAATTTAGTTATATAATTTAGTAATTTTATTTTTTAAGCAAAGTAATTACGCAGTATATATAAAATTTTTTATTATTTATTTTTAAAAAAAATATAAAATTTGCAGTAGCTTATACAGTTCTTTATATATTTAAAATATAAATATTATTTTTAAAATAGGTTTTTGCATTAAATAGTTTTTTTTTTTTTATTTGCTAGTTATATTTCTGCAGGAAATATTTTATTAATAAATAAAATTTTTAATTAAAATTTTACTTATTAAAATTATAAAAATTATATTTAGTTAATTTTATTTTAAGTTCTGCTTTAGTGCATATAAAGTCTAACTTTTACTAATAATTAATAAAGTAGTATTTAATTGCTTTACTTATTTATAAAAAGTACTGCTATATATTTAAATTTTTTAGTATATTAATATATTTAAGCGCTTTTGCGGCAAAAGTAGTAATAGTACTTAATATATTTTAAAGCTTTTAAAAGCGCTTTTAATTAAAAAGTACTAAAATTAATTATAAATTTTATTGCTAGTTTTTACTTACTTTTATAAGTTTTGTTATTATATCTTTTTAATTATACTTTTTGCTAAGTTTTTTAAAAATTTTTAAATTTTACTAAAAAAAAGTAATATTTTTATTTTAAAATGCAAGTAATTTATTTTTTACTTTTTTTATTACTTTTCTGAAGTTACCTGCAATAGTTTAGTTTTACTACTATTTAAAAATTTATTATAAGTAATTTTTATATTTTTTATAAAAAAGTATAAAATTAAATTTATAGCTAAAATTTATTAATTTTTTTAAATTATATATATTACTGTTGTGCTGCTCTAACAGGTTAATTTTATTAGCAATTTTATTAATTGCTTTATTAGGCTTATTAGCTATAGTAGCGCTTATAAACTATAACTATATATTTTAGTATACTAATTGTATTTTTAGGCAATTAAAATAAATTATTACAATAGTGTTTAATATTAAAAAAATAAAAGTAAAAGTAAGAAATTGTTTATATATTTGCTTTATTAAAAATTAAAATAAAAAAAGTATAAAGCATATTTATTTAAAGCCTAATAATTTTCTTTTACTTTACTAAATATTTAATAAAATTAATAATTGTATAATAGCATAATAAAAGTATTAAATAAATAAGATAAGTAGTAGTAAAAAAAATGTTTAGTATATTTAGCTTATTAGATATATATATATATATTTATTGCTAAAAATAAAGTAATATATTTTATAATTTACTAAGATATAATATAGCATAGTGTTTTAGTAAAAAGTATTTAGCAAAAAGAAGTAAAAACTAACTGCTAAAAAAAAAAAGCAGAAATTAAAAATACTTTGCTTATTGCTTTTTTCTGCAAATATAATAGCTTAAAAGGAAAAAAAATACTTAAATACTTTAGTTAGTAATAAAATTATATATGCTTTTAAAGCCTAGGCTTTAGCATATAATATTTTTTTATAAAAAAGCTTATTGCTAAAATAAAAATAAATAGAACTTCGGCCAATTTTAGTAATAGCAGTTATTTTTAATAAGTACTGCTAAAATTAGGCTGTTTTTATTAAAGTTTAGCATTTTATTTATATTATTTATTACTAAAATTATAAATAGTTTTTATACTATAAGTATTAAAGTAGTTCCTAAAGCGTAGATTATATTATTTATATAAAAAAAATAGTATTTTAATATTTAAGTATTTAGGATTATTTACATTTAGGTTTAGCAATTTTAGTTTTAATTTTTACAATTAATAATTATAAATTACTTATTTTTAGAGTTTGCTTTATATACGTTGCTGCTGCTAGGTTTTTTATTTAGTAATTAAAAATTTAGTATTAAAATTTTTTTTTATTTTTTTAGCAGTGCGCATTTGCGCAGTAGACAACTATTAATTATAAATAGTATTTTTATTTTTTTATTTAATAAAGTACTCTAGCTTTCCTGTAGTATTATTAATACGCTTTTTAATAATTTATTTAATAAGCTTAAATTTTCTATTACTATTAACTTTAACTATTTGTAGTAGCGTTAAGAAAAAATAGTAATAAAAATTTTAGTCTAGTATATAGCAAAGTTTAAGTTATACAATATTAATTATATTATATATTTTTAAGTTTAGCAGTTTTTTAATTTAGTATATATTTTTGCTAATTTTTTTAAAAATTTTTAAAAGTTTATATTATTAAAAACCAATTTTCTTTAGAAAACTGCCTTTTAGTTTATAATTATAATAAAAAACTAGCATAGTATAATTACTAAGTTTTAAGTTAAAAAATTAATAATAATAATTATAGTAGTTTTTCTAAGCAACCTTTGCAAAGTAAAAAGCTTTTTTTACTTTTTTTTAGTATTAAAATTTTAAAGTTTTATAGTTTTTTTTTATAAATATATTTTTTATATAAAGTAAATTAAAACTTTAATATAAATTAAATTTTATAATGTATTTGCAAAGCGTGCATCTAATTAAATAATTTATACTTATATTTAAAAAAAATTAAATATAAAAAAGTATTTTATCTTAATTATAGTTTTAATTAGTAGTAATAAAAAAGCAGAGCGTAATGCTTACTATTTAATTAGTTTTTTTAAATTAACTATTAGCTTTTAAATAGTAGGCAGCTGTAGTATAAAACTTAGTTCTTATTGCTTTATATTGCTAGCTAAACATGCTTTTAATAAAAGTAGCTACTTTATTACTAATAATAATTTATTAATTGCTTTAATTTATTAAATAGTT